AAATCGCCAGAAACCAAGGCAGCGGGCGCCTCAGAAGGGCGCCCCTTTTGCCGGCTCCCCTGCGTCGTTTTATCAAGTGCGAATCGATAGTTTTCGACCGGGCTTGTTTGCCGCAAACGCCCCGGCCGCTTGATAAGTGAAAACTTTTTATGCTCAAAAACACTTCCGGCCGCTTCAAAACTGCCGGCCGTTTTTCAGGGTAGCTGTCAAAAAAACTCCCTGGTTAGAACCGTTCGGTGACCTCACTACATACAATCTCAACTGTTACATAATGCAAGAACGGCAAAAGAAGTGAGTAGAGAGGGAAGATTTTTGCACCGTTTGCATTACAAGTCTGGCGCAGGAGATTCTAATGCTATCTAACGAGTCGACAACTTGTCATGCGAAGCAGCTTGGTCAACATCAACATGTAGATACTGATCATGCCGATTTTGCATTACAAATTCACGCAACGGTCGAGAAAATAACATTTGAGAACTCCATATGCAAACTCGGTTCGGTGATCGTTCCCGTTTTGTCCAGACACTGCACGTCCACTTCTCTATGAACTGCAAAAGTATAAGTATCGCACTCGTATTGCAGTTATACATTACAAAGCTTGTTCGTGAATGTAAATCAGCATCACAAATTTTCTTTCTCATGCAGAGGAAATAATTTGTATATGCATTTATACGAGTACGATACTTTTGCAGTTCATATTCTCCGGCAAGCAACAACCGCTTCAGCTCTAGCGTACGCGTCTTGTGGTAGATAAGATCCTCAGTGTTACAACTACTAAGAACACCTGCAGGAGATGAAGTACGACTACCGGGTTCTATCGTCTTGCTCCTGGTTCCCGCGGCTCCTACACGAGGACCTTGTGAGGCACCATTCCACAGGCGAAGCGACGCGAACTTCTGGGCCATGTATCACAGGGAAAAGTATTTATACGGTAACGGAATTTGTGATGCAGCAACGCATCAGAAAACGTGTCAGAATTTGTCATGCATGGCCTGCATATTGGGTTACGTTTGTGATGCATGACTGCCATCTGTGAAAACCGCCAACGTGTGACACTTTTTCTTGTGATACCATGGCTAGACCGGCCAAAATTCCGGGGTTGCACATCAGATAGGGGAGCCGGAGGGCGTCCATAAGGGAAGTGATAATGTTCTGGTAGACCTGATGAAGATGTTGAAACAAGGTGAGGTTTATATACTTGCGAGGGTTAGTAAACTTCTTTTCGTGCCCTTAGTCAATCAAAAATAAAACAAATGATAGTAGGTGCCTCAAGATGAAGATGCCAGTGTTGCCATTGCGGACTAGGAGGCAAAGCCAAAGCATCCTCGACCTGTGCATTAAATGAGAGATAATTTGTACGGAAAAAGAAAAAGTCACTGTTGCCCTCTAAAAAAGGAGGCAAAATTTTACAGTAAAAGTAAAACCTTCACCTCCTTACAGCCAGGCGCATAAACACATAGATGTGGATGATATAGCACTTCTGCAGCTGGCTCTGTATGTCTACGACCATCACAAAAAATCAATGCCCTAGTTGTACCTGCCCCTGGTTCACAAGCAAATCAGGAATCATGGAGATAAGCATCAGCACGCTCGCCACGGTGAAGAGAATCCAGACAAACTGCTCCTGAAACACGTAGCGCACCGGGAGGGGAAACAAAATTTTGCGAACCAGACTCCCGTTCAATGTATAGGACCCCGTGTGGATTACCAAGCCAATGGCGCGGGTGACTGGCGGGGGCTTTTTCACCTCCTCCGCCGGGGGAGTAGTAGTTTGGGACGTAGTAGCCAAGACGTTGTCCTCTAGTTTCGCATGAGTCGCTTCGTTACTCATCTGGGCTTGTTGCCCTGGTGCCTGACTGTGCAGTAGACCAGTGGCTGCCAGTCCGCCAGATAGTGACGATCTTTTTTCCATCGTTTTTACGTTCTCCTTGTCCGAGGCCCGCCCCTCCTCACAGGTCGACATTTGGACGTGTCTGGCTTTGCGTTTGATCTTCCCGTGATCCACGACATTTTTGCTGCCTGGGCGTCGTGGCGTCGGCAGAGAGAGGAATCCACCACGATTGGGATTGCCGCCGCCCAGTTTATCCTTATCGTCCTTGTTGGAGGACGCTGCATTACCTCCCGAAGGCTCCATTGATGGGGACGTGAACATCTCGGATGATGTGACAGGCTTGTTGCAAGAACTACCTTCAGCACCCTGTGTTGGCGTAGTCGCTGCACCTACTGCGGAGTGCGAGTGGTCCGCATTTTTACAAGGTTTGTCAACTTGTTGGTCAGACTGGTGCTCTTCAAAGGCGGCACTGTTGACGCTGGACAAGATCTCGGTGCCGCAATAGAGGAAATGTTTTTTCCCGTGCTTTGCCAAATCGAGGCACTCTGCGGAACCGAATTCCAGGTATGGAACTGTCATGATCGAAATTGACAAAGTTGAAATAATTTCTGCTGCATAAAACCGCTAGCAGCTGGCGCCAATTTTTCAAGTGTCGCATGACAAATGTTCCTGGCCCCTAAAGCAAATCTGTCATGCTGTTTAGGGCAAAAGGGCTCGTCCCCTCTGTCATGCTAATCAGCAGCCCAATTCTGGACGACCCTTAACAGCACTACAATCTGCCTCCCTTGTGTCCTCTACAAAAATAGAGACAGTTTTTGAGTTGCAGTGTATGCGTCACAAACTATTTCAACTTTGACGATTTCAATCCTGACGCTTCCATACCAGGGGGAGCTTGGATACCGGCATGGGTTCGCCAGTCAGGTCCGCTTCATTCATCAACACGTTGCCCTGCAGCAAAACGCAGTCGCAGGGTACGATGCCGGACTCCGGGATCTGGAAAATATCCCCGGGCACCAGCTCAATGGAATTCACGGTTACCCACTTGTCCTCTTCCTGGGCGCGCTTGGACTTGTTCGACATCTCGTTCAAAAACTCCGTATTGGAAGGCGGCTTGATGTTCTGCTGCTGCTGGGATTTTTCAACATCTTCTTGGGTCGTCTCCTTGTTCTCAAGGTCGGCGCCCACTTCCTCGTCTTTAATGTTGCCTGCAGGAGGACGATCATCTTCACGACTAGTAGCACTAGCACCGGGCGACGAGGAGGACGCGCCTTTGTTTTTTTTCCCCTTCATCTTCGGCTTATCTTTATTTGCTTTTCCCTTCCCCCCCGCGAGAGCCGCGGCTTCAGGACAACTACTCGAGGTCTGTTTGTTCGACGTCGTGCTTTTTTGCTTGCTTGCTTGTTTGTCGGATTTTTGCGTGCTTGTTCCTCTTTTAAAGCCTTCAGTAGCTCCTGCTTTAGCTGCGGTCCCTGTTCTTTCGTCATCCGAATCCTCTTCCTTACTAGGATTTTTCTCAGTCGAACTTTGCGCACCGCTGGTACTAGAACTACTTTTCTTCCGCGGGGACGCGGCTGAGGTGTCTTTTTTTCCACCCGCCGGGGTTTTACTATTCTTCTTCTTGCGATTTTTAGTATTCCGACTGCTGTCAGCACGACCCGCGTTGTGATGCAAACCAAAGGCGGCAACCAGCTCGGCCTCTTGCTGCTTCAGAACGGCGCGCTCCCGTTGCTTCTCCAGAATTTGCAAAAGCTTTTCGTCGAGAATTTCTTCCTCCTCATCTTCTTCCTCCTCCTGCGCCCGGGCGAGCTGGCTATCCAGTGTCAGTTCGTGGTCGGGATAGGGAAGGAGAAGCTCGTATCATATGTAAAAATGTCCCCACGACCCCATAGTCAAGTTGGGAACTTAATAGCAACACAAATCCAGAAGTTTTGGGAGCCACGCATGAGAAGCTGCAGTCCGTAGTGTAGTCTGCATGTTAGGAAGGACAACCGCATCACAACAAATCCATCTTCTTTATCCTGTTTACAGCATTACAAATTTTAAAACACGATTGGAAAAAATGCCTGTCATGGAGATGCGCATCACAAATCTTGCTGTAATCGCACATCTGCATGACAACTCTGGGGTGGGAACGTTTTTACTCACGATACAACCTCCGGGCTTTTATTCACCGCGGCGCTGAGCACGGACGCAAAGGAACTCCTGCTCTGCCCTATCCTGTGCAAAAGAATCGCACTGGTATTGCAATCATGCATTACAAATTTTTTTCTTAAGGTAAATCCGCATTACAAATTTTATTTCTCACGCTGAGAAAATTTGTAATGCATTTATACGAGTACGATACTTTTGCAATGCATATGCCCCCTCCTGGTACTATTACCCAAGGCGTTGATGATGGTATTCCGCCGCGTTTCTTCCTCGTCCGACCCGGTTCGGTATGACAATGCACAACCCCCCGTCGGCCTCCGCCTCGTTTGTCATGCAAAATCCCAAATCCAGCGGCTGCCATGTACTAGCGCTGATTGCATGACAAATTTTTATGGAACAAGTCCAAACAGTACTGCTTACACTCGTCGCAGGACCACGAACGTGTCATGCTCGGGCTCCACGTGTGCTGGTGTTTGTGTTGCTGTTCATGCCACACAAATGAGGGATACAAATGCGAGTTGTGCGCTCGGCTCTCATAATCGGAACAAGGTCCGGGCCAAAATGTGGTCCTGTTCCACTTTTTTCTTGATAGCCGCCTCGTCCGCCCGCAAAACCCGGAGGTCTTCGATCTGCGGGATCTGCGCGGCAATTTTGAGTTCCTCCATTGATTTTTTCTCGCAGTAGGCGATGTAGCACATTTGCACCAGGTTCAGACAGAAGGGCAGAATCGCGATGGCGAACCGAAAGTGGAAGCTGGACTGCAGGACACGGAACAGCAGCCAAATGTTCAGCACGTCGGTCATTTGCACTTGGAAACACTTATGAAGTGCAAAAGCATCGTACTAGTATAGATTGCATTACAAATTTCCTTAGCATGACAGATGAAATTTGTAATGCTGTTTTAAGTAAGAAAGATTATTTGTCATGCATGTCTGCAATTAGTACGGGTACGATACTTTTGCAGTGAATAGAACTGCCAGAACCGGGGAATCTCGATTTCCACCTCGTTCTTGCCAAACTTTTTTCGTAACTCCTCGGACTGCAGCGTAGTCAGTGGCGTATCAAATGCAAAAATGTCTGGGTCTGAATGTCATGCACATTTTGCATGGCTCCTGGTGTCTGTGATGCTTTCCCTAGCATCACAAACATTGCGAGGGCTTCCTGATGCCTATACTGTATGAGAAATGCCCTCTCGCCGTGGCAAAAACTGAACCTCTTTTGCTGTTCATGCAATACAGATTTATTGTAGAATCCAAATCCAGCATCACAAGTTGCATTCTTCCAGACCCACACACGTTTGCAATGCATACGGGGCACTGGTTGCCAGTTCGAACAGAGGTTTGGACAACAGCTCGTTGCATCAAGTGCAAACATGTCTGGGTCTGGAAAGTTGCAGAATTTGTCATGCACCTCGCGGACACACTCATGGCCTGTAATGCACACAGAACCATCACAGATTTTTTGAGGCCTCTCTCACGCCTATTCCGCATGAGGAATTCGCCTTCTACCGAGCGAGAATCGGGTAAGAACCATTGGCGTTCATGCAGCACAGATTTTTTCGTGATTCAGATTTTGCATGAGAGGCTTCCTTCTTCCAGACCCAGACATAGTTGCATTTGTATTTGATACGTTGCGCGTCGGCACAAATTTTTCCTCGAACTCTTCCTCCGAGTCATAGTGCAGCTTCTGGTTCTGGAAAAAGATCGATCTCTCGCCAAGAAAAGGTGCCGGTGCGGGATCTGGTGCTACAGCAATAGGGATACTAGGCTTGTTTGAATTCCTTGATTTAGATTTGTCCTTGGCTGTAGTTGGTTCCGACTCCACGCCGTTCTTCTTATTATTTTTTGTCCCGCCCACACAGCTGCTGACACTAGAGGCAGGTGTGCTGACGCCTTTCTTCTCCGGAGTCTTGCGCCCCGCCGCGGCCGGGGTACAAGAGTTGTTAATAGAGCCCGTTGGTTCGTCGTGAAGGTTTATTTTCTCATCGTGTAGTTCAGAATCCTGCCGTCTCTTTTCCTCGTGGTACGACCCGTGGTGCAAGCCAGTTGGGGAAAGAAGACCGCGGCCAGACTTCTTGTGGTAGTCTTGTTTTTCCACACGAAGACCAAGATCGTCCTATCCTGTGGAAAAACGTCCCCACCCCAGAGTCAAGATGGGCGACATCTCGCAACACAAATCGAGAAGTTTTGGGAGTCAAGCATGACAAGTTCGACTCTGTACTGTGGTGCAGTTTAGCAAGTACAGCCGCAACACAAATCCTGTTTACAGCATTCCAACGTCCAAAACACGACTGGAAATGCCTCTCATGGGGATGCGCATTACAAATCTTCCTGTGACTGCATATCTGCATGACAACTATGGAGTGGGGACGCTTCTACTCAGGATACGTCCGGCTGCGCTACTAGAATGTTGCTTCCCGAGGCCGTTGTCGGTAACGGAATGGTATCCTGTGCAAAGTATCGTACTCGTACTTCTAATTGCTTTTATGCATTACAAGTCTTTTTCTGAAGGCAAATCCGCATTACAAATGCCATTTGTAATGCTGAGAAAATTTGTAATGCAATTTATACTAGTACGATACTTTTGCAGCTCATAAATGGAAAGCACAGGCACCAGCGGGTCGTCATCATGGGGGTCCGTTTCAACAACAACATCATCTACTGCGACGTCGTTGTAACAGCCAACGCTTGACGACTTTTTTCCGGTAGTTTCGTCCTTGCGCGGCGCCACTGCTTGTTGGACGTCGAGTGCACCACCACCACGAACACCACCATTGGGAGCGTTTTCAATGTTCTCTTCAGCGTTAGTACGAGAAGGCAACGACGAGGAGCCCAGTGGAGTCGATGTGATGTATTCCCATTCCGTCCTGCAAAGCAGATCATTCTCGCAATGCTCTCGTTTTTGATATCTGCTTGTTCTTCTCTCGTCCTCTCCGAGGATTGGTGGTGGTGGATTACTTGTATAACCTGTGGTGTCCTCGTCTTCGTCTCCCACCTCTGACGTTTCAGACGACTCACGCTGTCCTCTGCGGAGGCGATCGCGCGTGCTATCGGTGCCAGTAGTCTATCAGAGTGCAGAACACCTTCCCCTCCCCCTCAATTGTATGGCATGATGAACAGCATCAGCAACACAAGCACCCGCAAATATGATGTGGGTCGTTCCACCGCATGACAAACCTCCTGGACACAGATTGTAGTACTGCTTGACGTTGTTCCAAAATTTGGCATGCAGACAGTGCCTAAAGGTAAAGGCAGGATGTGGACGTCGCTATCGCTTTGGTATTAATTTTGGGATACATATGGCTTTTTTTGGAACTGTCTAAACTGACAACGGAACTTTTTCGCGACCCTTGGATCCTTCCCCGCATGTTCTCGTGTTTTTTTAAAAAAAAGGGCCCAGACTGAAAACGGAACCCGAAGCAGTAAATAGGTGTTGAAATGGAAACACAGAACACCCAGGGAAGCTCCGGCTAGCGCCTAGAAGTAGAAAGACGGCTTCTGTGCGCATGGCTCCCACACAGGTGAGACAGAGCTTGCGAGGGTGGGAAAGTGATCGAATCGGTTTAGTTACGAAGAGACGCTGTCTGCGAAAGGAAGCGCGTGAGCCGAGACACTCACAGAGCAAGGGCGCCGGCTTTTGGTTCGTTGGAATTCACGCTCTTTGCCTGGTCTCCTAGAGACGGAAATGCAAATGCTTGCAATGGGTGCGCATTCTGTCATTAGACAGAGAGCAGAAGAACTAGTCTGGGCGCCACCGCCAACGGCTTCGCTTTCACTCGGATGGGGCCGGGCGATCTGATCCCTCAGAAACTTCACGGAAATTGCCTCAACTTTTGTTGGGACAGAACCAGCACCCAGCTCGGCAAGTGCTCAACTCCTATCCACATGAAAGGGAAACGATAGGGGCAGGGGGAGGATGATCGAAAGCGGTACCAAAGCGCCCCACACATAAGGGCCGGCGCTTCATGGCCTAGAACAACCCAGAGCCAACCGATTTCAAGACTCCCACACGATCGGACTACCCGGTGAGGGCGGTTGATCGTTTTACCCCCCTGATCGTGTAACAATATCGGCCAAAAATTTTCTTTGCCGAGGCCGCGCAGCCACCTCCACATTGTGGAGGCGGTTGCGCGGCCTCTGCAAATGCCCGTCAATGAATTACCAAAAACCCCAGGCACGAGGAAAAACAGCCAGGACAAGCCGGGAGCCTTGGTGTGCTCCGCCTTTCGTCTTTCGCTGGGCGCGACTTGGGACGCTGCCTCACAGGCAGGACAATGGAAACGAAAGACCATTTGGCTGACCGGCGGGGCACACAGGTGGGGAGACAGACAAGAACGAACGGTCGGCGGGGCTGCGGCCATTGAACGTGCGCAAATCCCGCAATTTTTGTCCCCCCTAGGAAGAGAGAGAGAAAAGAGAAAACAAGATCTATATCTATTTTAGATCGAGAAAGAATAAGAAATAGAAAAAGAAGAAGAAAACGAAAGACGAGAAAACAAAAAACAAAAAAGCAAACGAAACGAACAAGAAGGCGAATCGCCACGGTATGGTGAATGTCGGTTCCGTTGTCAGTTTAGGTAGTTCCGAAAAAATCCGATCCCTTAATTTTGTATATATAAATGAGGGGAAGGAGAAGTTCAAGTTGTGCAGTCAACATCTCATACAGTCCTCACCCTGTCCACATGTTGACCGGCCGCGCCGGAGACCTGCAGAAAGTTCTGCTTCGACGTCTTTTGCGACTCCGCAGCCGGTGCTTCACGACCTGCATAATGCTGCTCAAAGGCTGTACCAGCAGGTTGTCGAGCAGCGGTCGAATTGTCGTCCCGCGCGGCCGGCGCGCTTGCGTCCTGCTCCTGCGCTTGAGGATTTTTTTCTTCTGTACATGGTGCGGAGTCGACAGATGTTGCGGAGGTACAACTACCTGCGCCTGAATTAGAGCTGTAACACCCGTTAGCATGAGAAGTGGTGAATTTGTAGCGAATCTTGCATGACAAATTGCAGATGAGTCCGCCGGGACATTGTCCCTCTTGCCCTTCTGGGAAGTGGGTTCTGCACACCGCAGAAGTTGTCAAGGCTTATGTGGCGGGCAGCTTCTAGACATGGCCTGGGCGTCGTTCTTCGCCCATAGCCATACAATTTCGTCTCCCTGTGCTCGCATAAGAGCACTGCAACAGCCGCGGCAAAGACGCCAAAAATAAGGGCTCCGGAGCACATACAATTACGCAAGATGAAGGCGCGAGAGCAAGGGCGAAAGGACCAGGCCGAGAGCTTTGACGCGTCTATCCGGCAGGCGCGTGAGCTCTCCAGGCCTTTTCGGCAGAATATAGACGGGCCGAGGGCAACAGAGGGCGCTTGTCTTTTCCCCTCGGCGCCACTTCCTAGGGCCTATTTGCGGACTTTTTTGAGCACTTTTCTGCGCTAAAGTTTGCTTATCACGGTCGAAAAGGGGCGCCCGGTGAATTTTGGGGTGAATTTTGAAAAGGGCGCCGGTGAATTTTGGCCTCCGGCTCCTTTTCAAAATTCGCTAGCGCGTGAGAAACTCCGGGTTTGGGGGCTTCAAAAAAGTGTCGCAAAAACAAAAAGCCTCAAAATTCACCAAGAGAATTCTTGACCTGAGAGCCACCTCGAAAAAGACTTGCTCCGGGGGCAAAAACACGCCTGGGGAGTTGTAAGCCGAGCACACCAGGCCAAGCAAGCTAGTGCCCGTAGCCGAGTCGTGCCTTCCCTTCCACCCGAGGCTACTCCCAGATATCCAATTCCAAGCCACAACTCGTGAGAGCGCACGTGTTGAACTAGTGCCCCTGTGTTCAGGCGTCGCCCTCCCTCCCGACCATTCCGGAGAGGAACTTCTGAGGCAGACGCGCAGATGAACAAGAGCCCCACGACCCACACTCTTTGGTTACATATGCACTACACAGTCCGGCGGGCCCCAGCAAGACCAACCACTACTTCTTTCGGTGCTGCAAGTGCCACCTGGCACCGAGCAGCCCTTCACGCTGCGTGAGCTGCTTGGGCTCGTGCCCAGCCCTTTACGCAGCGCACTTCTCTTTTGAAGTAAATGCAAGTCATGCAATACAAATTCACCGCAAATTCACCCTTCTGTATGCTAACGACCGTCCAAGGCATAACAGATGGTGCGGAGGTACAACTACCTGCGCCTGATATGGTGTTCTCAACTGTTACATTCTCAACTGTTGCATGGATTTGTGATGCAAGAATTGCAAAAGTGAAAGGGGAGAGGTTGCACTTCTAGCATTACAAGTTTTGCACAGATTTAGGTGCTGTTTAGCCCTTCGCAAATTTGTCATGCGAAGCAGCTTTCCCGTGTGAATCTTGATGGTAGTTCTGCATGACAAATCCATGTAAGAACAGCTGAGAACGTAACAGTTGAGAGCGCCATACCTGAAGCGGATGTTGTTGATGAACTCGAATTCTTCATCATCTTCTCGTCCTGCTTACTGCCGCCCTTTGCAGTTGTCTCGCAGGACGACCATTCGTTCTGATTCAAAAGGTATAACAGTGTACAACTCGTCCCCCTCCCCCTCATTTGTATTGCATGAACGGCAATACAAGCATCAGCAAGAGTGCTGGTGTTGCATGTTGATGTTACAAATTTGCACTGGAGTATAATGCTATTCGGGCAACTTACCAGAACTTGTCACGCAAACTGTGCCATGAGGAGAGGCGTAAGTGAGGTATTTTGCATGACAAATGAGGGGAAGGGGGAGTTGTGCACTCTCATAGGCTGGCGCGCGGCTTTCTCTGCCGTTCCTCTTCCTGCTCCTTTCGCAATTCTTGCTCCAGGGTCGCCTGCGCGGCCAGCTTGGACTTCCGGAGCTCCTCCTGCTGCTGGCCCTTGCCGAAGTGCTTCCGGCCCTGAATCAGGAGAACTTTCTCCCCCTCGGGACAGAAAGACACCGAGCGACGCGCTGCCCGCGAGTCAGCGCTCCCCGATTCCCCGAGGAGCGCACTGCCGACCGAAACGCAGGAATCCCGCCCGCCTGGCGCGTAGCACGACGAATGTTTCCGCAAAATGGACCGCCGAGGCTGGGGACCGGTAGTTCCGGTTTTGTTCGCTGTTAGATCGCTGCTGTTGGACAAAGAGAGCCTTTGCAACTCTGAGGAGCCGGAACAGGAAGACCACTCACGGAGAAGGTGAGAGGACCAGATGCAGGGCAGGTCACGGTCTTCCCCCTTGCGTTGTAGGGACAGGTACTGCTGTTGAGCTGCGCCGGCGGACAATAGCATATTCTTTTTCTTTTTCACCCCCCGCGCCGTTTGCCGATCACACGATGAAAACGAGGAGGACGACATCCGAACGCGCTGCTCGTCCAGAAATTCATCTTGCCCCCGTCGTCCTGACGATATCCACAGTAAATTTCCCGCACACGGCGTACAAGTGCGGTCTCTGCATGACAAAACTTGGCTTCGATCCTAGTTTAGCATGACAACTTTTCTTTATGCTCCAAATTGGCGAAATTTGTGATGCATCTTGTACATATACGGGTGGAAATTTGTATTGCATAGACGAGGAGCTGAGACCACTTCTTCGTCGCCTCGGAGCTGGAGCATCGGCAGTTCTATCGCAGTTTGGAGAGTGGTCTCCTTTGCAGTTTGGAGAAGTGCAGAACCTCTGATCATGTTCATGTTCAACATCATCTTCGGTAAGTAGAATGCTGTTGCGCGCTGGAGTTTCGTAAAAATCTGCGATCCGAGGAGAAGCTGGGACATCAAGCAACATCTTTGCCGCTGGAGATTTTTGCTGCGGGTGCACCAGGCCGCCATCTTCATGTTCTTCATCCGGAAGTCGCAGGTCGTAATCTTCCGGCAACAGTACTTCTGGTGGTGCGTCTCTGATGTTGTAGTTCGCATGATTTTTATTTTTAGTGCTCCTTTTTAAAGCTTGCCCTTGTTCACCACACGACGAGGCCGAGGAGAGTCGGCGCATTCTTCTATAACTGGAATTGCAGCTCCCTGTGCGCCGGCGGCCGCGGCCAGGCGTGGCGTTATTTGTCCCTATTTTTCCGGAAGTAGCTGCCCCAAGAAGTCTGCGTCCTCGGACAGTGCTAGTGCAGCTGTCCAGATCAGTAAAAGACGACGACGACCTTAGTCTAGGTTTGATCTTAATATTCCACCTTGGTGTCGTTTTCATTTCCTCCTGTACAGCTAATTCGGCGGACACAGGAGAGGTCTTAAAATCTTCTTCCGTGGTTTTGTTCCACTGGCGTGTCAATTGCACTTTCTCCTCTGCTCATCCAAAAAAAAACTGTGCACGTGTAGCTGCTGGTGGAGCTGGTGTTTTATTGGGGTCGTAGCATGACAGATTTGCATTTATTTCTGTGCATGACAGCGAAGTCCTCTTACGAGGAGTATCTAGTACAACGTGAAGACAAAAACAGGTAATGAAAAAAGGACACTATGGTTGGCCAGTATAACGAGTTGCTTTGCGACGTACTTATGCACTTACTAATCAGACAACTTGCACTTACACAATTTCTCTTCTTGCATACGGCTTTTCTTCTGCTCATGGAAGTGCCAGAATCGAAATTGACAAAATCGAAATAATTTGTCATGCAAAAAATTATGGATTCCAGTTCGAACCCAGTTTCTAAGTGGTGCATCACAAATTCTGGTGGTGCCTAAAGCCACGCTGTAATGCTGGCTAGGCAAAGAAGACTGAGTCTCTCATGCTGCTTTAGCAGCTCGATCTCGTGCTGTAACCCCAAACAGGCTCACAATCGGCCTCACTTGCCTGCTCTGCAACACACGTACTTCGCGTCATGCATTTTTTGCATCGCAAATTTTTCGACTTTGTCAATTTCGATCCTGACACTCCCATACTGCTCTGGGGCTTCGTGTTCGTTTTCGCGGCGACCACTTGACAAACCTCCACCACTTTTTTAGAAACAATCCGCAGCTGCGGGGGCAACGGTTGCACAACTACATCACACGCCCGATTTCTTTTCGCGCACGGGCAAGACGAAGGCAAGCATGTCCATCGACGTTCTTCCGCCTCGACGTGGGAACTTTTCTGTCTAGCAGCCTGGTCTGAGTCGTCTGCCCCCACAGCTACGCGGCCTCCTAGTGGCCGACGAGGACTGCTTGTTGACTATGCATCGCAAAAGTAATAAACCATACTGGTAGTAATGCTGATTGGAATCCCGCATGACAGATCTCTCTCCGAAGGCAGATCACCAGCATTACAAATGATCTCCTTTCTCAACTTGAGAAAGTTTGTCTTTGTCATGCAATTACTATACATTATATTCATGCGAAAAAAGAGGTAGACAGAGGGTCCCAGAGAGGTGGCCGAGAGGTAAAAAAGATGTCGACAGAGGTAGAAAAGAGGTCGACAGAGGTGGAGAGGTGGCGCGGGACCCCGTTCGAGAGGGTCCGCGAGAGGGTGCGCGAATAAGGCCCGCAGTAAGCGCCCACCCTTAGGCGCCGCCTAAGTGGCACAGAGGGTGCAGAGAGGTCAAAAAGAGGAGGCGCGAGAGGTCGACAGAGGTGGAGAGAGGTGTTGCGAATAAGGGGCGACCTCTCGCGGACCCTCTTGGCCACCTCTCGGCCACCTCTGTCGACCTCTACCCGCGAGTATAGCCGGATTATTAGTGGGGACCCCCAAAAGAGGTCAAAAAGAGGGTCTGCGAGAAGTCTGCGAGAGGGTAAAAGCACAAAGAAGCGGGCGCGGATCCGCATGGTAATGCCCATATTTGGCACTGCAGGCCATTCGCGGACTTGTTTTGTTCGGCGCCTTTCCGTGCCACCCTCTCGCGCACCCTCTCGCGCACCCTCTCGCGCCACCCTCTCGCGCCACCCTCTCGCGCACCCTCTCGCGCCACCCTCTCGCGCCACCCTCTCGCGCCACCCTCTCGCGCCACCCTCCCGCGCCACCCTCTCCCGCCATGCGGCTTCTGTTCGCCCCCGGTGTTCTTTGCAGCTGCTCCCTGCGCAGAGCGCCCACAGGCGCGGGAAGCGCGCAAGTGGTCCTGCGGCTTGGCAAGGCGCAAATCGGCGGCAGGAATCCAGTATTTTTCGTTGTGCCTACTAGGCCCGTGGGGTTGTGGTCCGAGCGGCAAACAGCCTTGCCCCGGCCCAACAGCCTTGCGCTCCGGCGGCAGCCGGAGCATGGCTGGTTTCTACTAATACGGTACTTTTGCAATGCATATTGACGCGTCGATGACAATGGTTTTGGTTCTCCGCCGCGCGCCGGACAGCTTTCGACATGCTCGTCTACTTGTACTTGATGAGCCCACTCTTTGTTGTAGACCTTGTTCCTGCCGGTAGTGGTGACCAGCGCGCTGCAGCTGAAGTAGGTGCAGCTTTTCATCGTCTTCGTCTTGCAAGAAATCGTGACAAGGAGAACTCACATTCCTCTTACTCCCGCTCGTCGCGGAACAAGAAGGGGAGGCGGAAACACATGTCTCCTGTTTCTTCCCGCATCCGCCCGGGTTAACGTGCAACAAGGGCGGGGCGGTCGTCTGCTTATTTTCACGTCCAGGTTTTTCTTCTCGTTCTCGGGGTCGGGGTAGTGGAAGTGGTATTAAGCCGCTCGACATAGAAGAAGTTTTGCGCCTGTTTGTGGTCTCCTCGTGGTCTACTTTTTCTCCGCCCTGGCGGAGTCGCCTTCTTGGGGAGACCGAAATCCGGGCCATTTCGTATAACGTGCTCAGGTGTTACAACAATCTCTTCAAACGGGACTCCAGAGTATGGAATTTGTGTTGCAAAATGCGCAACATCTGTCCTAGCCTCGCAGGTGGGCGCATGACAAGTTTCGGACCTCCAAACCCAATGAGAGTCTGGCGAAATTTGTATTGCGAAAAGCCCAATTTATCTCCGTATAGTGCTTATGCTATTCATGCAAGACAAATTCCGGATTCTATTGCAACAGTTGAGATGGTAAGAACACCTGAGCGGGCCATATTTCGTGGCAGAAATCGGTGACGTTGTCCACCACCACGACTTCGCTTATGAAAGTGCACAACCCCCTCCCTCTCCATTGTATTGCATGAGCAGCAACACAAACCCCAGCACACGTGGAGCCTGAGCATGACAAGTTCGTGCGCCGACTGTAGTACCATAACTATTTGGGGGCTTCCATAATTTCTTTGTCGTGCAAACAGCGCTACAAGGCAGCAGCTGGATTTGGCATTTTGCATGACAAACTAGCGGGAGGCGGAGTTGTGCACTGTCATAGCACTCATCCAGCTTCCAGAACGGCTCCGTACACCGCTACAACCACGGCCACGACCTCCGAGTGTGGCAGTAAAGGACGTCCTATGAATTGCAAAACAAGTATCGCCCTCGTAGTAACCATAGCCATGCATTACAAACCTCCTTCTTGAGGTGGATTCGCATTACAAATTTCGTTTCTCATGCTGAAAAAATTTGTCATGCGATTAATACTAGTACGATACTTTTGCAATTCATACGTCCTCTGCGCCATCGATCTCCGCTTATGTTTGTGCACATCGTGCAAGGGGGACGCGAAGTATTCCAGGTGGTCGGCTGTCCCCTCCGAAGAAGTGCCGCCTTCCGTAGACCGGCCGGTGTAGATCTCGGCTTGGTGTTGTAGATGTAGTAGCACTGAAGAGGCTCTCGCCGAGGACGGAGGAGGAGGCGGAGCGAGGGCGAGTATCGAAGAAAAAAACTGTTTCACTGTAGACTTGTAATGCAGAAAATGCATCTAAGAAGTGTTTGTCTTGCTACACATGCAAGAGAGTCGATTTTTAGCTGTGTTTTCTCTTAGGAACCTCGCATGGCAAATTTTCCCTGTCATGTAGAGCAAACCTGTGATGCAAAACTTGCAAAATCCTTGCTTACAGTGAAACACTTTTTTTCTTGGATAACGAGTCCTCGTGGACTAGTGTCGAAGTCGTAGGTCGTTATGAGAGTGCACAACCGCCTCTCCCCCTCATTTGTCATGCAATTTCCCAAATCCAGGCTCTGCCTCTTGGCGCTGTTTGCATGACAACTTCTGCTAGCCCCCAAGTAGCACTGCACTCCATTGTAAATTTGAATTTGTCATGCAAGACCGGCATTCTTGCTGATGCTTGTACTACTGCCGTTCATGCTATACAAATGAAAAGGAGGGGCAGTTGTGCACTGTCATATAGAAGGTCGCAGCAGCATTATAATCTTCCGGAACAAGTGCTCGTCTAGCTGTGGTTGCAGTTTGGTTGATGTGCTGCTTGTGGTTGTAGAAGAAATCCTGGCCATTGCCTGCTGCCCCCACAAGCTGCTTATGGTCATTAACATTATCACGACACAGATGTTGGCCTCCGTCTTGGTAACTGTATCGTCCTCTCTTTATTTCTGGTTGATGGTCCTCTACCGATTCCGATTCGCTTACCTCGTCTGCTGCGTGTGTGGGTACCGCAGTGGCGGGATACTCGAAATTATCGAGGAAACCATCTTGGGTCGGTAGTAATGCGGTGGCTCTCGTCTCCCCACAAGGGCGACCTTGTCCAACATGCGTCACTTGTTCTTCGTGCCCTCCAGGCCGCACTGGCAGCGGCGGGTGTGAGGTGGCACGGCCGCAAGTATAAGTCCGTCTTGTTGTGGAAGTGGTGCGATTAAAACGAAACGCGTCCTCGTCACGACAGGGGGCGGCCGCGTTCGCGTTGTTTATGCTTCTACTACGCCGCTGCTCAGGACGAGCAGATGAAAAACGACCGTTGCCAACATTTTTATCGTTCGCAACTACATCTTCGACCTGTGACGTAGTTGGTGCAACTTGTTCGTCTTCAATCGGTAAAAGTATCGCTTTCCCTCCACGAAGAACTTGCTCATGATCTTCATCGCATATCCCAGCTCTCCCCCGCCGAGCTGAATTCAATTCCCGTTGTTCCTTGTCTTGCCCTTCCCGCCGGGACGAGGAAAACAACATCGCCCCACACGCGGTGCGAACTCGCAGACAGGCCGCGGTGGCGCGGGTAGAGAGATTCTGCCACCAGTCGAGCAACTGCCAAGTTAGGGAGGACGCGCGCTGCATGTCCAGGATTTGCTCCGTCAGCGCGTCTAGGTCGCGCACGAGAAGTGTAGTGGAGGCCATCATCGTCGTGTCTGTTCTTGATGTTGTTCTCCTCGATGATTCCGCGTGAAGAGCGGCGGAAGATGAACCTTGATGGTCCTGCTCCTCGCGAGAGGTTCTTGAAGTGCCGCTGGGTCCTCGTCGCGTGGTACTTCTAGACAGAGCTGCTTCATCCACAACTCCGGTCGTGCCTACCTTGTGGTCGCGGGATGGACCGGCGAGTTGTGGACGAGTCTGCCGTCGTGTAGTCGGGGCGGTGACGCTCTTCACCTCCACCACATACTCCTCAATGGCAACCAGGTCGGCCTTGCTTAGTTCCACTTCCTGGTAGAAAAATGCCCGGAACTCCTTGCGGTGCTTGAAATACAGCAGCCAGGCGAAGAACACGGGGAAGAAGAAGACCAGGAAGAGAGTATCATATGTAAAAACGTCCCCACCCCATAGTCAAGTTGCGAACCTAGCAAGACAAATCCACAAGTTTTGGGAGCCACGCATGAGAAGTTGCAGTGCGTAGTGTAGTGCATGTTAGCAAGGACAACCATAGATCACAAAGCCGTCTGCTTATCCTCTTTACAGCATTACAAATTCCAAAACGCGATTGGAAATGCCTCTCATGGAGATGCGCATTACAAATCGTCCTGTAATCGCAAATCTGCATGACAGCTATGGGGTGGGGACGTTTTTACTCAGGATAGAGAGCCTTCAGGTTGATCGTGAAGTCCAGCAAATCGTGGGGGTCCACCGGAACGTCTTTTGCAGCCGGGTCCACCGCGGCGGTTCCTCGCAGAAGGTGGCGCTGGATCCGCTCGTGTACAACGGGCACATCTACACCACCCGTAGAGGGCCATGACCCTGCAGCTGCGTGTCCATCTCCTGCTGCGGTATGGGAGTGTCAGGATCGAAATCGATAAAGTCGGAATAATCTGTATAATGCATAAAATGCTACGCAAAAACGGACTCTATTGCAGAGACTGCAAGGGAGGCCGATCATAGTCCTGGCACGGGTCAACAGTTGGGCTGCTGACTAGCATGACAGAAGGCAGCTCTTTTGCAATAAACCGCATCACGGATGCGCTTCCAAGGCGGGGAAAATTTGTCATGCGCCGACTACAAACTGTGGGTCTAACTGGCATCGAGTTTGTGCATCACAAATTTTTCGATTTTGTCATATTCAGATTCTGACACTTCGATATGCGGCGTCTGCATGATACTCCTCCCCACCCCCTCCAGGTAGAAGAAGGGAAACAGGAAGCAAAAGGAGCAGCCGGTCGCGAAGAAAATTACCGCTGCGTCCTCTCGACGGCGCGTCCACCTGCGCCTGTGGTGGTGGGAACGCACCAGCCCCTGTCGGATCGAAGAAGCCCCCGATGAAAGAAGTGGCTCGACCACTACTAGCAGACCCGGACTGGTGGGCGAAGAAGTGGCACTCGATAAACGACCGGAAGATGGAAGGTCCCGCTTTGGCGGTCGGGTATAGTTTCGGCAGGAACAGGAAGAGGAGGAACAGAGAACAGAGGAGCAGGTAACCCACCCACTGGTAGAACAACACGACCCCGGAGAGATCAAGTTTTTTCCCGGTCTGAAAAATCACCTGCACCTGCGCACTGTTGATTTCCTCTGCCGAGACTGCCGCCGACGCACGCTTATCAACTGCAAAGGTATCGCACTCGTAGTAATCGCAGTCATGCATTACAAATTTTTTTCTTAACGTAAATCCGCATTACAAATTTCATTTCTCATGCTGAGAAAATTATTTGTCATGCATTTATACGAGTACGATACTTTTGCAGTTCATAACGATTAGTTTTCAACAACGAAGCGCCAGCTCCTGTTCCTACTGCCTGTTGTGGTTGACAGTTGATTCTTTCGTCTTCTGTATCAAATGCAAATATGTCTGGGTCTGAAAACTTGTAGTGCTGAATTGTGAGAAGTAGTGAACTCTCTGTAATGCACGGCCAAGCATGAGAAATATTTGCGCGGCCTAGTGCTGCGCTTTCAGCATGACGAACTGCGTTTTGCATGACAAGCACAAGGGTCTCTTCTTGGGCACGCATCACAAACACTTCAGTCATGCCAGACAAGCATGACAAACCTTGCGTCTTTCCAGACCCAGACATATTTGCATTTGATATTCTCGTCGTCCTGATAATTCTTCACGTCCACGACCCACGCCAACGGCAGAAACCGAGAGAGATGTTCTTTGTTCTGGCGGTTCAGGACCACCGTCGAGGCTTTTCCTTTTTCCACTCGAATCATTTTCCCCACCAGCGATCTTGTCCTGCTTGACTTGGTCATTCGTCCTTCCCGCGAATAAAAGAAGGTTCTTCTGGTGGTGTTCCCGCTTGCTTTGCAGCGAGGCGTGGTTCTTTCGGCTTCTGCGCAGATGCCACAGAAAGGTCTCGGCCGCGATAGTGGCCGCGGTCACGTAGAAAAAAATGAACCCGCTAGCCGTGGGGCACAGGCGACACGGAATGGGGGTCTGTTCTTCGGCAGCGAAAAAATTCTCCATGATGTCGGAGCCGAAGCTGCGCTACTTACACTGGAAGAATTGGTGATGAACCATGCCGAATGGCACGGCTTGTTTTTCTATAGTGAGAGTAAGCTGATAGATTGTGGGGATGCGGTCCATCTCGACTTTTATCTCCACCCCCAGCGTCGTCTAGCCTTGTAGACCCATGCTTGTCTATACTTTTTCTTTATATATTTCTTTTAGATGAAGGATTAGGATAGGTGTTCCTTGATATTGCCTCAGAGACAAAAGGAAAAGCCACTTGTTCGCCACTTACTAAACTATGCTGAAGCTGACTATACTATGTAAATGGTTCCAACAGTGCTACTTGCTCTAGAAGCTTTGTCCCGTGGAAACCACCAGCAGCTTCGATCAAGATGTAGTTGCAGACTCGCATCTTCAAATCACCATCTTCATCGTCATCATTTAAGTATCCTGCACTAGGGGGCGGGGGGACGTGCGAAGATGAATCAAAAACATTCCTTCGCCAGCTGTCAAGGCAGCTTTGTGTGATAGATTTGGTGTATGTCGTGGCTTCGTAAAATGCCACACGCTTCGCATTTGCTTTCGCGCTGAGTAACGCGCACGAAAAGTAGAGCAAGCTAGGAGATCCGCTGATAGGAACCAAGAAAAACCGAAATCGCCAGGGTGGCCGCTTTGCAATTTCAAGATCGAGAAAGGAACAGAAGACAAAAGGGTCGCAAAAGCTTCAAAAACGACTTCAAGAAAAGGCATATTGCTCTCTGTCTTCGATCTGAGGGACCTCTTCGAGAAAAACTTCTTTTGCTCATGACCACACGCACGACAGCTATCAACTGCAATGCGCATCCACGCGCGCAAATGTTGCGTTGGGTAGACAAAGAACACAAAGTCAAAGTGCTGCTGAGCCTCACGCGACGAGAGACCCTGCCTCAAGGGAGGCTGTTGGCTGATCGATGTTCAGTGATTTCACCCTCGCGCTCTTGCAATTTTGCGACGATCCCTTGCCAATTTTCCTGCTGCGCGTCATGATCATATGCGGTGGCAATGCGCTTTCTTTGCAGTGCGCCCGCTTAGCTTTTTTTGTACCAGTTGGAAGAACTGTTCTTCCCACCTATCAGGGTGCCAGCGCTGTCACGCCTATCAGGGTGACGAAAGGTCGCCATGCCCAACAGAGTAAAGAATCTTCTACCTCCGGGCCGCGCCGACGTATAGTGAAAAGCCATCCTGCATGTACTGTGCCCAGGATTTCCCTTGAAAGATCAAGGCTGTCCATAAAAGTTCTAGTAGGCCTCTTAAACGTAAACCGTACTACGTTGAAATAAAGGACACAGACAAAAATTTAAAATTTTGCTATTACGAGTTGACCAGTCGTGTAGCGGAGATTTAGGTTTTAGCATTTAGGAAGCGGATAGCCACCGGAGATTTTGGCGCGGGTGGGAGCAGCAAGTTCTGGACGCGGCAAACCGGGATTACTTCGACCCGAACCTCGACGCTCAACGGAGCCTGGAGCCTCGGGCTACCAACGTCCTGGACTGGATGCAGCGCCGCCGCTTCTTGCTTATTCTTTTTGTTTTTAGCATGCTGAACTAGCTAAACCTGCAGGCGCATTAGCTAGCTAAATTACGTACTACTAGCTACTAACTGACCCGAAATGTAAGTAATTTTAGCACGGAACTAAGGGAGTGCGATAGATTCTTTCTCACGTGTCCGGGCACCGTCGACCAGTGGTTTCCGCGGCGCAATATGGAGGGTATACGGAGGAGTTCTGGCCTTGTTGCACCATCTAGGAACGCCAGGGCCGGTGACTAAACATTGCGGAAGAGTCGCATCATTAGGCCGCGCATGACAGATTTGGTGACAAATATAGGCATTGCGTAGGATGCAAATCTGCCCGAATAAGGCGAATTCTGAGACGTCGGCGCAGAGAGTGATAGTGCAGCCCTTGTGCGTACAATATGACCAGCCTAGGATCAATCTCGGTCGAAATCAGGTCGGTCGCAGGTACCTGAGGAAGTTGCATTGCGAAAATAAACACACTTCGAGCATTACCAGTGTCAGGACCCTAAAGATTCCGCTATTACGTCGTAAATAAGCACATTCTGCATATCCGTTTGCAGCAGCACATCAAAACTGATAGTGGCCCCACCACTACACTTGACTACTTTACCGCTAGCAGTGTAAAGTCCGAAAGGCAATAAGTTTGGGCAGAAATGGCGCAACATACAGCAAGTGGCGCACGGCCAGGAGCAAATAGATACCGAAGACGAAGGAATTGCAAGACTTGCAGAAGCACTAGGCGAGCAATTTCGGGTGCGGAGGTTGTCGGAGGTGTCCCACGACATGTCTGTTGTGCCGTGGAATCACCCCGAGGGCGACGAGACCCAGGATGGCGACAACGTGTATCCTATCCAAGTGAAAACATCGAAATCTACGGACTTTGGCGCGTGGATGCGAAAAGTAAAGTTCGAAACTCAAAAGCATGCCTCTTCGTGGCACGGTGGCGCGGTTATCGGCGTGCATAAAGATCGAGACGACTACCTTCTGGTCGAAGTGCATCAGCACGAAAACTGGGAGCCGATCAGCCTCGGCGACGATCAGTGGTGGTATTCGCCTACCGCTCTCCGCACCAAGATCCAGCAGCTCTGGGTAGCGGGAGGCCTGCAACTGGAACCTTTTGCCGACCGTCTGGCCAGCCATAAAAGCCAACTGGTGGAGCTGCGTATGCGGCAAAAATTCCGCAAAAACCTGAAGCGCGCCAGGTGGGAGCTGGACTTGCCGGAGCACGAGTTTACTAGTATTGACGCGCGGATGACAAACGAGGACACCGGTACTGTTTTTGCTGTTCAGGAGAAGACGACGAAGCAGCGCCGGGTGCGCGGAAAGTGCCATGGTTATTTTGTCGACCTCCGGCGGTATTTTCTAACTAGTTTTTTGAAGTTGTCATGCTAAGTTCTACCCTAAAAGCAAGTCGAAAATGATATTTGCAGCACACCATTAGAACCCGATTTAGCTGTGTGGACTAGCAAACGCCTGAATCTATTGCCCTGGCAGCGCAATAGTAGTCGCAATCTTTTTTCTTATTTGGGCGCGATAGTTTCTGCGAATCTGCACTGGCCTAGAGCGCTACAGTGCAAATATAAAACCAACCTAATCAAAATGCCTACAGGTCAAATGGCGACGGCTACACTGACATTGATGTAGTGGCGATGCACCTAAGAATGGAAGACGACCAGCGAAAAAGCCTGGCCGGGACCTTCGTCGTCCCTATCACGGAACTTCGCAAGCGGGGCCATGCGCCAATACCAGGCAAAAGGTACTGGCATTCTCCATAGCGCGTCTACCTTTGTACTAGAGTACGGAAATTTTGTGCATGCATACGTCGGCTCTAATTTCATAAACAAAAACACGCACTTGCGATACCACACAGCATAGACGGTTCTAACAGTAGGAGCAAACTACTTTGTAAACAAAGTATAGCCTGGCGGTGCTACAGAATAAGTCACAGCGCCAGCATGTTCGGGACCTGGATCGAAATATTTTCGAGCGAAATTTGCCAAATATCGAGCAGCAAGCACCCTCGCACATTGATTCTCCAAAATATAAAACTTTGAAAACCAACAGGAATAGATGGAGACCGACAGTCAGTATTCCGAGCGCTGACTTAACGGATCCGCGGTGGCAGCGCAGCAGTTCTTGGCTACTGCCGTACTACTTTGACGGAACGCAACCCACCCTGACGGGAATCAACTAAATGGAGACGCTTTTCACAGGTGAGGAATGCATCCCTTTCCACGCCTTTGATAATCGAGCTGGGATTTTATTTTCCTCCGCACGGCTCAAATGTAATAGCTCCACGCACGCGTCAGCTCTAGTGTCAAGCTGAACTATTTGACTTCAACGCTTATTTCGGGAGAACTTGCTGTAGCGATACGACGATGATTTCTAACACGGAACGAGTCTCCGACTGGTTGAACGGGGATACAGTTTTCTGGGTTGTTACAAAAAAAAATCAAGACCATATACAAAAGTAGATCGCTCGAAGATTTACGTTTGTTAATTTTCATATCTGTTCTGCGAACGTACGCACATCACTTGTTTCAGAGGCGAAGCTCAAATATATTGCATACGAAGTAACAACAAAAAGTGGGAATCTGTAACGCGCGACAACATGTAAAAGCATTCAGCAAATGGAAGCTCTAAGCTTGAAAATGTGCATGGCAATCATCTTACACCGGAGTCATCTCGACGTCATCACTTTTGGAGTGCAGGGACACCTTGTTCACGACTATTGTGTTGTCTTGTTTGTTGCAATGATGCGCCAACTTTGCCAGCGGAACAAACTTCTTGTTGATTAATTTCAGCTGGTCCTGTTTTCCGTAGATCGTCGCGGAGGGGTTGGTGATGTCGTTCGGAATGACGTCGCAGATTGGGCTGTACTTCATGTGCAGCTGCTTGCTCTTGTTGTCCGTTTTGTTTTGTCGCTGCAAAACGCTACCGATCAGTTTGGAGCAAGCACTGCAGCAGAGGTCCCATTTCTCTTCGTGCAGGACCCGACCCAAATCCGTCCTGCTAGCCGCGCCGGGGATTTGTGATGACGAGGCACCACCCTCACCCATCCGCGTCCTCACACTGTATGCCAGTTTTCCAATGCTTGTCGGCTTGTTTTTCGTCCAATCGGTCGAGTCGATCACGGCGTCGTCCCACTCGTGCGGCTGCTCCTCGGCGTATTCCACCTTCAACAAGTGGCAAAGAATAGCGCGCTTCAGGGTGTCGTTGCCGGGCAAAACCGACTCGCTCAGCATCCGCCACCGGTCTCCGCCAAGAACAAATAGTCCGGCATTAGTCTGTTCCCGAGTAAGACCCGAAACCCAATCAGCAGCATCTTCGGCGACGTCGGCAAAGGTAGGAGAAACATCGAGCACAAAGCCGCGCTCGGAGGTGCACCAGGACTTTTGTTTGTGTGCTTCAAACTGGAGCGCCAACTGCGCAAAAAAACCGCACTTCATCTCCGGGATTGTGTCGCCGTCCATGCACCACTCCTGGCGATCCTCGTCAAACACCATCTCCCAGCCGACGCACAGACCCTCATACACGTCCGCCAGCAGGCACATGAAGTCGCGGGCGTAGTCGAAGGCGAAAAAAGGGGCCGACTTCATCAGCTCCTTCACCTTGTATTTTTGCATCGCGCAACGACTAAGCGCCGACCAGAACAGGAAGCACTTCTCACTGCAGAGGAGGGAGACGTAGATAAAGCACTCGAGGGCCGAGAAGTGGTAGTTTGAGGCGGTGCAGTAAATCTTTTTGCTGTCTTTTGCTGTGTTTTTGCAGTCCTCCAAGACTTGTCTCACCTCCTGGTCCATGCTCTCCTCCGCTTCGTCCAAAATGTCCTCTGTCGCCCACTTGAGGGGGCCGACACTTTCGGCACGCTTGCAACTCGGCAGTCCCTCCGCAGCAGCTTGTTTCTCTGCTTCGTCGAGCGACCTCGCGGCCTCCGCTATTGCGATTGCTTTTTTGGGTTGTGCTAGTAGCTGCTGGGTGGAAGAGAAGAAGGAAGTCAGGTCGCCGTCAACGTCACTGGTGTTTTGTATTTGGGTTCCCCATTTAATTCTCGCGTAGCACATCTTCATCTGCGTGGTGAGGGTTTTTAGTTCCTTGCGTTTTTCCATCATCCACGTGATGACCCTCCAATGGGCTTCATTTTCGTAATCACTACCCACGGTGATGAAGATGCGCGCTAAATACTTTTTTAGAGCCTCTTCGTGACCGTTGGCGAGCAGCTGCCCGAGCCCGATCTCGAGCACGCTTGGCTGCGTCTTCCTGGCGCGAGAAACTGAAAGCCGGCGGATGATGTAGGGGGGGAATTCTATGCACTTCCGCCCCATCAGGCTGAAGAACATATTCGCCGTGGGATCGTACAATTGGAAAAGAGCATGTCGCGCCAGCAGTTGCAGGTAGGCCAGCGTGTGCGTGACTGTTTGATTTGTTCTGCAGCTGCGCGCTGCTGCTCTTGCACATTTTCCGCAGATGTCATGCTCCTTGGACCGGATGGAGAACTGGAATTCATACTGCGAAGAAGCTACTTGTGGAAGGTCAGTCAAATCGTTTTGGTGTTTGGTAAGATCTTCCCCTGCTTTCACTTGGGAGGCTTTGAGGATCAACTTGGCGCACGTCGTCAGCGGCGCCGCCATCCGCAAGTGATGCTCCGGAATGTCAGACTGTTCGTCGATCTGCGCCAGCAGTCCGTCTATTCCCGCGAACAGCTGCTCGCGGTCTTGTGTATCATTATCAGGAGCAGGCACTTTTTCTAGTCTTGCCATCTCGTCTTCATCTTCGGATTCGTTTTCGCTATCCGGCTCCAAATCCTTGTTGCGCTGGTCGATGTTGACCCGGGCAATTCTAGCCTCTTGCTTTGGCTTTATTTTTTTCCCCTCCTCCGGCTTCAGCAAGTTCTCCACCTGTTTGTCCCGCTTTTTTTGATCTTCTTCTGCCGAAACCGGCACGGCGAAGGCGAGCAGGTTCCGGGCGATGGTCAAAACGCAGCGGAAGCGATGTCTGAACTCCACAAAGTATTTGCTCCCATGGGAGACGCGGCTAAGCCGGCTGGTCTTCAGCGCTTTGACCGTTATCCCTGATTTGATTTCTGTATCAATTCATGATGAAAAATGCTCAAAATATGCATTGCAAATGCTTGAGAGAGCCGCTACATGGATGTGCGCCAACAACATTCAACACAAGTTGCGCGCCGCACTATTTCACTTCAGGTTTTCCAAAATAAAACACTTCAATTTTATTCACCATGGTGTGGTCAACATTTTTTGAAATAGCCTTCAGTTTTCTTTAGGACGACAGGGGTTATTCCAAAAGAAGTTGACCACACCGTGGGGATAGAAATTGAATTTTTGCTCTTTTATAATTGCACCATGAGTGCTTGAAAAGATGCACGCTTTTCTGTCGAGGCTCGCGTCGAGTACTCTGTCGGATGGGCTCGCTTGAGTACTCGTTCTTCCTGTGTCCCTTACCGATCACCACCTGAGTCGGTCGATTGCGTTAAGGGACACAGGACGAACGTCCACTACGGCGAACAGGTACATGACACAAGATTTTGGAGTTTCCCACTTGAGCCAGTTGATCCTAAAAATCGTAAGTCAGAAGTTTATTGAAGTCTTATTATCAAAGTTAAAAAATGAAAAGTACTTTTCTTCAGCCCGTCGCGCACACTCAGGCCTTGTTGTCCACACTCCCGCATTACTTCCAAGTGGTGCGGCAAGTTACTGATGTTATCCTCGGCTATTTTTTCTGCTTCTTCCCGGGCCTCTTCGAACAGGCCGACGCTCTGCCCTGTTCCCATGGGTCCCCTGGCGAACCGCAACAGCCACGCGAGCAGCCTGTCCAGTATTGTTGCTTTGTTCTCGTTGTTTGTACAACGATGACAATGCGGCAGCTCGGAGTAGCAGATGAGATGATGCTCCATAGCCCGGCAAGCCCTCTGCTCGCTAAAGTGCTGGTCTGCTCTCAGTATTAGTATTGGAGAAGACCCGTCGGCTCGTAGTATCTGCTCCGAATTTTCCACCACAAGCCAGTTTTTGAAAGCAGGTCCCAGGATGCCGGTTAACGACTGGAACAAGAAGTCGATGCTGCGTTTAGCTTTCTCATGCTTTCCTTTTGCATGCCTCGGCGTCTTGAAGACCGGCCACATGACGATCTTTTGTAGGTAACTGACTCCATTCCAAAACATGCAGGAAGCCTGAAGTTGTGTTGATTGTGCATAAACATGTTATTGCAAAGACTGCAAACACAGGACAACTCGAAAAACATTAGTACGCGGGGAATTTGCCACGCAAAGAAAAGAGAAATCAATCGGGTAGAGCTTCGCACTTTCAATTGATACGCTCACGGCCCGGACCGCGTGCCTGGCTTTTGTCGAATCATCAAAGCCGACCGCAATTGTGAGTGCATGGCACGTGGGTGGTACTAGGTCGTACGAAGAAGCACCGTATCCACAGTATTGCCATCGTTATGTAGCTCCAGACGGCGACCTGTTTATGCATATTGGTCACTTCATTTGAAACCATTGAAATTGCACACAAGCATGACAAATTAGGAAAAGTCAAGGACTGCATGACAGAAGTGCTATCAGTGCCCGCTGCTGATAGATAGACGAATCCGCGTGGTCCCCCACCGACTTCCGGATTGCTTTGGTAGCTTTTTGCACGTTTTGCATCACCATTTCGGTGGTCAGTCCGCTTATGTGCTTGATTTCGGTTTCGAAGGCCTCTTTGAACTTGCTTTGCAGCCCTGCGCGCAAAGTGTAGGCCTGGTTATTAGTTTGCAAGCGTTGCTGCATTTCTGCGACATTATTCTCACACGCAAAGCTCATGAAGTGGAGTGCTCATCAGAAGACGCGCCAGAAGGCTACTGGAATGCGCGGCCATTATGTATACGATGCCAAGATGCATGACAAACTTGGTTACGAGAAAAGCTATTTAGCCTGATGCCACAAGCTCTGGCTGCTTGCTGGACCCGGTCTGCACGTCCAAAAGCATGCTCTGAAACGCTTCGGGGGATGTAGCTTCTTTTCCATCTGCGACGATTGCCGCGCGGACACTATTGCAAAATCCGTGCGCATTATTTCCGGAATATTTCCACTGGATTATGGCTGTTTAAATCACGACAAAGGTGCTGATAGTAATCAAAGTACTGCATTTGTAGTTTTGCATTGCACAAATTAGCATGACAATAATTCGAAAAGTTATCCTACTGCCTTTGTCTAGCAATTTTCAGCCATAATCTGCTTCGAGCTGACGAGGAGTTTGCAGCTGTACACCCCATTTTGGAAGAGAAATCGCTGCCGCACCATTACCGAAAGATGGGCGAGACCTGCCGCGATATCCTTTTGGTGCCGGAGAAGGTTCTACTGCTGCGAGGAGAAGAAGCTGCGACGCGGCATCATGCGTTGATCTAAATGCACTGGCGCAACGTGTTCTTCATCATACCATCTACCTCAACTACATCGTGCTCACTGGTCACGAAAACGAACGACGTAGTTTTACCGTTCTCCTTTTGGCGGCTCCGAGAGCGATAACCTTTGCCATGGCTCTCTTCAGACCAACAGCTCTCCCTCGCGATCACTCAAAGACATCAGCAACACGGATGCCGGAAGACGATTTTGCTACACTTGGTCACGACAGCAGCATACTTCGAAGCGATACAATGAACACATGGCTAGGACTGCAGCGGCCATCTACATCTTGGACGCATTTCGAGCTTTCTGGTATATGTTTTCTAAATCCCTTGACTCCCAGTGAAATTTGTACAAAGTCTTGCCAATTCGAAACAAGTCTCGGTATCAAATTATCTCTCACTCCAATTTCTTCCATCTCTTGTTCAAAATTTAAGATGTTCGAGAGCTTCAATGTCGACCATGTCGACTTCATCGGGTTGTATAGTGTCGCAAAGTTCTCCTATCTAAAGGAGAACGAGAGTGCAGCTGGCAGATATCAGTTTCGAAATGCTATTGGAAATAGTAATACGAAACAAAAAAATATAATTCCATCGTAGAAATCCTTGCTGTAATTTAAAACTTTTACGTCATAAATTATTGTCGTGTAGAAAACATAAGAGTAGAACTATTTTCAAAAATTGTTATACTCCAGGTAAAGCGACATCAAGATTTACTTTCGCGCTCAATCTGAATCACGACACGTCAACCAGATTGAATTACATCATCCTCGGCTCGTTCACGGCAGCGCCAGCCTTCCCCTGCGCCTGAGATTAGTTTGAAGGTGGTGATCAAGGAGAACACGTCGATACGCACACTACCACCCGACTATCTTAAGAAAATACAACCCTCCGCAGCAGCTCATCCGAAAAAAGGCCTTGCGCATACTTTTGGACCATTACAACGCTGCTGAAGTCTCAAAGTTGGCCAGGCAGTACGACATGCAAAACAAATCTCATGCAAGATAGCGGCTGTATTGATTCGAAAGGTGGTAGACAAAAAAGGGCTCGACACAAACGAGCTGCACCTTGCCGGCAAACAAGTTGGCGCTCGCACCACGGACACTTTCGGCAGCCTCGGCAGCCGGCGGCGGGCGGCGGCCGCTGCGGGACTGTGAAGTATAAATTTGGAAAAGTTTTATCATCAATCACTTCGAGTGTTCACCATGCACAAGACCGACTCGGCGAACAGCACAACACGTGGTGTCGACTTCTACTCATGCAGCATCAGATAAAACATCATGCAGAAAGGTAGAAAATATACCCGGTCGTTGTTGTTCACACCCGGGGCCGGGGCCTTCGGCGGGGTCGCGGCGGCCTTCGGGATGACATCCGGCATCGCCACGTCCGCCGGGGCAGCAGCAGCAGCAGCTTTCGGCATGTTCAAGCTCAAGTTCAACATTTGCTGCGTCATCTGCTGCATCTGGTTCATCTGGTTCTGCATGACGTCGCTGTTCTGGTTCGCGGCGTTCGCAGCGGCAGCCTGTATTTTCAGTGGAGTGCTGGCATGTTTGTAATGCTGCAGTTCGAAATTATGCATAGTTGTGTGCAACGTTGAGAAAATTTCTTTCGAAGATTAGTGCGTGACAGTGTGTAAGTCGCGAGACAATCCAATATCAAGCACGCATATAAAAACTGACGTGTGAATCACAATGTCGCTGCTGACGCATGCAAGTTGGAGTCGCTGCATTACAATGCTCAACACGTCACTACCTGGGCGGCGTTCGCCTTCGCCTGCGCCGCGGCCTGTTCGTTCTCGACCTCGATCCGGGCGTTGGTCAAGAAGGTGCAGATGTTCTGGGCGTTGGGCAGGGTGATGTTGTTGCGCTGCATCTGCCCCAACATCTGATTCGCCGCACGCGTTTCCGTTGGCTGCCTGCGTTGGAGGTCATCGGGCACCTCATAAGTTAAAGTACACAAATTAATATATGCACTGGCATCTTCTGTTCGATTTTTTTCAAAACTGTAACGCAGCCGCGCATTATTTGTAACCACTAAACCGGTGTAATGCAAACGCATATGTAAAATAAGCACTTTTTGAAGTATGCTGCTATGAGGAAGTTCTGTAATCTTTGCACCACAGCATCAAAATATAATATACACGGCCGGTCAGACGCAACTCCTCCAGAAAACGCTCCCGGGTATCCTCGGTCAAATTGTCCTGGATCGCGGTACGCTGGTCGTCCAAAATGGCCGCATCACCGTTCTCCAGTTCGCAGGCCTTGATGGTGATCCGGATCAGCACTTGAATCAAAAGACGGCGCCAGTCTGAAGATTTTTTGCGGAAAATTATCAAAGCATGCGAAGGCAACCACATACTCACTGCATCACCTTACAGCAATCATATTGAAAAAAAGTACCGGCGGGATTGAGGCGGCCTTCATTAAGCACAACGCGATTACCACGGTTCGCCTCACGGAAGTTGTTGTAGGTTTGGCAAATATGCATTGCAAAAATAATAGAATAGCACAAATTGCGCGACGTCTTTTTGCATTCCCACAGCAAGCTATCGCAGTACAAGTATGCAAAGAATAAGCTTGCTCTTCTGCATGACTGCAATTTTGTGCATCAAAATATTTTTGCATTGGGTAAATAAAGGTATCTGCGAGGGCTGGTGGTACTTGGGCTGGATGCCCTATTAGATAAGTAATCGCCTCTCTTATCTGGGCCTGAGTGTAAACAATCGCCATGGTGGAGGTTTTGGGTAAAAGTAGTGGCGGCAGAGGGTGCAGTTGTTTCAAGTATAAGTCTTATCTCTCGCTCGAAAACCCTACGGGAATATTTGAAGTCAGAATATTTTGAAAGGTCCTGTGAAACAAGTATGAGTCAGAAGTTATTTGCCTAAAAAAAAGCCAGACGCTGCCCAACATCACAAAAAAATTTCAACAAACAAAACAGAAGGCAGTTTGACAGAACGCACGCTCTTTCATCTCGAGATTGTCTTTCATGGTCTGAGATCCAAATTATTTCTTTCGTCACAGCGCTGTAGAGTTTTCATTACAAGTTTGCTCCAACAACAACACCAAACTGCGCTGCGAATATCAACCACACACGAGTACTACAATCTTGCTTGACTGGAACACACTTCAAACCATGACGCAGGGTCTAGGATTTAGAACCTCGGACTCCAGTACTTGAAGTATCGCTTTCTCGCATACGTCGTCTTGTATTTTTCAAAGATAGGTGTTTAGAGTCATAATTTTGCGTTCTTTTGCATGAATCAGAATGGCTAGAGGAGGGCTGCCAGTAGGTGGGTGTCATAGTCGTTCCTAGATGGTGCAACATGAGCACTCCGGTGCCCAGTACCGCTCGCAATTGCTTCCGGATCTGGTGCCAGAAAAGAGCTGGACCCTTCGCTTCGGACTATCTGAACTGGCTCCCTTAGCTGCAGGCTAAATTACTTACATTTCGGGTTCTAGAATACTTTAGCATCTACCTTTCTAGTTTTACCACGTATTGTTTAAAAATTAAAATGCATATGCATGAAAAGCGCCTGCAAAAAAAACATTTTTAATCTAGCTATTTCAAATGCATATTCAGAAAAATTCAGAAAAACAACCAGCCGCTGGTGGTGCTGTGCGTCCCCGCTTACCTGTACCTGCCTCCACTCCACTTACCTGTACCCGTTACCTGTACCTGCGCACTCAGTCCCGTGGACAAACCGACGGCGCAGCTGCAGCATAAAATAATTCTGAATTCGTTCTAGCAAAATTTTAAAATTTTGTCTGTGTCCTTTATTTCAACGTAGTAAACCGATGCTAAATGCCATTAACAAAACCGATGCTAAATGCCATTAACAAAAACAAGGAGGGGGGTATAGCTTTTTTGCCACTCGCTCAACAATTCAACCTTTATCGGCCAATGTTATTTGGCCGCACTGTAAGTGAAGACGGCCCTAAGAAAGCGAAAAACAAAATGAAAAATGGCGCTTGCTTAAAGCTATGATCCCTATGCACAAGGCGGATAAGAGGGCTGGCCTCTTCATCCTTGTGCCCATAGTTTCAACGTGTTGCGCCAATATACTTCTACCTTTGATGGAGAGACCTATTGTTCGGCCTAACAACAGTCTTATAAAAATGCCACAATTTTTTGTTGGCAAGGGGCTGAGCTTCCCTGTTCTCATATGTCCCAGAGTCACGGATGCCGACCCCTTCCTTATAATGAAATTCAAAGGCCTTCCCGAGGGGTTCTTTAAAGAGGTTTAGCACGGCACCAGTGAAGTCCTGGCAATTCTTTGCGTTCTCTCCGGAAAGTCCTGGCAATCCCAACGGACCATAAACGTCTTCGGCGGTTTCTTGTCCAGGTGCTCGGGGTAAATTCCTATCTATTCCAACTGCCGTCGAGTGCTCGGGGTAGATTTCTTGGAAGGCGTTTTTTGGTTGGCGGTATGCTGGAGGGAGAAGATTGGCCCCGACAGGCGGGATGCCTAGGATTTCGTTCTCAAAGGCCAGCCTGTCTAAACCGGCAGCAAAGGCGACAGAACCCTCGCTAAATGGCTCCCTTGGTCCCTCCCCCCAGTTGGTCTCGACGCAATAGGTTGACTGCGGTCCTTGTTCAATTCTATCGCGTACGCGCAAGGGTATAGGAGGAGACGGAGGCTCTTGCTCGAACTCGATAAGGTACCCACCTCCCGCCCATTCATAGTGCGCAACTTGCTGCCGCCTCCATTTGTAGCTGGGAGAGCTTTTGCTCTCGCCGAAGACTTTGCGCAAGAGGTGAGAACCAAACGGTTTGGCCGGACGTGCCGCGTCGTTCACCCACCACTGCGCCCGGACGAAGTGATGCGCCACCCTTCTTCCCGCCTGTTTCGGAAGCAATGTGGCGCCCGGTTGAATTGGGCACCACATGGCTTCCAATATTGTTACTGAGGCCGGCTCAAAAAGCGGATTCGCAAGACATTGGACGTGGTTTGCATAGACTGACCTACCCAGGTTCTCTAGGCCGCGATCCTTGTCATACACATACATCGGGCGTATCTTCCTCTCGATAAGTGCGGCTGCTGCCACACTCTTTTTTTTGGTTATGCAGAGGTCGGCTGGGTGCTGTTCGGAATTAGTCGGGGGGGGATTTGTCCTGCATAGCTCGAAAGGATGGCGGCTGCCAACCACATCGAGTGAGAACGTAGCCAAGCCAGTGGCCCCTTCTACGGCGAGGGGCCACGCCGGGCGAGTTGTCCGCCCGTCCTCTCACTCTCCTTCCACCTCCTGGCCCCGTTGAGCTTCAACGGGGCCCCACCCCCACCGGGCAAAGAAGCGGCGCCATGGCTGTCTGACTGCGCAAACAAGTACAGGCGGAAGCGCGCGCAACACGTTTTCGAAAAAGTAACACAGGCAACCCAACAAAGAGGGGCCGTCCGCGCGCGCGTAGTTTCATAGACTGTCGAGGCGACTCAGCCCCGTGAGCCCAGGCGCCCCACGGCCTTTCGTTGCAGCTGACGGAACATCGCAGGCAGCTAGCAACATTTGGGGAGCCCAATACTTCGAGCCCCAGGCCGCGCCCTTGCCTTTCATTTTTGTTGATCAGGCTCGCGGCCGCCACTCCCGGTGTACGCGAAAGCTTTCGCCCTGGGGGCGAAAGCTTCAACCCCCGCCCCGCCCTGAACTGTTGTTGCCAAGTCGGTCGGGATGGGCCTTCCCACCCTGGAGCGGCGCAGGGCACCTAGCATGTGCTTGCCAGCTTGTTAGCCATGTAGCTTTTTTTCTTTTTCGTGAGTCCTCCGCGGCGCCGGGCCGTTTCATACATTCCTGTTGCTGAAACGGCGCGCGCATGCTATCTCGGCGGAACTCCCAACCGCCTGCCGCAGGCCAACCTCTTTATCTTTTCGAAATGGCAACACGCTGCGCCCTTTTTATGCCCCCAAAAAAACAATGCGCTGGCCACGGAGGAGCAATTTGCGGCGGGGCTGTGGGCGCTCGCGAATTTTCAGGCAGGCCTCGTTTCGCGACACGGGCCGCCCGCCACACGCATTGGCCAGGTGTGTGTCAAACCTCAAAAACACAGCAAGGCACCAGAACTACACTAGGCTACATGCTGAAGACTGGCCGCAACCTCCGGTGCCTGCACTGCTTCCGTAAGCAAAGTCATTGGGTTTGGGAATGGCATTCATGGTCGTCCACTGCAGATCACACTTTGCGCCCCTTGCTGCTCGGCCCGAATGCCTCTGGGCCTGCCTTCTGGCAACTTCTGCAGTGGGTGCAGGCAACCACACAAAAAATGGCTGGGGGGCTGAAACGAAACTACCCCAAATCCCTGCCGGGTGGGTTGTTTTGATATATAATATAGGTTGTTATACAGGAATCTCAACGGTTTCATCTCAATACTATGCACGGCCTTATGTTAAAACACGAGCGAAAACTTGCGAAATCACTCTTGTAAAAACGCGAATCCGTCTCAACGAGTGCATCTCAACGGCCTGATAGGCCTCAACGACTTTCCGATGACCTCAACGACTGGTCTCAACGAAAAACACGGCCAAGAACTCACCGGCGCAAAAGGCGGCCGCCCCATGGAAAAAGCAGAGCAGCAGACCGGACAGGAAAGGAGGGCCACGCAATGAATTAGAAAAGCACAAGGCGCAGCGGGAGCACGCGCGCCGGGATGGCACAACACAAGGACGAAAGAAGAGAATCGCCGGGCAGGGCACCCGACGACCCTAAACCCCAAACCCGCCAAACCCGAAACCCTAAACCAGTGGAGCAGGCGGCATCGATTTCGTGTGCCGGCCGTTGCGATATATTTCTCAACGTTGAGCTGTGAGGTCTCAACGTTGAGATCTAAGAGTGCAGTTGAGATTCCTGTAGTACAACCTGTAATATTCGCACAGACACAGTCACAGGGCGGAAGGCCACACAAGTTTTATGCCGGAGTCCGGATTTATTTGTCCTCATTTACTTATTTGCTCAGGCGCGTCCTGCAGAGACCGTTGCTTTCTATGGCCGTCCTGCTGCATTCGCGCTGCAAAATAAAATTCTCGAGCGGGGTAACAAATTAAGATTACTTTCCACCCGCCCAGCCGGCGGGTGGGTGCCGCTTATTAAGCAGCACCGACCACAAGAACACAAATCTCATCCCACCCCAACTCGACGGACCCCACCCGCCTGCAGCTCCCATAGCGTCTTCCTTTGGTTGTGCGCCCGGGGTACTGGCGCCTAAAATGGTTGAGCCGATACTCCCTCCTCCACTCTTGTTCTTCTGTCGCTTCGGCGTTTCTTGTTGTTTCTCTTCGACATGGCCTTGGGATTCCTTTTCCACAAAAACGGACTTTTCCTCTCCACTCATCAACGCCGGCACTCCGCCCTCCCGGTCGAGGCCGTTTTGTTCACTTGTCGTGGGCGGCAACACGGGCGCATGGCCGGCCTCTTGTGTGCCGGCAGGCGGGCTTCGGCCCGCCGAGGCTTCGCGCGATAAGCCCAATACCGGGCGGCCCGCCTCGGCGGCGACGCTCTCAACTTGGCTTCCTGGCGCAACGTCCCCGCCTTTTCTCGCCTGGCCGACATTTTGCTCCGCGACACCGCCAACCGTTCTCCCGGCGCGCTGCTGTGTACCAACGACGCTTTCATTCTTTGGTGGCAAAAGCAGAGGCGACTGCGTCGCCGCTTTCGTTGTGTCTCGCCGTCGTACGGTGGCCGCGCTCTTGCTCATCCCCAGGCGGTCCCTCCACCTTCTGGGCAAAACCGGCACTGCTGCTTTCCTCGTCGGGCAGCACCGGGTGTGACGATGGAGCTTTTTCCACCTCATCTTTGAGAAACTCAAATGGAGACGCAGTAGCACTGGAGGTTTCGCGATTTTCCGCCAGTGTCTGTGCCGGTTGCTTCGCGTCCGGATCCGCGCAGGTGTGCTGGTCATCTGAAACCCAACAACCGCCTTTAGAAGAAGTCGAAGAACTTCTCCCGTGCTTGTCACTGCCAATGCGCTGGTGCTTTTCGTCGTTCTTGATTTCCGCAGCCTTCTTCTTTCCCGTCGCCTCCTTCTCCAAAACGGTCGAGGCGCTTTTCTCGTCATCCACGGTTTCCTTGCTATAATCGTTCGAAGCAGTAGAAGAAGACGAAGCGGTGTTCGTAGACGAAGACGAGCTGCGCCGTTTTCTCCGCCGTCGCTTTCTCGTTTTACTCGCGCCCGCCTGCTGTCGCGCCGCGTTGCGCCCTGACAAATCCTCTGGAAGCTCCACATGATTCGCCAAGCCCGGGTCGTCGAGTAAATCCCCACTTCCACCAGATATTGGGCTGCCGGCACCCTTGTTGCCTTTGTTCGGCCGCCGGAGAGTTATTCTACAGAAAAGCAATCCCATACATTACCAGTGGAATAAAGTAAATCTACATTTGCGCTTCGGTAGTATTTGGTGCCATTCTTATATTTCTGTCATTGAGAACTACGCGTTTTTTTTCTCGTGCCTCTGCGTCTCTATTTCTCTTCTGCTGCCAATATCTAGCATCACAAACTGAATGAACTCCCATAACTTCGCTCTGCATGGCAGAGAGTTTGTGGAAGGTTTGTGAACAGTCGTGCGGGCGACTCGGTGTTCTTGCTGTTTGTTCTGCGCCGAAAGAACTTCAACATCTTCGTGCTGGATTGCACTTTGCTGCGCGTCGGCTGCTACAATAACCACAGAAGTAGATGATCGCCGCGCGCAAGGAAAGGAGGAGGTGCCGACTTGATGGCCGCCGCTGCGCTCCTTCTCCGCTTCGTCGGCGAGCGGGTGCTCGGTTCCAGTTTGTGCTTCCGTGCTCGCAGGAACGGCCTTGTTTCCATTTTTGCCCCGTCCGTTCTTCCGTCCCCCGCCCGTTCTTTTCCCGCCGTACTGGCAGTTCCTCTTACCCGAAGCTTTACTTATGCATTGCAAATATGTCTGGGTCTGGAACAGCACTGTGAGACATGTAATATTGCTGAACTCGCATACCCCTGAACTCTGTATATGCATGTTGTGGGATAGCGTTCGCGGCAAAGCCAATCCTCTGTCATGTAAACACGGGGTTTGTCTTCATGCGGGCTGCGCACACAATAACCGCTCAGAAATTTCTCATGCGTGGCTGCGTATTGGAATCAGTTCGTGACGCATGTGGCAGCATCACAAGTTCCCAGACCCAGACATTATATTTGCAGTGGATATTGCTGCTACGCTTGCGGTTTTTCCGACGACGATTCCGCCTCGGGCCCGCTCGAGCTATCATGTGCAAAAGTATCACACACGTAGCAATTGCAGCCATGCATGACAAATCTGGATCTGGTTTCTTAGCTCATTCAGCATTACAAATTCCATTTTTTCTTCAGGAAAAATTTGCATTCCTACTAGTACGATTATACTTTTGCAATGCATACGAATCGAAGATCGAAGACGCTTCGTCATTTTGATTTTTCAAGGAATTCACCTTCACCCGGTCTTCTTCTTCAGCGAGGGCTGCTCCAGTGGGGAAAAAAAACTCCGTGTGTGCCTGATCATACAGATTAATTTTGATGTGAAAAAATCAAGAGCATTTGCAGTTTGTCATGCGTAACGTGACCACGAGCTTCGTCAAGAACCTTCCACACCGCTGCTGCCTCATTGTAATTAATAAGGGTTTTCAGAGTAAGAGTATCTAAAGCGATTGTTTGAAGATGTTCTTAGTAGCTCTGCATCACACCATTTGCAACTGGTGGACTCAGTTCCAAGTGTAACGAACCCCTGCGCCAAGGAATTTGTCCAGAATCAATATCCTGAAACTAAACTAGGTAAGTAGAGTCCGTCCTTACCTTTCCTCGAGTCTGGTTCCGCTTGTAGTAGTTCCACTTGCTTCTACAACTCAGCCCGTTCTTCAACGAGTAAGTACTGTAGGCGTAAATTTCTTGTAGTTTGCAAACCTCGCGATTGATGAACTTGCAAGGCGTTCTGGAATCTGTGAAAATCAAAAAAAATTCTTAATTATATCGTTGAAAAGGTATACGAAAGCAAAAAGTGTTGGAGGGCTAGATGACTGAAAAAACGTCCTTTCAATTGATAGAAATACGGTACGAAAAATCTGCAAATAATGTGGAGGCTCTCGGGATACGAGGAAAACGTTTTTTGACAAGCGCTCGCAATTTGTACTTTCGTGCTTAGGTGAAGAAACTCTTTCTCTACTTGGGGGAAAACGAAAACGTAAAGGAATTGTTGTTCGTGCTGTGGAAAAAAATATTTCTTTGTGCTTCGCAAAAAAAAAGTATTTGATATAGTGCGACCTCAAAAAGTGCTGAGATTCTGCAAATTGTGGATGAGAAGTTGGTCGGCTGGGATGGTAGAGGACCGGAGGATATCCGACATACACAGCGTCAACAACCTGCGAAGAAATGAAATGATCGCACTACTTTGCAATGTATGAGTCAGTCGCTGATGGCAGCGAAACGTAAAGTAAGAAAATGATAAAGAACGAAGACGCTTGAAAAGTCAAGAGAATTTCACTCGTATTTTTCCTTTTTAAACACCACGGTATACCAGATCGGTTTCCAGAACGAGGAGTGGTGACCGACTCTAACGAAAAAATCGAAACCTGTTTATCCACCCGGCGTTGCACGAAGTTGTTCTACATACTTTTTACACGCATCCAATTCATATTATTCAATATTTTCTTTGTCCGCCGCACAAATGCGTTTGCCTTCAGAAAGTAGACGAACGACAGGACGAGTAGTCACCGAGATCGTGGCTGTAGGACTTTTTTCCGGACGAGGACGACGAAGAAACTACTTACTCGCCACACACGAAGTACACCGACTTGGGGCGGGAAGAAAAAACCTGCATAACACCGAGGATGCGAGGCTTTTTCGGTTTTTCATCCACTGTTCTTGTAGTTCATAAACTATCACTAGTGCGATTACGAATGAATGGCGCAGGAGTAAGCTGAAGTCAGACGAAGCGCACATGGCAGATAGACAGATGAGGTTTGTACTTTTTTATCGTGCTTCAAAACCACACTTAATATCCTCAACCTAAAAGACCGAAAAACGAACCCTGTCTTGAACAAAACCGATGACTGCAGACAGGGAGGCTGAAAATGCGCTCGACCGGCCCACAAGGTTATATTGCTTGACGTCCAACGGCTGTGCTTATTGCTGTCGCTGTGGATGTATCAAATGTAAAAATGTCTGGGTCTGGAAGAATGCGCGATTTGTCATGCAGCTTTTCCATGACCCATGAAGCCTGGAATGCAGGACCTAGCATGACAGATTCTGTGCAGTCACTCTCATGCCTTTCCTGCATGAGAAACTCCCTCCCGACTTGGTCAAAACTGGACGACTTTTGGTAATCATGCAACACAGATTTTTGCATGCTTCAGATATAGCATGACAAGTTGCATTCTTCCAGACCCAGACATTTTTACATTTGATAGGATGGTGCTGGAAAGTACATGCAACACTACACAAAACAAAAGCACAGCATCAGACCGCAGAGATCTTGCACTCCTTCGTATGTGTTCTACAGATCCGGTATCGACGGTAATTGTGTACTCTACAGTTTTTTCTGGCGCGCCGCAGATGCAGCTCCACCTACGTCTGCTGGTGCAGTACTATACTTCAGCATCACGAACTCGCTGTACTTCTTTTTGGAACTGCGGCAAAGGAGGTTTTTTGTCATGCAGAAAAGCGAAGATGATGCATGTGCAGGAAGCTGGAATGCAGGTATACATGGACAAAAACAGTTGCTCGTTACCCTGGACCAAAGATTCGCTCCGCCCATACTTCACGTGAAGAGGGTCTGGAAGAATGGAACTTGTCATGCTATTAAATCTAAATGATGCAAAAATCTGTGCTGCGTAAGTGCGTGATAGAGACCTCAAAGAGTCTGTCATGCCGGGTCTCGCATCGAGACCTCGTGGGGCATGGAAAACCTGCACCACAAATCTTGCATTCTTCCAGACCCAGACATTTTTACATTTGATAGCGGAACATCTTTTGGTGCCCGGTCCACCGCGGCGGTTCCTCGCAGAAGGTGGCGCTGGATCCGCTCGTGTACAACGGGCACATCTACACCACCCGTAGAGGGCCACGATCCTGCAGCTGCAGCTCCCTCTCCTGCTGCGGCGTCTGCATGTTGATACTCCTCCCCGCCCCCTCCAGGTAGAAGAAGGGAAACAGGATGTAGAAGTAGCAGCCGGTCGCGGAGAAAATTACCGCTGCGTCCTATTGACGGCGCGTCCAACTGTGCCTGTGGTAATGGGAACGCACCAGCTCCTGTCGCATCGAGAAAGCCCCCGATGAAAGAAGTGGCTCGACCACTACTAGCAGACCCGGACTGGGCGAAGAAGTGGCACTCGATAAACGACCGGAAGATGGAAGGTCCCGCCCTATGGAAGCGCCAGGACCGAAAGCGACAGACTTTTGAAATAATCTGTGATGCATAAAATACAAGCCACGAAGCGCCTGGCTTGCAGGGATTGCAAGAGCGGCCGATATTATTGCAAGCCTGTTTGGGGTCGTTTGGGATACTAGAGCTGCTAAACACACAAGCAGGAGGATGTCTCCTTTCCCTAAACAGGCTAACAGACTGGATTTACATGATGCCTAAATTTGTCATGCGCCGCTTGAGAATTGAATGGGGCTTCCAAAAACTGGCATCGATTTTATGCACCAAAAATTTTTGAACCTGCTCGATTTCGATTCTGACGCCGCCGTACGCCCTGGCGGTCGGGTATAGTTTCGGCAGGAACAGGAAGAGGAGGAACAGGGAACAGAGGAGCAGGTAACCCACCCACTGGTAGAACAACACGACCCCGGAGAGATCAAGTTTTTTCCCGGTCTGAAAAATCACCTGCACCTGCGAACTGTTGATTTCCTCTGCCGAGACCGCCGCCGACGCACGATTAGTTTTCAACAACGAAGCGCCAGCTCCTATTCCTGCTGCCTGTTGTGGTTGACAGTTGATTCTTTCGTCTTCTCGTCGTCCTGTTAGTTCTTCATTTACATTTCCACGACCCACGCCAACGGCAGCAACCAAGAGAGATGCTGTTTCTGGCGATTCTGGACTACCGTCGAGGCTTTTACTCCTTTTTCCAGTCGAATCATTTTCCCCACGAGCGACCTTGTCCTGCTTGATTTGGTCTCGCGTCAGTCCCGCGAATAAACGGACGCTTTTCTGGTGATGTTCCTGCTTGAATTGCAGCGAGGCGTGGCTCTTTCTGCTTCTGCGCAGATGCCACAGAAAGGTCTCGACCGCGATAGTGGCTGCGGTGACGTAGAAAAAAATGAACCCGCTCGCCGTGGGGCACAGGCGACACGGAATCGGGGTCTGTTCGGCAGCGAAAAAATTCTCCATGGTGTATTCGAAATTTAATTTCTTCGCTGATGTTGATGTTAGTGAGAAAAAAGTAGATAAATGAGCTGCCTCAAGTTGTAAAGTATCTACCTTGCTCGTGACAGTTTTACCTTTCCTTCGTCACTACAGGCACTGAAGGACCTACGTATAATAATTGTTCGACCATTTTTCTATTTTTTCATTCTGTTGTAGTAATTTTCAAATACGCCGTTCATAAGATCGAAACAACGACAGGCACAGGCCCGATGGATAGTGATGGTTCTTGCCGACCAATACTATTGCTTATTCGTGTGGGGCCTATAAACACCGGCCTCAAAATATCGCGTTTCTAGCCTTTCCGCAAAATACGTACAAAATGCGGGATGGAAAGGGCCACTCCGTGAAGAACAAATGGTATGAAAAAGAGAACCACAAACGCGATCTGATTTTGACGTTCCAAATATTGGAAGGGAATAAACGATCCGGTGCTGAGGAACTTCAAAAAAACCAGAAAACATATGGCAGGCAGGAAAACCGAAAATGTCGCCCAAAACGTACGCACGAGGATCCGACGGGTGTCATCAAGTGCTGCAACGGCGATACGCCGCCGCCCAGCTAGGACAAATCTACATCTGCTATTTCAACTTTTTCTACGTATCATGAAGATGCACAAGTCACCGTCTTCAGCAGGACACGCTGGTTGCAACTAGATGAAGAGCGTACTCCTCGCCACACTGTTAATTAAGTATTTCTTTTTTTGGCACCAAGACACCTCCTCAAGAAGCGCACTTGGCCTCCCAATGCTCTCGGATCTCTTTTGTTTTTTTTTTGGCTTCAAAACCTCTGCGGAAGAGGAGGAGCCTTCGTCTTTTTATTGTGGCGCGCTTGATCTACAAAGCAGAATTCGCAAACAACAGGAAATGCGCAATATTCCTGATGGATCCTCCTGCCCACGGTGTTTATCATGAGAATGAAAACGTCAAACTCTAACGCGTACCCTTGGGCGTTCTCTTTTTCAGAAAGTCCGCGACACACAATATGATCTGCAAGCGCTTCCAAAAGCGTCGCGAAGGTGATCCATTCATAAACGCAGTTGCAATGCTCGACTTTCGGACACTACTTGCTACATTCATTCTCCCCGCCAACTGTGGCCACCAAATGGAACAAAAAAGGCGCGTCGACCGGACTTGCAATCATGGGATCAATGTTCATATACCAAAACCACGTGGAAAAACCAACTGTGACATTCCTAGAACCAGTAGAACCAGAAATAGAACACATTTTTAAAAGCGAAGAACAATGGTACACATCGACGCCTTCAGAACAGATGCCGGGCATCAATTTCAGTTGCCGGCCTATGAGTGCCATTGCAGGTATGTTGTAGCTGTTTCTATCCCGTTCGATGGAGGGCGGGCAGCGGGAGTCGCTTGCCCCCATCTGGTTCGATAGTTAAACAGGGGGGTTAGACTTTCTTTCACTCAATAAACCCGGTATATTTATTCCGAAATCCAAAACTTCTTGTTGATAGTCGTCGACGAAATGAAAATGTGGTCTCCTCTCTCTTTACAAAAATTCATGACTTCTTGTATACAAGTGCTACAGCTTCACAGTCAAAAATACGATGCACAGACCCGCCGAAGGCAAAGCAAAATAATAGATTGAAGTCACCATCTTGGACAGCCAGTTTTTAAAAGAAAAAGACGACGAGACAGGGAACCACACTGGGTCAACGGCAGCCAACCTCAAAAGACGGGCACTTCTAATGAAGAAAACTAACATCGCAATCGCTCAAGCTACATCGCTACCATTTAGTTCGAAATACAGGGCGCCAGAATTAGGCGGTTGCCCAACAGCTTCTCATCTAGGAGCGGCCATCGTGGTTACCTCCCGTATTCTGTTGGGCAGTGCCCGCGGTTCACCCCGGGTTGCACCATATAGCCATCAACTGTGGTCCACGGCGACCCAATCCTCGTCGGCCGGGTGGCATAATGCAAATCAAAAGCTTTGCCCCAGGGCGTCTTGAAAAGATTAAAAACGTCTTGAGTAAATGTTTCACAGTTGTGCGTGAACAACTCATACATGTCCCGCCCAGCTGCACTATACAGATACGAGCCTGGAAGCGGGGCCATCGGGGGCCCGCTTCTATGGGCTCGCTGCTGCCGGACCGACCCGCCCCCGTGGGGAATCAAGTTGTTCAAACGCGCGCGCGCGTCCTTCGGAGGTGAATAAAGTTGTGGACTTAGAAAAAAAATTTGGTCCAGGTCCTCCGGTGTCAGATTAGCAGCACAAACACTGACGTGACTCTTCTGGAAGAAAGGCTGCCATGTTTCAGGGCAGTAGGTAGAAAAAAAAGATCTTTTGAGCCTCTGCCCCTGCATCTGATTCTGATGGATGCCAGTGTTGTCAGGTACCATCCTGTACGTCCTTTTTCGGTGCAACCACTCCCGACCATTGTGAGGAAGCACTTGCGAAACGTACCCCGCCGATGCCCACTCGTAACTAACAGCAGTGGCGAGTCTGACCTCATAGTGTTCAGGACCGTCGAGCTCCACTGGAGAAACGAGGACCTCTACTGGCTGCGGCCTGTCGAACCGTGCAACGAAAAACAAATGCTCGGGCCAGACGTCACGAAAAAAATCGGAATCCCTCGGCATCCAGCTTGGGCAGTGCCAGGCCTCCAAGGTAGTTCTGAAAAAAATGCCCGCGTGGTCCGGCTGACGTAATAGCGGATAGACGAACAGTCTACGCACCTTTTCGGCCAAGTCCTCGTGATTCTGCTCTCGATGAAGTCCCCATATTCGTCCTGCCTCTCTTCGTCGTCGTACTATCTCATCTTGCCATTGTTGTTCTGGGCTGCGAAAAGTTGCTGGAAGGCGAGTCGCCCCCCTCAGTGAAGGCCTGCTAAGTGCCGTGCTAAGTGACGTCTTAAGTGAGGTGCCAATTGCCGTAAGCGAATTGCTACGCCGTCGGAGCCCGGGATGCGACTTCTCGATGAGTGCCGCGCCTGCCGTAGTTGTTTTTTTTGTGATGCAAGCGTCAGCCGGTTTGGGGTTCTCTTCGGAGTTACGCAAGTTTTTTGCATTGCGGTTAGCGACATGCAAATGCAGGGCAATTTAATTTTAATTGTCGCCTGACAAGCCAGGATGATTCCTCAACAGGCTTTTCAGGATTTCCACGACGAAAGAGCATGCGTTCTCGCTGTTCGCACCAGTGCAAGAGGGCCGCGATTGTTTCAGTAGCCTGCGCGGCGGCTTAGAGTACTTATTTCAACAGCCAGGCAGCCTACTGAAACTCTCGCTGCGTAGTGGGTTCTAAGAAAGCCGCTTAGTTGTGCGTAAGCAAGGTTTTCATGTTCATGCCAAACCACTCAGATTTTTTAGGCCCCAGAACCACAACCGCCCTTGCTCGCATAACGTCTTCCTTCCTTTCTCGAGTGCCCGGAACGGTGTCCGTACCCAAGCCAACTCGGCCACGCCCGTCCTGTTTATTCTTATGCCCATTCAGCGCTTCTCGTTTTTTTTCGTCGACGTGGAATTGACGTTGGCCGTGCGCCTCCTTTTCCAAAAAAACAGACTTTGGGCCACTGCCCGTCAACATCAGCGAGCCGGCTTCGCCCAAGTCGGGGCGATTCTGCTGAAGATCTGTCGCCGCGGCTGGCAGCGACTCCGACTCGCGGCTTGCGTTTTGTGTGCCGGTCGCCAAATTGTTCGAACTCGCCGCGGCTTGGTCCGGGGAGACCCGTGCTGCGAGGCCAGGCCAAGTCCCAGTGGCGACGTCGCCACCCTTCTGGTATTGATTCGCTTCGGAGGTGCCAGTGCTTGTGCCGGGAGCTTCTAGACTCTCCAAAGGATCTCGGAGTTGGGCGTGCCTGTTGTTAGTCCTCGCTATTATCCACTGTAAACATAATATATACTTATCATCAGGCCCATACAAGCAGGCAGATCAGAATCCCAAGACCGCATCACCACTCGCTGCGATATCTCGCACAGGAGCGTGTCTATGGGCTTAATGCATAGAAGAAAGACACCACTTTTTGAACGCAGTGATAGATCTTTCACACTCACGCATTCTCATTCATGCATGATCATTCATCACGACACGTATATATATATTTTTACACTGCGTAAAAACACTCCCCCCGCCCGACTCCTCTGCTTTTTCCACAAAGGTTTCAGCATTCTCGGCAGCTCGGGCTTCCTCTGCGCGGGTTTTGCTACGTGTTATCAAAGTGTAAGGCCCCTCGCACTCGTCGGTCTCATAGAAAGGATAAGGAAAAGGAAGAGCTTCGTCTAGGTCTAGGTATATATATAAACGTATAATAGCATTAATTTTTCGGTTTTGGCAGTTGGAAACGTCAGCCGTTCATCAAACAATCGCAATCGCGCGCCGGCATTACGCCTGTCGCACTGACTGAGTTTAGGGGGCAAGTTTGGTTTATGGTTCGTTTGTTCTTTATGCTTGTTACAGTGGTGCCCACACAGTGATGCGCGTGTCGGCTATCCCGCTAACGTAAGCAAAGCGTCAAACACATCGACTCACTTGTGCTTCGTATGCAAACTATTTCTTTGCGTTCATAGCGCGTGTTGTTTTCTACTCTGGACAACGCAAGCTTGTCGCACGGATGTTTTCGTGGTGATCGAGGCGCTGAGCCTATTTACTTTGATACCCACCGCGGCACCAGCTCCCGTCTTCTCGTTCGCGACAGCCGTTTTCTCGGCCGCACCTTCATGCATAGCGCCCTCGCCTTTTTTCACCTCGCCGTGACTGTCCTGCGCGGGGGCATCTCCAACTACCGTTCCCCCGACGCGATCCTGCGTGCCATCAGCGCGCTCTTTGGTTGCGGCAGCAGAGCTAATTGCGTTGTCACCCCTGTTGTGCCATGTCTGCTCGTGCTCATCCCCAGGCGGCCCCTCCACCTTCTGGGCAAAACCGGCACTGCTGCTTTCCTCGTCGGGCAACTGCGGGTGTGACGATGGCGCCTGTCCCACCTCATCTTTGAGAAACTCAAACGGGGACGCAGTAGCACTGGAGGTTCCCCTGCTTTCCGCCGGCGCCTGTGCCGGTTGCTTCGCGTCCGGATCCGCGCAAGTGTCCTGGTCGTCTGAAACCCAACAACCGCCTTGAGAAGTCGAAGAACTTCTCCCGTGCTTGTCACTGCCAATGCGCTGGTGCTTTTCGTCGTTCTTGATTTCCGCAGCCTTCTTCTTCTTTCCCGTCGCCTCCTTCTCCAATACGGTCGAGTCGCTTGCTCTCTCGTCATCCAGCACGGTTTCCTTGCTATAATCGTTCGAAGCAGTAGAAGAAGACGAAGCAGTGTTCTTAGACGAAGACGAGCTGCGCCGTTTTCTCCGCCGCCGCCTTCTCGTTTTACTCGAGCCCGCCTGGTGTCGCGCCGCGTTGCGTCCTGACAAATCCTCTGGAAGCTCCACATGATTCGTCAAGCCCGGGTCGTCGAGTAAATCCCCACTGCCGCCAGATTATGCTTTGCAAAAGTATGATCGTACTCGTAGTACTACTAATTGCAATCATGCAATACAAATCCTTCCCAAGGTAAAGCTTCATATACAAATTTATATTTGTCATGCTACGCACATTTGTCATGCAAAATCTACTAGTAGTACGATACTTTTGCAATGCATACAGATGTTGGGCTGCCGGAACCCTTGTTGCCTTTGTTCGGCCGTCGGAGGGTTATTCTACAGAAAAGTAGGAATCCCATACCAGAACATGAATAAAACTATTTGAGTTTTAGTGCCATGCTTTTTGGCTGTTCAGCATCACGACGTCTGGTTTCTCTACTCCTGCTATCTTCTACATCTAGCATTGCAACAAACTCACCCTTACTTGTTCTCCTTGACAGAATAAAATTCCTTCCTTTCTTTGGCGAGATGGCTGTAGTATTAGCAACACAAATTTCATTTTTTTTCTGGGATAGGAGTTTCTTCGCTTTTCTGTTTGATAACCGTGCCACTCGTCTGGAAGAGAGCGCAGCCGGATCCGTACTTCAATGCCACCCTTACGCCACGGCTTTTCGGCAACGGACACGAGTTTGTGGAAGGTTTGTGAACAGTCGTGCGGGCGACTCGGTGTTCTTGCTGTTTGTTCTGCGCCGAAAGAACTTCAACATCTTCGTGCTGGGTTGCACTCTGCTGCTCGTCGGCTGCTTTAATAGCGACTGAAGATGATCGCCGCGCGCAAGAAAAGGAGGAAGTGCCGACTTGATGACCGCCGCTGGGCTTCTTCTCCGCTTCTTCGGCGAGCGGGTGCTCGGTTGCAAGTTGGGTTTCCGTGCTCGCAGGAACGGCCTTGTTTCCATTTTTTCCCCGCTCGTTCTTCCGTCCCCCGCCAGTTTTTTTCCCCCCGTACTGGCAGTTCTTCTTACCGGAAGCTTTACTTATTGATTGCAAATATGTCTGGGTCTGGAACAGCACTGTGAGACGTGTATTGCTGAACTCGCAACTCGCGTACCCCTGAACTCTGTAATGCATGATGTGGAATAGCGCCAGTCCTCTGACATGCAAACACACGACTTCTCATGCGGGATCGATAGTTGCGCACAATTATATAACCGGTCACAAATTTCTCATGCGTGGCTGCGTATTGGACTCACTTTCTGACGCATGGAGCAGCATCACAAGTTCCCAGACCCAGACATTATATTAGCAGTGGATATTGCTGCTACGCTTGCGGTTTTTCCGACGACGATTCCGCCTCGTCCGGCCCGCTCGAGCTATCATGTGCAAAAATATCTATCGCACTCGTAGCAATTGCATCCATGCATGACAAATCTGGTTTTTATTGCTCATTCAGCATTACAAATTCCATTTTAAATTCAGGAAAAAATTGCATTCCTATTTCTACTAGTACGATATATACTTTTGCAATGCATACGAACCGAACATCGACGACACTTCGTCATTTTGATTCTTCGTCTTCGAGGGATTCAACTTCACCCGGTCTTCTTCTTCAGCGAGGGTTGCTACTATGGGGGATAAAATCTCCGTCAGTACCTGATCATACAGATTTTGATGTAGATCAAGAGCATTTGCAGTTTGTCATGCGTGACGTGACCACGAGGTTCGTCCCAAACCTCCCCCGTTGCTGCTGCCCCATTAAAAAGGGCATACAGAGTGTATGAAGCGACTCTTGTTTGATGTTCCCAGTACGTAGCTCTTCATCACACCATTTGCAACCGGTGGACTCAGTTCCAAGAAAACCTGCGCAAGGGAAGTTGTCCAGAATAATGATAATACGGCCTCATAAACTGTACGAATAGAACAATAAATATCCTGAAACCAAACTAGGTAGAGTTCGCCCTTAGTTACCTTTCCTCGACTTTGGTTCCGCTTGTACTAGTTCCACTTGCTTCTACAACTCCCCCCGTTCTTCAGCGAATAAGTCCTGCAGGCGTAAATTTCTTGTTTGCAAACCTCGCGATTGATGAACTTGCAAGGCGTTCTGGAATCTGTGAAAATAAAAAAAAGATCTTAATTATATCGTTGAAAAGTAAAAAGCAAAAAGTGTTGGAGGACTAGATGATTGAAAAAACGTCCTTTCGATTGATAGAAGTACGGTACAAAAAATCTGCAAATAATGTAAGTAAGGACTCCCGTCGGGATACGACAACAACGAAATAAATAGTGTTCAGCAAGCGGTCGCAATTTAAATTCGTTTATTCATGCTTAGATGAAGAAACTCTTTCTCATCTACTTTGCAGCTTGGCGTGGTGAAAACGAAAGCATATTCAAATATAAAATGTTTGTCATGCAGCGGGAAAAAATGTTTCTTTGTGTTTCGCAAAAAAAAAGTATTTGATATAGTGCGAACTCAAAAAGTGCTGAGATTCTGCAAATTGTGGATGTGAAGTTGGTCGGCTGAGTGATGGCAGAGGACCAACGGAGGATATCCGACATACACAGCGTCAACAACCTGCGAAGAAATGAAATGATCGCACTACTTTGCAATGTATCAGTCAGTCCCAGTCGCTGTTGGCAGCGAAACGTATAAACAAAGGACGACGCTTCAAAAATCACAAGAATTCCATGGTAGTTTTTCTTTTTAAACACCACGATATACAAGAGCGGTTTCTAGAACGACGAGCTGTGACCGACTCTAACGAAAAAAATGCACGAATTTCTACATACTCTCTACACGCATCCAGTTCATTTTTAACATTTTCTTTGCTCGCCGAACCAGTGCGTTTGCCTTTAGAGAGAGGAACGACAGGACGAGTAGTCACCGAGAACGTAGCTGTAGGGCTGTTTTTTGGACGAGGACGACGAAACAGCTATTCGCCACACACGAAGACCGACTTTGGGTTTGGGCGGGAAGAAAAAACCTGCCTAACACCGAGGACACGAGGCTTTTTCGGTTTTTCATCCACTGTTGTAGTTTGTAAATTATCACTACTGCGATTTTCACGAATGTTGAATGACGAAGACGAAGGAGTAACCTGAAGTCAGACAATGCACAAATGGTAGATAGACAGATGACGTTTTTCATCGTGCTTCAACACCACGCCTAATATCATCAACCTAAAAGACCGAAAAACGAACCTGTCTTGAACAAGACCGATGACTGCAGACAGGGAGGCTGAAAAAGCCCTCGGCTGGTCCACAAGGCTATAGTATTGCTTGTCCAACGGGTGTGCGTATTGCTGTCGCTGTGGTGCTGCAGCTGCTGGAAAAATACAAGCACATGCAAAGCAAAAAACTCTGCGCGTTTGCCTACACTTGCTATAGGTGTTGTTTTCTTTGAAATGCTTAAAAATCAAAATTTGCTCTGCATGCTGAGCCTGAGCGATGTAGTTTGTATAACATGCGGGTTTAGCTTAGCAAGAAGATTCCTCGTCCGGATTCGTATTCTTCGTCACGTCGCTGCTACATTGGCACTGGTCTGATGGCTTTTGAGCGCGGGCCTTGTCCGTGAGCACCTCGCCGGCCTATCAACGTGAAAGAGACATGTTGCAGCAAGCAACCCGGCTGCGGGTCGGGGCACTAGAAACCGAAAAGGGGAAGGCAAGCTGCGCCAAACATAGTGTAGTGAGTGCTTAAGGGGAGCCGGCGTAGCTGTAGCAACGTTTCGACCGCAAGAGCACCGGTGGCATTTGCTGCAGTCGTTTCCTTGTTCGGAGTCGTGGTGTAAGTGGTTACGGTTGTTGCACTTCGCAGCAACTGTTGCGGCTCGCTTTAGTTGCGGTATAACGGGTCGAGCGGCTGCAACCCGGGCTGAGCTTCGCGGGGGTTCCGTGTTCCTACGCCAAACAAGCGGGACGCCTTCTGCACGGTGACCGCCTTTGCCTTGGGATCATCTAAATCTATGGGCGGACAAAATACAAAGCTGGACAACAGAAAAAGGCAGGACTTTCAATCTCCCCCATTTCGCATTCTTCGTCGCGCAAAAAGGCGCCCGCCTTCGCCGCAGCTGGGCCGGAGGCTGTTCTGCCACCCTAAAAGCAGGCCGCCGAGGGGGGCGGGGCCCCCCCGCGAAAACGCTCGCCCCCCGAAGCGGGGCGCATCGAAGACGCGGCCCGCTGCGGGGCCCGCCAGTACGTGGGTCGGTGGCGCAGGCCCCGCGGCCTGCATCTTAGTTTGCTGAGGGTGCCTGCTTAACGCCTACCAAGCGCGCGGCCCCTCCCCCAACGCGTCCCCTGCTTGGGGCGCCCTCCTGCTTTTTTGCTTGAAAGAAACACGCCCCCGGCCCGCCCACCAATCAGAGGCCCCGGGCCGTTGCCTTCGGTTTCTTCACTGGCCACCAATCGCATCGATCCATCGGCTTCGGGATTTGGCAAAAGCACGGACGCCAAGAAAACGGGGCCCGCCCCACTTGGCCGGGGCTGAAAACGCTCACGGGAACCAAGTAAGAAAAAGCCGGCCGCCCGGCCTGCCCATGGGGGCGAGCGAGGCGGACAAAGATCGGCAGACTCCACGGAAAGACTGGCGGGCCGGGGCTTTGCACATTCCAGAGCCCAAGCCGGAGCCGGAGGGGGGGGCGGGGGTGGCGGACTGGGTATAGGTAGCGCTGGGGCGGCGCGGCAGTATATTTCGAGACTGACTCACACCGTTCGCGGCTGTGGTTTGTTCCCAAGGGGAATGCTTGCCCGGGTTTGGTGCGAGGAGTCTGCGCGCCTCGCGAAATTTTCTGGCGAAATCTTCAAAAAAAAAGAAAAACCCCCAAAACGAAATAATTAAAACGCAAAACGCAGGCCAACCCAGAAGAGGGAAAACCGGGGCAAATGATGGGGCGGCAACCCTTCTGCTGCCTGCCGGGGCATCTTATGCCGGCCGCTTTTGGGGCTGCTAGTCATAATCTACACACTGCGCCCGCCACTCTCGTCCTGGGCCTCTATTCCGATCGGGGTCGCGAACCTTTGGCCAAGCTAGCCCCCGACGTGAATAGGCGACCCGCCTCCGGCCGGGCCCTTCTTCTATGGTTTCCCCGGGAAAACCGAACCCCCTGCCGAATTGAAGAAGAAAGCGATCGAATGAAACCCCCGCCCCCGGCCGAAACCCCGAAACCTCAGGGCCGTTCCAAATGCTCTCGCAGGTCGGTGAAGCGCTTCGCCCCGGGGCCATGGTTCCGAATCAATATGCAGCCGGGTGGCCATCCATCCTTCCAACAAAGGGGAATGGCCGGAGCAGCTTGCTCGGGCCGCGCGCCTGGGGCTGGGGCGGTCGCGCTACGCGCTTACACAAATAAAAATCGGGAAGGCGGCAAAGCCCGGACCGAAGAGAGCCGCCGCGGCACAGACTGACACTTCACGCGGCCCGGCTGCCCTTGCGGGAGGGGAGCCGGCCCTGAAAGGTACGAAACACCACAGAAAGCGCGCGCGCTGCCCTTCTCGGACACCTTTCGCCCCGGACTTCGCCGCGGGCGAGTGGGTGAGCCCCCTCCAAGAGGGGCCGGCGCGGCACAAGACCCGGAGACCAGCGAAACGGAGCCCAACGAAGAACCACCGGCGGGCGGGGCGACTGCGAAGAGGCGCGCGGGCCCGGGCGGGCGGGGCGGGGCTGGCATGCAATCAGGCAGACAGGCCCAGGCGCCCTAATAAGATCCGTCGGGCTCTGCGAGGTTGCTAACTTGCAAACCCCCCAAAACCAGAAGCCCGCACCGGAAGCACGACAGAGAGAAGGAAGCCTGCCAATGGAGGCGGGCGAGGAAGCAGGCAACTTCGTTGGGCGAAATTCAGATAACAAAGATAGAACGACAAATCTCGGGGGCGGGCCCCTGGGAACGCTCACCTCACACACCCGGCCACTGTACTCCAGCGATGGCCGCCGGGGGCCCATCCCGGAAGACAGAGGGGCACAGAAAGGTTGCCTGCTAACTTCACGCCCCCCCGACGGGGGGTCCGTCCCCCTGCTAAACGCCAAAGACAATCCCTGGAAGCCCCTGGCTAGTTGGGGCGGCCGTTGGGGTAGTGGTAGTGCCATTCTTTATTTGGGTATAAAAAAATAAAAAAGCTCGCGAACTTGTATGCCCGTTTGTTGTTAGACTGAGCCCCCTCCGGAGCTAAGCAAAGCGGGAGGCCAAGTGAGATTTTCTCTTCTGCCCGAACAGCAGGGAAAACGCATTGGGGCTCCCTACCTTGTGCAATTAGCCACAGGGAGGCGAGCAGGCCCAAGGCCACGCGCTGAGTTTAGATCACAGCTAGCAGTTGGGTTAGCAGACACAAAGCCCTGAAGCCTGCCCAAAACCCCTGGTCTGGATGGCTCTCAGAGGCGCAAAACAAACGCCAACAAAGAAGGCGGCGTCTGTCTTCCTGCTGCCCCCCGTGCCACCTGAGCGGACCAATTTAGCGCGCGGACCCGTGCGCCCGGCCTCGCCCAAAACCGAAAGACCCCTGCCGGGGGAGGGCCAACGAAATGAACAGGCAAGCCGGCAGCCCCGTGCCACAAAACGCACACAAGGAAGCCCGACGGACGGACGGGCGACAGGCCCGGCGCCCGGTGCGTGGGCAAAGAAACCAACGAAAAGCCGGCCCGGTTAACACCCAACAGAAAGGAGCCGGCCGCGCGTACACACCGGGCCAGCCCGGGAGCCCTGCTGGGGCCCCGGGGCCGCCCCAATTTAGAAAATCCCTCGCCTGGAACTAGGGCGGAAACCCGCCCGGGCCTGTCTGCCTGAGGCAGGTCAGCCGTGCAGCCCTGCAGAAAGGCACGAACATGGCCCGTCGCGAATCTGCCGCGGGTTTGGGCTTTTCGAAATCCCGGAACCGGTCACCACCAAGCCAATAACGCCCGAAGCCGCCCCGGGGGCCTCTGACTGATTCCATTCTGCCCCAAGTGCAATTCCTGGCCACCCAAAAATCTGCCGGCAGGCCAAGTGCAAGAATTGCCTACGCAGCGCCGCGGCCGCTTGGTTTTGCGCAATAACTGCTGCGAGCGGCGGCCCCGGGCCAATATTTCTGGTCCATCGCCCAAGCGCGCGGCGCGTCTGCGATTCTAGTGGCGGCCTCGGGTGTGCAACCATTTTTTTTGAAGCACATGCACGGCAGCCCCCCCGCGCCAAAGGGCCGCCGGATGGTAGCCCCGCCCGGGGCCCCCCTCAGGTTCCAAACGGCCGCCATTTTTGTGATTTTTTTCGCGTTCGTCCAGTTTGCATTTTATCCGAGCATAGCGCTCGGGCTAACGAATAAATTCAGCAGGTTGCTCGTGAAGGTTTGGCAGTTATTCGTCGCCGACAGGGAACCCCAGCCGAAGTGATAGTTGTACGCGCCCATCCAGGAATGCACCTTCGAGGCGATCGCCCACAGGAGCTCATGGGTGAGGTTAGTGGCCTGCAAGACAAGCATCTCAAAAAGTTCGGGCTTCCGCGGAGGCGGAGGGCCATTGTTCGCCTGCGCCCTCGCCTCTGCCAATGTTTTGGGTTTCGGGGCAGGGCAAATCCGGTTCTCCTCTAGACTGAGCAGAGGGCCTCCGGCCCATCCGTACCCTTTGTATGCAGAGGCGCGGCGCGCCATCCCATGCATGCCGAAGCGACTTAGGCTACCACACACGCCTGCGTGCCCAGGCCTACACACACAGAAGCCCACACTAGCCAAAACCAACGCTGCGCGGAGAGGTGGCAGACCTGCTTTGGCGTTGCCCGGTGAACCGATCCGCAACCAAATCTATCCTAAGACGGCGCGCGGCGCCATTCTCTCCGGTGGCCCAAGTACGGCCGGCGGGTTAGGCTATTGGGAGCGGCGCCCACGGACACCTCTTAGGCCCAACACACCTTCGCAGCAGGCAACGAACGGGCGCTGCTGGCAGGCTGCCAGCCTGGGTGGCCGCGCGCCAAATGCCGAGCGCCGACCGTGAATCTACCAAGGCCGACGCGCCCAGGCCCGGGGGCCTGCGCACTATATTATATGGCGCACAAGGATCCGGGGCTAGCAGGTAGGGCTATCAATCTCACTCCCGCGAAGCAAGATACGCGGCGCCAGGCATGCACTTTGAGCCCCCCGCCCCTCCTGCAACTAACGGCGACCTGCCACGCCACGCGCCCGCCCCTGCATCGGTCTGCTTCAGCCAGTTTGTAGCAGCGGGCACGGGGGGCCCACGCTGTGCGGCTTACCGACTGCCCCCGCGGAATCGCGTTGCGATGGATTGGGCGGTCCCAAGAGGCCCGCGGCAGCTAGGGCGCAAAACACTGGGCGCGCCTGCATTGGCCCCCAGGAGTGCCAAAGACGCCCGCCCGCGCTCATCTGCCAGCCCGCCTTTTCTATCTTTCTATGCATCCATCGAGGCTGACCCGGCCGCCTCCCGGCGATGTGCCAGCCTGCCGGCCCCCGGCACTGGCCGAAGGAGGGGGCCAACAAGCGGCGTCCGACGCTAGTCAGTCTGCCCAGTTGGAGGGGCGGCCCCCCACCCGTCTGGCAGCCCCGAGCCTCCTTGTGCTCACTGCAACTCGCCCCAAGGCCAAGCGCCCACACTCTACGCCTGCCGGGGCGGGCGGCAGGCTGGCAGGTGTCTGTCAGGCCGGAGGGCGCTCGCCTTTGCGAAAATGTTTTTGCGCCTTCCTCCACCCCCTTTCTGCGAAGACCCGGCGGGAAGCGGGGCTGGGCACATGGATGCAGGCATGGGCGCCCGCCATTCCCCCCATCCAACCATACATCGGAGGGAAGGTGGGCGCGGCGGCCGCGGGCCGACGCCCACTGACTGGGGTTGTAGGCTGGCTGAATGAAAAGGGCGGGCGCGGGGGCGGCAAAGCTAACAAAATAAATGAAACTAACACGACTGCCCAAGGCCCTCCGTGCGTGCGCCTCACTTAGCTGACAGACAAATGCAACGGGCTGCGGGCGCAGTTCACCCGACCATCAACAACTGACTCACTGCGGCCGGCCTGGGGCTGCGCCCCCCCACCAAGTGACTCACCTGGCGCTGCGGCTTCTCTTGCTTCATGCCGGGAATTTGGGAGCACTGGCGCCTGGCTGCAAGTCGCTTTTGGGGGCGCGCGATGGCAATAATTCTCTGCCCGGGCCATAACGTTCGCCAAGGGTATCCGCGCGGAGGATCCTGCCACTCTGCCTCGACAAAAAAGTGCTCCGCTATTCCCTCGAGCCCAGCCACTTCGAGCCCACACTGCATCGCCTTCAACCTTGTTAGCGGGGGCGGCGGCGTGTTTTGCGTGCTATGCCTGGGAAAAAAGTATACGTGGCCGCACTTGCGTCGCTGCCGGCTGTGGATAATACTTCGCCGCCTGCGGCTTCCGGAGCCGTCGCACACAAGCGCCACGCCTTGACTTCCCCGGAGGGTGGGCACAGCTATAAGCATTCTGCCACGGCCGGCGCTTTCAACAGGGTGCGCGCAGCGTGCGGCCCTTCCCGAATGCGCTGCGGGCACCCTGGCAGACTGATGAAGCAACAGGCAAGGCGTGCGCACCTGCGCTTTTCTAGTTTACATGCTGGCTGCCACGCTACTTTTTTGCCCGTTCGTAATGGACTGCGTTGTAAATCGGCTGAACGAAACGGCTAAAAACAAGCTTGTTCAATGCTGCAAGGTCTTGCGCCATCTGTATTCCGGTAAGGGTGTGGCTGCTTCCACTCAGCTGATAAGGGGCCGGCACAACGCCAGCGGGGCGCCCGCCGCCGGGAGCGTTCTGCGCCTCACGGTTTTTTACGACGCGACACCCTTTGGCCAAAATCCAAAACGTCGCTCTGCACCGTGTATTCGGTCCGTAGCAAAACTGCGACCATGTGAGTTTGTTGCACTCAGGATCAGGCAGCGAGGAGAGTGCGCCCGCTATCAAATCTGAAAACGGCGCGCCACAGGACGCTTATGTTTGCCGCAATGCCATATGTGCACAGCCACAGGCGGCACACGCGCGACACCCCAGTCGGGCCTTGTTTTTCTATTGCGGGCAGAAACACCCATGCAAAATTTGACCCGCGGTCCACCACTTCCTGTCCTTACTGATGCCTAAAAAAAGCGGCCCGCCTGCGAACACAAAGATCCAAAAATAACGCGGCAGGGGGGGGCGCCACCGCAGAAAGCGCTCTCGCCTGCGCATGGTGGTACGCGATGCAAGCGAGCAGCCCAGAAGGCCGGCTGGGGCGAGCTGATTTGGTGAGCGCATCCTGTAGGTGCCTGCCGGGTTCACTTCGGATATGGGATTTTTCCACGAAGGCTCCCACATCATGGTCTGCACCCCGGTGTCCGCTTTCAGTACTAGGTTTGGTGCGCCCTATGAAAGTGAAAAGCGCTGCGCCCGACAAAACTGCAAAGGCGTGTCCCCCCGCGAAAGGAAATACCAACTGGCATCGCGCTAAGAGCAAAGCTGACGGAGTGCCTGCTGGCTATCTAGACGAAAATGAAAGGCTTTCGCACGTCGCATGTCCGCATTGCAGTTGCGCATGCGGTGGCTGTCATGTCCCCTGGATACGCAAACTGTTCATGTAAAGCAAGCAGGCGACATAAGTGCTAAGCATGCTCCTTCATTATACATAGGGTCCATCTAAAATAAAAATAATGCCACTGTCGCGCGTCTGTTTTAATTAAGTGAAGGCCAAACCAGCTCTATCTCCCCGCCCCTGCAAAGAAACGCGTGGAACGCAAAGTAGAACAAGCACGGCGTCTGCGGTGCTCGCATTTCTTTTCATTTTCATACGGACCGCACCACCCTCCATCCCCTCGTCCCCGACGGCCGTTTTCTCGGGCGCGCCTTCATCCACATCGCCCTCGTCTTTTTCCCCCTGGCCGTCATTGTGCTGGGCGGGGTCGCCGCGCTGCTCCGGGTCGGCCGCGCGCTCTTTGGTAGCGAAAAGGGGGCCAGCTGCTTCACCGCCCCCGATGTGGCTTGCCTTCGTACGGCGGCCCCGGTCTTGCACATCCCCGGGCCCCTCTACCTTCTGGGCGAAGCCGGTGCCGCTGCTTTCCTTGGGCAGCTGTTGTAGTAGGTGCGTTGACGGCGCTTGTTTCTCATCATCCTTGAGAAACTCGAACGGGGACGCAGTTGCGCTGCCACTCTCGCTGCTTTCCACCGGCGCCTGTGTGGGTGGTTTCGCATCAGGACCTGCGGGGCTGTGCTCTTCTGGAGGCCCAGCGTGCTTGTCACTGCCAATGCCCCGCGTTTCGTCGTTCTTGATTTCCGTAGCCTTCTTCTTTCCCGTCGCCTCCTTCTCCAATACAGTCGAGGCGCTTGCTCTCTCGTCATCCACTATCACAGGAAAAAGCGTTAACGTTAACAGAATTTGTGATGCAGCAACGCATCACAAAACGTGCGCAAATTTGTCATGCATAGCATGCATACTAGGCAAATTCTGTCATGCATATCTGCAACCTATGAAAACCGTTAACGTTAACACTTTTTTGTTGGATATCCACGGTTTCCTTGCTATAATCGTTCGAAGCAGTAGAAGACGAAGCGGTGTTCTTAGACGAAGACGAGCTGCGCCGTTTTCTCCGCCGTCGCTTTCTCGTTTTACTCGCGCCCGCCTGCTGTCGCGCCGCGTTGCGCCCTGACAAATCCTCTGGAAGCTCCACATGATTCGCCAAGCCCGGGTCGTCGAGTAAATCCCCACTTCCACCAGATATTGGGCTGCCGGCACCCTTGTTGCCTTTGTTCGGCCGCCGGAGAGTTATTCTACAGAAAAGCAATCCCATACATTACCAGTGGAATAAAGTAAATCTACATTTGCGCTTCGGTAGTATTTGGTGCCATTCTTATATTTCTGTCATTGAGAACTACGCGTTTTTTTTCTCGTGCCTCTGCGTCTCTATTTCTCTTCTGCTGCCAATATCTAGCATCACAAACTGAATGAACTCCCATAACTTCGCTCTGCATGGCAGAGAGTTGCTTGCTTTTTTTGACAGGACGTTAGCAACACAAATTTCATTTTTTTCTGATTCTGGGATAGGAGTTTCTTCGCTTTTCTGTTTGATAACCGTGCCACTCGTCTGGAAGAGAGCGCAGCCGGATCCGTACTTCAGTGCCACCCTTACGCCACGGCTTTTCGGCAACGGACACGAGTTTGCGGATGGTTTGTGATAGGTCGGGCGGGCGACTCGGTGTTCTTGCTGTTTGTTCTGCGCCGAAAGAACTTCAACATCTTCGTGCTGGATTGCACTCTGCTGCTCGTCGGCTGCTACAATAACCACAGAAGTAGATGATCGCCGCGCGCAAGAAAAGGAGGAGGTGCCGACTTGATGACCGCCGCCGGGCTTCTTCTCCGCTTCGTCGGCGAGCGGGTGCTCGGTTGCAGTTTGTGCGTCCGCGCTCGTAGGAACGGCCTTGTTTCCATTTTTGCCCCGCCCGTTCTTCCGTCCGCCGCCCGTTTTTTTCCCGCCGTACTGGCAGTTCTTCTTACCGGAAGCTTTACTTATGCATTGCAAATATGTCTGGGTCTGGAACAGCACTGTGAGACCTGTATTGCTGAACTCGCATACCCCTGAACTCTGTGATGCATGTTGTGGAATAGCGCCAGTCCTCTGACATGCAAACACACGACTTCTCATGCGGGATCGATAGTTACGCACAATATAACCGCTCAGAAATTTCTCATGCGTGGCTGCGTATTGGAGTCACTTTCTGACGCATGGAGCAGCATCACAAGTTCCCAGACCCAGACATTATATTTGCAGTGGATATTGCCGCTACGCTTGCGGTTTTTCCGACGACGATTCCGCCTCGGGCCCGCTCGAGCTATCATGTGCAAAAATATCTATCGCACTCGTAGCAATTGCAGCCATGCATGACAAATCTGGTTTTTATAGCTCATTCAGCATTACAAATTCCATTTTTTCTTAAGGAAAAAATTGCATTCCTATTTCTACTAGTACGATCATACTTTTGCAATGCATACGAACCGAACATCGAAGACGCTTCGTCATCTTGATTTTTCGAAGGATTCGACTCTGCCCGGTTTTCTTCTTCCGCGAGGGTTGCTACAGTGGGGAAAATCTTTCTCCGTCAGTACCTGATCATACAGATTTTGATGTAATAAATCAAGAGCATTTGCAGTTTGTCATGCGTAACGTGACCACGAGCTTCGTCCCGAACCTTCCCCACCGCTGCTGCCTCATTGATATTAATAAGGGTTTGCAGAGTAAGTATCTAAAGCGATTGTTTGAAGATGTTCCTAGTAGCTCTTCATCACACCATTTGCAACCGCTGGACTCAGTTCCAAGTGTAACCCCTGCGCATCAAGGGAAGTTGTCTAGATGAATAATCCGCCATCATAAAGTGTACAAATAGAATTATCCTGAACCTGAAATAGTTAAATTCCGCCCTTACCTTTGCTCGACTCTGGTTGCTACAGTGGGGAATCTGTAACTTCGCCAGGTCTTCTTCTTCAGCGAGGGTTACTGCAATGGGGGATAAAATCTCCGTCAGTACTACCTGATCATATAGATTTTGATGTAGATCAAGAGCATTCGCAGTTTGCCATGCGTGACGTGACCACGAGGTTCGTCCCAAACCCTCCCCACCACTGCTGCCGCATGAATAAGGGTTTGTAGAGTGTATAAAGCGATTGTTTAGAGATGTTCCTAATAGCTATTCATCACACTAGTTCCAACCGGTGGCCTCAGTTCCAACTGTAACCCTTGCGCAAGGGACGTTGTCTAGAAGAATGATCTTCCTCATAAACTATACAAAGAAAATTATCCTGAACCTGAAATAGGTAGAATCCGTCCTTACCTTTCCTCGACTCTGGTTCCGCTTGTAGAACCTTGTAGCTCCACTTGCTTCCACAACTCACCCCGTTCTTTAGCGAGTACTGCAGGCAGAAATTGCTTTGCACACCTCGCGATTGAACTTGCAAGGCAATCTGGATTCGTTCTTTGAAAATCAAAAAAAAATGTTTGTAAATATCGTTGAAAACAAGTAAAAAGCAAAAAGTGTTGGAGGACTAGAGGATTGAAAAAACGTCCTTTCGATTGATAGAAGTACGGTATCTGCAAATAATGTAAGTAAGGACTCCCGTCGGGATACGACGACAACGAAATTAATAGTGTTCAACAAGCGATCGCAATTTTAATTCATATATTCCTATTCGTGCTTAGATGAAGAAACTCTTTCTCTACTTTGCAGCTTGGCGGGGGACAACGAAAGCGTATTCAAATATAATTATAAAATGTTGGTCGTGCTGCAGTGGGAAAAAATGTTTCTTTGTGTTTCGCAAAAAAAAAAACAAAAAGTATTTGATATAGTGCGAACGCAAAAAGTGCTGAGATTCTGCAAATTGTGGATGTGAAGTTGGTCGGCTGAGTGATGGCAGAGGACCAACGGAGGATATCCGACATACACAGCGTCAACAACCTGCGAAGAAATGAAATGATCGCACTACTTTGCAATGTATGAGTCAGTCCCAGTCGCTGTTGGCAGTGAAACGTATTAACAAAGGACGACGCTTCAAAAATCACAAGAATTCCATGGTATTTTTTCTTTTTAAACACCACGATATACAAGAGCGGTTTCCAGAACGACGAGTTGTGACCGACTCTAACGAAAAAAATGCACGAATTTCTACATACTCTCTACACGCATCCAGTTCATTTTTAACATTTTCTTTGCTCGCCGAACCAGTGCTTTTGCCTTTAGAGAGAGGAACGACAGGACGAGTAGTCACCGAGAACGTAGCTGTAGGGCTGTTTTTTGGACGAGGACGACGAAACAACTACTCCTCGCCACACACGAAGACCGACTTTGGGCGGGAAGCAAAAACCTGCATAACACCGAGGACGCGAGGCTTTTTCGGTTTTTCATCCACTGTTCTTGTAGTTCATAAACTATCACTACTGCGATTACGAATGAATGGCGCAGGCTTAAGCTGAAGTCAGACGAAGCGCACATGGCAGATAGACAGATGAGGTTTATAGATACTTTTTTATCGTGCTTCAAAACCACAATTAAAATCCTCAACCTAAAAGACCGAAAAACGAACCCTGTCTTGAACAAAACCGATGACTGCAGACAGGGAGCCGGCTGAAAATGCGCTCGGCCGGTTTACAAGGTTATGTTGCTCGACGTCCAACGGGCGTGCTTAAGTGGTGCTGGAAAGAACATGCAACACTACACAAAACAAAAGCACAACATCAGACCGCAGAAATCTTGCAATCCTTCGTATGTGTTCTACAGATCCGGTATCGACGGTAATCGTGTAGTCTACAGTTTTTTCTGGCGCGCCGCAGATGCAGCTCCAACTACGTCTGCTGGTGCTGCAGTATTATACTTCAGCATCACAAACTAGTTGTACTTCTTTTTGGAACTGCGTCAAAGGAGGTTTTTTGTCATGCACAAAAGCGAAGATGGTGCATGTGCAGGAAGCTGGAGTGCAGGTATACATTGACAAAAACAGTTGCTCGTTACCCTGGACCAAAGATTCGCTCCGCCCATACCTCAGGTGAAGAGCAGCCAAAAGACCGTTTCGCGGCTATCGTACGAAAAAACTGCTATTTCACTGATGTTAACCGATTTTGGTTTTGCATGAAATTATAAAGGTTGGACTGCCCAACGAGGTCCTTGTTCCGCCTAAGGGAAAACTTCGCAGCTTAAAATCCGCTGTTTTGCATTCCTAGCAAGACGGAGACAAACCCATCTCAACTTCTGTGCTGCAGGACATGCTGCATTTTCGAATCCGAAAGTTACCACAACTGAAGCAGTTTTTCCTATACGATAGCCGATGTTCAGAGTCGAGTGCCACCAGTCGTCGGGTAGCCACAATGCTTCGTCTTCATTTTGCGTGCACATTTGAATCGTCGCCAGTATCCTGGAGAAAAGCGTGCCTGTACCCGTTTCAGATGGAAGATCTGGGAAAATCTGCTACGGCTACGCAGGTTCGAAAATTGATTTGCAAACTGCGTAGGACAAGCCTGAACCCGATGCAGTGCGGTCTTCTCTTCGTGCTTTTTATCGATGAAGACTTCGCTACATTTTCTATATTCTGATTGATGGAGGTTGGCAAATTGCGAAAGAGCAACACGAGTTGTTAAAAAGGCCCTCCATGCCTACCAGCATGCAACCAGACTTGCACTTGCTTCATATGACAATCCGCATGACAAATTTACTGTCGTGGGCACGTTTTATTTCCACAGGATAGCGGAGTCTTTATCTTCTTGGTCGTAGAACCAGTTGAAGCTCGACTTTTCCGGGTCGAAGGGTGCATCTATCAATTGCAAATATGTCTGATTCTGGAAGATTCTGAGACTTGTCATGCACGTTTTGCATGAGTCATGATATCTGTGACGCGTGCCCTAGCATCACAGATTTTTTGAGGGCTTCTTGATGCATATTCCGCATGACAAATGCCTTCTCCGCGCAGGAAAAATTGCACTCCCTTTGCTGCTCATGCAATACAGATTTTTTTGGAATCCAACTGCAGCATCACAAGTTGCATCCTTCCAGACCTAGACATATTTGCAATGCATAGGATCGACGGGTTTGCTATTTGCAGCGGAGGAGGTGAAAAGGGGTTTCTTTTCCACGTGTCGATGTCCTTGGGGATTCAGATTGTCCTGCTTGGTAGAAGTGGTTTTTGCAGCTTTCATCGAGTTGATCTTGTGATCCTGAAGTTGTAGATCCTCTTGGTCTTGTTTCGTCGCGGAAGCGACGACTCCTCCAGCCAAGTCCCCACTGTTCATCGCAACGTCGAAAAGATCAGACTCGGTTGACCCGCCGTGTCGCCTAGCTCCTCCGCGTCGCCCCGTTCTCGCCAGTTCTTTCCGGTGCGCTGCTGCTGCTGCTGTTGACGGGGAAGTGCGGCTGGGAGCAGGAGAAACATGTTCCAGGAGGTCCACCTGTTCTGTACTGTCACCAGTCGACTCCTGCACTGATCTCGCGCCCACGATATTTTCGATCCCGACTGAAAGCAAGTTTGTGCCATCCTGCGTGGATGAAGTTGTAGGCGTCTTTATCAACAGTTCGACATCCTCGATTTTTGAAGACGTGCTGGCGGACACCTCCGTAGTACTATGGGCTGCAGCTGCAGCTCTTGCGTGGGCGGCCGGAATTCCTTTTCGCTTCACCTCCGAGCTGGTCGGCGCGACAAACCAGCGCTTGCGCCGGTATGAAAGTGGACAAGAACTTCTCGGCACCCACTACTTCCTCTCCTTTGTACTACAGCATCTTCAGCGACAGAAAGAGGTCCGGAAAAATGCAGCAACTACCGGACAAATTGACGTCCGGACAATAGCGCGGTTTATTGGGATTCATCCGGTCCTGGACGAACTTGTATATGCAAATACTGTCCAATAGCAAACTACCAAGACTTATGCCGATTTTGCATGACAAGTGAGGAGGGGACCATCAAGGGGGTGTTCGGAGTTGTCCACTATCTTAGTCCATTTGTCACTTCGAGCAGGGCCCCTCCGTGCCGGTGCAACGGGATGCCGGACCCCGTCCGCCCGATCCCGAAAGCCAGGGCGCCATGCTCACTGTTGGGCAGCCACGACGGGCGCACGTTATGCAATGCAAAAGCATCGTAGAAGTTGTAGAACCCGTTACTAGTAATTCTAATTGCAAGCAGGCATTGGCATTCCAAACCTCTTTCTGAAGGTAGACGCGCATTACAAATTCGATTCTCCTGCTAGAGAAACAGAAACTTGTCGTGCGCTTTCTACTAGTACGATGCAACTTTTGCGTGGGATACACGTACTCGTCCAGTAACTCGGGCCAAAAATTGTCGCCGCACAGGTACCAGTATGGATTGCAAATATGTCTGGGTCGTCCTCTGGATTTGTGATGCGGGAGCGGGACTTCAAGGACAGCAGGTGAATGATCTGTATATGCCCTAATGCGATTGGACAATTTTGTTGTCGTGCTGTATGGAGGTAGTTTGTAATGCTAAATGCGAATGAATCCGAAAGAAGCTCAAGCTGAGGAAAACTTCTAATTACTGTTATGCCGTACAAGCAGCCATTCTGCAAAAGTGGCAGCAACCGTTACTTATACAAGCTCCGCCCCCAGACATATTTTAAATGCGTAACCAGGTGGTGCTAGCATTTTTCTGCAGCTCGTGATTATGCACTGCAAAAGTATCGCACTCGTATAAATGCATTACAAATCTTCTCAGCGTGAGAAATGAAATTTGTAATGCTGATTTGCCTTGAGAGAGAGATTTGTAATGCATGACTGCAATTACTACGAGTGCGATACTTTTGCACAGGATAGTGATCGAGCGATGGCAGCCTCTCGAAGGTTTTCAAATACTCCGCGAAGCTCATGTACTTCTTGTCGTGCGAGTAAGTAACCGCGTTGGACAGAATCACCTGCTTATCTCCGAACTCGCGCAGCATCCTGTGCTTCTGCGTCTTCGCCTTCAGGGCGTGGTTGAGTCGGTATATGGAAGTGCCAGAATCGAAATTGACAAAATCGAAATGATTTGTCATGCATAAAATGGATTCCAGTTCGAACCCAGTTTCTAAGCGGCGCATGACAAATTCTGGTGATACCTAAATCCAGTTTGTGATGCTGTTTAGGCAAAGAAGACTGATTCTCTCATGCTGCTTCAGCAGCTCGAGCTATAACCCCAAACAGGCTTACAATCGGCCTCACTTGCCTGCTCTGAAACACACGTATTTCGCGTCATGCATTTTATGCATCACAAGTTTTTCGATTTTATCAATTTCGATCCTGACAGTTCCATACGGTAGTTCGTGAACATGTAGGGTTTATTGGACCAGCTTTATCCAAATGAATAAATTATGGAAGCGTCAGGTTTGAAATCGTCAAAGTTGAAATAATTTGTAATGCATAAAATGCATGACCCGAGGCACGTGTGTTGCAGAGCAGGCAAGTGAGGCCGATTGTAAGCCTGTTGGGGGCTACAGCTCGAGCTGCTAAAGTAGCATGAGAAAATCACTCTTCTTTGCCTAAACAGCATGACAAACTGGATTTACTAACCACCGAAATTTGTCATGCGCCACTTGGAAACTGGGTTCCAAATGGCGTCCGTTTTATGCATGACAAATTATTTCAACTTTGTCGATTTCAACTCTGACACATCCATATAAATCGAGGAAACCGTAGACGTTCCGGCGGTAGATAATCAATGCATGGAAACGAAACTGTTCTTGTACAAGAACTTCAGTAAATCATATTCCGCATGACAAGTCTCATGCTCCTTCAGGTTGGCAACAATAAATTGTCTTCATCCGACATCACTATAATCCATTTCATTTGTGCTACATGTACGGTCACGTCGGTTGTAAATTTGTCTTGCATAAGTCCAAGCGGGCGGGGTCAAAATCTGGACTCGAGACGTCGATCTTTTCCCAGTCGTATCCTGTGCAAAAGTATCGCACTCGTAGTAATTGCAATCATGCATTACAAATTTTTTCCTTCAGGTAAATCAGCATTACAAATTTCCTTTCTCATGCTGAGGAAATTTGTAATGCGTTTATACGAGTACGATACTTTTGCAGTTCATAAGTCGCACCGGTCCACATCGCGGAGGAGAAAATCGTATCCGACAACAGTGTATCCTGTGCGAAAGTAGTATCGCATTCGTATAAATGCAAGTCTTGCATTACAAATATTTTTCCTACAGGTATATCAACATGACAAATCTTATTTTTGATGCTGCGCAAATTTGTAATGCATTTATACGAGTACGATACTTTTGCAGTTCATACGGTGGACCAGTTGGCTTTATTCTCGACGTGCGGCGATTCCGGCTTCAGCATTTCTGGCTCCGTTGAAAAAGACGTGCCGGACGTGGTCGTCCTCGTGGCGCCGGGAGATTTGGGTCGTGGACCTGCAGAAGTCAATGCCGCAGTTGTAGTACCGGTCCTGGTGGTATCCTCCTCGTTAGCTGCAGGACCACCACTACCTGCACGGTGAGCAATAAATTTTTCCAAGACTTCTTCATTTTCAGACGAAAGTTCCACTTCCTCCGAAAATTTTTCCTGCTCAAAAAATCGGATCTGCATCAAGTCCGGGGTTTCCGCGATGGTGTCCTTCCGTGAATTAGAGTCTTTGTGCAGCATGGGATCGTGCAAGTAACAAATCTGTTGTGGGTTCTCGGAAGTAGTGGATGAAACACCTCCTTCGCCGGCGAGGAGACACGTCTCGGTTTCAGGACGACCTTCCAGCGCCTGTTGCGCCACCTCTTCACTACTTTCTTGTGGTGGAAGCGCAGACGTAGTGGTAGTGGGAAGCGTCCTCCGCAGTAGTTCCTCTTCACCTCCGTCCACGAAAGGCGGTGAAAATCCGTCGACGCTTGCTTGACGTGTTGACTCAGCAGGGTCCACTTCCTGATCAGGAGGTGCTGTGCTGGTACCCGCTGCCTGTCCGGAAAAGTGCTTGTCACCTTCACCACGACGGGGAGGTACTAGTTGCACATGTTGTTCAATAACGCCTGCATCCGCTCGGGCGAAAAGAAAAAGACGGCCCAGAGACTGTTGCTCTCCATTCTCGCCACCGAGGATGGAAGACCACGTGAGCAGGCTGAAAATCGTGGCGCAGAGGAGGAAAATGGACACAAAGTAGGCGACAGCAGCTTTATCTCGCGATGGCATAATTCGGCGACGAAATAATCTCGATTCTGACCGACACGTCGAAGTAGTGCCGCTAGTACAACAACCGTCGTCGGAGAACATTTTAGCGTAGTTCTTTGGCCGAAAACGAAAATGATCGGTGCGGTGTCGTTGTTTCGCTCGGTCGGGACGAAGTACTTCCCAAGCGACGAGACGAAAATGCCTGTCGTTTAAATTTGACGCAGGCGAGCCGGAAGAAAAAAGCGTCATGATGTAGTGGACGGCGGTAGGTCCGACCGTCTTCGTGGTGATTGTGGTAAATGCAGACTCGGGCACCAGAAGCGCCAGCCACTCAGAATTCTATTGACCACTACACAACTTGTCCTCCTTGTCCTTGGGCAGCAGATGGAATGATCACAGAACCTGCTACAGCTTTCGCGCAGATGATCAGCTAGATCTCCATAGAGCTTTTTTTACGCACGATTGCAATCATCACTATCGGACAATAACGCCACAAATCATACAAAAAATGGTGTCACGTCAACATCTTACCAAACAGAAAAGTTGATCTGATCCACTACAAAAGCAAAAAATAAAGAATGTCGCGATCTTGTTCGCCTGGTGCTACAAAATAAACCAAAGCTACTGGACCTGCTCTTATTTCGAGATCTTTGAAAACAGATAAACAGATGTAGTTTTTTCGACCGAACTCGTACTTGAACTTGTTAGGTAGAAATATACCACAGGATCCAGCTGGCATAAAGTTATGTGCGTGTTGAGCTTCATCTTTGCCATCAAATCCCACCTCGTCCGTAGCACTATCCTATGACAAACAGGCGCAAATATCTGCTCAACACTCTGGCCAGTCACGTGCTTGCAGCACACGGGCGGATCGTGTAGCAGAAAAATCCTTCTTCACTATAGTGAAGATGCTGCAGCAAGAGAAACAGCTGGAGCTGCAGCACTTCGTTCTACATTTCACCAGGAGCAAATAGTAATAGATCGAAAGGGGAACACAGTTGATCTTGATTAGGTGAAGTTGACCCGGCGGCGCCTGGTTATCTCTACTTCTACTTCATCTGCGATTTGGTTAACCTAGTTTCGGGAAGAGCAAGAAGGCAAGGAGGCCCAGGTTGGAAGAGGTCGTGCGAATGGAAATTCGCGGTGTTTGTGTAGTTACAATGTCCTAGCTCACCATCCACCTGGTAAAAATGGTCTACACGCAGCCCGATCTTCTACTTACAATGGTCTACACGCGCCAATGAGGGGCGTGGCGCCCGCGCGAGACCCGCGCGCGCCGCGCCAAATCGGGGCCGCGGCCGGCGGTCGGGTCTGTGGCCCGGGAGGGGGGGGGTGCATCCGGGGCCCTTTTTTTCGGAAAATTGCCCCCCTTCTTGGGGGGGGGGGTAAAATGGGGCCCAAAGTGGCCCATTTTACCCCCCCCCTGTAGCATCGGGGGAAGGGCCAAAATTGCCCCCCCCTCAAAAGGGGGGTTCATTTTTCGGCTTTCTTGATCCCCGGGCCCCCGTTTGCTGCTTTGCCCACCCTTTGCGCGCGCACCTGCTCTGTTCTTGTCGTGGCGCCCCCTTGTCTATTGCCTTTTCGTCTGCTTCAACCGAGCGAAAGACGCCCACCGAGGTGTGGTCTACCTGCCATATGACTAAAATGCTTTGTGGCCTTGCAACTGAATAGCACCCCAGCGACATCATCCAAGAGAAATCATGAGCGACCCTCCGTGGCCCCGGCACCTCTTCGCTTCGCGGCCATTAGCAGGCCCGCGCGACAGCTTGTAGGCGTTCCGGCGGCGTCATGGTGCGCCTCAACTGCAATAAGCTCTGGCTGCCGAAGGAGGCGACAAAAAAAATATCGCCAAACGTATGGGCGGCCGCAATGGAGGCCTCCGGCCTGCAGGACGCGTCCCCGAGCGGACAGTGCAGCGCCGCGCCGGAGAAGTGCAGGATGCGTCTTGCGCAGCTCGTCGCGAAACCGCCGGCCGCCCCCACCCAAGCCTCCCAGAAAGGGGACGCCAACAAACAGCAGAAGGAGTGGACGACCACGGTGGGCATCAGCAGCGACGACGACCGCGCGAACTGGGAGAGGATCTTGAGCTGGGTGCCACAGCGCACCAAGCTGCACTGCGTGTGCAGGATGGACATCGACGATGGGGGCACTGCAGATGAAAATCTGAACCCATTCAAATTCGAAAGAGGGCAGGACCTCCACGCAAACGCTTTTTCGAACGCTTGAACATGTACACAGACATATGAAAAAACACGCCCGCAATCTGGGGAAGTGGTTACTTCCCCAAATCAAGAAAACAACTAATTTCGCCCCCCCCTTCCAAGGTGTTCCCAAAAAACATGTACTTCTTCCGATTTTCTGGTCTAATAAAAATGGTCTACACGCAGCCCGATCTTCTACTTACTTCGTCGAAACAGCAGGGCTAAAACAACCGCCCTTGGCTGCCTCGCGATCTCATCTTTTTCAGCGGGGAAAAGCTCTGTCTGTTAGGTCGTGGGGGGAAGGTCGTGATGCTGGTAAAGATGTATCTATGCGAAAGGACGGCTGTGATTTTGTATTTGTTCAAAAAACTTGTACAGACTACTTGTCCACCAGGATACACAATCGTAGGTCAACATATCAAAGAAGTCGTAGTCGTACTACCATTTACTACAAATACAAAGCGATCATACTAGCGTTCATTTTCAACTACAGTCTGCGCGAAGAAATCCGAATCAACTCATTTTCTTTGAAATGTTCGTTCATATTTTATTCCTTGTGGTACAATTGGTGGACTCTCCTCCGGATCTCTCCTTACAGCAGCAGCGCCGGATCTCTCCTTACAGCACAAGTGGCGGAATCAGTATTTATTATGTGCTGCTTCATCAACATCTCGGTAGAAGAAGATGTGCTCCGACTCCTTGTACTGTATACTTCCTGCCCCTGCGTGGTGCCGACTGCGTCGTGGAGCTCTTTGTCGTGACTGACTAAAGATGCTGCGTCAACGAAGTCCGGTATAAACTGCGTCCTCGAGGGTCGTTTGGCTTCCAGCGTTGAAAAAAAACCGTTCTTTGCTCGTCTTCTTCACTTCTCGTATCGTCGTGTAGTTGACCGCCGTGGGATCATCGGCGTAGACGATCCCTTGTTCGCCTAGAATTGTTCTTCGCCTAGAAGTACTGAGCAGTGTGAAACAGAAAGTCGATAAACTTTTTCTCGTTCTCCAGCACTTCTACTTCGCGTTACTCTGCGATGACGTGCTGCTCGTTACCGACTTTATTGACTGCTTCGACTGTGTGTTTTTTCCCATGCCGCCGCTATTTATGCTAGAGAAGTAGAAGGTACTGTTTTCTAGAATCTAAGAGCTGCAGTGACGGTCTTCACGACAAGAAATTCGTTTCTGTTACGTGGAAATCGGCATGTATAACAACTGTACAAACAAGAACGTCCTGTGCTGGAGCTTGTTTAAGAGAGTTTCGCAGCGTTTCTAGAATGAATCAGTATAGTCTTTTTCTCGTCTCATACTTCCGTTGACGATGACATTCGACGCCCCGTCCGCCTGCTGCTGGTGAAAGTCGGCGATCAGGTTCATGTATGCACTGCAAAAGTATCGCGCTCGTAGTAAAAATCGCTGTCATGCATTACAAATCTAGTTGGTTAGGTAAATCCGCATTACAAATTCAATTTGTAAAAATGCTGAGCCAATTTGTATTGCGATTTTTACTACGTACGATGCTTTTGCAGTGCATATCATGGCCTCCTGGGTTTTCAGCTGCAGGTCGGACACCATGTCGGTCAGCGACCCGTAGATCATCTCGTCCCGCTTGTTGCCCTTGTGTATCATCTGCTCCGCCTGCGCCTGCTTCTCGTGGCACAGCTCCACCTGCTGCAACAGCTGCTTGTAGCGCTGCTCCATCTGGTTCAACTGCTGCTGGAGCAGGGAGTTCTGCGACTTCAGGGTCTCCACGTCCCGGTTGCTCGCGGCTAACACTGCGGCCTGCGCCGCCGAATCTTGGTATCAAAATGAAAAAATGTTGTTTCTGGGTCCTCTGGAAAGGGTTTTTATCCTGCTCGGCTGGAGGAAAGAACTCCATAGGAACCGCTTTGTTTTCCTCACGCGCAGCCAAGCATGAGAAGTTTTGGTGACGCGGGGGCCCATCATTTGCTGCGTATTGTCCATGACAAAGTTTTACGAATCGCGTTTTATTCCCATGAGATGACAAACAACGGGAAAGACTCCCCATCTAGCATGACACGGTTGAAAGTCAGGCCAAATAAGCAAGACAAATGCAAGAAATCTTGCATGATTCACCTTTCCAGACCCAAAGAACATCACATTTGCAATGGATATTTGGGAAGTAGAAGCGTTGTCCGCGGAAGTAGTGGTTGGCTTCGCGCGCGCGCCCCGTGGTCTGGTGGTTGTACCTCCGGCTCCGGCGGCAGGCTGTTTCCGTGAGGTAGAAGATGAGAATTTCAAGTATGCACGACAAATGTTCCGTCGATCATGTTGACATCTTCTTCTCATGTACTACGGACTGTTTGATTTACAAGGTTACGAGCAAAGTATTTCAAAAAATGGAAATGTCTACATACATCATTCGCTCAAATTCTACTTCGACTCCGAAATGTAACAAAGACGCAACGAAAGAAAATCATCATCTAGCAAATCATCAACTCTGTCCATCAACTAGTTCTAGTACCTGCTGCACCACCTGCACGACGACGTTCTCGCTGCTGTTCCCTCCGCCAAACCACGAGCATCCGTTCAGGAACCAAAAGTTGAACCAGAGAAAAAGCACTGCCAGGTAAAACACCGCCACCGGGGGGTGCTCGTAGAAAAACGCGGACAGCTTCACGGTCTGCAGACTGGTATCAACTGCAAAAGTGTCTGGGTCTGGGAGGATGGGACTTGTGATGCGTCCTGTGGGTCACACAAAAATCTGTGTTGCGTGATCAGCAAAAGTTGTCCTTTTTTAACCAACACGAGCGGGAACTTCTCATGCCGGGTAGGCATGATAGAGACTTCGCAGAATTTGTCATGCTAGGTCCCGCATTCCAGACCTCATGGGGCATGTAAAATATGCATGACAAGTCTGCATTCGTCCAGACCCAGACATTTTTGCATTTGATAACTGGCGTAGAATTCCAATTCCGTCGCGAACCACTTTGCGTAGACTGGCACTGCTATGCAATGTAAATTTCCCGCACATGTACAAAATGCATGACAAATTCCGCTAACTTGCAGTGTACAACTTGTCATGCTAGACTAGGATTGAAGGCAAGTTTTGTCATGCAGAGACTGCATTTGTACGTGTACGGGAAATTTACTGTGGATAACTGCGTACTTGAGTTTATCCAAAAAAACCTCTGAACTCAATGCGTCGACTTTCTTCACGGAGGGGGTCGCGGTCGCCGTCGCACCTCTGCCGGCCGCTGCTTTCGACGTATTCGGGCCCTGCTGTGATCTCGCGTGGTTGTGCGCCGGAGGGGCTACTCTAGTGGAAGCAGGCGCAGGATGCTGCTTGTTGTTTTGGTGAGGCTGCGGCTGTGAATGTGATTATTTGAGGTTGATAAATCGGATGTACAAAGGAGAATGGCAAATGTTGATTTTTTTGTAAGTATGTTCTTCATATACATATTTGCTTTGTTCCAAAACTTGAAATCGCAAGAATGCCGAAACAAGACGACCTGCTTCATCTTCGCCCCTGTAGAAATCTTGCCACCAAATAAACTACACGCACGTACAAGTAAAGATAAGTACCTCGGCCGCCGTGTTTTGTTGCTGCTGTCCCCCCGGCTGCCCGGCCGCTGGCTGCTGTTGCTGCGAAGTCGATCCGACCGTCGCCGCAGTGTCTCCTCCTGGGGCCGCCCCCGGCGGTACCTGACCACCTCCCGGAGGCGCCACGCCCTGTGCAGTCGCTTGCTGTTGCTGCTGCTGCCCTTGCTGCTGTTCCTGCCCTGCTGATAACGACGCTGCAACGCCTGGTGGGCCTGTGAGATGTTGCTGGTGGTGCTGTTGTTGCGCCCCTCCAGCGGGCAGAGAGGCCGACGTGTCTGGTTGTTGCTGGTTGTAACCTGGAGAACCACTAGCAGCAGGAACTTGTTGGTGTTGATTCAGTTGTAAAGACGGGTCTTGCAATTGCTGCTGCTGCTGCTGCTGCGCATTCACATTACCGACCGCATCATCTTGCGGAATCTGTCCTGGTAGTTGCTGTTGTCCGTTTTGTTGTACTACCCCTCCAGCACCTGCCGCTGCTCCTTGCTGCTGCTGCACCGGGTCGACCCCCAGCTGCTGCACCCCCTGTGTAATTGTGGCAGTACCTGCTCCAGCAGCGGGATAATTGTTGTTCCCAGCCGCGCCGAGGTTCATTGGCGTTCCCAGGTTGCTGTTTTCCACCTGGTGAGCATGAGCAGTACCATCGCCCGGGACCACGCCAGCACTTCCCTCCGCTCCGCCGAGCATTTCCCCGGCATTGCCGAAAGCATCGCCGTCGAACATCTCCACCTCGGGCAGAGCTTCGTTGCTCAGGCCAGGCTGAAGATTCGTGCTGCTGTGAAGATTTTCCGTGCCTGCGGGTGTGGCTTGCTGCTGCTGTTCTTGGTAAGCAGAGTCCTGCTGTTGATGTGCGGGAGCTCCTTGATGTTGGAGGTTCATTTGTTCACCTGCGTGCTGCTGCGGCTGGCCTGCAAGAACAGGTGGCCCCCCAGAAGCCGTGGTTGTTTGAGGACTCAACCCGCCCTGTTGTTGCTGTAGCAAGACCTGTTGCTGTTGTTTTTCCAGCTGCTGCTGCATAATCGCATCTTCGCTCAGCAGCTCGAGCTCCTGCTGTTGCCCAGAAGATGCCGCAGCCTGCTGTTGCTGCTGTTCCCGCACGATGGTTGCCGGGTCCACAAACTGCTCCGGATAGCCACCTTGTTGTTGGCCTGCTCCCACAGAATTCTCATGCGTAGAAGTTGTCGGGGGAAGTACCTGATCCGACGGAGGAACTGCTCCACCTGCTGCGATCGGCATGCCAGTAGCCGGATCAACTGCAGGAGCGCTAGGAATACCACCCGCAGGAGGTGGAATCGCTGCGGGATCGTAAATCGTGTCTTGCTGCTGTCCAGTGGCGGCCTGGACTTGGTTTTGCAGCAGCTCACCTTGTTGGTGGTGCTGCTGTTCCTGTTGTTGCTGCATCATCTGGTCTTGGTGTTGCATTTGCTCAATGTGCTCGACGTTGTTCCCCGTTGGAGGAACATTTCCACCGCCAGCAGCGTCATTCACCCCTGGTATACTAGCTGCGGGGTCCTGCTGTTGATACAACTGCTGAGTTGGTATAGCGCCGGCAGCTCCAGCTGCGCCCTGTAGCTGCTCTTGTTGCTGCTGGTAGTTGTACTGTAACTGCTGTTGCCCAACAGCTCCTGCCCCTCCAATGGGATTGGGCATCTGTTGCTGCGGTTGCCCTTGCGGGGGAATCATGTCAGGGGGAGGGTTCTGCTGTTGCTGCTGGTAATTATTGTTGTACAGCTGCTGTTGCTGCTGCATCGGAATCTGGTTGGCGCCCACTCCTGGAATCATTCCCGCACCTCCAACAGGTTGCTGCTGTACTCCGCCTGCTGGCGGAGGAATCCCACCACTTCCGACATAATTCGGATTGTTAATATTCGGATAGTACGACCCACCAGGAGCAGCCATTCCCGGATTGATGCCTCCTGACGGCGGTTGTCCTACTCCTCCCGGCTGAAGATTCATCTGGGGTGGCATCTGCTGCTGTCCTTGGCCTTGCTGCAGCATTGTAGGTTGTTGCTGCTGCTGTCCCTGTCCTCCGCCAACTCCACTACCCAAATTCATTCCACCACCAGCACCACCGCCCAAAGGAACGCCACCACCTTGCGGTTGTACCACACCCGGCGGCGGGCTCGCCGTGGTGGTCGGAACTGGCCGGGGAGGCTGCTGTGCGTTCTGGCGGTTGTGCCCAATAATCGCGTGGACGGAATGGAGGAGAAAAGTGGATGCGGAAAGTAGACCGGTAAGGAAATAAAGTCGACTTCTCATTGTTGTTGTTTTTCCGTTTTTTGTGTGATATGAGGAAAAGGAACTCACCTTGTTCCCTGAAAGTCGGCTCCTCTGCGAGGACGTCGTGAGGCTGCGTGGTCGGTGGCGTCGTTTATTTTTTACTGGCATAAAAACAGCGACTTTTGTACTGCGTTCTTGATCTTGCCTTCGTCCCGAAGATTTCTTCGCATGACAGGTTCGTCGCTGCGCCACTGCAGACGGAGTTCGTCGGCCGGGATGTAAGCTCGGGGCATTAGAAATTGTACTACAGCCACCTTCGAAGGTTTTTCTTATTTCCGCAGGTTGTTGTATCCTCGCTTCGCTGTCGCTAGTTTGTCTTGATGTAGTTGCGGATCTTCCTCCCGTTGAAAACTCCGTCATTGGATGAGAAATGTCGTCGCAAGTAGAACTTCTGTCGCAGCTATTCTGCTGTGTACAACCCCCTGACGGAGCAGGAGATGGAGAAACAGCGGCTGCGCCGTCAACAAGAACGGACAAGGGAGTCGTTGTTGAATCCATTTTCTTGGCTTTGACAAGTTCGTACTCCCTGCTGTAGTTCCTCTATCTCTACGTCGCTTTCTCTACTACTCTCGTCGGGTCGTGCCAAGTTCTTGTACTAGGCCAAGTAGTACCAGGGCGGCGCCTTCTACTACTGTGCTGTCACTGGTAAATCTTTGTAAGGTTACAGTGAAAATAGAACTAGCCTGTTTCACCTTGACCTTTTTCTTTTTCGGACTATGATGTTGGAAGTACTAAGTCGCGTAGAGGCTTTAGCGAACAACCTCAAAACCAAAATCTAAGCCATACATCAAAGTCGGTAATGGTAAAAATCAAGTTGAGATGAAATATGGTGTTGAAAGAAAGCGCGTCTTTGTGTCGGAACTTTAGCTACTTCATCACAACACTGTAGGTGCACGTGTAGAGAAATCGTTGATAGGTATAATGAATTGATAGCGCCGGGGGCGCGGCTCGTGGTCTCTCAAATGATTGAAACTTGAGAAAGTTGTGTATGCATAGACATAGATTGAATTCTTTCCCTAACGTTCTTCAGCCTTGCAGGTCCTACCACTTGTTCCTACTGCATTTCGAGGATCTTCCTTTTTGATTTTGGCATATCTTCCAGCGAGGAATTTCGATCTGTTTATTGGAACATCAAGAATGCCACGGAAAAATCTTTTACAGGTGACTTCTTAACGTTAACGACCGAGGAAAGCAGCGCGACGTGGACACGTACACGTTGAAACATTTTGCTCTCATACATTTGTTCTTCCGCAGGTGAAGGCGCCAAGATTCTGTCAACATCGTACAACAAAAAATTACACTCGATCATCACGTAGAATCTGTCCACTCAACACAGCACCCAGCAGTCAAATGTGTTTTGTTTGGAAAAGAAAACATAGTAGTGTTGTATCTATTCTTTCAACATATTCTACAAAAAAAATACTCAGCAATTCTCCCGACAGCCCTTCAGTGGAATAATTCCCTCGTCGCCCCGCTCCCCGTGAACCAAGTAGCCCAGCTTCATTGTCTTTTCAGATTTTTTTCCGATAGTACTAGGACTACCGTTCTTGGGTAGCAAAGAACTCTTCCCGACCACAGTAGGAGCCACACTTTGTTCAACATCCTTACCAGGTACAACAGTTGCAGGCTCTGGGTCCTCGACGTGCTGCGCCCCGTCGTCCGTGTGGTCGTCCATAGCTCTTGTAGTGCTCTTCTTGTCCACGTTGCCAACATCTTCTGCCCCGTAGTTGTACACCCTCGCGACGTCCACATACTCGGAATTGATAAACCCGAGTCGTGGATGGTTTTTCGAACGATCGCGGCCCGCACCTCCGTGTACGGCATTCGATAATGAAGACTCCACCTGGTACTGCTCTCCTCCCCCATGCTGATCATCGCCGCTCAAAAACTGGTATCCTGTGCAAAAGTATCGCACTCGTCGTAATCGCAGTCATGCATTACAAATCTAGTTCCCAAGGCAAATCAGCATGACAAATTCATTTGTCATGCTGAGCGAATTTGTATTGCAATTACTACTAGTACGGTACTTTTGCAAACCATAACTGGAACACAGTCGCGAACTTGCGCAGAAACGGCATGCCCAGAATCAAAAGCGGTCCCCGCCCGGTGTCCTCGGGGCCGTCCATGAAGTGCAGCCAACAGTAGTCTTTCCTGAGTGAAAATGTCCTCACACGAGAGGCAAGATGGGAAATCCGCTGGACAAATCCACAAGCCTTGGCTGTTTTGCATGACAAATTTGGACTCGCAGCGTAGTGCTGTTTAAGCTAGCTCAGCACCAGCATCAAAGGTCTAGTATATCATGCTGATTGGAGCATTACAAATTCCAAAACACAACTAGAAAATGCGTCTCATGTTGGGGCTCCGCATGAGAAACATTTTCAGCATGCAGATTTGCATTGCAACTATCGGGTGGGGACGTTTTTACTCAGGATATAGTCCTTCCCGTCCTCACTCGCCCGGTCCATGTAGTCCTTGTCTTGCAGCTATCCACAGTAAATTTCCCGTACACGTGCAAATGCAGTCTCTGCATGACAAAACTTGCCTTCAGTCCTGGTCTAGCATGACAAGTTGGACTCTGCATGTTAGCGAAATTTGTCATGCATTTTGTACATGTACGGGAAATCTGTATTGCATAGCAGCGAGAACTCGTAGGGAATGTTGTTTTCGCCCCGGATGACAAAGCCCAGGTCCGGAAAGGAATCGATGTTCGTGCAGTCGTTGTCATCGGAAGCGTAGTTCAGCCCTTGCCGCACTTTTTTCACGATTTCCTTCGGACCCAGGATGACAGAAGAACCGGAATCAATCACCGCCTGGCAGTATGGACAGCAAAGCAAAGTACTAATCTTTTTTTGTGTTGCAACCACATGGCATGAGAAATGACAAATCCACTTTTAAAAATACCTGACTTTGCATGGGAAAACAAGTTTCCTTTCATCTGGAAAAATTTGCATATGCAGGGGCAGAAATACTTGCACGTAGAAGTACATCTACGTTGTCGAAGATTATACTTTGCAACGCATAGGCAGCAGGTTGGGCAGTCGCAGTCGAAGCCAAGTGGCTTTCCGCCAATTGTCAGGTCCTCGATCTTCAGCTGCCAGTAGCCCGGATTTGTCACCGGCGTGAAGATGATGCGGTCGTCGAAGGAAGCAGCAGCTCCTCTAGTATTCCCCGGCGAGTTCAAATTGTCCATGCTCTTCACCAAGTTCACCAACTCGCCCAAGCTGGCGTTTTCCAGATTTTCCAGTGTCTTTTGGTTTTCCAAATCCTGCTTCAACGCGATTTTTCGCGGGTTTTCGTTTTGGGCAGTGTTGCTTGCATGCTGGTGCTGTCCACGACCCGCAGCTGGTGGAATCAGTGGCGGAACCTTCCCGAACTCCAACACCGCCGGCGCGTCCACAGATTTCGGCCCGAGGTACATGCTGAAGAGTGGGAGGACTGCGTGAGCTTCTTGTTGTGCACCAGATGATGAAGTTGATGCTCTCTTTTCAGTCTTCTTCTGTTCTTGTTCCCCCTTCCACCACTTTAGCAGAAAGGATTCGTTCTCCCCGAACGAAATGTCCGGGAGGCTCAGGCCCATATCAAATGCAAATATGTCTGGGTCTGGAAGTAGAGTGTAAGCTTGTCATGCAGGATTTCCATGACTCGTGAGGTCTGGAATGCGAGACCTAGCATGACAGAGTCTGTGAGGTCTCTGCCATGCCTATCCTGCATGAGAAACTCCCTGCAAACTTGGTCGAAAGTGGACACCTTTTGGCACTCATGCAACACAGATTTATGCATGATTCAGATTTAGCATGACAAGTTGCAATCTTCCAGACCCAGACATTTTTACAATCCATAGCCCAACACCGCCCCCCATCTCGTTTCGTTTTTCGGAAACACATCTTTGTCCTTCTCCACCGCTAGGAAGTGAAAATCCGGCACGCAGGAGGCTGGATTCTCCGGTTCGAAGCAGAGCGCGTCCTTGGTGAACTGGCCGAAGACGGAGCCAGAGGCGAAGTTCATGCGGACTTGGTAGTCTTTGGTCGTGCTCGCGGAAGTAGCGATATTAGCAGGGGTCGTGCCAGTACTAGTTGACGATGCTGATGCCACCTTGCGGCCCGATTGTTCCTTCTGGGAACCAAGTTTGCCATGCGCATCTTCCTGGACCTCGTGGACTGTGTTCTGGTTCTGTGAGTCTGTGGCCTCTCGTTCTTGTCCTCCTCCGCTGCCATGCTTCCTCTTGTCCTTCTTGACTAGAAAGTTCGTGACGTTGAGAAACTTTTTCTGGTCCCCGGAAATCAGACCTTTCGAGAAATCAATCGCGAGGATATTATTCTTTGCTTCACCTTGTTCGGCTTCCTCGTCTACTCCCGTAGAGGTAGAGGCTCTTGCAGGAGTACCTCTATACTGGTTCGCCATGCTTGCTGCGGCGACGGCAGAAGAATAAGGCCGCACAGCTCCACGATCTAGCTCGTACCGCGGGTGCACTTTGCACGAGTCCGAGTCGCATTTGGTACTCGGGTATGCATTTTTGCAAAAGTACTACGTAGATGTAGAACTAATAGCATCACAAATTTATTTGCCACGAAGAAAAGTAGAATTTGTATATGCTGATTTAGATTTACCTAAGATGGCAGATCTGTCGTGCATCACTTCAATCACTACCGGCACGATACTTTTGCAATGCATATCGGAAGGAAAAACTCGCCACTGCCGGTGTCGAAAAGGACGCGAACTTTCAGCTGCTGATGTTGGCCCAGGTACATGTCCCCCGAGTAGTCGATGGCGTGTAGCTGGTACGTCTTCTCCATTTCCAGCTTTTGCTGGAGCAGGGACTTGTTTCTCTTCGTCCTGTGCGTGATGGAGGTCCCAGTACTAGTGGCGCTATCTGTTTGACGTCCGCGGGCCAGTTTCAGTTTGTCCCGGTCTGCGGCGAAAAATTCCGCTGTGGTCGCACTGCGGTAGGACTTGTTTAGAAAGATCTTGAACCCAGAAGCAAGAGGAGACGGCCTGAGGAAAAGTGACGCAATACACATCGCAGACCACAAGAACCTCACTTGGCCGGCGATGCGCCGAGCCGCAACACCATATGGCCCCCGACGACTGGCGCCCATCATTCCTCTTGGCGGACCAAGGAGGTCAGTAGCTGAACAGGCCATCCTCCGAAGCACCGACAAGGTGAAAAGGGGACGAGACGACGGATTGACTCCGTGGAAAACACGGACACCCTTTGATGTCTTGCTGCTCCTCTTGGTCGGTATTCTGGCAGCTCCTGCGCCGCTCAAGACAACGCAGTCATGGAGGTTCTTCGTACCACAAAAGTACCCAGTAGCGGAGAATCTTTTTGCGTTTCACGTCTCCAACAAGCCACCTGAAACAGGAAAGGATTTCTTCTTTCGGCAGCAGACGGTATCGACCGCGAAGTATCGGCCTGGCGGTTCATCATGTGTTTCACTTTCAACGTCGATCGATACAACGCCGGTCCATTTTTTCGTTCAATAGCAATACTAGAGAGAGTTTTTGAATTCATGAAGCAACTTCGCAAGACGACGACATAATGGAAACAAGAATGGCAAGTCGACCCAGCGACCTGCTGGCACTCGCACTCTGCGGTTCCTGCATTGAAGTCGGAAGAAGTAGAACACAGCGAACTCACAAGCATGTGGGTCTGCTCTGTATTGCAGGCAGTCTCCGGCTCCGCCGTTTGCATACGCGCACGCTGGTCTTGGTGAGCCTTGTTGGAATTTGAGTTTGTTACTCTAAAATGTAAAGTATTCAGCTTTCATTATTGGATGTTGTCGTCTCAGTCCTTTTTTCCCACTCTAGTGGCTCTGTGTGCTAGAAAGAGTTTCTCATGAAAAAGAACAAAACCACTCGAGGAAAACGAAAGTCGTTATGATCCTAGTAGCAAAAAAGCTATAATCGAAGTTCTTCACAGAAATCTGTACGGTGAAAGAAATAGGTGCTATTCTTCTATTGTCTCCCTTATGAAAAATCAATCCCCATGGTGAAAGGTCTCTGGTGCGCAAAGCAACAGATTCCTACTCCTACTACGGGAATATCACAACGATAGAACGTGGACATGTATCACATAGCGTATAGCGTACTTTCCGTACGCATTTTGATTTTCAAGCGGTTCTATATCAACCTTCGTAAAATACAATCAGCTCCACTTGATCTTGATCATACATAGAAACAAGCGGTAATTAAATTTGATTGGGATATTAGAGATCATACGACTGATAAGATATCAACAGACGCATAATTTCACCTGGTTCCAATTCGCGCCTGGACGTCGACGATATTTGGATGTAGAGAAGATAGTCTTGAAAAAACGACGACAACTTCTCCGCATACAGTATCACTCGTCCAGACTTTATGAGGATCAGCTCATCACGCGCACGCCGGCTTTCCCAAACTGCCAATCGGGCGAGCGGGTGTTCCACTTACAGGGCAGGGAATCGGTGTATGGGTTCTCAAACAGCTCGTGAAGTTCCCGGACGACGGACATGTCGCCCTGTTCCGCAGCTTCGTAGGCCAACACCATTTTTTATCCACAGTAAACTCAACACCGTAGTACACGACGTTACGTACCAGTGCGCTTTCATCTGCATGACAAAAATACTGCCAGCAAGAGCCCTACGTATACAGGAGCATGACAAGCCTTTTTTACACCCTGAAGTTGCCGAACTTTGTGATGCATCTGGTACATACGTTTACGTGTTGTACAGGAAATTTGTATTGCATATCATCCAGTTGCGCGGGATTACTGCGGGGGAGGTCGCTTTCATCTCGGCTACAATTGGTTTCTCACTGTTGTTTTTGTTCACCTTCTTCACCATTTCTGTCCAGTCGTCCAGCCACTTCCTGCTATGCATTGCAAAAGTATCGTATTCGTATAAATGCATTACAAATTTCCTCAGCATGGAAAATAAAATTTGTAATGGTGATTTACCTTAAGTAACGCATGACTGCAATACGAGTACGATACTTTTGCACAGGATACCTACAGTTTGGTGACAATTTGGATCCCGTTGAGGAGCTGCCCGTCGTGCTGGTACTACTACCCGCGTCGGATTGGAAATTCTTGTAGTAAAACGCATTTTTGAAAATCACGTCGGCGTTTGCAGCGGTGTTTTTCCCGAAGTTTTCGTCCAAAGCGAGATTCGACAAGGCCCGGAAGAAGTGCGTGAAGTCCAGCTATCGTAAGGAAAAATCCCCCATCCCCATATCAAAAAAGTACGCCTCAGAAAATTTGTAATGCTGATTTGTGACCACAAGTCTTTTTGTCTTGCAAGAAGGCAGCTGTGGAGTCTCCGCCGCATCACGCGGGCGGTTTGTGATGCTGCTTGGGCTACAGCATAGACATTTGTGATGCTAAGCGTCCACGTCAGAGACAAGCTCGGCACTCAGGCACGGCATAAGTTGCCTGCAGTCCTCTACTGCAAGACAGCTCTGATTTGTTTGCGCACATCCAGCATCAGAAACTTCGTTTTGATATGCGGAGGGAGGATTTTTCCTTTTGATACCAGCTTGTCTTTCTCCATTACTGTTTCCAACGCCTCGTAGAGCTTCAAACAGTCGTCGTTCCACGATTCCAGACCCAATTTCTTGCGGCAATTTTCGTAGTGGTTTTTTTTCCACATCTCCGGGTACCCTTGCAACAGCTTCTGCATCTTTTCGATGAGCGACTCCTGCTTTTTCTCGTCGTTCGCAAACACCGCTACCATCGCCTGACACAGCGTCATCAGATATGACAATGCACAACTCCCCCTCCCCCTCATTTGTCATGCAAAATCCCAAATCCAGTCGCTGCCCTGTGGCACTGTCTGCATGACAACTTTCGAAAGCCCAAAGAACAGTAGAAGTACTACGGTAGGCACGAGCATAAATTTGTCTTGCACAGGCTCCAGGGTCGATAGGTCGTGCAATACAAATGAGGGGGAGGGGGAGTTGTGCAGTGTCATATCAGAATCACCTGCCCGGCCAGCGGCTGGTTTTTGTACGCAAACTTGCCCTATGCATTGCAAATATGTCTGGGTCCGGAAACTTGTGATGGTGGTTGGACAAAGAGGAGCACGCCTCAATTGGCTGCCGAGCATGACAAGTTTTGGAGATACTGCAGTGTTGTACATTCTGCATGACAAACTGGGCTTCTGCATGACAGAAAGCAAGTGCTTTTGGGTGATCTGCATGACAAACCTGAGAAACATGCTAACAGAGCATGACAAACCTTTCATCTTTCCAGACCCGGACATATTTGCATTTGATATGCCCTCCATGTCGCCCTCCCAGATCTGCTGCATCCGGTTGTACTCCTCCAGCATGTATCCTTTGCAAAAGCATCGCACTCGTACAATTGGAATTGCAGCTAAGCATGACAAATTTTTTTCCCAGGCTAAATCAGCATGACAAATTCCCTTTGTGGTCATGCTGCGAGAATTTGTATTGCAATTACTACTAGTACGATTCTTTTGCATTCCATAGCATGCCGAAGGGGCCGAAGTCCATCGTCCGCCCGCACAGCAAGGCGTATTGTGAGGAAAAACGTCCCCACCCCGGAGTTGGCATGCAAATACGCATGCTTCAAATGTTTCTCATGCGCAACCCCATGAGAAGACGCGTTTTCTAGTGCTGTTTCGGAATTTGTGATGCACGAATCAGCATGATAGGGAAGGTCTGCAATGCTGCTGAACTAGCTAAACAGGATTACAGGAGGAGGCCAAATCTGTCATGCGAAACAGCCAAAGCTGGTTGATGATTTGTGTAGCAGATTCCCCATCTTGAGTCTGGGGTGGGGACGTTTTTACATGGGATAAGGCGTTGTCGTTGTTCATGTTGCCCTGGATGTACCCCACCCGTAGCCACTCCGTGTGCAGCTTCGCCTGGCGCTGGGCAAAAATCTCGATCATCTTGAAAATCAAATCCACCGAAAGCTGATCCCCATGCTCGTCGTCGTTCCCCGAAGGCAGGAGGTGGTTGATTTCGGTATCAAATGTAAAAATGTCTGGGTCTGGAAGAATGCATGTTTGTCATGCTTGTCTGGCATGACTCCTAAATCTGTCATGCACATTGCCCAAGAGACGTTTTTTTCTGTCATGCGGAGACGCAGTTTGTCATGCAGAATAGGCAACACCTACAAGGGCTCAGAAATTTGTCATGCTGAGCCAGCACTTGTGGCCTCCTCATGCTACGCCACTCAGCATCACAAGTTTCCAGACCCAGACATTTTTACATTTGATATTCGGGAAAGTCGCGCAAAATTGCGAACTTCACGATTTGTACCAGTTCGTGGTTTATGGATTGCAAAAATGTCTGGGTCTGGAATGTTGCCGGGTTTGTCGTGCATATTCTGCGTGACCCAGGATGTCTGTAATGCACGACCTAGCCTCACAGATTTTTAGTTGACTTCCTGATGCCTACTCCGCATGACGAATGCCCTTCCCGCGTAGCACAAACTTCTAGCCTCCTCCTGCTGGTCATGCAATACAGATTTTTTTGGAGTCCAAAGCTAGCATCACAAGTTCCAACCTTCCAGACACAGACACTTTTACATTTGATATGGTTTTTCCTGGTTCGCGCAAACAGCTCCATCTGTCCGACCCGTAGAAAACTGGGACTCGCCCGACACGTGATGGCGCACGGCTCGGTCTTCATGATCTGGTAGTTCTGCTTGATGCTGCTGTCCCCGTACCAGGCCCGCTGGATGGTGGTCTGCGGGCTGTTCGGCTTGTCCCCGCTGGCGTAGAGGCAGAGCGCGCGGGTGGAGGGCACGCCGAGGTGGTAAAACGCCTCGCTGGCGAGGAACTCGCGAATGCTGGACCGCAGGACCGCGCGCCCGTCGTGGTTGCGGCTAAAGGCCTATCAAGTGTAAAGGTGTCTGGGTCTGGAAGATAATTCCGAGATTTGTCATGCAGTTTTTCCAAGCGCCATTAAGTCTGGAATGCAGGACCTAGCATCACAGGATCTGCAGCCCCTTTGTGATGCCTCTTCTGCATGAGAAATGCCCCCTCAGCATGGCCAGAATTTTTGAGCACCTTTTGCAAGTCACGCAACCCAGATTTTCGTATGATGCGCAACATGCATCACAAGTTGCATCCTTCCAGACCCAGACATTTTTACATTTGATAAGGCCGTGCGGCCGGACCCCTTCAGCTGCAGTTCCCAGGTTCTCTCTTGCGTGCCCGCACGGGCCTCCACCTCCACGATGCTCATGGCGCGGCCGTCCCCGTACCCAAACACGCCAAAGGGGGAGTTGGTGGCCCAGTAGCCGTGGACGCTGACTCCGTAGCAGGTCGCCCAGGGGTGGAAATTCATTTTCTGCCACTTCTCCGGAACGGTAGTCGAATCCGCAGAAAATGTTCGCATGAAGTTCTCGTCCTTCTCAAATTGTACGTACTCCAAGTCAAGCTCCCGCGCGAAGGTATCCACAGAAAAAAACCCATCTTCCACACCAAATTTGTCATGCAAAACATACATAAAGTTCTGTGTTTGTCATGCAAAAAATGGATGTGGATTGGTTTTTTTCTCTGGATAGAAGGATTTCGAGTAACACACCAAATACGGGTTCTTCAGCGGCTCGCCCTTGGCGATTACGTAGTGCCCTATGCAATGTAAATTTCCTGTACATGTACAAAATGCATGACAAATTTCGCTACCTTGCAGAGTCCAACTTGTCATGCTGGACTAGGATTGAAGGCAAGTTTTGTCATGCAGAGACTGCATTTGTACGTGTACGGAAAATTTACTGGGGATATGCCCCTTCTTGACCGCACGAGACCGGTGCGGATCCACCACGCCCTGGTCTGGGTCAGTGGACAGATGTTTCAGCTATCCTATGTAAAAACATCCCCACCCCAGAGTTGTCATGCAGATTTGCAAGCACCGGAGCATTTGTAATGCGCATCCCCATGAGAGGCATTTTCCATCGTGTTTTGGAACTTGTAATGCTGCAAACAGGATAAGGAGATGGATTTGCTATGCTGCTTCCCTTGCTAAGCTGCACTACAGTGCACCATGCAACTTGTCATGCGTGACCCCCAAAACTTCAAGGTTTGTGTTGCAAAATCCCCATCTCGACTCTGGTGTGGGGACGTTTTTACATGTGATATCAGCAGTTGGTTGGTCACCGTCAAGTCTCCGAGCTTCTTGGTGCCGGGAGTTGAGGGTGGTCCGGAAGGCCCGGAAGCTCGCGAGGGCGCCGAGGTGGTCATGATCGTTCTTTTTGATGTTGCCTCCTTAGTAGTTTTAGTGTGAGGACAAGAATACGATGATGCCGGCGCAGCTGGCGAAGAGGTCGTCGCTGATACGGTTGAGTGGTTGTGGTTAATATGGGTCCTCGCGGTAGAACAAGTTGATGCCACCTGGCCGACAGTTGTACTGAGCTTCGAAACTACGTGCTGCGACAGCTGCTGCACACGTCGCATAGGAAGCTCAAATGAAAGACAGGTGTGTAGTTAAGCATCCATCCTATGTAGAGTGCAAATGAAATAGCTATGCTACATGAACGTATTTTGGAGGTCATAAGCTCCTGATTTGATGATTTTGCCTTTTTCTGTGGAGAGACGGAGCCTATCGTATCGAAGAGAGTCCAGCAAATGATATGGTGTACTTCTCAAGTGTTAGTATGTTTTCCTTGTGCAGATGGTGATCGTATTTGAAATGTGATCGTCGTCCCGGCGACAAGAAACCGTTTTACTCTTACTTCGGCATGTCGATCACTCTTTGGCTGAACTACTTCTACTAAGTGCGTCCTTTAGAAGATCATGCTCCACCTCCTGCTGCTCATGCACTTTCTTATTTTCATATCTTTGTATAAGGCGTCTTTATTTTTTCCTTCTTCGGAAATAAATAAAGGGTTATTCATTATTTCTACCATGATTCAGGAGGTGCTGTGCGTTTCGCCGCAAGCGCAAGGTCGCTGTTGTACTACATTCATATGGAAGCGGCAACACTCAAAAAAACTGCGGATGATTTTCTTTTCTGAGAAGCGCCATGTCGTTCGCTCTGGAAACACTCACAGGTCTCATTTAGTAGAAGAGCTGCTCTCCTTACGGCCCAAGAGAAGGGGTTCGCGCTTTCTGTGCGTCGTAAACCCTCGAGAAGTAGGAAAGAACACACTCGTGGGCAGCTGCACGTTGTCGCCATCTGACAGACGACGACGTTATGTGCGCGGCATAAATTAACGCGCGGTCGCGCCACGTCGCCGCGGGTGCAATGAGGTTGCACAGTCTGGAGAAGGCACGAATACTTGCGCACTGATCATGATCAGATACTGCCATGGACTTCAGCTAATCCAGCCTCGTCTTCCGGCACTGTGGCTGAGCTGCCAACACGCACCGGCTCGCAACCGCGGCTGAATGACAGACGAAAGCGAAACAAAGTGTTCCGAAAGAAATAACTCGCACCCAGCGCGGGCAACCCAGGACGCGACCGACGGCGCCACGGGCCGGCAGACATACCGAACGCGCGGACGGAGAGCACGCGGGCGCGCCCAACCTATCGAAGACGGCCAGCGAGAATGGTGCGCGGCGCGAAACGCCCGCAGGCGGCGGGGCCGGCCGGCCAGCCGTGCCGCCCCCCGGGCGGGTGCTGGCTCGCTGCGTGCGGCCCCACATTCCGGCCGAAGCTCAACAACTGAAAGGGGGCGCGCGCGTGCTGGTACCCCCGCAAGAAGCCCACAGGCACAAAGCGCGCGGGCCCGCTGGGCCAGCCAGATAAAACGGCCAAGCCGGGAAAGGGGGGCCGACGCAGGCAGATGAAGGCGCACAGGGGTCCGAATTCGACGAAAATGATATCGGGCGGCCCCGACCCCGCGTCTGTGCATCCTCCACTGCATTTTCCAACCCGGCCCATCCGAGGCCGATCGCCATGCATTATCGAGGGCGCGGCCGTGCGTAGGGCCGCCCGGCTTTGGCCTTTCAACATGCCCGGGAATCCAAGCGCGCCATCGCGTCAAAAGCCGGCGGGCGCGCCGCGCACTATAGCACACCTACTGGGGCGCGTGCTCTGCTTCAATACTGATACCAGTAGGCCCATGCTGTTTGTTCCTCTGCTGTGCATCATCATCATGTAGTGGACACCCGCTCCCAGCGCCAGTGTGCGTTGCCGTTGTATTCCATCCTCACAAGTATGACAGTTAGTCGCTTCGGCGGGTCGCGGGGCAACGGCATTTTGTTCGTTCGCTCGTCTCTCTACCTCGTCACAGAAGCACGAGCAGGTCGCTGCAGAAAGAAAAAGCAAGCTCCAAACAGTAACAGGCGCCTCATCTCATGCATCTCAACGCTCGTCGCCCTTCTTCTCTCTCCTTGCTCCGTATAATATCTACCACTTCTGAGGCGCTCGAGGGTGTTCTTTTCTTTGGCGCCTCACTGTGATGTGGTTCCTTCCTGTGCAGCATTCTCAAGGAGGACGGGAGAACAAATACAAAAGAAACTACCCGCAAACCATGCGATCCTCGCATTGGCCTGAGTATGGCCGCAGTGAGTTTGCTTCGTCTTTGATCTACTTTCGTCTCCATTTACTGGGAATATTTCTGTTTTGTATCGCGGATGGAACTTCCTTTCTCTGTGCTGATTTTCGATTCGGTCAAAGAAGCAAGAGCAAAGTTTGCTTATTAGCGCTCCGTGGTTCAATCCACCAATTCTATGCTCGGATTCCCTCCATGGTGTTGCAGCTGGACACTCGCGTTGACCGCTGCTGCAAGGGTGTATGAAAGTGCAAAAAGCTCGCCGCAGCTGCGCTTTGCTGACGAGGAGCAGGAATTTCTCAACTTCATGATCATCTATGCATCCATTCATTAGCCCTCTCTACTATGCAGTAGATGCGTTATAATTCATCAAATTCATGCGCTACTCAATGTTGTGCTCTTGTCTAGCAACTGGCAGCAACTTCTCGCATTCTCCTCCATATTTCATCCGCTTCTCGCTTTTCGGCTGCCTCCTTTTCCTGCATGGAGATCAGCAACGCCATTTCCAGCTCCTCTTGCGATTTGCTCTTGTTCATTTGCAGGTATGGCGCCGAGAAAAAAAGGCTGCAGTATCAGATTGGAACCTCTTATTCCTAGACTATTCTCAAAAAGAACCAGTACGTCGGCCTCAGCATCGCTTTTCCTTTAATCGTCTTTCAGAAAGTCGATTTCTCTTCTTTATCTTTTCGTCGAAAGTCACTTTCTCTCTTCGAAAAGATAAAGAAGTGCCTCGATCTATGTACGTGTACTAAAGGTAAACTTCCAATCCCTGCAACCCGGTCTTTTCTTTCATACTGGAGGCGCCACGGCCGCAGCTCCATCCCCGGATTTGTTTTGTTCTTCAGTCGAAATACTCCGGGAGGCGGGGTTGCTATTCGGAGGCTGTTATGCATTGCAAAAGCATCGTACTAGTATAAAACGCATTGCAATTTGTCATGCCGTTTCAGGTAGAAAGTTGGATTTGTCATGCATATCTGCAATCAGTACGAGTGCGATACTTTTGCACAGGATAGCTGTTCCATGGAGATCACGCGCGGCTGGTGTGCGTGCATGCTCGCCGCTGTTGACCCGGTGGATTCCCGTGCCAATCCCTCAATCCTGGACTTCACACCTCCTCCCGCCGCAGACGTAGTTTCGCTCGACCGGCTTTTCCTCCCCGTGGTTCCGTCACCGCGAGAGGTATGGAAGGAAAATCAAAATCGCGCGGCGCGGTTACAACTACACAAGGTCATCAGGTGCTGAAAAAAAATTTTTCCTGCTTTTTGGTTGTAGTACAACTACTTACTTTTGCTTTTCGTTTTTTCCAACATCGCTTGCGAATTAATAAGTGCGTCCTCGCACTTCTCACTAACAAGGACAACCCCACGAAACGCGATTTCATTCCATCCGCGGATATGCAGTGTCGGAAGTATCTTTGTGTTTCGAAGAAGATGAACCGCTTGTCCTTCCGGAAGACCGTCTCTCCGATTTCGGCTCTGGTGGGCCATCGGTGCCGTCCTTGTCGGGAATGTATTCTAGCTCTTTCCGTGCGTATGAAAGTGGAAAACTTGTCTCAATTCATGGATTTGTACTAAGGCACGAGCTGCAGAACGGAAAATACGACGAGAAGCATAACTTCCGTTGTAAGATGGATATGCAACAAGATTGATTGGGCTCTGGTCATGCAAAACGAAAAAAACTACTTGGTGTTGGGTTGAAATTTGAATGCGGAGAAGGGGATGCCGCACGGCTGATGTCCACTTTCATAGTATGATGCTCTCCCACTCTTCTATGGCGGTTTTGCTGGTGGCGATCAAATTGCCTTATCGAGGAAAAAACACCCATCCGCATCCATTTTTTGCATGGTAAACAGTGCAGTTTATGCATGTTTTGCATCACAAAACGAATGTGGATGGGTGTTTTTTTCCTGGATATGCCTCCGGTTATCACTACTCCCTCACACTTCTCCTGGATCCACAGTCCGCTCTATCCCGTTTACAATCAGCAGAGCCTCAGACTAAACCGATTCGAACTTGTCATGCGCGACGAACGAAGTAAAATCAATGTTGCAAAAAAAGTTGGCGCTCTTTCTGCTATGAGCATGTTGCGACGCGCATGACAAATTGATGCGTAGTTAGTACTTCATCGTATAGTAATAACCATCACTGCTGATTTTACGTGAAATAACTTGTTTAGATCGTCCAGACTGCCGCTGAATTGTAGGTACTGGTAAATCTTTGATTTCCGGCGGTATTGCAGGTACTCTTTCTCGTTTATGGAGTGTAAAAAATGCACGAACCTCAGCGGGAATTTGTCATGCGAAAACGACGAATATATATTTTTTCGTACAGCTGCTGTGGGAGGAGCATAGAGAGAATTTATTCCGCGTTTTTATCATTCTCGTTTTCTACATGAGATCAAATTCCAGGCGGAGGTCTTCCTTTGATTATAGCATTTCATACGGGACGTGGTCAGTTCAAATTTGTATTCTCCGGTGAAGGTTGCGTTGGCCGACTCGAGTATGAAAAGTCAAGAGGATGAGTAAAGCCGTTTTTTTCATCGAAATTACAGAAAAATCATTTCACCAAAATTCATCTTTTAGTCAAAGGCAAAAATCATAAAAACAAATCTTCTGTTCCGAAAAAGATCAACTTTCCCCTGACATAATTGACATTTTCATACCAAGCACCTGATTGGAATGGGTAAAACATCTTTGAGTTTTGTTATAGATAGCACAGGGATCGTCCTCCACTACCGGTGCAAAACATGACCTCCAGTCCCGTCATCATCTACACGCATTACAAACTCATACGATACCGCATCATAACTTCTGCATGAGAATTTGATGCCGCTTTACCTGTAATGAGTCGCCGACGATTGTTTGACAAAGTTTTTTCTCCCGTATCGGTAGCAGAGTTTTCACCGATCTGGAGAAGAGCAGGACGTCTTATGGGCGGAACAAAATCTACTTCGAAGAAGATGAAGTAAAAGCTTGTTTCTAAAGCTGGATATCATGCAGCAGCTGTTCTTTTGTTTTCGCGCGAGCCTGTGCTTGATGGCAAAAATGGAAAAAGAACAACTCGTCTGAAGGGTATGTTTAATCTTCCGCATGGAAGTCGATTTTGTCTTTCATAGCTGGTTCGGTAAATAATCTCCGGTCTGAAACGGGCCGACGAGAAAGTAATCGATACACTTGGCGTGGTATGCGAGTGCAGAAGCCCCCCTCCCCCGCACTTGAGCTAGACGGTCATCAATCTTCGCAAGACAAACAGCTCTGGACAGTCTACAGTTTTCTTCGCATGACAGATCTAAATCTATGAAGGTACTACTACTAGATATCGAGTGAGAATATCGTTCTTGTAGCTACTTTTGTCATATTGCAGTCGGCACTTTGCATTATACAAATGAGGCGGAGGTGGAAGGGCTGTGCACTCTCATACCTGGTTATGCAACGTAAATTTGCCGCAGATGTACAAAATGCATGACAAATTTCGCTAACTTGAACTGTCCAACTTGTCATGCTAGACTAGGATTGAAGGCAAGTTTTATCATGCAGAGACTGCATTTGTACGTGTTGTACGGGAAATTTACTGTGGATACTGGTTAAGCTGCGAGTTTTCGTAAAACCCTTTGAAAAAATCCGGAATCCACACACTATGCATTGCAAAAGTATCGTATGAGTATGAGTTCTTGTATTACAAATTTTCTCAACCACAAAAATACAATTTGTCATGCTATTTCACACGGAAAATTGGATTAATATTTATATTGCTTGACTTCCGGGTTCTGTAATCACATACCCCAGACGAGAGGCGACGGCGAGAGGTGACGGCGACAGGTGGCGGCGAGAGGTGAAACGACAGGCGAAACGACAGGCGAAAGGACAGGCGAAACGACAGGCGAAAGGAGAGGCGAAACGACAGGCGGCGACGACAGGCCAAAAGTGGCAACTTCCCATGCGGTTTCGCACAAGCAGCATGGACATTCCAAGCAAAAAAATAAATAAAATTGTTATTGACTTTCGACAAAAAAAAAATAGTTTTTTTTATTTTTATTCACGTGCAAAAAATAAAAATAATTGCTTCACTCTTATCCGAAAAAATAATTAATTACTAATTATTTTTTCGGATAAGAAGAAACTAATTATTTTTTGCACGTGAAGAAAAACAAAAGAGCTATTTTTTTCACATACCCCAGACGACAGGTGACGGCGACAGGTGAGGACGAGAGGCGACGGCGACAGGCGAAAGGAGAGGCGAAACGACAGGCGAAAGGAGAGGCGAAACGACAGGCGACGGCGACAGGCCAAAAGTGGCAATTTCTCACGCGGTTCCGCACCAGCAGCAGCAACAAAAAAAAGCAACGACTCAGCTACTTCCGAGAAGAAAAAGCCAACTTTTTTATTTTTATTCATGTGTAAAAAATAGCCAGCGCATTCATATCCGAAAAACCGGGACTATTTTATGCACGTGAATAAAAATCAAAAAACTGCTTTGTTGCTCGCGGAACTCAATAGCCCTTTGCTTTTTTTTGTTGCTGCTGCTGGTGCGGAACCGCATGAAGCGCTGCAGCTTTTGGCCTGGCGTCGTCGCCTGTCGTTTCGCCTGTCGCTCCACCTGTCGTTTCGCCTGTCGCGTCGCCTGTCGCCGCCGCCTGTCGCCTGGGGTGTCTGATTCCAGAGCCCGGAAGGAAAGTCTGACGCACTTTGGCTCTTTGCCTTTTCTTTTCGCAAATAAAGGAGAAGCCGATCGCGCCCGAAAAAAAGCGCCTCGGACTGATTTCCAGCGTTTTTAGTAGAATGCCCGCAAATAGCCGGGGCAGGGGTTTTCTTCTGGAATATCCGCGCACATTCGGGCGGGGGTTGTGTTCTGGAATATTCGAAAGCACTTACCTCCAAAAGCATGAGGCCCGCCAAGAGCCTTCAGCTGTTCGTGGAATATACGCGAAGAGCCGCGGCAGGGGTTTTGTTCTGGAATATCTGCGAGCACTCTCCCCGGCCGGGGTTTCGGACTGCCCTGGTATATTCGCGAGTATTCGGGCGGGGGCTGTGTTCTGAAATATTCCGAAACACTTCGCAAGACCACCTATCGGGCCCGCCAAGGGTCTTCAGGTGTCCTTTCGGGAGAATCTTCGCGCACAACCCGGGGCGGGTTTGGTTCTGGAATATTCGCGAAGAGCCGGGGAGGGGGTTTTGCTCTGGAATACTCGCAGAGGCTTCCCAAGGGGCTGTGGGCTCGCTGTCCTGATATACTCGCGAATATTCGGGCGGGGGTTGTGTTCTCGAATATTCGCAATTATTTCGCAAGAGCATAGGGCCCACCCCGAGTCCCCGGGCGTTCGTAGAATAGTCGCGAACAGCCGGAAGCGGAGGTCTGTTGTGGAATATTCGCGAATTGCCGGGGGAAGGGTTTTGCTCTGGATTATTCGCGAATACTTTCCAAGGGGCTTCGGCGAACTAACTTTGGATAAAATCAACATTACCTCGATGAACTTGATATTTGCTCCTCGGAGCCTTTCTCAGCATCGCCAAAAAAAAAGAGACTCGCAAGCGACAGCAAGCAGTTATCAAAAAAATACTCTTTGGAGGCTATACGACTATTGAGAGCTCCTCGGAGACTAGATCTTACCGATCCAGTGACGATTCAATAAGCAAACCGATTTGTAATTAATTCTCCTCGGAGCCTAGCAGATTATGCTTCTTCGGAAGCTAGAAGCTATGATGCGCCGCGTCTAGTTATCTCGAGTCCTCGGATTCTATACGGTATCGGGCCTTCGGGCATCAGTCGGCCAGTTAAGACTGGACGATCCCCTCCAAGGGGCTTCGGGCTGCCCTGGTATAGTCAAAAATATCTGGGCGGGGGTTGTGTTCTGGAATATTCGGAAATATTTCGCAGGAGCAGGAGGCCCGCCAGGGGTCTGCAGGGGTATGCTCCTAGAAAGAATATTCGCGAAGAGGCGGGCCAAGGGTAGTTTCGCTTCCTCTGGAATATTCGCGAAGAGCCGGGGAGGGGGTTTTGTTGGTTCTGGAATATTCGAGAGCAAGTCCCAAGGGGCTTCGGATTGCCCTGAAATATTCGCGGACATTCGGGCGGGGGTTCTTGTGTTCTGGAATGTTCGGGAATATTTCGCAAGAATATTGGGCCCGCCAGGAGTCTCCCGGTTTTCCTGGTTGGAATATTCGCGAATAGTCGGGGGGGGGTTTGGTTCTGGAAGATTCGCGAAGAGTCGGGGAAGGGGTCGTGCTCTGGAATGCTCGCGAATATTTCCCGGGGGGCTCCGGACCGCCGTGATAAATATGTATCCGAATATTCGGGCGGGGGTTGTGTTCTGGAATATCCGGAAACATTTCGCAAGAGTGTAGGGCCCGCCCCGGGTCTTCGGGTGCTCGGGGAATATTCGCCAACAGCCGGGGAAGGTGTTGCGTCCGTGGTGGAATATTCGCGAACAGCCTCAGTAGGGGTCTGGACTGTCCTGGAATATGCGCGAATATTCTCCGAAGGGCTTCGGATTGCCCTGATATACTCGCGAATATTCGGGCGGGGGTTGTGTTCTGGAATATTTGAAAACTTTGCGCAAGAGTATGGGGCCCGCCCCGAGTCTTGAAGGGAGAGGCCTTCTGCTGGGACGAATACGCGCGAAAATTTCTCGAGGGGTTGCAGCCCGCTCCGCGTGCGAAGCCCCGGGGCGCCATTTTGGCCGTCAGTAATGCGAAGGCGGGGAATCTTGGAAAAGCGTGCAACTTTTTCAAGTTTGCCGAGCTTATCCGAAAATCCAAGGGCGCAAAGCAATCCAGTTGGCCAGCCTTGCCCCGCTCTGTTCCGTCCCTGGGGTGCCGGGTATCGCGCGAAGCCCCGAGGCCACATTTTGGCCGGCCGCAGGTATTTCCAAGACTGGCAGCCTTCAGAAAATTTCTCAAGTTTGGCCAGCTTTTCCGAAAAGTAAGCCAGGCCACAGACAAAGCGGCCCAGTTGGCCAGCCTTGGCCCGCTCTGCTCCCTGCTTCTCCGGCTCTCGCGCGAAGCCCCGAGGCCACAGACTGGCCGCAGGTAATGCGAAGGGAGGCCGGCGGGGAATCTTGGAAAAGTTCGAAAGCTTTCAAGTTTGGCAAGCTTCTCCGAAAATCCAAGGCCATGAAGCAGCCCAGCTGCCTGGGCAGCCTTGCCCCGCTCTGTTCTTTGCTTCTTCGGCTATCGCACGAAGCCCCGAGGCAAAGCAATGGCCGTAGGTAAAGCGAACGCGGGAAATTTTGAAAAGCCCGAAAAGACAAGCCCTCAAGCTTGGCCGGCTTCTCCGAAAACCAAGGCAGGGCCGCAAAGCAGTCCAGCCGGCCAGCCTTTCCCCGCGCGCCCTGCTCCGTGCCCCTCCGGCTATCGTGCGAAGCCAGGGGGGCCATGCGTTGGCTGCTGGTGATGCGAATGCGGAAAACCTCGGAAAGACTTGGCAAAATTTCGCAAGTTTGGCTAGCTTTTCCGTAAACCCAACCAAGGCCGCAAAGCCGACCAGCTGGGCAGCCTTGCCCCGCTCTGTTCCCTTCCTTGCCTCTCCGGCTATCGCACGAAGCCCCGAGGCCGCCCACAGTTTGGCCGGCCGCTCGTAATGCGAAGGCGGGGAACCTTGGAAAAACTTGAAAAAATTTCCAAATTTTGCCAGCTTCTCCGAAGAGCCAAGGCCGCAAAGCAGCCCAGCAGGCCAGCCTTGCCCTGCCCGTCTGTTCCTTGCTTCTCCGGCTATCGCGCGAAGCCCCGACGCCGCAAAGCGGCCGAAGGTAATGCGCGGGCGGGAAACCTTGAAAGAACTCGAGAAACAAAAGCGCGCAAGCTTGGCCCGCTTTTCCGAAAACCCAAGGCCAAAAAGCAGGCCGGGGCCGGCCTTTCCATCCTTTCTTTGCTCCCTCGCCCCTTGCTTCTCCGGCTACCACGCAAAGCCCCGCCCGACGCCACAGATTGGCTGAAGGTAATGCGAAGGCGGAAGGCCTTGGAAGGGTTTGAGGAAATTCCCCAAGTTTGGCCAGTTTTTCCGAAAACGCAAGGCCGCAAAGCGGTCCAGCTTGCCAGCGTTGCCCCGCCCTGTTCCTTCCTTCTCCGGCTATCGCGCGAAGCCCCGAGGCGGTGGGCTTAGGTAATGCCGAAAACTAACCAAAGGCAACACGCAAACAAAGCAGTCCAGCTGGCCAGCCCTGCCCCGCCCTGCTCCCCGCTTCTCCGGCTATCGCGTGAAGCCCCGAGGCCACAAATTTTTGGCCGCAGGTGATGCGACGGCGGGGCTCCTTGACACTTTGGCCAGCTCTTCCGCAAACCCAAGGCCGCAAAGCAGTCAAGCTCGCTGGCCAGCCTTGCCGCGCTCTGTTCCTTGCTTCCCCGGCTATCGCGCGAAGCCCCGAGGCCACGGACTGGCCGTAGGTAATGCGAGGCGGGGCATATTGAAAAAGCACGGAGGCAGCAGAGCAGTCCAGCGCGCTGGCCAGCCTTGCCCCGCTCTGTTCCTTGCTTCGCCACTTATCGCGCGAGGCCCCGGGGCCACAAATTGGCCGAAGGGTTGGGAGGGAATGCGAACGGGCGCGGGGAATTTGGAAAAATGCTTGGAGTTTGGCAAGCTTTTCCGAAAAGCCAAGGCCGCAAAGCATCCCAGGCTGGCCAGTCTTGCCCCGCCCTGTTCCTTGCTTCTCCGGCTATCGCGCGCGCGAAGCTTCGGGGCCACAGACTGGCCGGAGATAATGCGAAAGCGGGGCGGCTTGAAAAAGTAAAAGCCCGAAAGCCGCGGGAGCGCTCTCGAGTTTGGCCAAAACCGCAACCAAAGCAGTCCAGCTGGCCAGCCTTGCCCCGCTCCTTTCCTTGCCCCTCCGGCTATCGCGCGAAGCCGCGAGGCCACAGATTGGCCGCTCCCAGGTAATGCGAAGCCGGGGAAGTTTGGAAAACCTTGAGAAAATTTTTCCAGTTTGGCCCGCTTTCCCGAAAACGCAAGGCCGCAAAGCAGTCCAGCCGGCCAGCCTTGCCCCGCTCTGTTCCTTGCGTCTCCGGCTATCGCGCGAAGCCCCGAAGCCAGAAGTTGGCCGCAGGTAATGCGAACAAGGTGGGGAATCTGGGAAAAAGTTGCGAAAAGTTTTCAAGTTTGGCCCGCTTTTCCGAAGGCCCAAGGCCACAAAACAGCCCAACGAGCTGGCCCGCCTTGCCCCGGTCTGTTCCTTGCCTCCCCGACCATCGCGCGAAGCTCCGAGGCCAACAACAAACCGGCCGTAGGCGATGTGAAGGCGGGAAACCTTGAAACAGCTCGGGGAGATTTGCCAAGTTAGGCCAGCCCCCCCGAAAGCCCAAGGCCGCAAAGCAGTCCAGCTGGCCGGCCTTCGCCCGCTCTGTTTCTTGCCTCTCCGGCTATCGCGCGAAGCGGCCCCGCGGCCCGCCAGAGATTGGCCGTCGGTAATGTAAAGGCGGGGAACTTTGGAAAACCTCGGCAGAACTTTTCGACTTTGGCCAGCTGCTCCGAAAACCCAAGGCCGCAAAGCCGTCCCGCTTGCCAGCCTTCCCCCGCTCTGTCTGCTCCTTGCTTCTGCGGCTATGTACCGCGCGAAGCCCCGAGGCGAGGCCACAGATTGGCCGCAGGTAATGCGAAGGCGGGGACCCTTTGAAAAGGCTTGAAAAGATTTCGCAAGTTTGGCTAGCTTTTCCGAAAACCCCCCGACACCGCAAAGCAGTCCAGCTGGCCGGCCTGCCTCGCTCTGTTCCTCGCTTCTCCGGCTATCGGACGAAGCCCCGAGGCCGCAGGTGGTGCGAAGGCCGGGGACCTTGCAGACAGTTGAGAAAAGTTCTCAAGTTAGGCTAGCGCTTCCGAAAACCTACCCCCCAAGGCCGCAAAGCAGTCCAGCTGGCCAGCCTTGCCCCGCTCTGTTCCTTGCTTCTCCAGCTATCGCGCGAAGCCCCGAGGCCGCAGATTGGCCGGGGGTAATGCGAGGCGGAACACCTTGGGAAACTTGAAAAGAGCCCCCAAGCCGGGCCATCTTTTCCGAAAACCCAAGCGAGGCCGCACGCAGCGCAGCCCAGCTGGCCAGCCTTGCCCCGCTCGTATCTTTCCCCTGCTTCTCCGGCTATCGCGCGAAGTCCTGGGGCCACGGATTGGCCGCAGGGAGTGCGACGGCGGGGAATTTTGAAAAAACCTGACAAAGCGGCCAAAGCTTCCAAGTTTGGCCAGCTGTCCCGGAAGTCTGTCCGAGGCCGCATAGCCTTCCGGCTGGCCAGCCTTGCCCCGCTCTGTTCCCTGCTTATCCTGCTATCGCGCGAAGCCCCGAGGCCACGCGTTGGCCGCAGGTCATGCGAAAAACTCGAAAAAAAAAACTTGCAAGCTCGGCAGGCTTTTCCGAAAACCGACCCGAGGCCGCAATCAAAAAAGACCAGCTGGCCAGCCTTGCTCCGCTCTGTCTGTTCCTTGCTGCTCCGGCTATCGCGCGAAGCCCCGGGGCCGCCCTCACATTGCCCGGAGGTAATGCGAGGGCGGGCGATCTTGAAAAAACTTGGCAAATAAAGCTTGGAAGCCTGGCAAGCTTCTCCGAAAACCCAAGGCCGCAAAGCGATCCGGCAGGCCAACCTTGCCCCGCTCCTTTCCATCCATCCTAGCTTCCCCAGCTATCGCGCGACGCCGCGGGGCCAAAGGGTGGCCGTAGGCAATGCGAAGGCGGGCGGGAGATCGTGAAAAAACTTCAAAAAATTTTTGCAAGTTTGGCAAGCTTTTCCGAAGCCCCCAGGCCTCAGTCAAAGCCGTCCAGCCGGCCCCGGCCTGCCTTGCCCCGCTCTGTGCCGTGCTTCTCCGGCTATTGCGCGAAGCCCCGCGGCCACACTTTGGCCGTAGGTAGTGCGAAGCTGGGCGGGGGAAGGGGAGTGCGAAAAAACTTGAAAAATTGTTTCAAGTCCGGCCCGCTTTTCCGAAAACGCAAGGCCAACTGGCCGGCCTTGCATGCCCCCCTCCGACAGCTCCTTGCTTCCCCCGCTATCGCGCGAAGCCGCGGGGCCGCCTCTATCTTGCATCGGCCTCGGTAGTTTTTCCCGGTTCGCTTGGCCAGCGTTTCCGAAAACGCAAGGCCGCGCGCAAAGCAGTCCCGCCGGCAAGCCTTGCCCCGCTTTGCTTCATTTTTGCTCCCTGAGCTACCTAGCGCGCGAAGCCCCAGCGCCACACTTTGGCTGCAGGCGGTGCGACCCTGGGAGGTCTTGCAAAAGCTCCGAAGTCTCGCCGCCTTTTCCGAAAACTCAGCCAAGCCCGCAAAGCAGCCCAGCGAGCCAGCCATCCCTTGCTCCGTTCTGTTGGCTCCCTGCTTCTCGGGCTATCGCGGAACGCCCCGGGGCCAAATTTTGGCGGTAGGCAGTGCGAAGTCGGGAAGGGGGGTCTCGGGAAAACGCAGAAAGCTCTGGGGAGCTTGGCAAGCTTTTCCGGGAATGTAAGGCCGCAAAGCGGTCCAGCGAGCTGGCCAGCCTTGCCCCGCTCTGTTCCTTGCTTCTCCGGCGCTCGTGCGAAACCCCGAGGCCCGCCACATTTTGGCCGTAGGTGATACGAACGCGGGCGGGGGACCTTGAGGAAAGTGGCAAAGCCTTTTCAAGTGTGGCCAGCTTTTCCGAAAACCGACGCAAGGCCGCAAAGGAAGCAACACAGCTGGCCAACCTTGCCCCGCTCCCTCCCTCTGTTCTTCTCTTCTCCGGCTATCGCGCGAAGCCCCGGGGCCACATTTTGGCCGTGGGTAGTCGCGGGGCGGGAAGTCTTGAAAAAGCTTGAAGGCTTCAAGCTGAGCCACCTTATCCGAAAACCCAAGGCCACAAAGCCATCCAGCTCGCCAGCCTTGCTCCGCTATGTCCGCTCTCTGTTTCTCCGGCTACCGCGCGAGGCCTCATTTTGCCCGTAGGCAGTGCGAAGGCTGGGAAGCTTGAAGAAGCTTGAAAAAATTGGCCGGCTTTTCCGAAAACTCGAAGCCGCAAAGGGGTGCGCTGGCCAGCCTTACCCGCTCTGCTCAATGCTTCTCCGCCTACCGCGCGAAGCCCCCCCCCCTGGGCCGGCCGCATTTTGGGCGTAGCTAATACGAGGGCAAGGGATCTCGAAAAAAGTCTGCGGAGCTTTTTCGTGGGCCGCTTTTCCGAAAACCGGAGGCCGCAATCGCAGCTAGCAGTCTGTCCAGCTGGTCAGCTCTGGCCCGCTCCGTTCCGTGCTTCTCCGGCGATCGCGCGAAGCCCCGCGGCCGCGTTTTTTTTTTGGCCGCGCGCCCGTAGGTAATGCGGCGGCGGGGAATCTTGGAAAGCTTGGAAACTTTTTCCAGTTTGGGCCCCTCTGCCGAAAACCCAAGGCCGCAAGCAAAGCAGTGCAGCGGGCCAACCTTGCCCCGCTCTGTTCCTTGCCTCCCCGACTATCGCCCTGGCCTCGTGCCTCGGCCCTTGCTCTCATGCGAGAGAGCGGCGCCCAGCGTCCAGATTTGTTCGGCGAACTTCGCAGCGCTCGGCCTACGCCTCTGGGGCGGTGGCATTTCTGAACGGGGCGCACCACAGTCCAACGCCGTCGCCTGTCTGTCGCCGTCGCCTGAAGCCGAAACCCCAGGCCGAACCCCCAGGCCGAATCCTCAAGCCGAAACCGAAGCCAAGGGCCCGCGTGGGGACCCTGTCCCCACGCTCGGGCCTTGTTTGTCATGCATAACTGCGATTCCTACTAGTACAGTACTTGTGCAAAGCATACACCCAGAGCGCCGGCATTTTCTTCCCGCGGAACATCTTCCGGACGCTCATCACGTAGTCTGGAATATGCAATTGCAAATCATGGATTTCAGCATGATAACATGTACTGAAAGATTCTCTTCCACGCAGAATCACGATGAAGAGCCGCTCCTAGTTGCTAGCATGCAGTTTAAGTATTAAGCCTGATGAAAATTTTACGATTTTTGTATCTTTCGAACCGATGTTTCCAAAACCATAATCTAAATTATCTTTTGCAATGCATATTCCAGTCCCTTCAGCAAGACCGTGTCCAGGTCGATTGCGATAACCTTCAAAGAGTCCACCATGTTGCCGGCGAAGATTTTTCTTTCGCGGGGTTTTTCGCTGCCTTGACAGATCAGATCGCGGCTGTCTTTGCAGTTCAGATCGCTGCCGCGACGAAGATTCGACCGACGCCGCCGCGCGAGGGAGTGTAACTGACAGAGAGGAGCGTGCTGGGGAGAATTGACACTGCGAATACAACTACGTATGTAGCGCTCCCCGCAATGTGGCGTCGTGGCGTTCCAGTGCCCCGCTACCCCTGTACCAAAACCGGATCTCTCGTCCCTCTCATTTCTGTATCTCACTCGCCTTGTTTCCAATTCGGAGTCGAACATATACGCTTGACTGCACGACAGCGCGCGCGACGCGTTTGGCGCGTTCGCGCCAATGCAATCGGCATACCGCGCCCTCAGGTCTCTCTTCGGCCGACAGGCTCGAATGCCATCTCCAGAAACCAATGGATGCTGCAGCCCAGGGGCCGGCACAACACATACGCGCGAATAAATGGGAGGGGCGCAGCGAACTCCCGATGCCGTATGTCCGTCGGCACGTTCCACGGCGGCGCCGCTCCTCCGCCGGGGCGACGCGCCCTCACAGGCCCCGCAACCTCGGGGGCCGGGCGGGTAGGTATGCACCCGGCACACACGAAGATGAGGCCCGGCAGGCCTGGGCCGATGATAGGGAAACACGCACCCGAAACCGACGAACAAGCGCGAGCCTGGCTGCCCACCAATAGACCGGCCGCGCGGAGGGGCCGGCCGCCCACTAAAAGTAAAGGGCTCGGCGCCGGGGCCGGCCGAGCAGACGGATGCGCGGCCCCGCCCTGGGGAAAACCAGCGCCAAACTAACCGGGAGGCGCAACAAGCGGGCCGCGGCTGCGCCCCGGGTGGCGCGCACTCGCAGCGCGAGGCCGAAAGGGCGGGCGGATGGTTGGGCGCGGACGTTCTCCTTCGTCGCTGGCCATGATGCTCATGTCTTGGGCCTCCGCCGCGCTGGCTTCTCATCCGCCAGGGTTTTCCCCCGCGTCGGCCTCTCCTCTTGCGGGGGAGGGAATAAAATGACCCCACCCTCACGCGACAACGCTACCGCCGCGGCGAACTGAAGGCAGGACAAAGCCCCGCGCCCGTGCAAGAGTGAGGCGATCCCTGCGCGCTGGCTCCATCTTGTATTTTCCAGGAACAAAGATTGCTCCTAAGAAGCAACAGAAAGCTATGAATATGTGAAACCCAAAACACCTAGACGAACCATCTATAGACGCCCCTCTAATGGGCAAGGTCGTCATCAGCAATCACAGTTACACGACTCAAGCATTCTTGACCGCTCACCCTCTACACAGAGACGCCACACAAGTTACCTTACTCTCACCTCGCTCGAGAGAAGCGAAATATTTGAGTCGCATTCCTTCTTTTTTCCTCACTACCAAGCATTGTGAAGATATGGCAAGACATCAAGGCGCGGAGCTGTCTTGTCTTTCCTGCTTTCCTCCCTCGACACGGCTTATTTACAATTGATCACCATTTAAAACAGGGGCGCCTGCGCTTGCGCTTTGTTTCAAATATGCTTGAAAGCACAAGGACGGAAAAACTGCGAAGTCGATGTTTGTATTCATGGTCGAAAAATAGATCTTACACGGTGACAAAAGTAATCCAAAGGGTGACCGGTAATACAGCGAAGTCGTGAAGTCCTTGCTCATTCGTTTCTACTAGCATCATATTTTTCAAGGCACCAACTGAAACTGCTAGAGTTAGGTAGCGCTACAGCACTTGACCGCATCAAGAAAAAATAAACAGCCCGCAACAAAAAAAAAAGTTCACAAGTGTCGTAAACTTCACTCATTGAGAAATTTTGGCGAGGGAGGACCTAGGACAGTTTTGTCAAAATTTGCAGACTATAAAATATAGCCGCTGGTGGCTCGAGAAAGGCTCCTTGCATTGCTTAGTATCTATTTATCTAAAGTTTTGTAGAAGTGCATCAAAAGGTTTGCGATCCCGAAACTGGTCTTCTTGCTGTAGTGCGAAACAGACAAGCACAAGTAGTTCGTCCAACTACAAATGTCAGGCTTCAGAATAAATCAATCTTACATGTTGATGTTCATCGCCCCAACCTTCCTCCTACTTCCTCCCAACAACTCTCTTCCCACTCTGGCGTCAGAGGCTCAAACTCTAGCTCAGGTGCTTGGGTCGGATCGATGTGGATGTGGATGGTTGTTGTAGCAGAAGCAGTTCTTTACAGCTTGTTCTGGCCGTCGGTAGAAAGAATTATACTGCATGTGCGGAATTTTGGACTAAATGTGAAGCCCATGCTACATTCAAACTGTTCGTCGAAACATGTTTCCGGACACGGGGACGCTGCTGTGTTTTTTGAAAATCAAATGACTCCATTCTGAATTTCAATTTTTTTGTTTCATAGTAAGTACACATCATCCCATCAGTTTTTATTGCATGACCACCACTAGTAAAAGAAGTTATCTTGTTCACAACGAAACCTGAAGAACCGGTTTCGATCTATACCTCACGTCTCTCTGGTACCGGATGAATATGGAGATGTTCATGTCGTAGATGTTTCTCCGTCAGGAGCAAAAAAAAGTTCTCGATGGAAATGTTGCTGTTCTGCCTTTTACTCTCGATCGTTCGGAAAATTCGAGCCTCATCTTGGATGTTGTACTAGAGGAAGAAATGGCGGTGGGCCGCCCGCCCGCTCGTGTAGTAAATTAAACTCGAACCCGTAGAAGTTCGTAGAATCTCGCTATCGTTCCTTACATTTCTTTTATCCCACCTTCGAAGCTGTATCCACCGCCGCCTCCGAACCGGTACTCGCATTCAAATTGTCACTCCCGGTTGCGGTCTCGCGCGTTGGCGTTTTCAACAACTGCACCACGGCGTCGGCTGTTCCGGCAGGTACATCATGCGGCGCTGCATCGTCCACATTCCGCTTTTCTTCGCCGCCGTCGTAACCAATAAAGGAAGCTAGTACACCCCGGCGACCAGAAGTCGTAGTAGCGGACATGATGTACAAGTCGCTTGTGAAGGATGGAGTCGCAGCCGTTATCTGCTGTAACTGTTCCGCAGGAGTAGTTGCTTCAAAAGCAGAGACGGGCGTGTTGTCAGTGTCGACAGCGGCGCTTGCTGCAAGAGCAGGCCGTGGAGAGGTGCCGCGGTGTGGTTGCTGCGACAACGCTGGCTTCGCTGCGTGGTGGATCTGCTCATTGGAGATCATGCTGGAAGCGACTGTGCGATCCTCGTGCGGGACTGTTGCTGTTCCAGCGGGGTGTGTAGAGGCGATAGCCTGCTCCTGCAGGGGAAGGTCCTTATCGTCGACGTTGCCAGTGCCCATAAGAATCTTGCTGGTGTCCACGACTTGCAATTCCGCCACCGCAACTCCGTCCTGTGGTTTCGGTTTGATCCATTTAATACTGATGATTCGCACGATTCAAAAATCATACTTGATGATCAACACGCCATTATGCGTTCTTCTCTAACTTCAGTACGTACAAAAACACCATACCGACGTATCCCCAGCGGCTGCATTTGGTAGCCCTTTCTGACTCACCGCCTCTTGCAGCTTCCGCAATTGCTCATAGTAATCAGCCCGGAGTTGCTCTGCATCAATTTGTTGTTGCGGAAAGTCGATATTTTCACCATCGGACAAGGAAGAGGTCCTCGAAAAAACCGGCGTCCCGACTTCACTCGACGAACCTGCACACTGACCATCACCAACCACAGTTCCGTCCTTCCGGATTGTGTCACCCACCAACCTGTAGCTGCAGTAGCTGTAGTACGATTCGCAATGGGAGTCGCAGCTGTCGTTTCTGCTGATGGAAAAACTGACACTGATGTTTATGTTGCTGGTGCTGCTCTCGTCCTCGAGCTCGTCTTCGGTGATGGGGTATAGTGCGTCGCCGACCGCAACATCGCCGTCAACATCCACATCCACATCCCAGAGTTCTTCCCCCTCCAGCTTGTCGAAATAGGCGTTGTATTCCCCAAGGGTATGCTGGTCGAAAAAGTCGAGGTCGGGCCCGGGCCGAAGGAATTTCTATATGCAGATGTTTCTCATGCAACAGAAGCAAGAGTGGGGATGTAGATGAAACAGGCTAAGTTCTCGCATCAGCCGCAGAGGAGAACGCATTGGCATTCAATACTGACATATTCGTTGATTTTCCATTGGTTGCACCTGCTCAGTCATCTTTGTGTACCCTTCTCCGCATATGAAAATTTCTTCGGCGAGACCGAGTGTAGTTTTTTCCTCTGGTAAATCTGCAGGCAGGTGTGGTACAGGTCACTCGTGTACCAGTTGAAGTTGGTATGAAAGGAGACAGCTTCTTTGTTTTGACTCCCCTCACGTGTCACTGCAAAAACCAATGCAAACCCTATCGTGTTTCTTCTTCCCGTGCTTTTTTGATGAGCCTCGATAGCCCAGACTGAAGCTGTACATACTGCCCGATAAAGATAGAAGATTTAAAACGCAAAAGCTGCATCCCAAGGGACCACGGATGCTTCCGTTGCTAGACATGCTTTAATGCTTTCCAATAAAGTATAAACCTCAAGTGAGGGGACGGGAAATAAGTTGCTCGCTGTCATAATTCGGGTCATCGAGGGGGTCCTGCTTGTCCGCATCCTCACATTTATCGTCCAAGCCACATGCGCCAACATTCAATGCCAGACAAGACGCAGCGGTCTCTTCTTCCGGCGAGCAGCTACAACCGCTGCCCGGCTGCAACGAAGGGATAGAGGCGCCGCTACCGCCATTGAAATCTTCGCAATGCTGCTGGTGTTCCTGCGAAGGCGCCCAAGAACTTGTTCTGGGCATCATATCTTTTAGCTGTGCGTTCGAATTACCTCTGCGAGAAGGTGAAGCACAAATTGGTTAGCTCAGATCAACGTGGTAAGAATTCAATCTGACAACCGGGCTCAAGAAGGGTAGTATCGCAGTCAACGTGGCTTTGTTCCACCGAAGTTGCTTCTTCTGGACAGAATTTTTGCAGAACGAAATACGACAAGCACAGGTTGGTGGTAAGGTAGTACCTCAATCTTGCTATGTATGAGACGACAAAGTATAATTCTTTCTGGGAGATTGACTATGAGTCTGGAAGAGGATGCGTCGATGCATCGCGTTTTGAGTGGTTTTGATTGTAATGTCCCTCTAGGAATTTTGGAAAATGAAAAATCTCTCGGGCGTAAAGTGCTCGACGCATCTGCATTATTCTGTTTAAAAATTTGCTGCTACTCCTCGCTTTGTGCTTCACATTTGGAAAAAAACGAAAAGAAACGGGCACAGAGGAACGCTGGATAGCGATACTACGCTTTACGACCATGCAAAGCACTGCAGTCACTCCCATTCGTCACTCCTACAACTACTAAAAGCCATTTTGCATGAGCAATAATGACTGAGACTAAGTCTGAGATGTTCAGAAATAAAGAAAGCCAAGTAGAATAATATGCAAAACAAGTCGATGGAGGTTGTGAGGCGCCTCGCCTATTCTTGTCCTTCTCTCCGCTGAAGGTAAAGCCGAGACCTAACTCTCAAAAATGAAGCTCAACAGAAAGGCTGAGAGCGCATCACCGCAAGCGCCCGCCGCCATACCTTCTTCTGGCGCAAGCGGATATCCACGCTGCGCGTTTTAACGACCAGGTTGCGTGCTCCAACCACGACGCCGCTCGACGAACACACGACGCTATGGACTGCTGATGCACATAGGAGGACAAAATGCGACCACTGTGGCGCAGGCACTCTACACGGGCGCGCGCGGGCGCGTGCGCTCTGGGTTCGGGGTGCGAACGTTCGAAAGCTGCAGGCCAACCTGGGCGGCCCACCAAGTGGCTCGGTAGGAACCATACCCGGAGCGCCCAAAGGTGCTCGCGCGCCTTCGCATAAATGCGAGAGAACTGAGCCAACCACCTCTCACTGCTCGGCCACAAAAACGGACAAGGGCGGGGGGGCGGGCGTGAGGCCGCCCGGGCGCCTACCAGCATGCTTGCATGGACGCGCGAGGCCGACAAAGCCCGGCAGGGAGCTCCGCTCGCACCGGGGTCGCCGGCCGGGGCAACGACAGAAACAACAACACACGCGCGCGCGCCGGGACGGCGGCGCGACACGACGCCGCCCTTACTCATGCCCTTACTACAATGCGGGCGGGGACCTGTCGCCCGGCCGCGGGCGTTTGGTGGGCGTTTTCGACTGCTTGAGAGCACTGACCTCTTCCTCTAGTTCAGTTACCCGCTTTTTGGGCTGCGGCGCTCTTCCTCTGCCGATGTCGACGTGCGGGCGCCAGGGCGATGGAAAGAAATGCACGCGGCCCGGGCGGCCGCCATCGGATAGGCCGGCGGAGCTCGCTGCGACCTCGGGCGGCCGGGATTCTGGTATCCTCCCTCCTGACCTCCATCAACCCACCACAACTCCGTCGCCCCGGGTCTGTAAATGCGCCGGGCTGAAATACCAGAGCGAGAAGCAACGACAAGAAGAAATAGACGCCGGCGCCATCTTTTTTGCAATTAGCGCAGCACGTAGAAGTATGTGTATCTATTACTTGACCTCTCAGCCATCGGACCACCCGGCGCCAATCGAACGATCCAATGTTCCTGATCTAGAAATCGCAAAACCGCTCATCGCTTATCATTTGTCTAATATCCTTTGCCGAGCCTGAGACACTGGCGCATAAGGATAAGCACATGAGGTCAGGGCACTACTTAATGCTGCTTCGACCACTAGTGCGTCTCGGTAGACACTGGCAAGGCCACCTCGCGCACGCGCAGCTCTCGCCCGGTAGTTGGTTCAGAAAAGTCTTGGTCGCTCTCATATGTATGTGAAATCGCTTCACCCACCGCACATCGGATAATTTCTTTTTCTCTCAGAAAAGGACTGACTCCATTATCCTCAGGCCGGCTTCATCTCAAGTTAAATTGTTCGCGACCATGAAGAACGAGAACGACTACACAACCGGTCGGGCTTTTTAATAAGTTCTTTCCATCTTTCTGAACATAGTCGCAGGTTGTAGCGTAGCAAATCGCTGCAGATGGTGTAGCAAAAACCCTGCCTGCAACCCAACTTTTTTCTCGTGATGTACTTGCTCCTGTCCACAGGTACATTTGCTGGCTCGTCGACCAGATGTACTGTTGACTAGGAGATACATTGTCTGGCTGCAAAAGTGCTGAGCATCCTTGTACGCTTGACGGCTTTACGCGGAGGACAAGGACTGGAGTAGTTTGAAAATAAAAATTTAAATAACGCAGAGCGAAACTAGTAAAAAAAACATGTCATTTGCAGCTAAGAAAAAACAGTCTAATACTAGTCTTGAGAACTTTATTTTCATTTCTTGATTTTCGCATACAGTTTCGTTTTTTCTCCAAACCAGATCCGTTAAGTACAACTACTGTGAGGTCGGTTTATCTTTATTCCTTGCTGTATTTTTGTTTTTCACTAGACAAATTTTGCAACTTCGGTTCTGTCATCGCGAGCTGAAGTTCATTTGATTCCAATCTGTACAAGTTCGTATTATACAGAGGGTACTTGTGTGCTGAAGTCAATACTTCCCCCTGCTGGAAGGGGTCAGCAACATTTTTGAATCGACGCCGCACCTTTCTTAACTACAAGCTGTGTAAAGCGTTTACTTTCCTGAAAGGTTGTTCCTTTGCAAGTGAGCAAAAGCAACTTCATCGACAACTAGAAAGAAGAACACCAGCACCACTCCCGCTTCACAGCTGCCGGGGGAGCGCACGTTATGCTCTCGGTGGTGGTCGTTGCGGTCGTAGCCGATTCGTGCAAAACGGCTCCCACCTGTAGCTCAAGTAAATCTTGCCTTTACATCGACGCCACGCATGCAAATTTCGATGTCTTCGCCAAGGGCGAAGGGATCCTAAGAGCAAGCCGAAGCCGTCGCGTGTCGAAGCCGACCTCTTCGCTATCATGCGAGATTCTTTCATTCTCATTCTACCGTCATCCAGACAGGCCAAGTATTGCTAAGTAGTGGACTGTCTGAGTGGGGAACGAAATGCTTTCCATTTCGCGACCCAACAAGATTTGGCTTGAGAGTGTGCTGGAAGCCTTTATTTCATTGCGATAATGCCTCGTCCTTTCCCAGCTTCGCCAAGATGAGCATCTGCAGAAGGAGCGGTATCACATCCAACAGTCCCCTCCCGACCTCGACCTTCGCCTTCATTTGTGATGCTTCAAGAACATGAGACGAGCATGCGCTTCATAATCATACTTCAAAAAGTCAGCATTATTCTACAACTTGTTGACCTCCGTCGGTTGAGAAGCAAGGTAATGCGGGCTCAGAACCCGAAATCGTGCCGTCTCAACTGATTCCGACATACCTTCGACTACCGGAATTGTGAGGATTTTTGTCTTAGACTACAAACAGAAACTGGAAAGAGCGAAGGAGTTACTGGGGAAGGGGAACATCCTCACACAACATATTCGCGAGAACCAGGAGACCGACAATCGTATTGCGCGACTCGACCGCGAACTCGTAGTGGTTTCATTTATCCGGTCGAAAAGTATACCACCACACAGCTGTGCCTAGTATGGGTATATACAACAGCAAGCTTTTCTTATTCTTTTTATTTCATCGTGCGCACCAAACTCTCAAGTACTTATGCAAATGCTCATGCGGAAAAATAAAAAACACAATTCCGGATAAAGGTGGTCTCCTTTTCGCTACGCATGATTGGCAGTGATGCAATTTTAGTACAGACCAGCTGCTGGTGTGGTGTACCTCTACACAAGATATGCTGCGGAGGAGCTCACGGTCCCCTTCAGGTCTTCGTGCTTCCTATTCGCGTCGCTATTCGCGGCTGCCCGGTGCTCGATATGAGAGTTGGAAACGAGGACCCCCCCTCTACAATTTCTCATTTGAAAAATGCCAGTAGATGAAGAACCAGCAGCACAAAGAAGGCCTGCGTAATTGACGTTGATCTCAAAAGCACCTCGGTTCTGCAACTTGATATGATTAGAGGTCGTGTGAAAGCGAACAGGGAGGGGAACAGGATGAAATTTCAATTTTGTATTCCAAAGAAATGGTGGAGAAGGGATTCTCGTGCACTCTCATATGCGTCGAGCTTTAAGTCCACACCACTGAGCTGTGATGATACCTGGTCACGCCGTGCAGCCAGCAACCCGCGCTCCATCATCTGCTTCTGCAGGATCGCGACGTGCTGCACCGCGGCCGCCGCGTCGTGGACTGCCAGATCTGCAGGCTTGACCTTCAACCCACAGATCTTGCACGCGACCAACAAGCTCGCTATGGGGTACTCAAACCTTACACTGATCGCTGTTTCATCCTGTGGCTTTGTTTGTGTGTGATGCAAGAATTACATCATCAAAAGTGAAACTGCGCGTCGTGAGCTACAACTTATCTGCGAGGGATCTCATAGGCATACACCACTTGTCGTTGTCATGCGAAGCCAGTAGTTTGGTCGTGTGAGAAGTGTGCTCCTGGAGGATACTTGTTTTTACCGGACAGAATTGATTTTGCATGGCGAATCAACATATAACACTGATCCATGTAACGTTTGAGAGCACCATACTCGGGCAGATCAGCTTGTGTGCGTTTCGGTCTTTTCTGCGGATTGCCAATCCGCATTCACTATGCTGTGCAAAAGTATCGCACTCGTATTTTTGCAATCATGCATTACACTGTTCTTAAGCTAAACCTAAATCCGTAATACAAATTTCATTTCTCATGATGAGGAAATTTGTGATGCATTTAAATAATTTATACGAGTACGATACTTTTGCAATGCATATTCACAGGTGACCTTAGCAAACTGGCAGTTAGCCAGATGCTTTCCCATCAAATCCCCGTACTCGCCCTTCCATTGGCACCATTCTTCGTCCTCGGGACTGCTCGACGCTGAGGTACTAGAGGAGCTTCCGTTCGTCGAGACTACGGTGGAGGACAGGGAGGAAAAGGTATCCCCGTGCAAACACACCCGTTGTGATTGTTCGTAAAAAAGCAACTGCAATCTATCCCCCTAGTCGTTCAAAACTCAGCATTGGCCTCATGTCCCTTAAGGAGTGAGGCCCGAGACTTGTACTGCAACGGGCGTTTCACTAATGAAAAAATCACATACGAGCAGGAGGTAATGTCATCACAAGCACAAAGTCGATCTTATGCATTGCAAATATAATGTCTGGGTCTGGAAGGACGCAAGGTTTGTCATGCTTGTCTTGAGGTATGAGTGAAGAGTCTGTCATGCGCGTCCAAGACGTCAAGATCCGTGTGCTTCTGCGTGTCATGCAAAAACGCAGCTTGTCATGCGGAAAGCGAAACACTGAGCCGTACTTGGCTGTGCATTTCAGAGCATTCCATTTGCTATTGGTACGTATTGATTCACAACTCAGCATGACAAGTTTCCAGACCAAGACATATTTGCAGTGGATAGGCCTGTCCAAGAGCAGTCGCAGCTAGTGGTGCCGCAAGAGATTTTTCTTCGATGCCAAAGTTGAGCCGGACAATTTTCATGTGATGCAGCACAGCCATGTAGTGAGGCGCTTTGTCTTCAATCACAAGAAGGTATGTTTGCACAGGATAGGACCCGCCGCTCGACGCCGTTTGCCGGTGGCGCATACTCCACGGGCAATAAACCTGATTTGAATATTATTTTTTCATATTCGATCGCTTCCGTTCCGTATAATTTTAATTACAACATTTAACTCGTAGGCAATAAACATCACGCTGCAGTCATCCAGATGTCGCAAGCAGAACGACGCAGAGAACTTTTGAAATTTCCGAGATTATCACTCAATGCGGAGAAGGAGCGAACTCTAGCACAAAAACGACTTATGCAAGTCAATACGTTGATTTTGTTGATCATGCGTAGGGCGTGGATGTTGGATTTTTTGAGAGGACTCCCTCTGGTGGCGGTTGCTTCCGTGCCGCGACCGAAGGGAACGCGACAGGTTGGGCAGGATCTGACCGAAGGGTGTTCAATGCAGCTTGTGCAGAAAATCGAACTGCAGCAGGCCGTCTGCAGCGGGTCCTCCACCAGGTTCAAACAGACGCTGCACTCGTAGTGCTTGGCCAGGTCTCGTGCCTCCTCGCAGACGATATCGTCGACGCGAAATTTATCAAAGCTTCCGGGCGAGGACATGGTGATGATTTCTTTCTCTTCGCACTTTTCTTTTCGTAATTCGAAAGGACGCCTCTCTCGGGTATAAGTAAAGTCTACTACAACGTATTACGGCTTCATAGTCGACCACTTCTATTTTGCAAAGCTTCCACTTCGTACCATGTATACGGACAATCTTGTTCGTCCGAGTTCTGGTGGATAATCGTTTGTGTAGCAACTCGCCGACTTCTTTCTTTCACGAGGGAACGAAAGTAATAAGGCCGAGAGACCCTTTTGCACCTCCCATTGCAGAAGAACAGACTGGTATGCATCAGGATTACGAGGGCCACGAGCAGCAGACGAACCGACCATATCAGTCTTGGACGCATTTTCAGTACGTAAACACTATAGATACCGACACCAAACTGGCCAGGGTCGCCGGCATCCCCGACGACAATCTTACAGTTGTACCACGGTGCGACTTTGAAAACACTGCTTTGTGTCGCTCTTGTTTCGATGAAGAACAATGACGAGCCTCTCTCCCCCTCTCTCGCCCCTGATGATGGTGCAACAAACCACCACTCTAAGACAAAAGGAGCACGCTAGTACTTGGAACAAAAGCGAAGTCGGAGCTGCAAGGACACGTCAACAACAAAACACCCAATAGCTTCGGTTGCAATGGATGACTATGGTGAAAGGGGGCCTTCGCAAAGCCGAGGAAAAGCTGCGCCATGCACCGACCGATGGGCAGGGCTGCGTTGCGACTCCTATCCAGACGAGAGCGCCAGCGCCACAAACACCGGCCAAGAAGGTTGGTTAGTGCATACGTGCCGGCGTTTGGCTTTGACCGACAAACACTCACTGGGCGAGGGCGCTGGCCCCTTTCCAAGGGTGGAGAGGAAAGTGCGCGGGCCCGGGCCCGGCCGCACATCAGCGCGCCAGAAAAATCAATAAAAGCGAGCAGAGGCGCTGGCCCGCCAGCGGGCGCAGGCGCGGCTGTGAATGCTTGCTGCGCGCCTGGGTTGCGCGCGGGCGCTTTGCCGGGACAGGCCCACCAAACGCGAGGACGGGGCCCCAAATATGGGGCGAAGGAAGGAGTGGGGCCGTGGGGTCGGTGGGGGCGACAACGCACGCACACGATGCAGCTTCCGCTGCAATGTTTTCACGTTTTGTCCTGCTCCTGCACTTTCCGCGGCCCAGGCTCGCTGGCCCGCCTCCTCGCCCCGCGCGCCCCGGCGCGGCCCCGGCCTTGGGTAGATTTGTTTCTATAGCGCCGGCAACCCAACGCCGACGCCTTCGACTGGGAAAGGCCTCCGGGGCGAAGCGCCGCGACCAATCTTACGCAGCTGGGCGCACATAGATGCAAGGGGGCCCCTGTGCCTGTCCTCGTGCATGTGCAATATATAACCCCGGCGAGCGGCCATGAGCTTTAAATTTTGGGTCAACATCTCTACCGGACTCTCTCTGTGGTCAGCTATGCATTTTTTCGACAGGATGAGAATTTGGCACGGCTGGATTATAAACATGAACCGCCACCAGCGTTCTGATTCTCTTTCTGTCACAATGATTTTGCATCTGCCCACACGGACTTGCATTTGAGTCAAAACCGGATCGCTCCATAGTACTAGAATAAAATGGCTTTGCTCTGATGCTCGACTCAGGCTCTCTCCCTTCTCCTCAGAATGAATTGATCGGCGTCGAACAGGTAAAGCTTTTCTTTCTCTGCCAGCTTTATCCGCCCCTCGAAAGAGCAGATTGACACGCACTCGTGGCGAAGCGTCCGAGCCTTTCAAGATTTCACAGACTACCATGAGGACAAAGAGACCCTTCGCTCCTCGGTCGCAAAATGATAAGAGGCCCTACTAGCTACTTAGCGAGAAAAGCTTCACTCTGGGCCACCTCGTGATGAGCGGGGCTGCCGCGGTGCGTGCCTCCACCACCGACCTGAGCGAAAGCCGGCGCCGCGCAGGCGCGGGGCTGTCCCCTGGCAGGGCCAAACACTGACACTCGCCCGCACCGAACGAAACACAACGCGCCCTCCACACACTGCGAGCATGCGGATCCGCGGGGGTTGGATGGATCGATGGCGCCGCCGGCTGGCGTGGGCCCCGCCGGCCATCCAGAATGAAGAAGCCAACAGCCTGGCCCGCCCGTTTGTGTTCACAGGCTTGCTAGCACCGAAAGCGGGCGGCGCACCAGATGGAGAACCGCCGGCCGGAAGAAGCCCCCAACAAGGGCGCCACAGGGGCGGGCCAACTTGTCGCGCGGCGCCGGCGGGCAACCGGCGCAACGTGATCGGAACAAGAGCGAGGCGCAGGAACTGGCGGCGGCCGGGTCGGCGGCGTGTTCCGTGGCAAGCGCTTCGCTTCTTCGTGCCGCAGTTCTGGTAGCTCAACCGCTGCGCTAACAGCCGCGCGCAGGCGAGTTTTGCTCCGGGCGTCCATGTTCTACACAGAGGGGGGCGCGAGAACAAAAGGAGGAGCCGCGTACCAACGCCGGCGGGCCATGCTTTATCCAAGCGGGCGGAAAAAATAACACCATCACCGCGGCACGTCGATAAACCGCCGCCACTATCTTGCAATCGGTTTTCTCGGTGGGCATGTATTCGGTTCAAAAGCTGGCCAATCGATGATGCCTTCGTGTGAAGTCCGGCTCTCACTAGCCTACTCAGACCTTGACAGACCGGATCAATGCCGGCAAGGTAGAAATCTTTTTCACCTTTACGCTCAGAGAAACCCACGAAAAGGACAGAGAAAAGCTAGCACACCTTTGGGTTAGCATTTATTTTGATCTCTCGAAATAGAACTGGCGCTCTCTTTTGGAAACGCAGCCCTCCTGTCACACATTCAATATTCTGCCGTCAGTCTCTCTCGGGCAATAAAAAGCTAAAGCTCGTCGTCCCACCGAACCTATCCTATAGCGACGAGGCATTTTCTTCTCTTTTGCATCTGCGGAGCGCACAAAGACGAGCAGTGGCGCTTTTAGTTGCGTACTAGTTGTTCTGGATGTAGCAGAAGAGCTGAGAAGGCAAGTCGTGCTGAAACCCGTCCTGCGCCTAAAGTTAAGAGAACAAATTAATACCGGAAAAACCAAGTGACTCTCTTGAACCGCCACGCCAAGCTGCATAATGTCCTGCACCTCCACGGTGCCACTTTTGCCATCTGTATTAAGCATAAGCAATCCTGCTTCATTTGCTCAATTCGTTTTCGTATTATTTCCCAGCAGACCCATTTATGCTCCGCAAGGTGCTTCACAAAAGTCACCTTAAAGCTCTACCTCGCACACAAGGCAGAAAAAGACTTCTCTTCTATATTCAAGTTCTTGACCAGTCACTAAAGCTACTAAATTCATCGCGCTATCAGATCTCTGACTCTGAGTGTACCTAGCCGATGTGGGATCGTTCTTCTCGGGAAAAAGAACAGCGGTGTCGGCAACGTAGCCCAGACCACAAATGCAGCCTCACAACCACCTCTTCTTCGACACACGAACAGCTCCTCCGGAATTTAAAACTTCATCTCGCTTTCTTTCCCTCCTTCTTGTTACCGCCCGATTTGCTTTCCTTGCTATTCTGCGAGTTCTTGTTCTCCTTGTTCTGTTGGTCTTGGTCGTCCGTTCTACTTTTACCACTTTGACTCCCGCTGCCACCGCCCCCTGCGCCCTCATTGTCTGCTGCAGGAGGGGCCTCGTTTTCGCGAATAATATGGAGCTCTCAAGCGTTACATTCTCAACTGTTACATGGTTTGTCATGCAAAACTACCATCGTGATCCACAGGATGAAGCTGCTTCGATTGACAAATTTGCGAAGGGATACACAGCACCTAAATGATCTGCGCGGGACTTGTAATGCATTTTTTGCAATCTTCGCCCTTTCGCTTTTCCATTTTTGCATTACAGACTCATGTAACAGTTGAGAATGTAACGTTTGAGAACGCCATAAATAAACCGCTCCGAGTGTACGTCCGGGGGAAAGACCACAAGTCGCCAGTTTTTCCAGAAGCCCTTGTTGTATGTATTCTTCATCATCTTCCGCAGGGTATCCGACGCAAATCCAAAAATGTTCTTGGGGTCTGGAACAAGAACGCAGAAGTTTGTCATGCAGCACAAGAACGCAGAAGTGCTCCTTCAACATGCCCAACGCGCATGAAATAAACCCATTCTCGGATCCAGCATCACGAAAACCAAAGATATTTTTCCGCTCATGCATCACAGATTTTACTGCCAGCCGCATTTAGCATGACAAGTTGAGTGCTCCTTCTCGCAAACCCGAGTGGACATATTTGCAACGCATAAAGGTCTTCCGGGGGGTCCGGCTTCTCGAGGATCGGCTCGTTCTCAGGAAGTGCTGAATCCGTTATGAGATTCTCAACTGCTGCATTCTCAACTGTTACAATTATTTTACTTTGTGATGCAAGAATGGCAAATATTAATATGACGGCAGCGAGCTGGCAACCCTCACAGAACGAATTCGCCACAAATTTTCACGCTGTTCACCCCTTCTGAAATTTGTCATGCGCAGCAGCTTTATCACGTGGCAGCTTGTTGTAATTTCGCACGGCAAATCATGAAACTGTTGAGAGTCTAACGTTTGAGAGTCCCATACCCGTGAGAATAAGGTTTTGCTGCTCCTCATCTGCTATGCATTGCAAAAGTTTTGCATTTCTTCAGTGGAAATTGCAATCAAACTTATTCACGAAAAAAGTTACAGAGAGAATTTGTAATGCTACACCGACCAAACAATAAACACAAGCCAAAGGGCCACCGGGTCGTGGAGTCAGGCGGAGAATCAATTTGTAATGCTGATTTCCCTTTCAAACCATATTTCTCATGCTGTATTGCAATTTCACTACGAGAAGTACGAAAATCATTTTTGCACAGGATATAGGCTGCAAGGGCTTCGGAGTACTCCTTTTGATCATCCTTGTACTTTTCTCCGAGAGCCCACCTGAGGGATCCCCACTTCTGTAGCTCATTGATGTATGCTTTGCAAAAGTATCACAGTCGTACTGATTGCAATCGCGCATGACACATTTAGTTTGTTAACCAAACCAGCATTACAAATTTCATTTCTCCTTCTTCTGAACAAAATTGTATTTTTACGATTTATGCGATTTGCACAAGTACGATACTTTTGCAATCCATAGACTGGTGGTCGCGGCGACAACCAAATACGCGTGCCACAGGAAGAATCCCACGAGAATGATGAACATCATGCCACACAGGAGCACGAGAAAGAGCAAATACCCCTTCGTCGCCATGAGGTACTGCCCGATAACCCAAAAACTGGCCGGATAGCGTTCCTTGGTCACAGGGTCAATGAATACCTGAGTTTTGATGTTGAATTGGATTTAGTGTTCCGAAATCTTCTGCTTTGATCTCTTCGCAAAAACATGAGGGAAAGGAAATTGCAGATGAAAGGACCTTGACAACTTCTCGATGAAGTATAGCAAACGAAATAACTAGACGTAGACTACTAGTACCGCTTCCCAGAGCTTTCTCTTCTCAATGATATGATACAATATCGGCCCTCCGAGCGGCGTATGAACGAAAATCGCTGCGTCAAAACAACTATTTGCCAGGCGAAGTAGCGAATAAATCACAAACAGAATCACTATCACGACGAGGTCGAGGACTAGCATCATTCCTCATATTCCCTAGAAGTACTGGCTAACTAATTTGAATCTCTTATAAGTAGAAGTACAACAAGAGCAAGATCTCCTCTACAGAGCGCTTCACAGTTGTTCCTGCTCCGCATTTTATTTGCAAGCTCCTGGTTGATGTTGACTCAGCTGTTTTCACTTTCGTTACGCCAGGCAGTAGAGGCAGATGAGACCGTTGGAAAGCAAAAACATCATGAAGTAGTAGTGGTTTTGGAGGCCGACGCAGTTGTTGATCCAGATGTGGCATCCTCTGCAAAAGCATCGCACTCGCACTGATTGCAAATATGCATGACAAATCATCTTCCTAAAGGTAAAACAGCATTAGCAAATTCCATTTCTTTTTGCCAAAATTTTTTGCAATGCAATTTATACGTAGTGCCATGCTTTTGCAATTCATATGCAGTGGTGGTCAAATTTGGCGACACAGTGGTTGTGCGTATGGGAGGAAGACGACCCGGTAGCACTTGGAACGACGGCGGGCTACGGGCAAATAAGTAAATCTTCTATGTTGACATTTACCGTTACACGTATAGTAAGGTAGGGCTCAAGTCTAGCAAGAAATTGCCCAGAACCAGAAGTGCTGCTTCGTCATTTTTCACTTCTCATAACACAAGCTGCAGTGTTTACTCCTTCCCGGCTTCGGTATTTTGCAAGTCGTACACTCCTGAGTCGGATCGAATATCTGCCCGTCGGCGGGAAAATAGTTCACCAAGGCCTTCTATACAGTGCAAAAGCATCGCGCTCGTACTAATTGCTGTTATGCATGACAAATCTCTCTCCTAAGGTAAAACAGCATTACAAACTTCATTTGTAATGCTGAGGAGCTAATTTGTGATGCAATTTATACTACGTACGATACCTTTGCACTTCATACCTTCACATTTCGTGACGTCACCACACCGGGATCTTTGAAGCTGGCCATAACCGTATGCAACTCGAAAAGTAGTTTCTCCTTGTCCTAAGTCTACCAAACCATGTCATGCTCACGTGTAACGTACTCTGTCATGCATAACTTACATGCAGGCATAGGCATATCCGACTATTCGCTTTAGCGTTTGCTATGCAAGAACTACACGTCTAGCATGGAATTTCGGACAAGAGAGAAACTCTGATCCTCTGTTCCGAGCATACCCGAAATAGTAGATGCAGATCAAGAAAGCGGCAAATCCACTGTATATCAAAATGAAATAGTAAAATTACAAGCGATTAAATTTGCAACCTTACCTACTTCAGCAGTTTGCTGCTGCGCGTGTAATTCGACAGAATTCAGATTCACATTTCTTGGCTTCGTGCGTGTAGAATGCACAAGGTCATTTTCTACTTTTTGTTTCACGCAACACAATATGATCTCATTACATTTTCTGTAGGCGCTTTGGCTTTGCATCACAATGTGCTGGTTGTCTACTGTATTACATACTAGGCTGTAAATGAACTTTTTTCATTTTGATATCGTACTTGTGGTGTTCGCCGATGTACCTAAAATTTTTACTTCGCGTTGCGCATTGATGTATTTATCTGCGCATAGCTCATCGAAACAAACATCGCCCTGGTACTTACTGAAGTTGAAAGCACGCCCCTCCGGCAACGAAAATTTCATTTCGATCCAAGCGCACTGCTCTTACAGCGACTGCGACAAAAAGGAAAATATTAGTACTTGTTTGGCCGTATGCTGCAGAAAACGAGCAATTGATATTGCTGAGTCCTTTATTGTTCGGTAACGTTACTCGCGAGGATATTCTAAGACCAAGCATACCGTCCGTGAATAAAGTTTGCCCCGATGGGTTTCTGTCTTGGTTTCTGTTATTTTGTAGTAATTTTGGGAGCGCGCTACCTTTATGCTCCCGGGGGATGCGTCTTCTCTACAAACTGGTGGGGAACACGGCACGAGTGCGTGTTTTGCCCGTGCGGGTCGTGCTATTGACATCAATTGCTGATTCTTCTTGGATACGGATTTCCGGGTGTGCGTGCAACGTGACAAGTGTCCAGGGTAAAAGGGATCGGTCTACGGCGGGTTAGGTTGCGGGTGCTATGTCACAGCAGCACAAAGTATAAAACACATTAAGCACAATGCCGTCCGTCATCACCGTGAGCATGACAAAAATTGTCCCTGAGGAAGCAAACAAATTGCGCATAAGAAATTGGTGATTCTCGCGCGCCAATTAAGTACAATCTATCGCCGCGACGATCGGACCGCTTCCATCGATAGAAATGAAGTAGCCGCAGCAAGTATCAGACGGGAAATGTCCTGCTTCGACTTCTCCTATGAACTTGATCGTGTTCTGTGCATTCCGAAAAGCATGTTGAAGTTGTCATGCTAAATTTCATGAATCTTTGCTGTACTGTGTACTTATAAGTACGAAAGGAGAAGGCGAAGGCGTTGCCGATTGTAACATATTATCCCAAGGTAAAAGATCTGCACCAGCGGGTTGTTTTGCCATACCTGAAGTTTATTTTGCCAAACAGTTCGGCGTGGACAAGTCAATTTCGCTGCAAAAGACTTCACTGTCACGACATTTATCCTTCATATGTTATTTGTTTTTCAAAAATGACCCGCACATAATTCTAAACCCGCGTACCACGTAGCGTTATTCTGCGGAAGCTTTCTGAACCACGCTCGCTGATACTCGTCCCAGAAGGAGCCTTTGCGCAGGCCTAGAAGAGACGCGCAAAGATCTCACCTATGCTTTTTACCACAACAGTAGATCATATGCATCTTTGAGCAATTCATTCGTCTTCAAAGAATGGCGCTGCTAGTGGTGCAACGCGTTCTTCTGGGACAATGCGCCCTTGATTCAGAAAGTGTTCTTTCCCAGCATAGATTCCAGCAGCCGCGCACTGCATTCTCGCCCCGCTGTCCGCAGAGTGTTGTTGCGACCGCTATTACCGCCTTGGGGACGGCCTTATGCACTGCAAAAGCATCCTCGCACTGGTGGCAGCATCTACAACCTTCTGTTTTTCTACAATACAATAATGCAACCTGTCATGCTATACTAACTCAGGGACGACCACGTACTATAGATTTGTCGAGCATGATCCCGGTTAGCATTAGTACGAGTACGACACTTTTACTCCAGTTGATACGTCTGCACGAAAAACCGCCAGCTCTTGTCAAAAAAGGAGTTTCCCTCCGGCTTGCCCTTCAGGAAGACAGCAGCGCCGAAGGTGATAATCAGTACGTAGGCGATGAGGAGGTAGATCATCTTCTTGCTTCGAACGATTTTTCGGAGACAATGACGTAGCAGGAGGTGATATTTGTCTTCTTCTCGTTATTTCCGGCGGTTCGGTGCAGTTCCGCGTTTTAGCTCGTGGATCGCTGGTCCGTCGACCACGTTGTGGTCCTTCTTGGGTCTTCACTTTAAGCGCTCGTGACCAGCAGGACGACTTGCGGCACAACAACTACTCACTGGTTGTTCGCGTGCAATGTTGTTGACAGGAGCTCGTCGTGTGGGGGTGTTCTTTGCAACCAGAAGCTGGGCTATTGTAGGAGCTGCTCCTGTTGACCACGTAGAATTTTTGCACGCAGATTTTTTCGACGCAGGTCCTGGCGGGACGACCTCGTCCAGTAGCCTCTGGTGCACACTCAACGGCAGTTAAAATCAAAATCTAATCATGCTGCAGGTGCGGCTCGTGTCCTTTTTCACTTGCTGCGCCGCGCCAAATTAATTGATAAATGCTGCGTATTTGCTGCGTTCGCCCATGCGGCGATTACGATTTCGCTTTCTACTGCTTTCCCGCCGTCGTGGATGTAGTAGCAGTTGGTTTGGTGGCTACAACTACGTTATGTGTGGTGGAATCCGCGGGAGCCGTCGCAACTGGAACCCTAGAGGCCCTCTGTCATCACGTGTAGTTGTCCTACCTGCCGCGCCGTCCCGGTATCCAAGTGTAGTCTCGAAAGTGTGGTTTCCGCTTCAACTACATTCAGGTATCGTGCCGCCCCGTCGCTGCGTCTCCTGTCGAGACGATTACTAAAACTGCTTCTTCACGATGGGTGGCGAGCCAACACGAGGCACCAGCGAGGTTTTCTGGTGGTTCGCGGCAAAAATATTCACAGAGAAGCCTCGGCGCTATAATCCTTGTCGTCCTTTACAGCGATGAAGCATCAAAGGGAATCAATTTGTATGCAATGCTGGCGAAGGCCACATTTTTCTGTACTTCAACAATTTTGGGAAAGAGAATTCTGAGTATGACTAGTGCCACAATTTCTCATAGAGAGGAAGGTAAATTGTAGTAAACACCGAGCACAACTGGGAAAATGACGTGAAAGTGAAGACTAAAACCTAATACTAAGTGCGAGGATACGTGAAAGTCAAAACCTTTATCTTTGAGAATATGAATGTTTCAACAACATCAAGATTGCAGGGTGCATTTGGTAGTCCGCAAAAGTGATATATACTAGTTGCATATTTATTCGTCACGACAGATGTATCCCTGCTCCTTCATGCTACTGTGTCCATGCTGACGAGCACGAAAAATGTGCAGCCAACGACGTCATCTCACTGTATACGTTAAAATTGACCGCACTACGATCGAAAATCCACTTCAAGATCACGTGCCACGGATCACAAGAAAAAACAAGTTTAGCACTCTTGCAGGCCACCCTTTGCTGCAACAGCGACGAAAAACCACAAGATGAACGGTTGCAAAATCCAAGGAAACTGAAAACAACGAAAAGCAAAATCAAAAGATCCTCGAGTGCTGGAACAAAGTGGTCAGATCTATCACTTCGAGAGCAATAACACGAGTGTTGCGTAGAACAAGATGGGCAGTAACGTTATGATGCTGGGCATTTAAGGCTGTGCTCGGTATCCGAGGTTCTTGTTGCATCGTCGAGTTCGATGACTACATAAAGCTGCTCAAACATCCAAGGTACATTAGACACGGTCGTGACACCAGTTAGACCTCGTTCTTCCAACACTTTGGTTCATTTATTCGAAGCGAAGCAGGCTATCATGGCAAATCAATTTCTTATGGTACATTCTTGGATACTACTAGACGCACGAGGAACTACGGGCGGTGCTCGACTTCTACATGATTGGCTCAATTTGTCTTTCAGCGTAATAAAACGCGGCCAATGTTGACTAATTTCCGTGCCTATGCACCTCTTGCGAGCTGCTTCTAGAAAGTGCGGCTGCGAAGAACGCCGCGAGCGCGACCCGTAGGTAGCTGAAAAGATAAATAATTCGTGAAAGTTGAAAGGCATAATCTTCTATTAAGGATTTTTGCTACTCCGCCTCGTGCTTTGCGTATTTTTTGCCTAGTTTGTCCATGTGTTTTTGCTCTTGTTTTTTCTTTTGCGTATCTATGAATTCAAAAAAAACTGTTTTGCTTAAATGTTTTTCTCAAGTACAAGTAGCAGTGATCGCTCGCTCCGTCGACCGACGATCGTGTTGATTTTTCTACTCAGTCCGGGATGCCCATGGCCGGCGCTGCATAGTCGTAGTCCGGGGCGGGGTGGTACGCGAAAGTGTGGAAATAAAGCTGCATTTGTACATCCAACAATGTTTGAGCTTGAATTTGGTGTTATCAAAACGGCCTGATTCCGTCGTTGAATCAATTTATCGCCCAAGTCACGCATTACAAACTCCCGATATTAGTTTTCCAACACGCATGACAAATGAGTTCATTTCCTTATCCGCCGAAAGTGGAGTAGTTTCCGCTCTGCAGGAACGCGCCGTAAAGTATTGCCAGCATCGTTAGCAAAGGTATGAGCTTGTAAAAATCACTGTCATGCCTACTTTGTCGGAATCTTCGCATTCGCTTGTGCGCGTTCAGAAAATAAGTGCGGTGTGAGAGCATTCATGCACTTTGTGTCTGCGAAAAAAATTCAGAAGATGTCTTTCTTGATCGTGAAGGCTACGTTTCTGCATGACAAACTCGTAAGTTTATGTTTTGCCACAAAGGAGGACACCGGGTAACAGTGACAGAAAGAACGCCTAGGTTTCTGGTGCATAATCACGACTATCACCGCTGCTGCGTCCCACATGAGGATGCTCCACCTGTTTTTTTTGCAGTCTGACTTTGCTGGTTCCAAAACTACAACTAGCGTAGAATTTGTCATGCATATAATTCTCCAGGGGTAGAGGATCGGGTAGATTTGTCATGCAGATCCAGATGATATGCAAAAAAGGAAAAACCAAAAGTACATGACTCCATCCTGGACAAAGCCCTGCTCTGCCGCGCTGCCCGAATACGCGGAAACAAAATTCTTCTTCTTCTGGATCTGCTTGGTGGTTTTCTCCAGCGCAGCCAGCTTTGACATGAGGTCGGCCTTTTCTCGCTCGGATTTGTGGACCTCCTTTTTCAGGCGTTCGACCTGTGAAAGTTTTTTTGGACGTCGTGCATCAGCATCACAAGTTTTGACTTTTAGACTCGGCCCTGCTCATGCAGCCGATGTTGCATCATAATAGATTTTTGTGTATTGGTGTTTCGCATAGATCATGAACACAGACCTCCAGAGAAACAAAATCATACCACTATTATCGCCTCCTTTGTTGTTTCGGATTCGTGTTTCTGCCTCAGGCGACTCAGTTCCTCTTCAAACGCCAAGGAAAATTCTCGTTCCAGGTTTTGTATGCGTTCGCGCTCGTTGACCAACTCCACTCGCATCTTTTCAAACAGAATAGAATGGAAAAAACGTCGAATCCAACCACGCTTGTATTCAGTCGCAGTTTGTCATGCAGATCATGCAAGAAATAAAGTCGTCTGCAAAAAAATGAACATAGAAAGGAAGACCATGCGGCTGCAGCTCTCCGTGGCACGAATTGCTTACACAACAGGAAGAACATGACAAGATTAAAACAGTGAGACATCCACCTGCTGAGTCATGGCATATGACAAGCATAAGTTGATTCGAAATGTCCCTTGTTTCATACTCTGTGCCGCTAGTCGTTGTGTTTCGAGGGACCGCAACCGTTCGGACTCCTTGAGCTCCGTTCGAAGCTTGGTGCACTGGTTTTCCACCTAGAAGTAAAAAAAGAGACGATTGATTTTTTGCGGACCAAAAGAGTTCAGGTGCCCTCTAAAAGTGCCGAAATAAAGCAGAATCTTCAGAAACACTATATCGTTCGTCCACATCCCAGACTCCATCTGCGATGCATACGCTCGGCGTCCTCGCTACATGGCATGCGAGACCCTAACTGTGATGATAAAAAGGAAAGATCCACTTATCCTATACCACTATCCTGGCCTCATTGTGCTGAGAAGCGTACTGGGCGGCCTCGCGCCAAGCCTTTTCGAAGGCAACTGCGTCACTGCGGGTCATGTTGCCGAAGGCGATCCGGAGAAAGTTGTGTAGATTTATGTGGTCTCTTCTTCCCGGAAGTGTTCTCCTAGAGTCACTGTACGTCTACATTGACGTTTCGTCCGATTCGGCTTACAACTGTGATTCCCGCCCGCTGCTTGCAAAATTTGAGAAATGGTTGGTGCGACGTCCACCAGCGGTTCCGGTTTCTATCTGCGCGAACGATATTTTTTCTTCACCAGCGTGGTCTCCTGGTAACCGCCGAAGACGCGTAAGAACAGGGACTGCACTGTCCTCTTCACCTTGTTCACCCCGGCCTCTCGCAGCGGAGTCAAAAATCTTGACGATCTTGGTCTTGCTCCAGAAGGAGGACCTCGCGTTGCAAATCGCAGGCCAAGTGGACGTCGATGATTGGCTGCTGCTGTACGAGGACGACGTGACCAAACAAGCTATTGGGGTGAAGTCACGCGTCGATGAAGCTCCAACAGCAAGCCAGAACCCGCCGCAGCTGTCGCGACTCGTGCAGCGGAGCTGGCGCTGGTGCCGGCCGACCGCAGGGAAAACAAAGGAGCTTCGTTCAGGCTCTACTGGAATATGAAACTACACCACTCAGGTCGCGCCAGTTGTTTTCCCGCTTTGTAGCTCTATCAGTCGTGGCAAATTAGAGACACCCGCAGCTGCACCGGTGAAATCATGTTGGTTGTTCCTTGTAGTTTGTCTTTGTAGTTCTTCTTCTCGTTGAAAAAAACCAGTTATTGAAACCAAAGTAGTCTGATCGTAGTTTTTGTTGCCTTCGCAATTCTATTCACTGTCCACCACCTACCGAGTCGCGTCGACCGAAAAGTATCGATTCCCATATAAGGTAGGGACTTGGAACGACCACTAGATGAAAGATGAAATCCGGCACAACATCCTAAGAACCATAGAGCGTTGGTTTACAAAAATTTAAACTGCATGGAGCACTTCTTTCTACGCATGAAGTTTCAATGTGGTGGCATACGACAGACACGACCCTGCTTGTGCTTGTTCTTGGTGAGCGAAGGAAACGAAGAAGGATCGCTTTTTTTGTTCGTTCCATCAAAAGTGAGTGCAGCGTTCGCATATTTACTACATCGTGATGATCTTTCGTGTCCTCACCGCAAATAGGAAACACTAAGATGAATAACGCAAACATCAAAAGTAGAATCGAGAGAAGAAAGGGGCACTAAATGGATCAATGACGACCCAGATGTTGACTTTGATCTTGAAGGAAGTAATGGTGCCGCTCAAACTCTACGAACGACCCAAAAGGCTGGAAAATAGTTTTGAATTTCCAGAGAAGGACGCAGCTGGCGCTGCCGGTGATGGGCGCAATACCAGTGACGGTACGACGGCACCTCAACTCACCACATCTTTTACGCTCAGTGTGAATACTTTTACTTGCGTTCAGTTGTAAAAACAATACTGCTACCAACAACAATCGCACCTCCAGAAGCTGCTCCACATGTTCTTGCAGTTGTCGCGATCTCGTGCTGCTAAAACGAACACACAAAGCTCGCATGTGCATGTGGTGGGGCTAGAAGATAGGGAGCTGCTTCTTACATGGATTCGTTCCCCGGGCGGGTCGGCTGACTTCCGGCTCCGTGCATCATGCACGAGAGCAATTATAGACGACACGCGATCCATCTATATCTGCAGGGATCACTGCCCTCGCCCTGACTTCTCTGGATTCGGGTTGTATCGGTACCTATGAAACCGAATACGATATATTCGCCGCAGCCATGTTGATAAATGGCGGCACTGGTAGAAAGATAGATTTTATGATTTAAATTGATGGCGCCTCCTCTGGTGCTCTACCTACGAACACTACCACCCCACCTTCTTGCCCTTGGTCTTCGTCTTCTCTCTCAGAGGCGCTATAAATCAACTCTAGATGAAATGCAAAGCCCCGCTTCTCTCAGTTCTGTCAGAGACACCCAAATAACCGACTGCGCTGCCCTCCGCTCTGCCCGCGTCCTCAATCATGGCGCGACTAAGTAGGCAACGCTCCACCCCGCATAGCCACATAGTGGCCCACTAGGAACAAGACCCGGAACTGGGGAGGCCGCTTCGCCTGGGGTGTTGCGCATACTCGTGCGTGCGAAAATCAAAGAAAGTGGAGGAATTTGGATGATCTTTTCAGCGTCCGACGAACCATAGACCGAACCAGACGGCCTGCTGGCTCGCTTTTGCCTTCGCCCGGCTGCGCCGCCCGGAATAAACGAAGAACACGCGCGCCACCATACTGAAGAGCGCCCACACGCCTCCGCCGGGCTTCCAAGGGGGGCCTTCCTACCCAAACACGGGGGGAGGACGGGGCCACCAATCCCACACACACGAGGGCCGGCCCCGAGGAAATTTACGCCGGCGCCGGCGGCAGCATACGGACAAAACCGGACTGGCTTCCAGCCCCGGGCAAGGGCCCCCAAGATCACGGGGGCCCCACGAGCGAAGGCGGGCGCGGAAGCACGCGCGCGCTTTATCGTCAAACCAAGCGAGGCACGGCCTTCGGGCCGAAGGGTGGCGGCCCAAGGGCTCCACAACCAGGCCGACCAGCAGCCGGGGGCACTTTAAAAAAGTAAGCGGGTGCGCGCGCGGCCGGGTCCTTGGGTTCGAAGTGATCGCCAGCGGCAACGCCAGAAAACATCAATATCATGTTGACCCCCGTGATGAAATGCAGGGGCGCGCAGCCCCCCCCCTAGCCCCACCGCATTCTTTGCCAGGCGGGGAGCTGGACGCCACGCGGCGCCCATCCAACCAAATTGCGCCCAAAGGCCCGCCGGCACGTAGGGCGCAACACGGCAGAAGGGGCGCGCGCCTCTGGCCTCGCCGATGCGGGGGGCATGTGGGTGCGGCGCCCGAAAGGCGGGCCCTTAGCCCAGGACATTTGTCCCCGCGCGCTCTCGCCGCCCCCTCAAGAAGCACGAAGAGCGCGAATGCTCGACGAGCAGAAGAAAGAATAACAAGAGTGCTCGCGTCAACATTTCGTGTCGCCCTCCTTCACTCATTTTTCGCACACCTTCACCCATTATTTCTCGGATTTCTTATGAGACTCCGGATTTGTTGTCGCTCTGCTTCACTCATTTTGCGCAATCATTGCTGAAAATCAGACTCAACAGCCGGAACCCCTTCCCTACATGGAGTATGGTGCTCTTTCGTCCAGCCAGATTCAGCTCTCAGAGTAGAAGTTGCGCGCTTTTTATTCAATTGAATTCGTCTACGTCTTTTTCTTTATCACAAGATGGTAGTATGCACCCAGAGATCTCCTTTCTTGGTACACGATTTCGTAATTAGCAATAAGAATAATCTTTTCCTTGTTTTCTTGCTGTGGTTCAGTGTCCTGTAGTTGCCTATCAGCACCCTTTTGTTCAACATCACCAGTAGGTCCCACCTTCGTAAAATCCTCACTAATAGTGGAATCATCTGCAAGCCCCCTGCAAGAAGGTGTTGACGTAGAAGTCACAATTTCCTCCCCGACTTCTACCACTCCCCTCCCCAGCGCCTTTCGCACCAGTCCAAACATGTCGATCGTGCTGTCGCACCCGCATTCGTGGAAATTTTTCTCCCAAAACTTCTCTTGAGCGTACTGGACCAGTTTGTAGTCGGCAATCCCGTGCTCGGACAAAATCAACCGTCCCGTTTCCGGTTTCAATACGCGGAACATTTCTTGCACCGCCTTCTCCGGGTTGTCGTAGCTGCACAGGCCCAGAACGTCTACCACGGTGTCGAATTCGCTATCCAGAAGGAGCAAGGGTCTGCTTCCAAGAACCATGTGAAGTCTAACTCACTTTTGCATGCATTCATGCTGCACAGGTTCTTGTGCCAACCCCAATCGTAATTTGACAGGATGAAGAAGGAGGTTTTACACATTCGAGGGTCTAGTGGTCAGTAGAGACAAATCAAGCTTGATTACTGACACTGAGTCAATGTCGTTTCAGTACATTTGCAAGAATAAACTATCAATTGCACCAAAATTGCGACAGTCTCTGCAACATCACAAAGTCGACATGATTTCATGGACGCAGAAATTTACGTGGCGTAACTGTCGGTCCAGGCCTGTTATGAACCGCAACAATATGATCCTCGCGTTGTACTCATCGCAATATTGTTGCATGACAAATCTTGGCTCTTATCTGAATCGGCATGACAACTTGCAGTTATTCCGAAAATTTGTCATGCAATTCACGCTAGGGTACTGGTAGTGCGAGGACACTTGAGCTTTTGCAATGCATATGTGTGGTAGGTGTTCTGCGTCGGCGGTCTGTAGCTTCAAATGAATCTTCGAGGTGTCCGACTTGCTCGCATGGTGCGGATCTGTACTAGCGCCGCAGCTTCCATTTTTACTGGAAGACGATCTGGAGGCTATTCTTGGAGCGGAAGTGATATTTGTTTTTCTCGCCTGCTCCTGCCCTAGACCCCCATCCTCGCTTTCCTTATCCGTCCTTTTCGGTTTCCCAACTCCCACTGCGAACGCCTGCAACTGAACGGCCCGCATGTACGCGCGTCTCAACATTTCCTTCGAACTGTCGACCAGCGTAATGGCTGTGATCTTGTTGTCGCATTGTTCGTCAGGGTTATCGACTGCAAAAGTATCGATATCGTGCTCGGTCGTAGCAATCGCATTCCTTGCACGACAAATGCGCTTTGATGTTGCCTGCTGAATCTCCATGACAGGTGCCAACTTTCCTTCTGGAAAAATTTGTGATGCAGCTGCTAAGACTGATCCGACAACGACTACGATGATTTTGCAGTGCATAAGCGTAATAGCCCAACCATTTTCCCGTGCCGCCGGCGACCTCCAGAACGTGTCCATGAGCGCGAGTGTCACTGTTGAAAAGGGAATAACTCCAGGAGGTTTCAAGACTAACAATCTATGGCGCAGTTGTGATGCGCAACTTGTTGGTTTCGCTTTCGCTTGATGAAAGATCAGGTAGGAAATGAAATAGAGATCGCTACGCTGGAGCGAACTGCGCCGCGTGGAGGTCTGATGAAAGTCATATCAAGTGTATGTATTTTTTTGCATGAAATACTTGCTGCTCGCTCTGCTGAGCGTATCCCGTTATTCGTGTACAGGACGAGGACAACGAGAAACAACTTGTTCTATTCCGAAGTTATATGAAAGTAGTTCTCTTCCACCGCATAAAATTTCCGTACCAGGTGCACGTGGCCTTTCGCTACCCGTCTGTGCGCCCAAGCCGTGCTCGCGTCATACCCAGACGCGGTTGCTTCGTCGCACCAGAAATGTTTTCTGTGCAGGTGAGAGGTTGATGGCGTCCGCGTAGGACGAGTGGGCTGGCCGTGTTGATGTTCCGCAATACAACTGGAGCTTGTAGCTGTTCCACCACTCGGCTTACTGTTCCTTGAAAATGAACTATCCCCATTCACTTTTTGCATGACAAAAACAGAAGTCGCTTCATCTTTTGCATGACAAATTGGATCATGGGGATGGTTAATTTTCAGGAAATACGGCTGCGTCTCCTCGTCTACTTGTTCCTTGCCGTTGACAGAGTCTCGAGGCGTTGACGACGACCTTATCTTGCCATCATATTCTAGTACACCTGTCACAACAGGTTGTGCTGGAGGTCCTCGCTGGGAACAAGATGTAGTTGGAGCTTCCGCACCAGAGCCGCGTGCCGCGTCACAAAACCGCACTATCTTGTCGACGAGGGTCGTTTCTTCGCCGCGTTGGCTCCCTGCTTGCTGATTTTCATTACCGGTTCGAGTTGTTCTTGTTTCGCGATCTTCGTGCAGCTCCTCGTGGTCTGATAGTGATACCCGTTCTGATCCACACTCTGCGGTCGAAGCAGCTACATCATGATGTGTCGTATTTCGTATCGAACGAGGGTGAGAAGAGACGAAGCTGCGCGCTGGAGGCTCTGTCGTGATTTCAACTTGACCACGTGAAGTTGTTGTAATATTGCGACAGAAAGGTTGTGGACCTTCGCAGGAGTGTCGTGTTTTGGTTTCCTTCTCCTGCGCATGGTTCACGTCCTCTGGGGTTTTTTGATCCGCGCAACCACTTAGCTGATGTTCTTGCTTGTTCCACGTCCACCCACAGCCGGTAGAAGAAGTTCCAGACGCGGAAGAGAAGACATACACAATTCTGGCCACAACTGCAGTCCCCAATGCGCAAATCGCAGGCGTGGGGAGCGAGCCGGCATTGCGGAAGAGAAAAGTCGCCATTCGGAGGTGGCAATTGACCGGTCGGCAACATCAAAATAATTGGGCAGCAGACCACTGTGGGAGTTCGAGCTGTGCACAACTTTTTAACCACGCCCAACTCTTAGACAGCAAAGATCACTCTCATCCGGTGGTTACCTTATCAGAGCAATATCGCTTTCCACAGGACATTTTAAACCTTTTCGTCCTCGAAATACAAAAATCGCCGCCTGCGCAAGGTCCATTAACTCTGTCTGTTTTTTATCTTTGCGCCCGGCCACGCGAGTTTGCGCGTCTTAAGTTGTAGAGCTGCGTCAACTGTTACGGAACCCCAAATCTTCTCTCATTCATTCTCCCCCCGGACGCAGGTACTATGGAGTGGCCGGCGACAAGGAAATGTCCTGACACTGCTGTATTCACATGTGCTGAAGGGTACTCAGACAGGAGGGAGCAAACACCGAGAAATCCATATACCGAATACACGAGGATGGAACACAGAATCGAGCGGGCTCCGACACCTTTCGGACAGAAATTGAGGAAACAGGAGAAACAAAATCAAGCGCCACATCTCGCGTCCCCGGAGGGGCCGGGCGGGGAAGGGGGGCGCACAACATTGGCCCAGGCGCGCGACAGAGCGAACGTGGGCCGGCGGGCCCTAATTGTATGCCACCCCCGCCCGCCAAAGTAGTGCCCAAACTTGGGCCATAGCGCAACACGTCCTTCCGAACTGGGGCGCGACGCGCGGACGGTATTACGTGCCTGGCCCCGCGCCTCCCCCCCCCCGCGCCTTGGCCAGAGAGCGAGGCGGACCCCAGGCGACCCCGCCCGCCGGACCGACCGCCCACAAGCGTAGGCCACCAGGAGCGGGGGGCAACGAACACACGAACGAACCAACCGGCCCCCCGGCGCACAGATACGGGAGAGCGGCGGGACTAACTGCCACACCGCGCGGGCGCCCAATTCTGGGCCCGCCGCCGGGCGGAGAAAATGAAGGGGGGGCGAATGGGTTCCGGCGTCACCGATGAGGCGCGCATTCCGCTGAGGCTCAAATCTCACGCCACCACCGGCCAACCAGCCCCAGAACGCTCCCGCTGAGATCCCCCTGCGCCGAGTCGGGGCCGCCTCCTCTTGTTCCTCATTGGCGGAGCCCGGCCGCCCCGCTTTGGATGGGCGTTGCCCGGCCGGCGCCGAGAAGCTTGCGCCCTGGTCTTGACGCCCAGCGCAATCTATCACACGCCACGGCCTGTCCGGGGTTTCTCCCCGCGGTCTTTCTGATCTTGGGCGCGCCCATCCGTCAAACGGGAACGAAGGAGCCGCCTCGGGCTGCGGCTACGTAACGAGCTGAAAGGACATTTTTTTGCGACCGCAATGCGGCCCTTGCTCGCTGCTGGGCTGTCACACGGTGTGCGGGCTAAAACATAGATTGGCATTGCGAGCGGTTGGCACTTTTCGGCCCCGTGTCACTCCGCAATTCTCATTTCCACTCAACATGAAAAAGAATGAACAGCAGAGCTTCCCTGACTACACACACTACACACAAAACTCATCTCCATATTTCACAACAACTCTTCTTGCAGTTGCAGTTGGTGAACTTTATTTGCGCCTGCAGTTGCACACTCGACCTCCTCTCAAATGTCTTAGCGCAAGACACTCTCTCTTCACGTACATGAGGTCACGTCATCGAACCGGGCATGCCATGGGCCCGGCTAGGACATGCCATTGCCCGTCAGATTTTGAAAGAAAGCTGTCTTCCTGCTCATACACGTCAACGCCACCGGTGGTGCTTCCACATACGGAGAAGAGCGAATTTTTGGGTGGATTTCCCCCCTTACGCTTTTGGGCCGGAAAATTAATTTTTTTTTCAAAATTTTCAAATTTCCCTTTTTCCCCCGGCCGGGGGCGACATGGTCCAAAAGAGATGGGGTCCATTGAAAGGTGGCGGGAGGGTGGCGGAAATCTTGAAAGCAAGGCGCCTCCGACCACATCAGACCCAAAACAAATCCCACCCCAGATGACCTTGAGAAGGCAGACCGGCAACAGGCCTGAGGAAGGACAACTAGAAGAGAAAAACTGGGCCCATGTTCCAAGCAGAGATCTTGCAAAGACCAGGATCACATCGCAACAAATAACATCATGAGGCCTGAGAAAGTGAGACAAGACACAAGATATCTGCTCGCGGAAAATTCCAGGAAAATTTCAGGAAAATTTCGAAAACGTCAAGAGGGCAACAAGAACATCGCCCGGAAAATTTCAGGAAAATTTCAGAAATCGGGCAAAACGCAAAATCGTTCCCGATTTTACAGTGTGGCCAGATTTCTGAAATTTTCCGGAGCCATTTTTGAGGTCCATTGAAATTTTCCGGAGAGGCCATCGAAATTTTCCGTGGCCCTTTTGAAATTTTCCTGAAATTTTCCGGAGGCGAAATCCCGGAAAAATCCGCACAAAGAAATGACGAAACCGGGGCCAATCCCAGAATACCAATCCCCGACCACCAAGAGAAGATGGGCCTCATACGAGAAGAGATGGGACGGAGCCAAGACAAGAACACCCCACATAAGATCGCCCCGCTGCCATTGCCTCCCAGCCGTGTCCCGATGTTCTCGGGCCACCACCCATGGCACCAACACGCCGGACAATAGCAACACACTCACCAAGAACCTCGGGCCATACAGGCGCACCAACAAAAGCGAAAAAAATTTTTTTCGGATTTTTTTGGATTTTATTTCCGGAGAAGTTAAATTTTCCGAAGCGTTTCCACTTAGGGCCAAAATCCCACCAAGAATTTATTGCCCGAGCCGGCGATCTCTGCGGTGAGTCTTGTGCGCGGCACCGCGACAACCAAAACGAGCCAGAAATCGAGTCCGAAGCGGGGGTAGGCGCGCAGGGAAGGAGCGAAGTAACACGGGCCCCCCGGCAGCAGCCGCCACTTGCGCCCATAAAAGTCCCGCCCTACGCGGGCGGGGCGCCGGGGGCCGGTTGCAACGAGCGCCGGGCCCCCGATCGCGTGCCGGCGGGCCCGCCGGGCAGGCGGCCGGCCAAGGAACCCTGGGGACGGAGGGAGCGCGCCAAGACCGGCAACACCCGGAGGGGGCGGGGGCGGCCGGGGGCCTCGCCCTCGCCTCCGCCGGCGGGAGGGCATGGCGCGCCCGCGGCAAGATACACACGGGCGAGAACCCGCGCCCGCCCAGGCGGTGCGTGCAAATGCCCGACGGGCGGGCTCGCTCGACTTTAGAGCAGCGGCGGGCCTGCGCGCATCCGCAGGAGCTCTGCGCCATCGACGGAAAAAAAGGAGCGCCGTCGCGATCATGGCCGGGATTGTATTCGCCAGCGCGTCTAGCTCCCTGCCGATCTGTGGTCTTCGCGCGGCAGACTGTGCGCGCGAGATCCACCGCGCACCCTGCCGCCAGGCGCCGCGCCGGCATGGTCCACGCGCGGCGCCTGCCGCTAGGCGAGACTAACGAGGCCTGATCCGAAGCACCTGCGGCGCCGCGTCGGCCCCGACTGCTTACCAGGCGCGGCGTTTCCTCGCTTCATAACAATAGTTGCAAAGAGCGTTCTTGCCACTGCCACAAGCATCTTTCTGATCTTCCACCTATTAGTAGTATGAAGGCCAATCTATTAATATCATTGCAGCATGAAATTGAAACAAAGGGAAAACGAAAAGCGTCAACGATTTCAAAACTACACCAAAATCCCTCACACGATTGCACGCTCTCCAATTGTTTTTTTTCTTTTGATGGCCTGAATGAAACACACGCTAACTGAAACTGCTTTTATCCCTCAACAAGAGACACCAATGAGAGGCTGAGTTCATGACAACGCAGCCGCAGATATTACATGAATCGTCCGCAACGCTTGATATATCTGGGCAGTTACACACTGGTAGCTCTGACGCCTATGCACTGAGGTCCAGAATTTACATGAGCAACTCTCTACAGGTTGCAACCAGCTTTATGGTCATACTCTCGTCTCACGGTCGCTCAAGCTTATCACGTCATGCGCAGTCATTGTTTTTTCTCTCGTCATCGAGCCTGATCTTGATCATTCGTTTTTACCACAGCCCCGTTTTTCCGCTCACATATGTACTTGAGTGTGGATCGTCGGACAGACTGTTTCCAAAAAGAAAGGGCACAAGAGTCGTTCGTCCTCGGACTGCGCCGCGAAACCAAATGTAGTAGCTCCATCGTCGCGACTTTCAACAAGAAATTGAAATTCGGTTCAAAGAACAGCAGGCTCGGACGCGAACGCGACCAAATGTTGGACGCTGTGTGTGAAGTATAGAGTGCATCTGACTTATTTTCGTGATGAAAGCTCCAGGCTCAGAAACGCTGTGCGTCTTCGGTGGAATAAGTTGCGGCTATTTTGTTCATGTTTTTGCAGTTCTAGAGCTGCTGCGCCGGGTGCAGCTCGTGCTTCTATTTTCAAATCTCATTTTCAAACGTGCGTCTGTGTATATCCATGGGTGGCGTTCAAGGTTTCTGGACTAGAGTCAAGCACTTCATTTATCATCATCATTTCCTCGCCATCAACTCTTGCATGAAGCTCTCGTATGCAGTGTCTTCCTCATCACCGCTGGTGCTTACTTCACAGCTCTCACCGTCTTCATCATCGTTGTCCCCATCCCTGTTTGGAGGTTCCGTTTTGCCAATTCCATTCACGAAAACTGTACCAGAGGACGCACTTTGTTTTATAATTCCACCGTGTACTTTATTCCGTTTGGTCGTGTTCCTTCTCCTGTTATTCTTATTTCCCGAACAAGCATGTTGCTCTGAGGAGGAAGAAAATGAAAAGGCTCTCGAGGGTCTGTCAACTTCATCAGGTCCAGCGAAGTTCTGGTCCAGCGGATTCCGCGAGGAAGAAGAAGCGCAGCCTGGTCTAGAACTGCAGTTAAAAAACAAATCCACGGCGACAACCTTGTTGTTCTTCTTGCCGTGTGACAGGCCCCCACGGGGATCTGCTTTTCTTTCTCCTCGACTGCTGGATGGTGGTCCTGGTCGTGCACCACCTCCGCGGCCGGGAGGTGTGATACAATCTGGACCTGACCTTGTCCTTGCAGATGAGCTTGATGCGCCGCTACGACCCGCCAAACGATGCTTTGTGTTCTCGAAAGCAATCATATCTGCCTCCTCGACGAGCCTCTCCGCAGGGGCGCAGAAAGCAATATGGCGTTCTCAAACGTTACATTATCAACTGTTACATGAATTTGTAATGCAAGAGTGGCAAAAGTACAGGAGGAAGATTGCGCCTTTTGCATTACAGATTTGGGACGGATTATAGTGCTATGTAGCGCGTCGAGAAGTTGTCATGCAAGGCAGGCTTGGTCGTGTGATTGTGAATAGTGATAGTGTTTTTGCATGACAAATCATGTAACAGTTGAGAGTGTAACGTTTGAGAGCCCCATAAGCAAGCAGCAGCGGAAACAGGAATGAGAAGGAGACACTGGCGGCGGTGGAGGAACCAGGGTGTTGAGAAGTGCAGCTCTTTTCGTTCGGAGTTACAGCTTGTGGCCCATCATCTGAGTCGGCGTTTGTTAATATTTCTCGATCTCCATTTATTTTATTCCCAACGACGCCGCCGGAACTCCCTATTCTGTTGACGCACAGCATAACCGTGAAAAAAACGGCTTTGAATGCTGGTGGCAAAAACCGAAAGCACGCCGCCTGCGAAAAGGTGAGTTCCTGCCGGTCTTCGGGCGTGGGGTAGAGGTGGGTGAAAAGGTGATGCAGATCGTCGTCCGTGTGAGTCAAATATGGAATGAAAAACGTAGTACAACACTGCATAGAAATTTCATTTGTGATCAGAATCGTTCATGCGGCTTCGCGACAGAAGGCAACGCTTTGCTTTTCATGCACTTTTTGTTTCATGATCATGCGCGACTTCGCTGATTAGTACTTTTTGAGACTTATTTTCCACACCATATCAACACCTGTGCTGCGATACGCGGCGGCCAGCGGATGCACAACTTCTGGTGCAGACAGTCGTTCACGCTGTCCTTCTGAGCAGGGCTGGCTTTGTCCCAAGAAGGAGAGGATGTGTTGCTTTTCGAGTTATCATAAGCCACCACCTCGTCCATGTCCTCGTTATTTGCTGGAAAACCTGTGTTCTGCAGAGGTGCGGAGCATTGCAAATGCACGGATGTCTGCCTTTCGCGCTCAAGGAGGGAGACCGGTCGTGCAAAATCTACTGCATCTCCAGCGTCATGGTCAAGTACAGGTGCACGGCAAGCCGGGTCACCAAGTTGACTTTCCTCGTTCTTGTTTCCAACGAGTTTTATCAGTTGGCCCTTCCACGTCCCAAATTCGGCTGTTGCTCGATAGCTGAAGCTCAATTCCACGATTTTCGGCCGGTGCGCTCCTGTACTGTTATTTCGGCGGTCCTCCTCTGACCCGACGTCAAGTTTCGCTCCTGCTGGACGACCTCCTGCTAGAGAACCAGCCTGCTGTCCCGCGGCGGGCGTGGGGGCCGCGACCAAGATTAGCAGAAAATCCGCCGGCGTTTCGTCTGGTTTGGTGCTGTTACTGTTGGACGTCGAGGCAACTAGGCCCTTTCCGTTCAGAGACCAGCTAGTAGAGATGGTGCTGTAGTGGCGAGATGAGGATGGCGTCGGTAATGATGAATTTGATAAAAACTTGGAATCTTTATCATCGCTTCGCGCGCCAAGAACACCAACGTCAACCTCTGCCGGAGCGTGCAGCTGCTGTTGGGCAGTCGTGTGTAGGTGTTCCTCCGCGTCCTGTCCTTCACGCCTTTGCTTTTCGTCGGACGGCCCCGCCCCCCTTGGTGGGGAAAGCGCGTTACTTCTGGCCCGGTATTTCAGGTGTTGGACCTCGTCACAAACCAGCGGCCGGCTCACAGTCAAATCCACGCCCCCGCTCGCGTACTCAACCACCGTTTCGTGCGGGGTGTGCAACACAAATTTACGTTCTTCGCCGCACAAGATCATAGAGCTGCAAATTTCATTCGCACGGAAAAAAAGAACGACGCTTCAGATTCTCAACCGCAGGTGAAAGGACCTACCTAGTGATGCAGAAGCTCAAGCACAAACTATGTAAATTTCCGTATCGCGAGTTGAGGGCCCGCAGTTTCAAATCGTATGATCATGTTTTCTACTTGCACGGCGAAGTTTGAAGTTCAACCCCGGGGCATACTTTTGGCAGAAGATAGACAGCGGGTTCTCTACCGGCCCCAGCGGAAACTCGCGAATCAGCTGTGGGATAGAGGTTACTGTTGTTGAATTTCCAAAACGCGGACCTGCTTCGTCGCCTTCTGAGCGTGGTGGAAATTTGCCACCAGAATGGTCGTCGTCGGGAAAAGGACCTATCCCGGCCTGCTCATCACACGGTCTTGGTTGTCCCGAGTCGTTCGGCGATTGTGTCCTAGAAGCCATCTCCAGTTCTTGTGCGGCGGGCGCGGTTGATGTTCTTGCGCTGCGAGAGGAAGAGCTCGCTTCTATTCTCATTCGGTTGTCCCTGTGAGAGGTTTGAGGCTGTTTGCGTTGCTGCTCTGATGTGGGTATGTGGCACTGTTGTGAAGAAAATATTTCGTCTTTGTTCCGAGAACCGTCAGAGCCGCCTCTAGTACAGCTTCCGGCCCCCGCGCCAGCCCTCCCACCACCAGCAGGAAGCTTGCAATAGATCCACTCGAGCGGATTGCGATCCAAATTGTTTTCAGACTCGGAATCCGATGGCGAGGTCTGGAAGCAAACCATATCAACTGCAAAAGTGTCTGGGTCTGGAAGTATCAGTATGCAACTTGTCATGCTAAATCTGAAGCATGCAAAAATCTGTGTTGCATGATTACCAAAAGTCGTCCAGTTTTGCCCAAGTCGGGAGGCAGTTTCTCATGCAGGATATGCGTGAGAATTGAGAGAGATCGCACAGGAGATGAATTTGTCCTGCTAGGTCCTGCATTCCAGACCTCATGGGTCATGGAAAATTTGCATGACAAACTCCCCCAATCTTCTTCCAGACCCAGACATTTTTGCATTTGATAACCCAAACCCGGATGCAAGTTTGAGTTTGTCGTCGTAGTGGTTCCATCTACAACTTCCTGTCCTCGCGGGGGACGAGTACCAGATGCAGCTCCTGGCTGCACAAACGAAGTGGCACCTCCTGCGCCGTCGGCACAGCTATCTCCGAAGCTCAAGTAGAGGAAAAAAATCTTTACCTCGTCGTGCTGTCGCTGATTCATGCGTATCATCCGGTGGTTAATCTTTGTTGCGCTGCTGTTGGTTCGTGGACCATTTGTTCCGGGGTAATTTTGATCGTGCTGGCGTGAGGATGAGGAAGAGGACGCTTCCTGTATCGGTCCGCTCCCCTGTTGATGTTGATCAACATCCGGAGTACTTCTAGCTCGCACGTTGTCATAGTCGTACCGGAGCTGATCAGGATGCTTGTACTTTGCGGGGATGACCCATTTTAAATCCAGTTTTTCCAGCAAATGCGGGAATCGGATCAAATACCTTTCTCCAACCTTGTCGCCACGGACGGTCGTCGCCTGGAAGGGAAAGGATCTCCTTGGGTCTGCGCCGGATTCAAATTCTGGTCCACTAGCGGTTGTAGCTACGTTTGGTTGTGTTATAACTGTATCGTTCTTTCCGCCTTCGAAAAAATAGGTTCTTCTCGGCCCTTGTGTTCCAGTGCTGGTGGTAGGGCGCCGACCGAAATCTTGGGCCACCATCGGGTCAATTGCAGCAGTTCGTGTCTTTTACTCTGGTGGGCCACGCCCGGTGTAGCACGCTCTAGTTGGGCGTGTCTTCCACAAGGAGAATTGTTTGTTGATGAAAAGCTTTTTCTCAAGATGTCATGTGGCTCAATATGCTATATGAATGGCCAAGAAAAACAAGTAGTTGATATGCCTGCAACACACTGTAGTACCCAACATTTTTATCGTGAGCAAACACTCCGAAGTGATGTATGATCGTAAGTAGAAAAAGGATTCACTAGAAGTAGGAGTAGCGCTCGCATAGAACGAGGTGGATTAAGTAGATAGTAAACAAAGGAAAGGTCGTGGACCCAAAAAATCTGAATCACGTTTATGAAAGATCAAAAGCATCACGACCCAGTGTAAGAAGTGACAAAAAGTAGATATGCAGTTGGGATGGATGCCTCCAAGCAATGGACAGGACTATCGTTACTTAAGCTTGATCGCGAACTGTTTTGCTGAGCAACATCAATTCCATGTTTGGGATGCCTCCACCTTGTCGCACCTTCGTGCTCGTACCGACTACACGACCACAACATAAAAGCAAACGACGCGACTGCCGAAAAAACTGCTTCAGCCCTGTCGCGATCAACACTCGAAACAAAAAGAACACGCCACGAAATGAACAATCGAGCACCGGGCGCCGCACTTCCTGCTGCGAAGCACTAGCGAGGCTCCTGTTGTTTCTTTTCGGCGGATATAACATAGGCGCCGTTACCCGCCGACCAGCCGGTACCCAGTCCGGAGATACACCGGACTACGGATTAATGCGTAGGCGCGAGTGGATGCTCAGACCTGCCGAAAGGCTGCCGACGCCGACGAAGCTACGGGGGTGTGCGTACTAAGCAAGGCTGGCGGACTAGGTGACGCATGGCCCCCGCGCCTGCGCGAGTGCGCGACCATGTTCGTTTTTGCGCATGCAACCGAAAAGGCAGGGGCCGCGGGGGCAATGTTGGTGGCCACCCAACCGTAACAATGGGGCGAGGGCCCATCCGAGATCCGGCGAGGAAACGAAGTAGGCGCCCTCCCGACCAATCAAAACCAACGACGAGGCCCACCACAAGATTGCTGGGGGCCTTGTCCGACAGAGAGACACTGGAGCGAGGCGGGCCGCGAGGCGGGCCGCGAGCGCGCCCCGGGCGCCCCGTTCGGACGCAAGGGGGCGGGCGAAGAAACACCACGGGGCCGCCGAACCGTGCGCCACGCGGTGGGCCCCCTCGCTGCCGGGGTGGGCGTTAGCTAGGGGGGGCTCGGGGCCGGCGGCGCGTCCTCCTCTTGACGTTTTGCGTCCATTCTTCATTTTGCTTCCGGACCAAAATGCTCCGCGATGCGCGGGCAGCTGATCCCACGGGCGCGACACCCCCGCCGGCGTTTGGGTCTTCTATACGGCGCTGGCGGGCCTGCAGCTCCGCGCCGCGAAGGAGGGCAGCGCCCCCGGGCGATGACTGTTACGCCTCAGCGCGCACCCACCCGCAGCGCGATCGTGACTGCCGATGTCGGGGTGGGGGCGCGGCCCGTCCTTCCCCACCCCGCTCAACTACAAGCGCACATCTGTCATGTTCCACCTCGACTGCGTTTTGGGTGTAGCTTAAATCTTGGCAACTAGGTCTCACCTACAGCTTCCCTCAAGAACGTTCTCAAAACTCTAGCTCTACACATGTCACACGGACTAATAGGGTATTAACTCAAGGTCAAGGACAGATCATCAGTCAATGTCATCGCTCTTTCTGACGCTTTGTCGCACTGACAATACTGAGCAAAAAAGCCATCTGCGCGGCGCCATGGCTTAGGCTTCCCTCTCAAACACGCTGGGTCACACTCCGCGTATCCCTAATGTAATCCCAATCTCACTCCCACTCGCTTGTGCCCTCTCTGCAGGCTGCGTCATGATCCGCACTTCCACCAACATTGCCTGCAACGGGTTGTTTTAAGTACTTAGAAACACACTCGCCTTTAATAAACCTGCTGGCAAATCTTGACAGGGAAGCAATGAGAAGCCAATGATCGGCGGCCCGCTTGCGCACCAATCAAGCCCAGGGCATCTGGTCGGGCAGAACCGACGATATGAACAGAACCGACCACGAAGGCGGCTGCCGCTGGTTGAAAGGCGACGGACGCCGCGGGGGCGCGGCAATGCTAGATCACCTTCAACCGCCGCGCCAACACAAGCTAGCAAAATAAAGGCGCAACTGGTGCGGCGCCTGCTATGTTGCGGCCCGACCGAGCCAACAAGGCCCGTCGGCGTCCAGGGAGGCCGGCCGCCATGCCGGCCTGCGTAATTCTTCGTAACAACACCCACCAAATGGGGCGGGCAGTCAAAACATACGCACCGACCCGCCGGGGGCGCAGGCTGGTAGGCCGGCGCGCAGTACCCTCCTGGGGAAAGGGGGCGCGCGCAGGCGACGGGGGAAGCACCGGCGCCGGCTGCTTCCGTGGTGGGCCTGGCTGGCGCCAAGGGCCCGCCGGGTTGCCCGATAGAGCAACCAACCGCGCGCGGCCAGGCGCCGCGCCGCGCGTTCGATCGCTCGACCAACATCCGGGCGACTGCTTTTGATGCCGCGACGTTTTCTGCGGGCGATGACGATCCGACGCCGCCCGCGACATCAGCAAAGCAACAACGCCGCCCGGCTGGCGGTCGGTGAATGTGGCGCCGCAGTGCGTTCCTGCGCCCGGCCGCGCGGACGCATGGCGGCGCAACAGGAACACCATTCCACCGCGCGGCCCCCGGCTTCCAGTGTGGGGGGTGCCCACCCGCCGGCCCTTCTTTCCGGCCCCGTTCGCAAACAAATCCATCGAATTTCGTTTCCACTGCATTTCTGTATACTGTTTTAGAAAAAGGCTATCATTTTATTTAACTTTAGCTTACACCTCGGACTCGGTCACCAGATTCCACCTAATGCTCTCCTCAACATCCTCAGCGCGCTAGCTCTTTTAAACGCGTGACGCGGCCACACGTCTTTGTTCAAAGACGAAGAAATCACTCAGCGCCAACGCTCTTAGACTTTTACTTCACTATCAAACACAGTCAGTGCGTCAGAGTCCTATTTGCACTCACTGTCACTCTCACACACTTGCGCCTCCTCTTCAGCAGGCTGCGTCGTGATGTGCACTTCCACTTGCACTTCCACCAACACTGCCTGTCGCTGGGTTATGAAGAGAGACGCGTCAATATAGTGGTCCGAGGCTGGCAGACCTGCTGCCGAGAAGAGGCCAGGCAATACATGGCGGGCGACCCGGCTGCGCAGCAATCACTTAATCAAGCCGCGGGCACCTGACCATAACCAGATAGAATGAACTGTAGGACCAAAACCACAATCAAACAAAGTAAGACAGGCGGCCGGATTTGGCGGAGGGAGCCGCGGGGGGGGGGAAGCATCCATGCATGCAGCGCGCGCCAGGCATACAGGCGGCGCGCAACTGACCAAGCCAGCACGGGCGCGGAGAAGAAACGAGGCCGCAACAAGTGCTGCGCGATGGTGCGCGCGGCGCCGGGCCCGGCCGTCCGCCTCCCTGGGCACGCGCGCCGGCCCACCTGCCTTGGCTTTCTTTTGCGAAAACACACAACAAGGCCGGGCGACTGGGCGCCCACACTCACTCAGTCACATTAAAAACAGACGGCGCGAGTAGGCCTGCGCGCGCCGCCGGGGGGGCGGGCGGGGGCAATCAAATGCCACCACACAACGGGCGGGCGCCGAGCCAGGAAATCACGCCCACCCGCTCGCCCGCCCAACCGACCAGCCGCGCGCGGGCAGGGGCGGAGACACACGGAAACACGAACGCAACCCGGGGCCCGACGCATACTTCCCCTGATCAGCTCGTCGCTGGACGCTTTTTACCTTGGAGGTTGCTTCTCAGTGTCGTGAGCTGCAGCGCAAACCGCAGAGCGGGCGCGCTTTCCACGATCCTCCTTCTTGCCGGCCCCGTTCGCGCGCAATCATCGCGCAACGACATTCACTGCAGTACTTTAACAAAATGCGCGCGCTTCAACTATCCTTATCAAAGAATCCGGCTGAAGCATAACAGTACTAGTGCTGTCAACATCGCATGTGTATATTCTTTCTTAGAGGATTCATTCCAATCTCTCGTTCTCAACGACACCGTTCTCAATCTCGTGACCGGAAACAGAAACATCAGATACAAGACCACTCTCCACTCCCACAGAGTGCCTCCATTGCTGTAGGATCATTCTCACGCTATCAGAACCCTGCAGCTGCATTCAACACTGCCAGCTGCGTGCATCCTCAACAACTCCATGTCCAGCAGCATCATTTTCAGAACATATATAAACAGAGAATTGCATGACCCCCATGATATAATTTTCTTTCTCGTAGGGACCGTGCACTATTTCTAGCAGCCGGATTATTTGCTGCGACTGCGGCCCTTGTCGTGTCTAATTACTATCTATCTATCTATCGGGCGGTTGGGAAAAACCGCACGGGCTACGCAACATTTCGTCCTGTTCAGAGTTTCTTTCCTCGTGAGTTCGTCTGTTTCGCTTCTCGCTTTACCTTTACTTACTGCTTTTTCCCCACGGTAATTAGCACACTATGATCGAGTAAAGGTAAGATAATGATAAGGATTCTTTTACAAGGAGATAAAAATCTTTTCTATAACAATAGGACCAGTCTGCTTACATTCGTATACGCTCATTATTTGTACAAAGTCAGGAGTGTGGGATTAGTATTGCACTGGAAGATGGTCTTCCAAAGTTAGTATCAATGTCCCTAACTGAAACTGTCCAGTCGGCCGTAAGAGGGTTTCTTTCTGTTTCTTCGCACGGTCCGGCTGTCTTTTTTCCGACTCATATTTTACCTGGGACACATTTTTATTGATGGGCCGACCCAGAAGAAGGCACTGTGACTGTCATTATAATTAGATAGAAGTTGTCGAAATTAATTAGACACAAGCTGCTTCTATTGGTGTCTGTAGTAGCTGTAGCAGCAGCTGTACGTTGGGCGAGTCAATACAGCAACGCGTACGTACAAAATCATAAACTTTGGTGTTTTGCAGTTTATATACACACAATGCTATATTGATAGAAGCTCTTGGTGAAATAGATTGCGCTACATGAGCCTAATTACACTTCCTTCCGAAGATCTTCATTCGGTGGCGGGAGCACTAGAGAAAGGGAGAGATGATTCACTACTGGTATAATCGTGATGTAATTACCGCATTACAAAATCATAAAGTTGAATGCTGGATATAAAAATCGACTCTTCTTCCTTCGCACAAGGACGAGCTGCAGCTGCGACCTGCGTGACACCCAATCTAAGTTGGAGCTCTTTGTACAACAAACCACAAACGCGCCTCACTTCTTTTTCGCCCCGGTCGTGGTCTTGCCCTTGCTGCTTCCAACGTTATATGCAGCAGCAGCAGTAGCCCCCATCGTGTTTTTTGATTTTTCCTTCGGTTTAGGTTTGCTCTTCGGAGAGGATGGTGTGTCTGCTTCGTCCACAAATGTAACCGATCTGGCGTTCGGCGTCGTACCGTTTTTCGCAGCCAACACATTGGCACTACTGGTCGATGAGGAAGAATTCTTCGCTGCTCCTGCTCATTCGAAACCAAGTTTACCAAATTCATCCATGTCTACTACTGTGTCTTTCTTTGTTTTGGAAAATGGCGGCCGTTTCGCTGTAGCTTAAATCTCGGTGACCAGGTCTCTCCTGCAACTTCCCTCGGAAACATCCTCAACGCGCTAGCGCTAGACATATCACACGGGCTAGTAGGATCTGAGCGTGAGCCCAAGACAGACAAATTGCCACTTCCCTCTCAAATAGATACACTGAGTTATATTAGTTCTCATATTCCTACTCCCAGTGTCACTCTCACTCCCTGGCTCCTTGTCTTCAGGCTGCGTCATGATCGGCTCTTCCACCAACATTGCCTGCTTCTGGTTTATTTAGAAACACACGCGCGCCATGGTCGGCGCGGCGGTTCTAAAGTTGCTGACGAATAGGCAAACAACGTACGAAGAAAGGCCCCTGGCTACTGGCCAGATACAATCAACGATACGAACGGATCCAGCCGAACACCAGGCGGCCGGCGTTGCCTAGTTCGTTGGTAGAGCCGCGAAGGTAAGGCAATGCCAGATCGCCCACAACCGAACCTGCCGCGCAAACAGGCGCGCAGAACAGGAAAAACACAGCAGGCGCGACCGGTGTTATGCCTGCGTGCGTGCGATACTGGGGCCCGGCCTACCGTCCGGCCAACCGGGCAGGCCCGCCTGCACCGGCAGCACTGCCGGATGCACAACACACACAGAGGGCCGGGCGCACAACGGTCGCCAAGGGCGCTGGCGCCCCCGCCCGGGGCGGGGGAGGGAGCGAGCAAAAGCAAGCCCGGCGCCCGGGTTGGTTCGCCCACGAAGGGCCCGGCGGCGGCCAGCCACAAAAGGGCCACAGGAAACGCAATGGGCCGGCCCGCCCGGCACACCGACCCGGCGCGCGGGCGGGTGGATGGAAGGGCGGCAAGAGGTGGGAAGGCTTGGCGCCAGTGATCCAGTTCGGGGACAGCAGCTACCGCCCCCGGGGCCGCGGGCGAGTTTTTGCAAAAAGCCTGGCAGCTAACAGCGCCGGTCTTTTTAAAGATGGCGATGAGGTTCATCGGCCGCGCGCGACGCTTTGGGCTTTGTGACGTCCTTGCTGATCGCTCGCCGGACCTGTCGCCGCGGGGCCGCGTCGCCGATTGCCCTGTCAGTCTGAGCGCCAACCCCGTCCGCGGCCGGCGTTCTCCGGGAAAGGGAATCCCGAGGGGGCTCACGCGTGGGGCTGCTGCAGGAGTGCCACACGATCCCCCAGACGGACCATCCTCAGGCCCAGAGTCAGACCTCACATCTGTCCTAGAGAGAGCACGTTGGAGAAAAGCTTAGCTTTGCACTCGTGCATGCACGTTCACGCAGTCTCATCCACAAGGCCAATCCCAATACCGGCTCTACTCAAATCTAAAAATACTATACATCTATTCTCCTTCTTGTTGGGGCTCTCTCGCTATCCACTGCCACAGAATAATTATAGACCGAAACACACGTTGTGACACACTCACAAAGCCGCGCTCACACACTTGTCGCGCAGGAGGGTGCGCTCAAATGCAAATCTCTCAACACTGACTGGCTCGAACAAAACGACTCCACAAGAAGCCGTGTGCATTCGGAATCAGCGGAAATGAAGGTGGTCGCCAATGCATGGCATAGCAACGGAGATGCGTCATTGCCAGATCGCCCACAAGACCGCCAACAAACGACAAACGCATCCATGCCATGGCGGCGCGGCCGAAGAATCATAGGCAGCGAAACAACGAACGGGCCGCGCCGCCGGCCGCGCTAATACGCAGGCAACAACCCCAGCTACCGGTCCGGGGCTGTTGCGCTCCCTGCAAAAACTAAGAGGCCAATATACAAGAAACACCACGCCCACGGACTCGGGCGGGACTAGAACGCGGGCGCAGCGAGGGCGTGGGCGAACCCAAATACACCGCCCCACCGGGGGGGGCGCGTGGGCAGGCGAACGCCCATCCCTTCCGCAGATGGGCGGCCAACAGACACCCGGGCCGGAAGATGCGCCGGCAGGTCAACCATGGCAACCAACAAGGGCCGCACATGAGAAAACACGGCCGCACGGGCGGGGCATGGCCCGCCGGGGCACGAAGAGAGGCGCGCGGCCGCTTCGCTGGGTTCCGCCTCCTGTTCGTACAACTGGCCCCACGCACCCGCAGCCATTTCCACTTCGTGCCGTTTCGCAGGTGCGCACATCCGCGGCGTTGGGACAGAGCGCAGCCTTTAGCCACATTTCCGTCGCACCCGCCCGATATTCTTGCGGCCGGAGTCAGGCACTACAGGCCCTTTGTCTATCGCCACCACAACCACTGAGCACCAGTGTCTTATTGTGTATACTTAACATTGGCATTGGATAAAGTATGTGCCACTAGTACCATTTCGAATTTCATTACCAAATTTTTCAACCCACACGCAGCACTCTCAACATCGCACCTCTATATCTTTTCGTACTTCTGCTGAGGTCACTGCAGTCTCTCACTGCCAGCACCCTCAGACTTTGCCACTCTGAAATGACCGGAAACAAAAACGTCAGAAAGATAAAAGTGCATCTGACCGACGGCTTCTCGTTCTCACAGAGTGCCATCTACACAGTTCTGAATCAACGCCATCAGAACCCTCCACCCCGCCCTGCATGGTCAGCAAGTCCACCAACATCACCATTGTCAAAACATAAATAGACAAACAGGCCCCATACATGTCTTGCAGTTGGCGCCGTGCGGTATTTTCAGGAGCAGGCGGACCCTTCGTGGCCCTTCAGATTTCTACTAGTCGCATATCTTTGTTCGTACAAAGTCAATCTGCTAGCACCGGAATGAATATTTACATACAATCAGCACAGTGGAAGAGCGTCGCCAAAGTTTAGTGTCGATGTCCTTCACTTTCCTCTTCGGCTAAGCCAGAAGGAGGTGTACTCCTATTTCTACGCTGCGGTACACATAAAGCTCCATGTACCGTTTTCCTACACGTATTCTTATTTCGTGGAGACTGCGTTTAGTTTTAAAGACCCGGGTTAGGAAGTAACGGTTTATGACAACATCTCAGATTTTGTCGAAAACCGGCACAAGCTGCGCTTGATTTCTGCAGCAGCTGCATGTGGTGGGAGTCGATAATTAAGTTAGTAAATAAAATAAGTAAAAATTAGCTTATGCTGCTCTATAATCTGAATATATACAGAAGCAGCCCAGTGGCGGGAAAGCGAAAGGGATAAGGTTGTTCTACGACAGCCTAAGTACATGTTCAGAAGATCTTCATTCCCATTCGGTGGCGGGACCACGAGAGGAGAAAGGGATGAAAGATGTATCACTTGTTTTACGTCTACTGGTAATACAACGTTCTTTACAAAATAATTGGGTGGGTATAAATATTTTACTTTCAGAGACTGACTGAACTTCGCGGCACGAGGACGAACTGCAACGAAGAATAATAAACGCAGCTCACTTCTTTTTTTTCGCCCCGGTCGTGGTCTTGCCCTTGCTGCTTCCGACATTCGCAGTTATGCAAGAAAAAAACTGTGTAAGTGTAACTCTGTAACGCAGAACATGCATCAGAGTTACACCTGTCATGCAAGACAACCATGAAGCTCTCTTTTCACGTGTGTCTTCCCTTACAAGCCGCGCGTGACAGGCTTTCTCTGTCATGTAGAGCAAATTTGTGGTGCTGTCAACCAAAGAAAGTTACACTAACACAGTTTTTTTCTTGGATAGCAGTGGCAGCAGAAGTACTAGCACCAGCGCCGCCTGTCGTGGTTTTTGCTTTTGTAATATCTGGCTTAGATTTGCTTTTCGGAGAGGATGGTGCGTCTAATTCGTGGTCCACAAATGTAACCGATCTGGCTTTCGTCGTCGTCTCGTTTTTCTTTTTCCCATCCAACACATTACTGGTCGATGAGGAGGAGTTCTTCGCTGCTACTGGTCCTGCTCCTTGTGGCTCCTTGTTCCCCTTGTCTTTCGCTTGTTTGTTCCCAGCTGCCCCCGCTGCCGTGCTGCTGGCTGCCGCCGAGCTAGAAGAAGAGGAGGAAGTCTTTTTCCCTGCTTTGTTGTCGTCCACCACCTTCCCGGCTTTCGCCTTGCTACTGCTACTGGCAGCAAGAGGACCTCCTTTAGCAGCTTGTTTCTCTTTGTCATTTTTCCCGACATCGCCTTCCTTTTCGCCTCCAGCTCGGGACTTCATTTTCGACGTCTCAGCTTTGATGTTCTTTTCCTTTTTTTCCTGTTCCTCCAACTGGTGTTATGCGTTTGCAAAAGGCAGGAGTTTGCAGTCACTGTACACAAATCCAAGAAAAAATGCAGCACTATTTTTACTGATCAGAATTTGAGCATCAGCATCTATTGTTTTTGTGCTTCTTCTGTAAGCACACGACGAGGTCGAGGAGCGGTGGAAATGATATAATTACTTTTTTACAGTAGACTTGCAAACTTTCATATTTTCATTATCATTTTCATAACTGTTGCCGCATCTGTTCGGCCGCCTGCAGCATGTCGAAGTGCATCTGCCTCCCTATCTTCTTCTCCTCCGCCTTTTTTCTGCCTTGGTGTCCCTTCCCGTGAAATATCCAAAGAAAAAAACCGATCCCCATTATCCAATTTGTCATGCAAAACACGTATGAAGTCATGTGCTTGCCATGCCGAAAATGGATGCGGATGGGTTTTTTTCTGTGGATATGAAACGTGAGTCCGAGCAGCTCGCGGGCCTTGGAATGGGCTTCTGGACTGATCATCTCTTCCTCTTTGATGTTCAGCTTTCCGTTTTCATCTCCAAATTCCTCGACGAGGGACTTCCGGAACGTTTTCAGGTCCTTGTCTCCCCTCGGCGTCAGCTTTCCCTTTTGCCGGGGCGTGAGCTGTCTACTCCCCGTGCCGGAGAGGCTGGATCGGGGCGTGTAGTCCTTTTCGATGGCGTTGGCACCAAACGCCTTCTCGAAGATATCCCGCTTCTCGTGCTTGTAAAAGTCCTCGTCGTGTTCGCCGACCGACTTGATCACGAGACCTTTTCCGCTGATGTAGGTGTCGTACGTAGTTGGGTCCTCAGGGTTGATTTTCAGCTCACCGTCTTTCTTCCGCAGTTGCTTGATTTTCGGTGGTTCTTTTTCGGTAATACCATCGTCGTGGATCTCAAACATCGGCCGGTCAGGGAGGGGTTTGCCCTTCTTGCCGTAGTATGCACTGCAAACTTTTTGCCACAAAACACGAGCACGACGCGGTCTTATCATGCACTAGCATTACGGATGGAGATGATTTTTTCGATATCAACGACAATACGAAAAAAAGAAAAATATGAAGTTGTTTGAGAATCAATATACAAAATGACTTTAAAAACTTATGTCATGCGATGTTATCCATATTGTTTCAACATCATGCGTACTAGGAGCAGGGCAAAATGTTTGCTGTGAATAGGATTTGCGACGTGTGACTCTTCTCTTTTTTGTTCAACAGATCTACGCCACTGGCACTCGCGCTGGATTCCTGAAAGGGAAAACAGGTAAAGCTGATGTAATTCATCTGGTGGGGTTCTTCTCTTCTAGTTGCTTGTACTCCTACTCCTCCTCGGGAGCAGCTCAAACTCAAAGTACCATATGAGACAAAACAAGAATATTACCATTCCCCCGGCCGCCTTACTGCTTTTGTTTCCCTTTGTTTTCGATTTGGACTTGCTTTTTTCCATTCCGGCCTGTTTTCGGAGCTCCTTCTCTGTTTCTGGGTTCAGTTCCGGCGGAAACATGCTGGGAAACTTGTCAGCCACGTCCTCATATCAAATGTAAAAATGTCTGGGTCTGGAAAGTTGGAACTTGTGATGCTAGCTTTGGACCCAAAAAAAAATGGTATTGCATGACCAGCAAGAGGAACCACATTTGTGCTACGCGAGGAGGGCATTTGTCATGCGGAAATGGCATCAGGAAGCTTTCCAAAAATCTGTGATGCTGGGTCATGCATTACAAGCAGCATCGGTCATGCCAGACAAGCATGACAAGCCTTCCACTCTTCCAGACCCAGACATTTTTACACATGATACCTCATTTTCGTCGTCGACGTGCTCGTAGCCCTCCAGAGCTATCAAATGTAAAAATGTCTGGGTCTGGAAGGTTGCAACTTGTAATGCTAATTCTGGATCGTGCAAAAATCTGTGTTGCATGAATGCCAAAAGCTGTCCACTTTTGACCAAGTTAGTAGTAGTAGTACCATTTAACTCCTGGCGGGTGGGCGTTAGAACAGATTTAGCCTCTGCCAATGCCTGGGCGTCAGAACCAAGTTGAGAGGAAGTTTCTCATGCAGGATAGACATGATACGGATCTCACAGAATCTGTCATGCTAGGTCTCGCATTCCAGACCTCACGGCTCATGCAAAACGTGCATGACAAGTCTCAGAATTTTCCAGACCCAGACATTTTTACACTTGATAAGAGCTTATGCGTTGCAAGAGTACTTGTACCGACCAATATGAAGATTCCGGTGGTACAAATTCAAATTGCAGGACAAATGTTGATGAAGATCTTCCCGCATTTTTTTATTTCCATTCGGAGTTTTCAGATAAGAACGCGACAGCAAAACCAGCGGCCCACTAGCATGCAATCTGATACACTGGTGTTGTACTTGTAGTGATGGTAAGTAAGTACTTTTGCACAGGATAGAGCTTCGAATTCTTCGGCCTCTTTGCCCTTTTTCTTCTTTCCCTGTAATATTCATCGTAGAGTTTGGGGTAGTAGATGTAAAAGCTGTGCTGTCTCAAGATTTTCAGAGTGTGGTGCAAAAGCATCTATTTTGAAATCTTCATCTTCCGATCTCGACCTAGAATTTCATCGATCCATTCAGGACGACTTGCAGATATTAAATCTGTCACGCGCACCACCATTATTCTTATACAACAGTACCTTCGTCTTATCCTCCTTGATGCTCTCGAAAATCAGTGCCTGCAGCTCTTGCGCGGTGAGCGCGCTATGGATTGCAAAAGTGTCTGGGTCTGGAAGAGTGCAGGAGTTTGTCATGCAGATTTCGCATGACCCATGAGGTCTGTGATGCATGCCCTAGCATCAGAGATTTTGCGAGGGCTTTCTGATGCTCATAACGCATGAGAAATGCCCTCTCCGCGTAGCACAAATTACACCTCTTTTGCTTTTCATGCAATACAGTTTTTATGTAGATTCCAAAAGTAGCATCACAAGTTGTATCCTTCCAGACCCAGAGGACATTTTCACATTTGATATGCGCGGCCCAGCAACAGCTGCTTCCTCTTCTTCATCCAAAACAATTTCATGGCTGCACTGTCGCTATGCATTGCAAAAGATCGAAAACCCTCGTGCTACTGTACTGCTAGTAGTAAGTTTTGCATGACAAAGACAATTTTTTTCAGAAAGAAACGAGCCGGGAAGTAGATCCTTAATTTATCATGCTAAACAGAAACGCTACTTAATTTGTTATGCAAAACTGGGATACAAGCAAAGATCATAACACTTTGCAACGCATAGTCGTGCTCCTGGTACATTTCCTCATCTTCCGCTCGTTTCTGTATCGCAAGAAAAAGTTGCTACAGTTACATACACATTGTGCTGCAGGAGCCGCAAGACAGACAACCTTTGTCATGCAGGAAATGCTTTTGCGAGCCTCGCTTCCTACGTATTTTCGCTTATCATCATTGCATTACAAGTTTTCTCTGCCACACAGAGAAAATTTGTGATGCAGAAACTTCAACAAATGTGTAACTGTATACACTTTTTTCTTGTGATATTCTGTGCCCCGGGACTAACTCCCTCGTCGTCCTCTTCCATTTTCTTTCGCTTTTTCGGGGCGGGAGCTGCAGCACTGCTCATGTCGTCGTAGTCGGACTCGTCAAGGCCCTTGATTGGCTGGCCAAAGAGTTTCCGCTCGTCCTTGTTGATGTTTCTAGACACGTGGTTTCGCAGGTCAATCCGGATAGCCCCTTCATTCCCCGGCACCGGTGAGCCACCCAGGGAGATTTTTCCCTGCTTTCTCCGCCGCTCATTCACCTCCGCCTTGGAAGTTTGGTCTTTCCGCCTCGGAAAAATGATGTCGTTCTCCTCCCACTCCCGCTTGGTTGGTCGTTTTCGCCGCGTTGGGGCGCCGTCTTTGTTCGCAGCGTCTTCCATTGCCTCCTATCCTTTGTAAAAATGTCCCCACACCATAGTTGTCATGCAAATCTGCATGCTTAAAATGTTTCTCATGCGGAGCCCCATGAGAAGCATTTTCTAATGGTGTTTTGAAATTTGTCATGCTCCAATCAGCATGAGAGACTAGATCTATAATGCTGCTGAACTAGCTCAAACAGCACTACACTACGCGTCCAAATTTGTCATGCGAAACAGCCAAAGCTTGTGGATTTGTCTAGCCGATTCCCCATCCCGACTCTGGTGTGGGGATGTTTTTACTCAGGATACCTCCTCCGTAATAACCACGTTGTTTTTCCCGAGGTACCCGTGTCCGGCCTTGGGGGAGTGCAGCTGGTAAAACACGTACTGTCTGGCTTCGTCATCCTGTGCAAAAGTACTATCGCACTCGTAGTTGTAATCGCAGTCATGCATTACAAATCTCCACCCCAAGGCAAAACAGAATGACAAATTCCATTTGTCATGCTGTTGAGCCAATTTGTAATGCGATTACTACTAGTACGATAATTTTGCAATGCATATTCGTCTCGCAGCAGCCACGCGTTGGGATCTCGGAACTCGCCGGACGGGCCAAAGTCAGATGTTTATGAAATGCACAAGCATCGTACTTGTAGAAATCGCATTACAAATTCTCTCAGCATGACAAATCAATGAAATTTCATATGCTGATTTACCTTGGAAAAGAGATTTGTCATGCATAGATGCGATTGGTTTCGGTAGTACGAGTACGATACTTTTGCACAGGATAATGCTGAGCTGATGTTGAAATTCGAAAGGCCGACCAGTTCGTGGTCTAAAAGCCGCGCGGGGTACTGGCGACCCAAGACGCAGCCGAACTCTTCCTGCTGTTCTGGCTTCATTTTCCAGGGTTCGAAAATGTAATCCGCGGGCAGGTTGCGCAATTCTGGGAGGTAGTACCTGATAATGATGATATTCTCGTAGCTGTACGTAAGATTTTACAATAAAATTTCACCTAATGTTCCCAGTAAACACCAAACCGAGTTGTGTTCCATCTATGTTTATGTCCAGCTCCTAGACGACAGCGAGGCCCTCGGGTCGAGATTCGTCGTGCATGGGGAAAAATCAAGAAGCGAAAAATTCAAATTCGCACCAGCACTACATGGTGATGAAGTGGTGTTACAACTACGTAAGCTATACCTGATGTAGTCGCCATTCGGGTCGATATCCTTGGAGTAGTCTGTATCAAGTGCAAAAGTGTCTGACCCTGGAAACTTGCGATGCTGGGTGGCGTATCATGAGGAGGCCACAAGTTCTGGCTCAGCATGACAAGTGTCTGAGCTTCTAGGTGTTGCCTGTTCTGCATGACAAAGCACGTTTCTGCATGACAAAAAAATGGGGCTCTTGGGTAATGTGCATGACAAATTCAAGAGTCATGTGAGACAAGCATGACAAACTTGCATTCTTCCAGACCCAGACATTTTTGCAGTTCATAGTCTGCGGGATTGTACACGTTCATGAAATTTTCTTCGAAGCTATCACAGGAAAAAGTGTTAACGGAATTTGTGATGCAGGAATGCATCAGAAAAGGTATCCAAATTTGTATTGCGTAGCATGCATGGAAGGCAAAATTTGTAATGCATGACTGCCATCTGTGGAAACCGTTAACGTTAACACTTTTTTGTTTGATAGAAGCAGCTGCAGGAGTATGGCACAGTGGACAACTACTAACTTGAGACTGTTATTCCCCGTCCTCTGCTGATTTGAAGCATTGCATCATCAAGGACCGCATGCTATTAGCGCCACAAACCACCATGTGAAGAAAAAAAGTGCAGCAGTTCCAGGACGAATCTAGTTCCACGCCCAGAGTTGGAGTTCTGAGGTCTTAGCTTCCACCAGAACTCGTCATGCAAACACAGCCGAAGGGCCCGGATAGAGTTTTTCGGAGAAATTCTGCATCGCAAATGAGCAGGGTAAGAGCCGCGAGTAGTAAGTTGTCGACTATCATACAGACCCGGTGATCCACCCCGCTGTATTCAACGCCCAGTCGTTGTCAATTGCGTACTTCGGATATCCCAAGAAAAAAAACCCATCTCCATCCATTTTTTGCATGACGAACACTGGATTTGATGAATGTTTTGCATGACAAATTGGCGGTGGAAATGGATCTACTTTCTGTCTGGATATCGCAAACACGTCTCGGCCTCGCTCCCAGGATTCGTACATATCTCCATACGTCAGGAAGCAGCACACCACCCGCCGAAACTCAGCCGGTAGCCACCTGGAGGTACGTATTTTTATATCGTTTGATGTTGCTCATGCTCATGCTCTTGCTTCTGTGAAGATTGATCTCTACTCGAAGTAGCGGCCCATCACCATCAGGGTCTCGTTCAGAAAAGTTTTTCATTTTTACATTAGAAAATAAAACGTTTCACTACCCTTCACTCCGGAGTTGCGCCATACAGGCGTCGATGAAAGGGTAGCCGGTCCGGCCCATTTCCCACTGTCGCACGATGTTCGCCGAATTGCCCCAGTTGATTTGTCGCACGAGTTTGTTTTTCCACGTTCCCCCAAAGTTCGCTATACTAAACCCGAGCGCGTAGCAATAGTCTCGGTGTCTCAGGTTTTGCAGCAACTGGTTTTGATCGAGGAAGAACTCCTGCTTTTTGGTAATCTTCTTTTTCGGCTCGTTGGCGTAGAAAATTTTGCGCTCTTATCCTGAGGAAAAGCGTCCCCATCCCATAGTCAAGTTGGTAAATCTGCAGCACAAATCTCGAAGTTTTGGGAGTTATGCATGAAAAGTGTGGTCTCGTAGTGTAATCCTGTTTAGCTAGAATGGCAGCATCACAGATCTAGCATATCATGCTGCTTGGAGCAGGACAAATTCCGAGTCGATACTAGAAAATGCCTCTCATGGGGCTCCGCATGAGAAATATTTTTACCATGCAGATTTGCATCACAACTCTGGGGTGGGGACGTTTTTACACAGGATAGTTCTTTCACCTTGTTCTCCGCATCCGCTCGATTGAAGTCCGTGAAGAGCATATCGCACGAAAAAACTGTTTCACTGTAAACTTGTGATGCATAGAATGGAGCAAAAAACGATTTGTCTTGCTACACCTGCAAGACATTGGATTTTTAGGCGTGTTCTGCCTTTGGAAGCGCGCATGGCAAATTTTCTGTGTCATGTGTAACAAACTTGTGATGCAGATCTTGCAAAGCCATCACAGTGAAACAGTTTTTTCGTGGGATAGAGCAGCTTGAGCTCCTGCTCGCTGTTTTTCAGCATGCAGTGCGCGTAGTATCCTGAGTAAAAACGTCCCCACCCCAGAGATGTCATGCAAATGTGCAATGACAGGAACATTGGTAATGCGCATCTCCACGAGATGCATTTCCAATCGTGTTTTTGCATTTTTCATGCTGTAAGCAGGATGATAAGGTGGGTTTGTCATGCGACTTCCCTTGCCAACCAGCACTACACTGCAGATGGAAACTTGTCATGCACAACTTCCAAAGCTTGGGGATTTGTGTTGCAGATTTACGAACTTGACTATAGGGTGGGTACGTTTTTGCTCAGGATACGTAGCACTCGAGCATCATCTTTTTCACTTCGAAGTACACCGTTTTTGCGGACAAATTTCCCATAGCGAGGTAGGGGGAAAGCCCGGTAGTCGGCGGATAGAAGTGCCACTGCGCGTCGCTGTATTAAATAAACATTTGTAGGAACACCATCAATAGCGGAACGAATCAATAGAACTGAAGATGGCTGATACTAGCATCGCAATCAGATAGTAAAGATTTGCATCACAAAATTTCCACCTACCGAAAAATTTGTACTAATACAAGGTCGTGCTACGATGAAGTAAGAACCCGCTCCTTCCAGTTGTAAGTATTTTTTGTAAGTGCAATGCAGCGCAGCACAAAGTAAGTAGACCAAACTTCTCTTACCGCACAATCGGCGCCGTCCTGTCCATGTCGTACCTGAGTGCGATGCCTGGATCGTTTTTCGTGATTTGCTCCAGTCGTTGCAACGCGTGCTTCTCTCCCAGTTTGTCGTGGAAGTAACCGAAGTACTTCACGATTCGTATCCTGAGCAAAAACGTCCCCACGCCATAGTTGTAATGCTAATCCGCATGCTGAGAATGTTTCTCATGCGCAGCCCCATGAGAAGCATTTTCTAGTCGGGTTTCGGAATGCAATGCGTCATGCTCCAACAAGCATGATGAGTTAGAGTTGTGATACTGCTGGAGCAGCTAAACAGCATTACACTACGAAGCTCAACTTGTCATGCGCAACAGCCAAGGCTGGCTGATTTGTGTAGCAGGTTTCCCATCTTGACTCTGGGGTGGGGACGTTTTTACACAGGATAATCCGGCCAGTCGCTTTATCGTGGTCGGAAATCAAAGTTTTGTCTTTGTGAAGGTTCATCTCGATCAGATCTGGGATGTGGGTGGTGCACATTATGCAATACAAATTTCTTTTCCCGTAGTACATGTACACAATGCATGACATCAAATAAATTTCGCTACAACATGTCATGCTGACTAAGATTAAACGGTAAGTTTTGTCATGCACAAATAGCATTTATTGTACGTGTACTACGGGACTAAATGTACTGTGGATACACATGTGGAAAAATACGTTGTGCTCCGGGACTACATTGAAGGGGTTCGCAAGTCGATCGTCTTGTTCGTCATAGTCGTACTGCGTGCAGATTTTTGGCGGCATCCGTACGGATTTCTCGATGTGCAACGCGTACATAAATTCCTTCTTGCACTTCTCGTCGAATTTCAACACCCGCGCGGCTTTCGCGTTCGGGGTCTTCTCGGCGACTTTTCGCCTTTCCTGCTCCAAATGCCGCTCGAAATGGTTGTAATCGTCGACAAATCTCACTTATGAATGGCAAAAGTATAATCTTGATCTTCTTATCGCGCTGTTAGCATAACAATCATTTTCAAGAACAAAAGTGCAATTTGTAATGCTGTTTTCATATTCCCTGCTTAGCCAATTATCGATCTGTCATGCATGACTGCGATAACAAATCTTTATTAACACGACGAGTAAGATATTAACTTTTGCAGTGCATAGAACAGGGTCTTCGGGATGCTGCCCGAGTTTCTTCCTCACAACTTTCGCGTAGTCTTCTACCGTTTCCGCAATCTGAGAGAAGTTTGTGTTTGTTTTGACGAAAGCATAAGGATCTCGCTCATAACGGAAGATGTCATGGTTCGGAGGACCACTACACACAAAGTCATCTTTCCAGTTTTCCATGCGGTAGTCAAAGAAAAGATGAGCAACAAAATCTTTACACGCAGTAACTACTTGTTAGTACTAGAGTACCCTCATCTGTGGGATTTTGTCCTTGACAATGGAATTCTGTTTTCCCAAAACCCCAGCAGCCCCTTTCTTGATCCCACGGCCGCTCACGATTGGCTCGGGTATGTCGAGCAGTTGTTGTGGTGGCCTTGAGCTGCTGGAGGCAGACGGTTGTTGATTCTGATTCATCATGTTTGCACTACTTCCTCCCGCACCGGCACCGCTTCCGATGACATTATTATCATTTTTACTCGCGGATGCGGACGAAGCTGCACTTTGACTCGTCTTCCCCGCACCCTGCCTGCCCCCGGTCTGTGCGAGGAGTTGACTTTGTTGTGCGGCTTCGTTTTCTTTCTCGTCATTATCATCAAACTTCTCCTCGTAGAAGAAATCCCGCACGTCGTACAGCATTTGACTCGCATAGCTGACCATCCGGATCCCTCGCCGTTCTGCCAACTCCGTGACCGATTCGTCGCGGACCATATCAACTGCAAACATGTCTCGGTCTGGATATTTGTGACGCAAGGAAGGGAATATTATTGAGTGCACTACAATGCGCTTCCCAGCACGACAAGTTTTTCCGTGGTTCAGAGTTGCGTACTCCGCATGAGAAACTGCGTTTTTACATGACAGACAAGCGGATCTCTTCGCAGGCACGCAATACAGAGTTTAGAGTCAGGCTAGACTAGCATGACAAATCTCGCAATCTCCCAGACCCAGGCATATTTGCAGTTCATAGACCAGGCCGTACGGCTCGAGGTCCTGCTCGAAAAACACGGTGTCCACGTTGTATGAGAGTGCACAACTACCTCTCCCTTTCATTTGTCATGCAAAGTCCCAAATCCAGGCTGTACCTCTTGGCACTGTTTGCATTACAATTTCTGGTAGCCCAAATAGCTCTAGCTCTACACTCCAATGCAAATCTGTCATGCAGAACTGGCATTGCTGCTGATGCTTGTATTGCCTCCATGCTATACAAATGAGGGGGAGGGGAAGTTGTGCACTGTCATACGTTGAACTCGTCGAACAGAAAGGTAAACACGGGAACTTCCCGCTGTTGCGTGATGTACAGTTCTATCACAAGAAAACGTGTTAACATTAACGGTTTTCATAGATTGCAAATATGCATGACAAATTTTGCCGAGCATGCATGCTATGCATGACAAATTTGGGCGCGTTTTGTGATGCGTTACTGCATCACAAATTCCGTTAACACTAACACTTTTTCCCGTGATAAGTTCCTGCCCGTGCTCCCGCAAGTTCGTCTGCACCTCCCGCAAGCTCGCGAGCAGCAGGTTCCACCACTGGTTGCCCGGGCAATTTTGGTCCGGCACCCGCTGGTTGTTCACGATGCCCGTGCCCTGCAGCTGCTGCCGCTGCTGCTTCATGGTTTTTGGGATCATGTACGGCGTCATCGTGTACAGACACAGCAGCGGGATGTCGTTCTCCCGTGGGTCTTTCTGCTTCCGCGGCCGGCCCCGCGGGTTTTTTTTCACGATGTTTCCATCTTCGTCGACAGTATTCCCGTTTTCGTCGGTAGTGGTGTTCTTCTGTAGTTTCGCAGAGGAGGCTCGAACAGCAGCATTAGCGTTTTTATTGTTGTTCTTATCGAGAAACTCCGCTTCTAAGTGCTGGTCTTCCTCGTCACTAGATGTAGAGTCATCTCCTTTCGGTGGTTTTGGATTCGCGGTGGTGCAGGCCTTCATTGCGGCTTTCAAAGCCGGGTTGTCGTGATACACCCGCAGATTCCGCCGGAACCAGCAAATGTTGATCTTCAGCCGGTCGTCCTCTTCTGCAGCTTCACCGACCTTGTTATGCATTGCAAATGTATTGGCACGTACAGGCACACGTAGCAGTAGCGGCATGAGAAACAAGTTTTGCAGAAACAAAAACGGAACTTGTCATGCTGATGGAGTTTAGAGGAAAACAACTCTGTCATGCATGATAGCGACTAACACGTGTAGTACAATAGAAAATTTGCAATTTGCATATTTCACAGCCGGTTTCCTTCGCTTCATTTTTCGCTTTGGCTTCGGTTTCGCCTTCGCAGAAGCGCCGGAGGGCTCTTTATTCAGCAGCACCGGCTTCTTGGGTTTTACTTTCACTGGCTCCCCATCCTCACCGAGGATGACCTCGTCGTCGACATCGTAGAAATCGAAATCTTTATGGCGTTTTCAAACCTTATACTCACAACTGTAGCATGGATTTGTTGTAATGCGAGAACAGCAACAGTGAAAGGGGAACACTTGCAAATCGCGCATTACAAACTTTGAACAGATTTAGATGCTGTTTCGTCCTTCAAGAATTTGTCATGCGAATAATCTTGATCGTCTGGCGGCTTATGATATGTTTGCATGACAAATCATGGTTCAACACCAGTTTAGAATGTAACATTTGAGAATCTCATAATCCTCGTCGTTTAATTGCAGCCCGAGGTTCTCCACTAGCGGTTCTTCCTCTACTGCGTTATTTTCTTCGACGTTATTTTCGACGTTCTGGTTTATTGATGTTGTTCCCCCTTCGTTTTTTTTGTTCATTTTCCGCATTTTCGCCTTCGGTTGCGGCGCGAAGTCCGGTTCGAGTTCGTCTTGTAGTTCTTGGGGGTTTTCATCAGCATTTTCAGGATTTTCCTCGTCCTCGTAGTCGTCCCCGAGATCGAGGTCCAGATCGAAATCCGGAATCTATCAAACAAAAAAGTGTTAGCGTTAACATTCACCTTAACCCTATTAATGGTAGAGATGCATGACAAATTTTCGCTATGATGCGTCCTATGCAATACAAATTCGGGCTGAGGCACCATTTCTCATGCATGACAGCATGCCAAATTCTGTAGACGTTAACACTTTTTGCTTTTCCTGTGATAGAATTTTCGCCTTCTTCATCTTTTTCGGCGGCATGGTGGGCGAAGGTGGTCCGTCGTGTGGACGAAAGGTTGAGATAGTACGGAGTGAAGATCAAGATGCAGCTGGTGGTGCTGATGAGTGATTCTGGTTGTCCACCGAAGAACCTAGTAAAAATTTGACGTGTTCTTCTCGTCCGCCACCGGTCTACTTTGTGAAACGGAAGAAGATTGCTCTTGCACTTGCTTCGTAGGAGACGAGCGCTTCTTCTGTTGAAGCCCCAGATTGATTCTTCAAGCCAGCACCGTTTTTTCAGACCGTAGCAAGAAAAAGCTGAAAGACGAAAAGCGATCTGTTCTTTCGGCAAACTGAAACTTCATTCTTGTATACGTAAGTAGTTGTCTTCTTCAGAAAACTCACTGTCAACTCAGCGTTGAAGAAAAATTGCTAGAGAAAATGAAAATTGCGTTTTTTTACAATTTGGATACAACCAGCGCATGCTGCAAAATCAGTGAAACTTGAGTCAAACTTTAGCTCGACGTCCAAGAGACATACAAAGGCGATGCGAACAATGTGACAAAAACAAGGTGTCGATCAATTCAAGAAATTTGTTTACGGTTGCTTAGAAGATGAAGCGGGAAATAGATTGGATTGTGGAGTTCCTGCGCAAGAAAAAAATGCTCACGAGCCGACCAGTTATAGACCGAATGGAAGATCGATCGACGATACGAGGCGAAACGATGACGATTACGACGATTCTTGCGACAGAAACCACGACACGCCATGAGTACTGTCGGTTTCTTCATCTCCTGCTTCTCTCAAGAGGGCCATCAAGCAATATCTGTCTCTCTGCAGGTGTCCTAGTAGCTCTCGCTGTACTACGAGAGGTCGATCTATTTTGTGAGGGCGAAGAAACACAAAAATCAAAATGTTCAAAACAAAGACAGCGAACCTCTGCAGCGGGTTTTCGGATCCGAAAAAATGTACAAGTGATGCTTCTTCTGGCGGAAAGGGCGCTACGTTCCTGACAATGTAGAGGAGCCTGTATTCTCAAAAAAGCAAAATGTCAGTGGTTCTAGTTTCTTCAAACACTCAGAGTAGCAGAACTGTGTTACCTTCCATTGCTTTAATTGAGTCAGTGTCGTGTCACCCTGGCGATAAAACAGAATTATGGGTTGACAGTTGGCAGTCGTGTTGTTTCTTGAAAACCAGAAGCATCATCAAAATTTCGAAAAGTACGTTTCCGCCGAACAGGAATCTTTCCAAGGCAAAAACCCGCCGCGGCATTGGAATCTGTCTGCAGCTTCACGGAGCTCCTCTTCTGTCACGTACGCAGAAAATTTCTGCGACAGTTCATGCCCGCGGTCCTTGACCCGGGTCATGTCGAAGTGATTGAAGATGATGTACCCAACTGCGGGGTCTATACTATAATTTAGGAACTATTAGTATTCTAATTCTTGTGGTGCGCTATCGCTGTCAGACTGCACTCGATCAATGAGCAACTCTTTCTCTTTTTTCATTTTCATCTTAGCACAGCGCTCCTTAGAAGTGAAAAAGATTAAGCCTCCAAACATGTAGTAGCCCTTGCGCGGAGGTGGGAGCAGTAGAACAAGAGTGTGGCGCTGCTGCAGGCGGCACTGCCATCATCTCGCCAGAGCAATCCCCGGAAGAGCCTTTTGGAGGTCCGCTTTTTATTCGATGATATACTCGTCCGAACCTGTCTGGTGTTGCAGGTGCACCTGCCGCAGCCTCGCGTTCTTCTTGCTGACTACTGGCGCGGCCGTCACAAGGTCTACAACTTCTATCCAGCGATTGAAAAACAACAAACGGCCTCTCTTCCCCTGTCTTCCGGGCGGCTAATGCCACATTAAGCAACTCGTGCCACTCCGAAGAACTAGCAACCTCGTGCCAGTAGTGCGAAAAGTATGCGCTGTAGTTTTCGCTGTAGAGCTTGATTTTGTTGTTCGCTGGTGCGGGTGCCAGTTGAAGTTGATCTTTCCCAACTAACACGTAGCTCTGCTCTTCCAACACAGAAGGGCAAAGAGACACGAGTCCCGCGGACAGTTCGAAAAGGTTCTTCCTTCCTCGTTCCTTGCACCGGCGGACGGTGGAATAATCAGGAGGTTGCTGCTGGCTGTCGTCTTTCGATGCGTGGTCAACGTCGTCACTACCCCCGGTCGGATTGAAGATGTCACGACGAGGAGTACTAGCGCCACCCACCTGTATGAAAGGCTGCGCCACCAGGTCATACAGCTTCTGCAAGGCGTGCCGTCTCTGTGTCATTGCTGACAGGAACACTTGCTTCGCGTCTGATGAAGTAGAGAGCCCGGGATGATCAGAAACTCCAGCTTCACCACACTCAGGACCACGGGCGCAGCTATCTGTGTCTACCTCGGAGAAGGCTGCACTACTACCTGTTGGAGCAGAATGGTGATCATTCTCGGTCGTGTAGAAATAGGACACATCGACAAATCTCAGGGGCCAGCTGCGGCTGCGGTGGGCGGAGGTTGCTGCACCTGTTGCCGCGCCGTCGTCGGATTCAGGAGCCGCAGTTTCAGTTGTGCTGCTACAGGCCGTGCTACAAGAGCTCGACGGTGATGTTGTTGTTAACGCACCAAACGACCGCTGCTCCCATTTTTCATCTCCTGTTAGTTGCACCATCCTCGTTGGGTACAATCTTTCCGCCCCAAAATCATCGCCCCCGGGCTTGCTTTTTGCCAAAGCGCGTGCTAGAAAGCTTGGCTTTCTCACTTTGTGTTCCCCGTCCGGAAAAACTTGCTTTCGGGATGAAAGCTGCGCGGTGCTTGGCTGCGGCGTCGAGGTCGCAACCTTCACCCGATTCAAAAATCCGACAGCGTCACCGGGCACGATAAATCGCTCGTCCAACCTGCCGGCCTGCATGTCGATCTTTTGTATTTCCTGGAAAACTTTCGCGACAAATTCCAGGCCGAAAAAAATTTTATCCACAGGGTCGCCTGGAGGAAAGGTCGTGCGCAGTTGTTCCTGGTGTAGCTGGTGCCACAGCTCTTCGTTCTGTCGCACGCCCGCTTCCCAGAATTTGTTCCTCAAGTACTGCAGCGGTCTATGCTTTTTTTCCTCATTCTCCACTTTGTCTTGCTCGCTCTGTGTCCTGGGAGAATTCTTGGAAAGATGCTCCTGCACATCTTCAGACGTAGCGGAAGGTGAGGAAGACTGCACCCCAGCAGGAACCCTTGTAGTTGCGCTTGATGCCCTTCCGACGTAATCAAGCGGCCCGGGCAGCGAGGACGTGTTTACCAACTGCGTCAAAACAGACGGATGTCGGACCACTAGCAAGACGACAACCTGCAGCAGTTCCTGACTCAGAAACAAAGAGTCGGCCTTCCACACCTCGCTGAACTTTTTCCAATACTGAATCGCGAAGAAACCACTCAGATACACGCTACTGGAGGAATTGTTATGTTTATCATCCTTCCATTTCGCAATCCCGTCCGCGACGGCAAGGAGTAGCTGCGCGCCGAAAGACAGCTCGGCGCCGGTGCTGCTCGCGCTGAAGTCGACCGTCTTCAGTAGTAGCAAGTATTTCGGCACCTGCTCGTAAAAAGTCCAGGCGCTCCGCTCACTTGTCTTGCTGAGGCTGGTCGTGCTGTCGACGAGAGAACTTCTGTTGCTGTTTTTTCCTGTTGGGAGGGAAGGGTGTTCGTTATTGCAGCGGCCTGCACGCTGGCATGATTCATCGTCATCTATAGGAGGGCGTCTTCCAGCAGTACGGATGATCTCCTCGTCGAACCAACGCAGTCCTTCGAGTTTTACCGTTGCTGCCATGGTGCGGACATGCTCCTCGTGGTAGAACATTTCTTCCGCGAGAAAATTGGCCAAAGAGCAGCTGGAAATGCGCGTACCTGGTGTAGTCGTGGTTTGAGCGGCGTCTCGCACAGAGGCGTCTCGCTGGGCGGGTGCAAGGTGGAGAGCCAGAGACTGTCCGTGTGGCGCAGCCTGTGGCGTATTCTGGGGCCCAACAACTACTGAAGGATGCGAGCTGCACGGGACAACATGGACAGGCCGACCTCTCGTCTTCAACTGCCTCGCTCTTTCCTTTACCTCGTGCACGAATGCTGAGCCTGCCAGAACCTCTTTCAACCACTCCTCGTTCTGCGTGCGTGGATCCAAATGAGACCACTCCGTGGACGAAGTGCGGGTGGTCGATGAAAGTGGCGATGAGCCAGAGCGACGGCTTTCCGCTGGTGCGGCCACCACGAGGCTCTCCCCATTTGATGTTCTCGTGGTCTGCTCTGCATTTTGATCATTATCCTTCCCGACGGTGTCGAAGAGCTCTTGCCCTCCTATCCCAAGCTTCCTCCGCACCCGTCTCGCGATCACCAATCGCGCTTGCTGTCTCACTTTTTCCAGCGAGTCGATGCAGCGGTACTGCAGCAGATCGAAGAGCAAGTGCGACAGCTGCTGTACTTCCCTGTGCTCCTCCGTTTGGAGTAAGTGGGATCTGATGGAGAACAGCGGGGGCAGGTGCCGGGCGCGGGCTGCGTAGGTGAAAACCAGGTCCCAAACCTCCACTGCGAGTTCGGATTGCTCCTCGAAGCGGATAACCTTTTTGGTGGCCGTAGCACTCTGATCTGCGCGGAGGTGGGCATCGTTCGTTCCCGAGCAAGCTCCTGCTGGAGCAGCTCCGACATCTCGTTCTAGCCAATGTTGCGCCTGTGCCTGAAACGTACCAAGAGCGTCATTTTCTGGCGCTGTGCATGGAAAACAAATCTGAGTCAGGATCTTTAGAGATAGTTGGGCTATTTGCGATCGTTCCTTTCGCTGTTGCTATTCGGTGCGTTATCAACTACCATCTTGTAGTTTGTTGAAAGATCAAGATCCCGCGCCGGCGAACGCGTTTTGTAACTTCGCCTTCTGCAGGCCTAGAAGAATCAGCTTCACTTTCCTGACCCAGAAGTTTTTTCCACCTGCCAAGGATAGCAATTAGCCAGCGCGGAAGCGTCCACTGTTTTCGGAACAAGTGGGGCTGGGTATCTTCAGCATCTTCCGTGCTAACTGCCTCGATTGATATCAAGGAGTCGTCGTCCTCGTCGTCGTTTTCTGCAGAGGACGGTGCCTGCGTTCGGTCATTTGCTGCCCCTTGTGCAGCTCCGTATGCAGCATCCCGCGCCGCGCCCAGTGCTGTCCTAGAAGTCACGTCAGAAACAGAAGCCCGACCAAGATCTAGAAGGTCGTCTTCCATAATGGTATCACCATTTATTTCACTGTCTTCTCCTCGCGTAGGGGAGCTGCGCGAGGAACACAGGCTCGGGGTCTTGGAAGCGGAGAAAATGCTCGGTCGCTCCAGCGCAGCTGGAGACGTGGCGCCGGGGGTTGGTAGTGTTAAATTACTCAGACTGACGTCACGTGATCGCCCGTTGGATGGAACCGCGGCGCCCCATTTTGCTGCGCGTGCTAGTTGCGTGGCAGCCGCAAGCAGCAATAAGGCACTCCTCATAGTGAGGAGGACGACTACTCCGAGAGGTCGGACACTGGCAACGCTGGACAACGGTGTCATCATGATCATGGAGGATGGGGATGGAATAAACGGGCTGCATTTTTCATCTTTGTTTCGAGAGTTCTCTTGTGATCGGCTCAGAAGACAAATACGAGAATAAACACGCAGGAGGAGCGCACACCGTTCGTGACCCGTCTGGACATACAAAAAGCTCCAAGAGACTGCAGGAGAAAACGAGCAAAACAATAGATACGCTCGCAAGTCGGGTGGAACATAGGACGACCCACGCTCTCCGAATAGAACGAAGGAACGGCCGACAAACTGAGCCAAGAGCGGCGGCGCTCCTCGGGGTTGGGCCCTAACGAACCAGAGCACGCGACCGCGAAAGAATGTATCTGCGAGCGGTGCGGGCTCTCGCTTATCGGCACAAATGCTAGCTGTAAGCAATTCCACTCCTGTTGAAGCAATGGCACTGGGCCCACCGAGTCGCCCGGCAGCCAAACCAACACAACGAACGAACGTGGGGCGGGCAATGAGAGGCATGGCGCCCTCCCCCCAAGCGCCCAAGCTAACAAGGCGGCAGCTTTGCAAGCACGCAGCGAGCGCGCGCCGGCCGGGAGCGGGGGCACATAATCGCCAGCCCTCTGCCTTTTATCGTGCTGGGTGGCCCAGGCCGGGGTGGCACAGCGATGCGAGCAAAACTTACTTGGCGCAGCCACCCAGCTTGCGCCTACATGAGGGGGGGGGGCTTGCTGCGGGCCCACCCTTCCGGGATCAAGGGCCCGGCCGAAGGGGCGGGCCCGGGCGCGCCATGCCCTGGGCTTCACTGGCGCAACGGGCGGGCTGGCCTGCCAACGAACGAACCAGGGCGGGGCAAGGTAAGAAGGGCGCGCGAGCGCGGCCCCCCTCCCTCGGCGGCCGGGGGGGCGGCCGGAGGCCCAGGCAACAATCGAGCAACGGCGCGGGCGCGCCGGCGGGCGCGATGAAACGAGACGGGGGGGCCGGAAGGGGCCGGGGCCTTTCTTAGCCTTTTCCTTTTCGTTCCACTCCGGGACTCGGCGGCAGCCAAAAAACGGCCGGCCTTCCTCGGTCTCGGTGCGCGGGGGGGGGCGCGGCCGCCTTTTCCTTCTGCTGGTTCTCGCGCGCGAGCCCCCGGCGCGGAGGCCGGGCAGCCCCGAAGAAACAAGCACGGCACCCGGCCCCCCCCTGCCTTCGTTCATTCTTGGGCCGGGCCGGCGGGCGACGCAGGCGCCTTCAGGCGAACGGCGGGCCCACTTACCCGGGGGCCGGGCCGACGCGCCCAAGCCCACAGTTCTTCTCGCCTTCCGGGGTCCCGGAGGGCGTAGAGGAAGGCCAAGGGGCCGCATTTGTCCCAGGCATGACCGGAGTGAGCTGGACACTGAAGACCCAAGCGGCCCCCGCCCCGAAGGGCCCACCAAAGAGCGGGGGCAGCGCGCTGGGCACGTTCCTCACACGAAGCGGGGCGCGCGCGTGGGCGAGACAACAAACAAGGAACCGCCCACAATGGAGGCCGGGGCGGGCCGGCGCGCGGGCGGCGCCTTTGATTGCGTGCAGGACTGCCGCCGGCCTTCCTTCCTCGGCGCCCGCGTTCGTTCCATCCTGCGCCGGAGGCGGCCGGGCGCGCCGATCGCCCGAAGCATCCAAGCCACCCCGGCCGCCCGAGGCCCTGGGGCAGGCCAGCGCGGCCTTTTTCATGCAGGGAACGTTGGGAGACCCAGGGTCGGCCGCGCCTTGCCCGCCGATAGGTTTCTTGAAGTTCTCCGGCCTCCGTCGAAATGCTTCGGCCATTCTTCACTAATTTGCGGCACTGTAGTCGTTTCTTTCATTCGAAAGGCCCCAATGGCCAACGGAGGGGGTTTTTGCGCTGGCAATGTGGGGCGCGCAGGGAATCGGGCAGCTGCTCCGTCTTCCCGAGCGCCGCAGGCGCAGGCGCGCGGGCGAGTCCCTCGGCAGCGGCCATCCCACGAGCGAATGCCAGGAAGGCCGGCCGCAAAGAAACCGCTGCCCGCCTCGCTCTGGTCATTTCCGCGGCTTCCTGGGTGTTTGCCGACTCGCCTGGCCGCCGCTAGGGATCATCCAGCGCCATGCGCGCGACGCTTCCCGCCCCCCTCCGGGCGCGACATTGATGGGGCCGAAGCGGCCCCGTCGGAAAATTTATTGCCGACCTGTCCTAGTACATTCCCCAGGTCCTGCTCGATGTGCTTGTCGAGAATTGTAGCGCAGATATTCACGGGCGTCAGATCGCCATTTCATGGTCCTCGCAGACGAACAACAACAAACCATGCCCAGATACGTAGCGATCAAGCGATGGGGCCGCTGCGTAGTTTCTTGTACTTGCACATTTCCCAGACGATTCCGAATCGTATTGACTTCCGCGCGTGAACGTTAAAATCCGAGCTCTTTCTGATGCGTCATAGGTGCACCGGCATTTCCTTCATTACAACATGATACGGCTTTTACCTTTCCCATCTTGTACAACTTACTTTCAACTACTTTATTCTTGACGCACTGCATTCTGGATGTTGATCCGCCTCCTGTGATGATTCTTTAATAGACAAGAGTGCTACCGCGACTCATGTTGCAACAAACACGAGCGCGCGGCGCATTCAAGTGACCTGTCCAACGTAGGTTAGCAAAATGCATTCTAGATTTTCTTGTTTAGTGTTGAAAGATGAAAGCTGGTCGTGTAAACGAAAATTACAACTCGATGCCGTCCTTTGCAGCGAATGGATTGAAATTAGAATATTTTTGCACTGAATAACCCCTCACAAAGAGAAAAAGATAAAGTGCACGAAGTGCCATCGGTTCGGCAAAAATATGAATAGTTTGCTTTTTTTACGTGACATGTTTAACCTATTACTTTCTAATGCCTTTATTCTTGAATTCAAGTTCGGACATCGCGCCCCTCTTTCCACTCGCCTACGCACACATCAAAGCCACTTCCTTACCACGCTGCCCATTTATTTCCATACGTAACTATTCGTATTCCACGATCGTACAATCGTGGTCCGCGGCGAATTTACGTATTCCAAACTCCCCTCATCGCCCGAATCGCGGTCAAAACTAGCTCCAACCTCTGCTTTTCCAAAGGCACCACTTCTTTATCTACCCACCAATCTTGGTACGCCAAACTACTCGGAAATATCCGCACAAACTCCACCGCGCAAGTTTGGAACAATTCATGCGCCGTTTGAACCGTATCCACTTCGTCCGCCTCCTGTCGCATTAAAAACATCTGTTCGTAGGAGTAGCGAAACAGCGTTAAAACCACATCCGACCGCTTCGGCGCTAGGTGCGCGAAGCGGTAGAGCCGGAGATGGTGTGGGCGGTTGGAATTTTCCACTCGGCGGGAATAGAACGCGTTTCCCGCTTGGAAACGGGCGCTGTAAGAAATTTCGTCGCCAGGGATGGTGATAGCGAGTTTAATATTTCTCCTCGTGGTGGTGGTGGTGGTGGTTTTCGTTTTCCCCAGCTGCAGTGGGGCAAGGTCTACTTGATGTGCAGCTTCTGCTTCGTCGTGCTTCAACAGAAAGTTTTCCGCGATCAATTCTGCTTTCTCCTTCTCCTGACGATTCAGCTTGGAAAAAACGGTGGCAAGCGGGAACGGCGGAGGACTCGCGACTTCTTCGCGGGTCAACACGTAAGTTCTTTCTGCGGGAGATGTTCTTGGCCTTCCTCTTATAGGTTCTGCTTGCTTTGTTAGAATCTTGTTCCTGTTCATCTCGACTTCCACAAAAGAATCCGCATTCCCGATGTTCTCCAGCACCCTCGCAAGGAATTTCAGGGTGAATTCCCTATCCTCCCTCAGTTTCCGATGTAGCCGTAGAAACGGCATCTGCTCCTGCGCGAAATCTGAGCTCGTAAACTGCCGCACGGAGCCGTGCTGGTAGGAAAATTTGAAGTACTTATCTAATTTTACTTCGTGCGGGACGAATTTTTCCCGTTTCGTGTTGTGGAAAACCAAAAACATCGTCGGGTGGCGGGATAAAAGGTGCTCGAAGAAGATCTCGATTTCGCGTCCCGTGTCGTGGTGGAAATCTGTTTCTGCGTATAGAAGTTCTTGTTGTTGTAAGGGGTTTTTTTGTATTTGGATTTGTAGTTGCTGTTGCTGTTCATTATAACCAGAAACAAATGAAGGTGACCCGGCGTCTTCCTCGAGTTGCTGTATCAATTCCAACTCCCCAACATCGACCTCCGCCACCGCGGAAAGGGAGTTTGTCTTGCGCATCGGCTTCAAACTCGGCGAGCAGCACGGCGTCACCGGGGCGGACGCGGAACCGTTGCTCATGCTGGCGCCCGCCAGAGTTGTACTTGAAGGGGAAGATGAAGTTGTGCTGCCCGAAGAGATCTGCCTCGCAAATATGTCTGGGTCTGGAAGGATCTAACTTGTCATGCTGCATTTGCATACGACAAAAATCTGTATTGCATGAACAGCAAAAGAGGCCCTGTTTTTGCCACGGCAAGAGGGCACTTCTCATGCGGTATAGGCATCAGGAAGCCCACCTCGCAAAATCGGTGATGCTAGGGCATGCATCACAGACGTCAGGAGTCATGCAAAATGAGCATGACAAACCTTGCATCACCTTCCAGACCCAGACATTTTTCCATTTGATAAGAGAAGACCGTGCTGCTCCTCCTCAACAACCTTGTCGTTCGCGCCCGCTCGTAGGCAGTCGGCTGCCTGTTCCGCTTCTTGCTGCCCGTATGAACTGCAAAAGTATCGTATTCGTATGAATGCATTACAAATTTCCCTATATTGCGGATTTGCCTTGGAAACAAGATTTGTGATGCAAGACTTGCATTTGTACGAGTACGATACTTTTGCACAGGATAGCCCGGCTGTGGTGCTGAAATGACGCTAGTATGTGTATGTGCAGGGTATTCATCCTCGTCCACCATTTCTGGCATGTCCGGGGAAAAGATGTCCCGGAAAAGTTGTATGTCCTCTTTATCCACTGCGCTGGTAACAGGGTCCTCGAAGATGTGATTGTCAACGGCAGATGAGCCGGATGCTCTAGTACTGCCTAGAGGACCTCCTGCAGAAAAGGATAAGGAGCCGGCGTTTGATATTGATGTTCTGGAGCTAGTCCTAGTAGTAGTAGCACCTCCTCCGGTGCCGCCGGCCGAAAAGGATGAACCACCTTGCTGTAGTCCTCGTCCATCATTGATAGTATCCCATGGTGGTCCTCCACCGCCCTGCACGCTCGTCCCCCCAGCCGCCTTGATTTTGTTCCCGCAGAGCACGGAAACGTATTCTTCTGCTTCCGTACCATCCAGATACACTCCCTCGTTTTTGTTTCTCGCCAACCCATCTGCGACTGCAAGGAGGAGCTGTGCGCCGAAGGAGATGGTGGGAAGTAGTTGATGTTGGGGAGTGCTGGTGCTTTGTCGTGGTTCTGGTTCTCTCTCCGATGCTCCACGTCTTCCGACGTAGCCCGACACCGGTGTTCTGAACTTGTTCAATATGGGGTTCTCAAGCGTTACATTCTCAGCTGTTGCATGAATTTGTCATGCAAAAACACCTTCACCATCCTCACGATCAAGCTGCTCCGCATGACAAATTTGCGAAGGGCTAAGCCGCGCCTAAATCTGCGCCGAACTTGTAACGCAAAAGGCGCAATCTTCCTCCTTCCACTTTTGCCAGTCTTGCATTACAAATTCATGTAACATTTGAGAACTCCATATTCAAAACCAGATATTTCGGCACCTGCCGGAAGAAGGCCCAGGGACCGAGATCTGCGCGCGACCGAAGTTGGTCGTACTGCGCCGGATGTAGTGTCGTTCTCTGCGCTTTTTCGTGATAAAGCATTTCCTCCGCGAGAAAGACTGCGAGGGAGCCGGTCGCTTGTTCCAGTCTGTTTATTATCCCTCCGCGAGCTGTTCTAGAAGTTGAAAATAGCTTCTGGGCCCCCGTCTTTCCACCTTGATATCCTATTTGCTTCGCACCATTCGCGGCTACAAGAACAGTCGGGGTTTGTATCGCTTTCAGCGCGAAGGATTTTTCCAAAACCATTCGCCTCAGCACTTTCAAGTCCTTGTCCTGCACCCTCTCCTGTTTGATCTTCCCCTCAATCAGTTCCAAAGCTGCGAGTCGGACTTTTTCCAAAGACTCAATACACCGAAAATTCAAGGTTTCCGTCACAAGGTTGTCATCCAGGGCGAGGAGATTCGTACTCGAGGGAGATCGGGTAGCAGTGATGCTGCTCGCATCTTCTGCTGTGCCACGCCCCGCCGTCGTCCTAGGAACAATTGCAGTCCACGCAGGCGTCTTACTTAGCGTGGAAAGTAACCTACCTGCCGGTACTCTTCGCCCCCTGGCCGCGTAGTTGAAGAGAAGATCTAAAGCGAGCACCTGTTCGTCTGTTTCCTCCTCTAGGCGCAAGGTTGAATTTGCTTTCGAAGCTTCTGGCGGGGTCGTGTAATGCTGCATCACAACGTCAACATCGTCAGCAGCAGAGCCGGCCGCTCCTACACGGGCAGATGCCGCTGGCTTCAGCGGTTCCGGCGTAGTGGGTGCGATAGAAGTCGCAGCCCGCGTGCTTGCTGTGTCACTTAAGGAGTCCTGCGACATCATCATCTGCTGGTCTTGTTCGAAAAAATCAAAGCCGAGGATGCCTTTATTGTGCAGCTTGTCGCGGTCAGCAGAACTGGTTTTCCATCCCGGCACCAAATTTCCGCTCCTACTACTATCTCTCAAAGCTTCATCCACTTCGCGATGAAATGTGCGACAATTATCCGGCGATTTCCCATAAGCCTCCGCGTGGTCCTGCGCACCGCCTAAACTCAGCCACCGGTCGCTTGCCTGTGCTTGAAACACCCCGAGAGCGGAGTTTTCCTCCACCAGCCATCGTGGGAGGGTCCAGGTTTTCAACGGAGTGCTAACAAGGTCCTGCTGCTGCACTCCGGTCGCGGTCGTTGAACCACCAGCAGGAAGTTTCTGCAGCTGTTCCGCACTGTACGCTTCGATGGTGAGTCTGTTGTCGTCATGTAAAAGTGGAGGTGCTTCCTCGTTAAAATCAGGATTTAAGTGGGCTTGTTGCGGCTCCGGCTGCTGGGAATGAATATGTTCTTGATGTAACTCTGTCCGATCGGTTGCTGTTGAAGAACTGAATGCGCCTCCGAGCTGGAAATCCGGGATAGGGTCGTCCTCGTCCACGACCGTGGCTGAAGTGCCCCCTCTTCTGCGCTGGTGGGAAAATAAATGATCCTGTTCCTGCTCACCCAGAACTATATTAACGTCGGGGAAAGACGACCAAAGTCGGTGGTCTTCGTCCCGAAGCGCAGCGTCGGTAAATGTTTCTGCCTCATCCGATGGGGGTTGGAAGAGGACTGGCCTAACTGATTTTACGACTGGCGTTAAGTCGTGGAGTTGTACCGTTGCTATGCCAATGAAAAGCTTCAGGAGAGGACGTCGGCGGGACAGCACTCCTGCGCTAGTAGGTGATTGTGGTTGATGGTTTGTCATCATGTTCTTGACGCCGGATGTTGTGAGCCGCTGCTGCCCGCCCCGCCCGTAGAGTTCCATTGCTCTTGTTCCTGTGAAGAAAGAGGCGATTTCCTACAGGAGGTGCAGATCCTCGCAATACTGCGGAACAAATTACAAAATCAATATATTGAAGGTCCGGTGCAAAAATCAAAATGCAGTGGAAAAAATACTATAGTGAATGCAAAAAAAAGCGCACGAGAAAGATTGATGTAAGTGTGCTTCGGCCAAAAGGTCAATATTGCTGTAGTTCCTTGTCGTGCATAATAGCTTAGTGTTAGATGATACTAGACCAGGTCTGGCTTTCAACAAGAACCTGCTCATGCTTGGATTAGGATACGAAATAGAACCAGACAGGCGACACATGGAAAGAAAAATTACCATCTATGACAGAAAGGAAAACTGAACCAGATCGTTTTTGCAAGTATGCTACTAAAACTTGTAGTTCTTTCAACCACCACAGGTAGGAAAGCAATACATCGTTCGGATCGTTTCTTTTTCTTTCCGAAGCTATTCTCAAGTTTGCGAGAGCATGTGGTCGTGAACAACATCGGTGTCAGAACACTTCTTCGCAGCTGCACCACAAAGTCGCACATGATCCGACGGCTTGATTACTAGGCCATCGTGTTTCATCTTGCTCAGGTAGCAACACCTTTATATACTCGTCGTTATTTTTTGAATTTCTTCGAAATTGCGTCACAAGCCATTTCCTGTCTCTCAACATGCGCACAGAGGATGCTCCTGTACGACGTCCAACGAGAACAACCTGAACCCAAGCTCACATCGCCCGCGTCTTGGTTGTTCAACATCCTTCTTGTAAAACCGCATGAGAAATCGTGGCCTGTCCTCGCGTTGTTGTAAAGCATCAAATGCAGCTTGTGCTCCACTACAGTTCCCCACATTCCGTAACAATTACGTTCAACCGTGGTCCGTGTGCCGTGTATGCTGTGCAAAAGTATCGTACTCGTACTAATCGCATTTATGCATTACAAATTTTTTTGTCAGGTTAAATCCGCATTTCCATTTGTCATGCTGGCCGAATTTGTAATGCGATTTCTACTAGTACGATGCTTTTGCAATGCATAACGTGCCGACCGCGACGTTTTCTATCTTCCTCACGACGTGCATGCTGCTCTGGTCCAGCACCTTCCCGAACACCACATGCTTCCCGTCCAGCCAGTCGCACTATGAAAGTGCACAACTCCCCCTCCCCCTCATATGTCATGCAAAATACCCAATCCGCCCTTTGTATCTTGGCACTCTTTGCACGACAAGTTCTGCTAGCCCAAATAGCACTACACTCCAGTGCAAGTTTGTCATGCAAAATCGGCACTCTTGCTGATGCTTGTATTGCCGTTAATGCAATACAAATGAGGGGGATGGGGAGCTGTGCACTGTCATACGCACTTGTTACAGGTGAGAAAAAACTGGCACCCGTTGGTGTTGGGCCCACTATTTGCCATGCAGAGCAGGTATGCATTGCAAATATGTCTGGGTCTGGAAAAGTGGAACTTGTATTGCGTGTCGAGGATTGCAGAAAAATCTGTATTGCATAAAAGCAACAAAAGCGCCACAATTTCGTGATGAAAAAACGCAGTTTGTAATGCGAACTAAGGATGAGAAAGCGTCTGAAAAATTTGTTATGCTACACTGCTCTTACAGGCGCAGTCACTCATGACCATTCAGCATCACAAATTTCCAGACGCAGACATATTTGCATTTGATAGCAGGCCCGCCTGGTCGTGTCGCAGGGTGAAGTTTTCGTCCGGAAATTTTTCGCCGAAAATTGACAAAGACCCGGTGCCGTCGCCCTTCACGAAGTCACCGCCTTGGATCTGTTGTGGGTTTTTGGAGTCTGCTGTAATGGGGTGACTAAGTAGGGTTTATTTTTCTTTCACACGACACGACAGGGACACTACGTTCGTGCTGCCGCTTGGTAGTACTTTCTCAGAGCCACCATGTTCAGGCGGCTCTCCTAGGCGGTCCTTATCGAATCGACGGAGCACACGGCCCCGTCGTGAGAGCTGGCTCCTGAGGAAGCGAAAGGTAGACCAGAACCAGAGGGGGAGATCATCTCGAGTGGCGTTTGAGGGTCCGATCCGCGAAATTTCAAAATTTCATTTTTATCGCGGACAAAAATCCGCGAATTTTCAAAATTTTGTTTTTATGACGCAGTGGAGGACGACGTTGTCTCTTTATCGTGGTTCGGACAGGGATTATCTGAACATGAGGTGTGTTTTCGCCTTATCACACTTCAAATTTGGTAAATTTCTGGTCAATTTTCAAAATTTTATTTTTATTGGCCTCACTTTTGTGAGTCGATTTGCTTGTATGAGCTGTAGTTGCTTTAGCAAACACGTACCGGCAGTTTTGCAGTTGATGACATCTTGATTTTTGCTTTAGAATTTGAAATCGCGAAAATTTAAAATTTTATTTTTATCGTGGACGCGAATCCGCGAAATTTTAAAATTTTATTTTTATTGAGGTCGAAAAGTCGTCTGCTTCTCTTGCATGCTCCAGCGTTCAGCCTATGTCCTGTATTGAGTAGACCATCACAGAACGAAAATTGCTTTCGCCTCCCACCCGCCCCTGAATCAACCTTTTACTGTCCTCCACCAGGTCCATGATACTTTTCGACTAGTACCAGGACACAACAAGTCAAATACTTGCTACTCACCATACCATGCTGCATAACGCTATCTAGCACGGTGTGCTAGCCACAATCCGCATCAGCAATCATACCATGGGGAATGACATTATGCAGCATGGTATACCCAGAGCCTAATTCCAACAGGTTTCTACTCCTCACACGCCATGGCAACAGCGTGGTGTCATCGTATACAAACTACCATCACGACATACGATCTACTCTCGTGGTATCAAGATCTACCTAAAGGTGCATCAAGTAGTTAGTTCTATACCATGAAATCCTTGATGACTCGGTGAAAGATGCAGTTTTTGTAGCCAATCGGCACTCGGTTCAGCTTAAACTCCCCTGTGCACAGCTGTCGGAAGTTTTCCGCCGTTTTTGGTGCGACGTCGCGGTAGAGTTCCATTTTTATTCTCCCGATGGCGTGGCCGCCGACGCCAATGTCCAGAAATACCACCGGGTTCTCCGGGTGCCGAAGAGGCTTGTTCTCCATTTTTTGTGATACGTGGTCGTACTAGACAGAGTGAAAAATGCCTCGTAGGCAGTTTGTAAATTACGATGTAGAAATACTTAGATGTGCTCACAAGAGGAGCGGATTGTTTGATAAAGATGTTTTATCTGAACAAGTACGAGCACTACAAGAACTATTTTCACGTCTATTCCACCAACGTCGCTGCGCAGAGAGTAATCGGTCAACAGTTTGGAAAAACATGTTTTTCGACAGGAACGAGAGAAGCAGAAAAAAGTAGAAAATTTTCCCAAAATATGATCCTTATTTGAGCCACAAAAAGTAGCCGGTGATTTGACCAGTGCAGGTGCAATGCGCCACAAGAGGCAATTTAGCAGTACTGAATACTTGGATCCAATCTCATGCGGGAAAAACAATTTCGTCTTCTATGACTGTTTCATTTCCTTCGGATTTGATCATTTCTTACTCTTTCCACGTCGGATGAAGATCTTTGCCTTTGGCTATCTCATTCCTCTTCACATTTCCGTTGAAACAACTCGCTTCGATGTGATTGTGAGTCTAGGCACAGCTACGCTCGTCAGCGACTGTGACTAGAAAGAGAGAGGAGCTTCTTGCGCTTGTCACCTTCCTGCTTCAGACAATCCTCTAGAATTTCATGATACAAATATCGCGGTGAATAAAGTTCGCGTGTCAGCTTTGCTTTTGTTGAAGCTGAAATAGAAAGGGATTTGATTCCGATTGGCGGAATGTGGCCTATAGCATGAGCTCAGCATGAGCTTGATTCCAATAGGATTGATGAGTGAAAAAAGCCTCGCAGAATTTCGCTTTTTGCGCCCTCTGCGCCGTGCTCCTACTGTTCCATGTTCTGTCTCGGCAGGAGCATAAATTTACTGTTTTTCCACGCCTTTATTAATCTCGTTGTCTTCCGCGTTCAACATAACAGCGCGGCTTACTTTGTTGCAGTCGTCTTTGAGTCATTTTTTGTCTTCTTGCTGCTTCGCTGAGGCAAAGGTCGTAGCGTGACTAGTTCAGCATCAGCTGGTTTCTTCAGATCCCATCCCTTGTTGCTGAGGAGATTTTCGACGGCTCCAATAATGGGCGCTTGCTTGAGGATGCCTTCCATATCGGGTTCCCAGTGTAAATTTTTCAGTGTGTAAAGCAGGAAAGCAAGAGGTCCACCATGGTCGTGCAACACTCGGAAGGGGAAGGGCCCTTTGCTGTAGCGATGGCCATCATCATCTAGTGTGATGTACTTTTTCCAGCACATTTCTCCATGCTTCCACGCCGTTGATTTGTTCGTCTCGTATAACACTTTCAAAAACGTCATTAGCATCCCAAAATGCGCTGTCGCGGCGTTGTAGTCTGCTCGAGCGCTTGCCTGACGACATTCCTCTTCCTCTAGCGAGGGACAACGCTTCGCGTGCTTGATTCCTGCGTCCAAAAAGCGCTCCGCGATCCGGCGAGCGGTGCGGGTCTCATCCGCGAAGACACCACTCGACCCGCGAATGAGTTCAATTAGAAATAGTAGACGCTCCCACATGTACCTTCTTGACCAGATGAGCTTCGAATCGTCACCAGACGGATTACCTCCACAATCCTTGACCTCCTGTTCGAACGTCATGAAACCGAACCCAATCTCGCCTTTCCCTTCAATGTCCTCCTCAAAAAAACTGTTTTCAAAGTCCTCCTGTACAAGCCTTTTCCTCTCGTTGAGCCAGCGGCGCAGCCTGCAGGACAGCTGGACATAAATCAGCTCGTTCCGTAGAACGCCCTCGTCGTGGCATCGCCTTTTATTCCTGATCACCCTCTTGCTGCCCTCCCAAATCAATCGGCTCAACTTCGGATAAAAAATACCTGCGATATGAATCGTTTTTCGAGAAAAAGGACGCAGTTCGAACACCATCCGCTGCAACTTCGGTCCAGAAATGCCACACGTTTCACTGACTGCTCAGGCGGACTAGTTTGATGAAAAAAACGTGCACGTAGTAAAAGTAAAGCAGATACTTGGTGGTGTATTGTCCGCCGGCTTCTCGAGGATCCCGAAGAACCACTTGCATTCCGACTCGAACAAAGGCGCGCTCATCGTCGGGACCGCAAAAAACCAACTTCTTATCGCTTCTTCCCAATCGAGACCGTTTTCCTTTTCGCTTTCGTAGCAAAGAGATAGCTGAAGTTGTGCCGGTAGTAAGCCATTGCTATTGCAGAAGCCCACCCAGGCCCTGTCTCTTTTCTCGAGTGCGAGTTGCGTCGTCTCCCGCTGAGGTTGTTCAGCAGCGTGTAGGTCGGCGGCAAGCTTCTCACTTTTCTCGCACACCTGCAGATTCTCCGCCTCCAGTTCCTTGACCCTTGTTTCTAACTTCTTTTTGGCTTGTTCCACCTGCGCCAAGCGCCAGACGCCCTTGCTACCTCCTTCCTTCTCCGTGCTGGGAGCGACCTTGGCCTCGCGAAGCTCTTCCTCCACAGAAGCTAATTTCGAAGTCAGCGTCTTTAAAAGACGCTCCGAAACCTTAGCCTGTTGCTTCACTGTGGCCAAATCTCGTCGCAGAGCGTCCGCTGTCGTTTGCGCCGTTTTTTCGTTCGCAGCCATTTCTCTCCTCAAAGTTGCACTTTCGTGCGAGGATTTGAAGCTCTTTTGCAGCCGCTCGTCGCTTTCTTTCTGTACTTTTTCCACCGTCGATCGCAACTCGGCTATCGTGTTTTCCAGGTCGGTGATTTTGTGCTGCTTTTGCTGCAGCTCTAGAGCTTGGGATTGGCATAGACTTTGCAGGGCCTGTAAGCCTTGGCTTTGTTGATGTGCCCTTGAAGCGGTACAACTGGGCACGAAAAGATGTCCAGCTTGTCCTCCATCCCGCGTCATTTCCCGCGCCGCGGTAGGCACAGGAGGTGGTACTTGTGCCGCACTGGTTGCGCCCTTTCCAATATGAGCATCTTCGTTTTCGGAAGAAGAATTGCCCCAGGTTCGATCACCCCACGAAATCTCCTGGTACTGAACGCCATCCGAAAAGTCTCCTGAAGATGATCCCTCTTCCGGCTTAGCGGTGAAGCTTCGGAAGGTCTGCTTCCCAGCAACGTAGTGCTGCAAAGAGGTGTTTTGCTGCTGGCCACCGGTTTTCGGTTCAGCATGCGTGTGGTGGTGAAAGTGCATGTTGTATTGAAAGACTACATGCTGCGGTGGTGGCAGGTCGTCGGGTAAAGGAGTTCCAGAGGCGTGAGAACCACGTTGCGTTGCGCGAGGACCACGACCTGTCCTATATGCAGGACTGCCTCCCACGTCGCCGCCGTCCTGATAAACGCTGCCTTGTTGAGGTCTCGGTTTTTTATCTCCCTCACACTCGGCATCTACTGCCCACTCGAACTCACCTTCCACGGCCATTTCCATTTTGTCGGCCAAAGCCGCGTTATCTTTTTCCTGTCCTGTGCGCGAAACTTCAACTTCCTCCTTGCGTCGTGGCACAGCTGCTCCTATCTCTTCCGGCTGCAAAAGCGCCAGGCTTGAATCCGAGAGTGTTGTCTCCATTTTTATATGACCTTTAACCTCGAAAATGATTTCACCACCCGTTTTTATTTGCAGTTCGACGCCAACGAGACAAAAAAAACTGATATGGAGGAGTCAGAATATCTCTTCTAGTTTGTTTAACATCACGATATGATGTGTTGACGCGAACTCGAAAAAATTTAACGACCTGCTCCTGTACAAGAAGTTTAAGTTTTGGTGCAAGCAATAATCGCTGCCTGAACAGCGCGACAGGCAGGAGGAGAAGAAGAAGAAAATTAAAGATTAGACAAGATCATTTTCATCAAGCCTGTTCGTGATGGTGGTCAGGCTTCATTCTTGGGCGTCAATAGCCAAGTGCTGATCCAAGGGAGGGTGATGGACAACATGAAAGTTCTGCTCTCCCCAAAACATCATTCAACAGTTCTTCCTTATGTAGATCCACGCAGCTGCAGGGGAAGCGGGCCTGAGCACTGAAACTTCAACTCAAGCAGTACCGCCTCCAACTGGGTATCGTACGCGAAAGGAAAGTTCTTCATGTTCATGCTCTTCTACTGGTGATACAGATACTTGTGATGAAACTTAATCTTATTCTGCCTATAATCTTAATCAGCTCAACATGCTCAACGAAAACACTTTCGCGAAGATTTTCAGAAACAGAAATTCCAGTCAACTGCTATGCATTCCTCACTGAAGGAAGCGGAAAGATACTTTTGAATACCATAAAGAACTGAGATAGAAATATTGCGCCAAATAAGTAGAAATGTCTTTTCCGGCTACGTAACACTACAGCACGGAAAGCCGGCATGCTGGAAAGATGCATATGTAAATAACATACTTCTGATCCTGATGCTTAAATTTACTTTCACTTATGATCTGACATCCACGTGGAAAATGGATACTGCTCCTCCGCCCCGTGCATCAACGTCGAGTGACTACAAATTCGCTGCTATTTCATCAGGTCTTGGGAGCGAAAGACACTACTAGACTCCATCATCCGTCAACGTCCTTCTCAAGCTTCGCGTCGGCGACGCTCCACGACCGTGGTATCCCATTCTTCGCGCTTTCCGTACCTCACCTCCGCCCGGCGTCGTCGCTCCTGATCGTTCGGATCAGCTCCCTCCGTGGCGTTTGTCAGTTCCCAAAGCTCCGTAAGCCTCTCTAACGTTTTCTCATCCGGAATCGGAAAATGCTTTTTCTTCAAAACCGCCTTCAAAGTTCCTTATGGCGGAAAAATCTCTCTGGAGTCAAGGTCAATCGACCTACTTTTTTGTATTTTTAATGTGGTTGATCCACCAATAAAGGCAAAGCACGAGGCTGGCCATCATGCAATCCCAGCCTAAGAATGCTCGCGCTACTAGGTGCTTAGTTGCAACAAGAAGAGCTTTGACATGATGGCCAAAGAAATCTACGTATATATTTTTGAGAAAATGCATCACAACCTCGAAATTTCAGTTGACTCGCGATTTTTTCCCATAGGAGTCCTTCAAATTTGGAGGCCTTGTTCAGTAGCTCTTCCACGACGAGCGGTCTTTTCGGCATCTATATGGAGACCTCAGTTGGGAATTTGTCAAAATGGAAATCCATTTGCCCAGTCTCGGGCAAAAGCGCGTCGGAGACAAATTATGTTTCCTTCACAGCATGCAGCTTAAGCTTATATATGTACGGAGGTTACTTTGCTGCAGATTCGAAATCGAAACCTGCAGCGCCATACAAAGTCAAATGCTTTTGACTGACGCAACAAATCCATGACTTCCACTCTGACAAGCTCCAAGCTGGTGGCAGAGGCATAATTTCCTCGTCCTTTTCGCCCTGAACGTTCCACGTCCACATGTCCTCGAAAGTTAGCTTTTTGGGGTATTTCTTTTCCTTTTCGTCGTCTATCCTTTTCTTTTCCTCGAAAGTTAGTTTTTTGGGGTATTTCTTTTCTTGGATAATATCAAACCACACAGCATTCGGGGAAAGAACCACCGCACGTTCGGAAACGACTTCAAGCTCGATAAGCACCGGAAGCCCCTCGTCTTTCGAACGAAACCAGTAAGGAGGACCGGGTCTACAGTTGTCGGGGATACGCAACGAATCGACTTCGACATCGCTACTTTCGAGGACAACGCTTGCGACATCGCTCTCGCCATCGCTTTCGACATCGCTTTCGACATTGTCATCGCCGGCATCTTTCTGTTTGAAGATTTTTCGTTGGATGTCCTCGAACAAGATTTTCCAGGCCTGCGGATACATTTGTTCCTCTTGCTGTTGCTCATACGTATCTCCGTCGATAAAGCCGCTTCTGGAGGATCCGCCAATCGATATCTCCTGGTAGGGTCCGTCGGAGGGACGCTGTAATCGAGGCCCCACCAGGTTCCTCCGGTAGAGGTCATTTCCCGCCTCGTCTATGACCCGAAGCCAGATGGGTTTCCGTAGTCCGGATCCAGGAGCTGTCTCGTCGTACTCCCAAAATCGAAGTTGGTGAAAAGCCCGTCCGTCGACGTACTGCATTCCGAAAAGTTGCACCCGCGGGTTCAGTATGCATTGCAAAGATGGCCCGGTCATCCGGAGGATTTCAAAACTGGTGTCCCACTGATATCTATGTGAGATGAAAATCACAAGCGATGCATGAAGCGGACTCTGACCGCCAGTCAATACTTTGTCATTCAAGAATGCAACAACTTCTCGCTCTCATCCTCATGCTGGTGCCGCACTGTGTACCCCTGTCATGGCTGACTGGGGAGCGCTATTGGGGACGAGACCAGCATCACAATTTTTCAGACCCAGACATATTTGCGCTTGGATATTCACTATCAGTTCTTGAAGTTTGTGGTCGCTTATATTGTGCTTGCGTCCAAGGACTTTGCGCACATTCCTGTTCACCCCGTTCGCGCCGTCAAACATTTTGAAGCATCGCTTCGCGCCCATTGGACGTGGCCCCGAAGGCAGCTCTGGAGGAGTGAGGTTGTATCGCTCAATCTCCCAACCGCCGTCTGCGACGTCCGGCGCGCAACTCCGCAAGTCCATCCCTAGATGGTGTAGAGGGTGCGCAAACCGCTCAGGTATAGAGGAAAGCCGCATAGTACTATCTGAACATACTCACTCGGTATGCAGCGGTGTCGCAGGATCGTTCATATGTTTTTGTGGTGGCCGCCTACTTCGCCCCCTATAGCGAAATGCAAGAAATCGGCGTGCTTGCATGCCAAAAGCCTCGCGTTTGCGGAAGTAAAACAATGCAGCTCTTGCCAGACAAATATGGTGGGGCCACGCTTCTAGTACGAAAAAAAAAATAAAGTATGCGCCTGGCCAGTATGACAGATACTACGCTCCCGATTTTCCATCCCATATGAGCCAGGTGAAACATGTACGAAAAGTCTATAACGGCATTGAGGTCCCATTCCAGTGGTTGATTGAAATCTGTGCAACCAAGGAAAACCATGCGCATGTTTGTCAGCCCGGTGGTTTTCCAGTTGGATATCTTAAATGCGTCCTCGTAGACACCCGACCAAGGCAGCGCCATGCCATGCTGGAAGCATTTAGGAAAAGGACCCCACCTCCTCGCACCGACGTCCTCCTCCTTGCTTCCGCCGAACTGTTCACCAATTCGAGATACGTCCCAATATTCTGTCGGACCGTATTTTTCGACCACTTCCTCTCTTTCCCTCTTAATCTCCTCTTTTTCCCTCTCCGCTTCGTCCGTCTCCGCTTCCTCCATGTCCGATTCCTCCATCTCTGCTTCCTCCATCTCCGCTTCGCTTGTAGAAGCGGCCCTCCCTTTCTTTTCCCACAGAGCAACAATGCGATCTAGCTCCTCCCGATTGGGCACGGGAACATAAACACGGCTAGGACGTCGGCGATCTTCATTGTCCGGAGCCGGTGCTGGCGGGGGTGTTGCGTTTAACGAAGAGGTCTTCTCCTGCACGTCTGGATTTAATATGCCGCTAGAGCTACTAGCACTGCCTGCTGCTTGTTGTTCCGCGCTGGATCGACGAGCTTCGTTCTTGCTGGAAACGGTAGCAGCAGCACCCGACCCTTTCGTCGTCTTCCTCCCACGCCGGGGGCCCTGTTTGTCTTGCTTCAGCACGTTATTTCCGGGACGACGTCGTCGACGCTCACTTTGTCCTTTTTTTCCTAGCTTACGCGGCGGAGAAGTGGCAGCTCCTGCTCCCTCAGCTCCGCTTGCTGTTCCTGGAGGGCCAGCTCCGGAGGAAGAACTACAGGGACTCGCACCGGCTCGTTCAGGCGGAGCCACACTGGTACTGGTAGGTGGTTGTAGTCCTTTGCGTCGTTTCTTACACGGGGTACACCGGGCAGCAATTTGCCGGCGGATTCGCTGCCAGTTGGTAGTACCATGATCCGTTCCTTCTCCGCTCTCAGTGTCAGAACTCCGCCTCCGCTTCTTCAAGTTTTTCGCGGTTGTTCTGCTCTTCCTCGCAGCGTCCTCTTGCACGACGGCTCCGCTCTTGGATGAAGTCTTCATCTACTTGAGCTTGTTGTTATTTCTTGCGGGCAGCCATTTTTTTCCCGTCCGGCGCATGCGCTGGGTGTTGAGACCCTTGCTCTTGCGGCGACGTTCTCCGGTGGTTTCTATTTCGTTTCTCGCCCCAGCACCAGTACCGCTCGTAGAAGCTGCCGCGTGCTATGCTAGTAGAGGACTAGTTCCTCGGCTGTGTTGCAAATCATCCTGCTCAAGCACGGCCTCTCCGGAAGGACGACCCCGACGTGTAGTTCCACCAGTATTTGTAGCTTCCGCCCGTGAAGATGCAGCAGCTGCCAGTACTCCAAATCGCACACGGGCCCCATAAAAACCAGAAGCAGGAAAAACAGTATCCCAGAAGACGCTGCTATTGTAAAAACCGGCCCAGATTACAACTGTACGTGTGACGACACGGCGAATTGTAGTTGTCGTGGGGGTTAGCATCATCGTGGCGGCTGCACTGGTACTCCGGTAGCTGCAGGTACAGGAAGCGCTAGACTGTTTTGCAATATTGAGAAACAGACCCACAATGGTGATGGTGTGGTACAGGGGTATTATACGTTTATTTTTGGTACTTCTGTCAAGCACAAGCTCGTCTAAAGCGCCTCAAAATACAAGTACAACTGGAAGCAATTTGCAATCCACTTCAAGAAGAGTAGAGAGCTGCTGTAGACATGTTGGGCAATCAGATATCATTATCAAAAAAGGCACCACACTTGCGAATCGCAAGGACAAGCCTTAGCATCATTCAAATCTTGCATTCTAATTTGTGACGGAACTTATTTGACCTTTTTGTGCCGAAAACAACTTCGAAGCACAATCGGGTAGAGTGCTAGAACCATTTTCAAATTGAAATTGTATGTTGCGACTCATGAAAAAAGGAAGACACTGCGTGATCTTTAATCTATGACAGGAGCTTGCTGCTCATCGGCCTTCCTCAAGCGAGGAAGAAGCCACTGGTTCTTGTTTGATCCATATATCAGCAACAGCAGTCACTTTTCTTAAGAGCATTGAGCTTAGGAAACTGTGTTTCGGCGTTTGCTGGATCTGTTGAAACTCAACACACAACTGCTCACGCTCGGTCTTTGATATCGGACAAAAACTCCTGAACGGCCAGCGCCAGTACTCGTTTGATCGTGTTTTCAGTATCTCAAGAACATCAAAACGTTTCTATCTAAGCAGCGTACGGGCGGCACGACGCAGCGAGTCATGTCTCTGTCCAAGCAGAAATCGACTACAACTAGAGCATGCCCTCTAGTACTAGAAGTTTATTCCTGGCCGGTAAAAGTTGTTTCTCTCCTCCTCCGCCGTACTCCACCCACTCTCCCGCAGCTCAAGCACATGCTGCAGGTGCCACCGCGAAGTTTCCGGCAGCTCGTTCTTGTCGAACCGATCGACGACACTTGCTAGTAACTCCAAATGTTTGTAAATTTCGTCTGTTAAATATGGAAGTGTCAGAATCGAAATTGACAAAATCGAATTGATTCGTAATGCATAAAATCGATACCGGTTGGAGCCCCAGTTTCCAAGTGGCGCATGACAAATTTCGAGAGCGCTAAAATCCAGACTGTCATGCTGTTTCGGCAAAGAAGCCTGCTCCTACCATGCTACTCTGGCAGCGCATCGCCTTCCCCTAAAGAGGCTTGTAATCGGTCTCATTTGCCTGCTCCCCAATACAGGCTTTGCGTGCCAAACATTTTATGCATTACAGATTTTTCAATTTTAACGATTTCGATTCTGACACTCCCATATTAAACTCCGCGCTCTATCCAGCTCACACCCGTCCACTTTCGGCCCGCAAGTCTCCAAATACGCACACAACGCCCCGAGGCTCGCGATTGCGCGGCCGGACTGGATTTTGGTCAGAATCCTGGTACTGGTGGAGGTGGGAGTGCGAGTACTACCTCTGGAGGAGGACGAAGCTGCTCCTCCTGCTGGTGTTGTAGTCCCTTCTGTAGTTACGCAAGATGCTTGCTTTTGCAACACATCCCACGTGTTTTGCATCAGCACCTGCACAAACCCGTTGCCAATGTCTGGCTGGAAGTCCAACTGCTCCTCCCTTGTCAGTATCATGTGCAAAAGTATCGTAATCGTACTTTAATTGCAAATATGCATGACAAATCTTCTTCCTAAGGTAAAACAGCACTGTCATGCTCCTGAGCAAATTTGTATATGCAATTTGTACTAGCACGATTCTTTTGCATTGCATAGTCAGCCCTCCGAGAAACATCACGTCCGCGACAACCTTGTCCGCATTCGCCCTCACTTCCTTGTGCTTTTCCACTCTGCCAAAGTTCCCGTGCTCCGCTTGTCGCCGATGGAAGTCCGCGAGGATGTGTTTCTGAAAGTAGCTCTGGTGCCAAAATCGGTTCAACTCCGGCTGGTCGTACAAGAAACGGCGAAGTCGCGCGCACAGCTTCGTCCAAAACATGGTCATTCGGTCAGAGTCGTATCAAATGTAAAAATGTCAGGGTCTGGAAGATTCTGAGACTTGTCATGCAAATTTTGCATGAGCCATGATGTCTGTGATGCATGCCCTAGCGTCAGACTTTTTTTGAGGGCTTCTTGATGCCTATTCCGCATGACAAATGCCCTCTTCCCGTAGCAAAAATCACACTCCCTTTGCTGGTCATGCAATACAGATTTTTTTAGATTCCAAAGACAGCATTACAAGTTCCAACCTTCCAGACCCAGACATTTTTACACGTGATAAGTCAGATGAGTCCACAACTCTGGACCAGAAAGTCGCAGAGAGCTCGCAGTAGAAATGATCTGTAGTGGGATTGATAGATAATGCTGATAATTTTTCAGCGTAAGCTGGAGTGCGGCTTTTTTGTGTTTTTTCTATATTCAACTACTTATAATGGTGGCTCTGGCGCTGGCTCAGAGTAAGAAGAGTCGCTTTGCAATATCAAACAGTGCACAGAACTCGTAGTCGTAACTCTCTTGCTCAAAAACAAATATAGCGGTCCTCGCTCCTCTTCGTAATCGTATACTAGTACCAAGTATGGATTGTAAAAGTGTCTGGGTCTGGAAACTTGTGATGCTGGGTGGTGTATCATGAGGAAGCCATAAGTGCTGGCTCAGCATGACAAGTTTCTGAGCTTCTAGGTGTTGCCTATTCTGCATGACAAACTGCGTTTTTGCATGACAGGAAATTGGGGCTCTTGGGTAACCTGCATGACAGGTTTAAGAGTCATGCCAGAGAAGCATGACAAGTCGCGCATTCTTCCAGACCCAGACATTTTTACACTTGATACCAAGCGGCATTTCGTTCGCCCCGACGCGGATTAATTCGAAAAGCTGCTTTTCGTAGTAGCTCTCCACCAGAAACCGCTCCGCGTGAAGCTGCGGCGGTGCCTGCATCTTGTCTAAAAGCTGGCCCAGCTCCGCTTGTGGCCAAACCCAGGCCGGCTTCAACAAATCTGCGCGTTCTTCCATTTGCCCGGCGGGTGATGAGCAACTGCTAGAAGCAGCTTCAGTGTGCTCCTCCTTCGCTCGGTTTATTGTCCTGTCGCTTTCCCCTGCGCCGCAGCCGGCATCTGCGGCGTCGATTCCCTCCTGCTCTTGGTCGGAGAGAACTTCCTCAATGTGGCAAGAAGGCATCCTGAGTAAAACCGTACCCACGCCATAGCTGTCATGCAAATCTGCATGCTTAAAATGTTTGTCATGCGGAGCCCCATGAGAAGCATTTTCTAAGGGTGTTTTGAAATTTGTCATGCTCCAATCAGCATGAGAGACTAGATCTGTGATGCTGCTGAACTAGCTCAAACAGCACTACACTACGCGTCCAAATTTGTCATGCGAAACAAGCAAAGTTGGCCGATTTGTCTAGCAGATTTTCCATCTTGACTCTGGTGTGGGTACGTTTTTACTCAGGATAGAAGGCATATGAGGTTCGTCTTGATAATGATCTTCGTATTGATCATTTTGGTAGCCGTAGCCGTGATCATTGTATAGTTCGAATCCCGGATTTTTGTAGTCGGAACTGTATTGCTGCTCCGCTCGTCCTCCGTAATCTATGTACCATTGCTGTTCATCAGTCCCCGCCGGTTGTGGCCCATTGCCACATTCCGAGTCGTGGTTAGTGTTGTACAACTCGTCGCAATTTTTATAGTACTGCGGCTCTTCCGCCAGCGCCACTTCTTGCTCACCTGCATAGCTGATTGGAACAGCCGCCGTCCCGCCCGCATCTTCACAAAGCTCGGCGTCTTGCTCCTGCCAATTGGGATGCCGTTGCTCGTCTTGCGACGGGTCGTACTCCTGTTGACCAGAAGACGGATGTGGTGGATCATCAGCATTTATTGTGCCGTAGCTGCTGCCGTCTGTCCTGATCTCCCGCCCATGATTTTCATTCGCATTCCCGGCCTGCTCCTTCCACCACGCCAACTCCTCCTGCATCACCCGCATTTCCCGCTTCAGCCTCGCATTTTCCTGCGCGAGTTCGACATTGACTTGTAAGAAGTCGTCGTTCATCTCCTCTGCGACATCGAGCCTGTACTCCAGCAGAAAAATCTCACCGTGTAACTGCGCGACTTCGGCGGCCTCGTGGGACATGAACTCAATCCTTTGTCCAACATCATCGCGACTGGAGAAGAACTCCTGCGTCGGGACAGGGACTGCAGGGAGCTGCGAATGCGATTGCGAAGACGAGGAATCGGCACAGAAATTCGTGGAAACTGTGGAGGTTGTCCTATGATTTCTTTCTTCTTGGTCCTGAAATGTTGAAGTCCCAGTTGCAGCTACCGAAGATGCATTTTTCGCATCATTCGAGGATGATGAAGGTACCTGCTCTATGTTTAAAGTTTTCCCTTTACCTTCTCGTTGCTTGTTGCTTGTCCTGAAGCCTATGCTACTAGTCACCGGTGCCGCAGTACTACTGGAATGGGCCGTCTTCGCATTTCGGAGTAGCACCTCGCGATACAGTCTGGGATTCGCATCTTTTCCGCTTTCTTGCGCGGGTGACGGCTCCTTGTTTGTGTTTTCATTTGATGTTGTTCCCCACGCCACTTTTTTTTCCACCACTTTTCTTTCTTCATCTAATGGCAAATCTTCCAACATGATCCTAGAAGTACTGCTGCAAGAAGCTGCTGCAGGCGAAACAACGTCGACGGAGCTAGTATCCTGCTGTGCTCCCTGGGCGAGTTGGTCGTGCTGCTCCACATCAGTTATGTTGGGAGGGAAAGAAGATGCAGAGGTGCTCAGGGCCGCGACAGATTCGTGTCCCGAAGTAGGAGCCGGCGCACGTGCTACCGTGGTAGTACAGGACTGCTCTTCCTGCTGGTGCTGCTGTTGCATCAGTAGTTGTCCTTCTCGCATAGCAGGACCAGTCGTCGCCTGCTGCTGCGAAACCACTTCTGCTGTCCCTGTGCAAGACGCTGTCGTCAGCGTTTCTTGTGTTCCTACCCCACTATAGTTGCCGACATAATTTTCGCAAGCGCTCATGGCGAGCTGCGAAGATTCTACTTGTCGGGCCGGCTGATTCTGATTGCCGCAATTGTAGCCGAGGTTCGTCTGTATCTGTAAAGTGTTTGCATCTACATCTACTCCAGGATACGTCGCGACGGTCCTTTGCTGCAACGATTGCTCCTGCACAATACTTGTGCGTCCACCTCCTCCACTCAAGCTGCTCGTTGCCCCGCCCGCACCAGAATCAGCGACCAGCTGCTGTTGTTGCAACATCTGGTGCGCCGCTCTTTCCTGCATTATAGCTCGTTGCTGTTGCTGGTCGTTTAACGCGAGCTGTGGGGCTTGCGAGAATTGCTGCTGGTGTTGGTTCATTATCGGCAGAACTGTTCTTGTACTATTCGCATTACAGATTGCGTTCGCGCCGTTCGAATACGAATTCGCATTACCAGAATTATTTCCGATCTTGCCACTCATCATCATCTGATACGCCTGCGCCGGGGCAATCTCCTGGTAGTCGGCTGGAACAGCAGCACCAGCACCGCCTCGTCTCCCGCCAGGTTGGAGTTGGTCCACTCCACATGAGCTGCTATTTTTGCTGTTATCATTATACCCGACAAAGGCGTGCATGCTGCCGCCGATTTCCACCATTTTCGGCTGCGCGGCCTGTGCTGGGTTGCTGCAGTTGTTCATCTGTGGTGCGGCAGTGCTAGCTGTTAAGTCTGGCTTTTCCATTATGAGAGTGCACAGCTCCCCCTCCCCCTCATTTGTATGGCATGAAGAGCAATACAAACAACAGCACACGTCGTGGAGCCTATGCATGACAAATTTATGTACCTGAATCAGTACTGTTTGGGCTACCAGAACTTGTCATGCAAGCAGTGCCATAAGGCAGCGACTGGATTCGGGGTTTTGCATGACAAATCCAAATGAGGGGGAGGGGGAGTTGTGCACTGTCATATCCATATGATAGTGCGCGTTGTACTGGATCACCACGTGGCTTGGGTTGTTTGTGGCTAGCTGTTATGAACTGCAAAAGTATCGCACTCGTATAAATGCATGACAAATTCCCTCAGCATGAGAGTTAAAATTTGTAATGCGGATTTGCCTTCAGAACAAGATTTGTATATACGCAAGACTTGCATTTATACGAATAGGAATACGATACTTTTGCACATGATAGCTGTTGTTGTTGAAGCTGTTGAAGACCTGGTCTAGAATTACCAACCTGGTTCATCTGCAGTTGCTGGTAATTATATGGACCAGCAGTACCACAACCACTACCAGCAAGGATAGGAGCCATGCTCTGCAGATTTTGTGGTAGTGGTTGTTGCATCGTCATCTGTTGCATCGCCATCGCATTATTCATGTTGGTAACCTGCCCCTGTGGTCCTCCAACCTGCGCAGCTTGCCTCAGTGGTTCTCCAAGAACACCCTGTTGCGGCATGCAGTGCATACTACCATGCTGCGCGGCCTGCATCATGCCGGCACCTGCTCCGACGATCGGAAGATAACTCGTATTCGCAGCTCCATGATTATTCGCGGGCACGAGCTGCGTCTGACCCTGCTGGGATATGCAACTATTTTGCAGGGCCATCTGCTGCATTTGCTGTTGCTGCAACAAAGCTGTTGTACTACCTCCTTGATGTCCTGCTTGGATAGTCCCTAGAGGTACTCCTCGGGCTGGCTGCAAAGCACCGTTGTTTGACATCATCATCTGTGCTTGCAGCCCTTGCTGGTGCACCGAAGATACCGTCGCCCCTGGGCCACCTCCTCCTCCTTGCGGGGGCCCACGCGGAATCAGATCCAGACTGGACGCTGCAAACTGCTCCATCGGGGTTTCAGCAGGCCGGGGGTTTTGAGCGTCGTATTGCTGGCGCTGGGACGTAGCTGAAAGCGACTGCATTCTCGAGGAGCGAAGGGTCGCTTTATTGCCTCTGCCTCTCGCTGTATTCTTGCACGATACCAGTCCCGGGCGTGGAGCTGGGGGAAAAGAAGAGCGGGTCGTGAAACATCAGGTCATGGAAAAATAAGCGTAAAGTACTAGTCTATCCTGCCGTATATTCAAGCTTAAGGCGGACGAACAATATGAAGATCTTTGCCATAAAGCGGTACGTAATCGCTTTCGTCGAAAGCAATACGTCGGCCGCGCCCCTCAATACACAGTGGGAAATAACTTCTTCTTAATATTTTGTCCCGGGGTAATAAAATTGCGCTGGCAAAAATAGCACTGACTGCTCAAAACTGCTGGCAACACGTGACTTCGAGCGAAAAAATATTAGGAGTGGCCGGAGTGGAATGAACCATTTGGCGTAGTTTTACTTCGTCTCTACACATACTGCGTTTCTCACGCAAAACACGCATGACCTTGCTCATTTTGCTACCATGATCTCGCTCTTTCCGAGCCTGGTCGGTTCTGTCGAAGTTTTGTGAAGAAAATCGTCGACAAACAACAAGTCATCTTCGACATCCACGAAAAGAAAGATCCTCGAAAACAAGGACGATCAAGAGTCAACATGAAACAGATCATGATCTTCTGCAAATACTGATCGACGTCAGCTACATGATCATCCATCTATCTTTCTCCACCTTGAAGAACTTCATTGTCCTCGTCGCCCTCGCAGTGCCTTTGTTTCTAGACGCGACGGCAAGAAATCTTCGACAGCCTGCGAGAGGTCACAAAAGAATGATCTTCTAATTGCGGCTATGTTTTACAACTGTCCAATATTTTTTGTGTGCACTTGCATCGAGATCGAGACCGACTATTCGTGAAAGCACCTTCCCGTGGCAAGAAGAATGAACATTCATCAATTGGCACCGCATTCGCGTAAAAGCTGCTGTTCCCTTTGTTTTTCCCAGAGGGAACGGTCGTGGCGCATGGTTTTCGTATTCGAGATGTCGTGCCTGCGGGTGAGCTAGTTTGTTGATATAAAAGTCTTCATTTGTTTTTGTAGTAGCCTGCGCTTCATCGCGGAAAGCTGTAATGCTCGGCAGCCATTTTGTAAGACTTGATACGGCGCGCCGGCACCAGCTGCTTTGTCCCAGCGGCTCTTCCAACCTGTTCCTACTTCCATATTTTTCCCATGGTTTTTCATGACCTGCCGCATGCGAGGACTTCGGGGGCCAAGTCCAAGGCCCTGCATCTTCACAAATTTCGCGCGAACGTGAAGCTGCTCCTGCTATCCTGTGGAAAAATCAGTCCTCCACCTCCAGAAGTCGCTGTGACTGTAGAACTACAGGGACCATGTTGGCCAGAAGATTCCGTCCCTGCACAAAGTTGCAACCCGCCGAACAAACCGGGCACCAGGGGACGAAACTGCATCGGGTTATTAGTTCGACGAGTGTTTACTGCGGAGGCAGATGTGGCCGGAGAGAATGTGGTCGACGTAATAAAGCTCGAAGAGGAGCTTGCCCCTCCTGCACTAGAAGGTTCTTCCGGGTAGAAATGGAAATCGTTTTTCGACGAAGCTTCACACGTTTGGTTCAGCACCACGCTAACATCAAACACTAAATCGCGGCCGCTTCTGCCGAACGCCACTGGTTCCCCGAGGTCGAAGCGCCGGTCCGGACAACGGCGCAAAACATCGTAGAGGCTTCCACACCCGGTGAGGAGCTCCAGGGCATGGGAGTTATCTCCTTCATCGTGCTGTAGGGGTAGTTCCGCACCACCGTTCTTCTTGTGGAACAATTTCCGCTCCAAAGCGCGGAAGCGCTTGTGGTTGCAAATTTTCAGGTTGCTGACGGGCTCGGTTTTAGCACTCGCGGTTGAGGCGGAGGAGGAAGAGGACGCGCTAGCGCTTCTACCCCGGCTATCGGCGTCAAAGAGCAAAACGATCTTTTCCACAACGTCCCAGTACTCGCGGAGCAGAGATGCTGCGTCAACAGGACCTTTTGAAGACTTTTGGTGAGAAGTACTGGCTGATGATGATGATGATGTGTGTGCAGCTACTTGGTGCTTCTGCTCAGATGGGCTTCCAACCGCTGCCTGGCGAGTGGAGGACACAGCACCAGGTGCTGGTGCCTGGTAAGTGTGCATTTTTCGTTCCTGTTCCTCTCCAAACATCACGATGTACTGGATGGAGCTGCTCGGTGGCTCGTTTTCGCGTCGTCCGACGACGCGAAAACGATCTGCGTCGGGGCAGCTGCGCAGGAGTGCGAGGAGGGACACGGTCGGATATTTTGCGCGCAGCTGCTTTATCCGCTCGTTGGACCCCAAGTCCACATTTGTGCACCGGCCGTTATGCTCGCAGATCACGCCCTCAATGGCGGTAAAGTATTCCTCTTGAATGTGCTTCGGTAGTGCGTTGCGCGCATATCACAGTGAAAAATGCCCCCCACCCCTGAAATTGCAAGAATTTGTGATGCGAAGTTTCCAAATGAAAGCTTTTTGTCATGCATGAAAGGAGTGCGAATGAATCTTTCTGATGCAGATTCTAGTCGTGTTTCGCATCGCTTGCATGACAAGCACCGATTTTGCTGGGATCTTTTGCAATACAAATTTTTGCTATTCACGATCGGAAATCTGTGATGCTAATACACGCAGGAGGGCGAGTGTTTCATTTCGAAAGATTTGCAATGCAAATGCTTTCAAGTTCGGGGGTGGGGGCGTTTTTCATTGTAATAGTGCAGTGACCAGATACTCTGTCTTCGCGATTCCACCGTCAGCTGCATTACCGTTTACTGCGCCCGACGCCAGCGCTCTGTTTATTTTGCTCTTGAAGCCTTTGCTTGATTTGTGAATGAGGCTGAGTCTGGTTTTGTCCCCACAGGAAAGCAAAACAGACGCCAGCGGGCCTAGCGGATGTGCCTCTTGGAGTTCCCGGACACGGTGGGTGCTTTCCAGTTCTTCCAATGCACACGTGGTAACGCCCATGTCGTCCCGCATCACCTCTTCCACGGTCTTGAAGTAGCGTTCCAAAATCAGCGGGTCCGCATCGGGTAGAGGTTGCGCAAGAGGTCGTACTTCATCGTGGTCCGTCCGGCGTCGAGAGCCAGTCTCGTCGTCCGGTGAAAGCTTTCTCCAGGTGCCGCCGCCGTCATGGTGCAGCGAGAGATCGACGAGTGCCAGCTGGCCTCGCCCGTGGTCCAGCAGTGCAAACTCCGTGGGAAACGAATCCGCGACTACCGTGTGCAGCTTGAATCCGCCTCCAGGTTTTCCGTGCTTTTTCTTCAAGTCCGCGAATCCCGGCGACGAACCGAATGTGCTGAGCAGCGGCTGTGCCGGATGTTCTTTGGCACTGAATGCGTGCAGAGCCTGTCGAAGCGCTTCTGTGCCGGTTTCGGATCTCCAGAAGCTGCTGCCGTCCGAATTTGTGTTTGATGATGTAGCCTTGTTTTGGGCGAGGGCTTGTACCGAGGGGTACGGGGATGTTGGATCAAAGACGTCTCCTTCGATAGCCGGGGCCGGCTTGGGTCTCCAGAGCTTTGCTGTAGAATCGGGCTTAGCTGCGACTGAAAGGCACAGCACTGTCACCGGACCGGGGGTTTTTCCAGTGGTCCCTGCAACGCTCGAGGCCTGCTCTTCTATCACTGCGACAAGCTGTTAGTCCTTGGGCCAATTCATCCAGAATCACAGTCAGCTGAGTAAAAGCCTGGCGATGTACAAAGAAAGTGGTACTACATGCAATTGACACAGACGTACAAGGACACCCTCAAGGCGATACTTATGAGTTGTGGACAACCATTTCATCAAGGATGTTGAACATGCAGGGTTTCTTCCCACCACCTCGCAGCCGAGGAAGGCTGCGGTATCCCTGGTTCATCCCCCAGCGGCATTTATCACCTGCTATCGGAAATAATTCTTCTCTGATTCCATGCATTGGCCCATGAACTGGTGAGTTTTCTTGTCTGGATATCCAGCTTGAACTCTGCAGGAAATTTTTCGATCATCGCAATCAACTTCGTGGGAAAGGCGCCATGTTTCTCTTTCAATGCGGCTAATTGCGGCGAACTCCCAAAGCTGCTTAGGAGTGTCGTGCCATTTTGTCCAGTTCCCGAACAGCACGACTCGCGCAAACACTTACGAAAGGCTTTGCTCCCCGCTTTCGTATTCCAGAAGCCCGTGTCCGCTGCGTCACCACTGCCGCCCCCTGCAGGCTTCGCTAGTTTGTTGGCTTTATCGGAAGCAGCTGCAGTGGGTCCGGTTTTCTCCTGCAGTAATGCTGTGTTGGCCGTTGGTGGTTCTGGTTGTTCTGTGTCTGTCGTCGTTTTCTGTCTTTTCTTTCTTCCAGGAGCCACAACCGCCCCAAGTCGTACGAAGTACGCTCCGGCCCCTCCGCCACCGCCGGTCTTTTTGTTTGATTTGATCTTGAATCTTCCCTTGTCCGGGCACTGGCCGATCACTTGCAGCAAGCTTCCCGTGGGGTATTTGGCCCTCAAGTGCTGGATTCGCGGGCAGTTACCAAGCTCCTGGTTGTCCACCTCTTGCTTCGAAGACGCCAGAATCAAATCTTCCACGGCGGAGTAGTACTTTTCCAAGATTTTCGCGTTGTCGTACGAAGTTTGCCGTAATGAAACGGTATACGCGTTTATGTAAGTGCACAACTCCCGCCCCCTCGTTTGTCATGCAAAGTGCCAAGTCCACCCTTTGCCTGTTAGCACTGTTTGCATGGCAGATTCCGGAACCCAAAACAGCACTGCCATTCTCTAGGAATTTGCCATGCAAAGCTGCATCTTTGTCAGCGCTTGTGTTGCTGTTCACGCAAAACAAATTCGAGGGAGTGGGGGTTGTGCACTCTCATAGCGTTCCGGCACCCCGGATTCTTCACGTCCGGATTGTGCTTCACTTTGAACCGCATTTTGTCGGGACAGGCCTCGAGGATCGAGAGAAGCGTGCCGAGGTTGTACTTGACTTTTAGCTATCAAATGCAAAAGTCTCGTACATACTACGTAGTATAAATTGCATTACAAATTTTATCAGAAAGAAAAATGGAATTTGTAATGCTAATACAGGTAAAAAGGTAGGTTTGTCATGCAAAATTGCAATTAGTACGAGGACGATACTTTTGCACAGGATATTAGCCGCCGGACCCGCTCGTCGGTGCCGAGGATGTGGTTGTCGCACTGCTGCGCGACGCCACCCTTCTCGAGGATGATATTTTTATCGCACGAAAAAACTGTCTCTGTGTGAACTTGTGATGCAGAGAATGGAGCACAGAACGATTCGTCTTGCTAAAGAACCTGCAAGACATTGGATTTTCTAGCGTGTTTCACTTGATGGGAAGCGCGCATGGCAAATTTTCTGTGTCATGTGTAACAAACATGTGATGCAGATCTTGCAAGATCATCACAGTGAAGGAGTTTTTTCGTGGGATAATTTTCAATCACCTTGTAATACAGCTCGAGTTTCTCTTCATCCCGCCTGTCGCTGTGGTCTGCTGTCGGAGTAGTTGCAGCCGGCGTAGTTGTATTTTTAGGGGGTGGGGCTGCTTTTTCTCGTCCAGTGTTCCGTTTCACAAACACCATGAAAGGTCTGCTCTTATCCGGGTAACAAATGGCGAAGTCCTCGGGGAATTGGCGCACCACGGCCAGCATGCTACTTGGCCTGCTCCCGTGCTTCGCGATGAGTTGCTTGCACTCTGCCGTTTGCCCAAAATCGGTCAAAGGCGTTCCGGACGGAGATATCGGAGTCGCTAAGAAGGTATATAGCAGCTTCCTGAACTCCTGCGCGCCGGGCCACAGTGGCGCTGGTGCAACAGCAGGAGCTCCAACGGTGTTTGCTTCATCTTGGGTTCTAGTCGCTGGAGTCTTGCTCCTGCTTCGGCTATCGCCGTGGTCTGCTTGTTCACCATCAAGTTCATCATCATCACCGCCCACCCCCTGCACGACCTGTGTCGTCGGCGGAATCAGTTTCACCCGAAACAGGTCCGGGTACTCCCTGAGCACCTGCGCCACGGCCCCTCTCGGCGGGTTGTTTTGGAAATAGGTCCGCTTCAGCTCCTATCAAATGCAAAAATGTCCTCTGGGTCTGGAAGAATGCAAGATTTGTCATGCAGTTTTCTCATGACCCATGATGCCTGTAATGCATGCCCTAGCATCACAGGTTTTTTGAGGGATTCTTGATGCCCATTCCGCATGACAAATGCTCTCTCCGCGTAGCAAAAATTAGACTCTGTTTGCTGCTCATGCAACACAAATTTTTTAGTCATCGAAACGCAGCATCACAAGTTGCATTCTTCCAGACCCTGACCCAGACATTTTTACATTTGATAACTCCTTTCCTGCTTGGCTCTCCGCGACGCGGGACAGGTGAATTTGTCTGCTCGGCTCGGCCTCGATCATCGCTCGCACTTCGTGGAGGAACGCAGCGATGTGGCTGTGGGGGTGCAGGTCAGGCTCCGCGTCGCCGTCGTCAGTGGCGTGGTCATCTTCACTCTCATCCGCTAGAAAGTCGTCTTGGTCAGCACGAGCAACGCGTGCTGCTTGGTTTGAAGAGAACAAAACTCCGTAGTGGTAGTCGGTTTCATCTTCTTGCCTCAAGGGAGAAGCTCTTCTTGTGCTACTCGACGCTGCTGCAGCCAGAGATGATGGCCCTAGTACCTGTGGCCGTGGTCGCAGGAGTGCGGCGCTCGAGCTGGCTTGTTCTATTTTGACTCGCTCTGTAGTTTCGCGCTGCTGTTGTTGGTCGTGGTGAGACCACGACATGATCAAAGGCGGTTCTTGAAGATGATCATGTTGATCATATCCACCATGAATCTTGACACTGAGTGGCTCCGACAGTGTGTCCTCGTAGAGGTGAAGATCCGGAGCTGCAGTGGCGAAGTTGTGCTGCCGCTCCTGCTGCTGTTGTTGACGGTACATTATCATGCTACTTTCCGCTTCTTGTAGCTGCACCGGCTCTGAATTATGGTTCGAGTCGACGATGTATGCACTGCAAATATGTCTGGGTCTGGAAGGTCGCAACTTGTGATGCTGTCTCTGGATTCGAGAAAAATCTGTATTGCAGGACCAGCAAAGTGACTCCAGTTTGTGCTACGCGGAGTAGAGGCTATTTCTCATGCGGATTAGGCATCAGGAAGGCCTCTAAAAATCTGTGGTGCTAGGTCATGCATTACAGGAATCGTGGGACATACAAAATATGCATGACAAACCTGGCTTGCTTCCAGACCCAGACATATTTGCATTTGATACGATGTTCGTGAGGTTGTCCTCGTGCTCGTGCTGAAAATTATAGGCGTAGAGCTGGTTTACGTCTAGGTCTGCGTGGTCCAGGTTTTGGTCTGCTTCTCGTTCTTGTTCATCGTCCGAGGGGTACTCATCCATGATGTCATTCAATAGCTGGCGGACATCTGGAGGACCTCGTCCCATATTGCCACTCATCCTTTCAGGCTCCGAATGAAAATTCATCTTTTCTTTCTTTTCTTCGAGAATTGCATTATTGGAACTTCTCTACGTATTGCAGCGACGACTTCTTGGACTTAGTAGAAACCGGAGCTATGGAGGCCATGTGGAAGCGACAGCGTATTCAACTTACCAGAAATAATTGAAAAAGAAAAAAAAAATGGAAATGCTGAAGATGAATAATGCGTAAAATGAATCCACACGAAAGCTAGGAGCGAATACCAAAGTAAAAGAACAATATGTGCCTACACTATACAAAAGCTTTCGCTGTACCCTGAAGTGATTATGCCTCTGATAGGGCTGGGAAAGGAGAAGGACATGCCCTCTTCACATCTACTCTCTCTCGTCCGGTAAAATGGAGCATGAAAGTTGATGGTCCACCATGCAACATGTGGTCTGCAGCTTGTGCCTCTCGGTCTGATTCGGCATTTTGTGCATAAAACAAAAATCAGGAGAACCTCGACCGCAGGATCAGGAACAGGCTCAAGGATCGCGCAGCTCTCAACAGGAGCATAGGAAGATGCTCTTGTGAAAGTAGATGCAGTTTTTCCGTTTCCTTGTTGGGAGTAGATGTCTAACAAAACAATCGCGTTGCATCTTGCAACCGTGGTCTTGTGCATCAACATTCGAGTTCTTGCTCGGTCAACGAGGGGCCAATCCGATTCGTTGCCTACAATTTGCTCTGGTCGTCTGTGTACCAATTTTCCGCTCGATCTTTTCTTGGTTGGTTACTTTCTACTTCTAGCGAGCGGGAAGACAAGGCACTTAAACACGACCGCCAGGATCATGTCGAATAAACATACACAAAATTTGCGACGGCTCAACGTTATGCGTGCGTGTGGCAAGTATGTTCATTTGGGTGATGAAAAAAAAAAAGATTTGCCCAGGATGTCGAATAAACATACACAAAATTTGCGACGGCTCAACATTATGCATGCGCGTAGCAAGTATGTTCCTCGTCATTTGGGTGATGAAAAAAAAAATTTGGCGTTCAGATGCACAGGCGCTTGCTAGCTAGCAATGCTACGCACGGGCCGATGCTAAACTAAACACGCGAAAGATTCGAACATACACAAAATTTGCATCAGCTTATAGTAAAACTGCCTGTAGCAAGTATGTTCAAACTATTCGACTTCGACCCCTGTCGACCTGTTCAAAAAAAAAATGCATAGATAGGTGGCACACTTGCATGTTAAAAATACAACAACCCTTGTGGACTTCTGTTTTCAAAAAACTACCAATTTCAAAACGGATTCGTCGCGTCCGCCAGGTGATGTCGAATAAACACGACCGCCAGGACGAGGATGTCGCAACTACCAATTTCAAAACACGACCGCCACTAGGATCATGATGTCGAGATAAAAACATACACAAAATTTGCGACGGCTCAACATTATGTGTGCGTGTCGCAACCGCAAGTATGTTCATCGTCATTTGGGTGGTGAAAAAGAAATGATTTGCATAGAAAGTTTGAATGCGCTTTGATGTCGATGTATTCCCTGAAAATCAACCATCCCCATCCAATTTGTCATGCAAGACATATAGTAAAGTCTGTGTTTGTCATGCAAAAAGTGGATGGGGATGGTTAATTTTCAGGGAATACGATGTCCTCTTACTGGGTCACCGATCTTCCGAAGAACAGTTCGCGACGAAGATCTTCAAGCATAGTCAAAAGTCTATCCTGTGCAAAAGTATCGTACTCGTAGTAATCGCAGTCATGCATTACAAATCTCCATACCAAGGAAAAACAGCATGACAAATTTCATTTGTCATGCTGACCGAATTTGTAATGCGATTTCTACTAGTACGATACTTTTGCAGTGCATAAAGTCAGTCAATTTACAATGCGCGCGGGCCTTAATATTCCAAATAAATTACACTTCTGCCGCCCCCGGCAGGCTCAGGCGCTGCTGCTGCTCCGCCGGTTGACATTATTCGCGCGCGTTCCCGCGACGAGGGGCTGTCCGGGATTTTCATCTTCGAAGGTTCCGTCGATTCGATCTTCTTGTAACGACCGTCCAAGGGACGGGATTTTGATCTTCGACGGGTCCGTCACCGGCTTGTCCGTCACCGGCTTGACGGGGACGGAATTTTAGTCTTCGACTGTTCGGGGGAAGCTGACGCTCTCAAATGCAAAAGTGCCTCCGTCTGGAAGATTGTGAGATTTGTCATGCATATTTCGGATCACGCAAATAGCGTCTGATGCAGGCAAAAACATCACAGGTAGTTTTGAGCACGTCTCGTGATGCCTGTCCCGCATGAGAAACTTCCTACTTGCGTGCCAAGAAATGGACAGCTTTTTGGCGCTCATGCAACACAAATATTTGTATGTTCCAGAGTTTGAATCACAAGTTCCCACCCTTCCAGACCCAGACATTTTTACATTTGATAGACGCATGCTGTGCACTATGTCGGCTTCCATGCTTTGACACATACGACGCCACCGCCTTGCCGTTTCTTCGCGAAGGCAACGATCCTGCCTTGCGCGTTCCTGCAGTTCCTGCTGTGTCGCGTTCCTCATCTGCTGCAGTGCTGGGGGCAGGGCTTGGAGCTCCGCGTTGAGATTCTCGTGAAAGGCTGCGTGTGGTCTCTGTGGCGGAAGATCACGACCCTGGTCCACACGCACACGGGGCTCGCGGGGCTGCAGTCCCGAAGACGCCGCCCCCCCGGGCCCTAGTATGGACCTGAACTGGCACCACCAATACAACGCCGGTTCTTGCCGATACAAACGCGACCAATCCAACGGTTGCTGCAGTCCCGGTCGCAAGCTTTGGCTTTGCTCGATACGTTATCAAATGTAAAAATATCTGGGTCTGGAAGAATGAAGACCTGTCATGCATATTTTGTATGATAATTGATGCCTCTAGTGCATGATCTAGCAACACAGATTTTTAGAGGGCTTCCTAATGCCTATTGTGCATGAGAAATGCCCTCTCCACGTAACACAACTTGAAGTCCTGCTGCTGGTCATGCAATACAGATTTTTATTTTTTGGAATCCAAAGACAGCATTACAAGTTGCAATCTTCCAGACCCAGACACTTTTGCAATCCATAGACGTCTGGCACATTCTTCAAGTTCGTCACATGTTTCCGCGAGCTCGCGCCGGCTCTCCGTTGCGTACCATGCGGCACGTTCTGCTGCGCCGCGCGCGTCCATAAACTCTCGATAGTCGCATAGCATTTTCGCGCACACCGCACCGCCCTATCCCACAGAAAAAGACCGACAGGTCATATTTGTAATGCAAAAATAAATACACAGGAAAATCTGTCATGGGCGAGGCCATAACATCCTGTTTAGGGCATGCAATACAGATTTTTTTGTCTATTTATTTTTGCATTACAAATATGACCTGTCGGTCTTTTTCAGGGGGATACGCCCGCCACCATGCCAAGGCTCAACGGTGGCACAAGATCAGGACTTCAACAGGCATATCAAATGTAAAAATGTCTGGGTCTGGAAGAGTCATGCTGTTTTTGCATCACACAGAAGGTCTGGCATGGAAGCTCTAGCATCACAGGTTTCGAGAAGCTTCCGCAATGCCGAATCCGCATGACAAGTCCCCTACTTTGCTGACAGAAAGTGGGGAGCTTTTGCTACGTATGCATGAGAGACTTTTCTGCGTTCTGAAATACGCATTACAAGTTGCATTTTTCCAGACCCAGACATTTTTGCATTTGATAAGGCAATACCAGCACAACCAAGAAAACAGCCGGCGCTGACCAGTCCGATGCGCATACGCAAAGGCATCTCTCTTGCGCACACCTCTTGCACCCACCTATTGTACTCGACTAACCGGTTGGCTTCACTGTCATGCTGAGGCATCATTTGTTCCCTTTCCCAGTTGACCCGTTCGCGCAGAGTAGCCACGTGTACCATATCTGTTGGAGTTCTGCCCAATCGTTGAAGCAGTTGCTCTATCAAGTGCAAAAGTGTCTGGGTCTGGAAGATTCTGAGACTTGTGATGCACGATTTGCATGAGCCGTGATGTCTGTGATGCATGACCTAGCATCACAGGTTTTTTCTTTTTGAGGGGTTTTTGATGCCTATTCTGCATCACAAATGCCCTCTCCGCGTAGCAGAAATTAGATTCCTTTTGCTGCTCATGCAACACAAATTTTTTATTTTTAGACATCCAAATGCAGCATCACAAGTTGCAATCTTCCAGACCCAGACATTTTTACATTTGATATGCTCGTCAGCGCGCGCCAAGATCGAGCCACTGGCTGCAGTATCCTGTGCAAAAGTATCGCACTCGTAGTAATCCCATTCATGCATTGCAAATTTCTTTCTCAAGATACATCCGCATTACAAATTTTATTTCTCACGCTGAGGAAATTTGAATTTGTATTGCAATTCATACTAGTACGATACTTCTCCAATGCATATACAGCCCTGCAGTGTTTCAAATCGTTCACGTCCAGCATTTCCAAGAGCCGCCCGCTTGTTGCGTCGTGCTCCGCCAAAATGGCTGCTGCAGCAGGCGCAGCATCGTGCTGTGGTGGCTGCGCACGTTATTGCAAAGAAAAATCCCCCCTCCCCATATTGAAAAGGTAGGTTTCCGAAAATTAGCGTTGCTGATTTGAGGCCACAAATCACATTTGTCTTGCAAGAAGACAAGGGCAGAAGCCTCCGCCCCATTCTGGAAGCGGTTTGTCATGCTGTTGGGCCTAAAGGGGAGCCGTTTGCCATGCTGAACAACTAGACCGATACGCCCCTACCTAGCCTGGAGATGTGGTCGCAATGCCTCTCTGCAATACAAAACTGATTTGTGTACGCACATCCAGCATCAGAAATTCCATTTCGTTATGGGGAGGGGGATTTTTCCTCTTGATACACGTTGATTTCGGTGTCGCCGACAGCAACCGAAGCGCGCAGGTGCTATCAAGTGCAAAAATGTCTGGGTCTGGAAGAATGCACGTTTGTCATGCTTGTCTGGCATGCCTCTTAAATCTGTCATGCACGTTAGTACCCAACAGCTCCATTTTTCTGTGATGCAGAGGCGCAGTTTGTCATGCAGAATAGGCAATTATACCTAGAAGCTCAGAAACTTGTCATGCTAAGCCAGCATTTGTGGCCTCATCAATCATGAGACGCCACCCAGCATCATAAGTTTCCAGACCCAGACATTTTTACATTTGATAGGTGCCATAGTTTGCTGTGTGTTTGGCCCGGCGCCCTCCCCCGCCAAAATGGCTGCTGCAGCAACAGGCGCAGCATCGTGCTGTGGTGGTACCAAATGTAAAAATGTCTGGGTCTGGAAGATTGCGAGATTTGTCATGCTTGCCTGGCATGACAAAAAAGTTTGTGATGCGTGTCCAAGAAGAGACCCTTTTGCCTGTCATGCAAAAACGCAGTCTCTCATGCCAGAAACGCAACACAAAGAAGCGCAGATATTTCTCATGCATGGCTGTACATTACAGTGCATTCACTATTCCCAACACAGCATTACAAGTTTCCAGACCCAGACATTTTTACATTTGATAGGTGGCTGCGCACGTTGATTTCGGCGTCGCGCGCGCAGCGTTGATTTCGGAGAGGCCAGTATCCTGTGTAAAAACGTCCCCACCCCAGAGTTGTCATGCAGATTTGCCACGACAGGAACATTTGTGATGCGCAACCCCATGAGAGGCATTTTCAATCGTGTTTGGGAACTTGTAATGCTATAAACAGGATCAACAGGTCGATTTGTGATGCGGCTTTCCTTGCTAACTTGCACTACCTTACGGACTGAAACTTGTCATGTGTGACTCCCAAAACTCCTAGGTTTGTGTTGCAAAATCCCCATCCTGACTCTGGTATGGGTACACTTTTACTCAGGATAGCCGGCGACGGCGTTCTTGAAGTCCTTCCTGCCGACTGCAACCGAAGCGCAGACGCAAATGAAGTCGGAGCTTGAAGTAGAGAGGAAGGAAAAGAAACACGACCAGCACCGCCGAAGCCGCCGTCCGTCAACATCAGAGCGGTACCAACAAACAACGAGACGAACGCCGCGAGCATTGAAGACGAGTGAGGCAGCACTCTTCTACTACTTCCCGCCATCTTTGGTTTTTCGAAAAAAGGCAAAGGTGCTTTGGCTTGTAAAGAAATCACTGAGCTACAGAGAGCTTGTAGTTCTTTGGGGGAAAGAACAAGCGAAAGCTGTATGAAGATCAAATAACACCCCGATGAGCGAAAACAACAAGAGTAAAACTCTTATACTGGTTCTACTCCTCGGTCAACTATTATGGGTTTTCAGAGAAGCTTGCACTACTTGTACTTAATACGTGGAGGTCACCTAAGTTGATGTAGAAAACTTTGTTAATGTTATGCCGGAGTGTTGTGATCGAGCGGGTTTTTCTAGTCACGATTCAAAACGACAGCTGTTTGTGATTGAAAACCGCGAACAAAAAATGAACTCGTAGTTTTGGGCTTGACCACGTCCGTGTTCTAGATCTAGATCTTGTGCGCGCATGATAGATTTGCTTACCGAATTTGATGCGTTGGTCTTCCTTGCCATCTTTTGCGTCTTCAAAAGTCCCCCAACTGAAACGCGAATTATACCGAGTGGCTGCTAGTCGCTCAGATCTACGTGTGGATTACTTAACCGAGCTGTCATCGCCACGGAAGCCTTTACTTTGTGTGCGCTGTATTGCATGCCAAAAGCAAAAACGGCACTGCGCGCACCAGCACTGACAGGAGCTGCGGGCTGCCCTTGCATAGGGCGCAGCACTACTGTAGGCCCCCTTCGCACCTGTTCGCGCGCTCTTTTAGTTTGAATTGCGGTGGCTGGCGCGCTCTGCTTTGTTTCTGTGCTGAAGCAAAACAATGCTGGGCGGTAGCCGGGTCATGGACTGGGGAAGGCGGGGCTTTCTCTTGAATGATTCACGGACGGGCAGCGTTTTTTTGCCTTTTCTGAGGATATTCATTCGGAAGCCACCTCTTGTTGTGAATTTTCGCAAGAGGAGCTGCTTTTCTGGATCCCGATTTTGAATCATTCAGCGGCCGGGAGCAAGCGGCCGGGCCTTGCTTCCCTTTTTTTGCCTCTAGGCACACACGCCGCAGGCCTGGGCAGAAGCCTGGCGCACACGCTGCCAGATTGCTGTCCAGGCGCAAAACTACCTTGCTCACCGTCTAGGTACGGGGTGCATCTTGTTCTGAGTTGCAGAACGAAGAACAACCTTGCAGGCGGCGGCAACGAAGCCAAGGCGGGCACGTAGCTGCGCGCGCAGGCACGTAGCGACGTCTATATTTCTTCTCCCCGGTGCTTGTTGGCGCAGCTATGATGCGCCAATGAAACAATGCGCAATTATTTCCGCGTGCCGGAGGCGGAGGCCGCTGCCACGACTCAGACCTCCACTGGCGCCGTTGGCGTTGCTTTTTTTGCCGCGCCTGCGGCGGATCCTAGATAGTTGTGGTTCTGCCATAAACAGCGACTATTTTGAAACTCAGGTCGTGGCTGTTGAACCCGGAAAGCGTCGGCTTCGGTGTCGGTGACGGGCGTGTTTGAAAAAATCACTCTTCTGCGAAGTGTAAATATTCACGGCCGATTTTGAATTATATTCAAAATAGATCTTCCATGAAGCTAAATGGACTTTGTCCCTTCATATGCTAGTCGCTCAGATCTACGTGTGGATTACTTAACCGAGCTGTCCTCACGTTCAATAGCGTTTGCGCTGTTCTACATTTATTAGATCCACCACCAATTTATTTAGGTACTTTATCACTTTTGCATCTGCTTCTGGCACTCGTCATTTTTCATCATCACGATCAACATACAAATATACCGAGATCTTGATACTATACCGAGATTGTTTTCTGACGATCTGAAGGCGGCCAATTTTCCGACTTTTTCTTTCTCATTTGTTGAGGGATCGCCGAGCTACTAGGGAGAAATCCTTACACGTAGGAGAACATCGACCGCAGGATCAGAAACAGGCTCAAGGATCGCGCAGCTCTCAACAGGAGCATAAGAAGATGCTCTTGCGAAAGTAGATGCAGTTTTTCCGTTTTCTTGTTGGTAGTAGATTTCTAACAAAACAATCGCGTTGCATCTTGCAACCGTGTTCTTGTGCATCAACATTCGAGTTCTTGCTCGGTCAACGAGGGGCTAATCCGATTCGTTGCCTACAATTTGCGCTGGTCGTCTGTGTAGTACCCATTTTCCGCTCGATCTTTCCTTGGTTGGTTACTTTCTACTTCTAGCGAGCGGGAAAACAAGGCAAACACGACCGCCAGGATCATGTCGAATAAACATACACAAAATTTGCGACGGCTCAACATTATGTGTGCGCGTAGCAAGTATGTTCATCGTCATTTGGGTGATGAAAAAAAAAATGGTCCGCATAGATAGGCACACTTATATGTGCGCACAACAAACCTTGTAAACTTATGTTTTCAAAAAACCTGCGAGCCAAATATTTTGACTTCAAGAAAAGATTCACTTACACCTTCCTACTTTTAGGGCGAAAGTAGATGCGCAGGCTTTGTAATGACGAGTGCAGCTTGTTCGCTACGATGTAGTAAATTGGAACGGCCTACGGGAGTTCACTGACGGGGACATCAGTCCGCTCACCAGTGCCAGTCGGGTCACGCTCGGTCCGCAGATAAAATCCCTGGTTGCTGCCCGAAGCGCTCGCCTGCTGTCGTAGCTGGTCTCGAAGCTGGTTCCTGTGTGCAGCACGGGCGGCCTCCTCCTCCGTGGCCTGCGCCTCTTCTCGGATTTCACGAACCCTCGCTGCTCGTGTTCTTTCTGAGCACGAACCCTCACATCCAACAGCCATGCCGGCAGTGCATAGTATGGGTCCACACAATTTGGCGCCGGACGAACCAAGAACGCAAGGGCCTACAGGGGTTTGCCAAATCGCAGCACCGGTGGCAGCACAGCAACATCCGAGAAATTCACCTTTGGTGATTTCGGAGCCACTATCAACTGTAAAAGTGTCTGGGTCTGGAAGAATCCAACTTGTCGCGCTGATTTTGGATTCTAAAAAAATCTGTATTGCATGAGCAGCAAAGAGAGTCCAAGTTTTGCAGTACGGAAAGAGCATTTGCATGCGGAATAGGCGTCAGGAAGCCCTCTAAAAATCTGTGATGCTAGGGCATGCATCACAGACTTGAGGAGTCATGCAAAATGTGCATGACAAAGCCGGCAATCTTCCAGACCCAGACATTTTTACATTTGATAGCCACCGGGGAAACATGGACCATAGAGCCCCGGGATTTCCCTCACTGGCTGTCGTGCGATTTCATATATTGGCTGCAGCCGCGGCGCAGGTAGAGCATCCAACATAACCTCCTGTGCGGGCGGCCCGGCGTTTTGGTTTTCGGTTCTGGAATTGGCTGCTGCGGCGGGCGGAGGATCGTGCTGCGGACCAGCAGAAGAAGCTCCTGGCTGTCCAGTGTTCGCAGAAGGCGAAGGACCTTCTGTATTCAGCAGTGGCTGCGCACGATGTCGCCGAGACGGCGACGGCGTTCTTGTAGTCGTACTTCTTGCCGGTTGCAACCGAAGCGCGGACGCAAATAAAGTCGGAGCTTGAAGTAGAGATGAAGGAAAAACACCAGCACCGCCGAAGCCGCCGTCCGTCAACATCATGGCGGTACCAACAAACAACGAGACGAACGCCGCGAGCATTGAAGACGAGCGGGACATTCTTCTACTACTTCCCGCCATCTTTGGTTTTTCGAAAAAAGGCAAAGGTGCTTTACTAGCTTGTACAGAAATCACTGAGCTACAGAGAGCTTGTAGTAGTTCTTTGGGCGGAACAAGCGAAAGTTGTATGAAGATCAAACAGCCCGACGCCCGAAAACAAGAGTAAAACACTTATAATACTGCTTCTGCTCGGTCAACTATTTTGGGTTTTTAGAGGAGCTTGCACTACTTACGTGGAGGGCATCTAGGTGTCGTTGTAAAAAACTTTCGTTAATGTAATGCCGGAGTGTTGTGGTCGAGCGGGTTTTTCTAGTCACGATTCAAAACGACAGCTGTTTGTGATTGAAAACGCGAGCAAAAAATGAACTCGTAGTTTTGGGCTTGACGACGTGTTCTAGATCTAGATCTTGTGCGTGCATGATAGATTTGCTTACCGAATTTGATGTGTTGGTCGTGCCATCTTTTTCTTTTGCGTCTTCAAAAGTCCCCCAACTGAAACGCGAATTATACCGAGTGGCTGCTAGTCGCTCAGATCTACGTGTGGATTAACCGAGTTGTCCTCACGTTTAATAGCATTTTACATTTATTAGATCCACCACCAATTTTAGGTACTTTATCACTTTCGCATCTGCTTCTGGCAATCGTCATTTTTCATCATCAAGATCAACATACAAATATACCATGATGATATACCGAGACTGTATAAAGGCGGCCAATTTCTTCCATCCGACCTTTCCTTTCTCATTTGTTGAGGGACCGCCGAGCTAGGGAGAGACAGCTGTTGGCTCTTGAGTTTCTACGAGTTCTTACCATGATCGATGATGTGTGTTTCCTTTCGTGCCAAATAGCAACACCGAGTGGAGGACCCCCGAACCGATAACGTGTATTTTAGTTTGACGACGAGAAGGTGGACTGATCTTCACCAATAACGAGCATTCACCTACAGTCTCGATTTTCTTGACATTCCGTTGTAGCGCTTTCTTGATCGTAGATTTATTGATCTAGAGGAGAGACCAGGACATGCTCGTGGTTCAATTTTGGAAACATGAAGATCGTTTTTGGTCTCTTCTCTTCGCGCGGATCCGCATCGGTCAGCGTCGCGAAGATGATCTGAATGCAACTACAATGTTGATGAACTTGCTGTCTTTCGTTGTTCTCATCTTCCCTTACAACTTGTAGAAGTTCTTTATATCATACTTGTCTGTATTGTCAGTCTGTAGTCCGAGTGACCCGATGAACACTAGAATCGTCGTGCAGCGCAGAACTACTTAGTTCCTCAAGCCCGGATGATGCTGAAAACGAACATCTGCTGAACAAACTCCCGGGGATCATGAGGCAGCTCCTGCGCAAACGAAATCAATATGACGTGGCTTTGATCAACATCTAAAACTCGATGTCCAGGAGCATCAGGAGCATCTCGTTTGACGTGCATAATCACTTTTCGTCACTTCTTGATCGGTTTTTCTTCCAACATGTTCGGGGAAAAAGATTTGTATGCTCCTTTATACTTCTCCGTCCTGCTGCTCCTGCTTAGTGCTATTTCATTGCGAGACTAAGTTGTTGTGTTGTTGTTCATTCAGCTAGCCTGCTGCGAACTGGTACACCTGCTACTTATCAAAGTCCGAGCTCTCGTTCCGAGTACCGCTCGGCTTCTGAGAAATGTTGCGCAGGTGGTCTCATCATTACACGCAAGAAGTACATATAATCTTTCAAGTGTTGGTGAAAGGGTTCTGCTGCTGTCCTGCAAAATGCCTCGGCGTTAAGCAACGATGCGACTTGCAGGCGATAAGGAACTATTTACCACTGCGGGGGAGAAACAACTTTTATTTTTCTTTTGAGCGAGGGAAAAAGAAAATCATAATAAACTACCAATTTTTTTTATCTGAAGCTGCGGAAATACTAGTTTTGTGCATGAGACTTATCCAGTGCAAATATGTCTGGGTGTGGAACTTTGCAATACTGTTTTTGGAAGATTCTAGAAAATCCGTTTTGCGCGATCAGCAAGAGGAGTCCAATTTTTGCCACGCGGATGGAACATTTCTCATGCGGTATAATCAGAAAGCCATCGCAAAATCTGTGATGGTATGGCATCCATCACAGGCTTTGTGGGTCATGAAAAATGTGCATGACAGATCTTGCATTCTTCCAGACCCAGACATCTTTGCATGCGATAAGCTCAACATCTCCATGTAATCGATTTCGATTGTTCAAACTACGGACGTTCTACGAGTTCGATTTCTGACGTGCTAGCATTATTTGATCAAAGCGGAGGAAAGAAAAGCCTCCTGCTAGACGAAAGTTATACACTACTTCCACTTCAATCTATATATAAAAATAATTCGAATTCCACATCACCACACGACTCAGGCAGCAACTATACATGTACCTAATAAAACATCTTACACGGGGCGGCTGACTTCTTCACTTTGCATGTTTCGACTGCCACTGCACTTGAACGGTGATCTTCTTTCGTGCCTGCCCTTAGTTAATAGCACTCTTAGTTTTCTTTGTATGTTGTACGTGTAGCACTACTCGAGATTGATTCTTCGTGTGCAACATTGTTACGCGCCGTTTGCAATGGCCGAGGAAATCCCATCCCCAAGGCCCCAATGGTCAAAAACACGGTCAGCAATAGCGTCGGCATTGCACGTCAGTGCGCCGCAGCCGCAGCAACACACGCTCGCGGGACCTTGCGCGCCGGCTGCTATCAAATTGCCCCCATATGCGAAGCAACAATAGTACTTATCGCAGTAGCCTACGTGCCGAAATTGGAATGCTCGTGCATGATAACGAGAAATAGTACACCCATAGAAAGCCTGACGCTACATCGGCATTGATTGCAAGCGGCGCTGTTCTTTTTTTCAAAACTTACGTCTTACGGTGGACCTCCATTATCTACTTCAAGATACAGCCATCATATAGAAGATGCAAGTAGGCACACGCACGGCCGCGATCGTAAAAGTGGCGCTAATTATATATACTACTGCTGCCACGCATAACGGCAAACCGGCAATGCAAGTGCCAGCAACGACACACGCGGCCGCACTCGCCTTGACCGCCTTTTCATCCCTATTGTACTCTTGACGATATGAAGGTGAGCACAAATGGCGCGCGCACACGACCAGAGAAGCGCGAGAGTCTTTATGAATTTCATTCGGTATAATCTTCCCGTTGTATTGCAGCGAAGCAGATCCTACTAACCGTGCGTCTTTCATAACGAAAACTGCTCGTACAGAGATACAATCACGGCCACAAGGAGGGCAACCGAGCTGCCGAATATTGACATGCAGGCGAAAAACCAGCTCTGTAATCCACGGTGGACGGGCTATATTGCAAGACAAACGTTTCGCTTTTCTGGGCGTTGCGGCAAGGCACATTTCAGCTTGGTAGACACCGACACGGGTGTATCAACTGCAAATATATCTACTGGGTCTGGAAACTTGTGATGCGGGTTGGACATAAGTCATTGTCATGAGGACGCCTCCACTCATAGCGAAGCATGACAAGTTTTTGAGTCTCTAGGTGTTGCCCATTCCACATGGCAAACTGCCTTTCTGCATGACAGCAAGAAACTGGGGAGCTCTTTGGGTAAACCGCGTGAAGACAGATTTGAGACTTATGCTGGCGGGGCGTGACAAAGAAACCTGGCACTCTACTTGCAGACCCAGATATAAAATTTGCGATCTTGCATAGGATCGTGAGTAGAACACCATTCGCGGCATCTTCCCAAACAAGAAGAACAGCAGTGGCGACAGGACCTGCAGCATCGTCCGCGACCATGTACTTGCTCGGGGCCCGACGTCTCCGCATGGCCCCCGCCCGTCTCCGCGTGGCCCCCAGCTAACATCTGGACCTGTGCAGGTGGAAGCTCCGCGTTGGAGTCACGAGACGCTGGAACCTCGCCGCCGCGGCTTGGGCGGAAACCCATTTGCAGAGCTTCTGCAGCAAAAGAGGCCAAAAACGAAGATCCACCGAAGAATGCAATGATCTGTAAGTAGACCAACAGAACGGCAGTTTTCATTGTCATCACGGCCATGGTGTTTTAGCGGATTTTTACTTCCTATCAGAAGTAGTTGCAGGCACAGAAATTACGATTTTTACCTATGAATATGGAAGAAATATGTAGTACTAGAAGTGCTGTAGAACGTGATGTCAACCTTTTGCAGAAAAAATACTCTGACTTGTTTGACCCTTTTGCGGTATAGAATACTGAGAGTCGCTGTTGGGCCCGCTGCTCTATCGATTTTTTATGTGCTGTTTCTTAATCTATGTATAATGATCACTGCTACGGCGGTAAGTGGCAGTTCTTGTAAGCGCAAGAGCTAGCTACTGCGTTTGATAGGCGAAAGATCACCGACGAGAGACGCAATTTCAAATGTGAGGCTGGTCGTGTTGTTTTAGTCGACGTCCATTTTTTAGTGTTAATGTTGTCACACTTCCGCCAGTCGATAATGAAGGTTCATTGATAATTTTCAACTGTTACTCTGCTTCCAATTTATCTCGTTGTCAGACCCAGTTTCTTTGTCATTTGAATTTGTCACCGATTGGATCACACACCTGAAAGCGCGTATATTTTGACGGTGATATTAACGACTTTCACGCATAGAGCATTCAAGTTCTATCTCGATTGTGTTGACATTCCGTTGTAGCGTTTTGATCTAGAAGATTGGATGCAGAGCTGGTAACACTCCGAGGTTCCTTGTTGTTCTTTTGAAAAACAACCGATTTGGCCTGCAGGCTAAGGCTGATCTGCATTTGTCGCTGTCAAGATCTGGATGCATGAAGTTGAGCTTGTTGGCGGCACCTTCATCAAGTAGAGTCATGAGCGAAGTAGAGAAGCCTTGTCCACAGCTGGATCACAAGATCGGGCCAATGGAGTGAAGCGCCACGGCCTCTATCTGCATACTTCATCTCCTCTTCGTCAGATGCAGCAGCAGCATCTACACCTTCACCCTCATAAAGCGCAATACGAAGGAACTTGAGGAACTTGCATCAAGCGGTACATGGATCTTCATCCGGAGCCACATCAAAAACACTAGTATACAGAAACCCAGAACAGGGTTGCCTATCAATGATGAGAACTAGAACAACGGAACGGAAAAATACAGCAGGTGCATGAAAAGCTGACAGGTAGTCGTGAGAGCTCGTGAAAAATCATATGCGAATGAGGCTGCCGAAAAGAGGTGGCAACAGCGGTCTTCATTCTCCTCTCAGCACGACGTCTACACGCGTTGTTTTCAATCCTGCATGAATGGGTGTGTCAATATACAATTTTCGCTTACTGAAAATAATTTTCCTATGTACTAACCAGCCGCTAGCTTATCAAAAAAGGCAGCAAAATATATGCGAATCCAATTTACATGTCTGTGTTGTACATCATCAGACATGAAAAGTTTTCCTTCTGCGCTTGCAAAAAGCTCTTGACGTTTACGGTTCGAGGTATTTCTATTTCTATTTGCCTTTCCTGCTTCCTTGTCCTTGCACAAGGTACTCCGGATGCAGAGCCACATCGTAGGACCCGGCACTGAGATCATGCTTCGATGGAAATCTTGACGTTGAATTTACACTAGAGGCGTCGCCACTTTGACTTTGCTGTTCCTGATGCCGGTCAATGATTTGAAATCTTCCGGGCGGACACCGGCGTAAAATTCCGCGCAGAGTCACTGAAATGTAGGAGAGATCCTTTAGTTGCCGGTAACGGACGTCACTCGCGATTACTTCGCATTTGACGCGAAAGAATTCTGGTCTTCGTATAAGTTCTCGGCCACAGGAAGAAGTAGTGACATTTCTGTGCGCCGTTCTCGTGGTACAACGACTTTCTCCAACTTCCCGAATGATTTGCTCAATCGTGTCCCAATGACGGTTCAACACTACAGTGCTCATTTTACCCAAGATCTTTGGCCCAGTGTCAACTGCTGGGTCAGAAGAATTGCCCGCTCTTGCGGAAGAGGAGGTCGTCGTGTCATGTTCGGTTCGCGCATTCTGATGCGGGAAAGATGAAGACAAGCAGCTATTCAGCGACGACCTTGGTGTGCTGACCACGTTGCTTTTGGAGAGTTCGAAACCACGACCGTGGCGTGTTTCTGGGGCAGCCCCAGACAAAATTTTTCGTCCTCGTGGTGTTTGCGTCCGCGCATGATTTTTGTAGTTTGGATTCAACCCAACATCGTACACATCGAGCGGCTTTCCGCTCGCTGCGGTATTACCTGGGAACAACATCTTCCCCTGCTCGTTCGGAGAAGCTGACCCGGCCCGTGGAAACAAAAACCGCTGGTCCGGGCAGCTTCGCAAGATCGCCCGCAGCGTGACGCAGTAGGGCTGATGGAGCTTTTGCAACTGCACGTATCTGCTATCGCTGACGATGTCACGACTGGTAGCGGAACAAGGAGTTGTGCCGACGCGGCCATTTTTCATCTCGACGCGGCCTGCAGGCGGGAATAAACTACATCGCTCAATAATGATCTCCTCGATCACAGCGTAGTACTTTTGCAACACCGCCGGGTTGAAATACCTGATAACCTTCGGTCCGCCGTCCTGCTGGGACGAGGTTTCGTTGCCGATCTTCGAACATGATCTTCCGGCCTTCGGTCGGATCATGCTTTTTTCCCTCTTGTTTTGCCGTTGTTGTTTCAGCTCCACAAAATACCTGTTTTTTCCACCCATCTCTCGGAAGACCGTGAAGGGGCTGCTACCATGAATTTGTTCCTCGGCCAAAGTCTGCAGCGCCTGCAGAAGACCACCAGGAGGCGGGCCGAATTTTCTCACAACCGAGTCTTGCACCTCGCGGGAGTTCCCGAGGCTATTCACCGTTGCCAGTTTGTTGCCGGGCTTCTGCAACAAAAAAGTGCGAACTGCCGCTTTCAAGGCGTCGGTGCCGGGCCAATCCGCAAGCGTTGTTGCCGTCGCCGGCGATCTTCGGCCTGGACGAGCACAACCTTCGGCCAAGAAAATCTGCTCGACTCCGTTCTTTCCGTCGACTACCCGGAAAGCGTCGGGAAAGTGCGACGCACAAGCTGCCACCGAGGCAGGTGAAAGAGCACCATATTTGTCCGTCAAAGCCCGGAACTCGAGGGAGTCGCAAAATTGCGACAGAGAGACGCCGACTTCTTGCTTCGCAGAGTAATCATTGAATTCTCCGAACGAATCACTACTCCCCTGTTTTCTACTACTGCTGCGCCCCGTGTGGTCTGCGGAAATTCTATTCGCTCGTCGCGCGACGCAAAATTCCCGCAAGCACCGGCAAAAAACGCCTCGGCCTTCTTTCGTGTCCCAAAAAGAACTTTTTGCAGAAGATGAGTTCGGCGAAACTAGAGACGACTTGGACGACAAGCAGCCCAATGTCGCCGGCGATGACGTCAAAGCTGACGCTGAGGGAGCAGCTGCAGCAGCTTTGTTTATTTCACTGTCAAAATGCGGATGCGCTGGCGGTGCTGCCTTGCTGTCAACCTTCTTCTGCATCATGCCCATTTTCACAACTGTCGTCCACGATTTTTTTTCCTTGTTCTCCCGCTCCACCGCTGTCAGAAGCGCCTGTTGCTTCCTCAAAAATCTCACTGCATTGGCCGTCAAGCACCACAGGGTCGGAGGTCCTGTGTGCGGCGTAAAAATACCTGTAGCATTTATCTCGGTATTCGTCTTGCGCGAAGGTTCGGCGTCTGCGCAAAAAGTATTTTCCATCTTCGTTTTTGGCTGCTGCGAGAACAACTCCCTGTTCTCCTTCATGATGGACAAGTAGGTTTCGTGACGATCCTCGTGGAATGTCGACCCGTAGGCCTTCGTCGGCCCCCGTTGGTAGAGAATCCTCATCAGCTTCATGCAGTTCGGAGGGGGGATGAAATGCGCGTCACCTTGTTCCTCACTATCTTCGTCCGTTTCGTCATCATGGTTGTGCCCGTCTGAGGCACGTCCACGTGCACCTCCATCGGCGTGAGTGCAGAAGTCTTGATCTTCGTGATTTGCGAACGCTTTTGTTGATGATTTCGCAACCCCGCCCGCCTCCGCCGAACCGGAAGAAGACACGAATACATCAGGTCGTGTGGTTGTTGAGTGTGCTACTTCCCTCATCTTCGCTGCCTTCTTTGCTGTAGTTCCAAGAAAATTGTGCAGTTCCCCAAGCCCTCCATCGGGCGCCGCACGGCGATATCGATCTTCGTCCCACGCGGCAAACCTCACCGTCTTTTTCGCCGGCTGGGTACTACTTGTCTTTTTCGCCGGCTGGGAACGTCCACGATGCTGGCTTTGGTGTCGGGTTGAGGTCCTGCTCTCCTGTGAAATTCCCCGAAAAAGTTCTTTCCCTCGTTTGAGCACTCCGCATGAAGATTCGGGTAGAAGTTGCGGTCCAGACGTGGCTGGTCGGTCAAAAATGTCTCGTTTCTTGCTCTTCGCAATTAATTCCATCTGGCTCCTCGGGTAGAAGTTCCGGCTAAGGCTGCGTCCCTGCCTGCAGCTCGAGCTGCGACCTTTGTTCAATTTTTGACTGCTTGATGTTCCCACAAGCCGCACCGCCCAGCATGGCACTTTTTGCTGAAATCTCACCTTGTTCACCAGCTGAAACCGGTGCTGGTTTGTCTCCAAGATGCGCATCAGCCAACCCTTGGGAGCGGAGTGAGCACACTGTTGGCCTTTTTGCTGTTTGTATCGTTTAACTCCCAAAACAGGAGCGACATCTCCCTGCTCGGTGCTGGGAAAGTAGTTCTTTTTGAACTCTACGTGGTATTTCTGTTCGCCGATTTTAGACACCAAGAGCTCCTGGTGTGGCGACTTCAAAATGTGCTGTTCCACATGGTCAAGAAACAAGCTGAGATGTTGTTGTTGTTGGTCACGTTCAGAAGTAGCCGGCTTCTTGCAGATCATGTCGTAGGCTGTTGAAGACTGAGAAGATTTTTGCAGAGGAGTAGATGGCGCTGCCCCACATGAGCCAGCATCGCCCGCGTTACTGCAACTTGAACTTTTGCCGCCACTGACAGCACTGCTACGGACCTCCAAACAAGACGCGACCCACGTTTTCGGTTTTTGATAAGCTGGAGCGACGTTTTGCAGTTGGAACAAATCCGCGCCGTGATTCCGCAAAATCTCCAAAACCGCGCCCTTCGGCGGATTGTTCTTGTAGTAGTTTCTCTTCAACGCTTTTCCCGCTGTGCTCTCTGCGATCTGGGAAACGTGCATTTTCCTGTCTTTCTTACAAAGGATCATAAATTGCACCCTTTTAAGGAATTCCGCGAGGTGGCGGTGGGGTTGGTCGGGGTGGTTTTTCTTCTCCGAGATCGTACGAAGTGGCACGACTGGCTGATCGAGTGGAGGTTCTTGCTGTGGATCCACACTAGCAGCAGCATCATCCGCTTCATTTTGAATATCTGCATTTGATGTAGCACAACCCCACTCGGCCCCCGCAGCAGGCATCGAAGCAGCTCTGTTGCCTGGTGAACTACTGGCTGCGTGGTTAGAAAAAGAAAGAGAGTTCTTGTACATGACTACTAGATCCGAACGATTTTCCGACGCACGAGAGGAAGAGCTGCAGGGATCATTTTCATCTTTTGTGGCCTTCGCCGACGATGAACCTCGCTTCGGCTTGTAGTTTCCCAGCAATCGACGCCCCGCATCCTCGATATCATCAAAAGTTTCGCTAGCAATCGCTGCATCTTCCTCTGCTGCGTTCTTCAGCCCCGTGTTGTAGTACGCATTTATTTCCTCTTCTTGCCACTGTAGTCCCTCTTCGTCTTCCGACGGGTAGTCTATGGAATGCAAAAACGTCTGGGTGTGGAAGATCTCCAGCTTTGTCATGCATATTTTGCATGACCGGCGACGCCTGTAATGCATGACCTAGCATCACAGATCTTGAGAGGGTTTCCTGATGCCTATTCCGCATGAGAAACGCATTCTCCGCGTAGCACAAACTGGACTCCTCTTGCTGGTCATGCAATACAGATTTTCTTAGAATGAAAAATCCAAAGACAGCGTCACAAGTTCCATTCTTTCCAGACCCAATCATTTTTGCATTTGATATACTCGGCCATAATGCCATTCATCATCTCACGGATGTCCGGAAAGGCGGCAACAGGAGTGCACGACGACGGCTGCGAAGCCGGACTTTCTGTGACCGGTATTGTTCTCGGAGGTGCCGTTGTTGAGAGTCGCTTCTCTGGCGGCTCCATCTGTAGTTGTTCGTAACCATAAACTCCCGATTTTATTTCCGTAGCTGCAAAATCCACGCCATTGTCTTGGTCACTCCCCTGTGGTCCAGCCGGGGAGAGGAGCGCGAGTACCGGAGACGCCTCTGTTGTCGGACTTTCCGGAGAGGTCCTCTGTAGTTCCATCGGCGTCGAATCAATGCTGTCAACGATATCATCTTCATTATCATTTCCATGATGTTCGTTTTCCAGAAAGAGCCTCGAGCTCTTGTTCCCAATTGAAGAATGAACAAGGAGAGACGAGGACAAATCCGCGTTGCAACGACCCAAGGACGGCCGGCCGGCGACGAACGTGGACGAACGCGGAGGTTTAGGTTTCTTCTTGTTCCCCGCTGCTTTGATAGTATTTCTCTCGTCGTCTGAAGAATCAAATGTCACATAGCTGGACTCATCATCTTCAGCGGAGTCGTCTGCTTCGCTTGCGCAGGCGGGGGTCGCGATCGCGTTCAGTCTTCCAGGGCCAGCATGACAAGTTCCGTACGCACCGGCCGCTGTGGTGAGCAAATCCAGTTCCTCGTCTTCGAGGAGCTGAGAAAGGTCTTCCAGAGAACGACCACTCATGTTCTTGACTACTTCGGGGAGTTGTAGTAGTTGATGTTCCAATGCCAATCCAGCTTCAGGAACGATTTCCTCCGCGGCAAATAGGGCTCCACCGCCCTCGTCCGTCACGGTAATTTTCGGACTCTGATGAAAATGATCTCCGAACAACTCAACGTCAACACTGTCGCTGGTGGAATTTTTATACCGGCAATTAACACCACGAGCACAATATGTTCGGATTTCGGTACTGTACTCAATTCCTTCGTCTAGACGAAACGCGCCATCTTGTTCGTGTTGACACAGATCATCTTCGCCGGTTCTTGAACGACGGTACACTTCTTGTTGACACGAATCCTCGTAGTGGTGGTGTGCTGAAACCTTTGTAGCGGAACCAGAACTGACTTTGACACTGGTGCTGCCTTATCGGGCCAACTCGAACTGCTAACTCTTAGATTTTCATGGAAATGCCTATACTATGTCTCTGCTGCTGATTGTAGAAGAACAAACTTCAGCATGCAAAATGCGCTGCTTCGAGAAAGAAATTAGGGACTCAGGAGGTTCCCTATTTCTTGTGTCAACGACGATTCACGATGGAATAGCGGGACCTTTCAATAGGCTCATGAATCGAAGAGAAGCCTTGCCCACGGCCGGATCACAAGATCAGGTCAATGGAATCTGTGAAACGACATCAGCAACTCTATCAGCAGAGTTTATCTTTTTTCTTCAGATGTTGATACAGAAGATCATGATCGACGTACAGCTACATGATCATCCATCTATCTTTCTCCATCGTGAACTTCATTGTCCTCGACCTCGCAGTGCCGTCGTTTTAGACGCAACGGCAAGAAAGCTTCGACAGCCTGCGAGAGGTCACAAAAGAATGATCTTCTATTATTGCGGCTATGTTTTACAGCTGTCCAGTATAATTTTTTGTGTGGACTTGCATCGAGATCGAGACCGATTATTCGTGAAAACAGTTTCCCGTGGCACGAAGAATGAACATCAAGTGGCACCAAATTCGCGGAATCAAGTGGCTTGTACCGAAGGGGTACGGGGATGTTGGATCAAAGACGTCTCCTTCGATAGCCGGGGCCGGCTTGGGTCTCCAGAGCTTTGCTGTAGAATCGGGCCTTTTCGGCCTAGGCGCTAGAGCGACACCTCCCGGCCTTTTCGGCCCTTTTTGCGCGGCCCTGAGACGAGACCAGGAGCATGGGGCAGATGACTCGGCTGCTTCTTTCCCCTCTCTGCTGGGCCTTGACTATGACCTCTATCTGCAGAGTTCATCATTTTTCTTCAGATGTTGATACAGCAACTCTATACCTCACTCGCGCCGCCGTGGAGGCACAACGGCGCGGGAATTTACGCAAACAAATAGAACAATAGGGCTCAAGGCGGTGTACATAACTAGGCGGATTTTGGCTCTAATTCTGCTTCTATTTTCGTACTCTAAGTGGTCACGTTCTATTTTCGTATTTTAAGTCGTGTTCTATTTTTGGGCTCTAAAACTAAATCGTATTCTATTTTGGCTTCTAAATCGTGCTTCTATTTTGCTTTCTATTTTTTGCGGGATTCACATGCTCGAGCGGCTGCGTTTCAACTTCTAAATTCGCGCTTTGGAGGATTTCCTTTGGAAATCTCCAGTGTCGCGAAAAATAGAAGTTGAAAAGACAGCTGCCGAACACGCGAATCCCGCAGAAAAATAGAAAGCAAAACAGCGAGCACGTTTAGAAGTCCAAAATAGAATACGACTTAAAGCCCAAAAATAGAACGCTTTCGAAAAGCCCAACGACAATGGCTTTGCGAAAGAACGAAACAGGGATAGGGTGCAGGGATTTCAACATTGGCCACACGGCCCAGGTCTTCCCAACCCAAGCCGAAAATCCGAGGGCCCCCATGAAAGCCAGACCACGAGCGCGGCTCTCCACCTTCGGGGCCACCCGGGTACGAAAATACCAAAGAAGCCCCCGCGGCGTTCGAAATTCCGAACCCCCTGCAAACGACCCTATTAATTTTTAAATTTTAATTCCCGTCGTAGCTTTTCATTGAAAAACACACGCGGGGCCAACGGGGGGATTTGAAAAAAACCCGGCCCCCCGGGCGCGGTGGAAAAGGGTGGAACCCTGCGGGCCCGGGAACCTTCAGCGCCCGAGGAGGAAAACCACCACCCACCCTAAGGGCTTCGGGGAAATCCCCCAGTGGGGGCGCGCGAATTTCTGTTTTTCGGCTCGTTCTTCTGGCCAGGTTTTTTCGCAGCCGCCGGAGCAAAGCAAAAAAGAAAAATCCGAAAAATGGAGGAGTAGCTACCCCGGGAAGTTTCGCAGTCGTTATTGAGCTGCAGAAGAGCCCAACTGGGATGAAGCAATTGGGCCCGTGGCGCTCCTTTTCCGCATAGGCAGCTTGGGAAGCTGATTCGTCTAGCTCTTCCGGCGCTTTTTTCGGGCCATTTTGTAAAAAAAGCTCTAGAGCTTCGGCCCAACTTTGAGCCAACTTGTCCCACTCATAGCATGCTGATTTAGAATTCACTGTCTGCAAACGTCTAGAGGTCATATCACACAAGTTTATTGCAATAGTGCTGCGCTTCAGAAGAAAATAGAAGCAAAAAAATGCTTAGGTCTAGCGCTTTGAGCCAACTTTTGCCCAACTTTGAGCCAAGTCCTGGTTGCAATAGCACGCAGATTCACGAAAAAAATTGGTCCCTATAGCTTTCGCCCAGCTTTTACAACAGCTTTGAGCCAAGTCGCTGTCAGTACTATAGGTCTCTCTACTATCTGCAGAGTTCATCTTTTTTCTTCAGATGCTGATGCAGCATCTGACCTTGGGATCATCTCAAAAGGTGAACATCGGAGCCAGGAGGAGCCTACACTTCCCCTGGGGGGGCGGGCGTCTGTGTGCGGTCCGGCAATCTCTATTCCTTGTCCCTGATGGCTGCATCAATGCGGTTCACGCTGCAAGCGTCATTTCGATCGATTAAGTATGCCACGGTCTTTTACATGTGATGGCGCTTCAGCTGCGAGCTGACTGCGCCACACATCACGCATCTCGCCCTCTAGCAGATGCTGTTGCGTGCCCACCAGATACGTTGTTATAAAAAAATCAGCTCTGCCTTTGGGCTGGAACATTGGAGTAGTTGATTAGTAGTTGTTGCTCGGCCAAAGAGGTGCCAATCCAATTCGTTGCCTTAGGCAACAAATTGGATTGCACAGACGACCAGAGCAAATTGTAGTACGATTTGCTCGGGGTGTCTTCGTGTCAATTGCAATTTTCCGCTCGATCTTTTCTTGGTTGGTTACTTTCTACTTCTAGCAAGCAGGAAAACAAGGCACTTAAACACGACCGCCAGGATGTCGAATAAACATTACACAAAATTTATTTTAATAATGTTGCGACGGCTCAACATTATGTTTGCGTGTCGCAAGTATGTTTATCGTCATTTGGGTGATGAGAAAAAAAATAATTTGCATAGATAGTTGGCTCACTTGCATGTTAGTACAACAACCCTTGTGGACTGCGACAGCTCAATGTTATGTTTGCGTGTCGCAAGTATGTTTATCGTCATCCACTTTTAGGGCGAAGGTAGATGCGCAGGCTCTGTAATGACGATTGCAGCTTGTTCGCTACAAGTAGAATGTAGTAACTTGGAACAGCGCCGGGCCTTCCTACGGGAGTACATCGACAGGGACAGGCCGCTCACCAGTCAGGTCACGCTGGGGGATCGATCTCCAGCAAGGCCCCCCGCGCAGCCTCCCGGCGTTCACGGTCCCGCGAAGAGGGTCCTGACCCTGAGCACGCCAACTTTGCCAGAGCCGCGCCGGCTGTGACTGCCATGGTCCCGGTGGCATGGACTTTGGACGGACCACAAACGAAAGGGCCACAAGGGGTACACCCCATCGCAACACCGGTGGCAAGAACGCAACATCCGAACAGTTCACCTTTGGTGACTTCGGAGCCGCCGGGGAAACACGGGCCATAGAGCCCGCGCACTGGAGATTCATCTTGATATACCGAGATCATCTTGATATACCGAGATTGTTTTCTGACGATCTGAAGGCGGCCAATTTTCCGACTTTTTCTTTCTCATTTATTGAGGGATCGCAGAGTTCATCTTTTTTCTTCAGATGCTGATGCAGCATCCACAGCTTCAATCTCATAAAGTTACTCCGAAAGCATGGGTCTAGATATATGGTTCCCCGAATTCGCGCAGAACTTGCGCGAAACTTGTTCGGCCCGTTTCCGGGAGGGGCAAATCAGTAGGGCCCCGCGTTACCAGATAGGGAGGGTCGAACGTCCTGCCTGCTTAGCCTTCTCAGGCGAAAGGCCAGCGCCGTCGTGTAACGCGCGTTACACGGTGGCACGCAGCTTCGCTTGTTGGGCAAACGGGGAATAAGGCCAAGCGCTTCAGTGGCGCACGCGGCAATGACAACAAAGAAAGCGCTCCGGGAGACCACTCGACGACAGGGCCCGGTCCATCCACACCACTTGCCTGCCGAAGGGGGAAAAGGGCTGCGCCGAACACCCAGACCGGCTCCAATGCCAAAGCGCGGAACGCCCCATCCCTTTACCCACCATCCTTGCAAAAGCAAACCCGCCCGGGGCGCCAATGTGACCGGCCTGCAGGGCCCGGGGCGCCAAAGAGTGGGCCACCGTGTAACGTACGTTACACGATGATGCTGCGGCAACATCTTTGCGAGGTGTGCAGCTCACGCGCATGTGGCCAACCAAATGCCGCGGAAACAAAAACAAGGCGCAAGGGGACGGACTCGGCGGCCTGCGCCTGCCTCCGAGCCCTGGTTCGGGCAACTACCGCTGAACAAGGGCGCGCGGCGCAGACACACAGAGGGCCCCCCAAGGCGCAAAATGGCGCGGCGCCTAGCAATCGCAGGCGTCGGCGAGAGTCTCAATGCGAAAACTCGCCTCCCTTTCGCGCCGTGCTGCATGATTGTGATCATTTGCACAAGACCGCGGGCGGGCTCTAATATTCTAGACGAAAAAAATCCGCAGCCAAGTTCTCCGCAAATTCTGCAAGGGTTCGGGAACCCGCACCCTAGGACCCCCGCTATCTGCAGAGTTCATCTTTTTTCTTCAGATGCTGATGCAGCATCTACAACTTCAATCTCGTAAAGCGCAATACCAAGGAACTTGACGACCTTGCATTAATAGCGAAACATGGATCATCTTCATCCGGATCCTAATCAATGATGAGAACTAGAACAACGGAAAAATTATACACCAGATGCATGAAGAAAAGCTAAGAGGTACTACTAGTCGTCGAGAGCTCGCTGGCGCTTCAAAGCTTGCTTCACTTTTGTCGATATCTATTGCGCGTTGGTCGTCGACTTCAAATTAATAAGACGCAGACTCCTGCGATAGTATCAAGGTCGAAGCTTGCAGGTCAGGAACGGTTTTTGTTTTCGAGTCAGAGTCGTTGTAGAGCGTATCTTTTCGAAAGTTGTTGCGGGCGTCGGCCTAGTTCTTCGCTATCTAAATCTCATTCCAAATCGAAATCCGTCTTGTGCAAATCGAAGCGCAAAAGTGTATGTAAGTCTCATACAGCTCAAGCACGAGAAGATCAGCATTCTATTTTCTTCGTGCCTTTTTTGCTCCCTTGCTTGCAGCGTTTCTGAGAATAGTGGGCGTGGTCTTCCATGCACTACTTCTCCAAAAGGTTCCAGCGTATCCTGTCTTTCTCTTTTGTGGAGCAGTAGTTGTCATACTCATAGCCCGACGACAGCAGAAACAGTAGATTTTTTGTGGGCAGTCTGTCATGCACAATGAATATTGCCCTTGGAATCGTCCACAAATCAGACCTCCGGATGGTGAATTATCATGCAAGAACAACATCAGAGAGAATTTTTGCAGGCAGAACTATATTCAAAAACAAAGCAAATTCGTGGGTGAGCGCGTCGCGATCGCGTACAGGCACCTTTCTTGTCGACTATCCAGCGTAGCCGGATGCCAGCGAAGCAGATGGTAACGCTCTCACTAGCGAAAACGATGGAGCTGTACCCGAAATCGCCTTCTTGTTCGACAGAATCGAGTATAGCAGTTCAAGTTTCTTCAATTTCATTGCCATAGAACCTTCATTATCCTGTGCAAAAGCATCGTACTAATAGAAATCGCATGACAAATTCCCTCAATATGAAAAATTGAATTTGTAATGCGGATTTAGGTTAAGAAGGAGATTTGTAATGCATGACTGCGATTACTACGGGTACGATACTTTTGCACAGGATATTCATGTGTCGACGAAACCGCTCCTGGGCGTTCGCATCTTCCGGCTGTGCGTAGGTTGTTGCGATAGGGGAAATCACAACTGCTTGCCCTGCTACCGCGACGGGCGTGGGAGATGATAGTTGTTCGTGGTCTTTTGTTGCATTACTTGCAGCGGAAGTTGTTGTAGTGGCCGGCGTTCTTTCCAGTGCCTGCTGTCCTCCTGCGTCAAAGGCCATATGATTTTTTGCGTCAATATTTCGCGTACCAACAGTATGCCCCGGTGTCGTATCTACTTCTTGTTGCTCGTCTTGCAAGAACGTCGTGTCCTCTTCGCAAGCTGCGCTGATAGAAAAATGCGGAGGTGCAGCCACAGGCTGCGCACACCCGCCCTTGCTGAGGCTGTTTTCCTTTTCGACGAAGTCGAGGGAATCATAAATGTTGGTGGCTGCCTCGTTGTGGGCAAGCCAAGTGCTGTTTTCGAAGTCGTACGCGTGGTCTTCCAAATGTTTATCCATTTGCTCACAATATCCCACGAAAAAACTGTTTCACTGTGATGGTTTTGCAAGATCTGCATCACAAGTTTGCTACACATGACACAGAAAATTTGCCATGCGCGCTTTCCAAGGGAAAACACGCTTAAAAGCCCAATGCCTTGCAGGTGTAGCAAGACAAATAGCTCCGTGTTCCATTTTACGCATCACAAGCTCATAGTGAAACAGTTTTTTCTTGCGATACACAACGCTCGAGGTCTACTACATCCACCTGCTCGGAGTCAACTGTAATGTAATTCGAGCGAGAAAAATTACTGCTGCTCGACGGCGCTTCTAATCCGGGCGGCGGGCGGAGGAGAGTCCTGCTTCTCGAAATGGAGCTCGATAATGTGCTCGGCATGAAGGTAGAAGCGGACCGGAGCCGGTCTTCGTCTTGATAGGAACTGTGTGACTTTGTACCTGTAGCTCTTGTCCCCCCTACTTCAAAACAAGCAAGACCAAGACCTCCGCCAACAAGAGGGCCTTCCTCTCCTGGATCATCTTTCAGCTCCTCTCCATCACGACGGGCGCCGTCACGAATGGAGTCGCTCGTACATCTTCTTTCGCGGGGAGTTTCCGTTTCTCTTATCTCTCCTCCTTCAACCCCACTTCTGGACCGCAGAATGTCTTTTTCCGAGACCGGAAACCCGAAAATTTCCTCGGTTCCAAACAACGTTGTCGAGGTCCTTTTCCGGTGGAGAGTTTCAGTTCCGTAATTGCTTGTCTGGGCGGGCGGGGGCCCGTTTAGCATCTGCAGCTCCATCTCTTCCAGAGTCGGGCGATACAAAGTAGAGTGGTCCACCTCCTGAGGCCAAGCAGTAGTAGAACCACCGAGCTGCAGCTGTTGGTGTTGACTACCGTATAACTCGCTTGGCGGAGCGGGCGGTGGCCGAGACGGGGGGAGCGGGCGAGAGCGTGGTGGGGCTGCGGCTGCTGCTGGCATTGGATCTTCGTGCGGGGCGGCGTGTAGCTGTTGTAGTTCCTCGGAGGGAGGGCAAAAATCTATATCTCCGGTCGCGAAGATCTTCTCTGGCGGGGGCGTGGTGTTCCGGGAATCTGGACCACGAGCTGAGCTGCAGTTGTTGACTTCTGGTTGTTCCGCACCAGCATCGGTGGTTTCAGGCGTACCCACTGCAGGAAGTTTCGCGATAGACTCAGCGCTTTCTGTTGCCCCCGCAGAGGACTTTTCGTTCTTGCACCACGATTGGTTCTGAGACTGCTGGTCTTGCATCATTATCGGCGGTGGAGGCAGCACGGGGACGTTCAATATATCAAACGCTGCTTTTGCCGTTTCTCGCTTCGAATCAACAAGGCTAGAAGTAGCTTGCTGTCCACTTCCCGACCGTGACAGGCACATCCCCTTGTTCGCAGGCATCAAAGGCGGAAGTGGTGGAGGCAATGGTGGAAGTGGGTGCTCGCTTTGTACGAGTGATTTCGCGCTTCTTTGATGCTGCTGTTCCAGCACAAGGCCGTCTTTTTCATCCGCCGGGGGTGCTTCGCCATAGCCAGATATTACGGACGAGTCTTTATTCTGACGGTCCGAAAGAACTTGAAGAACTACATCATCCTCATTATCAGCCCAAATGACGCTCCTCGGCGACCTGGTAATATGCTGTTGGTACAGTCGTGCCGTGTCGGAGGAATCTTCCCAGAGCTCCGCTATCAAATGCAAAAATGTCTGGTTCTGGAAGGCGGCAACTTGCTATGGTAAATCTGAAGCATGCAAAAATCTGTGTTGCATGAGAGCCAAAAGCTCTCAACTTTTGACCAAGTTGGAAGGGAGTTTCTCATGCAGGATAGGCATGGCAGAGACCTCGCGGAGTCTGTCATGCGAAGTCCCGCATTCCAGACCTCATGGGTCATGGAAAATCTGCATGACAAGTTTACACTTTTCCAGACCCAGACATTTTTGCACTCCATATCCGCAGCGGCGTCGCACTGGTCCGCGATCTGGCGCAACAATCTTGGCGACTCGGTCATCAGCGATTGAAACGACGGCACGCGGTGCGTGTGAAGATTTTCATGGTCATTAGGCACCACCTTGTGGTTCTTTTTCAGAGAATCCGCTTCGTTCTCTACTGCGCAGCTGCAATAGAAGTAGCCAATGGAACTCCCATCGTCCTGAGGGTCTAATCGCCCTACTTCGCCACACTTCTCGTTTTCTTCACTCGGAAACCAGTTATAATTTCGCAGTTGCTCCTTTCCTTCCAATAAAGGCCAACTTTCGTCCAAATCGGGGATCCTGCAATCTGCCACGGTTTCTATCTCAGGATTCAACCTGTCGAAGAACCGCGGCCCGGTTTTGTAGGCCCTTCTCAAATATCAATTGCAAATATATCTAGGTCTGGCAGAATGCAGATTTTTGTCATGCTGTTTTTGCATGACGCAGCAGGATTGTCATGGAAACCCTCTAGCATCACAGATTTCGAGAACCTTCCACAATGCCCAATCCGCATGACAAATCCCCCACTTTGGTGACACAAAGTGGGCACCTTTTGCTGCCTAATATGCATGAGAGATTTTATTTGTGTGTTCTGAAATGCGCATCACAAGTTCGCATCTTTCCAGAGCCAGACACATTTAGATTTACGGTTGATATCAAAATCGCGGAGTGGAGGTGTTGTGTGAAATTCGCCGGACGACGAGGACACCGAGGAGGCTTGTTCACCTTCGGCTTCGCGACAACTGGAGGTGGTGGTGGTATTGGGGTAGAAGTGTCAGTGCAGGTGGCTGACGGAACAAGCAGCAGCTGATCTTCTTTTTCCAGCGAAAAAATCTGACCCCGAACAGCAACATCTTCAACTTCAGGATGAGCTGCTTCTGCAGGCCTGCTTCCAGTCTCATTGTGATTCTTCTTTCCGTGGTGCGCCCAGGCCCAAGTCCGGTCTAAACCAACTTCAGATGCTGGTGACGTAGCAGCTTCCTCGTATCCTAACCCCGCTCGAATCGCTGGCACCAAGTTCACCTTCTTGGACAGATCTGTCGGTGGTTCGAGAGCGAAAATAACCTGGTCGTGTGGTCCTACTTGTGAGCAGTTCGCTCCTTGCGGAGGCTGCTCATCTCCCGCGTGATGTAATGTAGATGTCGAAAGAAGAAAGTCTCGCTCGTTCTTTTCGTGCAAGAACTTCTCCGCATGCAGCGCCACCAGTTCCTTCGCCACTCCAACCACGTCTTCAACCGTAATGTCCAACTTTTTCCTCCATGTTAGGTCGTGGATCATACGATCCCACTTGGCCGCTTCCGCTTTCTCATTGTTCTCATGTGGTGAAGTAGATCCGCCGTCTTGATGTTCTTTCGCCAGCGCCACGGAAGAGGACTTTTTCTCGGATACTTTTCTCTGATCACGATCGCCAGCAGATATTAAACGCCTTTGAGGTCGTGTTGACACGTTCAAGTCCACCTCGGTCAATTTCTCATCTAAAATCTGTTGTGAAGAAGCAGAGGAGCAACACGTCGTCGGCGCGCCGTTCTTAGTATCCACTCGCTCAGTAGTTTCTTGCTCTATCGGCATCTGTAGCGAAGAAAACTGACTTAGAAACGTGATGTCGCAGGCTAAAAACTCGTATGTGTCTGTCTCGTTGCTGCTCAGCATCGGGTGGGGGTTCCGTCGGATGCAAAACTCAATTTTCTGCTCCAAAACGTCCGGAATTGTAGTAGCAGTACAACTCGCTTTCTTGACCTTATCCTTAAATTTTGCAGCTTTATTTCTTCCACCATGAGCTGCTGCGCCAGCTTTCTTGTAGTCCTCCAGAGTGGCTTATGCAATACAAATTTCCCGTACAACATGTAAGTACAAGATGCATCACAAAGTTCCGCAGTTTGGGGAGTAAAACTTGTCATGCTAAACTAGGATCGAAGGCAGAGACCGCATTTGTACGTGTACGGAAAATTTCCTGTGGATATGAGTTCTTTGAAGGGGAAGTCCCCGCTTTCCTTCGCCTTTTCCAGGTCGCGAACGTTTTCCGCGAGAGCCAGGACCCTGCCCTCCATGAAGGGACTCTGGATAATCGCGTGCACCTCTGAGATTGTTGTCCTTTGAGACCTCACGGTCGTCTTCCCTCTCCGCGATTCCGTTTCGATCTTTTCCCTCTTTATCCTGGTTTTGTGATGCACTTTCGTCACGTAGCCCTGGATCCGCAGTTGTGACGCTATCAGATCCTCGCGAGACCGCATGGGGATGAAGGGACACGAGGGACCATGTACGCTGGGATGAGGATGGTCTTTCTCATGCTGCTGGCTAGCCATTACAGCTGCGCTTATTTTCGCTTGGTTATTTCTCCCTGCAGCTACACTTGTTCCACTGGTTGAATTCCAATTCGCTGCAGCTGCACTTGTTCCTACTGCAGTACAGCTCGTCGTCAAAGCCGTCCGAATACTAGCATATTTTGATACACAGGGCCCCAGCACGTCGGGGTGATTTATTTTTGTCTCCGTAGTTGCTGCGATTTCCACGCCGGACGAGTTGCTGCCCGCGCTTTTCTGCAAAGCTGGAGTCTTCAGCTTCGGACCACACAGCGCCAAATTGATCCTCCTTACATCCTCCACCATCGCTCCCTCGCCCCCCTGAAACTGGTGGGCTTCCGTTACCTTCGCGCAGGGGTTTTTGAACAGTCGAAACTCAATATCCTACGTAAAAACGTCCCCACCCCAGAGTCGAGATGGGGAATCGGCTAGGCAAATCCACAAGTGTTGGCTGTTTTGCATGACAAATTTGGACTCGTAGTGTAGTACTGTTTGAGGTAGTTGAGCAGGATCACAGATCTAGTATATCATGCTGATTGCAGCACGACAAATGCCAAGACGCGACTAGATAATGCTTCTCATGGCGCTTCGCATGAGAAATATGCTCAGCATGCAGATTTGCATTACAACTATGGGGTGGGGACGTTTTCGAATACGATACTCAAACTTCTGCCCGACCGCGAACTTGACCACTTCGAGGTGTTTGGGGTTTTTCTCGCTTTGCTTGAACGTTTTTGGGAGCAGAACGGTGTTCCCCGCGATGGTAGACCACATTTTCGCCGGATCCGGGGACCGCAACACCGCCCACTGTGCCTATCCTGTGCAAAAGTTTTGCACTCGTAGTAATCGCAAACATGCATTACAAATCCTGCTCTCAAGGTAAATCTGCATTACAAATTTTATTTCTCATGCTGAGGAAATTTCTAATGCATTTATACGAGTACGATACTTTTGCAATGCATAGTGCCTGATCGTCCGCAACTTTGATCACGTTACCAAGGATCCGAGTTTTCTTCTTGCACAGCTCGTCGCAGGTAGGGGGCTGATGTTCTTTATGATGTTCAGCAACAGCTGCTACAACTGACAGAGATAATTTGGGGGCATTGGCCGGAGTCGCTGTTTTGGAAGTGTGTCGTGAAGATGTAGGCAAAAGCTCTTTCATCTGCGCAGGTGCTACAACAGCCGTGGGATCTTCCCGCTTGCTCGGCTTGCTGCCGTTGATGTGCACAATCGGTGGCACTATCATCGGTACAAGCTCCGGGGGCTTTAGGTGGGTTCCACCTGCTTCGGAGGCTGGTCTCTTTTGTGGTTGCACCTCCTCCTGCGGCGGGCCGTGGTCCTCGTCTAGCTTCTTTTCTGTCGTCTTTTGAGACCCCCGCCGCGCAACCTCCCCGGGAACGAACTCCGGCTGCGCAGAACCCACGGTGTCGGTGGTCGTGTTGTGCTGCATCATCTGCAGCTTCATCTGTTCAGATCGAGTAGTGATCAGTTTCTCACCATGCTGACAACTAGGCGGACTGTTTGTGCTGGTGACCATCGTGCTGGGCGTGTTGACAGAATCACCTGCTCGACATGCCCCTTTACCCGACCACGACGCCGGCGTCGTCACCACAGAGCAAGAATTTGCCGGACTGGGGTTCTCTCCTGCAGTAGTACAACTGCGCACAGCTGCTGGTTTCTCGAACCTCAACTCGACAGCGACGAACTGCTCCCACTTGTGCTCTTTCGGCTGCGGGTTGTGGGACAGTGCGAAAGAGACAAAATCTCCTTTATTGTAAACCCGGTTCCGGTCTTGTTCGGACAAAAACCACTTCTATGCATTGCAAAACAAGTATCGTACTAGTACGAAAAATCGCATGACAAATTTTCGCAAAAACAAAAACGCAGTTTGTCATGCTGAATCAGTTAGAAAATTAGATTTGTCATGCCAGACTGCGATCTGGTGTACGAGTGCGATTATACTTTTGCAGTGGATAACTCCTTTCGACCCACCACGTGGTGGCGGAACAAGGACTGCGGCTTGATATGCAAGAAAAAAACTGCGTCAGAGTAAATCTGTGATGCAGAAAATGCAAAACAGTTACACTTGTCATGCGCCACATGCATGATCGGCTCGTGTTTTCCGTTCCTCAGACAAACTTGTGATGCTGTTTTCCCAAAAGACTTACACTAGCAAAGTTTTTTTCTTGGATACTTGATCATCAGCGAGGACTGCGATACGTGCAGGAATTTGACGATCTGGTGGTTTAGAAGTTGTGTTGATGGGGATCTGTTCATCTTCGGGTATGTAGCTTTGCTCATAAACACTTCTAGTGATCTTGTCAAGAACAACACGGTGTTAGAGCTTCGAACTACGCAGACGAACTTCGTATCAAATGCATTTTGAGGTGGACCACAACGACATTCTCACTCACTTCCTATACGCAACAAAAACGTATATTCGACAAACCGTTCCCTCCAGCCTGGTCTCTTTGCGCACAAGGTCGTCCCCAGAGAGATATTTCGTCCGATCCTTGTTCGCGTCGCGGAGGTTCGTCCGATCCTTGTTATGAAAAGTTAGATTTTTGCCACCAGCATTTTTTCCCGCAGCACTCCTTGCAGAAGATGAGCCGCCCAGCCCTGGTCCTCCGGGCGTGGAAGTAGTTGTACACGAGCCGCTTGCACATGCACCTCCAGCAGCCGTTTTATTCTTGCTGTGGACAGTGGTTTTTGGGGTTTTTGGCTTCCGTTTGGACTTGGACACGACAGTCTTAAAGCCGTCGTTGTCATCATCAATGAGGCCCAAATCAAAAAGTGTCGCAGCGTCTAAGTCGGAACAGTGCATCAAGAGATGGTCGGAAGGATTTTTGATTTGGGTAGTATCTGATGACTTCAAGGGAAGTTCGAGTTTCGGCTCCCGCGAAGCAGGAGGATGAATATCATGCCGATCTACTCTCCTCGCAGAGTTGGATTCTTTCTCGTCGTCCCTTCCGGAGCCCGAAGCACGATCCCGCTCCTTTTTCGCCGCGGCCTCATCTGTTACTAGTGCCAGATGATGCCAATGTTTTGTGCCACGTGTACTCGCGCATGCGCCTTGCCCCCGCACCACCAGGCTAGAAGAAACTGAACGACTACCTTGGGCCCCCGTTTGTAGTTGCTCCGCTGCGGATTCGCGTCGGAATTGTGCTAATGCAGCTGAAGCTGACAAACTGGAACCTAATTTTATTTCGCGTCGACTAGAAGAAGTCGTGGGCGCACCGCTGCTGCGCATTGGATGAAACGCGTCCTCCTCGTTCTCCTCTACTTCACAAGAGAACTCTTCTTCCTGTTCTTCTGCACGGGCGGTTGAAGATGTGCCGCAGTAAAAAAAACCGCTATCCAAAACAGTCGCGGAGGTCCTCGTCTTCTCCGGTATAATTGTTTTCCCAGCGGCCACAAGTGATGTTTGCCGACTCATCTTCATGTTCTCGTCGGGATTGATGCAGCTGCGAAAACTCGGCGTCGGAGAATCCTCGAGCTCCCAGGCTTCTAATGACTGAAGAGTAGCAGCTTTTTGCAAAGCGAGGGAAATTTTTGTACTTGTTGACATCCTTCTCCTTGTTGTGTCGCGGAATTTTTTGCGAAGAGCGTGGATCTTCTTGTTTTTATGTCGACGGACAGAGTAATTATTGTAATCTCGTCAAATGGTTGATGGAAATGGAATAGAAGTGTTTTTCAACATGGGAAGTAGTTAAAACGTATCGCCTTCGATTACGAAGCGGATGATGCGTGTAGTCACAGAAATGATCTATCGCTGCCGTTCTACACCAGTATCTGCAGCTAGCGCGACGGGGACGAAAGGCATACGAAAGATTTTTACACTGCACAACGACCTTGTGTTCGGATACGAAGAAATGAGAAAAAATATTCTACTCAAGAAGTACTCTAAAAAGTCTAGAAAGTGCACACATCTTTGTAGCTAGCTTGTCGTGACAATTGTTTCCTTGAAGATCAACAGCTTCAGCTAAGAGTTGTTCGTTTCAAAAAAAAGTTTGTCACTGCCGGGGTGAAGTTGTAGATGTGATGACTTCTTTCATCTTGTTCTGCTGACCACATTGACAACCCGAAGATTACCAGGTCTGTACTCCCTGACTCTAAAGTTGACCTGCGAGGGGACAACTACGCACTCTGCCGACAACATCAAAGGCAAAGCTAGCGTTTGTGAAATAGCTTTAACGGTCGTCTTCGCACGAGAAGCTGCGGATCAAAGTAGGAACTACTCCGAGTGGCATGGATCAGTGTCTCAAGATCAACATCTTCGAGTGCTGTTCGTGTTTGCACTCGCTTGTTGAGCGCGCCGCGCTAGTTCTGATATAAATGTTCTTCCTCGTTCTTGTACTTCGTTAACCTTCATATGTATGCTGATGTGACGAGTACTCCTGAAGAAGATGACCAGAGTGGTACATCATGCGGATCTTGTCAACAGCTTCAACATGCACGAAGCGCCTGCCAGGCGTTCTCGTGCTGACGGATCCTCAATCTTGGAGAATGCACGCGCTCTCCTTTTCCAATTTTTGCTGACATTCGGCTTCGAAACCAGATGAAAACAGCGGACGCCTTCTATACCCTCGCAGAACGTCGCTGCGCGCAGGGGAATGGCAATAAATAGACCATCAACGAGCATGATCAAATATGTTTTTCATTCCCCGCTTGCCAATAAACTGGCAAATTATCAACATGTCGAGTCTGTTTCATATTCTTCACGCTGCAATAATGCCGTGTCAGAGTAGAAGACTACCTGGAAATAAATGCAGCAGACCCTGTTTCGGTAAAAATGCGAAGCTTCGCAAGCTTGTGCCTGAAATTGCTGCGCTCTGGATCATACGAGCCAGATTCAAATATGAAATTGATAGACTCTTGCTCTCTCTGTGAAACATAAGACTGCACCAGACCTTTTATCTACGCATAAATGTCTGCCCTGAGTCAAGCTAAGAAAGCTGCATTTTCTGAATCTGAAAGCTTGATGAAAACTGCATCTTCATAATCGTGCAAACAACTAGAACTTCTACCCTAATTCTTAGTCGAAATTTTCGTTTGGTAACACAAACCGTATGATACATTCTTTGAAATTCTGTAGCATTCTTCTGAAACTGTGGTAAACCTAAAGCTAAAACGAGAATGTGAAGTGAAGTGAAAAGCTGATGTGTATAAAATCTTACAACAAATGAGTCTTGCCGCGTAAAAGTAAAACTGAAATCCTCGTAAATGATCATATAGAAGTCACTGACGCCTCCTACTGGTACAACTTACTCTTCCTCCTTCCCCTCCATTAAAATCCTCTTCGCCTCTTCTACCATCTTGATCGCCGACTCGTAGTCCCCGTCCCTATCTGCGGACTCCAACAGGTAATCTAGTTCCTTCTGGTACGTTGCTTGCAGCTTCTCCAGCTCCGCCGGCAAATTGACGGACGAAGATGCGGAGGAGGAACTGTGAGAAAACTCTGGATTCATTTTGCAGCTCGTCTTCCTACTATCTTCAGTAGCACTGACTGGTGTTTCCTCGTCGTGACAGGAACTACTTGATGATTGTTCTCCGCTTTTGTTGTTACTGCACCGCCCACTCGACGGAGAGCCAGCACTTCCCATACTGTGCCTGACGTAGTTGCCATCTTCATCTGCGTCCTCAGCAGCAGAGCCGGCATTATTCGGTGTATTCATGACGGAAAACATATCCGATTGCGCGAACGTGTGCGCCGGACTACAAGAAGACGTCGGGGTGACGAAAGCGGCTCCGAATGTTGATCCGAACCAGCTTTCAAAGAACCCACCGCCGCTAGTACTGCTTTCTTGCGCCGTCTGCTGATCAACATCAAGGGTTCTTGCTTTGTTGAACAATTCCTGCGGCAGGTTCTTGCTGTTAGAATTCTTTGCGTGGGGTGTGACCGGGGAGAGCAGTTGACTCTTGTCTACGTCGTTTTGGTAGTTTTGCGGATCAGCATCAGGAGGGACTGCACCTGGCGTAACTGCCTCTCCGTCGGGTAGTTGCTCTTTCCCGGCACTCAGCGTGGCGTGGTTGGCTTTGTTGATAGTTTTGTTAACATTATTATCCGCAACATGCTGCTCAACATCTTCTTCCACCTGCTTCTGTTCAGAAAGATCGACTTTGTTTTCATCTTGTCCATCCACTAGAGCGCCGCTTTTCATCTTGTTTTCGTTCGAAGTAGATTTTTGCTTCATCGCTTTTTCTACTTTGTCCTCTTCCTCCGCTCCGCTGCTGGTTCCCTCTGAGTATGGCGCTCTTAACTGTTACACTCTCAGCTGTTACATGGATTTGTCATGCGAAAAAACCATCATCACCCACACGATCAAGCTGCTTCGCATGACAAATCTGCGAACGGCTAAGCAGTACCTAAATCTGTTTGGAATTTGTAATGCTACAGATGCAACAGCAACGGCAACCTCCCCGCTTTCACTGTTCCCATTCTTGCATCACAAACCCATCTAACAGCTGAGAATGTAACAGTTGAGAACGCCATACTGAGGTCATGTCGGTTTTGAAGAAGTCCGCCACGAAATCTTCGGGAACAAGGGTTGTTTATCAAGTGCAAAAATGTCTGGGTCTGGAAGAATTCATGTTTGTCATGCTCGTCTGGCATGACTCTGAAATCTGTCAATGTCACGCACGTTACCCAAGAGGCCCGTTTTTCTGTGATGCAGAAGCGCAGTTTGTTATGCAGAATAGGCAAAACCTAGGAGCTCAGAAACTTGTCATGCTGAGCCAGCACTTGTGGCCTCATCATGAGACGCCACCCAGCATCAGAAGTTTCCAGACCCAGACACTTTTACAATCCATATAGTTGTCTTTCCAACTATTTCGTCCTCATTTGCAGCCATGGCTACCGCGGTGTCGTCTGTCTCTGGGAGTGGGAGGTCGTGTTTGGGTTCTACTTTGACGGCGGGTTTACTGCTGGATGGCCGGGCGAGGACAGGAGCAGCACGACGTTTAATATTGTCCTCGTTTTTCATTTTTGCAGTTTCAGCGTAGTAAAACACCAGCGGTGGATGTTGACTTTGATCCTCGTCTTCATTTGCTGTAGCGTCGGCACTCAAGCAGGAGGAGGAGGAGGAGGAGGAGGAAGCAGGAACAGCATAAACCCTTCGTGGCCCCCGACGAGCAGGGTGGCCTTCGTGGCAAAGAGCCAGACACATACTCTCTGTGGCGGAGGACGAAGCCGAAGCGGAGAAGGAAGACAAGGAGCTGGCGTTTTTGTGTTTGAACGTCATGTCAAAGGCATTCAATGTGGTGGAAAACACATCTGACATGATGCTAACGCCATTTATTTTATCTTCTCTGTTCTTGTCTGCTGGTGGAGAAGTGCAAGTAGGTCCAGGTTTAGTATTTTCCTCTACTGTCGCCGCCGACGTACCATCGCCGTAGGTCGCGGTCGAAGACGAAAGATAAGTCCCAGCGAAGCTAGTACTAGTACCCGACTTGTTGTTATCCTTGTTCTCATTCTTCCCGCCTGCTGGCATGGCGTCCTCGGTAAGAACGTCTTGGCTCCTGACGTAGATGTCCTCGTCCCCAGCTGTTCTTCCTGTTCTTGTAAGCGGAACTGCCGCCACTGTCGCATTCTTATCGTGCACAACCACCTCCAGTTCCCGCTTTTCTTGTTCCACTATTGTAGCAAACTCGTTATTCCTGCATCTTCCCACAACAATTTTCTTGTATTCTGTTTCCCCTGGGACCCCGCCGGTCAGCTTGTACAACTCCAACGACTCTTCCCACTCTTCCCGGTGCCAAACTAGATCTTATGCATTGAAAAAGTATCGCACTCGTAGTATTGCAATACAAACTAGCTCAGCACGACAAACGGAATTTGTTATGCTGATTTAGCTTGAAAGAGAGATTTGTATTGCATGACTGCGCTCAGTACGAGTATGATACTTTTGCAGTGCATAGATCTCTTTCCCAGACAAGCTCCAAAAGGCCCACCGCGTAGTCTCGGTGGTCGTGCTGGACCGGGTGTAACTCCGGTATGCATTGAAAAATTTTTATCGTGGTAGCAGTAATTGCATTACAAATTGAATCTCGACAAGACAAAGACGAAAAGCACAATCTGTTGTTCAGAATCTGGCCAGGAGAAGGTAATTAATTTGTCCCGCAACACCATTGCAATTTCTACGTAAAAATACAATACTTTTGCACGTCATATCCGGCAACCGGCGAGAACTGGGCAACACGTTGTGTAGCACCTCCCGCGAAATCCCTCGCGTCAGCAGCCACGCCGTGGCCATCTTCTGGATGTCGGAACGGATTTGATTTTTGTCACCGCGTATCAAATGTAAAAGTGTCTGGGTCTGGAAGGTTACCAGGTTTGTCATGCATATTTTGCATGACTCAGGATGTCTGTAATGCATGATCTAGCATCACATATTTCTAGAGGCGTTCCTGATGCCTATCCCGCATGACAAATGCCCCCCCCACGTAGCACAAACTGGGCGCCTCTTGCTGGTCATGCAATACAGATTTTTTTAGAATCCAAAGTTAGCATCACAAGTTGCATTCTTCCAGACCCAGACATTTTTACATTTGATACCACGATGGTCCTTGGAACAAGGTAACAAGGAACCTAGACGTGACCGGGGGGGTCACGTCCGTCCGGCCGGCCGGACGGACGGCACGTGACCGGGGGTCGGTCGTGGTGGAGGAGGTGGAGGTGGCTGCGGTGGACCGCGCGGCCGGGCAACTAAAAAAAAAAAAAAAGGTCATGAGCTCGGCACTTCACTGAAGAACTGCCTCTCTTCGTCACGCTCCGCCCCCGGTCACGCGGCCGGCGGCTGTCAGCTAGTTCGGGCGCCCAACTAAAAAAAAAAGGCCATGAGTTCGGTCTTTCACGGAAAACGGCGCGGCTCTTGCCCCTGGTCCGCCGTCGGTGACGCGGCCGGGGGCTTCTAGCTACCGAGGGCCACAGTTGCTGCGGCATTCGGGAGCGCCGAACTCGCCCCGAGGCCGGACTACCCCCGGTCACGTGCCGTCCATCCGGCCGGACGGACGGACGTGACCCCCCCGGTCACGTCTAAGTTCCTTGTTACCCTGTTCTTGTGATTGAACGGGACCAGTGCCCTTTCGTGTGAGGAAATCCGCGCCTTCAGGCTCTCCGTTATCTCCGCATTGTAATATTCTTCCTTGTTTCTCTTCGTTTCCTCTACTTTCGCAAGCACCTTTCGCGCCAGCCGGTGGTCCTTCCGGCAAAACTCGTTGATGTCCGAAAAGTATGAAACGTTCTGCAAGAGTATCGCATTACCCTCGTAGATTTTTTTCGCAATATTTAAATGCATGACAAACGTCGCTACTGAGGTAAATCAGCATTGCAAATTGCAACTCCAGTACTCTTCCGCCTGCAAAGTTCCTACTATGTATGGTGCGATACTTACTTTTGCCAAGTCGATAAATCCATTATCAACTGCCGCAAATCTGGATCCGCGATGTTATTGATTTCACGTCGGATGTACAGCGCCAACCCGTACTTCTGATCATTCAGCCGAAATTCCTCTCCGTACTGGTCTTCAAACTCGTGCCGCAACCGCTCCACGTTGGCGTACAGGGTTTTATTTTTCTTCGGATTTTGATTTTCGAACACGTCGTAACTCGCCCGGTGCAGCTTATTTAGGTCCGACTTGGTCAGCGGGTGGGGCTGCAAAGTGCCGTCCTCGCGCAGTTCGAGGCTGGATTTGGTCGCCGTGCTCACGCCCTGGGTGAAAGCGGTGATGATTTCTTCCAATGCTTTGGCTTTGAAGTCCGGGCTCTCTTCCACCAACCGCTTGTAAAACTCCACCGGTTCTTCCTTCAGATAGACGTCCACTGCTCGGTAGCGCTGGTCCACGGCTTGCAAGAAGCCACCGTCTACTTTTTGCCAGTGGTCAGCTTGCGATGTAGTTGTCGTGTTGTTGTTCCCAATGGGAAGACTTTTCTGGTCAACTTCTGCAGAACGCGTAACATTAGCCGCTGTAATATTTTGAAGACCTTTTTTCTTCGACCCTCGTCGTGGTTCTACATCTACTGGTTCTTCCTCCTGCTCCTGCTTCGTGGTGTTAGTATCTCTTTTCGCCCAGAGAAGCTGTAGATTTTCCTTTGTATTCTCAACAACCACCGCCCGGTAAAGGAGTGGTGCCAATCGCACGGCGAAGGAGTGAACACCGGCCGGGAGTTTCTCTACCACAAACCGCTTTTCCGCATCGCTCTCCAACACTGCTTGTATGTACCGCCGAGAGATCGCGGCCAACTCGTGATCGCCAGTGAAATTGGAGGACGCGTTCGAAGACGTAGCCGCACTTGGTCCAGCTCCACCAGCACCTCCGCGAGTCTGGGGCGGACTGGGGCTGCGAAGCTTGCTGTGCGTCACCGTTTTCAGCTTCTCGACAATTTGCGCGGTTCTGCTCCCCCCGCCAATGATTTTGCAGAACGCATTCGCGGCTTCTTTGTGCTGTAATAGCTTCTCGGAGGATTTGCGCAAGCAGGTCACGAGATCTTCGAAGTCGAGCAAGTCGCTGCAATTAGGTGTGAAGAACAGCTTGGGGCTCGGTAGTGTCGTATGAAATTTTCTTCCGGCGCTTTTATTCCCTACTTGTTCAGCGCTTTTTGTTTTTTCTTCCTGCTCTGCGCTATTCTTTCGCATGATCTCAACCAGCTTTGCAAACACCAAATCAGCAATCGGATCAGCTGGACCTCCGGAGCCACTACTCGTCTTGTTCTGCTTCAGTTCCGCTTGCCGTTCTTTCCTTGCCGGAGACGGAGTACAACTAGAGAGCTGCAATCTAATCCCGTTAGGAACATGATGACTCGTTCTTTTCATGCTGTCCTTGCTCTTACTAACGGTTTTCATCTTCGGCGACTGCGAGGGTGCGACGTGCCGGCGGTCATTTTGTTCATAGTGATGTGGAGTATGTTTTACTCGTCCACGTCCTGCCGTTGTACTGTGGTTTTCCGACTTCGAAAAATGTTCGCTCCTTGAAGATCTTGAATTTGTACTTCTACTACTGCCTTTGCTCGGCACGACGCTACTGATGTTCGTCGGGATTGTGACACCTTTCTCCCTTTTCATCATCTTCAGGTACTCCGCCCGTTTTTTTCCGAAGTCAGCTAGATCCACAACTTTATTCGGCAAAACAGTAGAACCTTCGACAGTTGATGTTTGGTTGGCGTGGTGGTGAATGTTGCTGTTGGTCGTACTGTTATTCGTGTTTTGCATTTGCTGCTGTTGCTCCAATTCCTTCATCTTCGCTTTCATCGCATTCATTTATTTTGACTTATCCAGGAGAAAACACTGATCCCCATACAATTTGTCATGCAGAACATGCATAACTTGCAGTGTTTGTCATGCAAAAAATGGATGGGTGTTTTTTCCTGGATATGACTCCATATCCTCCACCTCTTTCGCCAGCGCAGCTGCTGCTGCCGTCGGATCTACCGGTGCTGATCCCTGCTCATCTTTCGCCAGAGCTCTAGCGGTTGCCGTCGACGTCAACGTCGTGGTACCGGGTGCCACTGCTGAAAACCGGGGATCTTGTTCTTGATTTTGTTCTTGCCACAAAACGAGATTTGTGATGCTGTATTTGAGTACACAAATCGACTTGTAATGCTAGATGGCCAAGAGATGCAGCTGTGGCCTGGGTTGCAGGCAATTTGTGATGCTATTTCCCACTTCCAGCTGCCTCCTGTCATGCTGAACATGCAAGGCTTTCCCACGCCAACCGGCACTACAGTCCGCATCTTTTCCCTTCTAGCATAACAAAGCTGATTTGTGACCACAAATCTGCATCACAAATTTCCAGTTTGAGTATGGGGTGGGGGGATTTTTCACTTTGATATGCTTTGGCTTTGAAGTCCGGGCTCTCTTCCACCAACCGCTTGTAAAACTCCACCGCTCGTTCCTTCGGATCGTCCACTGCTCGGTAGCGCTGGTCCACGGTTTGCAAGAAGCTACCGTGGTCTACTTTTTGCCAATAGTCAGGTTGCGATGTAGTTGTCGTGTTGTTGTTCATCCCAATGGGAAGACTTTTCTGGTCAACTTCTGCAGAAGGCGTAACGTTAGCTGTTGTAGTATTTTGAAGACCTTTTTTCTTCGACCCCCGTCGTGGTTCAGGTTCTACATCTACTGGTTCTTCCTCCTGCTCCTGCAGCTTCGTGGTGTTAGTATCTCTTTTCGCCCAGAGAAGCTGTAGATTTTCCCTTGTATTCTCAACAACCACCGCCCGGTAAAGGAGTGGTGTATGACAGGGCACAACTTCCCCTCCCCCTCATTTGTGATGCAAAATCCCACATCCACCATTTGCCTCTTAGCACTTTTTGCATGACAACTTCTGGCACACTCCTGTGCAAATGTGTCATGCAAAACCTGCATTTTTCGCCAGAGTTGCAGCGGTTGCCGTCGACGCCAACGTCGTACCGGGGGCGTCGGATCTACCGGTATCTGATCATCATCATCATCATTATCGTCATGTTTTGCCAGCATCTATGTTTCTAGTTCAGCTTGCGTCTCGGGCTGGGAAAAGGAACACTGCTGTGCGAGAATACAGCACTTGGTCTCTGACTCTGCCAAGCAACCGGCCTCGGGAGCATGTGCGTGTTGCTTTTGCTTCAACCGATACGGCCTGCCTGCGAAGTGCGCGCGGGCCGGCAGCTGCGGCCTTAAATAAAGTATGGCACAGCTGCGGCGCGTGGCACGCATGGCCACAACATGAGGCGCTTCCATGTGGAGCGCCGAGAGGTCAATGGCAGATCTTGACTGGCGGCGGCGCGCAGGTATTCAAGGTAAAAAACACCATCACAGCCACGCCCGCCCCTTGCAATGCGGCAGATCTAGACGCCGTATTGCGTACGTGCTTGCCGTTGCACATCCGTATGCATACATGAATTCGTCGGATTTCTGCTACACAACAAACCAGATCATGCTAGGCGGTCGGGGCATTTTCTTATGCAGCATTTGCAGGGTTGAGGCTGTAACTGAGATGGTGCTGAGCACGTGCACAGGACGCGCCCTGCGCAAGACCATGCAACGCCGGTAAGGACCACCGCTACACTTCCTCCATCAATGCCACCACGACCAGAAGGGCACGCACAGCACCAACACCAGCCCCGCTCTCAGGAAGACGATATGTGTGTGGTTTTTTAAGTGGGGGTCAGATATTCGGGAGAAGGAGACGAGTCACACGAACATCAAGCGAGTACATGTTTTAGTTACCACGCATTCGTTTCGCAGGGTTCCGGTTTTGTAAGGGTTCCGGTTTTAGTAATTAGTCCCACCCTAAGCGGTTGCCGTCGACGCCAACGTCGTACCGGGTGCCACTGCTGAAAACCGGGGAGTTTGTCATGCAGATTTTGTATGACCCATGAGGTCTGTGATCATGCATGCCCTAGCATCAGAGATTTTGCGAGGGCTTTCTGATGCTCATACCGCATGAAAAATGCCCTCTCCGCGTAGCACGGATTACACCTCTTTTGCTGTTCATGCAATACAGATTTTTTATAGAGTTCAAAGTTAGCATCACAAGTTCCAACCTTCCAGACCCAGACACTTTTACATTTGATAAGTACGGCCTAATGTCCGTGTTCCACGGCTGCTCGTCCCAGGGGATTTGGACGGATAGCGTGCCTATCCTGTGCAAAAGTATCGCACTCGTAGTAATCGCAATCTTCATGCATTACAAAGCTCCCTCTGAAACTGAACCCAAATCCGCATTACAAATTCAATTTTTCATGCTGAGGGAATTTGCCATGCGATTTTTACTAGTATGATATTTTTGCAATGCATAGTGCCGTTCCTCTCATTCCTCACCGGAAAGCTGAAGTAGGGGATCGGGACCAGAGAATTTTCTTTTTCGCCGCTGGTTGTAGTAGAGAGACCTATAGTACTGACAGCGACTTGGCTCAAAGTTGTGGCAAAAGCTGGGCGAAAGCTATAGGGACCAACTTTTTTCGTGAATCTGCACGCTATTGCAACGGCAACTTGGCTCGAAGTTGGCTCAAAGTTGGGTCAAAGCTCTAGACCTAAGCATTTTTTTGCTTCTATTTTCTTCTGAAGCACGACACTACTGCATCAAATCTGTGTGATGTGGGCTCTAGACGTTCACAGATGGCGAATTGCAAATCAGCATGCTATGATTGGGACTCCTTTTGGAGAGGTAAATGGTCCATACCATGCAGTCTAGAGATGATGTACACGGTTTTTCCTGGGGTCAAGAAAAGCCGCAGGAAAAGAGGCAAATTTATCTGAATTTTGGGTGCGAAAATCGCGCACCATCAAAAAACCGTGTACATCGCATCGAACCTGCATGGTGTGATGGGTGTACACGGTCTGCAAAGTGGTCGGGCTCGAGGAGACGCATTCTGAACCGTGTACATCGACCACACCATGGGATCTAGATGCGATGTACACGGTTTTTTTGGGCCCGTTGTAAGTTTTGTTGCAGATTTGCCACTTTTGAAACCGTGCACATGCACCATAGCGTGGTGGCTAGGTTCCATGTACACGGTTTTTGGCCAATCTGAAAAATTTGGCCTCGGAAGTGAGTTGCAGCGGTTGCCGTCGACGTCAACGTCGCACGACCGGGGGCCACTTCTAAAAACCGGGGATCTTGTTCTTGATTTTGTTCTTGCCACGTAGATGAAGTTGCAGAAGTTGCTTCCAATGTTCTCTGTTTCTTGTCGTCGGAGGCATTGTACATTGCGTGTAAATAGTACGCAACGGCGGAGGTGGTTCTACTTCTATACGTCGGGGGCGCCGACCGCATTTCCCAAGAACTCTCGTACGCGGCTACTGCGAGGAAAGATCCCCCCTCCCCATATCGATAAGGCACGCCTCAGAAAATTTGTCATGCTGATTTGTGGCCACAAATCGCATCTGTGAAGCAAGAAAGCAACGCCACAGGCTCCGCCCTATTATGCAGGCGGTTTGTAATGCTGTTCTGCCTACGGTATAGACGTTCCCCATGCTAAGCGCCTAGGCCAAAACCTCTCGACTCCGGCACGATATGGGCCTGCAGTGCTCTACTGCAAGACAAAGCTGATTTGAGGTCACAAATCAGCATCACAAATTTCGTTTTCGATATGGAGAGGGGGGAATTTTCCTTACGATAGCGGCCAGGGCGTTCCTCGCCTTCACCCTCGCTTCGTGTAGTTCCTGCAGCTCCTTAAACTGCTCCCAACTCTGCATTGGAGTACAACTTGCTCCCGGGAAGATCATCGATCCCAGCGCCCTGCTGCTCCTGACCCGTGGTCGTTGTGTCCAAAAAGTCCTGGCTCGTCGCCCCCTGCAACATATTAGTACTGCTCTGTTGCGGGTGCATCAATCCCTGGTAGTCGTAGTTGTACAAACGCTCCTCATAATTGGAGACGAAGCTCGGCGCAGGAGGGTGGTGGGCGTCGATCGTGTTTTGAAGATGCTGGAGCATGGAGGTCGAAGAGTTGTGTAGTACTGCTCCCGGCGGAGGTGGTGCCACAGGGGAAGCTCCGTATGTCATTTGATGAGATGTCCACCCGCGCTGGCGCTGGTGTGAAAGCTGTTAATATTATTGTTCTCGGGCACGCCGGAAAATGATGAATAAAATCCTACTTCATCTTCATTTACTGGGGAAGTAGGATCATATTCAGTGTAGCTGTTGTAGTTCCAGGAAGTTTTATTTTGCTGCGCCGCAACATGATTAGGCTGATTGAAAAAAGACGACGCAGATGGAACTGGCGACGAAGCTGCTCCTCCTGCGAAGTAGCCAGTGGTCGACGCAGCCTGTGGTGCGCCATACTCCGTGATCCTCTTCACCACAGTGCCGGAAGATGGATGTAACGGGACATTTTTGCACTGATAGGATGAGAACACGTCGCTGCAACGTTGGTTATTCCACTCAATGCTGGTGGACCCATCTTCATCCACCCACGGCTGGGATTGCGGTGAACGATCCTTGTCGCGGACAATGCTACTAGTGGCCAACATCTTGCCGGGCCGTGGCTGGTTGAAGTGCAGCCGTGAGGACGAAGAAGTTGTTGGCCCGGGGGCTGTAGTGGTCGCGCCAGAAGTCGAAGCTCCTACCGCACCAGATTTTGCGGAAAACGCCGCGTGAAGATGTTGATCGCTGCCCAGTAGCTCATTTTCGATGCTAGTAGTGCCAGAACTGGAAGCCGGTCCTGTGGTTGACGCACCTGCTGGGGCGGGCGTCACGGAAGTACTTGAGGTTGCAGTAGTTGTGGGCGCTGCTGGGGCGGGGGCTGGAGGAGAAGTAGTGCTGCTACTACTCTTTCCACGTCGACCGTGACGGAACCTCGTCTTTCCACGTTTCCACGGGCGCGTCGTCGACCGTGACGGAAGATCCTCTAGTTTTGACCGCATCCTCGGTTTTAATAGTATTTTCCGCGTCACCTTTTGCTGCAACGGGTACCAATTGTTGTACTTTTTTCGGGCTGAACTGAGCGTAGGTACCAGTGGCGAACAAGTTTTGCGGGTAGATGACTTGCTCGATTTGATTTGCGTACGAGGCCAGCTGGTCTCCTTGCTGTGCGTGCCCTATGCATTGCAAAAGTATCGAACTAGCACAGCTTGCAGATACAAGTTGAAGTTTTCTCAATTACAAAAGTGGAGTGGTTTGGCAACATGCTGGAAAATGAGATATAAGATAGTAAATCTGTCACGCACGAGCACGACTACAATCAATCACAGTACCTACGAGGGCGATAAATTTTGCAATGCGTATGCCCCCCTCCGTCGAACCTGTTCTTGAATCTCTTCGCGATTATTATGACCCGCTCAGGTGTTACAGTCTCAAACGTTACAATAAAATATGGAAATCTGTGATGCAAGAGCGCATGATCTAGCTAAGTCTCATAGGATTGCGCATTACAAGTTCTGGAGTCCCAATCTGCACTACAATCTGGCGAAATTTGTATTGCAGAAAGTGGAATGCTGTCCGAGTCTGTCATGCTTATCATGCAACGCGAAGAGAAATTGTTGAAATACTGCGAATAATACAAACAAGAAAACTAGAAATAGTTTCCGTTACTGTTATTGCTACAAACAGAGCGATACTTCGTTCTTCTGATGCAACTTGCGTTTTTGGTAACTTGCGGCACCAGCGACTCAATATAATTATGATCTGCTAACGTCGTGGGCCCATCCTCAGAAAAGGCAATCTCAGTAGCAGCGCGCGCTTTCTTGGAGACTGCCGCTAGAGCGCGTTCCGCTGCAGTATGGGCAAGTAAGGCGCGACGGGCGGCCTTTGCGGGGGCTTCTCGAAAGTGTTGCTCCGCCGCACGGGTGAAGGCCTCTCTCTCCCGTTTCCGCGCCTCAGCGCCGCGCACGGGGTCGTCACCAGAGCTGTCCTGTCTCGCAGCAGTCTCGGGAGACAGAAACGAATGAATGAGGCCCAAGTGGGTATCGTCGAGCGTTTGCAACAGGTCGGTGGAGCCGCGCCGCTGCTCGAGAGAATCCGACGACGTCGCCGCTACGCCAGCTGCCTTGACGGTGGAAGTGGAACACTGGTAGGAGAGATAAATAACCTGGCTTTGCGCCAGGAGGGAGAAAATCCGAGGATGCATTTTTCTCGAAAGATGGATTTTTTGGAAATAAGCTCCTCTCGAGTAGTTCCATGAAGCGGACGTGCTGTTGATCTTGATGGATACACTAATATTAAAAATTTCGTACTATAGTTAGAACAAAATATAAATGATACGTTGTTGAGAAGCAGAAGTACAACTTGGATGCAGAAAAAACACTACACAAAAAACACAAGAATTCTCAGGTGGACCAATGTGTCTGTGATCTAAGAACAATGATAGGAAGACCACTGATGCTGGCGTTCTATGTGCATGCAACTGGAAGAAAACATAATACAGGAGAAGGTGATTATTTTGCAAAAAGATCCGCGCCGGGCCTAGTAATCGAATTATATTGATTTTTTCAACGAGCAAGATCACAATTATATATCTTTACAAGATGGGGGTCGGCCGTTTGGCCGACCCTATCTTGATGCACAGTGGGCAGCTAGAAAAAACGGCCCCTGTTCTTGAATCTCCGTTTTTTCTTGCTGCTCACCTGTTCTTGAATCTCTTCGCGATTATTTTCTCCGACCACTACGGCTGGGAAATTTTGCGCGAGAAGCTGGCGGACGATTTCGATCGGGACCCCACAGCGATAGAGAGCTTTACGGACATCAAACCGGCGGGGGAGGGAAATGGTGGGGGTAGCGGTAGCAGGGATGCCCTCACGCAAGACGATGTTGCGAAATGGCTAGGAGGGGCGGAGAGTCAGAGTACTTGGGACAATCTTTCGCAATCGAAGCAAGACGAGTACCAGACCAGGGCGGGCTATCCCATGTAAAAAGGTCCCCACCACCCCACAGTCAAGATGGGAAATCTTCTAGACAACTTCACACGCAGCTTTGGCTGCTGGGCATGACAGATGTGGCCTCGTAGTGTAATCCTGTTTAGCTAATTCAGCAGCGTCACAGAGCTAGCGCAGCGCGCCGATGGGAGTTTGACAAATTCCGCAGCACGACGAGACGGCGACAGTGCTTCTCATGGGGCTCCGCGTGCGAAATATTTTCACGAAGCAGAGAGATGATTTGCATTACATTTACAACGAAAGGGTGGGGATTTTTTTACACAGGATACGGACGGGCTGTTCGAGTGGATGGATGCTGACCCACGCGACGGGACAATTTCGATCAAAGAGTGGAACGCAGCTATCAGCCCCGGAACACAGCCAGCCGACACCGTTGACGGCGAACTGCTGGACTACGAGGACCTGCCCAGCAAGATGCGAAGCGAACTATCAAGAAGAAAAATTCCCCCTCCCCATATCAAAGCGGAAATCTCGGATGCAATCAGCTTTGTCATGCTCGAAGGGAAGAGATGCGGACTGTAGTGCTGGGTGGCGTGGGCAAGCCTTGCAGCTTCAGCATGTCACTGTCAGGAGGCAGCTGGAAGTGGGAAACGGTGTGACAAATTGCGTGCAAACGAGGCGGCCACGACTGCGGATCGTGTTGTACCTCGTCTCCTACAGTCAATCACATTAGTACATCGTATATTAATTCCGTCGAACCTGTTCTTGAATCTCTTCTCGATTATTTTTTCCGACCTCCGGGCGGAACGCCTTTCTTTCGCGAGGATCTGCGCTGCAGTTTTCGGCTTCGTCATGGTGATGGATCCTTGATGTTCTGAACGCGGCGACGGGCACAGAAGCCCTCCGTCGGCAATAAAACTAAATAAAAACTTTAGCCAAGGTCGCTGCTCTACTACTGCACAATAACAGGGTTTGCGTTTGTCTCGTCGATGTTCGTACAAGATTTTATCTAACTATCGTCCATCCCACCCACGTGGTTATCTGCAACGAATACGAACGCCAAAGACCTCAAACGCAACACCACGAACTAGCTGAGGCTGGCTTCTCTTTGCGTAAGTAGTTCATTAATATTGCCCTTTTCGAGTTCGTCAACTTTTGCACTCTCGTACCCGGCGATTGTGATGTCTAGACGAGTTTTTAATGTAGTATACAAACTACAAAGACAAGAAAGCGCCCCGCATACCTTGGTCGAAATAAGCGAGTTGTGAACTATTTGACTGCGAAAAGCAACCCCTTTTTTCTGCTTTACTTGATTTTGTCTCCGACGAACAGGAACTTTATTTCAACCTGTTGTTCAACGTGCGAGGAGGAGGACAACGAGAAGAGGATAAGTAACCACGGTGGACTACATACTAATCCCCAATGAGACGAGAAGCTCGTCGACGATGAAGAACAGCCTGAGTATCTATGGTTCCCATGTACAACGTGTCGTGGCATCCTCGACAACCGTTGCCGCACCACACGGAAGATCCTACCGCTTGCTTGTGCTTCATCTCCATCTTTTCCTTACAAAACAACACGGCGATGATGTCTGCGAAGATGTCTGTTCCTTCTTCTCTGCTATAAATAATTGTACACTGAAAACCAAAACAAATAAACCCGTGGTACGTAGTTAAGGTCCGTCTGCGAGGAGCTGAGGCAATAAAGCGCGAACCCATCGTGCGTGATCCCCTTACGCACTACTTACGCTGCTGAATAAATCGTGAAAAACAATACTTAGCAAGAACTACACTAAGAAACGATTTCCGCGCTTTCACTTTTTTTTTCTTGACGCTTTTTGCATCTTTACCTTTCCTAAAATCGCATGATTTGTACTCCTGAATACTGAGTGAATTGTACACATATTACGCTCTCATCTTTTCAAAAAGTTGTAACAACGGCCGGGCTTTCTCGTACAGCACGCGGCCGCCGCTAGCAGGCAATTAGGTATATTCGTACTACGTCTTTCGTTACGTGGTCTTCTGAGGAACAGCTACCTCCGGGTAAATTAAAGTGAAAACCAAAAGTCCCCCTGCCCCTCCGCCGCAGGCTTCAAAATCTGTAAATGTGAGCTCTCTTTCTAAGTCTAAAGCGTTTCAACATTGCGATTAATTTCATTTTACACGACGAGAGATTAAGTAAATACTTAGTTGGTGTTGACAGGACGAGAAGTTTTAGTGTTTACATTGCGATACTTAGTTGGTGTTTACATTTTACACGACGAGAGGTTTTAGTTGGTGTTGACAGGAATGATCACTACAAAGAGGTGGAACTTGAGACAACTGCAATGGATCTTTTAGGGCCTTGAACTTTTGACGCCATGCCCGGGCATGGAAAGAAAGAAAGAAAATCCTTATTCAAATATATCATAACTTGACGTAATTGATGTCATCATCCCGTTTGTAGCGTTTGCTTACTGCAAGAATTGCGATTCTCAAGGCCAACATCTTCATTGCAACTGAGGTCATGTAATTTCTGTACTCCGAGGAATAAAGCGAAAAAGAAAAACTCTTCAAAACTACTGTCGCAGTAAATCACTGAGCATCGACATCCTCAACCAGTTCGATGTACACGATAGGAGGAAGTAGAGTTGTTCTCAACATTAGTGATCCAGCAATACTAGAAGCCCTTCTATTGTTCACGACCCAGTTTATTTTAAGTCTTTCTCTTTCGATAATCATCTCACCCGAAGGACAAATCGATTGGTGAGCAGAGGAGCTCCTCTGTGGCGCTCCACTGCATAATCACGCCTCTGGTCGCCCTTCATCTTGTTATAGTAAATCTAAATACTACATTAATAACGGGTTTCGTCTCCTCTGCTCGCGCGGGCCGTCATGATCCGCTTCGCGCGGGCCGTCCGGGAGATCATGATCCGCTTCGCGCGGGACGTGCGGGAGCTCCTCAAGCCTCTGCCGGAGCTTTTCCGTACACGCCACATCCATTTTGTCTCGATCCAGCAGAGCACGTACACCGAACAAAACAGCTGAACCGCAGCACGTAGAGTTCCACAAGAACTTAACCGCCCCAGGAGCCGTGCCGGCGCAGAGTGGTCCGATGTAAGGAGCACAGGCAGCTGTTAAAGCGAAGAGGAAGGGTAGGCCCACACGCAGGTGCGACTTTTTCAGCTCGTCCAGGAATTCTGCGGACGGCAGGTTCCTTCGCTCCAGTTCGGCAAGGTCAGCTCTTGCGTCTTGAATCTTAGCCGCGTCGAGTACGATAGTCACGCATGAAAAGGAAACATCCCCCCTTGTCCCATTGTGAAGAAAGGGGAGATTCTGATACTGGACTTGGTTCGTACACAAATCAGTGATTTGTCTTGCAGAAAGTGCTTGGCGGCATTACCTTCTGTGCCTGTTTTTAGTTTGGGTACTATGCAGAAGGCTAGCAATTAGGCGAATGGCCAACAGATTTCTTGCAGTGGTCCAAAGCGGCGCATGACAGACTGGCTGTGGAAAGCGCGGCCACATGGGAGCTCCCATTTGTACCCACTAGGAGAGACAAAGGCCATCTGTGGCCACAAATCAGCATGACAAATTTTCATTTTGGTCATATGGGGAAGTGGGGGGGATCCATTTTGATACCACGCCACGTTTCACCGCTTCGTCGACGGGAATCTCGGTCTCCACCGCCGGCGTGCTATCATTGGCGCACCACAAGAACTTCTTCTCTTCTCTATCCTTATGCACGATAAAAAAAATTTCTACACCATCACAATCTTCCATTTGTCGGGCACGGCAACCTTTTCTTGCGTTGCAGAAATCACTATTTTGATGAGAAAGTGACATGACTGTGATGCATTCTTACTTACGCTTCATGACGGATAAACTTTTTGCGATAAAAATTCTTGCAAATACAGCCTGCAAGTAAAACCGTGACTGTAATGCTGTTTTTTTGTGTTGGATATTGTTGCTCCGAATGATACGTTATCAACTGCAAATATGTGGTCTGGGTCTGGAAGGATTTGTCCTGCACTATCTCGTCGCGCACCACATAAATTAATAGTCTAGAATGCACAGAAACATCACAAATTCAAAATTTTGCGAGACTTTCTTCATGCCTATTACGCACGGGGTGTCCGCCTTTTGCCTAGTAAGGATTCGGCAACTTTTGGCGTTCATCATCATTGTCATCATGATTCTCACTGGATCGGCGGTAGAGCTCATTGCCGATCGCGTAACGCATCGTCTATTTGTGATCGAGACTTAGCATGACAAGTTGCAGTATTCCAGGCCCAGACATATTTGCAATGCATATATTCCGCCGCGTCGAAAAGGTCCTTGACACTGATGGTTGCAAACGAGGGAGTATGCATTGCAAATACTCTTGGTCATCTGGCTTTGTAATGCAAGATCTGAAGCACGCGCACGCCAAGAACAAGATCTTCTGTGATGCATGAATCGAAGAATACGAGTCACCAGGAGTTTTCCTTGTCGTGCTGAAGTCTCCTGTCTGCCATGCGTTTTCTTTACAATGAATCTGCTGATGATTAGTTCGAGCGGGGCTCGGCGCAACTCCCTCCTCCGACGCGCGGCAGGAATAGCCTGCCCTAATACCCTAGTGGAATGAATCTGCTACAAGCCACCAGAAAATACTTAAACTTGCGATGTTGTTTTGCCGTACACGCGGCTACTCTGCGATGCGAGCCTGAGCAACACATGTTGTAGTTTTCAGACCCAGATGGCAACATATATGCAATGCATAGGAGATAGGGATTTGCAACCCAGCTGCGATTGCGGAAGAGGAGACAAACGCTCTTCTTGAAGACCGAGAAGGTTGAGGACCGAGGATCCTCAGTGCTCAACCGAGAACAGAATCAGGAAGAGATGCGGGCCGCTCAAGCCGCTCCTTCTTAGCGGCAATCACGTCGCTCACACGAACAGAAAACAGCTTTTCTCCGCTCAGCAACAGGACGGAAATTTCCCGCTCGTCTAGTTGAGCAGTTGCATCTGGCTGAGGAGAAGGAGGATCAGACGGAACGGTCCTCGTTGCATGATCAACTCTACTACTACTGCCCCTCAGCAAGCCAGTCGCGCTGCGGCTGCGGCTGCGGCTGCGGCTGCCCGTGCGGGTACTACCGCGACGACCGGGGGCGCCGCGGGCCAGCAACTGCAGTTTTACAGCGACGGCCTGGTGCTGGTGCCCGTACTGTGTTGATACCGACAGGAAACCACACATCGACATCGCAGCAGCGCTCAAGAGGAAATGAAGTACGGCCGGACCAGGGGCGAAGCGCCGTTTGTTCAAGCTGCTGCGATCGGAAGAGAAAAAGACCATGCTGGGCGTGGTGGTGGTTGTGCTAAGTACAAAAGTATGGCTTCTGGCTCCTTTCCGATAAGTAGTGCGCTGCTCTGTCGACTAGCACAGGACTGGCGAGAAAGCTGCAATAAATTCCTTATTTTGCTTTTGCTATTGCTACGCGCGAGAAAGAAGAGATTTGAAATCGGAGCAGGTTTCTTTATTTTTACAACTTACGGCTATAGTATTTCAAAACAAAAGCAAGACATTTCTTCAAACAAACAGCCAAAAAAGACACTTGTCTGAACCTGCCAGATAGTGTTTTGAGCAAGCAGTTGGCTTTCACCATTTTCACCTCTTTTGTGGATCAGACACAAGAGAACTTCTTTCGGTCGATCTATTTTCATCACTGCTAATCGTGGACAAGAAGGATCGTCATCAGCACCTTATCCTTCAATAAACACGAGTTCTTGCATCTGGAAAAATCGAAATGATCGAACCTCCGTTTGGAAGATCTTGATCTTCTGCTGCCTGGTGTAACTTTTCTGTATTTCCAACAAATCTACATTTGCAGGGATAGGACAAGCAGCCATGTGCCAGCTCTCTATGCGCTGTCCGGTGCTGTCCGGTGCGAGATTAGGAACCTCTGGAAAACGAAGATCATGCACAACTTCTGGTGGATCTATGGCCCTGAGGCGAGTGAAATGTAGTATGGAACAACTAGATGGGTCTAGATCACGTGAAAAACTATACGATCATCGTGTTGGCCCGGAACGCAGTCAGGCAACGATCTCCTCCACGAATAAGCAATGGAGCCGTACTAGCAGAGGACACACTAATACAGGGTATAGAACTACTTTACAACAACCAACAGTTGCCGCCTCAACGGCGTCTTTACGTAGTGGCGTTGTTCCTGCAACAGAGAAAAAACAGAGCGGATCCTTGAACAAGAGCATTCGCATTCCTGGAGGCATCTATTGAAAACTCCACGAACAAGAATCGCCGCCTGCTGCTGCTTCCCCTTTCGGAATAACATTCCAGACAAGGTGATTTTTTATTTTCACAAGGCCAGAGGCAGAGCGAGACTCAGATCTGCGATCTTGTGCAGTTGTGCTCTCATCTTCTTTTCGATTTGTTCACGAATCTGCGCTCTACTACCAGACTAGCAATGCCAAAAGAAAACTTTTTTCATCATGCGCCAAAATGTACTTCTTGTTTCACCAAAACCAGTGCCAAAAAGTTTCATCATACACGTTTAGCGTTGCGCTATTTTTACAAAGAAAACCTCTACTAGGACTTCAACTGAAGATCGTACACAACTTCTTGTAGATCTGTGGCCCTGAGGCAAGTAGATCGATGTAGATCATGTGAAAAATACTGTTGTATGCGATCATCGCATCAGGCAGCAATCTTCTCCACAGAATAATAAAGTTGTAGTTGTCTTCAGTTCCATTTTACACTCCGGGAGGTTCAGATAATTCAAAACTCGCATAGCTTTTTTCTCCAACGCTTTCAAAGCTGATTTTCTGTACATGTACTGCAGCCGGCATACAAGAAATAGATCAGGCACTATGTTCTTGCCCTTCTTGCCGACCTCGTATAGTACCAAAAATATTTTTTGCAGTAGACTTCTAGATCGTACAAACATAATAGATCATCTCACCACATCCACACTATGCGTGTAAGAAGTACTTCCACGAAGTAGCCTAAAGCCTTTTGCTCCATACGTCGAAGCCTTCAATTTTACACTGTTCAATCCGACTGGAAATCAAAACTGTGGCAAAACGCCACGCCATTGGTTTTCAACCATGAAAGAGCGCATTTGTCTACTTCGTGCTTCACAGGAAAGAACGGGGATAATGCATTACGTTTAATACGCCTTCGTCTTTTCAAAGAATAACAACAGCACCAGCGATTCCTCGTAGAGCCCATGCCTACTGCGAGTGCCACAATAAGTATATTTTTTGAATTTGTTTCGGCGGCTACTAGCTCAGCACCTGTAAGCACGAACGGGTAAGAGCTCCTAAGTACCCAAAGACGAGCCCGAAATTAGCCTGCTGCCGGATCCTGCTCCCCGCGCGGCGGGCCCACCTCCGGCAACCCGTGAAGCATCGACCGAAGGTCTGCCACTCGGACGCGCATTTCAAGCTCATTGCTCTTCCCAAGTTCGACGACGGCGCAGGCCACCAAGTACAAACCCTGCATCAATAGAACAATGGGCCGCGGCACGTCGTGGTCAGTGGGAACAATGGCGAAGGCACAGCCTAGTCCGCAGGAAAACAGTACATGTGCGACCGCACGACCAGCACGCTTCATGTACCTATCTCGGCGGCCTTTCTTACCTATCCTCTTAACAAACGTCCCCACCACATAGTCAATGATTGGTAAATCGGCAACACAAATCGCCAAATTTTGGGATTTTATGCATGACAAGTTTCGATCAGCAGTGTAGTGCTAGTTAACAACACAAAGACGCCTGCTAAATTATATCCTCTTAACAGCGTGACAAATCCGCGGCCGAGAACACGACTACAAATTTTTCTGTCTCTGATGCGGATCATCTGCATAATTGCAGAGGATTCTGTAGATGCAAATCTGCATGGTAGCTCTGGGAAGATGGGAACGCTAACGGTTTTACCCAGGATATCAGCACGGGTTTCTTCATCTGCGGCCAGGATACCCAGTCCATCTTCAAGGTGTCGCAGCTCACCTCTCAACTCTCCGAGTTTCTCCGCGTCCAGTATGATAAACACGCCGTGTCTCACCGCTTCGTCGACTGAGATTTTGGCTGTGCCGTTACGACACTCCTGTGCACCAAAGACGCGGTCGCCCAAGACAATTTTCACTGGGAGCAAGGCCGCTGCCCAAGACCCCTCTGCTTCTGGGAGCAAGGCCGCTGCCTTGAGCAAATCTTGGACAGTAATCGCTCGAACTGTTTCTACCGGTTGTACTAAGGAGCAAATCTTGGACAGTAATCGCTCGAAAGTAAAACCGGCTGAGGTAGAAGACCCAGAGGTTGTTGATCCGGCAGTGGAGGCATCAAGAGTTGTGTGCTCGTTGGCAACAGTGCAAGAAGGAATACCCGCCACCGGGACGGAAAGCAGTGTTTTTCCAGACACCGCAGACTTGATTTCGATTTCTCGGCTGTCACTCTTACGACTGCGGGTGCGTTGTATTTCTTCCCTCTTAATATTTCCTTGTTCGGAGACATCAACAGAGGACTGGAGCTGCAGATGCACAGCGAAGACCGCCCCATTTGACGATAGCGACATCAAGGACATGCACAAGAACGCCGCAGCGCTCAAGAGCAAACGAGGTGCAGACGGAGCAACGGCAAAGCGCCGTGCGTTCAAGCTGCTAGTACTGGTGCCGGCAGAAAAGAACGAGACCATGCTGGGCGTCGTGGTAAGAAACAGTGTTTAGAAGTTTTTCGAAAAATTAGGTTGCTCTACTGTCGATCAGCAAAAGCGAAAGACGAAATTTCTTCTGTTTTTTCTACGAGCGAGAATAAAAAGAAAAAGAATTGATGATGATGGAGCACGTTTTTTTACGCCCTGATAGTATTTCAAAACAAAAACAAAGGCGTTTGTGGCGTCGGGAGCCAGAGGACATCTTTTGGTCGATCTATTTTCACTGCCAATGGACAAGGATCTTCATGATCCTTCCATACCTGATCCTTCAGTATGCATGTTGAATCCAAATTTCATCTGGAATAGAAATGATCGGACCGACGATGTGCTGATCCCCCAGCTTATTATTTGATGATCCACCGCGTTTATAATACGATCTTGGATCAGTGCGGAGGTTCATCTAGCACTTCTTACTTTATTGACTTGATCCGTGGCATCATGTGATCCCTGTGTGTAGTAGTTGCTGTCGTGTTCTTCACTCGCATAATGCTGACCAAAAAGTAGGACAAAGAAGTTCTGCTACTGTCATCTCCAAACAAATTTATTTTGGACGGCGGTCAGAAGCAGAACGACAGGCCAATTTATATATTGATTGTGGCTCTCATCTCTCCAGTGTCCGCTGCGAGATCAACAAGACGATCTGGGAAACGAAGATCGTGCAATTTTTCGTGTAGATCTTCTGTGGTCCTTGTGACGAGTGAAATTAAACTAGGATGTAAGACTTAGATTTTGATGATGATCATGACTTCGAGCTGGGCTCGGCGATCAGATAATCACGTGAAAAATATTAACAGATTATCGCGTAGATCGCAGTCAGACGCAAAAAGCGTCTCCACGACCTCCAACGGAGCCGTAGCAGAGGTGGCATAGAGCAGTACGAATCAACGACCGAGAGTAGCCGCCTCAGCGGGAGTACGTATTGAGGTAGGTCACGATGGCGTAGTTGTAACGGAAAAAAAAAGAACAGCGCGGGTTCTTGAACACCATTCCTGCCGCTGGATCCTTGAACAACAAAAACTCCACGGAGCGCCGCCTCTCCCTTCCGGAAAACATTCCAGACTATGTTGACAAAGTGAGTTCGTTTTAAGCGTACTTTTGCTTTCATCTCCGTGTTCTTTTCAATTTTACCAAAACAAGTCATCAAAACAAGTCCCCAAAACAAATCACCAAAACAAGTCACCAAAGCAAGTCACCAAAACAAGTCAAGTCACCAAATTTCATCAACTCTCTGCCAAAACAAGTGCCAAGAAATACTTGCACTTTCATCTTCGTACACGTCCTTGTTTGAAATCTTACCATATACTTTCACCATACACAAATACTGCCTTGCTTATACCAAAAAAAATGAAGCTTCAAGATTGTAACTTCCTTAAAGCTACGCGTCGATCTCATTGCAGCACTAGGATCCCACTGGTCCAAGAAAAGAAAATTTATCTCCAACATCAAAAAAGACTCTCCTAGAAGCCGCTGCGCATCTAAAGATCGTCGGTCTTAATATACATAAAGCCTAAAGAAGCGCCCGCTAGGCGGGAAACTCGCAACGAGTTTGCTGGGCCGGTCGCACAACGAACTCTGAGCCGTGTGCGTGTCAACATGAGAAAATAAAAATTTTGAAAAAATAAAAGCACTGCGGTCCTTCCTTCGCGTTTCTGTGCGTGTTCTGCTTATGGCCCTACAGTCGATGTTGTATTGCGACGTTCCATATATAAAGCTGTAACTGTAGTTGTGGGTCATACCATCCACAGCAGCTGCGCCACAAGCAGCTCTGGATCTTCTACTTGATTTTTGTTTTTGTTTTTGACTACACCAGCTAAAGAATGACAATACAAATTTACAACAGTTCTACGCTTCAGTTCTGCGCTTTAGTTAGCCAAAGTCGGTTTAGGAAGACTTGTCCGATCTATAAGTCGATAAAATCGTGGCTGTGCGTGTGTTATTATCCTTGTTCTTTTTTCCCTTTACAACAACTTTACATAAATAAACACTACAACTTTACTTACAGAATTTTTACCCACCCAACATCATAGGAGGTTGCACTCACTCACCTGTCCATTGGCACAGCTGGATTCCGCACTTGAAATCGCTTATCCAGTCCTCGTTCGGCTGCTCCTGCATCCGTTCAGCGGGCCAACTCGGATCAGGTGTCAAGGTGGCATAGCATTTTAGAATCGTCATTTCCGTCGGGGATTCCAATATTGCGAAATCGTGCCTGTCCATTGTGTACCACACCTTGGTGTTGCTAGTGTTGGACCTTTTCTCCCAACGGTTATCGTAGTCAAAAACAGGATGCGGGCGTCCGGGCGTGTACTTGAAGTCACTTCCGGCATCAAAAGAGATATCCGTGGTGTAGTGTTCCGTGCGCAGCACGTCGCCGAAAACCGCTCCACCACTGCTTTCGACTACCTCCTTCCGCGTCAGGCGCAATCGGTCTTCGTGGGGCTTCGGCGCAGAGAGGTAGAAGGGCGTGGCCTGGAAAACTTTCGGGTAAAACGCAGCCAAGGCGGCCGACGAAAGGCTCGCGGCCCCCGGCGTGCTGCTCCTTTTGCTTCTACTTTCCGCTGGACTTCTTCTTCCCATCTGCTGGCTACTTCGCAACAACAGCTGCGCTTCGCTTTCCGCACTGAGCTGCAGGGCCCGGCCCGAGGAGAAGCCCTCGGGCTGCTCAGTCGAAACGTATCGGAAACTGCGAGAACGGTCCGGAGACCGCGCTGCAAGAGGGGGTGCAGGGTCCGGCTGCGAAAAAGAGGAGACGGAAAAGCTTCGACTCTTATCCTCGTTCTCGCTGCTGACTCGGAGGTGATTGATGCTCCCCTGTTCATTCTCGTTGGAAGAGGAATTACAACCAGCACAACCACTAGCACTATTTGATGTAGGCAAAAAATCCGCCTGCTTTCCTTTCTCCTTTTCCACCAGTCTCTTCAGTGCTGCTTCCACGGATTTTTGCGAAAGGAACTCATCCGAACTGCGGTGATTGATGCCAAAGACGTTCATTCCCTCCTCATCTGGTAGGAAGCTTTGGTTCGCAGTACAGCTGAATTCCCCCGGACGGAGGAGAGCGTCAGCAAGCACCTTCTTCGCCGCATCACTCAACTTGGACGCTGCCGTCCGTGGGGTAGAAGAAGTACTGCCTGAGGACAAGGGGGTGGAGGCTGCACCTTGGGGATCATTTGGCTCCTCACCCTGAAAAAGCTGCTGCGGCTGCGCCTCGTCCTCCACAACGTCTGGCAGCATCAAAGAGGATTTTTTCCCAGCAGCCACCATGGCTTGCTCGTTCGCTTCCACGGCTTCGCGCCCCAAGCGGCTCACTGCCGCCAACGCCCCGGAGCCCTTACTGCGTCCTGCCCCGAGGGAAGATCGTCTCTGCCTCATTTCCCGCCGGAGAACGATTTCCATGGCCGTCTGCGGTGTGGGAACGCGGAACTGCGGAACACTCTTCGCAATGCGGAACACTCTTCGCAATTTTTCCCCACAGGCTGTGACGATAGTCGCCATAGATTGATTGCGACTAAGAAACACTGAATCCCACCTGGATTCTGCTTGACATGCAAGATGGCCAGTGTTCACACCGCCCGCGTTTCTTCGTCGTTGATTGTCTTCACACCGTGAAAATTCGGTTGACATTCTAACGGCACAGCCTTGAGCGCTGACACCAAGACACGACCAGTGCCAACACGACAACAACTACCAAGCCTGGTCCCCCCGCAACACGACAACACCTACCAAGCCAGGACCAGAACCAAACCACCAACCACACCAAGACCCGCAGGAAGGTACTAAAAGCACGAAGAAAAATAAAGAAAATTTTGAATTTTTGGTAGTGTTTTTGAATAGAATTTTTGTTTGAATTTGAACTAAAAATTTAGGCAAAATAACCCCCAGCCACCGAGTTCAAATCAACCAACAGTGGTGATTTGCTGCCGTGATATCAATTGCTGATACACGGTCAGAGGCTGTTTGAAAGTAAAAGAGAATTTGTAATCATACACCTACACAGGTGCAAGAGAGACAAAGCGACCAAAGGTGCGCGCTACGAAGCCCGTAACCTTTGCCGAAGCATCGAGCGAGGAACAAGACAGGTGCTAAAAGTGTACTTATTTTCGGTCTGTTTTCTAAAATCATTGGAAATTTTGAATGCGAGCACACATGGCAAGAGCACAAAAATCGCATGTTAATCCTCCCCAACAAAAACTATTACAGTTTTGGGCGGCGGATTTAACGCACCGAGCAGCAGGCCGGTACAAGAGCAAGGACCCGACAGCAGGCCACGAAAAAGGTACTGAATTACATCGGTTTTTGAAAATAGAAGTCTAAACGTAATTCTGATTTTGTCTGTAATTGCATCGTGAATTCAACAAGATGATCGCATTTGAAATGCTGAATACCATCTGAATTCGATTGCAAATTTCTTGTACAGGTAGCCGCCTACGCGTGTACCGAGTACAACAGACGACACAACCGCGACGCGCGTGCTCATCGTGAAAAGATGGGGGCGCCGGGTGATGACCATCGTCCGAGCACTTCCGGCACCGTCGGAATGCTGTACGACGCGGAACACGAGGGAGAAACTGGAAAGGACTTCCAGACGTTCAAGGGTAGCGTGATCGCTCAGGCGTTCTCGTTGAACATCGGTCCCCAGTTCAAAGAGGACTTAGAAGGAAAAGTCTGCATGGACAAGTGGGATGAGGTCGATCAGTTAGCCTGCGACCAGTGGGTTGCTGACGGCAAACACGAAAACGACTTCTGGCCCACCTACACAACCGAAGTGCGCTCAGCTTACGCGAAGTTGTATGGTACAGTATTCAAATCCTTAACCGGAAAGGCCCGAGCCAAAGCTCAGGACATTCAGGAAGAGCCCGGGGCTGACGCGTGTGTAGTCTGGTTGATGCTTCAGATCAAGGAAAAGGCTAACCCGCAGACCGCCGGTGCCCGCCGCATGTTGATCAAGGAATATTTCAACAGCAAGCAGGGTGAAGATGAAACCGTGGAAGAACATATTGACAAACTGAAGAACTTCTGGAATTTCAAACTGGGCGCTAAAGTTACGGCCGAAGAGTTACGCTATCACTGTATCTTCGGGAACATGCGCGAGGAATTCGATGAGTGCAACAAGCGTGCCTTGGCTAATGGATTCAGTTTCGAAGAAACCAAGAATCATATGGTCGAGGAAGAACGCGCTCTGTCTAGCAACGGAGAGACCACGAAGCACAAAGCTAATCTGGTCCGCAACAAGAATTCTCGCAACCAGCATGGCCCGCGCCCGGATCACGTTCAGAAGAACCGTGAGAAGCAGATGTTCTCCAATATGTTGAAGAAAGAGATGCCGAGTCTGATCCAGCAAGCCGCTGCGAATCTGATCGCGCAAAATCCGAACTTGACCCAGAATCACACTGCTGGTAGCAATGACGACAGTCATGCGGCCAATTACGCAGGAGATTCCAAGTGGTGTTCGAATTGCAATTCGGAATCCCACAACACCAAGGATTGCTGGTACAAAAACGGCAATAAGGTCAATAACAAGTCTTCCAATAAGAATTCCGGTAAGGGTAACAACACGAATACTGTTCGCAAGGGCAACGACAAGCCGAAGGGTGGAGGTAAGAAAGGAAAAGGAAAGAAGGGTAGGAAATACTGAGTCTTAGATGGTGTTTCGAAGAAAAGTAGCTTGTTACACAAACTACAAAAAGTAAGAAAACTATTCTTACGGCTGACGAAAACTCGATGTTATAATACAAATTATTCGCGATGTTTTTCAACTAAATTTTTAACAAAAATACCCCCCCAAAAGAACCCCCCACAAAAAGAACAACCACCTGGTGATGAACCACCAGTGACTACAAGTCATTTTGAAGAAGATGAATGTGTGTTCGACAGCAAGCTTGACATCTTCAATCCAGATTCTTCATCATTAATCGATATGGATGATTTATTCTCGAATCTCGATAAGAATGAAGATGAAATTTGTACCAATGATGCAGCTGGTCCAACGAGACAGCTGAAAGGAAAACGAAAAAGAGCAGAGCTGGAGCTTGCTGAGCAATTTGCAACCCCAGAGATGGCAAATATGACACAACAAGTCCAGGCTCTTGAGTCGACCGATCGCGAAATCCGTAAGATTTTATTTCCTCGATCTCATGTTTCGGATGCGTCCAAAGCCGAACGAGTTGAAAAATGCAATCTGTCACAAGATGCAGTATTTTCAATCGTAGCAAAAGAAAGCGAGCAAAATCATTCGCCCGAGTACACAGCAAGAAAGCTAGCACACCTCTACAGCGTTCGCGAATCAGCATTGAGGAAGGTGCGCGAGGCGAACGATGCTCATCGGAATAAAAAGGACGAGCAGCACCGAAATCATGAAACAGCTTTTAATTGTGTCGATGATGCAATTTGCGACAGTGGCGCAACAAGTCACATGTCGGGCCGACCAGAGATTTTCGAATCTTGGGACGACAGTAATCCAGTGCGAATAACTGTAGCAGACGGAAAAGAGTTGGATGGCCCTGGATATTTTGGCACATTGAAACCAAACGCACTTGGTTGCAAGCGTGCAATATTCCATCCATTCCTTCCACAGACCCTCCTCAGTGTCGAGCAACTGAAGAAAGAAGGCTATAGAGTTGTTTTCGACGAAGGGGGCAACTACTTGCAAAGTAGGAAGACAGGAAAGAGAATTTTTCTTCACAAAGGGATCGGAACCAAGCTGCCGGCCGTGGCACTTGGGTTCAACGAAGATCCAGGTGAAAAGGGTTTGTTGTGCGAAGAGATCGAGACAGAGTCCACTATGATGACAAAGGCTGAGAAAATGCTTCTTGATCATCAGCGTGCTGGACATCGTAGTCTACCAGGAATAGTAGTCCGATGTCCTGCCTGCGATCTCGCGAAAAGCAAAGGCGCGCAACATGCAAAAGCGAAGAAAGAATGCTACAAAGTTGAAAAATTCAATGACCAAGTTGATTTTGACTTCACTGGACCGTGGGAACCTGACTACTGGTCGCAAAGATGGGTGCTAAATGCCATCGATCAAGCAACCAGCTGGCCTCGTTCTTTCATCTGCAAGAGCAAAGCAGAAGCAGGCGCAAAGCTGCAGGTCTGGATAAATGAAGAGGGACCACCGAAAAGAGTGAGATCCGACAATGCCAAAGAGTTCAAGGAACCAGGTAGCACTTGGAAAAAGACAGCACAGAAACAGTCCCCGCCGATTCATACTGACTACTCAGCTCCATACGAACCACAAGAAAATGGAAAAGTTGAAAGATACAATCAAACTCACCAGAACGGAGTGAGGGCAATGATGGTCGGAGTCGATAAGCGTATGTGGAGTTATGCAGCACGCACTTTCTCCCACATATTCGCCCGAACCCCTACAGCCAAAGGAGGCGAGTCGCCATTTGAAAAACGCTTCAAAAGAAAACCTTCCATCAAGTATTTCCGACGTTTCGGATGCTTGGTATACGCGAAGGATCACTCACAGAAGTCGAAGCTTGAAGACCGGTTTACCCGTGGAATCTTTCTAGGCTACGCCCAAGAAAATTCTACATACCTGGTAGGCATGTGGTCCGCAGATGGTCGATGTAAGAAAAGCTCCAAAATCCGCTTCGGAGTCCACGAGGTGAAGTGTTGTAAGTTTGATGAATCAGTGCTGGTCAGCAAGATAGATGATCTGAAGCCGGACGCTGACAAGTTGTTAATTGATTTTCCGAATCCGGCGCGTCTGGGTGATAGTTCGCAGCTCGTAGAGCCGAATGTGCCCGCTGTAGATCATGATCAAAGCAGTCGTGGTCAGGACGCTCCGAGGACCGATCGTTCGAAAGATGAAGAAGATGCGGACAAACGCAGTTCGAAGGAAAAAGAAACCGTCGAAAACGACGAGGGCAAGAGTTTCGAAGGGGGTGAGCAACCTGAGGAAGGGGGCGAGGAAAATCAAAACCCTAATCAGGATTGGCTCGATTTGTTTTCAGAGGAGGCGCCTGAAAAATCCCCGAAGCAGAAAAAGAAAGCTGAGAATGGAAATCGAAAAAGAAAGTCTAATACAGTTGATGCTGATGAAAAAGAGAACGAGACACAAGAAGCGCCTAGGATCCTCGTTGAAGGACCTACACGAAAGAAACTTCGCAAGAAGGGCCGAGGGCATGACAAGAAAAAGCGCAAAGAACGCAACGACAAAGGCCAAAGTCGTGGCCCTCGAGCAAAGAAAAGGCAGAAAGTCAATCTTGTGTCGTCATCTGACCTTTTGAAAGATCTACCGATGGAATTTGAAAAAGAAGCAGAAGCTATATTCCAGATTCGTCATGAATTAGAGGAGGACGAAACTCCTTACCTCTTTGGCTTGCAGCACACTTGGGCCAAGTGTCTGGAAAGTCCTGACGCAATCAAATGGATCGAGTCAGATACGAAAGAACGCCTAGCGCTAGAAGAAGCAAATACGTGGAGGCATGCAACCGCAGAAGACATCAAAGAGATGGGTGATAAGTTAGAGATTATCCCGACGGTATGCATCTACACGAAGAAGAGAGACGGACGCTACAAGTGTCGTCTCGTAGCACTAGGAAACAGGCAAAAGCTATCTCTTCAAGGAGAAATATACAGCCCAACTGTGAGCCATGCCGCTAACAGGTATTTACTTGTTGAAGCAGCAGCACGCGGATGGAAAGTTAGACAGTTCGATATTTCAAATGCGTTTGTGCGTGCAGCTCTAGGTGACGAGATCGTGTTATGTCGCCTGCCCAAGCACAACAGCTGGAGCAAGAACAAAGAAAAAGGCGATGTTGTCAGGCTGTTAAAGTCGTTATACGGTCTGAAGATCAGCCCACGCCGCTGGTATGACGAATATTCCGGCAGACTCAAGAAGTTAGGCTGGGTTGTATCCGAACACGAACCAGGTTTGTTCAAGAAGTTTGCAAAAGACAAACAGGGAAAAGAGCAAGAGCTCTGGCTAGCAGTTTACGTAGATGACAACATTATCTCAGGCGAAGATGATGACCTTGTCGCTGCAGAAATGAATGCAATTTTAGCAGAGTTCCCAGGAAAAGAAATTCTCGCAGAATATGACAAGGAAGGCAATGAGATCCGCGACCTTCTCGGCGCAAAGTTGACCTTCAACGCGAAAAAGAGAGTCATGAAAATCACTTGCGAAGACGCAATTGATAAGCTGCTTGAGAAATTTCACATGAAGGACTGCCGCGCAGTAGTTTCCCCATGTTTACCAAATTCCCACGCAGACTTGGACTCGCCGTCGAATTCCACATTTCCGATAAGATCGCTAGTAGGCGGAATGTTGTATATCAGTTGCGTTGCCCGGCCTGATATCGCATTCGCAGTACAAAGAGTAGCGACGCAGGTAGCTAGTCCAACCGACCAAACGGTAAAAGATGCTAAGCGTATTCTGGCGTATTTGAAAGGAACCAAATCGCAAGGATTGGAATACAGCAAGCAGCAAGAGAAAAAGTTCAAAGAAATCTACACAAAAGCCGCAGAGCTAGAAAACAAGGAATACAGAGACACTATTGCTTTCTGCGATGCAGATTTTGCAGGATGTTCTGTAAGTTTTCGATCCACGTCAGGAACAATCCTATATCGACGCGGAGTTCCCATCTGTTGGAAGTCGAAACGTCAATCGATTCGAGCTACGTCAACAATGGAAGCCGAGTATTGCGCGATGTATGACTGTGTAAGGATGACTATGGACCAAGGATATTTGAACTGGTTTTCAGAACAAGAGTCAGGATCTCTACCGTTGATCTTCAACGACAACAAGTCCGCGCTTGCGTTGAGTCAGACAACCGTAGCCACGAAAAGATCCAAGCACATGAGTCTTCGACTACACCTAGTACGAGACTACGTAAAAGACTTGTGCTATGTAAACACGGATATCAATCTAGCGGATGGATTGACAAAACCACTTCCAGGAGAGAAGTATATCCAAATCTTCAAAGCTCCCGCACGAAAAGCTAATGAAGTATTTGCGAAAGCCCACTTTGTTGACTTCAATAATCTCTAGGATTGATTGATGCGAATTTCACACAAAGTCATCTCATCTGATTCATTTCGATGATTTAATGTTCATTCGGAAGGGGGAATGTTAGGCAAGATATGAAATCCACCAGGATCATAAGCCAAGCAAATTCCCTACGACCTAAATTGAATGTTCATTGAAGTCAGGCTCTAAATTTGTCGTTCAAATTTGGATCCAAAGTGAAATCAGCATGTTCATACAAATGAACCAAAAATGAAGTTCATTCAAATCCCACACTGTAAGCTAGTGATGATCAACGATGGTTGATCGGATTTCTCATAAAATTAGGGTGATTAGAATAAATTTGAACTTTCATGTTTACCCCCTTGACTGAGACGTCAAAATTTGTGTGTTGTTCGGAACGCTAAATTTTTCCCCACAGGCTGTGACGATAGTCACCATAGATTGATTGCGACTAAGAAACACTGAATCCCACCGGGATTCTGCTTGACATGCAAGATGGCCAGTGTTCACACCGCCCGCGTTTCTTCGTCGTTGATTGTCTTCACACCGTAAAAATTCGGTTGACACTTTTGTAGAAACGGCTACCATCGCCCGGGCCGGCTCTGCATCCTTCTTTGCGTCCAGAAGGAGACGCGCGACTTTTTCAGAGACACTACCAAAGTGCTGCTCCGCACGACGGGCGAAGGCTTTACGGGCTTGAGGTCCATCGCTGTTGGGAGACAGAAACGAATGGATGTGACGCCAGGCATGGTGCATTTCCTCTTCCTTGTTCTTTTCAAGATCTGGACTTACTGGGGCACGGGAGGTAGAGGTGGTGGCTCCAGGATTTTGACCTCCTCCTGCTCCAACTACCAGCTCACTCGAGCTTGCAGACGAGGACGCCAGGACTCCCTCCGCGAGATAGGCTGCCTGGTAGGCGAGGAGCCAAGCGTGGCCCTGCAGCTGCGCCAGAGGGTGGAGAAGTCGAAACATTTTGTCGACAGATGAAAGCTGTAGTGTAAACACGAACTTTTTCTTCTACTGGATTGTAGAAGTCAGTGGTAGCAGGTACGAATTCGAATAAGTTCTTTTTGCAGAGCTACTTTGCTCCGTCGTTGAAGACAAAACGCGAAGAGATATTGTTGAAATACTGCGAATAATAACAACAAGAAAACTAGAAATAGTTTCCGTTACTGTTATTGCTACAAACAGAGCGATTCTGATGCAATTACAACTACCTGGAGAAATAAAGATGAGTGATTACTCACTGATGGCATATGAGACCGAGACGCGTAGATCATGATTTTAGGCGTAGTACACGAGAACCACGGTCGTGGAGTGAAGGGAGAGCGAGAGCGTCGCCCTTGTGTTGAACTAACATTTTCATCAACACAAAAAAAAAATCAGATCATTGAGCTATTTAACCGAAGATGTGGAGTAGCTACAAGCTGATTTTTTGTGAACAAGGAGCAATACTGATGATCGCCTCCTGGATCTTTATATAGCATTTCTTGATCTGTGGCCTCATGTGATCTTATCGTCTGTGGATCGTCGTGCGCGCACTTGTTGCTGTGGTCACTCATTTTTGTTCGCATTTTGTTGCAACTGTCTTGCTGGATCTTCAGTTCCGGGGGTATGAAACGTAGAAGCAGTTTGCCGTTGCTAGCATAAGAACGCTATGATTATAGAAAATTAAAGCACTCCACGAACATACGCGTCTGTGACACTGCCCAGTTGGTTCGATGCACCAAAGGCAGTCCGGAAGATTTGTCAGGGCGCACAACATTCGAATAACACATGTGAATAGCTCCTCTCTTTCGACACGGCCTCTCGGTGTAGCTACAGTGTAGCGCAACTTCTTTCTGAAAATAAGCATGTTGTACTTCTTGATAAATTCTGGTGGCAGGTGCAGCGTAGAAGTACCAAGCTTAACGCGTAGGCGTATGCTTCTCTTCTCCTTCTTATATCTAAATGTTGCGCTCCTGCATGCGCGGATGCAACTTTTTCTTATACGACGGCCTCCTGCGACTATATTTTGATTTCGTTTCTGTCATGGTCATTTTGATGTTGTCAATAAATGGAAATACTTTTCAAATCCTTGCTGCTGTTGAGTACCGAAAAACCTCGAACATCTTCCAGTCGAAACTGAATCTATTACAAATTAATTTCATGTTCATATTCATTCATTATGCACTTGCACTTCTGAATATGCTGCACGAGCAGGAGCTAACATGTCCTGCTCGTGCTGAGGATACAACATTCTCTATCCTATCAAAGCCAAAAAGTCGAAACGTTCTAGAAATAAAGGCTACATGCCCGAGAAAGCGCTTCTGTTTCTATCAAAGCCAAAAGGTCAAAACGCACAGATACGAGAGACCACTGCCGACGCTTCCAACGTACGTCGCGCACGCAGGCACAATCATAGAAGCGAAGGCAATAAAGTCGATCTTCAACTCAATATCATCTGTTGTGGTAGAGATGTGTTGTCCCTACTTTTTACACTATAATTGTGAATGTTGTAATCACATGCGTAGGTGCTGCAGTATGCCTATGTATTATGCGTGCAGCGGATATTAAACCTTTCATCCCAATCAAAGCCAAAAAGTTAGAACCAACAGAAAGTCAAAGTATCCATATATTTATACTATCATCGAAGCCCTACTGGGGTGTGTTCCCGAGGTGCGTGGTCTTGTATCAGACCGCCCTCACGGTCACGATGTCGGCGTCGACCACGAGGCCGGGATGTTTCTGAAGCATCATGAGGAGCGTGATTAGCGGCTCCGGATCCATATTTTTCCATAGATCGCGAAGTTTTTTTTAGCAGGCCTGTTTTTGTCGCTGCTGCCTATCCGATTAACTGAAAGGGAAAACTCAAAAAGGCGCTCGCGTTTTTCGATTCGGCAGCGTTGGCGTGGGTTAGTGCTTCGTATGATGGCTGCAACGATTTATCATTTTGCTATATGTTCTTTATATATCGATCGTAGTCTTCCTTTTGCTTTTTCAACATCGACAGTTTTTCGCTACAATGTCGAAGACGAAAACTCCGTACGATCAGCATTGCAGTTATATTTTCTGCGCCACTTTTTCGTCTCTAGCCCCCCCGCAAAGCACCATTTTTTTCGAACCAAGACAAGGACGTGTTCTTAACAATTTTGTTTTATGATTTGATGAGGCGAACCTCCACCACCACATCATGCACATTCGCCGGACCTGACAATACAATCAAAGTCGATGATTCTAAGAATCGGTTTTCAAAAAATCCACCTACTTCCGGAAAACATCTATCATACACGTTGGCGGACTGCCAGCAAATTTATATCAACATATGTGCAACGTACTGCTGGCAAAGATCTATCATACACTTCTGCCGGCAAAACTCTAATCAAAAATGCATCACACTACACGACGTAAACATCTAATAGATGTTTACGCCGAAGTCCGATCATAGACTATGATCGGAATTCGGCATAAAGCAAACACGCTTCGACTTTTGACAAGCCGAGTGCGTAGTTATCAGACACGCCAGCATAGAATTAGAAAATCCTCGATCAATGAAGCTACACATGATCGACCCGTCAGGCATCTTCCTCGGCAGATACCCATTGGCAGATCTGCGCCCGGCAGCTCAAGTCTCTTTCATAATCAGCGGTCGGGGTTGGGAACAAAGGGGATGGAGCGAGGCCCGCCGGAGACGTAAGCGTCACGGTGCAAAGTAACAGCGTAAGCAGTGTCGACGCCTCCAAAACGGCGAAGCGCTGGAGGGTATGCATTTTTCGCAAAAGGATGTCACGCGACGTCGTGTAAGTTGAGATTGCATTACTCGCGCCTATTAAGTAGAAACTTGAGTTGAAATGATATTGAGCAATGCAAATACACTTCAGGTGAGGCCAGATGATGTAGTGCTCGTGGCGCCATGCAAAGTATAATTGCAATTCGTACTTACTACGACCAGTCTACGATTTTTATCCTGCAATGCATAGCGCCTGCTGTATCTCACTGCCCCACCGAGGAGTCGCTCGGATTCCCAACGCATATCATTAGACTCAGGATCGCCAACGTGCTCGTGGGTCAGCCCACTTATGAAATTTTTTCCGTCCTCCACGGAAAAATCGGTCGTATATAACTCTTGCCGGCTAGTACGTGAGCCGCTGCCGTTCCCGTAACCAGGAAAACGCGACCTCGTGTATACCAGGCACAGGCGGTCCTCGTTCGGTTTTGCCCGCGGGGGCTCTTCGATGTCAACCTCGTCAGCGAGGTTTTTAAACATTCGCGGATAGTAAGCTTGCGGGGCGTTCGTCGTCCGGGAACTCGCGTTGCGCAACCGTTCTTCGCTTTCCGCGCTCAGTTGCAATTTCGAAACAAAAAGCGAGGTGTGAAAGGAGGGAGCAAAAGTAGCCGCGCGGTTCTTCCCCTCTGGTCGAGCAGCGGGAGCACTGGTACTACTATGTTCTTCTTGACGTCGCTCTTGTCGTCCCTCTTGCCCTTCCACCTGGCCCCTCGAAAGCCGCTGTCTGCCTTCCCTAAAAAACTGAAATTCTCGCATCAGCTTCTGCAATAGGCCTTTGATATAATTCTGCGAGAGCGGCAGCTCCTGGAAAAACTCGTGATTGTAAAAATAGGACTTTCCGTTCTCCACCTTCTGGTTCGTAGAGCACGCAAACTTCCCCGGACGCAGAATGGTATCGCTGGGATTCGCGTTGAAAGATTCCAAAAACGCACTCGCGTCCACGTCCTCCTCCCCAGAACTATGCGACGCTGCCGCGAGTAAACAGTCCTTGCGAAGGAACTGTTGGTCCACAGCCGTCTTGGTAGTAGCCTCCGAAAGGACTTCTAGAGAAAAATCAGAAACATTGTCTGCGGAGGCGAGCCCATAGAGATCATCTCCCTGCAGCTTTTTAGAAGCAACTACATCAGCAACGCTTCTCGCTTTCCGGGAGACGGCCGCCGGCGCTCGGCGTCCGCGCTCCGCCTCTACTGAACGGCCGAGGAGGGTAGAGCGAACGGCTTCGGTCGCGGCTTTTCGAAAGTGTGGTTCCACCGCACGATTGAATAAAGCCTGTACAGCTTCTCTCTCCCTTTTCCGCGCCTCAGCTCCACTGGTGTCCACGCGGTTGGAAGTTGACGCAGAAGCAGACGACGACGATGCTGCTCCGGCTGCCTCAACGGCGAAGAGGTGGTAGGCGAGAAAGTAAACCTGGCTTTGCGCCAGGAGATAAAAAAGCCGAGAAGTGGACATTTTTGTTCTTGCCGAATGTTGAGCTGGTGTGGAGAAGATTTTTGCGTCAACTTCCGGATACCTACTTAAACAATGATGATGGATCTTTTTACGACCACCAGTTCGAAGATTTGCAAAAATTAAAAGTATACAAAAAATATGCAATGATGTTTGTTGAGAAGAAATACAACTTGGATGTTACAGAGATCCAATAAAGAAAACAGAGTTCTTAGCGCAATACTGGATTGCGATACCGCTGACGTCGTAGGTAGAACGAAAAACTAATAGTACAGGACAAGAAGTAGATTTTGCAAAAAGACCAGCAACAAGCCTCCCAATGCCAATTCCGATCGATGGTATAATTGGTACTAACATCTTCAAGAGCCTATCAATATATTTTCAACTGGATCATGATACGATCTTCATGGGCGATTGTATACTTACACAACTAACAACCGCTCTGGGGAGCGCTTGGGGAGCGGTTTACCGCAGATCACACTCGTTTTGTATCAATCCGCCCTCACGTCGTCGCCATTGACTTTGAGGATAGGATAATTTTTCGTGCAACTACTTGCTTCTTGCAACGAGATCGAGATCAGAACTGCAATGCCAATGATCGCCATGATCCTCGGATATAATTTCACTGATTATGACGACCTCTATCAGATAGTGCCACGTCGAAGTAAATTTTCGGATTATGTCAAGTGTGCTGATCGTGATCGTGACGACCTAACCCCGCGACGATGGCGACATTGCGGCAGACTGATCGTGTCTGTGCTGCAGTTTGCAATTGCTTTCCTGCAGCGGTGGAAAAAAACGGAATTTCTACTTTTTAGGGTATAATTTGAAAACAACATCATCGGTACTCTGATGTTCCTTATCAATACTGTTTTTCCACATCTTCCTGCTGTGTGGTAGTCTCAACAGGCCGTGGGACTTAGTCTACTGATCCACATTACGTAAATATAGTCGAAAGGTCCTTCGTACAGTAAAATTTGGGTGAGTTGTAGTTTCATCTTGTTCAACGACGTTCAATACTAGTGGAAAACTATCCTACAGAGCTGCTAAGAAAATGTACCAAAACAATCATCGCACTGCAAATCTATATCCATAGTACGTTGTCTACTGATAAAGGGTATCTTGAGGGGGGGAAAGTGAGCGTTTTTTTTAGGGTACTTCTACTTCTTGCCATTTTATTTCTTCATCTTCAAAATGTAGCCATTTGCTCCATAAAGGTGAAAGATCAAAATCAGGTTTCCGAAACCTTTTGAACCTGTTGCTACTCGGCCAGCAAGCACACGGTTTTTTTTCGTAGAAAATTTGTATCGTCTTCGTCATTAGATTTCTCTCTGGTACAACCCGAAACAACACCCCATCTTAAGGTAAACATCAACAAAATCCTGCTTCTTGTTCGGCTTGTATCTCCTCCAAACTATCTAGTCGCGTCGATCCGACCCCCGCGCATTGTCGCTCTATTTCGACGCGTCGCCCTCGGCTTGATTGTCTCAATCATCTTTTGTTGTAATCAAAATCATCGCTAGATGTTGATCTAGAATAAGTATGATCCCCAGGAGGGTGCTGCGGCAGCGGCTTCAACAACATCCTTGTTCCCCCGCTGTGATTCATCTTTAAAAACTCCTGATGCCCCTATTGCAATGAAAAATGCCCCCACCCCCGAACTTGAAAGCATTTGTATTGCAAACCTTTCCAAATGAAACATTCGCCCTCTTGCATGTATCAGCATCACAGATTTCCGATCGTGAATAGCAAAAATTTGTATTGCAAAAGATCCCAGCAAGAGCGGTGCTTGTTATGCAAGCGATGCGAAACAGCACTAGAATCTGCATCAGAAAGATTCGTATTCCTTTCATGCATGACAAAAAGGTTTCATTTGGAAACTTCGCATCACAAATTTTTGCAACTTTGGGGGTGGGGGGCACTTTTCACTGTAATAGCCCCCGCTGCCCCGCTTCCTCCAGTTTCATTCTTCTCAACCGGTTCCCCCCGTGCTTCGTAACCAGTTTCTCCAACTTATGGGACTCTCAAACGTTATATTCTCAACTGCTACATGAATTTGTAATGCAGGAATAGCACAGGTCAAAGGGAGAACCTTGCGCGTCTTGCATTACAGATTTGGCGCAGATTCTAGTACTATTTAGCCCTCCGAGAATTTGTCATGCGAAGCAGCTTCATTGTCTGGTGGCTCATGGTCATTTTGCATGACAAATCCATGTAACAGTTGAGAATGTAACATTTGAGAACGCCATACAACTGCAGGCTTGCGCACCACTCGGGTTGCAACTTCGGCAAAACTTCGCGGCGGAAAGAACTTGGAAGATCAACACAGCCACTACTGCTAGTACCTTCCTTCTCGTCCCTCGGCAGTCCTCCCTGTGGTCCCGCCAGGCTCTCGTCTTTCCCCAAATAATCTCCCAGCCGGCGGCACGCCGGAAGCACGTCGTGCAACAAAGTCGCGTATCAAATGCAAACGTGTCAGGGTCTGGAGGGATTCGAATTTGTGAAGCGACGTCTACATCATGATAAAAATCTGTCATGCATGGCTAGCAAAAAGCAAAAGCCCAATTTCTTGTTTCCGAGACGAGAGAGGATTTGGATTTGTCATGCGGACTAGGCATTGGGATAGGTGCTCAAAATCTGTGATGCTAAAGCTTGCATGCCAAACGATCTTGGTCAGGCAAAAACTGCATGACAGATCTCGCATTCTTCCAGAGGACCCAGACATATTCGCAATCCATATCGCGTTTAAGTGCAGCTTCGCAAACCACTGCTTCTTCAACTTCATATCCAAGAAAAAATCTGTGTTAGTGTAAGTCTTTAGGGAATAAAACAGCATCACAAGTTTGTCTGCCATGACAGGACAAACTTGTTATGCGCAGATACAAAAACAAAGGGATAGGGAAAACACATATTAAGCGAGCCGGTCATGCATGTCGAGCATCACAAGTGTAACAACTGTTTGGCATTTTCTGCATCACAGATTTACACTTAAACAGTTTTTTTCTTGCATACTTCATCAGTTCCCACGAGTCTACTTGATGATGTTCTGCAGCACCTCCAGTCGTCGAAAAGTGCTTCGAGTTCGATCGTTCTTTCGTCGTTTTCTTCATCTGTGGACCAGTACTGCTTTTGGTTGTTGTGGTTGTAAAGAGCTTCCCTGCCGACTCCACTTGACAACACAAATGCTCGACACGAGTGGCGAGAGAAGAAGCAGGTGTTGAACTGACTCTACTAGTACTACTTCTGTCAACATCTTCCCCGAGGAAGGCCGACGTCGTGTGAAGAGTAGAATTCGCCTGCAATCTTTCGCAAATCCTCCACCCCAATTTCTTCTCTTTCGCGACACACAATTTTAAAAAATCCCCGTCCATCAAGGACATGCGCAGTTGCGGATCACTGATTTTGTTGATTTCGCTCCGGATGAAGCCTCCTAGTCCATATTGTAAGTCCATGGTTGATGATGATGTTGATGTTCCGCGACAGATATCATTGTTTTCCAGCATGAATGCTTTCACTTTGTCGAACAAAAACTCCTTGTCATTTTGGTTCAGGTTGTAGTGGTGTTCAAGTAATTTTTGCTGGCTGTACTGCTGGTAGGAACTATTGCTTTTCTTCTTGCAGTCGTTTTGCATTTGCTTTAGCACCGCATCAGCAACCTCCACTTCGAGGACTTCGTCAGCGAAGCTTCCGCCCCCGAAAATCGCAGTGGTGGCCAAGTGGAGCTTGGCCAGGTCTTGCTTGTCGAACATTTCGACGTGATCGCGCTGGTGTTGTTGCGAGCGAAACGTACAACTCGTAGATGCTGGCTGCGGCTCCTGCACTGATAGATTACTACTGGGAGAAGTTGTACTAGCACCGGAGTAGAGTGCCGCAGCTTGTTCCGTAGGACTCGACGGAGATGAGCCGGGCGACGACGGTGTGAAGATAGCAGAGGACGACGCAGCACGGTCAACCTCACGTTTTGGCGCCAGGAGAGCGGGTGGAGATATCGGTTGTATAATCGCCCCGACAGAAAGAAATTCTTGTTTTTCAACATGATCTACTTCGTCAGCATCGACGTCGTTGAAGGGAAAGGATTCAAACAGTTCCTCGGTTCCGAAAATTTTTTCCACATCTTCCTCCTGCCCCAGCCGAAACTGCTGGCGCGGCGTCGCAAAAAGCGAAGCATCGTCGTGATTCTCTTGCACAGGTTGATGTTGCTCCTTCTTGACGGCGGGCGTCGCGGGGGTGGGTCGTGCGAGTGCGAGACAACAAGGTCCAGCAGCAGTGCGTGCATGGCTGTCAACGACCTGGTGACTCAGTCCTTGGACGACCTTGATGTCGTGGCAATTCTTCTTGTGCTCCCTGGTTTTATCTTCATCTGGAGAACATGGCGCCACAGTAGAGCTCGATGTTTTCGGACACGAAGACGAGTTGTTCCGGTTTATTCTCTGCGCTGAAGCCGCTGCCGAACCCGAATCACGTGCAGGAGCAAGAACTTTTTCTGCAGAGGACTTCTGTGCTGGAGTCGAGGGAACGTCCGAGCTATTGGTGGTAGTATTGCTCGAAGAGGACGAAGCTGCACCAATTTTGCTTATTTCTTCATCAGGATACAGGTGTAGGTCTGCAACTGCGTCAGGATCTCCACGCACTTCTCCCGTCGGGACTGTGTAGTAGTTCTGTTTACTATCTCCATCGCGACCACTGCTTCCCTCGTTCTTCTCCTTGTTCCCAACCAGCTTCTCAGCAGTAGTTTCATTCCCATTCTTCAATACTTCCCCTTCTCGTTCCCCTTCCGGCACTACAATATTTAACCGTATCAACACGTCTCCCTCCCAATTCGCCGACTTTTTCACGTCAAACCGGTTGTCTCTGGACAAAACAAACACCAGGTACCGGAGAGCCAGGTCGTGGACGGATTGCCGGTGCTCGGACTCCTCGATAAAATGCATGATTTTCGCACTGAACGTCTGTAAAACCTTCGAAGTGGAGTAGTAATCCTGCTGGTTTTTGTAGTTTGTCCCGCGAACTACAAATGAAGACGACCCCGGTGCGGGAAGCAGCTGCATCTCTTCATTCTGCTTTGCCGACTCTTATCACCAGAAAAAGTGTTCACGTTTATGGTTTTCACAGATTGCAGCAATGCATCACAAATTTAGCCTAGTGTGCATGCTATGCATCACAAATTTGGGCACGCTTTGTGATGCATTGCCGCATCACAGATAGTTCCGTAAACGTCAACACTTTTTCCTGTGATAACTCTCCGATCGCATCGATTAACCCCGGAATCCGGCCGTAGTGATACCGCGGGTTTTTGTTGCTGAACCGGAGCTTTTTATCTACTTTGGAAGCGGAAGTAGAAGCAGTGTCATTCTGGTTTTTATTTTCCTCGACAGTTTTGTTGATTTTCGCCATTAAATAATCGTAGCAGACTTCCGCGATCGGATCCGCGCGGTTCGCCTTGCTGTGTATCAAAGTGAAAAAAGCCCCCGCCCCATATCAAAACGATGCATGCAGTAGAGGACTGCAGGCCCATACTATGCCAATGCAATGTAGAGAGGTTGCGGCCTAGACACTTAGCATGGGGAACGCCTACGCCGTAGGACCAACAGCATTGCAAACCGCCTGAATGATGGGGCGGAGCCCATGCCGTTGCTTTCAGACTTGGTTTGTGGTCACAAATCAGCATCACAAATTTTCTGAGACGCTCCTTTCCGATATCGGGAGGGGGGATTTTTCCTTCCGATACTTTGATCATGGTCTCCAAGCAGCAGACCGGACTTCATCAGAACTTGCTGGTGAACGAGCTCCGCGTGTTGATACTATCAAGTGCAAAAGTGTCTGGATCTGGAAGAGTGCATGTTTGTCATGCTTGTCTGGCACTCTTGGAAATTCCCTACTACCGCTCGGGGGAGCTGGAACTTTCGCGAGACCAAACGAAATGGCAAGCGAGGTCCGCGCGCCCCCCCCTGGAGGTGAGATACGAGGGTGGCCCTGTGTTGTGATCTGCAATCTGCATTAGACCACACAGGAAATGAGGAAGTTGGAGAAGGATCAAAAAAATGATCTGGAGCGACACTATGGAACGCTCCAACAACCTCAGCCAACCACTGCCCTCGCATTCACAAGAGACCTGCCGAAACAGACTCAACTCCGGGTAGCCTTCCCGAAGCCGACCTCTAAGTTCGGCCTGGTCAGCAACGAGGCAATGTCCTCAGGGGCCGTTAGGAACCTCCCGAAACAATCGTCAACGAGCTTCAGCGCCAGGAAGCCGCTGACGAAAGAAACGCACAGACTGTTCCCAGTGGCAAGAACAGAAAGGCAGGGACATAGGTGAACCGACAGTGACACCAACTCGACCAAGGTAACCCAGAGTTCCGGACCCGGGGAAAACTGGGGACCACGCAGCAGAAGCGCAGCACAAAGACGCCTGAAGTGTTCCCAACCGCCAGTCAAGCAGCAGCCAAAAGTCAACGGAGGCAGCAGCAGAAGCCACTCAGGTACTCCACCGAAGACAAGAGGAGCCGCAAGACCCAGAGCAAGCTCCGACGGCCACAACAGACGCTTCTACTTTCGCAACGCCACTGGGGACGAAGACAGAGGGCAAGGCAAGAGCCTCGCGCAACGGGAATTTCCCACCAAGCCATGTCAACGACCTCACATGAGAAGGCGCACCAGAACGGCCACGAGAGGGGTAGACATAGGACATCCAGCATCCAGACACGTCGCCAACACCGAAGGCGGTGAGCAACGCCCATCATCTCGCTTGCGGGATCCGTCGCCACGCGTTCATGTTGGTCGGCACTGGCTTCCACTCGTATCTCGTCCTCGTGGGGAACCCAGACATGGCTACTACCTCGAACGAGGGAGCTGGAAATGCCGCGCGCGCTCGCATACGCATCTGGGGCGGGGAACTCAAGATACGTCCAGCAGCCCGCCGACTCCACTACCGTAAGCCATTTAGGAGTACCCGCGCCGCCTCGCGAAGCTCCTATGGTCCCGCCCTGGCCTGCGTTGCTGGGCCAGTCCTGTGCGCAAATGCCCAGAATCCAAACACGCTCTATCAGGGGTGCCGCTAGAGTCACAGCAGGGACGTTACGCGCACAGACTATCAGGTCTGCCCTGGATTCTGGGGGTGGGAGAGATGTGGTGACAGCGCAGGCGAGTCTTGGTCGAGCGACAACATCATCTTCCAGGGTCCACAGGAAGAGCGGGCACCTGTGATTCAATTGAGGCAACGGCGGGGACGGACATGTTCCGCCCCCGTGCACACAACAACAGAGTAGCAGACCGGCCAAATGATTGAAAGAGAGAAGGAGACACAACGAAGCTACATCACATGCAAGGACTTAACGGGAGGATGAAACCAAAAAGCACATCAATAAAAATAGCTCTATACTACTTTGCTCCCCCCAGAAGATCGCCATCACATGGCCGCGGCTCCAGCGCACGCTCGCGTCCCGTGATGCGCCACCCGGCATCTGCTGATGCGCGGACCCTGCGCGGAAGATGTCTTCCCGAAAGCGTCCGACTCCACCCACGCTGGGGATTGTGCGGGGCCGCGTGTGGTGACCAGCCTTCTCATCGAAGACAGTGACGAAGCGCCCTTTTCCGCTCGTGTTGTGCTTTATACCGAGGTCCATGCTAATATGCTTGTCATGGCGCCTGCCCAATCCACCGGCAGTCATTGTCGGCGTGGCGGTCCTTTACCGTGCTTCTGGGCGTGGGCAAGACGGTAAGTCGATGGCTGTCGTCGGAGGAGAGGCCATGTACGTTTTCAGTGTGCGCACGGACGCTCGGGGCGCCGATGCTCTAGCTAGTACTACTGTAAAGGGGCACAGAGGACCCGCCACGTACGGGCGTTTATCTACTTTCCTTTCGAAACTCCACTGCAGGGAGTCGGGGGAGGTACCGACGTGGCGTCAGTGGTAGTAAAACAATTTAGGAGATGAGCAACAGAATGGTCCTACTCTACGGCATAGCTCCCCCTGTTCTACATTGATGGATCTCAGGCAACAAGACAAAGTCTTGAGCCAAAATGGCTACGGCATGACTCTTGAATCTGTCATGCAGGTTACCCAAGCGCTGAGCTTTTTTGTCATGCAGAAACGCAGTTTGTCATGCAGAATAGGCAACACCTAGAAGCTCAGAAACTTGTCATGCTGGGCCAGCACTTGTGGCCTCATCATGATGCGCCACCCAGCATCACAAGTTTCCAGACCCAGACATTTTTGCATTTGATAGATACACTCCTCTCACCAAAGAGCTCGGACAAGCCCCCGTGGCGCCAGAAATATTTTTAACATGATGTTGGTCAACTTCTACACCAGTGCCACTGCACTCACCCTTCGCCAACTTGCGGTAGAAGTCCCTTTGTGCCTTGCTGTAATCATCCTCGGGAAACTCGCCTTTCGCGAGGTTGCGGTAAAAGTCTTTGTCCTGCGCTGCTTTCAATTGCTCGTTTGTTGTTATTTTTCCAGGAAGCTGCAAAGGCAAACCCAAACCCACCCCGCCGAGCAAGGCGGCTTGCGCCGCGAAGTGGCCGCTACCGCCGGGGGCCGTGGCCAGCATCTGCTGTGCAGCAGCTAGGTAGCTGTAGTAGGCGGAAGCGGCTGGCGCCGCTCCAAGCTGCCCGAGATGCTGGTGGTGCAACTGCAGCAAGGGATCTTGAGGGAAAAGCAAGGGGTTGATATTGTGCAACGGCGGAAACGCGCCGGCGCTAAGCGGAAGAACACCCGGAGGACCACCGGGAGTCTGCTGGATCGCAGGTGTAGCAGTGGTTGTGGTACTTTTTGCCGCAGAAGACGCACCAGCTCCTGGGGTCGTCGATGTACTAGTAGCCTGTTGCTTGATCCCAGCCAGCGAAGAACCGCTTGGAGAAGTCGTGCTGGAAGGCGTCTTCAACACTGCATCAGCCGCAGAGGCAGTGGGCGACGGCTGTGCACAAGAACCACGACCTCCCTGAGGTAGAGGTTTATCCCCATGATGACTGCTCTTTCGCAGGCTATCCGGCGAGGGAGAGCTCGGGGAAAAGCCGGCGACTGTAGAGCTGTTGTCGTCCTCTTCGGTAGGACTACTCAGCAACTCGTGCAGCAGCTGCTCGCGTCTGGTTGTGGTTCTTGTAGTTCCCGCAGAAGTTGGATTTGTCGTGTTGGAAGCAATCGCATGGCTGCTCAGGTCAAACTTTTTGGAATTTGACAGGTGCGAGGCGTTGTTGTAGTTTTGGTCCGAGTTGCTCTGACAATTCCAACCTCTACTTTTCTTGTACTCCCAATCCTGCTGGTGTTTGTACTCCCAATCTGGCTTGAAATTCTGCAGATACCGGTTTTTCTTCGGGCCGGTTTTGGAAGACCAAGAGCCTTTATTTGCGGAGTAGCGGCTGCCGTATTTGCTATATCGTTCTTCGCGGCCCGTGCCTGACGTCTCCGAAGTACTAGAGGTCGGGTACGAGTGCTTCATCTTCGATTAAGCTGTATTGTGCTTGTGGATGGACAGAGAGTTCTTGTATCTTCTACAGTCGTAATCGTAAATCCTCTTCTCTACGAAAAGCAAGATGTTGATTGCCTCTCCGGAATCAATGAAAGGTGAATACGAACTGGTCTTAGTGGTGCAAATAATTTCATCATACTTTTCATTTTCAAGTGAAGACATCCTCATGGAAGATGCTGGCGTCTCAACTTCTCGACGACAGTGACGGACGCTGCTCTTCATCATGTCGCTCGCTTCAAAATTTTAATGAAATGGCAAATAATTCAAACCAAACTTAGCAAACACTTTATTTGCGATAAGTCTCTCTGTCTCTCTCTCTTTTGCTTTTCACGACCCATGCTCTTATTGTCAACCAGAAAAGCACCAGGGACCCAGGCTGCAGATATTACTGCTCAGCTCCAAAATTATACCGGCTCAAGCAACACCACCTCCAGCAACAGCAGGGCAAGAATCTGCACTCCACCACCTGCGGTTAAGAGCGGAGTCGGTCTCCTTTTTTTTTGGGAAAAGAAAAGCTCGCTAACAAAGTTCAAGCTCATCGAGAGTTCTTCTACTTCACAACTTCAAGTTCTGCGTAGTGGTAAATACCAGGTCACGTTTTTAGTGTAGTAAAATCTTATCAGATGATTTTGCAAAAGCTCAATACCAGCCAAGTTCAAGTTCTGCGCAAGAAATTTATCAAAACGAGCTTTCAACAAATCGTAAAATCGAAATCGGAGGGGTGTTTTTATCTCCGCAAAAACAAGGTCGCGCTGCACTAGCTCTGCAAAAGAAGTACGTCAGTGTACATAGTTCTCAAGAAGTGGTTGCTCAAGATGAAAGGCAATAGAGTAATCCAAAGAAACGACTTGCTCTCGTCCGCCTAGTGAATACGTTTACAGATAGCAGTGTAATTTCAATTCACTAGGGTGAGTTAGTAGTAGTTGCTTGGCACTTCTAAATAATCGCTTTCATCTGAAATCAAACTCTCTCTCTTTATATAATTTCGTTTGCCTTCTTGGTGGTACGACCTTTTGCAGATAGTTCAACTGAATCTACTAGTTGCTCCAACACGACCTCACGCTCCCACCGCCGGGGGTCGTTTTTTCCCGAACAAGATCGCCACAACGGTCGTCAACACCAAGCCCAACATCGAAGTCCCGATCACACTCCAACTGGTCACGCACGCGATGTAGACCGTCCAGAACAGCAATGGCGCGGTTTTGAACGCGGTGGTTTTACTGGCCATCATCATCCCCCAGGACAGCCACGCCGCGGACATGGTGTTTGCCATCGTTTCCACTAAAAACGCCTGCCGGAACCCGAACTTCTCCGCCACCCGGGACACCAAAATGGACGTCGGGAACCCCAACGCGATGGCGCCGGCCAGCCAGAGTTTCAGCGGTTGGTCAATGTTATGCAATGCAAAAGTATCGTACTAGTATAAATTGCATTACAAATTCCCCCAGCATTACAAATTGAATTTGTAATGGTGATTTACTTTGACAAGTGGATTTGTAATGCATAAATGCAATTACTACGAGTACGATACTTTTGCACAGGATAAATGGGCAGGTACATGGACTTCAGCAGCACCGCACCGAGTTATGACAGTGCACAACTTCCCACCCCCCTCATTTGTCATGCAAAATGCGAAATCCAGGCTGTGCCTCTTGGGAGTGTTTGCATGACAAACTCCGGAAGCCCAAACAGTACTGCGCTCCTGTGCAAGTTTGTCATGCAAAACTGCCACTCTTGCTGACGCTTGGATTGCCGTTCGTGCTATAAAAATAAGGAGGAGGGGAAGTTGTGCACTATCATATGAGTAAAATATCCACCGCGCCCATGCCTTTCAGAATGCCCGTCACGAGCCAGCGCTGGTGATCCGGGGGGTCGTCAGAGGAAAAGGCGTCGTCGTCATCATTTTTGGAATGTAGTTATGCATCGCAAAGTGAGTATCGTACTTAGTATCTCTATTTGTATTGACAAATAATATTCCAAGAGGGAAAGATAAAACTTGTCATGCTGGGGCAGGTAAAAAAGCGGATCTGTCATGCGGCCAAGCTGGCAACTAGTACGAAAATACCACTTTTGCATTTGATAATAGTGGGTGGTTGTGCGATGCCCCGCCGGTGGCGCCGTCTTCTCTGTAGTTGTCGCTAGCGCTGTTTTATCAAATGTAAAAATGTCTGGGTCTGGAAGAATGCAAGTTTGTCATGCTTTTCTGGCATGAGTCTTAAATCTGTCATGCACATTACCAAAGAGCCCCACTTTTCTGTCATGCAGAAACGTAGTTTGTCACGCAGAATAGGCAACACCTAGAAGCTCAGAAACTTGTCATGCTGAGCCGGCAATTGTGGCCTCCTCATGATATGCCACACAGCATCACAAGTTTCCAGACCCAGACATTTTTACATTTGATATGTTTCGCCCGCTCATGCCGCAGGCACTGTTGATCATATTTCCACTATGAACTGCAAAAGTATCGTATTCGTATAAATGCATCACAAATCTCCTCAGCATGAGAAATAAAATTTGTCATGCGGATTTGCCTTAAGACAAAGATTTGTAATGCAAGACTTGCATTTGTACGAATACGATACTTTTGCACAGCATATCCACGTTTCTTTAGCATTTTGTTCCCGGGGAGAAAGCACAGGAAGTACTGCGCTGTGGAAAGCATCTTCTCGTCGTCGGGACTGGTGTTACTAGCATGACCCCCATGCTGATCCTTGCCGTTGTGCTTCTGGAGAATACTCGTATTATCGTCCCCCAATAACGGGCCGATGACCGGCAACGTCGCTAAGTCCACCCCGCTGCGGTTTAAGATCAGTGTGTATGCACTGCAGAAGTATCGTACTAGTAGTAATTGCAATACAAATTCGCTCAGCATTACAAACGGAGTTTGTCATGCTGATTTGCCTTGGGAAGGAGATTTGTAATGCATGACTGCGATTACTACAAGTACGATACTTTTGCACAGGATAGTGTGCCCGCACCGGCGATGAAGATCGGTTTCACGGCGTGGAGAGCGGAAACTTCGAGCATCACCATGTTGTTTCCTTGTTTTTGTCGTTTCTCGTCTAGAAGTTGTTCATATGCGTAGTTGCTGTCTTCACCGGGCCGTAGGCAGAGGAGGAGAAAATCTTGTTCCGCAAGCGAGAGGATGAGAAAAAATCGGAGGGCATGGGAGTTGTCGTTGTCATTGAAGTTGTACTTGCGCTATTCGGTCGTGTCAACATGGCGATTTCAAAGATCATTACCGCACAACTAGTACTAGATGATGACCCGTGCTCTTCACATAATAGTTCTGTGGTACAACAACGTCTATCGGTATCGCTACATTTTTTGGGAAGAGAAAATAAATTATGGAGAGAAAAAAGTTTGTCACAGTCACTAACTTGCAGGTTTTGCATTACAAATTTTCTCAGCATCACAAACTTTCCTTGTATTGCAGAAACACTAGGGAAATCCCTAATAAAGTTTGGCTGTGATGCATTTTTCCGCATGATAAACAATTTTGTATTGCAAGAATGCGCATGAGTGATCGTGACGAACTTTTTTTCTTTGATATAAAGTCAAGTAGTGATATTCTGGTACCGCTGCACGAGATAACTGAAGAAAAATTGTACCATAGAGATGGAACTGCTGCAACAAGTACAAGTAGCAGCGGCCTGAAGTCTGCATCGAGGGCGCAACGCCGTGACTTGCTACCCTCCGTCCACCCTTTTTACCCCTCGCGCGCACGAAGGGTGAAAAGGGGTAATCGTAATGAGGATGGAGTCGCGGCACTGTGCCTTGAGCCAAAGTCGTCCAGTGGTAGAGTGCGGCTCACTAAACCGCGGAGCCACGACTTCGTTCTGGGCTCAACATACAACGCATCCGACCTGCTGACACCCATGGGCCTGCTGCATGATATTGACGCGGACCTGTGACTGTGGCAAAGACGCGAAGTCTGCGTCGCGACATTTTTGGCTCAATGCGCAGCGCCGTGACTTCCCACCCCCGGTCCCGTTTCACCCTTCGCGCGAAGAGCGAAAAGGGAATGGGGGCGCCAGGAGGTCGGGGCGTTGTACCTTGTTGAGCCAAAGTCGTTCAGTGCTAGGGGTCAGGTCACTGCACCTGAGAGCCACAGGTCTCAATATGCGGCGCGTCGTCCGAGCTCAGGCGGATCCAAGTGGCAACGCCACGAAGTCTGCACCGAGACACTTCATTTGGCCCAAGGTGCAACGCGGTGCATTGCTCCCCCCAGCCCCTTTTCTCCGTTTGCGCGCAAGCAAAGTCGGGGAAACGGACGGGGGCGGGGGAGTCGCAGCCGCGTGCGTGGGGGTTGGGTTGGGGTGGGATGGGTGGGCAGGGTGTTTCGAGTGGTTGCCAGCGGTGTCTCGCTACAGTAGCTACTGCATAAATCAAATCCGCCCCCGCAACGCTAGCTACTTTGCAGGAGCCTGAGGCCCACCCAGGCTTTCGATTATGGGCACTGCGGGTGGAGCCGGAGCGGCTCTGCTCCGCGCACCAAATAAAACTAACATCTGGCGCAGCCCGCGCCCGGATAGCAGCCGCGGGACATGATCTACCCCCGGTCACGGTCCGGCCGGCCGGCCGGCCGGGTGGACGTGACCTCCCCGGTCACGTCGAGTTTCTCTGTTAGTCTGTTCCTGGTCAAGTAGTGATATTCTGGTACCGCTGCACCAGACAATTGAGGATTGGTTTTTGTGCTGAAAACCTGTCTTCTACAAAACAACAACACGCCTATGCCAATAAAGCCATCCTGGAGCTGTTATACTAGAAAATGACAATCAAGATTCCTACACGGGAGTGGTCGTACGGATCTTCGTCTGGAGTACTACTATATATGTAGAGTTTCTAAGGATGATCCTCCATCTCCATCTACAGAGACAACGCATCTTCATCTGCTAGTTCGTTGCTTCGATATTCATGCAAAGTGCGGTTTTTGGACCTTTCTCACCTCGTGTTTGGTAGTCTCCGCCGAGGCCAGTGCTCTCTTCACGACACACATCTACGCTTGCTCGCCGCGTAGTTGTAGTAACAGTTTTGGTATAGTGCTGTCATGGCCTCCTTTGCTTTTGAAGATGCTTCACTCATCATTAAGCGTCCAGCGCACGGAAAGAGCAATAGGTGGGGTAGCTCCCTCGTACCTACTAAGCCTTACTCGAGATCTTCTGGCAAAAACTAAGCGAGTGCGACCGCGACGTCGAGCGATACGACGGAACAAAACTAAGCTTATCGAGTGCTTCGAGATCGATGAGGGCACCAATGGCTGTGTCGCTATCTCACACAGAGGACACGACGAAAATTATCTGTAGAGCTAATTTCATCGACGCCAGTGTGTCGATGTGGAAAACAAGGACAAATTCTTGCATTTTTTTTTGCCGGAGGGGATATAAATGATTCGGTTTTTATGGTAAGTGGTAGAAGCACTGCAATGGCGTTGCGCTCCTTCCATCACTACCTTTCTACGTAGTACTGTTGTATTTTTTTTATCCTCGCAGAAGTCCTACTTCTCTCGCCACTTCAACTTTCCAAAAAACTGCCGAGCGTTTGTACCTGTCGACCCCTCACTCATACATCCTCACCGCCCGCATGTCCTTCAAAAACTGCCTCAGATTTTCTATCCTTTCCCTGCACCTCGTGTCGTTCCGCTGCTCAAGCTCTCGCAGCTCCTCCGCATATTGCTTCTCGAGGTCTGCCAAGCTGACCTCAGGTTGTTTTACCGGGCCTTTTGCTTTCGTTCTTGTTCTTTTCGCGGTTTTTGAACTTGTTCTAGTACCCGCTGCTGGTGCAGCCTTTTGGGACGAAGAGGAAGCGGATAGTGCGGAGGAAGAAGACAACATTGCAGCACCTCGCCCCCTCGCAGGCACCAGTTTCTTATCTTCAGAAGCCTGACTCGTCTCTTGCTTCGCGTTTGCCTTTTTGGTTTCACGACTTTTACTGCTTTCTACTAACGCCAAATAGATCTCCAGTTCCGACACGCTGAAGGGCCGCAGCCGGGTTTTCTGGATTCCTGCCGACGAAATGTAGTCCAAAACATAGCCAGTGACAGTTTCCTGCTCCTCGCAGTGGTCCCCCGTGTTTGACGTTCCATCGTCCTTCTTTTGCGTTCTAATCTTCCCCTCAGAAATCAACTGCTGGATCTGCGCGCGGGTTTTCGAGGGATCGAAATGCTTCGGGTTGAGAAGCTTCAGCTGCAAGAACTTGGTCGCGCTGGTGGACAAACCGGGAGCATCAGTTTCGCTCGGCTGTAGTGAGATTTTGCCGTCCACACCCATCTTCTTGCTGTTTCGCGCAATCTGCTCCACTTCCGAGGATTTATTGTCGGTGGCTTTTGAAGATTTTGCTGTGAGAAAGGATGTATCCTCTTCATCTTTGCTGGTCGACCAGCGCCCAGTTGTTGCTTTAGTGGTTCTTGTTTCGGAGCTCTTGCTATTACCCTGATGTTGCGCCGTGGCTGCTGATTTCATCTTCCGTTCGTTGGACAAATCGTCCGGGTCGACGTCCTTCCGTGCTGAAGATTTTAGTTCCGGCTTCAACACCTGCGATGCTTGTTTCTGGTCTAGTTTCAATCGCCTCCGCCTCTTCGCCTCCTGTAACGCGACTAACTCGTCTTTGTATAACAATGCACAACTCCCGCTCCCTCTCATTTTGTATAGCATGAACGGCAATACAAGCATCAGCAAGAGCGCCGGTTTAGCATGACAAATTTGCATATGAAATACTAGACTACTACGCCGGCGTCCAGGACGCCGGCGATAGGTCGTCTAGTAAGTCTAAAATTGAAAAACTATCATGAAACGCTACCGGAACAAATTTGGCGACAGAGTCGCGCTTGTGGGAATCTGCTAGCGGAGACGCGGCCACTAGTAGGAACCCTCTAGGCGGTTTTAGCATGACAAAACGGGCCCGCGCTTGCTAGTGACGCCGTTCCCTAGTAGCGGCCCGCATTAGAAGCGGACGCGCCCGCCTTCGTTCCCTGCGCTTCTGCCCCGTCCCAGCCCGGCCGCTGGCCTTGGCCTGCTTCCCGTTTCTTGGGCTGTCTGACTTCTACAAAGAACCACCCGCAGCGCTTTCTAAGCAAGGCCGTCCAGCGAAGCTCTCGAAGCGAGGCCTCTAGAAGGCAAAGAATTTCCTAGAGCCACTCCCGCTACTCCTCCTGTAGCCTCCCCCAGATATCCACCCAGATATCCCCCCAGACATCTCCCCAGACATCTCCCCAGACATCTCCCCAGACATCTCCCCAGATATATCCCCAGATATATCCCCAGATATATCCCCAGATATATCCCCAGATATATCCCCAGATATATCCCCAGATATGTCCCCAGATATGTCCCCAGATATGTCCCCAGATATATCCCCAGATATATCCCCAGATATATATAGGGCTATTTAGGCTACCATAACTTGTCATGCAAACAGTGCCACGAGGCAAAGAGTGGAATGGGTATTTTGCATGACAAATGAGGAAGAGGCGGAGTTGTGCACTGTCGTACTTTGTTGAAAGGCTTCAAAAACTGTTTTCCGTCAACTTCCATCGTGTAGCCCGGAAAATGATAGTGGAGAACTCGTCTTTATTATCCCCCTCTTTTGCAATGAAAAATCAAAATTATGGTCGTCGTGCTGCCTAATTCACGACGATCTGATTGATCTTCGCGCTTGCGTGAAGATTTACACTACCAATACACCCAGACCGCGGAAGATTCGCTGGCAAGAGCACCAGTGCTGTCGTCCAGGCACTGATTTGCTAGTTGTAGACAAGTGCTGCATGATAGTACATTTTTGTTTTTCAGGTTGTAGCTGTGTGCCTTTCAAAAAAGAAGGACTGGGACGAGTTGTCCAGTATCATAACAAGAGTTGTCGACGCGAGTGACTTTATCATTCTGTAGCAAGTCCAGTAATTCGGCTACTGTTTTGGACGGGAAATTTCTACAGTCAATTCTTGTGTGCTCCTTATCGTCGTCCCGCTGATCTTCTACTAACTCACTACCGCCTGCTTCTTCCGCTGAAGAAATTTTATGTGTTCCACGCTCGGGCTTCTTGCTTCGTTCTACGTCATTAACGTCTTCTTCACGTAGTTCCTCGACTGCGACTGCCGTGGGTGGAGCAGATCTTGCTTTCGTTGGTGCAGTATCAAATGCAAATATATCTGGGTCTGGGAGACTGCGAGGTTTGTCATGCATATTTGGCACGAACCATGATTGTCTGTGATGTATGCCGTAGCATCACAGATTTTTAGAACCCTTTCTGATGCCTGTTCCGCATGAGAACAAATGCCCTCTCCACTTAGCACCAACTGCGCTCCTCTTGCTTCTCATGCAATACAGATTTTTTCGGAGTCCAAACGTAGCATCACAGATTCCATTCTTTCCTGACCCAGACATATTTGCAATGAATATGCAGCTTCATTTCGCTGGTGCTTCCCGTTTTTTCCCTGCCGCGTCTTGGCCGTCTTCTTGTTCTTCTGCGCCGCACATGGTACTGATCCCCGGTGCAGCTGCTCTCCTGTGCCTTGCTGCAGCTCATGCTTTTCCTTAACACTGTTCACCGCTGTGTTCTTCACATTTCCCTTTCCCCCGCCGTCTTCAGGAGAGTGGCTCCTGTCAACATCGACCGGAGGAGCGTGCTCGTCGTGTTTCTGTGGTTGCTTTGATGTTCGTTCAGTGACAGTCGCGGAGCTAGTGGTTGTAGATCGGGCTCGAAGAGAAATTTGTCCCATTTTCCGGTCGCGGTCCGGCTGGGGTTTTTTTTGCGGAATGTGAAAATGTAAGCCAACCCGAAAGTGTTGAAGCACTTTACAATGTATTAACAGACGAGTTTTGCAGAAAATCGCCCGAAAGATTGATTCGCGAGGGAAGATCGAAATGCTCTATACAAATATCGGACACACTACGAGGACCACAACTTCGTAAAAGACTACAAGAAGAAGTCAAGGCCTGTTGAAAGAAAGTGGAGATAAAGTTGATCATAAGTAGTTCCCTCGCGGCGTCAAGACTAACTGTGCAGATCGCAGAGCAAGTTATTGCAGGTGTTCAAGAGCGAAGATTGATTTTGATACTCTAAAAGTACCACGGTCTACCAAAATTTACACTAACACCCTGAATGCATCTTTTTCTATCGAGCTTCATTCTTCCTTATGTCTGGAGTGATAGATCTTCCACTAGCGAGTGTCTTCCAATTTCAGGGTGTAGCTTACATTCCTTATTTTTCGACAAAGAAAAGCTCGTCGGTATCGTCAGTAAAGTGGGCACCCCGGAGGTCCACTGCTTTAGCTTTTGCTGGTGGTGGTGGTTGAATTATCGGTGTAGAGCTTTTTGCTTCATCCAGGTCGTGACCCTGCAAAGTACTAGACTCCTCTAGCTGCTCCCTCCCGGACCCACATGCTTTTCCACCCGCTTCGCTCTGCTCCGATGCTGGCGAGAGCGAGGACGACTCGACAACCGAAGGATCATCTACTTTCGACGTACTATCCCAACCGCTACCGCTCCACTCTGCTTTTCGCAAATAAACCATTTCGTACTGCAAACTTTCTTCCCACTCATCCGCATGCAGCTGCAATATTTTGTGCCAGGCGGAGGGAGTAATTTCTTCGTCCTGACTCGGCACCATTCGGCTCAACCTCCGGCAGGCGGGCAGGAGGCTGTGCAAGATTTGCAGCGCGTTCTGTTCCTGCTGTTTTAGTTCCGCGGCGGAGTAATCATAGCTTGTGGGAGAAGTTTTCATCATCTGGTTCTCGTAATAGGTGTCATAACTGAAACTGCTGGTCGTGTTTTTATCGCTAAGAAATCCCCGTGAATTCAGCCATCCCCGGCGAACACTGCCCAGTACTTTCCTCAAGGATGGGTTCTCGTGAAGGAATTCCACGAGACCGAGAATCTTGTTGCTCATCCTGTCGCAAGACGAGTTCGTCTTCGGGTCTGTGGCTCCTTCGTCGCCAGCAGCAGGTGCAGGCGCACGCCCCGGACTCATCAGATCGGAGCTCATCACAAACAGCCGCTGCCGCTGCGTGTGCTCCTCTTTGTGCTTGAAGCAAGCCGTGCTGATCTCGTGCCGCAGGAAAAGGAGCAGTGCGAAGGTTTGGTCCGTGATATCAAATGCAAAAATGTCTGGGTCTGGAAAGTTGTGATGCAGGTCACTGAATAATAAGGACACTGTAATGCGCCGCCAAGCATGACAAGTTTCTCCACGCTTCTGTGTTGCGTATTCCGCATGAGAAACTGCGCGTTTGCATGACAGGCTAGAGGAGCTCGTCTTGGTTGCCACGCAATACAGGTCCCAGAGTCATGCCAGACTAGCATCACAAATCTCGCAATCTCCCAGTCCCAGACCCAGACATTTTTACAATCCATACGTGAGCCTTTTCTGCAAGTTGTTCGCTCGGAGAAATTGCTTCAATAGTTTCTGTATGCATTGCAAACGTATCTCATTCGTAGTAACTGCAGGCATGCTCCTACTATTTTGTTTATCTAAATTAGCATTACAAATTCCACTTTTCTACTTCTTGGGAAAATTTGTCATGCGATTTCCACTAGTACGATACTTTTGCAATGCATATTCTGCAGCCTCGTGTCTTCGATGTCTTCCGCTTTCCGCTCAATGTACTCCTCTATGACAGTGCACAACTCCCCCTCTCCCTCATTTGCATAGCATTAACGGCAATACAATCATCAGCAAGATTGCCAGTCTTGCATGACAAATTTGCACTGGATTGTAGTGCTATTTGGGCTACCAGAATTTTTCATGCAAACAGTGCCAAGAGGCAAAGGGTGGATTGAGTATTTTGCATGACAGATGAGGGGGAAGGGGAGTTGTGCAATGTCATATCTTCAATCTCCAAGTCGGTCCAATCCTCCAGGTAATCCTCGGGCACGTGCACCAGGGATTTCTTATCCGGAAGCAGAGTGCACGCTGCTTGTTGAAGCTTTTCCAGATCTTGGGGTGTCAGACACCAGGACGGGGTGGCATTTTGAAGCACCATGGGGGCGGTGGTCTCGACATTATCTTGGGACGCGAAGAGATCTTCCGGATTTTGATCGGCAGAAGCTGAAGTGGCGAAGCAATGCTGTTGGCTGTGAGGCGAAGACGAATTGGCTTGCAGGTCAAGGTGGACTTCGTGGTCAATCACAAGGGAAGCAGTTCTTGCGCCGGAAAAAGGAGGAGGGGACCCTGCTGCGACTACGCCCTCAATTTTTGCAGGACCAGAAACGGCTCTTCCGCTTGTGTTACTACAAGCTGCACTGCTGGCGCTAGTACACAGAGCCAGGCTCGCGAGGGCTGAAAAGACGGATGATGCTATGTTGGCTTCCACCGAAGGGACGGCGGTGGTTTTTTCCGCGCCAAACACCCCTGATGGTTCACTTGGCCCAACTTCTCCGATTGATTGCGTTACTGGGAATGCTGGACGACCCGCCGCACCAGAAGAGGTAGAGCAAGAGCTTTCAGGAAAACAGGCAGATGAGGACACAGGGAACTGAGCCGAGTTTTCGGCTGGTGTTTGCTCGACGTTGCTGCCAACTGCGTTCTCCGCCAAACGATGCCCTGCATTCGACGCGGCCTGCTGCTGCTGCTCCGCAAAATTCCGCAAGAACGTCTCCGAAAATTTCACGCCGAACGAATGCGCCGCACGAGTTGTTCCACCGTTCGGGAGATCAACCAATAAAAATCGTTTGTTCTCAGACAGAACGCTTTTGATGAACTTCCGTGCCATGCTTTGCGCCCTCTTGTCCGCCCGCAAGGAATCTTCCGTAAGAGTTTCGAAGCAATTCACTTTTCTGCGTCTCGCAGATTCTTTCAGTGCATCGAAGAGTGATGCTGTAGCATTATCATCCGTACTACAAGAACTTGTTAGCGCTATTTTCAAGTTGTCACACAGCGGCTCGTTGTGTGCGCTGACTTCAACGCAGCACTCCAGAGCGTCCTCCCCACACTCGAGCAGCTCGCGGAAAAAGAGACACGCGATCGGGTCGCTTGGTTCGAAGTTCAACGAGTCTGTATTTTCCTCGCTGGCATTACTGATGTCGCCCCCTTGTGGCCCACGCTCGCCGGACGATACTACAGCATGACCTGCGACTCCGTCTATTTTCGCGACAACTTCCAGTGGGAGCGCAAAAGATGAAGATGATCCGCCGGCTTGTTTGTCCCTTTCCTCGCCGATCAAGTGCCACTGGTTGAGGCCGGAATGCGGATCTTGACCATCATGTTGCCCGCCGTCGGTCCTGCAGCTGCTCGTGCTGCTGGTGGCCACCTGCTGCACAAACTGTCCCCCACTGATCCTGTTGATACAGCTTTCCGCGGCAGTAATACTCGTCGTCCCACAGGTTGTAGAAGTACTTGCAGATGAATTTATGCCGGTTTGCATTTTATTTTCGCATTCGTTCTGCTGCGGACAAAACGAAGCGCGTGCAGTCTTGAACGAATCCAAGGAATAGTTGTGGAATGAAGTGTGCTCATGCTCCACAAACCGCTGGAGCCCCTCGTGCTGAAAATCTGTCTGCGGTGCAGCGACTGTGACGGACACGCCTGCTGTGGTGCTCATGTGAAACTCTTCAGCCACGACATGGTCGTTGTATCGGCTTCTTTCTTGACCTCCTAGGACCACGGGAGCAAGGGGACGACGACCCACAGCAGGTGTAGAGAACATCTCGACTGGAGTAGCAGTCGCCTCACTGGGGAAGAGCAGTGGTGGTGTGGAGTTGAAGCGAGCATGAGACTCCCTCCCGGGGTAAAACTCGGGTGCCTCAGGACTGAGCAGGGGAGTACTAGACGAAAAGGACTTCTTTTTCTCCTCGTCGGCGCTGTTTGTAGTTGCAGCACAGGGTAAAAACGCACAAGCTGCATGCTGTTGTGGCAAAGCCGCGCTCGGAAAAGTTCTCACGGATGATGATGATGCTGTGCGCGCTGGTGTTGATGACCCACCTTCCTGGCTATTCACGACAGCGACCACTGCGACGGAACTACGGAATTCAGGATCAGGAATTAGAATTGGTCTTTGTATCAACAGATTACTAGCATTGTCCTCATCTTCATCTTCACCCTCGCTGTCGTCATCATCTTCCGAATCCGAGGAACCGCTCCCGCTGGACAAATAGCTCATCAACTCTTCCGGCGCCACCTGTGCCATTTCCCTATCCACGCCCGAAAACAACCAACCCGGCCCATGCCCCCCGTAAAAGGCAGCTGTCTCGCACAGGAAAACCCGGAAGTGGTTGCGCTGTTTCTGGTGCATTGTGGGTTTGACCACAAACCTGCCGTCGGCTTCGAGAATGTTCATGATTTTCTGGCGTGTGCCTCTGGTGTAGGCAGGGTGGCCGCTGAGCGGCTGTGGGTTTCTGTTGCTAGCATCATCTTGCAAGAACGGCGGCGCCATGCTAAAAGCCGTTCCCGACCAACCGTTCTCCTCCTTCACTAGCAGATGCTTCATCTGCGGGAAGTCAATCAGCAAATCTTTGCTGTGCACCCACTGCTGCGTGCTTTTTTCCGCGGCCCTTGAGCTGGAGCTGCCCCGTCGAGAAGATGTTCTTTCTATTGAGGAAGTGCGAGAAATGGCCTGGGTAAGTAGGTGCTGCTGTCGCGGAGAAGAAGAAGCGCTCAGCCCCAAAATCGTTTTTCTCGCTTCCAGTTCGTCGTGAATCAACCTGGCGATCGGGTGCTCGGAGACAGCTGCATCGTGGGTTGTGGTAGTATCTTGTGCGCCGGGAACATACTGCGGGCGGAAAAACTCCTCCTGCGCAGCGAAAGTCGTGGCCACCTCTGTATTGAATGGCGACGCGCTGCTGTCGTTGCGCAGTGGAGTTGGCACAGATTCTAACGTTCTTGCAGTACCTGAACACTGCATGTTCCCGACAACCTGCGAGAGGAAAATATCAAGATCGGGGTGATTTGTACTTTCAGGCGCTCCTGCGTGGTTGTAGTGGTCCGCGTGAAGATAGGATGCAGAATTATCGGACAGGGAGCTATGCTGTACCTCCGGCACTACTTCCGGAGGGCTAAGATTCCTAGGATGTTCTGGAACTACACCAGCCGGCGGCACAACAACATGCAGCGGACAGGCTCGATTTTGATGATTCCATTGCTCAATAAGGTCCAGCGCCACGTGATCCATCTCAAGGATGCTTTGTGCCTCACACGGTCCTCCGGTGGGATGGCTCTGCTTGCGGCATTTTGCAGATATAACTCCTACACCTACGTCACGCACATCTTCAGCAGACGACATGGTGCTTGTTCCTCAGCGACATTATAGAAGATGAAGACATAATATAGTAGAATGTCTAATATGTCAATTAATTCAGCTATGTCAATGCTCTTGCAAATGGAACGTCTAACACTTCGACGTCAATCTCAATAGTGATAGTACTAGTGCTGCTACACTATTACGTGGTCCTTCATATTAAGTGCATACCACTGACGTCACCACTCATCTTCAACCTATCTTCAAGAAGGATCGCTGAGAAGTGAAAACTTATACCGTGCATCTTTCAACAATAAGATGAATCCCTCTCAAATAAATGAACTGTTGAGACATGAGAAACCAGATCCAACACATTGACCTTTCGCTTTCCTCCGCAGTAAAGAACAATGGAATATCTTCTCACTCACGACCTATCTGGAACGCACTACATCCGCTTCCTGCACTTCCGAAGCGACTGTCAAGTCCTCTCCAGAACCAGAGCCCCAGGCACCGGTCTGTCGGTGGAAAAATGTTCCAAAAACGTACTCGAATCCATTTCTTTGGCAAAGATTCATTTTTTATTTTTCGACTTTATTAGGATTCTTGTTCTAGTACATTCTTCGTGTTCTTTTTTTGTTCGCCGTATTGCGGATTCGAAGCTGCCAATCACCTCCAACCACAACAGCTAAAGAACGGAAAAAAAGAGCCGTCGTCGGCGGCTTTGTTCAACCGGGCTACCGGATCTGTGTCGTCTTCTTTAACCTCCACCTCCGGACGATCAGCAGCAAGACCGGCATCGTAAGTTGCCAAGTCCTGCATCCGCGCTTTCCAGGGCTGATATTTGTGCTCTAACTTCTGGTTGATTTGCTCCCTCTGGGTAAACGACGCCACTGCATCATGATCACCCTTCAGCATCCGCTTGCCGCAGTACTGGCCGTGTTCCGCGAAGTCGAGCTTCCCGTCGTTGTTCAAGTCCGCCTCCGCTGGACACACGGTATTCTCCTCCCCCTCCAGCACACCGCTGTGGTCCGTGTCCAGCGAGTCGAATTTGATGGTGATCAGCACGTCGCTCGTCGTGACTCTGTGCTCAGATGCGAGGTCTTCGACCATGGTGTAGTAGTGATTTTGCGCCGCGGCCGCGATGTTCCTGGCCTCTTTCAATTGCTGCAAGCGGCCCTTGCTGCTGAACAGGGTCTGCAGTTGGGGAACGGGGGAAATTTGTGAAAACGACGCGGGTTGCAGGTTCGAAGCTGCGAGAGGTGTGGTTTGGCCTGTGGTTGTGTAGCCGAGATACTTGTGGCGAATAGCGAACAATAGTATTCTGATGCGGCAGCAGCTGAAGAAAGTTTCTGCCTTCGTTATTTCCTTATCTTCTTCCGTACCTCCTGTGTAGGTCGGGATCATTAAAATTAATAGCATACGAATACCTTTGCTCACACTGGCGGTCTTCGGAGCCATACGCTGCGGCTTCGACGTAGGCGTTGTAGAGCGGGAATCTGTGTTAGAATTGGATTGCTGGTAGTTTGATGGTTTTGGTACGAATCAATAATTTGTTCAGACAAAATTCTCCATCTCCTTCGCTCAAGCCGTTTTTATGGCTCTGCATCATTCTCCTTTTAGCTTTTGCATGAGTCCGTTGTTAAAAAAGCAATATATTACCTTTCGCCGTTCCGCCAGCCGCATTGGTTTCGGGGCTGAAAGCCTCTGCATTATGGTCCACGATCGACTGCACGACATCCGCTGCAGCCAAAGGGAGTGATAGCAAGAGGGTAAAAAGCGTAGCAGCTCGCATGATAACTTGCTGATGAGAGGAAGAACTTCTATATCAATCTTCTACAAAAACGCGAGAACATCAATACCTAGATAAACTTTGCCCTTGAACTTTATTCACGACAGGAGAGGAGCCGCGACGCCGTTAGAGTTGGGAGGTGAACTTAAAGGCGTCAAGGTTTGGAAAGTGTTGCGAAACGTAATTCTTGGGGGTGGGGGATTCGGTCTGAAGAGAGAGAACGACGACTCGTCGGACACCCAGAGGACCGATACTACACGAGAATCGACCCTGGCTGGACCAAGGCCCTGAAGATGATCACAAAATCAATAAAACACCTTCTACAACTGGGTATAATGCCAGGCACGAGCGACAGCGCAAACTTTGGTGAAATAATTGACGACAAGAATAGTCGAGCCTTTCGAAACGGACCACCTCATGCCTTGTACACGAACAAAACTCCACTCGCTAGGCGACAATAAAGACGTTTACGCGATTCTTTCAAGCAAAATTGCACTCTTTCAAGCATCAAAACCGCTCCGATCTCGAGTGGTTGAAACGAATACCACCAAAAATCACAGCGGTGCACACCAACAGAGACGCTTACGCACGTTGGTGGTTTTCGTTTTCGAGCTGAAAGTGTTCTCCTTTTCAATGTAGAATCACTCTCAAGAAGATGAGCTGTTGAGAGTTCTCAGGCAATAGATCACAAAGCACCAGGTCCAACACATTGACCGTCCGAAGGGGAGCACAACAAGAACAAACTGCTCGTCTCGTCAACCTAACATCTTCCTCGCCACCAGCACCGCCTTCAGGAGGGTGCATCACAATAACTACGTGTAAGCCTCCTAGACGTGAGTTCTTGCATCTTGGCCAAATAGAACTTTATCTTTTTTACAACGTTACGACAGGAACGCAACACACTTCTTGAAATTGTCCTCTCAACAGAAGTTGTGTCGCTTTCTAGTGCAGTAGTTCTTGGAAGTCTTTATCTTTTCGTCAATCTTTGCGATTGTTTTGTGCAATATCTTGGAAACTATGTCGTGATTGGAAGACGATGACGTTGAACTTGAAGTGTTTTCTTCTCCAGGAGGATGGAGGATTATTTTTAGCTTTGGATACAACTTATAATCTCAGATGCTACTGCATCAGAAACGTCTATCAGTCCGTCTCGTCAACATCATCTCCATCCAAATCCGCCAGAAGCTGCGCGAATCGCTGCGCCTTTTCCATGTCCTGCTCGACAAAAGCGTCCGCAATCTTGATTTTGTACTTCTTCCGCTGCTTGCTTTTCCAATCCGAAAGTTGTATTGGTTCCGAAGAAGTACTAGCGCTCGGCCGTGCTACTTCTGGTTGTTGTAGTTGTTTCTGTTCAGGCAGAAGATTTTCTCCTTCGTGGTTGCAGTAGTTCTGATGGCTCATCCCATTGTAGCGGTAGCTCTGCAAATCTTGTTCATCCTCTTTCGGCGAATAATGATTTTTGCCGAACGCTAAGGTTTTATTCGCTGTTCCAGATGCAGGAGCAGTGTTTTTGTTCCTTGAATCGCTTCTCAAAGCCGCAGTCGTGTCTTTTGTTGTTCTTGACGGCGCCCGCGGCGCCCATGTTGTGCTAGAAGGCGCCATCTGGAGGTTCCCGCGGCCACTGTCACACCAGCTGGTGTCTCCAGAGGAAAAAAACCAGCTCTGTGTTGGACCTGGTGTTGTGTAGTAGCGGTGGTCAGCAGTAGTTGTAGCTGCAGCTTCCGGCGCTCCTGCTGTGCGTGCTGTAGCTGTGCCTGCTGCGCTTCTCCATGATGTTGCACCACAGTAGGAACTGTCAGAGGACTCGTCTCCTTGACACGGCTGCTGCACGACCCCCACCTCCTCCTGCCCCAGCGCTTCACCAAGCAGCTGTTGCAGTTCCAAGCTAGCCGCCCACTGCTCCGCGGAACCCGTAGCAGCCCACTGCTCGTCCAAGTGGAGTTCGTGGAGGAGCGTCGTCTGGATCTTTGCGACACTACACTGCGACTGACTAGCAACATCAGCTGAAAAACTTAAACTAAAACTGCTATCGCAATTATGCAGTGCTCTTGCGGTGGGGAGAAGGCGCAGAAAGTTTTCGTGCACTGCGGTACTCGTTGCCGCATCGTAGTATCCGTGTTTTTTCAACCACTTGCTCGCTTCGCGCCGAAGGCTGTTCGCGATAAACCAGGTGTCCCACTGGTAAGCGTTTGCTTCGGGCCGTCGCTCCAGGCCGTCGTGTGTCAAATTCCAAGCTTGCACTTTGTTTACTAGAATTTCCTTCGCCGCAATGCTGTAGAAGTTCGAGGCTGGGCCCATCAAGTCCAGTGTCATCAGGATCATTTTCAGCTTCCAGTCAGGAACCTCGTTGATTTGCTTTCTGAGTTGCAGGGCTTGCAAAAACGTAGAGTCAATGTCGTTCACGTTCTTCGGCACTGCTGTTGCAGATATTGTACTAGCTGATGGTGTTGCAGATGTATTTGCTGATGTGGTGCTGCTCATGTTGCTCCATGGGTGGTCACACGGGGAGCCATAATGTTGATCACCAACAACATAATTTCCCTGCGATGAAGATGGTGCAACGTCCGCCGCCAGTGCTGCGGAAAGCAGCTGCTCCAGTTCCAGACTCGAAGCCCACTGCTCAGCTGCGTTTTCCTCTTGGAGCTGCGTCCGCTGCTGTGTTGAGTTGTTGTTCCAGCTCGATTTTTCCGCCTGGTTGTTGTGCCGACCAGTAGTAAAGCTAGTACTTGAAGATGAATCGAGTCTTCGCGCAGCGGGTAGAAGATGGAGAAATTCCGCGTGTGCCGCACCTCCGTTCGACGCCGGATCAACTCCGTGTGGTATGAATTGCAAAATATCGTCCTCGTAGTATTGCAATACAAATTCGCTCAGCATGATGAGAACTTAAATTTGACATGCTGATTTATCTTGAAGAAGGTATTTGTCTTGCATGATTGCGATTACTACCGGTGCGAAGACGTTTTTGCACAGGATATGTGTTTTCATCCACTTATTCGCCTCCAGCCGGTACCGCCCGGGGACGTACCAGGCGTCTATCCTCTGCAAAAGTATCGTACTCGTAGTAATCGCAAACATGCATTACAAATCGTGCTCTTAAGGTAAATCCGCATTACAAATTTTATTTCTCATACTGAGAAAATTTGTAACGCATGACGTCGCCTCGGTAGTGTCTTGGCCTCGGTACGCCACTACAAGTTGGCGCACCGAGGCTAGAAGAAGTTTCTTCAGGGCGCACATACGAAATGGCGCACCGAGGCCAAAAATGCAAGTTTTTCGGAATTGCCGCCTCGGTGCACCGAGGCTGACGGCCTCGGTGCGCCAACTTGTAGTCACGAACGAAGCAGCAGACGGGCGGAACACAGGGGGGGGTGGGGGGGCCCGTCGGCTACGTCGCGAGACCACGCGCGCGTGCCTTGTTGGCGGGTAGAAAAACAAAGCCCGGACCTTGGCCCGCGTTCGAGGGCAAAGTAAAAAACGCAGCAGGCGAAGGCGCCCGCGTCACCAGGGACAGGCGTGCGAAACTAGTCTGGGGCCACCGACTTGCGCGGCGCGTCGCGCAAGCATGCGATGGGCAAAGGCGCGCGCGGGCGTACATCATGCGGGCGCGAGGAATGACAGAAGCAAGTACACAGCGAAGGCGCATAATGTTTCAAAGGCGGGCGCTTCCCAGCGAAGTTTTTGCGCGCCGCCTCGGTGCGCCAAAATGTATTGTGAAGGCGCGCCGCTACCATACGAATTTTGTAGGTGGGAAAAAAGACATACTTTGGCGGGCTCGGTGCTGCCATACGTTACAAACCGCACCGGGCTCGGTGCTGCTTTTTGGCGGGTTTTCTCGATGCAAAAAGCGCGAAAATTGTAACGCCCCACATACGATTTGGCATACCGAGTCGTATGTGCGTACCTAGGCCACGTCATGCATTTATACGAGTACGATACTTTTGCAGTTCATAGCGTCCCACTGGTAACCGTTTCCGCTCTACCGTGAGGAAAAATCTCCCCTCCCCATATCGAAAAGGAAATTTGTTATGCTGATTCGTGATCAAAAATCAGCTTTGTCTTGCGCACAAGGCAAACGGCACCCATGTGGCGCACTGTACAGCGACTCTGTCATGCGCTTCCGTTTATGTCAGACTTGTTTCTCATGCTCAGCTGCTAGCCGGATGCGTAGTAGTAGTACCCCAATGGGCTTACTAGCCGGATGCGTAGTACCCCAATGGGCTTAGAACAATATGCCATGTCCTTCTCTTGCCGCAATACAGAGCTCATTTGTGTACACAAATCCAGCAACACAAATTGTCTTGTGAATATGGGGTGGGGGCTTTTTTCACTGTGATACACTCTCACCTCCCCGCATCGAGTCAGGATTTACGAGCTTCCACCTCCGCACCGTGTCCACGAGAATCCCCTTTGCCGCGATGTTGTAGTGGTGGGAATTTAGGCCTATCAAATCTTGCGACATCAACACGAGGCGCAATTTCGGATCCGCAACTTCGTTGATTTGGTTCCTAATTTGCCGTGCGGCGGTGGACGAGAGGGTAGAGTCAAGGTCTTTCGACGTTTCATCATTTGGGTCGTGATTTTTGAGACTGCAGCTCCCGGAAGATGGAAAGGAGCCGACGGAGGAAGATTTACTCTGCGAGTGTTGTGAGTGCACTTGGGGTTGTACTACACGTACAGATGAAGAAGAGCCAGACGTGGGAGGACAAAAATGATCCACTTGTATTTCATCTTGTGTGCCCGCCTGCTCGGAGGTTGTTGTAAAACTTCTGTCTGCAGCCTCGCCTGCTGAAATAAAAGCAGCTTGTCGTGATCTTAGTCCGTCGGATTGGTGTTCCTGCAGCACCAAAAGTGGATCACGCGCAACTGACTTCTTCCGTCTCTGTTGCAGATCCCAGCTCTCCTCCCATTCCTCCCGATACAGATTGTGCACACCAGACTGCCACACTGCCGGGACCCGTTGCGCTTTATGCATTCTGCAAAAGTTTCGTACCTCTAGTAGAAAACGCATGACAAAGAATTTTATTTCTGAAAGACGATATTAATTGGATTTCTCATGCGGCTCCTTCAGACAAAGAAGCACATCTCGTCCTGTGATGCTGCATGACTATACATTTTTCATTTTCACACGAGAAGTACGAAACTTTTTCACAGGATCATACGCTTGCTCCGGAAACAACTCGACCAGCCGTCTGCAAGCGGGCAGGATGTTGTAAAAATCTTTGAGCTATGCTGTGCAAAAGTATCGTACTCGTATAAATGCAGGTCTTGCATTACAAATTTCTCTATCAAGGCAAATCAGCATTGCAAATTTTATTTCTCATGCTGAGAAAATTTGTAATGCATTTATACGAGTACGATACTTTTGCAGTTCATATGAGCGCTTCCTCCTCCTCCTCTTTTTGTGCTTTTGCTCCTTGCTCCTCTAAAACTTCGCGCAGCCAAGGAGCAATTTGTATTGCATCAGATCTAGTTCTTCCCGCACGAGGGTCCGGGTCGTGCACGTGCTGTTGCGAAGGCAAAAAGCCGAGGTTGCGGAGCCACGGAATCAGCTGCTGGCGATAGTGCGCAATCCACGCTTGTTGCTGCGAGTCCAGGCTGTCCGCGTTCATGAGCAGTGCCCGCAGTTTCGCATCCGCGATGGCGTTGATCGTCCTTTGGATGAACAAAGCAAGGGCGAAAGATGGACTCTCCGAGTCCAATCCACCCACCCGCATCATGGCATCCACTTGTCGGAGAAGCGCGGTTTCTTGCAGTGTCTTTTCATTTTGCTTTTCAATGTATGCTTTTCCTACTCTTGTTCTTCTTGATTTTGACTTCAGTACCAATTTTCCCCGCGCATTGTAGTACCGCAATCTTCTTTCTTCGATCAGCTTTTTGCTTGCTTTTTCCAGTCGCGTCAAATCGTCATCTTGTTGCCCTTGTCCGCGGCCTTCAGCCAGATGTTGAGATGAAGTGGCGGGAACCAGTGCTACAGGAGCAGGTCCTGTGTTAATATCATCAGCGGGAGAAGAAGTAGTTTGAAACGCACTGGTACAACCGCAGTCAGCATCTGCTGCGCTGTCGTTTGCTGAAGATGCCGCTGCCGGCGAAAGCTGCCAGTGCTGGGGATTATGCGAAGTTGCATTTTCCCTTTTGTGCTGATGTTCTACTGGAGTTCGGAACATGCTCTTCATTTTCAATTTTCTGAACAAAACAAGTATCGCTACCGCTTTCGTGGTGAAAGAACACGGAGCGGTTCGACCCTACAGGCAATTGATTACCGCTTTCGTGAAAGAACACGGAGCGGTTCGACCCTACAGGCAATTGATTACCGCCTTCGTGAAAGAACACGGAGCGGGTCGATCCTAACGTCAATTGATAAAAATGTGGCAGAGTCGTAGGAAATTCCAATTGGAACAGCAGTCATGAAGTTCTTAACTGAAGGACGGAGAACGAAAATCAAGGCACGGAATAAAAATTACGTCTCCTCTCGACTTCACCAAGTAGCGTGATTCTTATCGACATTAACGATCCAAAACACCGAGCGAAAGCGACATGGAGTGTTGAACAGGTTTATTTGACTACAAAGCACCCTGCTACGACCTGATGCTTTCAGTTTCACTCCTTGCGCGACTTCTGTTTCGACACAGACGTGTCGCATATATAATCGTAATGAAATACGTACGAGTTTTGCTTTCACAACGTCACGCCAGGACGTCCGCAGCCGATTTCTTGATGAAATTGTACATCGTTCCAAGTCTCTGTCTCGTGGTCGTTACTTTCTGTTTCTTTGAAAGTTCTGTCAGCAATGTTTGCGGTTGCGCTTCCTAACGAAGAGTAGTTTCTTGGAAATTTTAACAGGGTTATTGGAAGGACACGACGGTGAAGTGTTCGTGTTCCGAGGGAAGATGGAGGATTCTCTACAACTAGAATTGGATTCATAGACTCAGACGCTCGTCCAAAAATTCTTTTATCAGTCCGCCTCGTCAACATCTTCATCCAAGTCCTTGAGAAGCTGCGCGAATCGCCGCGCTTTAGCCATATCCTGAGCGACAAACGCGTCCGCACGCTTGATTTTGTACTTCTCGCGCTGCTTGTTTTTCCAATCCGAAACCCCCTCGTGGTCTTCTTGGGGGGTCATTTGTTCTTGTCTCTCCGAAGTACAGAAGCTTGACCCCATGGTGTCTGCTTGTTTCTGTTGCTCTCCAGAGAGAAGTTCTATTCTGAGTAAAAACGTCCCCACCCCAGAGTCAAGATGGTAAATCTGCTAGACAAATCAACCAGCTTTGGCTGTTTCGCATGACAAGTTTGTCCTTGTAGTGCGATCCTGTTTAGGTAGTTCAGCAGCATCACAGATCTAGCATATCATGCTGATTATAGCATCACAAATCGCAAAACACGACTAGAAAATGCCTCTCATGGGGCTCAGCATGAGAAACTTTTTTGGCATGCAGATTCACATGACAACTCTGGTGTGGGGACATTTTTACTCAGGATAAGTTCTCTTCCAACTTCGCGGTTGCGATCTTGCTGGGTCATGATCCTCCCAGTGGTCTCATCGTGGCTCCGCAACTGCTGCTGATGCAGCTCTGTCGGCAAACTATAGAGTGAAGAGCTACTATAACTATTCCCGCCGACGACATCCTGCGCCAGCACTTGGGCGAGCAGCTCCTCCAGTTCCAGGCTACAAGCCCACTGTTCCGCATGCTGGTCAATTAGGAGCTGCATTCTTTGCTGTGTTGCGGAAGTAGTAGAGAAGCCCCCCAAACCAGAACCCGCCTCGTCATTCTCATTCTCCGTGGATGATGTTGATGCAGTACTACTAGTCCAATGATCCGCGGCCGCTCGCGCGACGGGTAGAAGTTGAAGGAATTTTTCGTGTTCACTAGGACTCAAATCTGCGTCGTACCCGTGCGTTTTCATCCACTTACCCGCTTCGTGCCGAAGCCTCGCTGCGATGAAATAACAGTCCCAGTTGTAAGCGCTTGCCGTTCTACTTCGCTGGCAGAACTCAGGTACCAGTTGCCAATTCAGCGCTTTTTCTACCAGAATGCCCTTCGCCGCGATGTTGTAAAAGTTGGATTTTGGTCCGATCAAATCTTGCGTCATCAACACGAGGCGCAATTTCGGGTCCGTAACTTCGTTGATTTTTTTTCTGATTTTCAGTGCCGCGGACCACATCAAAGTTGTCGAGATAAACTTGTCCACCTCTGCATCTACTTGTTGTTCTAACGTTGCATCGTAGTAATCTGGGTCGTCGTTCTTCCCGGAAGACGGAGGAGCATAGTACGGTCCCGTTTCTTGATGCGGAATTCTTGTCACTTCCTCGTTGCGCCGTTGTTCTTCGGCTAAAGATAAGGAAGACGAAGAGTCTTCATCAGAAGACGTGGGACCGTAAAACTCTGCTATTTTATTTGCTCCTGCCTGTGCTGTTGTTGTTCCGCTTCCGTCCGTCTCTAGTGTTGCAAATGGTTCCCGTTCCGGTTGTTCTCCCCGTTGATGATGCACTAGATGTTGCTGCATCAAAAGTGATGTATCAACTTCACCCGCATTTCTAAGATGCTTCCTCCTTTTCTCTTGCAGATCCCAGCTCTCCTGCCACTCCTTCGGATACAGATTCACACCAGGCAGCCACGCATTTGGGATGCTTTTCGCTTCGGGATGAAACAAGTGGAACAGCCGTCTGCAAGCCGTATGGGGGTGTCAGGATCGGAATCGACAAAATCGAAAAACTTGTAATGCATGAAATGTAGGGCGCGCAAGGTCTGTGCTGGGGCGTAGGCAAATGAGACCGATTCCAAGACTGCTTCGGGGAAGACGATGCGCTGCCAGGGTAGCAGTACAGAAGCCGTCTTCTTTGCCCAAACAGCATGACAGAGTGGATTTTGGCGCTCCCGAAGTTTGTCATGCACCACTTGAAAACTGTGGCTCCAACTGGTATCGATTTTATGCATCACAAATCATTTCGATTTTGTTGATTTCGATCTGACAGTTCCATAAGCCGGGAGGATGTCGTAAAAATCCGCCACCGCTTCCTCCACCTCCTGCGAAGACTGCTGCTTATGGAAGCGTCAGGTTTGAAATCGACAAAGTTGAAAAGAAATGATTTGTCATGTATAAAATGGATACCAGTTGGAAGACCAATTTCTAAGCCGTGCATGACAAATATGGGTAGAGCCGAAATCCAGTTTGTAGTGCTGTTTGGGTAAGGAAGACGCCTTTTGTCATGCTACTTTCGCAGCTCTATTTCTACCCCGCAACAGGCTTACAATCTGCCTCACTTGCCTACTCTGCAAGCCAGGCACTTTGTGGGCTGCATTTTTTGCGTGACAAACTATTTCAACTCTGACGATTTCAATCCTGAGCCTGACACTCCCATACTGCTCCTCTTGCTGGTACAGAAAGCCTCGGTTGCGTAACCAAGGATGCAGCTGGCTGCGGTAGTGCGCAATATGGCGTTCTCAACTGTTACGCTCTCAACTGTTACATAAATTTGTAATGCAAGAATAGCAAAAGTCAAAGGGGGGACGCTGCACATTTAGCATTACAAATTTCGCACAGATTTAGGCACTGTTCAGCCCTTCGCAAATTTGTCATGCGAAGCAGCTTGATCGTCTGGATCGGATGACGATAGTGCTTTTGCATGACAAATTCATGTAACAGCTGAGAATGTAACGTTTGAGAACCCCATACGCAAGGAAAGATCCGTGTGGGTTCGTGTCCACAAAAAACGACAGATGGAGGGAGAGAGCAATCTTGCTTGTTTTGTTCTCCGGTTGCTGAAGACTCCTACTTGTTGCTGTGCTACTAGAGAAACCAGAGGCGGCGGCACGTGTTTGCTTCAGCCTGTCGGAGGCCAAACTGTCGGCGTTCATGATATCCACTGCAAAAGTATCGTACTCGCACTACCCTGTTTTTTTTCTAGGCAAACCCACATTACAAATCAAGTTTGTCATGCTAAGTCAATTTGCAAAATAAATGCAATTTAAACTAAGAACGTTACTTTTGCAATGCATACATGACTAGCGTTCGCAATGTCGGATCCGCGATGGCGTTGATTTCCCGTCGGACAAACATATCCTGTGAAAAAGTATCGCATTCGTAGTAATTATCGCGGTCATGCATTACAAATCTCCTTCCCAAGGCAAATCAGCAAGAGAAATTCCATTTGTAGTAATGCTGAGCGAATTTGTATTGCAATTACTACGTAGTACGATACTTTTGCAGTGCATAAAGCAAAGCAAGGGCAAAGCAGGAACTCTCCAATCCACCAAACCGCATCATGGTATCTACTTTATTCCGGAGAAGAGTTGTATTTGGAGACGCCGAATAGAAGTTGGTCCCGCTTGTTTTTTCCGAATGCGATGACTTGTGCGGGTTTAACAGCCCCGCATCCGTTCCTCTTCTCTCTTCGATCAGCTTTCTGCTTACTTTTTTCAGTCGAGCTAAGTCAGCAAGAACAACTTCAGCCGGCTCTACATTGTCAGCGGGAGTTTGAAACGCACCACTGCAGCTAGCATCTGCTGCCTTGTCGTCGTTGGCGGACGATGCGGGCGAAAGCCACTGGGAATGCGAAGCCGAACCCGGCGTGTTTTGCTGTTGCACCGGACTTCGGAAGTAGATGCTGTCCATTTTCAATTTTTCGTGATAAAATAAGTGTCACTATTGATACATAGCGCTTTCGTGAAAGTCCACAAAGCGATTCGATCCTAAAGTGAATTGTTTTTTGTGAGATGTAAATTATTTTGAGCAGGCTGCACCTGACTCCAAGCATGACGAAAAACGAATCGAGGCCCGGAAAAACTACGTCTCTCTCGGTGTGACCAAGTGATGTGGTTCAATTCGTGCTTTACTCGACGACAAAGGAATGCGTGCGATCCTCAAACTAAGGTACTAACTTACTATCATCACGAACTTCATATACTTGCCTCACTCTCGGATTCTGAAAGACTAGGACAAACACGACCCACAAACCGAATAAACGTTTATTTGTGAAGATGAAACATTGCATGATGAAATTGATGGAACCCTAAGAGCGCGAGCGACATGGAAAGAACAGGCTTTGACAAGATCTTCTTCCTTAGGGCTTGTGCTTTCACCTCATGGGGTCCTGTTCGGGAGGCAAGTACAACTTGTATTGATCGAGACGTGCTGTCGCATGGTAAAAGTACGGGGCTATCCTTATCTTTCCGCCGGTTCATTTTTTCAACAGTAAAAAACATGAAATCATGAGGCGTTCATTTGGGATATTTTTTTTGTTTTTTTGATGCTTTTTCTGTAGGGCGCCATAGTGTGACGCTAGTGTCGTCGTGGTAAATATGAAATTCGATAATAGTTGGGGTCGTCGTGTAAAACGGTGCCCGTAAGGCAAAACAGCCTTACGAATGATCAATTAAAAGATTGAATTCCAGTACTTATAGTAGAAACAAGCGCTCTCTCGCTGGCGACCCCAAGCAGCGAGAGCCTGCGCTTCAGATTTTCGTTAGTGACGGTTGTAACAGCTGCGATGAATCATTGTATTTGTAGATGTTTCTTCTACACTTCTTGTCGCTGCTATACGGTGCTGATGAAAAATGATATATTTCAGCAACCGCCTTTTGCTCCCAACCTGAGAGGGGCGCGCATATTTGAACCAAGTATAAAAACCTCCGAGCCCAGAAACCGTTTCTTTTGCTACAAAACCAAATCGCCCTTTAGTTGACCGCGCATTCTGTTCCTGCGCACCACTTATTTCTCTTCCTCGTCTTCTAAAAACGACAGCACTGCTATTCCTGAAACAAATCAGATTATTTGCAGTTTTGTCGAAAAATTCCACTTTCCATTCATCTCCACCTCCTCACGAATGATCAGTCCGAATCCGAGTCCGTTTCGTTTTCCAGAGCGTCTTTCAATTGCGACCATTTTTCCGCTGCGTCCATGTCCTGCGCAAGGATCGCCTCTTCAAACTTCCTCTCGTATTTCTTGATTTGCTTTTCTTTCCACCCTGAGCGGCCGGCGCCGGTATTCGTCGTGTTCGCGGCGGGTGCTGCCCTCGAAGTAGAAGAAGCTCCCTGTTGCTGCACCGGGACTCCAACCACGGTCGGGGCAGCAGTTGTCAGAAGATTGGTAGAAGATGAACCAGAAGCAGAAGTAGGTTGCTGATAGTACTGCTGCTGCTGCGATAAAATCGGTTGCTGTTGCATCGGTTGCTGCATCACATGTTGCTGGCGCTGTTGCTGTTGTGACATCATCAAAGTCTGTTGCTGTTGCGGGATCATCTGTTGCGAAGATTGCTGCACTTGCTGCTGTCCGCTACTTCCACTATTCGGTAAAAACATCACGGTATTTGGCGGAATCCTCGTTCCCGCCTGGCCCATGCTGTTGTTCATCGCACCCGCTACAACAGCCTGCGGGGCCAAGGGTTGCGGCTGTGCTTTTCCCTGGCCGTACAGGTTCTGTGCCTGCTGCTGGGCCTGCATCGCGACGGCAGAGGCATTTGCCATCTGCTGGTTGTAGGCGTTTGCCATCTGCTGCTTGTAGTTGCGCATGATCAAAGGGTCGACCTCCTGTGCACTCTGGTGCCCGGACACAGATTGCGGAGTTGGAGCTACTGCACGGTTCTGTTGCTGCTGTTGCATCTGTTGCTGTTGATGGTAAAGTTGTTGCTGACTCGTTACTTGCTGTGGTCCTGCTGTGTGGTTGTACATCTTATTCGCAGATGAAACAGCACTAGCAGCTCCCGCCATGTTGAGGTTCTGAACGCCACGCGCAGCACCGTACTGTTGCTGGTGCGGCTGCTGCGCACTACTGGTCGTGTAACTTCCCGGTTGATTCATCGCATACTGCTGTGTAGTTGTACTAGAAGCTGCTGGATACCCACCCGGGGTCACCACTGAATACGGAACAACTCTGGAAGTAGTAGAACCACTTGCGGCTGGATGTTGTGCAAACACGGAAGATGAAGCAGAACTACTCTGCGGGGGCAACGCCTGACCACCCTTGTGGTATAATATCGGTTGCTGTTGGTGGTGTTGCGAAGTCGTCGTGGTACTACTGTTGCGGGGGTTGTAGGAAGATATCGAACTAGTGCCGCTTTGCGGTTGTTGGTAGTACGATCCTTGAACAGCTACAGAGCCAACTTTATTTCCACCATCAGTACTCCCCTTGCTGTAATTCCCGTACATGTTATCCGGAAACATGGGCGCTGGCGCCCCACTCGGCCGGGCATCCACCGGATAATGTTGTCCCTTCGTTGTTGAAGATAAACCGGATTTGAAAATTCCCGCAGCAGTATTGTTCCCACTACCCATGGCGGTGGAAGTGGATGCAGCGGTTCTACTCGAGGTCAGATGCAACAACCCATCGATGGCGGATGTTGTGGGCGGCGGGGGTTTATTTTTCACGACCGCATTGGAACTCGTCTCAGTGTGTTGATGTTCTTTCTTGGAAGTAGATGTTAAGTGCGGCGCCGACTGCTGGTTCAACGGCTGATCCACAATCTTCCTCGAAGATCTCCTTTTGCTCGGATCAAACACCATTTGCACCTCCTCCAACTGCACTCCGATTGGACTACTCGGTTCTACTAACGCAGAAACACCAGAGCTGCCAAGTGCAGCCTCTCTTGTTCCGCTGGAGGTAATATTTGTCGTGGGCCCGGTGGGAGAGTACATCAAATTCTGATCGAGGGAATTCGGACTGGCGGAGGTCCCAGATTTTTTACCAGAATTCGCTACTTCCTTTTCCTTTTTTCCGCTCCTTGCGTACTGGTGAATGTGCTCCACAAGTTCTCGCTCCTTTTTGTTGCCGTATTCATGGATGTGCTCCTCAAGTAAAATCTCCTCTTCCGCCTCCTCCTGCGCGGAATGGAAGGACTTCGCCGGGGAAGCCGCGTCAATCATGTTCATGTTCGGAGTCGTGGTCTCTACTCTCTTATTCCCGATGTCATCTTGTTTCATCACGATCTTGGTACGAGTATCAGCGGCACCTCCAGCACCTTGTTCTTTCTCCTGCTCTGCTTCATCATCACTGTACACTGAAGATTCATCTGAGCTGCTGCTGTCATTTTCGCCGAACAGCTGCTTCTTCGTCGACTTCCCATATTTGTCATGCGTATTAATGGCACGACGATTAATCTCCACTTCATCCTCGTAACCCTCCTCGTTTTCACTCGCGTCCTCCCGCGCGCCGGAACGCTTGGAGTTGCTGCTCGTTCCGAAGAAGTAGTCGTAACTGGGCATGCCGTTGTCCTGATAATTCTCGTCTTGGTCGTCTTGTTTTGTATTGTCCTTATCATCAGCGGAGGAGGAAGAGGAAGAGCTACTACTGCAGCTTCCGCTGTTCGATTTCTCATCTTCGCTCATGAAATCGGCTAATTTCACATACCATTTGTCCGACATATGAGCGTAAGGACTCGCGGACCCCTGCTCTTCCCGCATAAACTGAAATCGCCCGTCTTTTTTCACGATATCGAAAATCATGTTATCAGTAAACGGGACCTTCAATTTCGGAAATAATTCCCGTATCCCCGGAATCTCCCCGAACTGCTGGTTATCAATCACCTGATCCTGATACGGACCGGTCGGGAGCTTGATTAACGTTTGGAACAACAAATCGCCGATTTTGTTCCTTTTTGGAAGTGTCTTCGCGGTCTTGTCGTAATCGATGTCGTTGTCGCTATCGTCGTCGGCCCAGATAGGAGAAGTTTGGTCTTTCTTTTCCTTCCTGATCTGCTCGGAGAGATGGGAGCTGCTACTGTGGTTTGGTACAACTTCCTCCCCGGCGTAGTTGCTGGGTGTCGTCGCCCCGCTCCTCGCTCCAAGTAAAGCCCTTGCCCTGTCGTGTTGCTTCAAGTTAAAACTCGTTGTGTTCATACTAGTTTTCATCTCCGGAGAAGATGCAGCTCCAGCTCCTACACCTCCCGCCCCAACAGACGACTTGCTATTATGGTGCGACGAAGTAGCCAAAGCGTTCGGGTTGTAGTAGCTGCTGTAGTTCGTTTGCTTACTCGTGTTATAAGAGGACGCATTGTGACTGGAGAAGTTCCCCCCGTAGTCCCTACTTAACCCCACCTTCCAGTTCCCGTCGTTCCCGACCCATTTGACATCCAACCGCGGATCTTGCTCGATCACCCGCCGCATGGACACGCTTTCCTTTTTCACCTTGTAGGAATTATCCTTCGCCCAGTTCAACCCCGGAATGTTGGATTCGTTTAAGAATCCGGAGAAAATGATCGGAACTTCGTGGTTTTCATACAACATCTTCTCTTCCAGGTGTTTCAAGACTAGATTGCAAATCGGGTCCCCGTTCTGTTCCTGATCCAGTTGGTAGGGCCGCCAATCGCCCGGGCGGCTGTACTTGAGTTGCTGGTAGTACTGCTGTTGGGAGTAAATAACCGAGGAGATTGTCGTCGTGGAGGTTGCAGCGCTTGATGTTCCGTAGTGCAGATTTTGATTTGATGATGTTCCCGTTCCGGCATAAACAGTACTACTTCCCGTGGGGGCCGCTGAGGTCGCCGGGTTGGTCCAAGTAGAAGCTATCAAAGAAAAAAAGTTCGTCACGATCGCTCATGCGCATTCTTGCAATACAAAATTGTTTGTCATGCGTAAAAATGCATCACAGCCAAACTTCATTAGGGATTTCCCTAGTGTTTCTGCAATACAAGGAAAGTTTGTGATGCTGAGAAAATTTGTAATGCAGAGCCTGCAAGTTAGTGACTGTGACAAACTTTTTTCTCTCCATAGAAGCTGCTGCGGCTGTATTCTTCGATCCCGCAGCATTGGAAATGAATTATCCTGTGCAAAAGTATCGTACTCGTAGTACTCGCAATCATGCATTACAAATCTTCTTCCCAAGGTAAAACAGCATGACAAATTCCATTTGTCATGCTGAGCTAATTTGTATTGCAATTACTACTAGTACGATGCTTTTGCAGTTCATATGAATGGCGTTGGAACAAAACCAGAAACAAGCGCACCAACAGCACTCGTCGCACCAACCGCCCCCGGAGCGCTGACACTACCGGAATTATCATTCCCCCGTGGTCCTAAGAACCGCTCCTTGTGTTGCGGATGGATCTTCACGGAGTACGCCAGTCCCCCGTTATTCGGGCGCTGGATCCACTTGAAAATAAACCGTCGCCTCGGGCCCCACCGGATTTCCACCTCTTGTAAAATTTTCGACAACGGCTTCCCGGCCCACCCCCGCGGATCGTGTCGTAATTCCGACAAATATCCACAGTAAATTTCCCGTACACGTACACATGCGGTCTCCGCATGACAAAACTTGGCTTCGATCCTAGTTTAGCATGACAAGTTTGACGCTTGTTCAAATTGGTGAAATTTGAGATGCATCTTGTACATGTACGGGAAATTTGTCTTGCATAACAAAATCGGGTCCGGACCGAGAATGGTTTCCCGGATCGCGCCGTCCTGTTCCACATCCGTGGCTGGGGACAATAACCCCCCACCCGGCGTGTGCGTTACCATATCCTGTCGCCTCTGTAACGCGTGGAAGAAACACAGGTACTCTAACCTTGACACCAACCTGTCTTCCGGAGGCCCATTCGGTGCCCTCGCCTTCCGGTCGAGATGTTCCAAATGTTGCTGGATCAGCGAGTAGGAGGTGGGAGTGCGGTTGGTGGAGGACGATGGTGTGATCATACCAGCAGCAGCAGCAGCTGCTGCTCCAGACGGGGTCGTTGTGAGGTTGAGATTATTCCGGGCCCCCTGATGCGCCGGAGTGGTAGATGCAGAAGAAGAAGGACCGCCTCCCAGAGAGGACGTCGGCAGAGTTGTTGTCAGTGCCACTGGAGGTGGCACCGTCGTCGTGTTGATCGCGCTGCTAGAAACAGCAGCAGCTTGTTCTGTGTGATGATAATTCTTCAGCTTCACATAGGTTTGGTTCGCCGAGTTGACATTAAGTTCGTACCGGTTCGGGAAATGCAACAGAAACGACGAAATGCCCCCGGATAATTTGCCGTACTCCCTCCTGATGTTTTTAAACTCCTCATCCCCACCAATCGTGGACAAGGACAGCTCCCGTCTCCCATTACTCCGCTCCACCACCCCTGGCGCATTCGTCGCGATCAACCGCAAAACCAATTGGTCCAAGCGAATCTGGGCCTCGAACGGGAGCATGGTGGATCCGGAGACATAGTTCCTCGATGGGCGGAACGGAGGGATGCTGCCGATGGAGGAGAAGTTGGCTGCTGGTGCTGGAGGTGCTGCGGCAGTAGCTATGGTGCTGTTGTTAACCCTTGCGGTCAGGTTGTTGATGGCTGTGGAGTTTGCGTCTGCTGCACCTGTTGTTCTGGAGGCCGCGACAGAGGCCCAACTGTTGATAATGGGGGTTGGGGAAGAGGGTTGCTGCCGCACGATCCTCTGTTGCTGTTGCACAGAGGGGATGTGTTGTCCCGCAGCAGGAACAGCAGTCGTTTCGCCAACGTTTCTACCGTGTTTTACAACAGCCGGAGAAGCAGACAACTCATTTTCCGTGGACGTATTCACCCCCGCGACTCCGCGCAACGACGCCGGCGTGGTTCCATCGCTAGGTAAACCCACGGTTGGCGGCACGATCCCCGGGGGAGGATGTGCTGTACCTCCTTCTCTATGCGCCGAGGAGGTTGTTGTGTCGTGGTCATCTTTTTTCGAGACTGGTTCCGCAGTCACATTTTCTTCACTAGAAGAAGTCGCCACCGGCCCGCCGAGGTTATCCAGCAGCCCTGCGAGAAGAGTTCCGCCGAGGTCAAGGGTTGTCTCAGGTTCGTCTGAGGAGGTGTTGGAGGGTTTTTCTGTAGGATCCACAGCTTGTTGTAGTTGCGCTTCTTCTTTCACCGGGGTAGGGGTGGCCAACCCGGGAGGTCGGGGCGGAGATGTTGCTGCTGCAACAACCGGAACAGCTGCTTTAGAAACTTCCTCTACCACAGCAGTAGCAACCACTGGCGTTTCCAGCAACACAGGAGTTGGCTTCGCAGAAACTCCGACAGCCGCCGGAGTGGCCTTCAAACCCATCCCGCCATCCGTCATCTTCAGTTGCTGCAAGAACGCAGCGGCCGCGCCGGAACGGCCAAACACTTTTTTCGTCTTCTGCACGGAAAGCTCAGCGGGATTTAGATTTGCGGCCGGTTGCGGTTTCTGCACGACCGGGGCAGCAGTTGGGGTTGCAGGAACTTGCGCAGGCACTACTGCAGCTGCCGGCGGCGGCGGTGGCATGTGCCGAGGTGTTGGGGGTAATTCTACCTTCATGTTGGCAGAGTTCTTCGGGACAAAGACCCCGTGAGTCTGATCGGCCGTCTTTCTTGGCGGGGAAAACCTCGGAGGGGGCGTCGTCGCGGTTCTTGTGCCCAATGGGCGCTTGATGCCTTGCTCCTCATCCGCCGCGGTCAGAACCATCATCACTGTCGCCATGTCTTCAGCCGTCTCAGGCGGGTCGAGACAGATCAAATTTTGCAATTCCATCTGTTGTTCTCGTTCCTTCTTCTTCTGCAGTTCCAGCTGCTCCTTCTCCCGCTTCTTGTCCCGCTTGGATTTATAGTTTGTTGTCATGAACTTCGCCGCACCATCAGCAGCATCTGCCTCATTCGTCGGCGTCGTCGTGGAAATCCAGGGGACGGAACGGGAAGACTTCGCGGAGTCATCAGGGGCCTTGAGGTTCTCCCCAGAGATCGTTGGGATCTCGCCGAAAAGTTGTTGAGAACTGTCGTCCTGGTTGCTATTTTCCTGCACGGCCTGCTCAGGCGTAATTTGGAAGTCCCGTTTGTTCATGCACTCCGCCCCATTGTCCTTCATGAACAGCGCGACCTTCGTGCTTAAATCTTGCTGGGGGTAATAATCGCCAGTCGAAGTTTCTCGCGTCATCATGGACTTCAAACTGAATCTCGGCACGTTCTTCTGCTTCTGCTTATTCACCCCCGCCGGCACGAAGATCGGGTACTTGTTACTCGCCTCGTTTTCGTGCGGTTGCGTGTTCAGCGGGGATTTCTGGAGCGTTCCTCCCATGTCCAGCATCTTCTGGGCGTCGTAGATCGCGTACTTGGACTTGGATTTCGGCTTTTTCGGGGTCTTCTTGCTGTCTTGGGACTCGGAGGATTTTTTACGCACGGATTTGTTTCGGAGGGGGGCTTTGTGGCTGTGGGACGTGACAACTTGGTTGCTGGCTGCGTACGCAGTAGTTGCCACGACTGGCACGACCGGGGCTGGTTTTTGGACCTGCTGCGGCACGGAAGCCTCTTTCGCCGTCTGCTGCGCCGCCGTGGTCTCCGCGACCTTCTGCTGCCCCACTTTCTTCCCCTCTTTCGCAGCTTTCACTGCTTCTGCAGCTACCGGCTTTACTGCTAACGGAGCTGGCGGCGGCAGAGTCGTAGGCAATGGTGGGGTCGTCGCAACTTTTACAGGAGCTTGTGGCTTCGACGGGGTCAGATTCTTAGCGTTCACCAATTTGTTCAAGTCAATCACTTCGTCCATCACTGGCGTCGGCTGCAATTTTTCCCGCACAATCGACAAATTCGACTTTTTCTCTCCACCCCGCTGGAAGGCAAGCGGTAGATTCGCATTTATTTTCCTGGCAATCGGGATATTTTCCTCCCTGATCTTCGAGTCGTCGAGCTTCTTCTCGAAAATGGAGTATTTGTCGGAGAATTTCGGGCGATGTTGTTGGGGGGGTAGCCCTTGTTCAGCAACAGCAGCAGCAGGCTTGTTCTCTTTTGAAGAACTCGCGGAAACAGACTTAGAAGCTTCTGCACCAGATGCAGCAGAAGCAGAACTACTAGCACTCCCTTTCACTGGAGTACTAATCGCCTTGTCCAAGGGCGGAGTCTTCATCTCGGCCGTGGCCCAATTGCTGCTCAGAGGCTGCTTTCCGCTAGAGCCAAGACCCGATTTGTTGACCGCGGGACTCTTGTTCATCTGATCGTTGCTCCAGTTCCCCTTCTTATTCCCCTGTTTATTATTCTTCTGCGGCGGCAGCTCCCACAACTTCGTACCACTTTCGTCAATTTCAATTTCGTACGCCCCATATTTTTTCTCGTTGTCCCCACGCGAGCCGGCATCCAGGTACCTTTTCACGATAAAAGACACGTAATCTCCGATTTGTACCCGATACTCGTCTGCCGGATCGGAAAAGAGCTTGAACCGGCCAAACAGCATGTACTCCAGCTTGTAAGTGTTCTCAATCTTCACGGCGTATCGCTCGCCCGTACTAGAATCCACACAGAAGGCAACGACCTGAGGTTGATGTTGAAGAGCAGATTTTTGTCAGACAGAAAGAGCGTACGTTATTTGCATGACAAAAGATATCATCTCCAATCCGCTAATACGCATGACATCAAATACATCAACTTGTACCTTCCCAACAATTCGCTGATTAGCTTCCACAGTCAGTTCCGACCTGCTGACCTTCTTCCCATTTCGAATCACGTCGACCACCTTCGGCGCCGCCGGTTTCCGCTGTTTCACAGGCACCGCAGTGATATGCATTGCAAATATGTCTGGGTCTGGAAACTTGTGATGCTAGTTTGTGCTGCATGGTGGGCGCACTGCGTTACGCAGCCACGCATGACCAGTTTCTGAGCTCCTATGCGTTTCGCTTTCTGCATGACAAACTGCGTTTTTGCATGACAGGTAAGAGGCTGCCTGTGCTTTCCTGCCTATGCATGACAGATTCGAGAGTCATGCGAATGACAAACTTGCATTCTTCCAGACCCAGACAGATTTGCATTTGATAAGTGAACCCGTCTGCGGAATCTAGCGGCTCGAGAACATCCGGGGTTAGAGAAGTAGTTGCAACTACGGGGTCGCTCTTCACCTCAACAACATTCGCAAACTCCTCTTCCGGCCACTCTTCCCAGAGAGAGGTGTCGTTTTCGTTTTGATTCTCGTTTTCACTTTCCTCGTCGACTCGGTAAACATCATTTTCCCACTCATCATCCACCGGGGAGGTGGGAGAAGTGCCGGATTTTCGAGAATTCGACGTGTTTTTAGAGGAGGAGGAGGAATCCTGCAACGCGGAAAACCCACTTTTGCTCGCCACTTTGGCCATGTGCTGCCCCTCTGCATGAAACATCATTTGCCTGTTGTTGTTTCTTTCATCGTCGGAGGACTCCAACGCGGCTAGAACCTCCGCACGCTCTTGCAACTTCTTTAATTTTTTCTTCATCTTCCCATTTAATTTTTTCGCCGGCTGGTTGATTGATGTGTCTTCGGTAGTACCTTGATTTTTGTCTTTACTCGGAGATGAGGGAGACAATTCGATCTTATTGTCCTTGTCCGCCGAACCGGGCGAAGAGGTTCCCTTTGACACTGGCGTGAAAATCCCGGCATTGGCCAACTTTTTCTTTTTCGGGGTCATAGCGTTGTCTTTCTCGTCGTCAGAATCGAGATCGTCATCGTCGTCCGAGTCGGAACAATCGTGGTCATCAACTACACCACCTCCTTCACCCCCCTCCCCAGCCGCAGCCTTCGATTCTTGCTTCGCTATTTTCCTTGCTTCCTTCCGCTTCTTATTCTTCAACCTTTTCCGCAAATACTTCTCCACCTCCATCATTTCCTCCCGTTCCAACTCATCTTGCGCCGCGTCCGCTTCAATCTTTTGCTGGTTCGTGATCGACGCGGGGTCCGTCCAAGTCGATTTCTGGTTCTTCTTATTCGTCCCTTTCACCGGCCGCCGGACGTGCAGTGGTTGTTCTTTTACGAACGGGTTTTCATTGCGGAACCAGAACGTGTCCCCCATCGCCTTCAAAGTGTCTTGCTCAGAAACATCGTAATCCCGCATGTACTTCCGCACCGCCCAGTAGTCCTGCACTTCCCGGACGTGGAGGTTCTTAATATCGTTGTGACTCAACATCTTCGTCAACTCGTGTTCTTTTTCCTTCGGGTCGAAGTAATGCGGGTCGATGCACTCGGGCTTTTCTCGGATCGTTTTCTCGTAGAAGTCCTTCATCAATTGCTTGTCCCACTTGCACTGGGAACGTTGTTTCAACGTGAGTTTCCCGAGCCACTTCAACCGGTATTCCCCCTGTTCTTGTTTCCTGATGGTCTCCATCTGTTTGAGGAGTTTGTCCGCTTTTTCCGGGTTTTTGAAATCACTAGAAATCATCCCGTCGTACTCCTTTCCGAGTAACCCCGCCATCTTAAACTTGTACAAAATGTCCTTAAAAATCTGGTCTTTTTCCTCTTGGTTTTTTCCGTCCAAGTGCTTTTCCCCGAATTCCCGCCACTGCTTGCGCTCGTTTTCCGTGAATTTGTGCGGGTACATTTGGACTTTCAAATAGGTTACGTAATCAATCATGTCTTCCAGCACATAAGCATCGTCGTAATCCGCGAGACAGAGGTCGAGTTCCTTCTTTGTCTTTTTCTTCGAGACAACTGCGTTCTTCGGGTTGGCGGACGGATTTTTGGTTGGCGGGGTTTTAGCTACTATCGCTGTTTCCGACGTGCTGGCGGGGGTTGTAGTGGACGACAACGTCGAAGAAGATGAGGTGGTGGTTACGGCAGCGGTAGTTGCAGGCTTCTTGTTTTGTTCCTGTTTGGTTGTCGTGGTCGTGGTCGTCGTACTGGGTGCAGCGGACGCCTTGCCTTGCTGCTTTCCGGTCGTTCCTGCGGTTTTCGCAGTTGCGGTCGCAGTACTGGGCGCGGTCGTTGTTGTAGTAGCAGAGGGAGCTTTACTATTGGTAGCTGTAATTGTACTACCAGATTGCTTCGCGGGAACAACCGGTAGTTGTTGCGCCGCCTGCGGCTGCTTCTTCTTTCCGGCACCTCCAACCGCATTCGCAGATTGCTGTGCAGGCGGGGCTTGTTGTGCAGCAGGTTGTGTACCAGAACTAGCACTTCCAGTAGGTTTAGTACTGTTATTCAACACAACGGGTGGACCCGGCGCGCCCGGCAGTCCCTTCACCGCTTCAAATGGGTCCTTCACCTTGATCCGTTCGTCGATATCGGGGATGTTCTGCCGGATGATCTTCGCCATCTCCAGGTCTAACTTTTTCCCCGGACTCGTTTCGATTTCCGCGGCCGCGGCTAACACAGCCGTGGCGTAAGCGTTCTTCTCCGCTTGCTCTTTCAGCTCCTGTTCCTTCTTCTCCGCAGCAGCCGTGGCTTTGGCCGCGGCCTTCTTCTGCTTCTTGCTCATGGGTTTCGGTTTGGAACTGCTGGTTTGGCGAAGGCGGGGGAGGTCCTCGATTTCCGCAACGGCTTTCGTCTTTTCCGGCGCCGGAGTAGGTGGCGCGGCAGTGCTCGCAGAGGGAGATGCTTGTGGTCCGCCTTGTTTTACCGCTTTGGTTGTTGTACTAGACGAATCCTTCTCTAGGGCCTGTTCCTTCTCCTCTGACAGTTTCCGGTCCACCCACTTGATGCCGGTTTGTGCTTCGTTTTTTGTATCACTACCACCTCTATTCGCTGTTCCCGGCGGAGGTGCCTTGGATCGCGGGGAGGGCGCAGACGAAGTCTTTTTGTTTCCGCCAGTAGTAGTAGACACCGTCGTGCCAGAACTGGTTTTATTGTTTCCAGCAGTGCCCCCAGTTGTACCAGAGCAGGGGACGAACGCCTCCTGAATCACCACTTGGGAAATGGTCGTGCTCCCGTCCTTGTTCTTCGTCTCCCGGTCGACGCAAACGGTTCGCAACCCCGTTTTCGGGTCGTCAATGTAGGAAACGTAGGAAGTAGAAGATTCTCCTTTTTTATTTTCCTTCTTCTTCAAGTTCGCCGTCGTCTTCGGCCCGCCAATGGTCGCAGAAGTCGTCTTCGACTGCTCACACACTGTGGTTTTGGAGAGTTCGTCCGAGACAGTAACGTTCTTCCCGAATTGGTCAAGATCGAACTTGTCGAGAGCGTCGGACAGAAACCTCGGCGGAGGACTGCTCGTCGAGGTCTTGCTGTGGTCTTCTAGTGCAGCTGCGCCGGATTCTTGTTCATCTGATGTAGTGCCGGAGACGGAGTCTTCGTCCTCATCCTCCTCCTCCTCGTCTGTTTCTGACCAGATGTCCGGTAGTTCCTGCAACTCGTCCTCGCGACAGAGCCTTCCGCAGCTCGGGCAGTTACAGAGCGGCTCCGAGTTTTTAGTGCACACGGTCGACGTCGAAGCTGTTGTTTTTTGAATGAGGGACTTTCTTGAGAAAAATCCGGAAAAAATGGTTCTAGATCAATTGCATGCAGTGAAGACCACTTAGCGTTGCAGTTCCTTTTGTTTTCGTCATGCAAGTCTTCATGCATGAGCAGTATGATCCCAAAAGAAGAAGATTATACCCGCAGTACTATGTCCCCTGTTCTTCTTCTTCTTATTCCGGCAGCCCGTAGGTGCCACAGAAACTACTTGTTTGGGCTTGCTCCCAAGGAGTAAAGTGTTTTTGCTATCACCACTCAAATCCTTGTTCAACGTAGAAGGCTTGTTGTTTTCTTGGTTCTTCTTATTGCCTTTCTGATTATCGGTCTTCTTGTTCTCCTCTGTTTGGCAGGCTGCGCCTGCCGAATTATTGGTAGAAGATGCGGAAACTGTGGCGGAGGCTCCAGAAACGTCTTTGGAACTGGCGCCGTCTTTTTTACAACTTGTGGTAGTGCTTGAAACAGTGCTGGTAGTGCTGGTTTTCGAAGAAATTTTGCTATTCGCAGTATTTTTAGTCGCAGTGGTCGTAGTTTTCTTGCTATCCGCAGTTTTATTGGCCACGCCAGGCGCGGCCGCTGAGGTAATACTAGAGCTTGATGTTTTATTGGCGGCAGAAGTTGTAGCTGCAGAGGTAGAACTACCCGCCGATGCAGCTGCTGCGGTCGTTGTACTAGATTTCGAGTTGTCCTTGATCGTCGCAGAAGTAGAAGTTGTACCTCCGTCGACGGGGGTAACCGTTACAGAGCTTTTCGGTCGAGCAGCCGTCGCCGAGGCTTGCGTGCTGGCAGGGGCGGCTGTGGAGGAAGATATTAATTTGTGAGAATTGATTTTGGAAGGTAGTGCTGACCTACAAGTATCTTTTGTGCTACTACGACGACGAGACAGGAACGCAAAACAGTTGCACGGTGGTAATTTCAACATCCAGGTCGAGCGGCTGCGCAGCTGTTAAAGCGCATGATCCGCATGGCCTGAAGACCATGAATAACGGTATTGTCTAATCTAGCTTGAGCTTGTTCTGCTCTTTCTCGCTTCTACAAAGTACCTATAAATTTGTCGGGTGTTCGCGAATAGCTAAGGAAAAATCTGCACACATGATTGCGTTTTTTCGTGACACATCTACCTCGTGATACTGCCCAGATTTTGGTTTCTTGCAAAAATCTGTTCGTTTCTGCTAGGATCAAAGTTTTCAGATCATCATACTGCACGAACATATCTAAAGCAATTTTGATCACTCGAAAATCAAAAAATGGGTCCCAAATTTGGGAGATTGCAGCTCGGAACATGATACGCCGTCTTTTCATAGTACTAAAGGAGTTCTGTTTCTATGGTAAGCAGTGGTCTTCATTTATGAAGCTCTGCGTTTTGCGGTAGGGATCTTGTGTCTTGTCGCTCAGTGAGTAGAAAGGCTGAATTTCTAATTCGTTGAGAATTGTAGACGTCTTCTACGCTGGCTAGTGCTACAGCACAAGACCTTGAGCAAAACCTTCTGTGATAGTACTGCTTCAGAAGTTCTAGGAGCTGTAGCATCAATCTATTAGTACTTACTCTAGGCACGACCATGTGCAGACTACCTCAAAGTGAATCACAATCACGACTATCTCTCATAAACAGAACTTGTTGCAAAAGTTGCACACACAGTAACTACGCAATAAAAGACACGATATTAATTAATGTACCTTCCTTTCCCTGCCCGCTCTTCCCATCGTCTTTCTTTTTCCCACCCGCAGTTCCTCCGCTGAAAAACCCGCCGGAACCAAACAGATTGCCCAAGATCAATTCGGGCAAAGCGCCGCCGAAGACCGCATCAAAAGATGGCGCGCCGGGAGGCGCTTCTTCTTTATTGCCGTCTTCATTGTCCTTTTTCGACGAGGACGTCGTAGAAGTACTGGTCGAAGGAGCTGCAGCAGCGGGTTTTTCTTTTTTGCTGTCAGCTGTTGAAGACGATGCAGCTGCGCCAGTCGCTGATGCAGCAGTACTCGCAGGAGCACCAGCTGTTTTCGATCTATTTCCAGCTTTCTCCCCGGCTTGTACAGAAAAGCCTCCTGCTTTTTCTTCCTGCTTCTTCGCTGCAGTTGTAGTACTCGCAGTACTAGACTTTTTTGTCTCCCCGCCGTAATTATCCGGCGGTTCCAGTGCCGACTGCTCTGCAATCCCCGTGTTCGCGACAAATTTCTCGTACTCCTCCCCCCGATCCTCCATGGGCGGGTATAATTGTCGGCACTCCTTCGCTATGCATTGCAAAAGTATCGCACTCGTACTAATCGCATTTATGCATTACAAATTTTCTTGTTATGTTGAATCCGCACTACAGATTTCATTTCTCATGCTGCGGAAATTTGTCATGCGACTTGAACTAGTACGGTACTTTATTTGCAGTGCATATTCCCTTCCGCCTGACACTTCGCACAGTCCGGGTACGGGCACACCCATTGCGCTTTCCCCGCCGCGTTCCACCAGTGGATGAAATGCGCAAAAACCCGCACAAACGGCGCATACTGGGCCATCATCTCCCGAGTGTACCCGCGTTTCCATATGAGTGTGCACAACTCCCCCTCCCTCTCATTTGTATTGCAGCATGAACAGCAGTACAAACACCAGCTCCAGCACACGTGGAGCCTGTGCATGACAATTCATGCGCCTAGTGTAGTGCTGTTTGGGCTCCTTCCGGGATCTGTCATGCATAATAGTCACACAGGAGAGCCGCGATTGGATTTGGAGTTTTGCATGAGAAATGAGAACGAGGGGGAGTTGTGCAATGTCATATTCCGGATCCAAGCACCGTAAGCGATCCACACCTGCTTCATCTCGTCATAGAGCATCACGTGGCGCTTTTTCAAATCCTTTTTCGTCGGCAGGTTCTTCTGGTAATCCAAAAGCGCGGTTCCCGGGTCAATCAGGGATCGGGCCGCGACGCAGATTATGCATTGCAAAGACGTCTGGGTCTGGAAACTTGTGATGCAAGGAAGGGAATAGTGAAAGCACTGTAGTGCGCTGCCCAGCATGACAAGTTTTGCCGTGGTCTTGGGTTGCGCACTCCGCATGAGAAACTGCGATTTTGCGTGACAGGGTGACAGGCAAGCGGAGCTCTTGCTCTTCGCGGCCACGCAACACAGAGCTCAGAGTCATGCCAGACTAGCATGACAAATCTCGCGATCTCCTAGACACAGACATGTTTGCATTTGATACAGATTTCCCCGACTTTCGGGTGGTTGGGGAACCGGATGTCACCGCGTTTGTACAGCAGCTCAATCTATGCATTGCAAATATGTTTGGGGCTGGAAGGTTGCAACTTGTGATGCTGCATTTGGATACTACAAAAATCTGTATTGCATGAACAGCAAAAGAGCTCCAGTTTATGCCACGGCGAGAGGGTATTTCTCATGCGGTATAGGCATGAGGAACCCCTCACAAAATCTGTGATGCTACGGCATGCATCACAGACGTCAGGAGCCACGCACGCTGTGCATGACTAACCTTGCATCCTTCCAGACCCAGACACTTTTGCATTTGATACAATCCAGGGGTGATCCGCGTACATAATCATGATGTTCAAGTTCAGGTCTTCTTCCGCCTCGGTTTTCACTCTTCCGCAGGGATACTTGGTCACCTCGATGTGCGTGATCATCCGACAGTGATACATGAACCGCGATGAGGGAAGTAAGTAGTGCTGCAATTCAGACTATGCAATACAAATTTCCCGTATACATGTACAAAATGCATCACAAATTTCACCAACTTAGAAGGAACTTGTCATGCTGAAGAGGCTTCAAGGACAAGTTTGTCATGCAGAAACCGCATTTGTATTTGTAGGTGTACGGGAAATTATTTACTGTGAATACGGAATACTGCTTCTCTTCCGGCGTGAACCGGTTGTAGTAATTGATCACCGCATCTTTGAACCAGGGGAGCGGACTTCGCGTGGAAGTGTCGTACTCGGCCCCTTGCTTGGTCTTCTTGACAATCTTCCGCTCCTTCAAGCAGAGCCACTCGACCTTCGTCTCCTGCTTGAAATTTATCGCCTTCGACGGTAGGTTGTACAATTCCGACTGAGCGCTCCGATCGCAAAACTCGAAGAACTTCACCAGGCTGTTCGTAATTTGCTCCGCAATGTCAGGGCTGGTGGTCGAGGTCGTGCTGGTAGCCGAGGCCGACGACGACGATGTCGCGGCTGCAACGGCGGTCGTGCTGGAGGTTGTGCTAGCTTTTTTGTTTTTGTTGTCCGAACCCTGTTTCTTGCTGCCCTGCTGCGCAGAGCCCGCGCCCGCGTTCTTCTTGCCTTTCGCCATTTTGATGTGACAGAGCTGGTAACCACTTATGCGATTTTATTTATAATTACACGAGCACGTGTGCTGCGACGACTGGGTTCTTCTCACCCAGGTTCTTTTTGTACTTGTGTTGTACTGCTGGTCGCCGTTTTGAGGACAATTGTCTTGCACTGGTAGAAGAACCGCTCCTCTCTGCAGCCCGGGGAAGGTGGAAAGTGTGGTTATTTTTCTAAAACAACTAAAGCTCCTTTCGTCGATGTTTTGATAGTACTTATAATCGCGAGTGCAACTTTCTGAGATGGGTTCGTTGGACTACACTATCACTAGGACTCTAACTTTGAATATCTACTCAGTCTCCTTCGTTCTCGATACTTTTCTAGGTGGGTGAAACTGAAACTTTCATATACTCCTTGACGAAGATGAAGAAGCTGCAAAAGCATTTCTGCTTTCCGCCTCGCCGCTGTCGTGTACTGGCAAAAATTCCAGAGCAGTAGAGACATCGTCTATACAGATTTTTTCTCAGGCGTCTCGTTGTAGCAGGTGGTCCTACCTACAATACATAGCAGAAATGAACCTCGTAAGTATGATATCGTTCGCACGATAAAACTGCATTTGAATCATCTATCATCTCCCAAAAAACTTTTTAGTTTTTGATCGAGCCGCTCGATCGAGATTTTTTCATACCATGCTTCTGGTTTCTTTCCAATAGTTGTTTTTCGTATTTCTAAAAAATCTTTATCCAACAATAAACCGGACACAGAGCTGGTGCAACTGGCACGGGCACCAGTCAAGAAATATTACAAGGACGCTAAGCAGTTGTACCAACAGACCCCATGTGCATGTAATAGATGACTTTTCCGCCAAATTCAATTCAAATTCAAATTGTGTTTACGACGCTTAGTGCATCGCAAGACTCTACGCTACCCTGGGCTAACGTTCTAAATCCCGAGGGGAGTCACGGTAAGAAAATTCTCGCTAGGGTCTTAGGGGCACAAATTGGATAACGTTTCACTCGCCCAGACCGAAGCTATTTCTAACTACGAGCCAACTCGGATTTCTTCTCGCAGTGAACCTCACATCAACATCACTGCCACCCAGCTGGGATCCGCCGCTTCGTCTAGCCGTCGGCAACTGGCCCACGGCCAATGTGCTAGACGCGCGCTGTCTTCCCGGCCCCACTGGGGCAGTTACGTGCCCCCGCTACTTACGCGGACGCGAGCTGGCGCCGCTGCCGCAACGCCCGGATGCGTTCGACGTCGGCCGACGGGTTCGCGATGAGCTCCGCCCGTGCCTCTACCGCCGCCTCGATCGCCTCCTCTGCCGTAGCGTAGAGCTCCGGATGGATCGTGCGGGAGAGCGGGTAGGGCTCCTCCTCCCCCGGGACCTTAACCCTCGCACGCGCAACGAGCTTGCCTCGGGGCGCGTCGTACGTGACCCCGACCGGCAGGGCCTTGCTTGCCCCCTGGAACTCCAGCGCCTGCTTGACCCTTGGCGGATCCTCGGTGTGCTTTTTGCGCTTCAGCGGCTTCTGCGCGGAGGGCTGCACGGCCTCTGGCTGGGGGAAACAGGCGCGGAACCTCGCCTCTGTCTCCCGCTGCTGGATCTTGCGCATGTGCACAAACGCAAGGCGCAGCGACCCGAGCCGCTTCGGCGGCAACCGTGGTTCCGGCCGGCATTCGTCGCAACTGCACTCAATGCCGGTAACCCGCCAGTCGTAGTCGCGCGGAGACAGGTCGCCCTGGAGGTACAGGTCGGCATCAGCAAGGGTAGGCGAGACCACAAAACACGGAAAGTCTAACACCTCCCGAACTATCGAAGCGTACTGCTGCTGCACATCGTCGCAGGGGGGCGCCGGGCTGTCGATGATGTCAACAATGCGCTGCGTCCCTACAAAGTCCAGGAGCCGTGCCAGGGTGGTCGGGTTGCCGTCTTTGTCCTTCTCGCCGACACTCGCCAGCGCGGCGTCTTTGACCTCTTTGCAAACATCAATGTCGCCATCCTCGATCTGCGTCGCCGGCCACCTGCGCCGGAGCGCACACTGGGCATGGCGGCAGTGCAGCTCGTGGGCTAGAACGTCGGCTGTACCCGGGTCGGGCGAGAGGTCTTGCTGCTTCAGAGGGCGGCAGTCGTAATGGGGCTCCAGCCCCACCGAACGCGCGGGTGACGGTGCCAGGGTGCTGCGGAAGTCGCACGCCGGGGCCCCCTTGCAGCGGTATGGCGTGAGAAGGTCGGCCTCGACCTCTGCCAGAGCGGATGTGAGCTGCCGCCCACCATTCGTCCAGGGAATCCCCGCGGACGATTGTGTGTCGTACCACGTCCGGAACGAGCGCAGGTCCGCGCGCGGGGACTGGCCCAAGTTCTCCTTCGTCAGGTGGGAAACCCAGTACGACTGGGCCTCCGTCCTCAGCTCGGGCGTGCACTCGGCGTCGGCGCTGTAGTCCGAGATCGTGATGGCGATCCGCGCCTCGGTAATGATTGTGCGCCATAGCGGGCGACACGACGCCAGTGCGAGCATCACCGCGTCTGATGGCTCTGCACCACACACCACTGCGAGGGACTTCTTGCACTGCTTCCACAGAGACTCCGCGTCCGACCCCTGACGCGGTGCCACCAGCCACTCGTACTCCAACCTTGGGAGAGTGCCAATGCCGTACGCCCCAAAAAGCGAACGCCTGGCGAGGCGGTCGCGCGGCAGGCGAATTAGGTGTCCACAGAAACTCAGCTGCATGTATCGGAAGAAGCTCCCGAGCGGCTCGACCCGGTGGAGGCGCCGCAACCTGCACAACGGAAGGTGTAGGCTCTTAAGCTGCCAACGGCGGAACCCTGTGAGCATCAGCAGCGCGTCGTTTTCGTATTTCTGCAAACTGTCGATCTCGGTACCACTCCACGGCCGTGTCTCACAGCCGAAGGAACCCCTGCTGCGAATGCGGCATACCAGATTTACCACCAAGTCCGTGCCGCTTTCTGCAGCACCACCGAGCGACGCCAACTCCGTCAGGGCCCACGACATCCGCTGTTTCCGCACCGTTAAGTCTCGCTCCAGGCAGAGCCAGTTGCCCAAGTACCTCGTCGCCGCCGTCAGCTCAGGCGCCGACAACATCGAGAGCAGGTACTTCGTGCGGTTGGCGTTCACACCTGTAACCCCTCCCATCACCGTCCACGCGGCGTCCGCGATGATCGCCTCTGGTGCAGGGGCGGGGAAGGCGGTATCGTCCGCGAAACGTACCTCCTGGAGGGAGTCCTTTCCTAGCGTGGCGGAGCCCGCTACGGCCTGCGCCAGCGTGTCGCGAGTGGCGTCGGGCAGCGCGAAGCGCGCGCGGGGGGCCCATAGCTTCGCCCCGTACCTGTCTGTTCCGCGGGCGAGCTTCTCGAGTATGCCGCGGTAGATGCAGATGCACACGTCGTAGGAGGTGGCGAAGTGGGTGGGGGAGCGCAAGTCCCCCTCTCCAAACCCCGACGTCAACCGGTATTCGTCACTTCGCCCTGCGGGCGTGGCCACCCGGTACCGCGTGCAGAGGTGGAACCGCACTTCTGTCTCTTTGAAGTGCGTCCCCTCCAACCCCAGCGCATCCAACATCTCCTCGTACACGGAGATGCAGAATGACGGATACGCTTTACGGACGTCCGCCTCTATAAATACTAAAGCCCTGTACTCGTCGGAGCAGATGCCACGGGTTCGCCGCACATCCTCGATCAGCCTGCGGACGCAGTATATGAGTTCCCCGGTTTGGAACCCGGGGCGGAACCCACCCTGCGACGCTGTGAGGATCCCGTGCTGTTCCGCCGCCGTGTGGAACCTCGTCGCCAGGGCCCCCGCGATGACTTTACTAACAATAGTCTTGTTCACGATCCCCCTGTGGTCCCCTATCACGTCGTATCCCTGGCCGGGCTTTGGTCGGGGGACCACTGTCGCTGCCGCTAGTCGCTCCGGATCGGCCTCCAGGACCTGGAAGCCTTCCAGGAACTCCGCGTTGACTGCCGGCAGTATCGCCTCCCATGCCGCGATGTCCAGCGCCTTCCAGAACTGTATGCGGTCGTGGAAGCCGTCGGTTTGGTTGCTGTTCTTGCGGGAGTGCACGGACGCGTACAACTCCTGGGCCGTGAAGGGGCGAAGTAGTTCCTTGACCACTTCCGGGGGGAAGGGGGCGACGGATCTGCGTATTAGGTCGAGGCGGGGGGTCGTGGGGTTCTCTGCGACCCGGCAGAAATGCCGCGCCGCCTCGTTCGGATCGAATGCAAAAATCCGCTTTTGGGCTTTCAAGAACCGCTGCTTGCGGATGTTTTCCTCCACGTTGAACGTGGAGGTCTGCGTCGCTAGGAACGCGGCCCGCTCCTCCATCAGGCGCGCTAGCTGATCCTGAAGGACTTCTACATTCTCCCCGGCCTTCGTGCGCGCCGCCCTGATGCGCCGCATGAGCTTTCGCACCGCGTCATTAATCTCCCTCTGGCGTGCCACGTCCCGGGAGCGGTTGTACTCATGCAGCTGCTGTAGTGCCGAGCCCTTCAGGATGCCGCTGTGCTCGCGCAGGGTTCGCGCTACCGCGCCTAGTGTGAGTGCGCCCTCCGCTGCCGACTCCTCGAGCGACGTCTGCACTTGGCGCGAGAAATCGTAGCGCGCGCTATCGGTGGCCCTCCACCAGGGTACGGGCTCCTCGTCAAAGTCCCCAGCCTCCTCCGCGCGCTTCTTGTCCCTGCGCTTCCGCGCCGTGTTCTTGTGCTGCCACTTCCTCTCGACCCTCCAGCGTATCAGCTTGTTGTAGTGGTCGCTGTCCAGCCCGAGATCGACGGTCGCTATGGAGAGCACGTTCTGGGCGGAGCAGGCGGGGATGTAGACGTAGTCGAGCTCCCGCCAGCGCCCGAGGCGGGTATTAAAGTGCGTGGCCCTGCACGGGGCATACTCGATGCCGGTGTAGTTGCTCTCGCCCCGGGGCTGCACGTGGAGGGAGTTGCCGCAGACCAACCTGAACTCGTCCGCCAGACGCAGCATCTCGACGCCGCGATTGGACGTCTCGGTCAGCCCGAACCTTCCGGTGGTCAGCCCGCGGTACCCACGCCTGCGACGGCTTTCCGCATCACCAACAACGCCGGCGTTATCCACATACAGCATGAGCTCGCGGTTTCCGGGTTGGCCTTTTAGCGGTCCAGAGTGGCCACGAGGTATCCTGCGCGCCCACTGTAGCGTGTCGCCCAGAGTCTCAACAAACTGCGCCCAGTTTGCCTCGTCGCGGCGGCGCTGCTCCGCGGCGGTGGGGCCGTCTGCGGTTTGCGGCGCCTTTTTGCCACTGGCTGCCGTTTTTCTGGTCTTCTTGGTCGCGGCCGTGCCTTTCGGGCGCGGCTTCTGTTTGGCCTTGGCCTTTGGCCTCGCCTTGGTGAGGACGTCCTTCTTGCTGCCTGGGACGGACTCCTTCTTCTGCGCTCCTGCTGCGGCAACAGCGTTACTGTTGCCTCCGAGTGCCGGTCCGTAGGCCGACACCAACGACACCAGAGGCAGACGCAGCCCCACGACGCGATCGCCTCCGAACACTTCGTACTCCCCACGCGAAATGTGTCGGCGCCACTCCGCATCGTAAATGGCAATTCCTGCGCCATTTGACAGGAACACATCACACGCGTCGCCCGCTGCCCGCTGTCTGACGACCGCGCTTGGCCCCGGCTTTGTCGCCCCCAGCCGGCTCGGGACATACAGCACCTCGGAGAGCAGCGCCGCCCCGACTGGTGCGCCTGGGTGCCGGCGGGGCGGCTCGTGCAGATCCCTGAGCTGGCGGAGATGCTCTTGCAGGCGGTTGCACTCGCCGAGCCCCCGGCTGTTATGCGTGACTACGACGACTTCCTTGTGCGTCTGCTTGCCCCCTCTGCGGCGGCGGCGACGCTTTTTCTTACTGGCCCAGCCTTCGTCGAACACGTCATACTCACCAGAGGGAGTCAACTCGTGGTCGCCACCAGCAGCACCAGTGGCGCTTTCGTTATTATTTTCGTTGTTCGTGTTGTCATCGTTTTCAGCAGTCAAGATCTTTCGCAGTGTTTCGATATCGTCCTCGTGGTCATCAAGTCTACTTGTCTTCTCGTACTCATCTTCTCCTCGCAGGTGAGGCTGCGGGTCATCATCTAGTATCTCAGAAACATGAGTTTGCTCAACGTCATTTCTCATCACAGCAGCTGTAGCGGTCTCCCCCGCGGGAGGTGTGGGTGCCTCCGCATCTGCTATCGTCGGGGGGGCTGCAATGTTGTCGACGTCCGGGGCGGATCCCACAGTCGGAGAACTTTGCTCCGTCGTGTCACCCTCTCCCAGCAAGAAGTCCGACGCGTCTGACGGCTCCCCCGAACTCGGGGTGGACATCTCCGTCAGGTCTGTGAACTCGTCGTTGGCGTCGGTGTGAAAGAGACCGCCTATGGCGCTTGCGGACCTGAGAAGAAGCATAAGTGAGAAGATGATTTTTGTGAAAGACCAGTTTCCTGTGAGAGAAGAAGATGCTGAGGCTGCGAGCTTGCTCTGCGCGGAGACATGCTTCTTTTTCCTTCTTTTGCGTCTGCGCCTGCGGCGCCCAGAAACTACAACAACGCGAGAACCTTCGTCCTCCTCTCCCTGGCTCCGCTGCGTAAGCTCCGCCTGCGCCTGATTCACCTTGTGGAGGTACTCGTCCGAATGCATGAACTTCTTGATGTCGCCGATACCCTCCCCCATGATGTCTCGAAAGGCACTGATCGTGTCCGCCTGGTGGGCCTTGAGCGAGTCATCGAGCCGCTTCTTCATGCTGGAGTGCTTCGCCTCGATCTTACTGTCCAGGGCGGTCTGCATGGTGGTGACGGAAGTTTTGATGTTCTTCTCCTTCACGTTCATCATCTCCTCCAGGGCCTTGTGCGAGGCCTCCACCTGCTTCTCGACCCCAGCGATGCGCTCCTCCACCTTGCCCTCCAGGGCCTGGACCCGGAGCTGCTGCGCCTCAACATCCTCCTTCCTCTTCCTTTCCATCTTGTCGCAGCGCTCCGTCATTTTCCTGGCCTCGTCCTGGAGGTCGCGCTTCATGTCGGACTTGAACAACTGCAGGTCTTGCACTGTCACTGTGCCCGGCGCTGGGCGGGCAGGGTCCACCCTGACCTCGCCGCAGCAGTCGTGCCCGTTAAACTGGGTGATTATAAACGTCACCCCAGCTCCGTTGCTGGGCCTCGCGCTCTCCTGGCTGAGTTCGTTCTTGTGGAAGAAGATGGGTTTGTGGAAGACTCGCTTGAGCGTCCATTCGTCCGCCGAACAGTTCAGCCCCTTCTTCCAGTCGGAGAACTCCATCGTCTTCTTCGGCTCGATTTTCCCTGTTCCCCTGCCCTCGTAGTACTTGGAGATGAATCCACTACATTTTCGCTATGCACACCTTCCCGCCCAAAGAACGCAGTTTTTACATGGCGGAAACAAACCGGACATCATTTTTCACGCCACCAGTCCACAAGAACTCGAACACCTTTATTACCTGCTTTTTGTTTATTGTAAACAGTTGTAGCCTTCGTTGTAACAGACGGCTTGATAGTTCTTTTTTTTCATTCCCCTTCCATAAGGCACCTCAATCTTCAAAAGCAAGATGCAATCCCAATTTTCATTGTTCAAACATTACTCCTGTCTAAATACTTTCACTTGTGGTCTACTAGCCATTCTGTTGCGGCCATGATTAAAGTCGTGTTCCAAATCGAGTTCTACTTCCACGCTTTCTACAACCAGCATACTATGCTAGAGTTGCTATATGTTTTTTCATTTCAATGTTCTTTCGGAATAGGGGATTGAGTTGAAGTTCTTGTCGCTGGGTACTATACTTGTTGTTCATTCGCATTTCACAGATGAACGTCCCGAGTTCTTAGTCTCACTCCATCGAGAGCGAATACTTCACCCCGTGTTTCCCCTTTCCGTAGTAGTCCTTCCACTGGCCAAAAGCCTCGAAGCCGTAGGACTCGTAGAACCGGCACACGTGGTCCCACTCTTTGCAAGTTTCCAGCCGGACTTCAATGATAGGCTTCGCGCATGATGACACAGATGTTGTCGAGCCGAGAGCAGGAGCAGCTCCGAGATGATTTATTATCGCCTCTGACCTCTTCCCGTTCTTCCTCAAATGCGCCAAAAAATCGTTGAAAAGCTTCCGGCCCAGAAATTTGCACTGGTAGTCCGGATGGATCCCGAAGTTTCCGACGGAGTAGTAGTAGTGGAAAGCGTTGTTGTCCTGCTTCGATCCACCATTGCTTCCTCTGTTGTTCTTTGTCTTGCGCGTACTAGTATCAAAAGTGTTCCTCCTGCTTTTTTTCCCTTGCTGGTTCCTCGTCTCCACGACCTGAATCTTTTTCGCTTCCTGCTTGATCACCGGCTTAAACCTCCCACTGTATCTCACCGGCTCCGGAATCTTCAATTTTTCCGCGGCGAGCCTCTCTACTTTTTTCCTTTTCTCCCGAAAAGACGCTCTCTGATACTGTGCGGTCTGTAACAGTTCCGCCAGCAAATAGCCGACGACTTTGTCTTCTTTCTCACCAGCTTCTGCTGGATCAATGACAACAAAACTGGCCCCGCGGTTGAAGCCGCAGTGGTTGTTCACGAGTTTACCCTTGTCCAAGTAGTGCTTCAGTTCCCACTTCGCGCAGGCATTCTTCTTGTCGAAAAGTCTTTGCTCCAGTTGGTAGATTTGTTGCAGGTGGTCTTCTGTCGTAGCCGGAATGATTTTGAAATTTTTCGTCACTTGGTCAATTTGTTTTCTCCGGTCTTTCTGCTGCTTGATGGCGGATTTCAGGTCTTGCTTGAAGGTGGTCGTTGGTCTTGTTGTCTCGGTTGCCGGTCTACCCGCAGCAGCTGCGGAAGCTCGCGGCTCTTGTTCGCAGCTTTTGCTCCGCTTAGTCGCCGCGGTTGTGGTCATTTTGTCGCTTAGTTATGTTGTGCTTACTGTAGCAACAAAATTTCGACAATGTTGCAAAAGATGTTGTACGCTTCAATAAAGTGAAAGCTGTTGTTGAAATTTTTTCCAGTGCAAGAGTTAGAGGCCCTAGACGCTATCCATAAACGTATACAGTAGAAACAGAAATCCGATAAACAGCACTGCTTTTATTCTAGCGAATACAAGATAGATCAGAACTCTGCAGCTTGCTAAAGAGCATGAAAGCTCCCTGTAGGTTTTATCATGGAATGGAGGCTCATTAGGTTTAGGACTCACGTGCGGGTGCACCCGGTTCAAAGCGGAATGATCAGCACGATTTCTCGCAGCAAAACAAGAGGAATTTGATCTTCAACTCGATCATCATCTCTTTTCGGTTTCAGGATCGCAACAGATGACCAACTTTGGCTGATCCATTTTGCACTCGATCTATTACATGGATCTTGTCAGTGGATCCAACTTCGTTTTTTTTCACCGGCTTTCAAGTCAGATCCTGATTTTACGGATCTGTTTCTCTTTCAGCTCCACACCGATTGATACAACGAACATACAAAATCATTCTCTCCGGCTCTTTTCTGTGGATTTCGACTTTTTTATCCAATTTCGCATCCTTCTCGGTAGACTGATTCCCCTACCTTGGTTCTCATCTTGTTACCTCAACATACGATGCAGAAAAGTGCTAGCAAAACGGCCAGCGAGGTTTGTCATTTTTTTCAAAGGTCCCGCAAGTTTACGAATTATCGCAACCGCCTCTCTTGTTGTGTGAAAGATAAATTCGTCGGGAGGAAATTTGCAGAATGCAGTGTTAGAACGCATAACAGAATAAATTTGCTGGCAACGCTCTAACTGGAGGATAAAATGCAAAAAAAAGTAAAAGCAAAAAAAGAAGCAGTAGATCAATAGTGGTGAAACGGAGGAAAACTCATCACAGTCAACATTTGGACAGTAGAGTTATACGAACGAAAAGCAAAAACTGACGAAATTAAGGAGGGACTTTAGCTTATTCTTCTTCCTATACGCATTTATTTTGTGATACGGTAGCTGAAGACACGCTCCGTTCTTGTTTATTTTCGGATTCGATCTAGTACAACAGCCATCAAGCAGCGAGCTCGCAAAGTTGAGTCAAAACTAGTACGCCAAAGTGAAACTTGCAAGCAGGACCGGGAAGAAAGAAAACATTAAGAAAACCAAGTGACACAAACTACGCGGTACGGTCGATAGGCAGAGTAGAAGCAAAACTAGTACAGTGTGGCTTTCTATATACTGACGTCGGATACGCTTTTTGTTTTTAAAAAGCACAGATGAAATAGTACGGACGGGAAGATAAACACTACTTACAAACACTGATCGAAGACGAACTACTACGAAAACAATCTTTTCTATTTTTGGAACAGGTGAGGTGAGTTGTGCTAGCCCCGTCGGCGCTCTTCTTCGCAGCCACGAGAGACAATACAGAGCTTAACAAGACCACCGGAGCTTCTTCAAGAGGCAGCTCCGTATGGAGGTGTTGTGATGAACCTCTATCTTTTCTTGCTCGCTCTGCAAGCGCCACGATAATTATCCCCCTACTTCGGTGGAAGACGAAGATGATTATAATTCTTAGGGTTTCTTCTTGCCTTGCTTGCCGAAATAGAACCGAGCCTAGTAGTTATAGTAGTCCGGAGGTGGGATAATTATACTAAGGCTCTACGTTGCGTGACGCTGATGCGATCTTGATGATGCGACGTTGCCTGAGGTTATCATAGCAGGCTGCGTCACAACTCCTGCGCTTATCATACACCAAACCCCCGCACTTGCGCGACGACCACAACTAATCTTGAGATTGCTTTGTCGCTTGCTTTTGTGGGGGCTCGCTCTAGAGAGTTTGTGAGAAAAAAAATTAAAAGCGTAGTTCGGGCGTGTCGCTTTAGCAAGCTTTTGATGCCACAACATAATCTAGAAGTGCTCCAATCCCCCCTTTCTTTCAATCACAATCACTGCCGCGGAAAACTTCTTTCCGATTTGGGCCAGTGAATAGGAAGTGAGTGAAAGGAAAACGACTGGAAGATCGCCGGATGCAGTGGTTGAAGTTGTATTGCATGTTAAACATGCAAGACTGCGAGTTGCTTTTCGATTAGTAATGCTGTCGATCGCTGCTCGAGCTCGTTGTCGTTCAACAGCACCCGACACAGATCCCCTCCTTTCACTTGGGATGCAAGCGGCACTGACACTGTCGCCGGAGAGAATAAAGAGAGGCAATTACTACGTAAAAAATAAATGTAGGAAAAGGAGTACGGTGGTAAAGATGGGGAGATTATAGTTGATGTGAAGAGCATGAAGTGTCGTGGATATTCCAGGGAAATAAGGGATGTTGAATAGATCTTGTGTGATTTATTTCGCGTACAACCGCCGGCTCTACTGCTGCAAACAACTTACCTCTTGTTTTCTGTTCCTAGTCGTGTGTAGATCCGATCGTTTTCATAAGTAGCCGAACTTCGAGCTGTTTGCTTGGTGTGCCGTGATAGAATTTTTGCCCACTTGCGAAACAGAGTGTACTAGAGTTGTTGCAGCAATAAGTTGTATCTCTCCTACTTTCGATAAATACCCACTAAAACGACCAAGGACATATCTCTTCTGCAGGCATCACCAGCTCCATCTTTACATAGTAAAGTTCTATCCTCTCTCAGAAGCTGTGATGCCTCGTTTGTAGCCTTGTGCCGCCACGTAACTCAAGGAAAACCTACCGCTGCGTCTCATGTCAACATCCCAAGAGCTGCAATAGCTTTTACTTGAGGAACTGTGCTGCTTTATTTTGTTTATTTAAGTAGAAAACGATAGCAAATTGATGATGCCATTGGGATTTGCATTTTGTGTTGATGAAAACTACATATAACAAAACGAGAAATTCTAGCAAGCTTTTTGAGAAGTAAAAAACTAGGAGTGCGCTGCTCTAAGACAGTGCGGCCGGGTAAGAAAGTCTTACCAGCGCTGCACTGCTTTTTGGTGTAGACTTTTAGAAAAACGAGAAAACTTCTTTATGGAACGATTTTGTCAAAAGAAAAAAAGAGTTTAGATAGATGTCATGAGAGATGACATTTTTGTCATAGTTGATTCGTATAATTTGGTGAAACTAAAATTTTGCCGATGCAGAGCAATAAACGCATGATGTTGAGAAGTGTGTGAAGGAGGATAAATCTCCTTTCGCCTCACCCTGCTTCCCCGATGGCGTGTGGTTTTCATCGAATTCAGCCCCCACTTCCCAAAGAAGACGAGAGCAGAACCTCATCTGAAATAACTCGATCCTGTTGCACGACGACCATCGTATTTATTTTCAACATCTTCCGTTTATCGCTGCCTCAGCACCTCGCCAGTCTCGGTCAAGGCCAGCATGCCGCACACAATCAGCACCACCGAGGAGATGACCGCCGGCTTGTTCTTCGCCAGAAATTTCCGCGCCTTCTGTAGCATCTGCTTCGGGAGCAACGGCTGTTTCTCCTCGTTCGCGTTCTCGTACACTTTCTTCTGCTGCTGCAGTGCCCGGGACGCGAGAGAGTTATCCCGATTGCTGTTCCCTGCTTTACTATTACCGGTTTGACTGCTTTTGCCACCCTGCTTGGCGGCTTTCTCCAACTTCTCCCGCTTCTTCTTCTCGGCGCGGAATTCCCGATCTAACTGGTCGATCTTGGAGGTAAGCTGCTCCTTGGCCTGCTTCTCCTTCTCGAGCTCCAGCTGGACGCGTTTCTGTTTTTTTTGTTTCGAAATATATGGTTTTGGTTGTCGTATATGCTATACAAATCGTAATCGGCACCTTCATGCAACGATTTGCATGACAAAATTTTTGCTATGCGGAAATAAACTGCATTGCAAATGTCGCATTATACCAGCTCCGCCTCCTGGTCCATTTTCATCTTCTGTTGCGGCGACACTTCCTCAACCACTGCCTTCTTGCCCTTCTTCTTCTTGCCGCTTGACGGAGCAGACGACTGGGACGAATTGTATGCTGTGCAAAAGTATCGTACTCGTAGTAATCGTAATTATGCATGACAAGTCGCCTTCCTAAGCTAGAACAGCATGACAAATTCCATTTGCCATGCTAAGGAAATTTGTAATGCGATTTATACTAGTACGATACTTTTGCATTTCATAAATTGTTCGCCGCGTTTAAAGCGTGCTCGATTTTCTCCGCGTACAAGGCATTCGTGTTCCAGGATGACTCTTCCAAATCCGCGATTTGGGATTTGATCTCCTCTACTCGCTTCTCGTTTTCCTTCGTGTTTTGTCGCGACTTCTCGATCTCGGCGAGAATGGTGTCTTTTTTCGTGCTGTAGGACTCGGACACGACGGCGTGGTCGTTCAGGATCTGTGATAGAGGGTTTGGATTGGTTTTGTCATGCGATAAATCGTACATAAGAGTAAGACAGTGAGTGTGGCAGCGGCGGAATTTTTCTGAGAAATTTCTCATGCAGAACAAGCAGTAGGAAACATATTTGTCATGCTTACAATCAACTATATACCTTCTGGTGCAAAGTCTCGGCATCAGCGAGCTCCTTGTCAGCCTGGCCTGAAGTAAATTCCAGCTGCTTCACGGCCATTGTTTCGGTTTCCTTGTTCTGTAATGATTTTTATGAAATTTGTGTTGCGAAAACAGCAGCATATTTTCATTTTGTCATGCTGACCTCGCTGAACGAAGAAAATTTCATGGTTCTTTTACTATACGTAATTTTATTGCATTAGCATTACAAATGCCAGAAACTACTTCTATACCTTTCGAAGCTCGTCCAGGATGTTCTCCAGCTTCAATTCTTGCAGCTGGGCAATTTTCCGATCGGACTCCACCTTTACTCGCGAAAGCTCCTTTATCACAGGAAAAAAGTGTTTCACTGTAGGGATTTTGCAAGCTTTGCATCACAAGTTCGTTCCGCATGACAGAGAAAATTTGCCATGCGAGGTTCCTGAGAGAAAACACAGCGAGAAATCAATTGTCTTGCATGTGTAGCAAGACAAACACTTCTACAGATGCATTCTCTGCATTACAAGTTTACAGTGAAACAGTTTTTTCTTTGCATATCCTTCTTCAGAAAAGCGCTGTCCTCTCGTGCGCGGGTGAGCTGTTTTGGTGAATTCGTGTTGTATGCTGGGAGCAGAAACTTAAACATTCAACAACTCGTTGATCAGAATCAGTTTCGAGTAAATACGTCATGCTCATTTTCTGTGACAAGAAAAACTGCAAAACTGGTACCTTTTTAGTGTATTCCGCTTGGGCGCTTGCAAGCTCCTCCTTCTTTTGCTTCACGTCGGCTTCCAGAGAGGCTAAATTGCTCTCCACAGCCGCAAGAGACTCTGAGCACTCCGTCCAGTTGTCTCGGGCCTGACAAAATGAGAAATTTTCAGTTTGTCTTTGTGGTGGATCATGCGTTTGCATTTAAAACTCCAGGCATGCAACTCGCTAGTACGCCAACGATACTATAGAAGCTGGTGGTGGAGGTATCTGCCATGCGCAAGTAGAATTGTTGCAAGAACTGTTGCAAGTAGCACTGTTGCAAGTAGAACTGTTGCAAGAATTTGTCCTGCAAGATGAAAAATATACCAGAGAATGCTCCTGTCTTAACTCTTCGAGCTGTTTCGCCAGCTGAATTTTCGATTCCGTAGCATCCTTCTTGAAATCCGCAAGCTTCTTTTCAAAAGCGCTCTTCTCGCTGGACATCGATTCCTCCAGCTCCTTGGCCTGGGCGATCTGTTTTGGAGGTTTTTTGCATTTTTATACACATTGGCACAAATCTTGTTCAATGAACGCGGCATTTTCTACCGTCTACTACACCACCGCGAGTAACCATATCCACGATGTAATGCTGACCCGTAAAATACAATCCTCACGACACCATCGTGTGTATATGTTATTCAGCATGGTGTAAGTAATTCTCACGAAAAGAATGCAAAACAGGCCTGTAAGCTATATACCAGTCCATCCTTTTTCGTTTTCATCGTTTCTGTTTTATCCGCCAGCCTTGTTTCCGCTGATTCTTTCGATGACTTAGCCTTGTCCAATTCGGTTTGCAGCTTCTGGATAATCTTCAGGGTCGCCTTGGAGCTCTGATCCTTCTCCGCGGAGACCACCAAACTTCCGGCCTGCGTGCACTTTCGCTCGGCCTCGATTTTTTCGTCTTTGAGCTTCTGTAGCTCCTGCTCGAGCTGCTTGGTGAGTTCCTTATCCTTCTGGGCTTTTTCCACCTGATATGAGAGTGCACAACTCCCCCTCCCCCTCATTTGTCTGGCATAAACAGCAATACAAGCGTCGGCAAGAATGCAGTTTTTGCATGACAAATTCACCCACTATTGTAGTGCTGCTTGACGGTCCAGAACTTGTCATGCAAAAAGTGCCAAGGGGCAAAGGGTGGAGTCGGTATTATGCATTACAAATGAGGGGGGGAGTTGTGTAGTCTCATACCTGGTCCTTTAAATCGGCCAGGGAATCGTCCAGGTCCTTTTGCTCCTGAGAAAGTTATTTTTGTATGATCTTTTAGATATCATGACGATTTCTTCAGCAAGACAAGTTCGTATCAAAAAGAGTTATGATACGTCAGAACCAGCCTGCACTTGCAGATCCAGATGCAAATCACGCATAACAAAAGATTTCTGTCATGCGAGTTGCACTTGTCAAGAAATCTTCCCGTTCTTTTCTAGTACCTTGGCAAAGCTCTCCTGCTGCTCATCCCACTCCGTCTGCATGAGGTTCAGCTTCTGCTGAACCGTGCTGGAATGATCTCCGTTCGCAACTGCCGCCATTTTCGATTATAGAAAATGCTTCGTTCTTGTTTATTCTTGTCGTGCGAAAATCTGTTTCCAAAAATGAACAGACTCACAGACCGTTGGTACTTCTATGCGGTTCAGAGCCAAGTTTTATTTGTGCTTCAAAACAACACAATAAACTAGAGTCGTGGAGTATGTTTTTATGTCGCAAAATTTTTCGCAAACCGCGCTTCGACACGTTTTTGTTCAAAACTGCAGGCTACTTCACTACTCCAACCACTGTTGTCGCGCAGGTTGGTCTTCAGGCTCTGCTGTAGTTGGAAAAAGTCGCAGCGGAGGAGGTGGTGAAAAAATATCCGGTCGTCCGGTAGGTGAAAAAACTGGTGATAGAAATCTTCTTGTAAGGACAAAAAAACTTGCGAAAAGACAGATCACTAAACACCAGTGGAGACGACTACGCGGTAGTATGTGGTCGGGGCGACAAACACAAATATACACGTAAAAGAATATATATACGGTCCTTATCTACTTCATCAAGCAGGTATTATACTTATAAGACGCTTGCTTATTGGCGGAGCGCGTATGTTATGGTCAACGTCAAACCGTCTTGATGCTGACGTGTGTATGATGCTGTGGTACGTATCACGCCTACAACAACTTGACTGGAGACAAGTGAGTGTACTATGTGTGACTATTTGAATCAAAAAGTCGAAAGCGGAGTAAAACTTTCTTGAGTTTGACAAAAACACCTATGTCACAACTTCTACGATGAAAATAATGTATGACTGAGATAGGAAAATGCTGTTGGAAAATCTATAGCCTGATTATAACGCGATCAACTGTTGAATCAAGAAATATTTTCAAATTTTTCTTTAAGTATCGGAACGCGCGCGCGCAAAGGCCCATCAGAATCGGCGAGCAAAGAATCAGCACACAGTGCACAGATCTTGAGCATTCAAGCTGGTTCATGCTCGAGTCGGGCGCCGACTGTGAGCCCTCGACCGGTCGCACAGTTGCGCCGCACTGCTCCGGGTAAAAAGGCCGCCGCACGGAGTCGCATAGCTTTTGGGGCAATTTGCGCAGCTCCGGAGGCATGACGGTGAAGCGGGCGAGGAAAGCTAGCACATCGGAGACTAGCTAGACGCCCGTCTTGTCTTGTCCACCAATTTGCCACGGCCTCTGAAGCTCGCCTATCGCGGAAAGCATGTTGGCTTTCTTAATGAAGCTCATGGCGCGCGGCCATTGTTGCAATGAAGGAACAGGCGCTGGCCAGCGGGATGACGTTTTTGGGCGAAGCTTGAGCGCCCTTCGCTCAGATTTCGCAACTTTTATTTTCGGGCGGCAGGCTGCGTCGCGTTTCCACCATGCGCAGCTTCGGATCTACAAGTCCGCCACAGTGTTGGCAGAAACCCGTGCGCCCGCCTTCCGGCCGGGGCTCCGGGGTTGGCCGTTCACTTTGCTTCAGGAGTGGGGGGTGCTGACCTTGTCCCGCGGAAAGGTGCGAGCCGAAGTCTGGCCTTTCGAGGCGTTCCCGGAGGTCCTCAAGGGAGGTCCTCAAGGGACCTCTACGAGGAGGTCTCATACCATCGGGCGAAGATTTTCCGAACCATTCCACTTTTGGTCGGTTTTAGGAGGTCCCTCGGGGAGGTCCCCCGGGGAGGTCCCGAAGCAGCACAAACCCAAAGCAATGCAGGTCGAATTGCCTCAGAGCAACAGGCATGCCGGGGCTGGCCATGTGGATCCCCATCCTAGCTCCTCCGCCGCCAGTGGGGCAGCAAGGCTTATGCGCCGTGTTCCGACGCACTCCTCTGTCCGCGGCGCGGGTGACGGCAGTCTTATGGCCGGCTTCGCGTCTGCTAATTTGGCAATGCCTCTGACGGGGTGTCTTCCCATCCCGCTGCGACCCAGGCCCTGCCCGCGTGCCAAGGCAGGAGCCCAACTGATCCGGGTCTACTAGAAAGGGAGCAGAGCCCCGCCTTCGAGCGGGCTCCGGGCTTCTAAGGCCAGACTGAGATAGGAAAATGCTGTTGGAAAATCTATAGCCTGGTAGAGTTTATTTCATAGGACATTCAGAATCTGGTTCGGGTTTGCATTTGCGATAATAGAAAAGCGCAAAATTAAAAAAATTGAGCTCGCATGTGGAGGAGCAGCGCAGCTGATTTTGATCAAGATCGTCATTTTGCAGATAAAGGGCGAGGGGATCGACAACAAATTGGACTCATTTACTGATCTTGATGTCTAGAAGTGCTGAAGATTTTTGCTGTCAGAAGGGATCTTTTCCTTCTGTTTTGGAACAACATTTTGCAGCAGCTGCACACACAGCTTCAACATCGTGGGGATATTGACTTGTTTTGTGCAACACTGGAAATTGTACATGCGAGTTTTCGAAGATGATCCACATCCTCGAGAGATTCAAAACTTTCGGCTTTCTTGGAAGCTTTTCAATGAAACATCGTGGCGTCATCGTCAGAAACTGAAACGGACACTACATCATTCAGGTTCACGCTGTTGCTAGCTACCAGTCGTTATGCTTGAGAAACCGCAAAACGCTACTGCAGCCACACCGGTTTGTTCTTTCCCCGCAGTCCCGGGTCACCACGGACAGTGTAGTCGGGCGACGATGACGACCACCTGAATTTTCGTGTCGAGAAAACTTGTCATTGGTACTTAATCAGAAACCTAAGTAAACACTCCAAGACAATCCGTTATACAGCGACAGGAGAAAATATCAAATACCCGCCGCCCCCTCGTCCACCCTGCCCGTAAAAATACGATTCCCCTGGACCTCCTCCAACCGAGCTGCTGCCAAAACTTCCTCCCAAACTTTCCAGCTCTTTTCGCCGTTCGTAATGCTCTTCCAAGCTAAATCCGGTGCTGGGCTGCTTCAACTGCATCAGGTTCTCGAGTTTCTCGTGCAGGGATTTCTGGCTCGCGGTTAGTTTCTTCAAGTACAGCTCGTCCCGTTGTACCAAATCCCGGAAGTGCGGCGTGATGTCGTTCTTCATTCTGTCGATCTCGTTCTGCTGCGCCGCGATATCCATTGCAAATATGTCTGGGTCTGGAAACTTGTGATGCAAGAAAGGGAATAGTGACCTCACTGTAATGCGCCGCCAAGCATGACAAGTTTTTTTCATGGTTCTGAGTTGCGTATTCCGCATCAGAAACTGCGTTTTTGCATGACAGGGAGGAGGAGCTCTTTGCGGCCACGCAATACAGAGTTCAGAGTCATGCCAGATTAGCATGACAAGTCTCAGAATCCAGACCCAGACATTTTTACATTTGATACGCTATCTGCTGTTGGAGTTGTTGTGTCTGCCGGGAAATCGAGAGCACGTTGGATAGACCGGAGTTAATATTAGTCGAGGGCTGTTGTACTGGGTAAGGCTGTGATGCGGATGCGGAAGAGCTTCTGTTGTTGTAACTTTTGTCGAGAAACTGTTTCGGCGTGGTCCGACTCATAGCCGGCATCTTGTTGTGATATGAAGTTGTAGATAGGCCTCGAGGAGCCCCACCCCGCGCGGTGGTAGAAGGCGACCCGCTCTTCTTGTTCCGCGAAGGACTACCAATTCTGCTATTCGGCGAAAAAGCGTGCTGGTAACGGTTCTCGAAAGCAGAGGCGGCCACGTGGTCGACCCAGGCGGTGGAGTTATGATCAATGTCGTCTTCATCATCATCCGGAGCAGGAGTACCAGCACGTCTCCCTCCAGTGCGTGTTCGGCCGCCGGGACTGCGCGAGGTAGGATCATCTCCACCTGCTGTGTCCAACGCGTCCAACGCCTCACCGATTCTCCCCACCTCCTTTTTCAACGCTCGCAGCTGCTCGCGCCGCCCGAGCTTCTGCCGTTCCTCTTTTGTCTGCTTTGTCGGGAGGTTTGTGTACTTTATGGGGCTCTGAAGCGTTACGTTCTCAACTGTTTCATGGATTTGCCAGGCAAAAACACCATCATCATCCTGATCCTCTCGATCAAGCTGCTCTGCGTGACAAATTTGCGCAGGGCTAAGTAGCACTATGATCCGCCCGAAATCTGTAATGCAAAAGAGGCAATCTTCCTCCTTTCACTTTTGCCCTTCTTGCATTACAAATTCATGTAACAGTTGAGAATGTAACATTTGAGAACTCCATATACTTCTTCCGCAACTTGTCGACCTCTGTGGCGAGCTCCTCGATCAGAGCACGGTAGTCTGTTTTTGGGCGCGAGGAAGATGAGGATTGCTGGGCGCCCGCGGGGCTGCGAGAAGGGAGGGACATAGTTCTGGAGGTGATTGTCTGTCGAGTGAACTGCAGCTCTTGCACATACGCAATAGCTACGAGGATAGAAGCGATTTCTTGTTCTATAAATGTCGAAGAGCCTGAATTCATTGTATTCCTTCCAATTTATATCGAGCGCCTGCCACCACAATAAAAGGCTCGCTCTTGTTGCTCAAGAGCAAGCTTACTATGTTAGAGTTAGCAGCCCATGTTGTGCATACGGCCACGGTGCGCGTGCGGGGGCTGCAGCTCCAGAAAGACCGTTTGTCCACGTGCGAGGAACACTGAGAGCAACATCATCGGACACAACCAAAGGGGCGCCTGGGTCGCCTCCTACGGCTTCGCCATCCTTGCTTCGATCGCGGGCACGGGCTGCGGCCCTGCGCGCAATACAATTCGCGTCGCCACAGGGCATAAATAGCAATAAGCGACATGCGTTCAACCTACCGCACAAACTCGGGCGGCGGGCCGCTGCCACCAGCGGCTTCCTGCAGCCAGTAGACCGGCTGCGCCGGCGGCAGTCCCTCTCAACGGGATCGGACCCCAATGGGCCCGGAAATAAAAAAATCACGAATCCCAAAAGAAAAACGAAAAAAAAAATTTTTACACTGCCGCCCTATTGTGCCAAACCACTCCGCCGGGGCTCGCTCGATAGGAAATCTGTAGGCCCTAAAATAACGCCGGGGCTTTGTCAACAGGCTGCGGACCTGTGGGCTCCGGGGTTTTCGAAGAACTGCGCCACATGAAATCGAGCACGCAACTTTTGTTCGGGCAAACACAACTTCACCGAAAAAAAAGAAAAACACCGAATAAATTTGCGCCAAAAAATTGCTTTCTTTGCGACATGAGTGCGACACGGGTGCGACACCGGTGCGACACGGGTGCGACATTTTTCGGGTTCTTCCTGAAATCCCTAAGAAAAAAAAAACCACGGCCGAAAGCCGATTTTTTTTAATTATTTCAGATTTTTTGTCGCAACAAAGGCGATTTTTTGTCGCAGAATTAATTGGCCACTCGCCCACCCAAAACTTTCCCACCCAGCATCCCTCTCCCATCCCGAAGCACACACCGGCAACATGGGCTCCCTCTGCCGGCCCCACTCCAATCCCTTGCGCCCAAGCCTGCTTTTCCCGCCCAACCCACAAACCCAAGACACACAACCAGAAAAAGAAAACGCACCAGCGAGCGGCTGCAAGAACTGCGAAAACCCTGCGAAAACTTAAAAGCGCGAAAATTTTCCGGCTTTTGTGATTTTTTTGCTTTTCTGACTACTGGGGGCCGATCCCGTTGATCCCTCGCGTCCGTCACACGGACCGGCGGCGACACATACTTACCTACACCACCGGTCCGCGACGCAAGGAAGCAATCAGCCGAAGGCCCAAGGGCCTGGGCACTCACATCCAAGTGGGGCCTGCGGCCCGCCGGGCGCTAGTGCGCGCGGCATGCGCCTGGGGGTATACGCGCAAACAAGACAACGGCGCACACTGAAACAGCTCGGGGCGGGCAAGCAGCAAGCGAAGGCCGCCAAGCCTGCCCAAAACTGCAAACGAGAGAGGGGCCTGGGCAGACGCGCGGGGCATTGCTGGGCGTGCGTGGCTTGTTTGGCACACAGCGGAGAGCTTCGCCGGCGCGCCGCGCCTTTTCGGCATGGGGAGCTTCTCCGGCATTTGTTTTTCCCAGAAAGCGTTTTCCCCAGCGCGCACCGCAACAAGCGCCCCCGGCGCCACATTGTCTACACGCGCCAAACGGCCGCAAACCTCACCCGGGCAACGCCCGGGGGCACTGCGCTACCGCTGCGGCAACCAACCTGGGGGGCGGGGCGGCCAATGCGCGGCAATGCGCGCCATCGATGCACGGGCGCGCGCGGCTCGCGCGCGCGGCGGCTGAAAATCGGCAGCAAATTGCCCCAAGCCGGCGCCGTCTGCAGCGGGGGCTGGCTCGAATCGGGGCCGCTCGCTGCGGAAGCCTCCGAGGGTGTCGCCACGCGCGCAGTCGACGACTGCGCGCATGCCCCTCGAAACGTCGCGCCGACCTCTATCGCCCGAAACCGCTCAAAAACCACCCGGAGCTCTTCGCCTGTCGCCCCGCGGGCGGCAATTGGCCACATAAGGCGCGCGCATGCTTTGACACCGTCGCGGCGGTCTGCAAGGGAGGCCGCGTCAGGTCGGCGCCCATCCTGGCTCTGTGGCCACTCGGTCGCGCTGCGGGGCGGGCTCGACAGGCCAGCCGGAACCCGCGCGGTGTAGCGGCGTGGGTGGACCAATACCGCACTAAGCCGCTGCGCATTAAAATGTTGGAAAAGAATAGAAGCCAAAATCCGGCAACCCACACACAAACCGAAAAGAACCGGGAGAACAACCACGGCGCAAATGAGATGAACAGCGCCTTCAGCTCATTCTTTCATGAGACTGTCGCCACCTGGTACAGCTGCTACTGTTCTTGTTGAGCCTTGCTGCTATACAAACAACAAGTAACAGCGACACACAGGTTCAAGTTGTACACGCTTTATTTTACCTCAGTTCAGTACATGTTTCGGCAGTCGGGTTTTCACAGCATCAACAACTTTGTTTTCTGCGTCACAACAAACCTGCAGAACAACAACGACAAAAACCAGAATTCAGCTGACGCGCATGTATATTTGCTTGAAATGGCAGCGAGAAAATTTTACTTCGTAGCAAAATGTGAACAACAACAGGAGCCCTACGATCGCCAAAGCATATAAGTATTACATCTACAAATAGTTATAAAATTTTGCAAGTGGTTTACAGCACCAAAGAAACCGGACTCAACGCGACGCCAACCTAACCACTCTTAGTGATAACAACGAGGGAGAATAAAAAATGTCCTTTTCAACTTCTTGGCCAAACACCAGCTGCAGAACTCCTCATCTGTGCTCGCGAGTGGCCATGTAATTTTTGGTACTGTGGTGGCCACCCGAAGCAGTCGTCTCCATAATTTCGCTGCGTTTAAAAAGGATACAATTACAGGACAAATTCGCGAAATCGAAGCAGATAAACCATGTGGTTCCACATCAATATCGCCCGAGGAAGCTGTGGTCTGCGATTCCTTTTGCCTCTACGGTCTACGTTGTTGGTTTAGCAGATTGATGTGAAAAGCAATTCATTGATGAAATAAGGCTCCATACGTTTTTGTTTTCTTGCCGGGAACAGAATCTTCATGAAGCTGCTCTCCCGATGCTGATTTTTTGAAAATGAAGATAATGCGAGATATCGGAAAAGTTTACTTTGTCATGCTTCGCAAAAGACTCGTAGAAAATGTCTCGTGACACTATTTCTACTTCTTTGAGCCCTTGCCATAGTAGTTGTGCAACATCCTACGCTGGTCCTGATGTTGAAGTAAATTGTTGTAAATACTACAAAAAACGATGTTCATTTTGATGCTTCTAGATCAATCCAGGCTGAAGATGCTGTTGCTGGTTGTGGTGTTCTTGTGTGGTCTACTATTCCTATGCGACGAGGAGAAATTGTTTTTTGTCAGCTGACCTTATCTTATGGGCCAGCTGCTGTGCTAGGTAGTTGTGTGTGGTCATCTTCATCTACTGCTCCTCCGTCGGGGTGGTTAAGCACAACAGGCACCTTCAGAAATCCTGGGAAAAAATATGGATTGCAGAAGTATCGTACTAGTATAAATTGCAATACAAATTTCCTTAGATGAATGAGAAATGGAATTTGTAATGGGGATTTGCCCTGATAAGAAGATTTGTAATGCATGATTGCAATTACTACAAGTACGATACTTTTGCACGGGATAAAAAAATTTGTGCGACAATTGTAAGTAAACTGGACGAGATTTATTAATCTCTCTTATGCATTGCAAAAATGTCTGGGTCCTCTGGAAGGATGCAAGTTGTCATGCTAAGTCTGGATAGTACAAAAATTTGTCTTGCATGATTGCCAAAAGGTGTCCACGTTTGAACAAGGTTAGCGGCAGTTTGTCATGCAGGATAGACATGATAGTGATAGAGACTTCGCAGAACCTGTCATGCTAGGTCCTGCATCTCAGACCTCATGGGGCATGCAAAATATGCATGACAAGTTTGCACTCTTCCAGACCGCCCAGATATATTTGCATTTGATATCTCTGTTGTTAAGCTTATCTTTGAGAATTATACGAAAACGGAGTCTAGTTCTTTTCATAAGCGATCTTCTACGACAAGAAAATATCGCCCTTCATCTCGGATATCTTCTAGAAGCGGGATTTTGTAATATGCGTACTATCTATCCCAGGAGTGGGCGGGGTGGCGAGGATTTGAATAAAGGTATGAAGTGCGGGGAGATCAGGAGCGTGATGCTAGGTAGAGAGTAGCTAGTGCCTTCATAGAAACGGGTTCTTCAGGAAGGGTAAGGCACTAAGAGCAGTAGATTGATAAAATCTCGGAGCTAACTCAGATCCGGAAGTAGGTATCGTATGAAAGTGGCTGTGACAACATCAAAAGGTTTAATCTTCCACTTCCAGCAGCAGGTTAGGGTCTAATTGTGAGGTTGTCAGTTTCATCGCATCTCCACCACACCACACCCACAGATGCGCTAGCGCCGCTTTCTTCACGTTCACCAGTCGCATAGGTATCAAAGTTCCAATCCGTTTTCTAAAATCCGAAAATCCGAGTTTATTCCCTTGTACTATTCCCCTCCGAAGATGAAACTGATTAACGCGGCGAGTTCATGGTTTTCGCTTTCGCGGCCTTGGTTTTTTTCTCGTTCTGGATGTTCTTTTCCAGGGCCTTCATGCGCAACCGCAACTGCTCGTTTTCGGATTTGACCTCCTCCAGCAATCGCTTCTGGTCGTTCAACTCCTCCGTTTGCTCCGACTGCATCTTCTGCTGCGCGAGCTTAATTTGCTCGGCGAACTGCGTCTCGTAGACAATTTCGTCCTTTTTCACCTGCTCCTGCTTCGCCACAAGTTCCTTCTCCAACTGTTTTTTTGTACGTTTTTATTTGTGATGCATAGGAAAGAAGTGATGGTGATACTGTCATGCGACCTCTGTCAACATGAACATGTGAAAGACTCAATTCTGTCATGCAAGAACCACAACAATCAATACCGCTTCTCTTCTCTTGGCCACCACTGCTGCCTTTCCGTTTTCCTCATCTCTTGTGTCGGCCAAAGAGTTTTCGATTTTTCGGATTTCTCCTTCCATGCGAAGTTTTTCCCGGTTGAGTTCCGTGTTTTTTTCTTTCAGTTCCTTCATGCGGTCGTCCTCTTTCTGTTTCTTCGCAAGCAACTCGGCCTTCTGCTGGGCCAAGGTGTTCTTGGTCTGAAGATAGTTTATGTTTTTATTTGGGTTTCTATTTGATTGGATTTGGATCAGTTGTCATTGTCATGCATAAGACGCAGCAAGCACGTCCTCGGCACCGTGCCGGAACTTGTCATGCAAAAAAAGCAAAACTCGCACACTTTCTCATGCTAGAAATGTAATCTAGTAAAAAACAATTTTCACCTGTTCCAGCTGCTGTATCTGCACCTTCACTTGTGTGCTCTCGTCAATTTTCTGATTCGTCTCGGTCGTGATGTCGTTAGCCTGCTTCTGAGCGGTCTCACCCTCGGTCTTCAGGGATCGGAGCTGTGTTGTGATGTGGTTTTTGCATCACAAATCGAAAAACAAATCGCTTCAGAGAGGGAGAAGTTTGTCATGCGGAGGATGCGAAAGAGAAAGCTTTGTCATGCATGAAATGCATAGCAGAAAAATTATACCTCTTCCTCGCTCTTTTCCACAAGTCCGTTGATCGTAGCCTGCTCCTCTTCCAGTTCCAATTGAAGGCTGTGAAGGTTATCCTTGGATTCCGCTAGTTGGTTGGCATCTGTGAAGTAGAGGTTTTATTTGTAATAGTGCATCAAAATTGGAGTCTTATTCTGTCATGCGTGCCATGCATTGAGAACCTGAAATTTCGTAAATTGATGATAGGATGTTGAGCATAGTTTTCTGCATCACAAAGTCCCGACTGAAATAGTATCCTATACTTGTCTCGTGCTGCGTCTTCAACATCTCGACTTGTGCCGACAATTCCGTAACCTGGGACTCGATCGGGGTTAAACCTGCTTCCAACTGTGCTTTCTTCCAGACTTGGTCATTCTCTGCCCGTTGCTTTTCTAAAGCCGCGGTCAACGTCTGGACCGTGTTTGCCTGATTTGTATTGCGGATGAGAGATTAGAACGAGATAACACTGAAGTTCGTTCTTTGTCATGCATATTCCGCTCTGGTAAAAGACTTTGTCTTGCACAGCTCGCAACATGATCATCAAAAATACCAAAGCGCCTTCCTCCTGGCCGCTTCGCTCGATAATTTTCAAAAATTCCTGCTCCGCAACAAGGGCGGCCTTGTTCAACTTCTCAATGTTTTCCTCCAACCTGAAGTAGATTTGAATTTGATTTTTTTATAACGAAGTCGCATTACAGTTACAGACTTGCTGCATGATCATATCCAGTTGCAAACACAACTAGCACTATCACTGTAACATACCTTCTAGAATAAACATTAGCAACATGACGAAATGCGCCTGGTATCAAAAAACCTACAACACAAATTTCAATACTCTTTTTCCTGCTCTTCTCTCTGTGCTTCCATGGTGGCTTTGTTTTCTTGCAATTCCGCTAACCTGTCCATTGAAACCTTCTCTTTCGCCTTTAAATCTGCTATCGTGGCCTTCAGCTTATCCACCTCCTGCTGCAGAACCGAAGCGTCTGGCTTGGAAGTGTGGCCTGTGTTTTCATTTCATTTGGGGTCATGTTGCAGCGGAAGCTATTTCTTCACTTGAGTTTCATCGTGAAATCTTTTATCACAAAGAACTACCAGGGTAACGTGCATTTACTTTCGTGTTGAAAAAGAACTGCAGTGCATCTTGTATACGTGGTATGGGCAATCATGTGCAAGAAAAACAAACTCATTCTCTCTTCATGCAAAATCTTGCAATCAGTATCAGACTCAGAATCACAAAAAACGTGTTTTTCGTTCTCATACCATTCGCCTGCGGTGGGCTTTGTGTCAACAGCATGGCTTTGTATTGTTCCAGCTGCTCTTCCTTCATCTTCATTTCCTCTCGGTGCTTGGCGATTCCAAGCTCCTTCTCCTTCGCCAACTCGGACAACTTCCCTTCAATCAGCGCAGCCTGGTCCGTTTTCAGCGTAGAGGTCTCCACAGTCATGCTAGTTAGCAGGTCCGGGGAGTCCGAGCCCGAGATAGAGCTAGCGGTAGAGGAGTTTTCGGCCGTCGAGGAGGGGATGTATTACAGTGAAAAATGCCCCCACCCCCAAAGTTGCAAAAATTTGTGATGCGAAGTTTCCAAATAAAAACTTTTTGTCATGCGTGAAAGGAGTATGAATCTTTCTGATGCAGGGGCTAGGCGTATATCGCATCGCTTGCATGACAAGCGCCGCTCCTGCTGGGATCTTTTGCAATACAAATGTTTGCTATTCACGATTGGAAATATGTGATGCTGATAGATACAAGAGGGCGAGTGTTTCTCTTGGAAAGGTTTGCAATACAAATGCTCCCAAGCTCGGGGGTGGGGGCATTTTCATTGTAATAGGATGTCCAAGGTATTCACTTGGTCGAGATCGTCGGTTTTGCTGTGGACCCCCATTCAGGGATAGGACGGGTTCGTCGTGTCAGATTTTGATGTCCAACTCGCGGGTCAATCTTTCTACGAGCCTTAGTCGTGTAGTTGCGGTCGCCGCCCGTACAACTGGGTTAGGGCAGTGGTGGAGGTTGGTGTCGCGGTACTAAGACGGCTGCTGGTCGTGTGGGGCATAGAATGATTCGCTTTAATATGGGCCAAGAAATATTATTATACGGATTTTTCCTTGTCGTCGTCTAAATTTTCGAAAAGCTTCGCGCTTTCCTCCTAAAGTGAGCAATTATATGGGAATTGTCCAATGAGTAACGTCTGTCGAGCGCTGCCTATGCCTATCCACAGGTCTAAATTCAGAACGAATTGAAGAAGGCGGCTTTATTGACACTAGCGCAGGTCGCGTCTTGTAAACCTTGCAGTCGTACCTACGACCGCAAATATGTAGGCTCTTGTAAAATCGCACTTTTTAATATGCTACACGGAGGACAGGAGAAAGCTATACAAAACAACAAAAGCGTGTTATTGCTTTTCTCGGAAGATCATCAAAAATGGTATTAGCAAGAAAAGTAATGCTATTTATACTGAAAACATTTATGAGATGATGAACATGGAATACACACTGAATCGCAAGGACTCGAAGATGGTACAATGGAAATGCGCGGATAGCCTGAGACCAGAGAGGCATAATTCCGTTGACGGAGCCAGGTTTATGAAATCAATTCCGGTCGTCATCCTCGTACTCGCGAATTTCTCGGATCCAAAAAAGTTGAAATACTTTCTTGATCATTTTGATTTTTTTGAATTTGTTTTTCATTTTTTTTTTTTTGGATCTGTGCCCGTGCTGCAGTGATTCACTATGAAGCGATTGCTCGAGTGTGTGTCGTGGCTGATCAGAATACTCATACTGCCGAATAGCAGCATATATAGAACAGCTTCTGCGTTATTGTCTACTTAGCCAAGTTCTGTCAACGTTCGCGACCGATTTCGATGACTGTAAATTGAGCGCAAGCGAACAATATGGGCAGAGGATATGATATGCAGCGCATCTCATAGATACTATCTTCGTCACCAAAACGAGGCGACTTTCTTAGTTACGCAGAGAACCGGGCGGCGCGCCCTGCGGGCCGGCGGATCCATCCCTGCCTGGTCGGGCGCGCGCCACTGTCGGGCGCGCGCCACATCAGCTTGCTACGCACCGACCCTACGGCGCCGGTAGCCAACGGCACACCGACCCTGGGCCATGCGTCGACTTGCCACCAGACTCCCCGCTGCCGAGCTTACTCTGCGGGCGCCCGGTGCTTTATTGCTATTCGCGGGGGGCGCATACTTACAAATCGGCCGGGCGGCGGGCAGGCCCGCCCGCCCGCCCGCCCGCGGGCAAACGGGCGGGCCCGGTGCGGTTCCTTCGACAAAAAACAAAAGACGCCGCCCAAGCGCACCACGCACAGCCAGCATGCAAGGCCGGCCGGCGGCGGGCGAAGGGGCGCGGGGGGGCGCGCGCGACGGCGGGCGCCACCAAACCCCGCGCGGGGCGGGTCGTCGGACTGGGGCGCCACCACTTGTTCTTTGCGTTCGTGTCGTGAATCTGGCGCGCGGGCGTCACCTGTTGCACGGAAAAGCGCGCAGCACGGTCGGCGTCGCGACCGCCACAATCGCGGAACAGGCCCCCACTGCGCCCACCGATCGGGCCAAGCCGGGGCCCCTCGGTAGCAATGGGCCGCGCCCGCTTCCTTGGTGCGAGGGAGCTCACCCACGTCCCACGCCACCCGCCCCCACATCAATCCCACCAGGAACAGACGCGCGCCATTCCGTCCTCCTTCGTGTTTTCGGGCCGCGCCACTTTCAGAACCATGCGCAAGATCGCCCCAAGCTCTCCTGCGTCCGGGGATTTGTCTGTCAAGGGCGCGCAGAGGCGGCGCCTTCGAGGTCCATGAATGCGCCGCCGCGTCTTTTCGCTTCGGGGGCCGAAGCTGTGCGCGCGGCTGCCGGCGGCGGCAGCTAAGGCCCCAAGGGCGCGCGGGATGTGCGCACGGCTCGGAACGCCATTCGTCATCGAACTCACTGGGATGGAAACGGTACCCGCGGCCGCGTTCCCCCCGCGTTTTCACGTTGTAAGTGCCCGCACGACGGGCGCCCCCGCGCGGCTGACATACGCAAACTAGCGCCGCGGGCTCGCCCGTGCGTTCTTCTCCGCGTTCTCCCGCTACACGCACGCTGCCCATAGCTCGCCGCTTTGAAGGGCCAAAGCCTTACCCTCCCCTCGCTCCTCCCCGCCCAAAGATAAAGCAGCCAGGCGCCCGCGCGTTTCGCTGCGGCCGGTCCCTCCGGCTTCGGCACATGCGCACCCGCGCGAAAGCCCCGCCGGCCGAGTATCTCCATGGGGGCCGCGGGCGGTGGTTTCGTCCCGGGACAATACAGGCAGCAGGAGGGGCCCCGGCACCGAGGCGCCGCGCTTTTTTGTTTTTCAGCTTCTCGGAGTTAAAAAACTGGGCCACCTCCTTCCCAGGCTGGTTCTTCTGCGTTCGCATCCAAAGAAAAGCGCCCCGCGCAGGCCTTGCACCCCTCCAGCTCCCGGCCGCCGGCGTTAATTGCTAGCGGAAACCATAATTCCCACACACCGTCTTCTTTTGTGGTATCTATTCATTGAACGCAGGTGAACAATGCGGAACAACAGTGGCATTAGGAAACACACAAAGTCACTTTGCCTTCTGCGGCCGCTAGCAGAGACAGGACTGCATTCATTTTTTTCAATTTTTTCGTGCTCCAAACCGAAGCAGGATGAGATAAAAAAGAACCAAATAGAAGAAGTCTCTGAGTTGTTGTTGTTGAGATAGTAACAGACACACTTTCACTTTTTTTGGGTTGATAAAAACAACTATCATGATTTTTTACTTTTTCATTATCTATCAAGGTGCCATTTCGAGTTGGAAAGCTAGAGCCACCTAGAGCTGCAGCAAATAGAAGATCATCATATGTTTTTGGCTTTTTTGCTTTTCTTGTAAGTAATTGGTGCAGGTGCAGATGCTGTTGCAAGAATCGGGGCGGACTAGTGACCGCAAGGAGTTGTAAATACAGCAACAGGAGCATCAGCGTTGATGTAAAAAAGTGCATTAGTTTCTTGAATAAACCACTCTCTGACAATATTACTTTCGAAACTTGTGAAGTAAACGCATTCCTGTTGATCCTCCTTCTTGCCCACTGTAGTCCCTCATTTTTGCCAAATTTTTCTAAGATAAACCTCCTCTCTACAACAACTTCTCCCAGGGGTATTAGATGACAAGCAAGCTTCTCTTCATCCCGAAGTTCTTGGTCTTTACGAACAACAAGAAGTTCCTCGCATTCTATAACTGCTCCCGCGTATACTCCGGCTCATCCGGTTTCAAACTCCTGGTGATGCAAAACGCGGGGAAAAAGTTGTCATTCCGCCTGATGGTTTTCGCGTTCTCCCGCCCCTCCAAGTCTCGGATCATAATTCTCGTGAAAGAATGGTTGTACGAAACACCCGTCATCATGTTGTCATCGGCGGATACTACGCCGGTGCCGTTGTTTTCATTGTCTTTGTTTTCTCCTTCCTTCTTCAGCTGCATTTTGGCCAATTTGTCCTCCCCGATGATCCCGACACTCCCCCCGCCAGAAACACTCGGCTCCGCGCACGCCGCTCCGGACCCGCATTCCTCTTCCGAATCACTATCGAAATACGCTTTGTCCTTAGACTTGGTGGAAAAGTGCGTTCGCAACACGTCCAGAAACTCCTCAAAATTCAGCCCGATCAAGCTATGGTTGTCGATTTTCTCCAGAAAGAAACCTATGCAATGTAAATTTCCCGTACATGTACAAAATGCATGACAAATTTCGCTAACTTGCAGTGTCCAACTTGTCATGCTAGACTAGGATTGCAGGCAAGTTTTGTCATGCAGAGACTGCCTTTGTACGTGTACGGGAAATTTACTGTGGATAAAACCGGAGTTCAACTCATGCGCCGTCGCAGGAGAACCGGGGACGACCTTGGCACAGAAAATTTGCGGAATTTGCTTCTTTTCTACTAAAGCGGCAGTAGTTGTACTACTAGTCGTGTCTACTTTCGGATCCACCATTCCCTTCTTCTGATCCCTGACCCCGCGCTCCCGGACCGCTTTCGGCGTCGGGATCAAACACAGCCCGTTCCAGATGCAAAGTTTGGTCGCCGTGTCGGAGGGAAGGAAATCCAAATCGATTTTCTTCTTCAACTCTTCCCCGTTACGGAGGAGGATGACTTCCGGTTTATTTTTCTTGTTTTCTTCGTCTTTAATAATAATATCACTGCTCTTGTACTTCGCCAACTCCTCCTCGACGTGTAAAACCGTGACGATCACCTTTTCGTTGAACTGGACCAAAATATCCCCAATCTTAAACCCGTGCTTCTCCGCACAACTGCCAGATGTGATCCGCTCTACTAACAAACACTGCGTGTTCGCTTCGGAGTGTTCAACGAGCCTGCTGATCCACTCGGAATTCACCCCGTGGTGAGGGGCTTCAGACAAAGAAAGCGGCTTGAACTCGCAGGACAGAGACGGGATCTCCGTGATGGTTGTGTACAGCTTTTTCTGCTTTTCATCCGTGAGAGCAGCAGTTTCTTCGGAACAATTATCGTCAGTTTTCTTCTTGTTATTATTCCCAGCAGTTTTCATCGGCTGTTTGTGTTTCTTCTTCATAGTCGTGATTTTCCTTCGCTTCAATTCCGACTCCGATTCCGCATCTTGTTCCTGCTTCGCTGCGTTTTTATCATCCTCGTCTTTGATCTCAACCAACAAAGGTTTCACGTAGTCGTAAATCGGCAGCATCGCGTATTCCCACTCTTTCGTCTTATCGTAGTCGTCCGCCTGCGACATGAAGTGGCAGTAAATCCCGACCAAATGCCCTTCATCCGTCACGCAAACGCCGCCAATCACCCCCGCTAAATCATCCACCAAATGAAACCCAGTGACGTTCCGCTCCCGCCAGACCGGGGGGGAGATCAGTTTGTAGCTCGGCGTGAAGTGGGACAGCAACGCCGTTTCCTGAACGGTGACGTCGCCTCTATCCGTTAACCCGATGAAATTCACGTTGTCCCCGATCTGGGCTTTTTCCTTTCGGGGGTCGCTGTCGGGTAAATCTTCGTCATACGGGTCGATCCAGGTTAACGGATAGTTCTCCGGTAACGGGTAGTCGCCGAGTCTTTCCTTCTCGACGGACAGTAAAACAATGTTGTGCACGGGGTGGACGAAGCGGATTTTCGCGAACACCTTCAAAATCTTCGCGAATTCTACTTGCACCAACCCCATCTGCTGGGGGACGGTTTCCCGGTCGCACGCGATGATCACATTGTCCTTCTCATAGGAAACCACGATCCCCACACCGGTCGAAACAGATCGGTTGTTATGTTCCAAAATCTCCGCACCGAGTGGGGTTCGGTACTCGATCAGAACCAGCGACGGTAAGACCTTCTGCGCCCACACCTATCAAATGTAAAAGTGTCTGGGTCTGCAAGAATGCAACTTGTCACACTAAATCTGAAGCATGCAAAAATCTGTGCTGCATGATTACCAAAAGTCGTCCGGTTTTGACCAAGTCGGAAGGGAGTTTCTCATGCAGGATAGGCATGAGAGAGATCGCACATCAGAATCTGTCATGCTAGGTCCTGCATTCCAGACCTCATGGGTCATGGAACAGCTGCATGGCAAATCGCGCATTCTTCCAGACCCAGACACTTTTGCATTTGATAGCACCGGCATCCGGTCTAAAGCCGTCCAGAAATGCCGCAAGTTTTTCAACCCCTTCGGCTTCTCGATCTGCTCTTTCAAGTCTTCCTTCTTGATTTTCCCACCAAACAATTCGTTTTCCTCCTTTTTCGTGTACGTTTTCCACTCATCGGAATCAGAACAGTGATTTTTCTCCTTCATGTACCAGGTCGTGATCGAGCCCGCGATAAATTCCCGCTCCATCAAAATACCCGCCGTTTTCACTACGCGCGACTCCGCGTTCATCTGCTTATTCCAGGTGGCTGAAAACCGCTCGTGGTGCCGGATCTTCCGCATTTCCTTTACGAATTCCGTCAAATTCGTCGTCTTCTGGTCGTTGATCGCATGTAATACACAGTAGCTGTTGATTTTATTCCCGAAGACGAAGCCGCGGGCGGCTGTCCAAACGCCATTATTCTCAACATTCACCGCCATGGTTTTCCCGTAGGAATAGGGAATGTTATGGAAAACACCCCCGCCGCACTCCGCGAAGCTCTTCGGGGAAAAATCTTCGTGGGAACGAACTAAAATCGAGGTTTCGAGCAATTCCTTCCCGCGGTAAATCGTGAATTTCAACTCTTTCCCGATGTTGTCGTCGAGAATCTGTTCCAAGGTGACAAAATCGGCGACGATCTCGTCGCTGATCTTGAAAAGCACATCGCCAGGGATGAGCTTCTGGTGGGAGACCGATTCCGGCATCACGTTGTCAGTCAGGAGCATACCGGTGAAAATCGGCGAGTTTTTGGCCTGCTGGTGGGTCTGGACCTGATAGAATAGGATTACGATTTATTTTTCTTTCAAGTGCTGACTACAAGAAAATGCGAACAGACGTATTGTTCTTCAAGACGCATAGCAGCTGTACTACTAACCAGACCGGATGAAACAACACAAAGAATAGAAGCAGAATGGAGTTGTTGTGGAAACCTTCAGTCCAAAAGGTGACTAGAAAAACACAAATTTGCGTGATGGCTACAGGCAACTTTGCATGAAGGCAACAAAAGTCCTTCACTTGATGCATTTTGCTATGTTTTCACCTGCACCAGCGAATGAAAATCAGTGTACTAAAACCAGTTGGCTATCATAATATCACCTGCGTCAACCTCAACTTTGTATACGCAAAGCAACATTTCATCTGCTTGCAAAACAACTGCATTAAAAATACCTGCTTCTCCACCCCATCGGGCACTCCCAGCCGGCTGACCGCATCAAAGTAGCTGAATTTCCAGCTCGTGCACACTGTCCCTCGCGGGATTTCGTATGGTGAGCAAAAACGTCCCCATCCCAGAGTCAAGATGGCAAATGTGCTACACAAATCAACCAGCTTTGGCCGTTGCGCATGACAAATTTGGAATCGCAATGTAGTCGCGTTTAGCTAGTGGTAGTGAAGCAGCATCACAGATCTAGCATAGCATGCGCATGTGCGCATCACAAATCGCAAACGACAATAGAATCTTCTTCTCATGGGTCTCCGCATGAGAAACATTTTCAGCATGCAGATTTGCATTACAACTCTGGGGTGGGGACGTTTTTACAGATGATATTTCGCTGCAATTATTCTCCTTATCCACCAACAGTTCCAAGGCCCGTTTCACCCGGTCCAACGGGAGATAAAATGCCGAGGCGGATAACGTCGCCCCGCCGGCATTCAAAGCCACCGCGTGTCCGTCTTGATTGATCACGGGGGATCCGTATGGATTGCAAAAATGTCTGGGTCTGGGAGATTCTGCGAATTGTCATGCACGTTTTGCATGAGCCATGATGTCTGTGATGCATGCCGTAGCATCACAGATTTTTCGAGGAGATCTTGGTGCCTATTTCGCATGACAAATGCCCTATCCGCGTAGCAAAAATTCCATTCCCTGTGCTACTCATGCAATATAAATTTTTTTAGAATCCAAAAACAGCATCACAAGTTGCATTCTTCCAGACCCAGACATTTTTGCATTTGATAACCCGGAGGAACCACCTGACGTGTTCGACGCGGAGCCGACGTAAAACGTGTTCTCGTCTTGCATGATCTGCCCACAATAGTGCGGGCAGTTTCGGTCAATGCGGCCGATGATACCGGATAGAATCTGCGTTATGGATGTGTCAGGATTGAAATCGACAAAGTTGAAATGATTTGTCATGCATAAAATCGATACCAGTTGGAAACCTAATTTCCAAGCGGTGCATGACAAATTTTCCGAGCACCGGAATCCAATTTGTCGTGCTGTTTGGGCACAGATGACTGCTTTTGCCATGCTACTTTAGCAGCTCTATTGTAAACCCTAGACAGGCTCACAATCGGCCTCACTTGCCACTCCTGCAAGAGAGGCACTTCATGGCTTGCATTTTATGCGTGGCAAATCATTTCAACTTTGTCAATTTCAATCCTGACAGTTCCATATGCGTCTTCTCCCCGCTGTCGTTCCCGATTACCCGGATGTCAATGCCAGGTTTCAGTGCCTCGGGCTTCAGTTCAATCGGCTCCACTTTCGTGAAACGGAGGTCGGATTGCTTGAACTTCAAGAACCCGAAATCATGTATGCTGTGCAAAAGTATCGTACTCGTACTAATGCTAATCGCAATCATGCATGACAAATCTTGTTTGTTAGCCAAATCAGCATTACAAACTCCATTTTTCCTTCTAAAAAAACTTGTATTGCGATTCATACTAGTACGATGCTTTTGCAATGCATATCATGCACCGGATCCCGATACACCGCCTCCACCTGGATCTCTTCATTCTGGTCAAACAGTATCAAAAGTAAAAATGTCTGGGTCTGGGAACTTGTGATGCTGGGCAGCGTCTCATGATGAGGCTACAAATGCTGGCTCAGCATGACAAGTTTCTGAGCTCCTAGGTGAGTGTTGCCAATTCTGCATCACAAACTGCGCTTCTGCATCACAGAAAAACGGAGCTCTTGGGTAACGTGCATGACAGATTTAAGAGTCATGCCAGCCAAGCATGACAAACATGAATTCTTCCAGACCCAGACACTTTTACAGTTGGTAAACAGCGCCGTCGCGCAGATCGGCCCGGATCCGACCACGTGGCGGTTGGTGAGAATCAGATTTTCGGAAACCACAAATCCCGTCGCCCTCGCGGTTTGCGGCGCATCTCCGTTGAAGGAGCGGAGGAAGGTGACTTTCAGTGCAACCACGGACTGCTTTGTTTTCTCCAGAGTGGCGATCCAAGCGTCCTCCACGGAGCGGAGCTTCTCCTTGTTGGAAACCAGCATCTGCTGCTTCTGTTCAACGATACCATTTTGCTGTTTTTGTGCCGTCATGATTTTCTGTGTTGCTAGTTGTGGGGAGGTTTCTTGGATGATGTCGGGAGTGGAGGAAACGGAGTCCACTGCTGCTGTTGCTAGTACCTCGGGGCGGCCGGCTAGGACTTCAGGTCCGTCTACCATTCTTCTGTTGAGAGCGTTTGTGGCTGTTGCGCTTGCGTCGATTGCTTTTTCTAAGATAACATGTGAGCAGAAGAATTAGAAAATGTGGTCAACATAGATGATGAAAATAAATTCCGATTGTTCTTGTAGCAATGAAAATTGTGTTGAAACCTGGGATGATTGATGGTGATTTTGAAGGATTGTTTTTGTGGAACGGGAGCAACAGGAAGTCGAATTTATGCAGGAACATTGTAAGGCGTTTCTTTGAACTCGAAGTGAACATTTGAAGAGCTTGAAAAGATCACGCGCAAGAACTGGGGAAAAACGGGTACAGGCTGTAGGATCAATTATGACACGCTATGAATTATGATCTATTGTGAGTTTCAACGGAATTCTTGAATTCGATTCTTGCGTTTGTACCATGTGACAAGTATGTACAGCTGTGGACTGCATAATTGAATTGAAATTTACATCTAGTGGGTCCTGCATAAGCAGCAAAAGCAAAGACTGCCTGCAAGAGAACTACGTGAGACCTGGATAGGTGCAAGGTGCACAAGAGAACTACGTGATTTTTTGCAGTCGATTCAGTAATCAGCATAGCTGCGTGGCCACACTGTGGTTAACTTTTCTTCCTTTTCGCGAGAACAGAATGAACGCCGCGCGGGTTTCTATTTGCAGCACTTCTTTTCCTTCGTGTGCTCATTGTTTGCGTTCAGACTTACGGCGCTTTCGGCATGTCCGCAAAAATCACACACACTGCAAGGAAGTTGACGAGGCTGCGGTCCGCGTGAACCAACAAACAACAGTGGAACACCGGCGCCCGCCTTTTGGTGTGGTGCACAACACACAGACCGCAGCGCCCGGGCTTACTGCGCGCAGCACGGCCAACAGCTTCACTCTGCGCGACAAATGGCAGGCCGGCCCGGGGCCCGCCACCCGGCGCGCGAGATGAAAAGTGCGGGCTGGCTGCGCCGGCGCTCCCGGAGGCCTGCCAGGAGATTGATAGATACGCGGCGCGCCCGGCAGGGAAGGAACAAAAAACCGAAAACTCAAGCCGCTTAGCGGGCCAGCCAAAGGGGCCCACCCTGAGCAAAAACGCGAGGGCGGGGGCGCGCCCACCCGGGAACGAACCGAAGGCCCCAATCAAAGGCCCCGGCCCGGTCGGCCGCGAACGCGGGCCACGATCGGGCGACCAAACAAGGCGCCGCGCGGGCGCCTTTTTGCGGCGGTAGGGCCAAACGGGCCAAGGCCCGCGCGGCCTTTGCATCCAACCGCGCGCGAGGCCCCCGGCCCGCGCGCCGGCTCCATCTATCGGCCGGGCGTCCGCGCGTCTTGCCTAGATATTCGTCGATGTGGGTGGCTTGCCCCCCTCCTCCCGGCCGCATCGCTTCGCGGGCGCCCCCCGGGCCGCTTCGTTTCCGATCGCGACAGGCTGCAACCTCCACCGGCCTTTGTCCGGCCGCGCCACCGGGGGCGATAGAAGGGGGCCAAAGCCCCCCGGCCCGCGCCTGGCCCTCCTTCCCGGGCGCCGGCAAAGGGCTGCGCACAATCCAAAAGCAACGCGCGCGCCCGACTTGCGGGCGCGTCTCCACGCCCGGCACACCCAAGGAAGTCGCGCTGGGTGCGGCCAACCATCGCCGTCGCCCGCGGGGCTCACCTCTCGCCCCCATCTCAGAGGCCTGGCAAAGCCCCCGAAAGAACCCGCCCGGCCGCGGGCTTTCTGGCTCTGGGGGCTGCTCTCACGTCGCGGCCCTGCCAGCTATTGCCGACCCCAGGGCGAGCGCTCCTGGTTTACTTATGCGCCCTGTCTAGAACAACGGCCGCGATCATGCTTTCGCTCATCCAGCATCGGGTTCGGGATGGGGATAAGATAACTTCTCGGGGGCAAAAAAATATCACGAACTGACATCTAGCGGGAACACAAACAGTGGACGTCGGCTCATTTGCTCCTGCAACCGACATGGCGCCGTAGTGCCTTCGGCTGCCGTGCATTATTCGAGTTTCACCCCTTTTTATTTTCATGTTGCGTGAAAAGTATTCTGAGGCCAGCAAAAACTACTTTGCAAGGATCGTCACTTCGAGGATGAAATCGTCGCGGTGCAGCTCGTGGTTCCGTTGCAGCCAAAATAGCGTTGCTCAGCATGTTGTTCGTGCACGCACTGTAGAAATGAAGAGTAGTTCGTGGTCTGCCCCCTCGCACTGCTGCACGAGAGACTGACGCAGAATTCAGTGGAAAATAACTCTTGACCTCTAGTACAATGAAGTGACGCAAGTCCTCCAAATCGCACTGGGAACCCAGAAGCATTCATTGTACACGTGGAAAAGTGTTGTAGCTGAAACAGGCTGTAGAATCTTATTCGGCATCACGTAATATTCTGCTGAACCTAAAAAATGAATCGAATCCCGCACCGGGGGGTTGTTGACAAAGACCGTGTCCATTCTACTTCTATATCTATGCCAGTGGCTTCCCGCCGAGCACCTTAATCTTTGACCTCCTACCCGGGTCCGCGCGCATGAAATGGACGGCCGATTTGATAATCAACTTCGTGATCAACGCGATCTTCTCTTTTGCCATGTACATCAGTGCGGCTTGAAGGGCGGTTTTGACCTGATGGTTTGCGTTTTTTGTTTCGACGATTTCTTCTTGTGTTGCCTGCGGTTCGTGCAGGACAACATCTTCCACTTCCAGCAAGGTTCTCCTGTCCTTCTTGCTATCCACAAAAAATGCATGACAAGTTCGTTGTAATCTAAAACTAAAACTCAAAAATCTATACCAGACTTGGTCCCAGCCCTCGGAAGTAAAACTGCAACACCGACTCCTCTTTCGGTACCAAACTTCTAGCACCAGAACTACTGCCTTTCTCCGGTGTTTTCGCTGGTGTTTTTACGGGAGAGGACTTGTTCGATGAGCCGCCCGTAGAGGTCGATTCTGTTGTCCCCTGCGTCTGCAGAATCGTCTTCAGCCTCACCAGCGGGTAGGTTAGTATCGTCGCGACGCACTTGGACAGGGCGCCGAGCAGAAACGCTTCTATCGGGGTGAGAAACTTCTGCCCGAGCTCCTTGGCGTCGATGATTTTGCCCTTCAAAATGTCGAAGACGGTATTCACGATTGCTGGGTTGAGGCAGAGGAGCATGTTGAAGCCAAGGCCGGAGTAGAGACCGGCAATGCCCTTCTCGGCGATCTGTGGTTGAGAAGTGGGCGTTTTGCAATTCTATGCAGTTCTGTTTAGTGTTTACAAGCATGGGAGAAAGAAATGAAACGCGAATGCTGGTCTTGCATGACAAAAAGGTCGTGCTCATGTTGATTCAAAGACAAAAATACGATCGCTTTTGCAGCTTTCCGTATCCCGCCACCGGGTTCGCATTGCAGCCTCGTCGACAGTACCTCGAGCGGCATCACACCTGATAGTTTGATCCACTTGTAGCTTGAGTCTACTGTTTCCTGGAATATCCGCACGACCGACGAGAGAGAGTCAAAAAAAAGAACAGTCTCATGCACGTACTCAATTACAAAAAAAGTTCATGTTGAACAGAAAACAAAAGCAAAACTCAAGTCCAATACAGAGCATGTTCGCCACCCCGGCCCAGTAACCGACTTGCAAGTTCATCAGTGTGGTCATCTCCATTTCCCGGGCCTTTATTATCTTCACGAGAATTTCGTAGGCGTAGAAATACAGATATCCACAGGATGAAATTTCCCGCACACGTACATATTGGGTCTCTGCATGACAAAACTGGGCTTCGATCCTGGTTTCGCATGACAAGTGTTGAGCCCCAAATTGGCGAAATTTGTGACGCATTTTGTACATGTACAGGAAATTTGTATTGCATAACAGAAAGTTTTTCGACGCCGTCTCTATCGTCTTCGCCCCAAGCCCCCGGTACAGAGCGAGCGCACCTTCTTTTTCGGCCAAGATTTCGCGGAGGGCCTGTTGTGATAGGGATTTTATTTGGAAATATCGATGATTATCCTGATCCTTTCGAACTGCGTGATCCTGTCGAGGATCTTACCCATGTTGACACGACTTTCAGTTTCCAAATCGAACAGATGCAGCAAGTATTCTCGTCTACAAAAAACAAAAACTATCAGAAATCCGTATAATTATACCCCGAGCGTGCTGGGACTTTTTGTCTTGCCCGCCTGGATGAGGGTTTTCAGGGTGTCCTATCCTGTTCAAAAGTATCGCACTCGTACAAATGCAAGTCTTGCATTTACAAATCTTGCATTACAAACCTTGTTCCCAAGGCAAATCTGCATTACAAATTTTATTTGTCCTGCTGAGAAAATTTGTAATGCATTTCTACGAGTACGATGCTTTTGCAATTCATATGTCCAACGGAAACAGCATAAACATGGACCACACGCCGCCGCCCGCCCCCGCGGTCGCCTGGATGAGCGCGGAGAGACTGGCATATGGCGTTCTCAAGTGTTACGCTCTCCACTGTATACGTGATTTGTCATGCAAAATGAGCATCAACGTCCACACGCTGAAGCTACTTCGCATGACAAATTTTGGAAGGGCTAAACAGCATGGGAATCTGTGCCGAGTTTGTAGTGCAAGAGTTGCAAGATCCGGCCTCTCACTGTTGCCATTCTTGCATCACGAATTCATGTAACAGTTGAGAATGTAACAATTGAGAATCCCATATGGCATTCACCTGTCTTGGAGGCGCAGAAGAGGAGGAACTCGACATCTTGGTGATTACGACGTAGCCCAAACTTTTGAGGATGGGCTGCTGATGCTCCTCAGAGGGCGGTAGCGCTACGCTTTTAGCATTTCGTATTCTGCTGGAGATGCGGCGTTCGTTTGAGAGAGAGAAAGTGAAGAGCGCCCGAGGGTGGTACTAGTGCCTCTCAAGAAGTTCTTTACGCTGAAAATCGGTTCTTCGATAAGCTCGACGACAATACAGATTTATCTGTTCGCGGTAGAAGAATAAGCTTGAAAACTCTAGTTTACTCGAAAAAAACAAATATTCTGTAGACTGCAACCGATTGGCAAGAAATCCGGAGAGGCCTGCTATACCGAGCCACTTGGTATTTAGACAAGGAAAATCAAGGAAGTTCATCAAAAATCGAACACCCCCCGGCCCGGGGCTCCCGGGGAATATAGTTGACTTCTGTGGGCCCCAACCATCTTGCATTTCTCCCCAGCGGAGCCCGCCCCGCCATGCGTTGTCGCTGGCAAGTGTGTCGCTTTTAGTTCTCACACCTGCGCATGTACTAGGCAAAACGCCCCCGACATTTGCTCTGCAGTCTTGCTCCGGTTCAAAGGCGCGCGCCTATGAGAGAACAACTCGAAGGGGTTTGAAGGTGGTGCGCGTTTAAAATGAGCCCCATTGTTCCGAAAACGTTCCCGGCCCCCGTTTCTTGTCCCGTCGCAGCGCGGAGCCCTTCTAGCCTGCCGCCTGAATCGCCCGCACAGCCCGGATAATGAAGAGCAGCGCCATCACATTCACCAGCAGAACCCCCCAGAGCGCCAGTAGCAAACCAACAGAGGCCCAGTTTTTGTCCCCGCCCCGGCCCGGCGGCCGGAGGTGCTGGGCAAAGACGTCGCCGAAAGTGCCGCGCGCCTGTCGGAAGTCGGCGGCGGGGCCGCCCACGATATCAGTGGCGTGGCCCGATGCGATGCACTTTGCGCGCGCGGCCTCCTCCCGATGGCCGGAGGCCGCCCGAACGTCTCGCCCCAGTCTGGGAAGTTTCCGGAAGAGGCAGAAGCGCGCGGCCTTGTGCCCGCCTTCGCTGCGACCGGGAGCTTTGCCCGGCGGCCGGGGCGGCGGCCGGTCCGAAGGGGGGCAGCTTGGCGAGCTCCGGCTTGGCTCCGAGGCCGCCGGCGTTCTTGTTTCGCAAAAGCGAAAAAAACTGCCTCCGCGGCCGCCGAGGGCCCCAGCCGGGCAGCCAAAGGGGCCCCCTTCTTTGCGAAAAAAAGCACCCCCAAAAAGCACCCCCCTTGGGAAGCCTTTCCCCCCCCTAAAACTGAAGAATTCCGCGCCCAAAAAAGTACCCCCCTGAAGCACCCCCCTGGGGGCCCCCCCCGGCTTCGCCTTCGGACAAGAATTCCTCCCGACCTGCTCTTCTCGCCTTCTTCGTTTTACTGCCTTCGCGCCCGCTATGTCTTAAAGACAATCACACCCCAAGACACCCACGGCCGAGGGCCTTCCGCAGACAGAATGTCGCGTCGCCTGTTCTTCGCAGCCAAGGCGGGCGCAAGGCCGCGCGCTTTTGCATCTGCCAAAAACTTCCGAGAACAGGAGACGGGACGGTCGGGGCGCCTCCGGCCATCGGGTGGAGGCCGCATACGCAAAACGCATCGCACCGGCCCAGGCCACTGGTACCGCGGCCGGCCTTGCCGCCGATTTCCGACGGAGGCGCGGCGCTTTCGAGAGCGCATGTGCCCGCCGCGTCCGGCAACTGGGCCGGGGCTGGGACACAGGCTGGGCGGTTGCCCGTTTGCTCCTGGCGCTTTGGGTGGTTCTGCCGGTGAATGTACTGGCGCTGTTGTACATTCTTCGAGCTGCGCGAGAGATTCAAGTGGGAACGTGGAAGCGCTCTGCCCTGCGACAGGACAGAAAATAGGACCCGGCAACGCTTTCGGAACAATGGCGCTGATTTCGAAAGCGCGCCATCTTCGAACCCCTTCGAGCTGTTCTGTCATAGGCGTCCTCCTTTGAACCGGAGCAAGGCTGCAGAGCAAATGTTGGGATCGTGTCGGCTAGTAAATGCGCAGGCGTGAGAACTAGAAGCGACACGCATGCCAGCGGCATGGGATGGTGGGGCGGGCTCCGTTGGGGAGAAATGCAAGATGGTTGGGGCCCACACAAATCAACTATATTTCCCGGGAGCCCCGGGCCGGGGGGTGTTCGATTTTTGATGAACTTCCTTGATTTTCCTTGTCTAAGGTATGTACCGACATTGATATCGCAAGGTACTGCTCATCAACAGAGGACTTTCATGCAGCACCAGTGCAAAGAGGAGGCGGACTGCGCTGCGCAGCTGTCAGAATCCGAGTGTTCACATGAAGATAAACCGCAGCAGACCGAAGCTAGTCCTAGTACTACCTGAACAAGATGCAAAAGTAGAGCTGTCGTCGTGGTTGCGGACATTTTTGCAGAGGCACCATGTTCCGGAATCTCGAGGACGGGCAGTGGGCCTAATATCCTGCGCAAATCTTCACCTCGGAAGAGGAGGAACTCGACATCTTGGCGATTACGACGTAAGTACTATTGCCGAGTTGTCGATTACCCTGTAGCTCGAATTTCCAGAGGATGACCTTCCTGATGCTCCTAAAAGGCAAAGGGCCTGTTTGGCGCTACGCTTCTAGCATCTACTGTTTTGGAGACCACTTCTGCGGCGTTCGTGTGACGAAGAAAACGTGAAGATCTCCCGAGTCGTGTGGTACAACTTACTAGTGCCTCTCAAGAAGTCATTTAAGTTGAAAAACGGTCATTTTTCGATAGGCTCGACGACAATACAGGTTCAGTTGTTCATGGTAGAAGAATGAGCTTGATGTAGTTTTTAAAAACTCTAATTACTGAAAAAAACAGATATTTTGTAGACTGCAACCGATTGGCATTGGCAAGAAATCCGGACGAGAGGCCTGCTATACCGAGCCACTTGGAGGTATGTACCGACACTGATTTCGCAAGGTGGTACTGCTCATCAACAGACGAGTTTCATCATTCAGCACCAGTGCAAGAGTCTTAGAGAGGAGGCGGACTGCGCATCTGGATCTGTCAGAATCCGAGTTGTCTTCACATAAAGATATTAAACCGCCACAGACCGAAGCTAGTACTACCTGAGCGAGATGTCGCTGTGGTTGCGGATTACATTGTCGCAGTGGCACGATGTGCCGGAATCTTGAGGATGGGCGGTGGACCTAAAATCCTGGGCGAATCTTCACTGCTGGCCAACTTGTTCATCTTCAGCTATTTGCTAATGCTAGTTGCATCAATTGGGATTGTAAATCGAAATCACCGGTTACTTTTCACAATGTGTTCTCTCTGGTACGGCTGGGGAGATTTCCTCACTCCGCACTCAGTAACGTCATTCAACTTTCCGGTGGTACTTCTACCACCATCTACACCAAAGATCGTCGTCTTAAGGTCGGAACTGCGGCCCGCGGCCCAAGAAGAAGAAGTGGGAATCTAGAAATTAGAAATAAATGGGGCTTTTTCTCGTTTGCAGAAGCGGCCGCGCGGCGAAAGCGCGGCCCGCAGGGCCGCGCTTTCGCCGCGTGGGCCGCGGCGATGGTAGAAAAAGGTTGGCGGACCTTCGCGCTGATTAGATTTTCGCGCACGCATTTGGTTACCAATATCGCCCTCCGGGCGCGACCTTAAGACGAAGGAAGATCCTCCGGGAGGCGCGGAAGAAGAGGAACTCGACATCTTGGTGATTACGACGTAAGTACTATTCCCGAGTTGTCGAGGATCTGCCTGTAGCTGAAATTTCGGAGGATGAGCTTCCTGATGCTCCTCAAAGGCAAAGGGCCTGTTTAGAAGCGCTACAGTACTACTTCTAGCATCTACTGTTTATTATTATTTGGAGACCACTGCGGCATTCGTGTGACGAAGAAAACGTGAAGATCTCCCGAGTCGTGTGGTACAACTTACTAGTGCCTCTCAAGAAGTTTTTTAAGTTGAAAAACGGTCATCTTTCGATAGGCTCGACGACAATACAGGTTCAGTTGTTCATGGTAGAAGAACTTCAGCTTGATGTAGTGAAATAAAAACTCTAATTACTGAAAAAAACAGATATTTTGTAGACTGCAAGAACCGATTTTTGGCATTGGCAAGAAATCCGGATAGCAGGCCTGCTATACCGAGCCACTTGGTATGTACCGAGAGTGATTTCGCAAGGTACTATTCATCAACAGACGAGTTTCATCATTCAGCACCAGTACAAAAGTCTTAGAGAGGAGGCGGACTGCGCATCTATCAGAATCCGAGCAGTTATCACATAAAGATAAACCGCCACAGACCGAAGCTAGTTGTACTACCTGAGCGAGATGTCGCAGTGGTTGCGGACATGATTTTCGCAGTGGCACGATGTGCCGGAATCTTGAGGACGGGCGGTGGACCTAAAATCCTGGGCGAATCTTCACTGCTGGTCAACTTGTTCATCTTCAGCCAATGCTAGTTGCATCAATTGGGATTGCAAATCACCGGTTACTTTTCACGATGTGTTCTCTCTGGTACGGCTGGGGAGATTTTCTCACCCCGCACTCAATAACGTCATTCAGCTTATTTCCGGTGGTACTTCTACCACCATCTTCACCACAACATCCATAAGGCGTTTTGCTCCATCTCCCGTGTGCCCCGCAGTCCTGACACTTCACTCCGGCGTTGTTTAGCATTTTCACAATGTGGGAATTCGGCGGGTGGGTGACAGAAGTGGAGTAAATCCCGACCTGCTTCCGCGTGCCCCAGTTGTTGTTCTCGAGCCTTTATGCATTGCAAAAGTATCTTCGCACAACTAGTATGAATCGCAGGACAAATTTTCTCAAGAAGAGAAGTCGACTTTGTCATGCAAATTCAGGTAAGAAACTAGATTTGTCATGCAGGATTGCGATTAGCACGAGTTGCACGATACTTTTGCATTCGATAGTGTTCTTCTCACCCCCAGCCGGTTCTTGATCTGGGGGCAAAACTTGTCGTAAAACATCGTCATGGCCTGGCGATTGTTGATTTGGGACAGTATCCACTGCAAAATAAGTATCGCACTCGTAGTAATTGCTATCGTGCATGACAAATATCCCTTGTTAGGCGAAATAGCATTACAAATTGCATTTTTTTTTCTTGAGAAAATTTGTGATGCAATTTATACCACGTACGATACTTTTGCAATGCATAGACCGGCAGGCCGAGCAGTAGACGGCCGTGATGTTTGTCCCCTTCGTGCGGACGACGGACGGGGCGCCCATGTTGATAGGTCTTCGTAGTGGATGTTTCTCAGTGTCTGCTTGATCTTGTAAGCGTCCACATGATTATCTAACAGGACTAAACACCTCTCGTCAGTCTTGTCCCTCGAAGGAGCGCACGAACAACGCGGGAAGAAAATCGCGCTCGCAAACAACAATTGTCAAAAGACAAAGACGCTAGAAAGGGAAAATGAGCATCAACATTATCACGACCGACATAAAAATAAATCTGGCAAGAAAGGACAACGGATACATATCAAGAAAGCAGAAAGTACGTCGTGTTCTCGAGGTCACAGGATTGGTACACGACGAGAAGGGGAACGTCTGAGGAGAGAGGTGTCGCAAAAGATGAAGCATCAACAGCTACAAAGCGTCGAACATAAGACGAGGCAGGAGCAGGACCGACTACCGTCGCCTATGCAGGAAAACGCGGGGTTGGTAGTTCTGTGCTAGCGCACCCTCGGTTAGGCACCATCATCATCATCTCCCACACAGTTATATCACTTTTATCATCAAATAAGGTGGCACGAGGGCCATCAATGAACTGCATTTCTTCATTTGTTATTTTCAGTTTCTGCAAGGGAAATTCATCGTCTGTCTATACATTCACATTTATAGTGATAGTTTTCGAAGGATGCCACCACTCGTGTTAATATTTTTCTCTCACCAAGACCAATGACTCGATGAAATCGGGCCACTCCTGGGTGAGTGAGACTGATCATAAATCCTCTTGTTCTTTCCAAAATAAGAAAATTCTGCCGTCGGAGTTGCAAGTCAGAAGTTCTATCTCGTGCCTTCTTCTCAATGGAATTCGAAGAAAATTCCAGAGGGAAAAGTATGTAGATGCTCAGTCGCCGCGTCGTGTTTGCAAACTCAATTTGGAGTCTGAGCGCACATCAAAAAAATCATCGATATCTATGGAAAGATGATGGCTGAATTTTAGCTCCTCTTTGATCAGGGTTATCTCAAAATCAGATACGTGCTTTTTACGTGCAGCTCTGTCGAGATGACGGCACCAGAAGTGCTAATTAGTATGCTATTCAGTGACTGGCAAGCTGCTTGCAAAAACACTGGCAAGCTCCAAATATGACAATCGATTTTGACAAATCCAAATGTGAGTCTGCTCAATCATGATGCTGCAACTGAAAATCTCTGAATGACAGATGTCGCGTATCGGTAAACTAGCACTGCACAAAGATTTTACGTTTGTTGAACGAGCAGCCCGTGAGCCGAGTTAAAAATGGGACTGGGACAGTTCGTCGAGAAAAAATGTAACGACTTGATTTGTGCATAGTAGCCCCAGCGAGGGGCGAGGAGCTTTCGCACATCGAACTTTGGACGTTTCTTCTAGCTGGGTCGTATGTTCGCTTGGTTCGGGAGCAGCTTGCTTGGTTGGGCCCAACCGAAGGCTGTAAAATAAACCGGAGTATGTTGTAGTTATAGAGCACAATTATATCAATATTTACCATCTCTCCGCTGGGTCTAAAAATTCGCCACTTTTGATGTCCGGCGATGCAAATACTAGGTAGAGCACTGAAAGAGTATACATCGTTTTTTTTTGAAGTAAATTAAAACCTAAAACAAAGATATGGAGTGAAGTAAACTAAAACCTAAAACAAAGATATGGACAGTGAAGTAAACTAAAACCTAAAACAAAGTAAGTAGAGCACTAAGATTGATATGGAGTACTGGCAAGACCAGACGAATAACCGTGCTTGTTTCTAGAAGCAGCTTCAATTATAGCAGAGTCTCGGTTTTGCACTGGTTCGTCCTGGTACCATAATAGATTGTTTTTCAACATTGTTCCAAAAAAAAAAACAAGAAAAATTTGTTCGCAAATGGAGGCAGCCACACATACTTGCGGAATTGCATGCAAAATCAGCAAGCTGACCACAAAGAGGTAAAGAAATCAATGTTCTTGGAAATATAAAGAAACTTTTGTTCAGCGGACGGCTACGGTGGCATGACAAAGACGATGAAGCTGCCGGGTTTAATATTCCAGCTTCTTGGGTATGGGTCTACTGTGTAGCCACAACTATTTGCGAAGAAAACGAAATTGATCTGTTGAGTTTTTTCTGATGAAGAGCAAGTTCTTCCTTTTGTCAAATAAGTGTCTTTCTCTGCTTTCTGCATCTTGATGGATGCATGTTCTTCTTTCAAGTTGTAGAATGAAATCTAAATTTCAAGACTTCTACTTTGAAAGCAGCTGGAGCCAGCAACTATCAAACTATGTATACCTGATGTGCGAACTATGTATACGTGATTGATGCTTCACATTCATTTCTATTTTCGAGTTCGACGACAAGAGAGAAAAGATGTTGAGAGCCTACATCGTAGTAGCGCGAAGAACTCTTGTCGTCCAACTTTCCTTGTCATACCGGCTACAACTATTGCAGCTTGTGTAGTTATTTTCCTGCTCCTTTCATCACCTTTTTCATAACCGCCATGGAAGATGACTTCTTCATGCCAGCGCCGCGGGTAGATGTAGAAGTCGCGCTACTGGTACTAGTCTTGGTACTATTCTTTCCAGCTTTCGCTGCTTTACTAGAAGACTTCTTCTTGCTGGATTTCAGGACGTTTACAGCTTTTTTACTCTTTCCACCGCTTGCAGTTGCAATATGTTTTCCAGTATTCATCTTCGCCTTTGCCGAGCCCATCTTCATCGGTGTGATCTTCTCGCCACCGGCAGCGGCACTACTCGAGCTAGAACTGCTACTGGTGTTCTTGCCACGACCCTTGGTTGCGCCATTCTTCGCCTTCACACCCTTGCTCGTTTTCTTGCTAGATGAAATCGCCAGGAGGCTGGTAGTTTTCTTCATTGCAGGAGTTGCTGAGGTTCTTTTCATCGCGACTCTTTTCATCACCGACAATTTTTTAAGAGCGGGCGCTTTATTGTTTTTGGCCGGACGACCGGGCTTCCTCTTCTCTTTGATAATCTTCATCGGCAGTGATGCGGCTTTGTTTCCAGGGTTCGGGTCGGTACTTCCAGAAGCTGCTGCTGCTACTGGCCCGGTACTAGTACTGGAAGAAGAGGACGAGGAGGATGATGCTGACGCCGCGCCAGAAGATGCTAGTCCTGTCGTTGTTCCACCCACGGTCTTTTTCGGCCGGCCCCGTGGCTTCTTTGCAGCTACTGGATTTTTACTTCCGGGCCCCTCGTGGTCCGCAGCTGAAATCCTTTTCAGAGAAGTATCTTTGTTTTCATCCTGCTGGCCGAGCACCAAGTTGATCTTCTTTGTCTCGCTGCCTGCGTTCTTTTTATTTCCTACTTGAGAAATAACTTTCGGTAGTGGCAAGCTCGGCTGTTGTTCTCCTTCAGAAGCTCTTTTCATCTTGAACGCCATGTGGGGAAATGCACGAAGAGCTTCAGCACGTGCACGTGCTGGAACTACAAGCTCAGCATGACTCGCTTGCTCGTCGCCCGCGACGTAGTTCTCCGGCTCCTTCATCTTCGTGCGGCCGATCAAGATCTTGCCGCTTTTCGTTTCCTGTTTTTTGTTAAAAGGCAACATGTACTACGGAACAACTGCAAGCTGTATCTGAAGACTTTTGACAACACGTCGCAAGATACGACTGATGAACTGGCGCCATCTGCGGAAGTACGGTATGTAATTAGCACCATGAAGATCGCAATGCAGCGATTTTGTTCTATACCAGCAGCTTTTTCTCCTCGGTTGAGAAACCCTGTATCGCTTTTTCGAAGCCATCCTCCCGGGCTTTTCTGTCGTTGTCCTCCTCGCTGCCGGTCTTGTCCTCGTCCCCTGCAGGTTGCAAGAAGGTCTTGTTCTGCAAGTCAACATTCTTTGCTTGGTAGTACTTGATCAGATCCTTGACGTCAAATTTCTTGGGCGTCTCATTGCTGGATGAAAGAAGGGTGGGGTTGTTACTGTTTTGATCCAGGAACTTTTTCTGGTCGACACGGAACCCTTCAACATCCTCGGAGGTCGTTGTTGGAGCACAAATGGCCACCTTAGCGGCCTTACTGGTGCTCGCCGCGGCAGTGGTACTTCTAGATGATCCAATTGCCTGTTGTAGAAGTGGTTCCGGTCCCGTCTGAAGAGGAGGTTTTACTTGCTTGCCCGCAATACAAGCAGAGGACGAAGAACTTGTAGATGAAGAAACCTGTAATGCGCAATCTGAAACTACATGAAACATTGTCGCACGCATAGACGGCCAAAGCCAACAATTTTGAAGAAGCCAAATCTGACATAACAAGGCTAGCGATACAATACACTCGCATGCACATGTAGATCAAATGCATCACCAAAAAATGCAAATGGATAAAACAAGGTCCAGGATCACGATGAGTTTCCTAAAACACTGGATAAATAAATACCAGTGCTGTATTTGCTGCGCGACCGCCAACAACATTAGACGAGGAAGCCGAACTACTCGACGTCGCGCCCTGCAAACTCGTTTTTTGTACGTTGCACGACTTGGTAGCTCTTTTCGCATCGAGGCTGTCCGCAGCTCCTGCGGATGTAGAAGGTACCTGTTTTTTTGTTCGTGTCGATACCAATCATACGAGCCGCGAACTCGAGTTCATAATATTGAAGTGCCCATGATCTGCCCAATTCTCGCACGAAGCACCAAATGGAAACATAGATTCCACAGTGGAAACAATTCTTCTTTCATCTTGTCCACAGGGAGTAATAAATAAGTACCGTTGTTTTTGCTCTTCCCGCGCCTTTGACCTTTTTCAGGAGTTGATTCTCCTTGCCGCCAGCACTATCCTCTTCCGCTGCTGGTGCGTGCTTTTCATCCTTTTCCTTGTCCACCGCCGCCCGACCCCTCTTCGACGAACTCGCTGCGCTGCTCTCCGCGTTTGCACTGGCACTCTTCGCTGCCATCGCTCCTACCATCGAGCCTTCCAGGTCCGTGCTCGACTTTGTCTTTGACAAGGAGAAGAGTATACCGGACCCATGCGCATCTAGCAGTTTCTCGCCGTCCAAAACTTTCAACGAGGGGCAGGCCTGTTTTTCGTATATTTGGTGTTTGTTTTTCATTTTTGTTTTTCACTTCGAGAGGGCATCGAAAGCAACGCGCTTTTTTAAATCTAGTCATGCACGGCAAATCTCACTGCGGACAGCAATTATACTGCAAGAATTTTCTCCCGCATCTCGGTTGGCTCCGGGCGGAGACGCAAGGGCATCAAGGGATAGTCGTTTCCCGTTATGCATCGCAATTGCGTCTGAGTCTGTACTAAAACAAAGGTATATTCTTAGTCTACATATTCCATGGAAAGTGGCTGGATCATCGCATAAGAACCAACAAACGCGCAGCTTCGTTTGTCATGCAAAGACGAAGCTTTTTGTTTTTCTTCTGTGCGCGGTGTGCACAGAAGAAGGCGCGACGCAATATGCTTGTCATGCTTAGCAGCTGCATTTGCTGGAGTGTTTTAAAAATCTTCCACAACCTCGTACGATCACAAGTTACAATTCCAGAACTACACTCAGACAGATTTTCACTTCCGTACCCTTGTAGAAGGTGTACCATTGCAGCGATCCCCTCGCCTCCAGTACTTCCAGCTGTGGCACCGCTGCGAGTCCCTCTTCGGCTTCGCGCAGCCCCAGATGTTCACTTCCCTGCACGCTCAAAGTTTTCAAATTCCGGAAGCAGTCGCTCGCGAGAAAATCCAGGTTTTTGATACCAGTGTTCTGCAAGGTCAGTACCTGTAGAATTTCTAGGTTCGGATTCCGTTTCATTGTTCATTTGACTGATATCTTCATGCTTATTCTCCGTGCAACATCAAGGTTACTTTTGAAGAGGTCGACCTTCAGTATGATGATGATCCTGCCATGATTCATTATTGCATTTGCGCGGCGCGACAATCTTTTTACATGAACCTTCACGGGCCAACAGGAATTGACGAAAGAAGGTGAACCTCAAGAGACGAAGTCCCGCCCGGAAGCCCACAACTTCCGTCCACTGTTTCAAGTCCATCCAAAGCTTCACAATCCACGATTCCCAGCTCCCGCAAGTTTGGGCACATCGAGAAGAGATCCTGGAGACCAGAGGATGGAATTGTGTATCAAATGCAAATGTCGTGTCTGGGTCTGGAAGATTGGAAAACTTGTCATGCACATTTTGCACGACCCACGATGTAGTCCGTGATGTATGCGGTAGCATCACAGATTTTGTGAAGGCTTCCCGATGCCTATCCCGCATGAGAAATGCCCTAGGAAAAACAGGACTTCTCTTGCTGGTCATGCAATGCAGATGTTTTTAGAATCCAAGAACAGCATCACAAGTTGGATCCTTCCAGACCCAGACATATTTGCAGTTGATATTGTGTCGTTTGGAAAACACCAGTCGACGTCGTTAAAAACCAGTTTCGTGGTGGATTGCAGAACCGCATTGATTTGCTCTTCTCGCGAAAGCTGCTTTTTTGACTCCTGTTTGTCATCTCGGGTCGTGGATGATGATGATGATGATGATGAAGAGGTGGTGCTAGACTTGGAATTGGAGCTACTGCCTGTAGAAGTACCAGGCGAGGTGTTATTCGTGCTAGACGCGTTCGCGTTCTCCTCCTCCGCTGCTGCTCTCCTCTGGGGTAGTATGCACAGGAACATCAAATTCGACGCACTACACGACGTTGGATCGTGATCATGTGCATTTTGCTGACCTCCAACCTCAAACTCAATTTGCTGTACAAATGAAGTCCTCTCATGCTCACTATTTCTTTTTGGGTTCTTGCCAAAATGAAAACTCAGAGGGCCAGCACTTTCTGCACGTCATGTTGTGCGGCAAATTTGTGTTCTTGCATATCCAGCACACGCTCTGCGTACGACGTCAGCGTTTTCGAGATCGACGAAATTTCGTGGTTGGGATATTGTACTCGAACAAAATACTCAGATTCAGTGTCGTCCACCGTCCTCGCTTGTTTGCGTTGCCGCTTGATATTACCGCTGGTACTATTTTCTTTTGCTCCGCCACCAGCACCGCCTAATGACTGTCCTGCAACATCAGGACCATTGGCCTCCGATGCCAACACTAGGTTTTTCACCTGGGAGATCATGTTGTCGACAAATTCGAACATTTTTTTTTGTGTATTTTCACCTGTAGTTCCTGACAAAGACAAACGGTTGCTCCGATCTTTGATCTTCGTTCACAACTCATCATTTGTACTACGGAATTCGCACTAGTCAGTACTTTTTCTCCACGGAGCGCGAGAAGTCGGTCACTGCTCAACACCATGCTGGAAGAAGAAGAAGAAGATGCTTGCGGAGCCATATTATGCAGCCTGCTCCTTCCGTAGATTTTCTTATTCTTCTCGCCCCCAGCAACGAGACGGGCACCACCTCGAGGTGGAGAGGAAGCGCCACCAGGACCGCCCCACGCGCCGTCGCGGCAGCGGCTGTAACCCCTCTTGCTCATTTCGAGAGTCGGTCTATTGTATCCGTCGGGTGGAGGGAAGGTGAGCTACGGTTTTGAGATGTAGGCGGTACTTATTTTCTGTGCTGCACACTGCGCTTTTGAGTATTGTTCACGTGCTTTTTCAAGAGAAAAAGGGATCTAAATCTGAGAAGGTAAGTAGTCGCGGTCGAGAATACAAAGTACTTAAAGAAGTGCGTGTACTAGTACAATAATCTGACAGCAATCTTCTTTGTGTTGTCACACATTATGATTTATTCCACCTTCGTTCTTCTTTCAGAAAGAGAAATTTTCAGCCCTACCAATGTCGTTCCCGACCAATAAAGCCAGTACTAGCAGATTTTTGTCAAATCTCGTTCCCGACGAAAACCGTACTTTACTACTAATAGCAGATTTGTTACGGTAAAGATATTTTTTGTCGTTTTGTCGCTCGTAGTTGCAGTTACCTACTTCATCATACACAAAAGAGTAGTCTTTATTCCGTCGCCTTGTCTTGACAAGACAGTCTTCACTTCATTTTCATGTTCTATTTCTCTCTGTATCCTTTGTAACGAAAGTGCTTTACTTCCTCTTTGACCTGCTGTGGAAATTTCTGAAGTGGTAAGGAATTCATAACTCGGGTGGGTTAGTGTTTGCTAACGAAAACAACAGCGCACTGGCCTCCGCTTGAGTCGGCTCCAGCAAACCTTGCGCAACTACTAGGCGGCCATGTACAAACCCGCGACGCGCCAGCTTCTACTGTTGCAGCTGTGGCGCAAGACAACATGGATGTAAGTACTTACATAGTTTGCAGCTCCATAGAGGAATCGACTTAATGGAAGCTGATGGATCGGGGTGTGTAGTTGTGAGGATCTTTTGTCATGATTGACCAGAAGCCGCGAATAAAACACGCAACTGTCTCAACATGGAACAAAGCTGTCGCTGTGATCAGACGGCAGGGCGAGCTATTTCCACTACCAGAAGCTACAACCCTCCAGCCACAATATCGCAACCCTTCGAATTTCAGAAAGTCCCGCCCTTCCTGATGCAGATATTCTTAATATCATGAACATGATTAATATTAGCCAGCGCCAGCAGGAGTCCTTGCCGAGATCGGCGCGCGAGGTCACTCCTCGTTGTCGTTCAGGCGCAGCAAATTCTAACTCTTGGCCCATAAGCATGATACATACTCCGGTAGTGGGTTTTGCGCTTGCGCGCACACAGATTTTCGTTTGTGTGCGCGCGCGAAGTTGGCGCCGCCCGCGCGTGCGAGCGCGCGCGCCAGGGGGCTGCCCCACACTACACCCGCGCACGCGCACAGAGAGTCGGGACAACGAAGGAACAGATTGGGGCGCCGGTCTTCGGTCAACCCTGGTCGCGGTCCTGTGCCCTGCCCCAGGCCACACGCGGGGGCGCCATGGCCTTCCGTTCGGTGGGGCGCGCCGCGGGCGCCTGCGCGAGCGCGGCGGGCGCTAGGCTCCCCACTTCCTGGGTCCTCAAACGGATGGGTCACGGATTCGCTCATGCTGGTTGCTATAAGTTAACTCGGTACGCCGTAACTCTCTTACAAAGGCGGGACAGCGACCCCTCAGGGCCGGAGTCTCAGCGCTCTCTGCACGAAAGGGGCGGAATTAAGCTTATAGAGCAGCGTCGTACAGCCAGAACGAAGCACCCGCGGGTAATTCTGGCCTGGCCCTGCTTGAGCCAAAACGCGGATGGGCCCGCGCGGCCTGGTGCGTAACGTCGGTCCGAACCGGGCGCGGCCGGGTCGGTGGGCCGAAGGGGTGGCGCAGGCGCTCGGCAACTACGCGATGACTGGGGCGGGCCACAACAATCGCCGGCCCGCCGCGCCGTTACTTCGGTCTGGCCGACCCTCGCAGCTCTCGCGGTGTCCCTTGCCACCGGCGGGGGGCGCGTGCTCGCTGGACACCTTGAGGGCAAGCTCCTCCATCAGTGTGCGCGGTTCCGGGATGCCGCTGGCCGGCCGGGCCCCGGGGGGGCGGGGCCGCGTCGCCAATGGCCTCGGTCCCGCCATCACACACAGGGCGCCACCCCCGGCGACCGGGCCGCGAGATTAGCAACGAAAGACGGACGGGCCCCCGGGCCGCGCTCCCGGGCCGCGCTATGCCTTGGCTGCAACACGGGCCCCACGCCCCCGCCAACTTTCTCCCGGGAAGGGGGGGCCCGTGGCCGTTCGCATCGCCTCGGCCTTCTGCCTGTCGGCGAAACACTTGGCAACCTCCCGGAGCTTGGCGCTGCAGGCTTTTGTCGCTGGGGCAGTCTGTGTCGCTTGCGCACCACTTAGAGTGGCTGCCTCTCACTCGTGCGCACATGGTCGCCAGGGTCTTTGCTCCGTCCTGGGCGGCGTGCCTTCTAGGCTCTCGGCTTCCGCGCTTTCTCGCGACTGGCTCGCCGGCGAATTAGCTCGCACGGGCTGCCCCGGGGCGTGCGCGCCCGCCCGCGCGTTGTCGCCACCGCCATCGCCCGCCTGCGTTCCCGGTGCCGCGGTGGCTCGCTGGCGTTGGTCTCGAGGCAGTCGCGCCGGCCTCGCTCGCAATGGCGAGGCGGCCCCTTTGGTAAGGTGCCCCAGCAGAAACAGGGCGGCCGACGACCTCCCCGGAGATCATTAACCCCAACAAGTGCCACGCGCGGGCGGTCTTGGCCTTGATGAGCAGAGCAGCGGCGTAGCTGGTGACGGTGGCGGTAGTCTTTCCTTCGATAAACCACCGAAGAAGCCCAGGCGCAACGCTTCCGGAAAATGCGCAACACCTGCGACCCGCGAAGCTTGCGATGAGTGCGCAAGCGCTTGCGATGGGCAACAGCTGACGATCCACAACAAAAACTACTACCTCTTCCTCTGCGGAACCCCACACAGCGCGATCCTAGCATGAACAGAAAGCAAGCAACACTACTGTGACGCTTCTGTGCGTAGTCCACAGAAGTGCAACCACGCTTGTAGTTTGTCCTAATTCACTTCTTTCCAGTTCATTTTTCAACTGTCGTGATTATTGTACACGGCCTTGCTTGAAGTTGAAGCAATCAACAAGTGGTGATTTTGCATTCTTGTAGTTTAATCACATCCTACATAGGTACAAGACATTGATTTGTGCTTTCTTCTCAGGTCCATAATTTCCTAATTGCAGCATTCTTCCAAAAAATCTGTATTCCCGAATGAAAATTTGATTTCAAAAAAAGTTGCTTACAGCCGCCGCGCTAGGACGAGCAGCAAATCACTGCTGCTTTTTGGCAAAGATTTTGCGCCACAGGTAAAAAGATTTGGACTTCTAAATGGCAATGGGTTCTTCATCTATTTCGTTCTCCTTGTCTACTTTCTTGCTTCAGCTTCTTCGAATTGGTTCTATCCGTGTAAACTGGCCAACAAACGCAAAACTTGACGCTTTCATCAATGCTGAAACTCGTCTTCGTGTATCGGCGGCTGACAATCTTCCACCTTCGTCGGGTGATAGCCCGCAAACTCCGGTAGGTTCTTGCCCCACTCCGGTGCTTGGGACAAGCCGCCCTGCATTTGGCGGTACCACTCTGGGGCGTCATTGTCGTAGTAGAGACCTGAGAATGAGATTGTCAGTATTTGCATTGCAATTATAGTAGATACAAAGGCATGACAACTGTAATCCAGAAAGCGCACAGTTCTACGCATGACACATTCCTTAAAACGCAACACAGAGTTTAGAAGCGACATCATGTTGAAGCTGCTCAAAAAAACAACTTCTGTACAGCCGCTGGGCATATCTACATTCCCCTCGCACGCAAACCGCTTCGCACTGGTGTACGTCAGCCCCGCGATTTTTCTTCTTCTGCAGCCGAGGTCGAAGTGCGTTCTCTCGTCTCCGGATAACTGCCGGAAAAACACGGAACAAACGTCCGCACGACACGTGCTGTGCATCGTGTTCACCACCGGGTTTTGCCACACACAACGCCCCTGGACGCAGATGTATCCTGGTTTGTCACAGTTCACGTTTTGGCAGGCAATCTGCGCCTCCGTTTGCCCGCTGCCGCCGATTTTCTCCATCTTCGCGTGGGTGGCGTTTTGGTACTGAAAATGGAACCCGGGCCATTGCTTCTCTTGTTTCTCCACGTCATCGGTTTCTTTTTGTTTTTCATCGGTGGATTTCATGGGGATCGATCCTACCGGCTCCTCCTCCACCCCCTTGATGTTCCCGTCGGTTAAATACTTCTCGGTTTGCTTCTCCGTTAACTTCCTGATTTGCGGCGGTCCGGAGAAATTTTCGTACACGCCGACCCAGCCGTTTTCGGTCAACATGTAGATCTGCTTCCGGCGGTTGATCATTTTCATTGCATTCGTGATTTGCGGAAGAATTGGTGCGGTATTGACGGACGAGGAGAGGGTGGTCGACGTTGTTGGGGCTATTCTAGAAGTGGTGGATGATGAGCTTGTAGCAGCTCTGCCTTCTTCCAGCAGTGTGACTGGTTCTTCCTCCTCTGCTCGACCACCGGGGCCTGCTGCTGCCGCCATTTCCCCGGGTGGTCTACTCCCAAGAGAGCCATCTCTTTCTCCTCTTGAACTCGCTTTCCGGAACATTTTCCCGAACAGTTTCGGCTCGGCTTTCGGGACATCGTTCCCTGCCTCATCCACGACCGCGGTCACGACTTTTTATCAACTGCAAAAATGTCTGGGTCTGGAAGACTTTGACACCTTTCATGCACGTTTTGCATGAGCCATGATGTCTGTGATGCATACCCTAGCAATACAGAATTTTTGAGGGCTTCTTGATGTCTATTCCGCATGACAAATGCCTTCTCAGCGTAGCAAAAATTGCATTCTGGTTGCTACTCATGCAATACAGATTTTTTTAGAATCCAAATACAGCATCACAAGTTGCATTCTTCCAGACCCAGACATTTTTGCAGTTCATACTTTCACGTCCTGCGCGACAAAAATCTCCCCCGGCTCCAAGCTTCTTTTCGTTGGTAGTTGCGCGATGAAGACTTTCAAGCCACAAATTGCCAGCGGTGCGGACTTCAACTCGGCGGAGCCCTCGTCGGTATTCCCTTGTTTCTTGATTTCGATTTCTCCGATTTCCCGCATAATAGAAATGTCCGTTCCATTCCCATCTCCTTCGAGTAAAGTTTTGATTCTATCTGGTTTCTGCTCGTAGAGTTCCTTGTCGAAGAAAATTCTCGCCGTATCTAAACCTTTCGGGAGCATCGGGTCATTCACCAGTCGTATTCTCGTTACAAACTTCTTCCCGCTCGTCAAGCTGATTTTCAAAGACTGCTCGTGCCGGAAACCAGTGCGGGAACAGATGGTTTTCAAAAATTCGTCCCCCGGCTGCTCTAACGGATTTTTAGTTGGAATCGCTGCTGCAGCGGACGATGAAAATTGGGCCAGCTTCGCCCGTTCCTTCGCAACTATCAAATCGCTCTGCAACTGCGTGATGTTCGTGATTTTTGGCTCCTCCCCCTCCTCCTCCAGCAGATTCCCCGGTTTCATGTCCCCAACGAAGCTGGTTTGTTTCAGCTTCAACTCCTTCTTATGCTCCGCAAAAGCATCGCTCTCGTACCAATTGCATTACAGCATGACAAATCGGGTCTGTTACCTGAACCAGCATTACAAATGGCATTTTTCCTTCTGCAAAAATTTGTCATGCAATTTTTACGAGTGCGATAGTCTTGCAATCCATACTTTTTCGGCAGTTGCAAATCCCCCTCCGCCGTTTCCTTCCCTAGCGGCTTGCCCTTCTTTGGCTCGAGGTACGGAATGCCGGTGGTTTGGTCGTCGACTGGGGTCGAGTATGCATCGCAAAAGCACTCGTAGCAATCGCAATCATGCATTACAATTCTAGTTGTCAAGGCAAATTGCATATACAAATTCAATTTGTAATGACCAATGAGAAGCCAATTTGTATTGCAATTTCTACTAGTACGTGTACGATACCCTTGCAATCCATATCCAGTAGCGTTTAATTAACGCCGGGACGGGGGAAGTTTTTTTCGGAAAAATCTGGTAGTAATTCGCTTGGCCGAGGATGGTCGGAAGGAATTCCGTTTTCGAAGCTAATTCCCTTTCGTAAATTGTTTCGACAAAATTCCCGGCTTTCTCGATCAGCGACACGCGGATGTTGCGCTGCTGTTTGATTCTGTTGGTTTTTGATGCTAGGGTTTGTTGTTCGGATTTTTCAGTTGCAGTTCTTCGGCTCTGTTCCGTGAGACCGGTTTTCACTACTTGGAAGCCGAGCTGCTCGCTTGTTTCGGGACCGTCCGGGGTGGGCGCGGTAGAAATTTTCGCATCGGAACCTGCGCCTGCTGCTACAGCTTGCGTCGATTGTTCACCAGCATCACCATCCCCGAATCCAAACAGCGCTGCAATCGCCGCTGCATCTCCTTCAAATCCGGCTGCCGCGTATCACAAGAAAAAGTGTTCACGTCAACGGTTTTCACAGATTGCAGTCATGCATCACAAATGTGGCCCAATATGCATGCTATGCATGACAAATTTCATTGGCGCGTTTAGTGATGCGCTGCTGTATTACAAATTCCATTAAGGTTAACACTTTTTCCTCTGATAACGCGTCCCCTGGTTCAAAGCTCCCCACTGGCGGAACATACAAGCCGTAGTGCGACCTGGGTTTACTCGACCGGTCAATCCACGCGAAAACGCCGGACTCGGGATGAAGCACCCGGATCCGCACGCAACTCTTGTCGCGCTTAACGCCCGGGGGTGGTGCTGGCGTTTTAGTGTCGGTTGTTGCTTGGTCCGCGTCTGTTGTGGCTTTTGCATCTTCCGACTTTGTATTCATTGCAAAAGTATCGCACTCGTATAAATGCATTACAAATTTCCTCAGCATGAGAAATGAAATTTGTAATGCTGATTTGCTTTAACAAACAGATTTGTAATGCTCGACTGCAATACGAGTACGATACATTCGCACAGGATACTTTGACGTTTTCGAATACGGGTAGTGGTTCACGAACAAGTCAAACACGCTGGTGAGAAAGGGGCTCGGGGTATCCCCTGAAAAGTAACCACCCCCATCCAGTTTGTCATGCAAAACATGTAGCAAGTTCTGTGTTTGTCATGCAAAAAGTGGATGGGGATGGTTAATGAATTTTCAGGAAATACGGGGGGCGGAGGTAGTCTTTGGCGAAGGCTGATAGGTGCTGTTCCACCGTCTTCCGCTGCCTGGGGACATTTAAACCGGACTGTCTTTTCACCGCTTCGTCTAAATCTTCCTTACTCATTCCGTCGAAGTTGGGATGATGCTCAGCACTTGTTGTCGTTCTTGTTTCCATCGCTTTATTATTATTTTCATTCCGCACTTCATCTTCGTGTTCTGCATGGTCTTCGGCTACGCTCCTGTCGCGGCCTGTACTCGTCTGAGCAGAGTTCACCTTCTCCCGGCGCCCCTGTATTCTCTTCATATCGGCTTGCCGCTTTTGGTTGTTCTTTTCACTCGCGATCTGACCGAGTGAAGCTGGCCGTGGGGCTGAAAGAGCTTGCTCATTGTTCCTATCACTTTTGGGTCTTTGCTGGAGTGCAGCGAGCAAACCAATGTTGTTACCCGCAGCCGCTGTTCCAGGCCCGACCTGATCATCGAGACAGTCCACTTGCAGCATGTTCTGCATTGCTTCGTCAGCGGCGGCTCCGTTCAAAGCCGCTAAGAGTGCCTGCATGTCCTTGTTGAGCAATAAGCGTTCAAAATCCCCGTCTTCTGCGACCGTCTTAATGAAGTCCGCAAAGGATTTCGGGTTTGGAAATTGCAAGTTGTCTGGCAAAAAGGAAACGCTGGTGTAGTTTCCCGCAAGCGTTTTCACAGCGTGATCATAGACGGCAAAATTCTTCGGAAGGATAGGCGGAGAGACCTCCCCTGTGACTGGGTCGGTCGTTTGTGTAGTGGAGTTGGTCAAAAACGCGATTACCATGCGGAGAAGTTCTGGTCCTCCAGAGGGTGGTGGCGCTGGGATTTTCCCTTTGTGCAGCTTTTTCTCCTCTTTTTTACTCCTTACCCGCTGCACGTACGTTTTCTGCCGATTGCGGTTCAGCATTTGGAGGTTATTCTGGAGCTGTAGAAACGCAGCGGCAGCTGCTTTCGGTCCACTAGAATTCAAGTCGCTACCGCTGGCGCCATCTTCACTCCCGGCTGCTTGCTCTTTTTCCTCGGGCGGCATACTTGCGGTTTTATTTCTCGGAGCAGATGCTTTTGGTAGTAATGCGTGTGCTTCCAAGTACTCGATTGGTACATACCGGGTGTAGAACTCCAGCAAGTGACTCCGCTCCGCCTCCGAACTGGCGGCGAGAATCCCCTTCTGCAGAAAGTAGGACTGCACAAGCTGGGTCGGCATTTTCAGTGCTGTTGCTCCGTCTTCTGGTGCTAGATTCGTCGCCTTGCTCAAACTTGTACTGCACAACAAGCCCAGGTCTGCTGTACCAATGAAGACTTGCGAGTTCTCCGGCAGAAAGGACCGGATTTCGGGGCAGCCCTGGAGATTTTTTGTTTTTCAAAAATCAAGCAACATGCTGAAGAACAACTCCCGCGTTGCAGCGCAGTGTGGCAAACTAAATTCTTCAATCATGAGGACGAGGAGGCAGGAAACAAAAAAAAACGTTTTTTTTTTACTACATAACTGCCTTGTTCGTAAAAAATCCATACGTCCGTGAAATTTTCGTGCATTGCATCCGCCACGTGGAACGGTTGCCCAAAAAACGCGGATACGCTCCCCTGATGCGTGTCGTCCAGGGAATTCGGTTGTGCGGAGAGGGGAATGTGCAACTCCGGGTCTGGGGCGGTGAAGGGAGGGATTTTATTTTGCAGGGAGACACCGAGCACGGCCTGGGGGAACTGCAAAGCGGGGAAAAACGAAAAGGACTGGTAGATGAACAAGTTCCACATCAGCACTAACACGGTCGTCACGATTCCAAAGAAGCACCTCCGCAGCAAGAAGCTTTCTCGCAGAGAACCAGGTATAAAAGAGGACATCAAGTAGAAGAAGTCGTGCAAGTTGCTGCGTCTGCGGAGCAACATCACGGACCGCGCAGAGAAGGTGGCTCTTATCCGACGCGGCAACGCAAGCAGCCCTTTGGTCCTCTCCGGTAGAAGTACCTGCACCGCCACAGCTTTGGGACCAAAATGTTCGTGCTTCTGCCGGACCACATGATCGACGCTTCTTCGACGTTTTCCGCCCCGAAAGCAGAGTTGCTTACGCATATTTCCAACTTGATCTCGGTCCCTCCTGGCGCTCCCGTCGGCCGACGCTGTTGTCCGCTTGCTCTCCCTGCTCATTGGCATGGTTCTGTGCTCGAGCTCGCCTTGGTGTCGACGTCCGCATGGCAGCGGTAGTAGCCGCTGCAGCACTTTTTCAGAACATACACCGCGAGGACGCCGGAGAAACTCATCGCCCGGCCGCGCCGGCCTGGGCCGGCCGGACTTATCGTACTGCAACATGCAGCTTCCGCATCGTGCTAAAGTGGGTTCGTTGTACGCACTTTTGCGATCCTCCTAGATCTCGACATGTCATCTCTACGGTTACAGCGCTCTCTCACTACACTCTACTTCCTGACCACTCACTCGTCTCCCCCATGAATCTTCTCAACTCGCCTACTACTAGAGCAAACACCGAATTGAGCAGAACACTTGATGTGTTGCATTTCGCGTAGCTGCAAACACGGCCCCACGACAGGTGGGTGTCGTTCTCGTTGTCCTGCTAGACTGGGTTCTTGAAGCTATTTTTCACTTTTTCCATTTCATTTCGATGTTTTTCTGTTCATCATGTTGGTCATGGCTCCTGGCTGTTCAACATGTAGTTTCGTTCCACCATGATCACCCACGAAAACATCTACTTTCATGTATGAGATTTCTTCACTCACCTCTTTGATGTGCCTTTTTACTTTCTAAACTCGTGCTGGGACACGATATTACATTTTCACCGTGTTTGTCAGTTTACAACCCTGACATAGAAAAAGTTAAAAGTTTTATGTACCAAAAACCAGCCGCACCATGTTAGCGCAACCCCTGGTTCCCCCAAAATAGTTACGGCTAGGACGACCGTGTCTGTAATTGCAAGCCCAGCATCATAAAAAATGCTAAGGTCGCCTGCTCTCCATCCATGTGGTACTTTGTCAGTTGTGGTCCTCTACTGTACGGAAGAATTTTCCTGGGCTCTGTGGTCGACGTCAAACCTATGACGCCGAACACAAAGAGAGGAAATTGGAAAGTCGGTTTGGATAGAAGTCAGGAGCTCCAACGAGAAAGCTCCTGCCTTTTTGGTTGGTCGGTAACCTCCTCGTCGGCAGAGAAGGTTTTGGTTGCAATCAGGAGCGATAAAACCGCCCGAAAGTAGCAACACCCTGACCACCTTATTATTCCCAAAGTAGGAAGACCTACCAAACAAAAGTTCGAAGGGAAAGAAATAGATGTAGAAATGCTTTAAAGCATAGAAAGATGTTGAAAACATCAAGAAAAAGGGACTACTAAGAACTCACTTACTACACAAACGGGATAAAAATAAAACCAACCACGTTGTTTAGGAGAACAGGTTGCGCTCCCGCTTGCCAAAATCCACATTTCCTATGTGAATAGGGGAAAAAAAAAGATGTTGTAAAAATAGGATTAAGTACATGAGGAAGTGGAAGTGGAAAGTAGTAGTGAGAAAAAATATGCTGTAGTCCACCTCGGAAAAGGTATAATAGAAAAAGATTGAATGAAAGATGTTCAAGAGCTTCAATATCAGTTCGGTCATGGGATAGTGGCGCCAACAAATAGAGTGTATTTTTTTGTAAGTATGTTGTGAGGGCTGGAGAAGTCGTGACGCTATGCCCATCAATCTACTTTCAATACTACTTCTGTCACAACTGGCCCATAATGAATGTATGAAATAATACTTACGGCGATACCGTGGCGGCGCACCGCATTTGAAATACTTAGACGTGAAAAAGATCCAAATGGAACAAATGGTATGGCCCAGTCTTTAGCAAGTGGATTACGATCATACAGTCAGCTTCTCAACTTTGTAAAATTATATCGTGGATTGTATACTTCGTTTTTGTACTTGTTTCGTTGTAAGTATCTATAGCTTTATTTCTTCAATGGTCGGAAGCGGAACGAAATTCGCATTCCCTGAAAGAAATCCTGTCATCATCGTCTGTAAAAAATAGTTGCAGTCGTGGCGGCTGTCTGCCTTTTCTCTGCGTCCCGCTGGCCTCGAAACGTCCAAAAATCTCCTGCAATTATTGCTGGGCACATGATTCTGCTTGAATGTCCCGAAACTCCTTGAAAACGTTCGTCACCCGAGTTGCGACTGAGTGTCGTTCCGCACCTCCGGGGCGGTAGTTCCCAACCACACATGGCTTCTGGCTATTTATGTACTTTCGTTCCACCATGATCACCCACGAAAACATCTACTTTCATGTATGAGATTTCTTCATTCACCTCTTTGATGCGCCTTTTGACTTTCTAAACTCGTGCTGGGACGAGACGATACATGTCCACCGTCATTGTCAGTTTACAACCCTGACATAGAAAAAGGTTAAATTAACCTTAATGTGCCCTGACATTAATAATGTTTTAAAAACCAGCTGCCGCGCCATGTTAGCGCAACCCCAGTTTTCCCCAAAACAATTACGACTAGGACGACTGTGTCTGTAACTACAAGCCCAGCATCACAAAAAATGCGAAGGCCAGCTGCTCTCCACGACCCATGTCGTACTTTGTCGGTTGCGGTCCTCTACTGTGTAGAAGAATTTCTCTGGGCTCTGTGGTCGACGTCAATCTTATGACGCCGAAACGCAAAGAGAGGAAGTTGAAAAGTCGGTATCGGTAGAAGAAGTGTGGCAGACAAGGTTTTGGTTGCAATCAGGAGCGATAAAACCGCCCGAAAGTAGCAACACCCTGACCACCTTATTATTCCCAAAGTAGGAAGACCTACCAAACAAAAGTTCGAAGGGAAAGAAATAGATGTAGAAATGCTTTAAAGCATAGAAAGATGTTGAAAACATCAAGAAAAAGGGACTACTAAGAACTCACTTACTACACAAACGGGATAAAAATAAAACCAACCACGTTGTTTAGGAGAACAGGTTGCGCTCCCGCTTGCCAAAATCCACATTTCCTATGTGAATAGGGGAAAAAAAAAGATGTTGTAAAAATAGGATTAAGTACATGAGGAAGTGGAAGTGGGAAGTAGTAGTGAGAAAAAATGTGCTGTAGTCCATCTCGGAAAAGGTATAGTAGAAAAAGATTGAATGAAAGCTGTTCAAGAGCTTCAATATCAGTTCGGTCATGGGACGATGGTGCCGCCGCGCGAGCAACAGATGTAATGTGTTTTTTGTAAGTATGTTGTGAGGGCTCCTGGAGAAATCGTGACGCTATGCTCATCTTTCGATCTACCTTCACTGCTACTGTCACAACTGGCCCATAGTCAATGTATGAAATAGTACTTACGCTTACGCTTACCGCGATACCGTGGCGGCGCACCGCATTTGAAATATACGTGAAGGAGATCCAAATGGAAATGGTATGGCCCAGTTTTTAGTAAGTAAGTGGATCACGATGGTGTACAGTCAGCTTCATCTCAACTTTCTAAAATTATTATATCCTGGATTGTTACAACTTCGTTGTTGTACTTGTTTCGTTGTAAGTATCTATAGCTTTTCTTCAACGGTCGGAACGAAATTCGCATTCCTTGAAAGAAATCCTGTCATCATCGTCTGTAAAGAGTTGCAGCGGCGGCTGTCTGCCTATAATTTGCGTCCCCTCGCTGTCCTCGAAACGAAATAACCCCCCTGCAATTATTGCTGGGGACATGAGATGTCCTGAAGCTCCTTGACAACATTCGTCACCCGAGTTGCGACTGACTGTCGGCCTTCGTGTTCTGCACCTCCGGGGCAGTGCCCAGCCACACAGGGCTCTGCATGTGGGACGTGGGACGAGCTCGGTCGTGAAGCATCAACGGGGGAAACCGTAAGAAAATCACTATGCATCTCTTGCGTGGTCCGCTGATGCTCGGCTTCTTGTGCGGCAGCATCTACTTCTACTTCTTCAAGCATTGAGCCCGCAGTTGCGGACGTCGTGTTGCGGACGTCGTGTGAGGGAACTGGAGGCCCCGGTGCAGCGGTTAACTCATCTAGTGGTACTTCCAGCAGATCGGGTAGGTCATCTAGTACTACTAATACTTGGCCCTGACCACGAACAGCTCGAAAAAGTTCCTGTTGCGCTGCCCGTGCAACAGCAACCAGAGCTTGTTCTTCAGTATGTTGATCTCGTCCATCTGCATCCCCGACTACACTTCTGGAAGAAGTTCTGCTACGCGAAGCAGAGTTTTTTCTTCCTCTGGATTTCCTACTCGAAGAGCGAGATCGTCGAGAAGAGGAGCTTGTTCTGCAAGGCGAATTTCTGCTTGCCGACCTTCCTCGCGGAGTAGGTGGGGTGGTTCTTAGGCGCACGCCATGTAGTTGATTTTGATCGCCACTGCTGCTCGCAGCTCCCCCACTGCTGATGCACCCTGTACCTGTTCCTTGGGCTTCTGGATCTTGAGCCGGGCGATGGATAAAGCTTGAGCTGCTTTGGCTCTGCTCCCGTGCTGCTGCTGCTGCTGCTCCCTGCTCCTGCTGCGCCATCGTAGCGTCACGACACTGCGTTTCGTCTTTCTGTATTCCCGGTTTCGGTTTTGCACTAATATTGTTGCGCCCCTGGGCGAAGAACTCCCGCGAAGGATATCCTCCCGGCGTCCATCCATTGTAGTTACGGTCCCTTTATGCATTGGAAATATGTTCTTTGGGTCTGGATTTATCGGATCATCTGGAAGACACCAAGATCTGTATTAATGCGTAAGTACGACTCGACTACGATAGTTGGCCTCCAGCACATATTTTTATTTTGCCGTGCTGGATGAACATGAAGCCAGTTTGTGATGCGTTTTACGAATGAATCTGCAATAAGCCTCGCAGAGCAACTTTTGAAGATGCGGATGCAGTCATGCCGTACAGGCGGCCACTGTGCTGCAATCCAGGTATCAACAGCGAGGAAAGTACTAGAAGTTTCCAGACCCAGACATATTTGCATTGCATACCCCGGAGAGATACGCCATCGTTTGTTTTCTTCTTTCCAGAAAGGCCCGCTGCTCTTCTTGTTGGTGCTGCTCGGCAGCACCTGTACCGTTGCAAGGAGGTGTTGAGTCGGAAATAAAGAAGTCCTGCTGCTGCTCCTGGTGCCGGGCAGGCGCGCCAAAAAGGCCAGAAGAATCGGAAGAGCGCCTACGTGCAATCGTGTTTTTGTCAGGACCTTCTAAATCTAAGTAGTCACTCAGCCTCACGACCCTCACAACACTCGTATCGTTCCGGTCCGTGGAAGACTCGCTTCGACCGAGGCTGGTGCGCCGGGCTGCCGAATTGCTGCCAGACTCCACGGGGGTCCTCGAGAAATCTATTGTGGTCGAAGCGCTTGTGACGCCAGAATTTGGACCTTCTGAACCTTTATTGATCCTGCCAGGCTGATGCGGTAAGAAGACACGACCCGGGGGATATATAGGCGGAACCGACCCCCCGTGAACCAGAGTACAGCCAGGACGAGCCGTTGGCACTGCACAATTGGGCGCTGGAATGGCCGTACTAGCAGTCGCTCCTGCTTCAGTCAAATGCGCCGGAAAATGTGGCACAGACACAGAGGCTGTTCCGGTATCATAGCGGCCAACAAGGTAATTACTTTCCGACCCCGGCGTTTTCTCCACCAACTCGCCGTTCCGCAGTACTCTGCTCGGCCGGCTGTGGGTCCGTTGATGTCCTCCCCCGTAGGGCCCTCGCCGCTGGAGCGGTTCCAGACCTTGTGTGTGTGTATGAAATGGCGTGAATTGTGGACCTTGGTCTTGTCCGAATGGCGGCGTTCGTTCAGTGTCGCGGACCAGCTCGCGAACTCGATTAGGATTATGTAGAAGTGGACTGTTAAAACCGTCTGGCGTGTCTCCAAACAACGCCGGCAATGGCGAATGATCATCGAAATATCTTTTCGTCGGTGGTGGGGTTGTATACCTTGCGTGGTTCGTCTGAGAGGCACTTTCCTCCCGGCGTCCGTCAAGCTCAAGAACTTCCTTTTTCCCCCGGTCCGCCGCCAGAGGAGATTCGGTAGCAGGAGTTGGATTTTTATTAACACGAGGGGATGTCGAACCACGAGCGCCCCCGCCGCGGCCCGTCACCAACGGATCACGATCTTCGACTTCTTGTCCAGCCTGGACCTGCGTTTGGCTTCGCAGAGCTGCCCGGGGGGTTTTTGTTGAAACGTCTTCGCTAAATTCCGCCTCGATTCGGCGCCACAACAGGTCGGCGATATTATATCGATTTTCATCTTCTAGTTCTACTGACAGCAGCACCCCCGCCGCCAGATGCTGCATACCACCCGGGAGGAACTCCGGCTGTGCCACTGGTTCTTGACCTTCTTTAATATCCCTCGCTCCGCTACTTGAAGGAACGGAAGCACCACCGCACGCTGGAGCTGCGAAGCTCCGCCTCCAGGCCTCCAGCTGCCGATGGGCGGGCGACACCCGCAGCTGCCCGTTCATGATGAATGAATCCGAGCGAAACTGCCCGTTTGCGTCTCCTTGCCGGAAGACTTCCTTCACGCTACGAAGAGAGCCGCAGAGGTGATCCGCAACGGTGGTTCCGTATTGTTCCAGCAAAATAGAAGGCGACAGGGTATGATGTTGGCTCAGTTTTTTCAAAAATTCGCGAGAGTAAGAGAGCAAGATTTGATGTCGTGGTCCCTGCTGTTCCGCATAATTCTTCATATCTTCGCGGTGAAGTTGATTGCAGTAAAGCTCTCGGTTCTCGTACGCGCGCCGAAAGAAGGTCAAAATCTCCTTTCGGGTTAGAAACTGCTCCTCCGGGCTGCGAGACGAAAAAGGCACAAAGTCCGGGTCCTGCCGTGAAAGCCGGGGGTGGCGATCCAGCTTATTTCCCACACGCCGCTTGGAAGTGATATGAACAGCCACCAGACGTCGCATGAGCAGCTCCTGTTGTAGCTCTTGAGTCGTACGTTGGTCAACATCTACTGTGGCCGCGTCACCGCTGGTAAGAAATTCCAAAAGATCTCGCTCGGTACCGCACACATTCTCCCTTGCAAACCGGATACCGTTATCAACAGCCCAGCCTGCCTGAGCGTCTATTTTAATTTCTTGCGACCTCGTCGTGCGCACGGCTGCTTGACGCTGCTGCTGTACTTCTGCATCACGATAACTACGCAATAGAACGGCAATTTCGGGCTCAGACTTTACAGCTCCTGCAGACCACGGGCAGCTGGCAGCGAGTGCTATGGAACTGTCAGGATTGAAATTAACAAAGTTGAAATAATTTGTGATGCATAAAATCTATACCAGTGAGTTGGACCCACAGTTTCCAATCGGCGCATGACAAATTTTCCTGGCCTCTGAAGCAAGTCTGTCATGCTGTTTAGGGCAAGACTGCTGCTCCCTGTCATGCTAGTCAGCAGCCCAATTCTTGACCCTTACCAGCACTAGAATCTGCCTCCCTTGCGCCTTCAGCAATAGAGTCAGTCTTTGTGTCGCATTTTATGCATGGCAAATCATCTCAACTTTGTCGATTTCAACTCTGACACATCCATAAGTGCTGCGACTACGCTAAGCAGCGGCACCGCAGACTGAGAATAAACCATCTTCCGGATCGGGGAAGCGGTTAGATTTTTAGCAGAAATCTTCATTGCAATACTTACAACTAGTAGAGATGAAGAGAGCTGTTCTTGTGAAGGATTTTCGGTAAAAAATCGAGAGAGAATTATGTGAAAGAATGTCGAAGCTGCGGTCAATTTTCTTTGAAGATTTTTGGAAGCTACGCTTCTTAGGATTTGACGAAATTTGGCCTTACACTTATACTTTCGGTAAAAAATTCTTTGTTGTACAGAGTTGATGTCGAAGGAATTTTCTAGAAAAAAACAATTATGACAAAGTACGTGGCTCTTCGTTGGGTAGTATTATATCACTTTGAAGCAAATAAATACAGAATGCGAACTCAAGGTGGTATAAAAGCCAACGAATCAAAAAAAAAGTGTCGTTTAGGATTGCTGTCCAATTCTGGGGATTGCTGTCCAATTCTGGTTCAATGAAAAATAACGTTGATATGTGCTCTACGTCTACTTCGATGTTCGAAAAAATGATAGAAAGTTGTATATGACTGCAGCACCCTAAAAGTCGTGTTCTTGTAATGTAAGTAGCAAACTCGTCTCTCTTTCTCTCTGCTCCGACGGCTATCGCTATGTTTCGAGGTTAGGTCAAGTCTTGAACTGTCCAGTCACTATATAATCGATGCTGACTTTGTTTTTTGCGAAAATGGTAGGTAAGCAACAGAAGAGATTTCAGAAAATTGATCTGGTTTAATTTGTTCAGAGGTCGCTTATTTTTTCATCTTCAGCTGCAAACTGGAACCAGTCGACGTGCAATTTTTGTGCAAACCGAGTTGATGCATTCCACTCATTGGCGGGCAAGATCTTCTATTTCGGGTAGATTTATTGTTTCACGAAGAACCGATGCTCAGCATGATACCACGATGTTGATCCACACAAACACAATTTACAGAGCGTATAATTTTTCCTTGAAAAGCGTCGATGTGAACGCTGTGACCCTTCCGTTCGTCGCTGTGATCCTTTATATATAATTTCTGCGAGATCTCGTCAGATTCTATTTCAATCTGCGCGGACCATTATTTAGATGACCGGATTATTTCGCTCCGAGAACACCTTTCTCTAGCGGGCTTCTTGCGGCAGCTCTGCAGCTTTTCCGATTATATTAGGTTGAGTTTTACTGGGTCATTCTAAATTTTCATTCTGCAGCTCCAGCAATACTTCTCATTCCAGGAGCTCCTGTTGTGGCGAAGAACTTCTTCACCAAATATTAACCTCTCACGTACTCGATCACTTTCGCAGACATCTTCACGAACTTACATAATTTCTTCAGGCATCATCATGTTCTTTGGGGCGCTACTTTCTAAATCTCATCTGAGCTGTGACTAAGAACTCCCTAGCATGGAATTAGAGCAAATGCAATACGGGCAATCGCAATGCACAGGAATATTTAAAGACAGAAAGACGTCGTCGTGCAGCATGGTACTTACTTTCGGATTTTTTAAAGATAAATCAAGGGAACGGCATTCAACTTCTTCGCAGCACATCGATACCAAGGGGATACGGATGCGGATCTACTTAAGTAAAGAATGTGTTATGCCACAGCTCGTGGCCGATCTTACAAGATGATGATGAACTACTAGTACAACACTGATACTGATAGATTACTCTGATGTAAGTACAAATCGTCTATCTAAAGTCGCAAATTACAAAACTATCAAAAGGATTCCTCTCCTTCATTTTCCGTCACTATTTTCTCGAAGGATTTTTCCAGTCAAGTATGAACGAAACCTTTCTCACCCGTCGTGGGTCGCGATGAGCTTCTGCCCAGCACTTCTCCACGGAAACCTGGTTTCATGACATGATCTTCGTGTAGGACTACTACATCCGCCCCGCTGGGCGCCGTTGACGCTGCGGCCAATTGACATGATCGTGCGGCCACTGAAGACCCAATGCAGATTCGAGGTCTGTGGCCAAGCTGTAAGAACTTCTAAATTCGGGCGTACTAACACAGAATTCCTGCACCGGACTTGGGATGTTTGCAGCATCGGGGGATAACTCGGCGAAGTTTTTGCAACAGTCGCAGGCTCGTCCGTAAGAGGCCGCCGTTGTACTTGTTTTAGCAGCTCCACAGCCTTCCTGTCGCGGCTTTTCACAAGCACAAGAATCGGCCTCACCCTCCCCGTCCAGATTTATTACATCCAGCTCTGGAACATCAAACCCACATGTCGTGTGGTAGTACTTCTGTGTAGTTGTATCCCTGGAACAAGAATCATGCGGCTGTTTAATAAGCTCTTGCGCTTCATCTTCGTGGTCGTGGCCGGCCGTACTAGCTGCCATTGCAGTTGTTGCCCAGCCAGCTGGCGAGGCAGAAACGAAAGTAGACTCCGGCACTGCCGCCGAGGAGGACTGAACCTCCGGCGAGGACGTGGGCCTCGAAAATCCGGCAGGCGTTGGTCTTCGTGGTTCATGCCGAGGTGGAAATCGAAAAGCTCCACCAGCTGAAAAAGGGGTCGCGCCAGACAATGAAGGAGCCACAGGCTCTTCTTCTGCGGTTGTAGAAGCGGAGCTGTAAAAATGTTCATTGCCTTCTTGCGTTCGAGCTTCCCCTTTCGCCGCCGCTTGTTTAGTAGTTTTCATCTGTCTTATCTCGCGCAATTGCTCCTCTTCCTCCTGTCTCGCGAGTTCGTGTTCCTTACGCAGATCGTTGCCCGCTCGGTCTTGAAAAGCCTTTACCACAACGTCAAACACCTGCCCTCCGGTCTCGCTCCAGTAATTACCCGTGGTTGGATGTTTCCCGCCGAAAGCGCGCTCCAAACCACTAAGTAATTGTTCGCGCCCGGAATAAATATGACACGGCTCCTCTACTGTTGGTACAAATTCCTCCATTTGTTCTGCCCGTTTGAACACTGCCAGGACATTTTGAATCGTGCCGCGCTGCAAGTCCGCCACGTTCGTTGAAAAATTCCGCCAGGTTTCCTGGTCTTGCAGCCGCTCCAGAAGCCACCGCAGGGCGTCGTCCCCGTAGAAGTGATCTTCTTGATGTTTCCTCATCATCTTTTCCAGTTTGGGCAGAATTTCTTCCTTCATAAAAACGCTCTTCTGGTGCAACAGCATCTGGTGCAACAGCATCTCTTCTCCGTAGGGTGTCAGCCGCGTCGTTGACGAAGTTTTCTTCATCTCGTCCACGGAAAAATCTCCGCTTTCTTGATTTCGAAAAGCTTCTGTATTAAAAATACTCCGATACACCTGATCAAACCGCTTCAAAATATCTTTGCGACTCAAGAAGGCTTTGCATGGTTCCAGTTTTCCTCCCAACGCGGGCGCGCCACACAACAAACCGGGCTCCCGATCCGAACTTACGATCCCATCCTGGCCCAGTTTGCGCACTAAAGTAACGGAAACGAGTTTTCGGATCACTTTCCCGATTATCTCGTGCTCGTCGGCCTCGCGGGCAGATTTTTGGAAGGCCAAGGGACTTCCCAAAATCTCATTCTGCAAAACCCTTCTCCTCGCTTGCAATCTCCCCAACCCGTTTTCAAACGCCTGCTCGCCGTTCCGGGAGACTGGTTTTCCCGTATCCCTAACCGTCTTGATGACGAACTCATTACCGGCATCGGGTGGCGACGTCACTGGTTGCGGCCGTACGAGCCTGTAGAGGTCCCATTCCGTGCCGCAAAACTGCGACTCTAAAAAGTTGATCGCGAAGGCTTTGTTTTCGTTCTGCTGGTAGGCGACGTAAGAATTTTTATCGGCTTCTGGTTGTTGGGGGTTGGAGGTAGGTTTATTTTGTGCGGACGACGAAAATCGCTGCCACAGATTTGAGATCAGCGCCCCAATCTCTGATGTGGGCACAGTGGTGCTAGAGCTAGTGCTCTGCGGCTTTTGCTGCGATGATTCCTTAGCAGCAGGAGGACCACCAGCAGCACGCTTCGTATTCGAACCTAGAAGTTGTCCAGGAACGGTTTCTGCCTTTTCCAGGTACTGGTTCCCAGCCGCACGGTAGGCGTCGCCAGAACTGCGAGCTGTGGTCTGGGAGGTGGTACTAGGTACAACCGACTGCGGGACCTGCTGCGCTATGCCATTGCCCGCTCCGGCGCGAGGACCACTCGGGACAACACGAAAAACTCGGCTGTGGCTGTCATCTGCTGGCACGCCTCCTTTCCCGTGGCCCTTGTTACCACCAAGCCGACTTTTCGTCTTGCCCTTGCCCCCTCCTTTCGGCAGTTTCAAGGCTGGTGTTACAACAGTGGTGGAAAATGCTACGAAGAAAAGGATACGGACAGAGCGTCGAACTGCAGCAATTGACAAAACGCTGAAGGGACAACTTTCGAGCATCGACATGATGTACGTTCTTGTGCTGTAGAAGTAAATACACACGGCTAAAGTTGTAAATCCGAAAACAACTTTAGCCGTGAAAAGTTCTTCGGGATGTTGAACAAGGGAAATAGCTGTAGTACCTGGTTTGCTTCGTCGCACTAAGTAAGTACTATATGGAATCAATGTCAGACTGTCTAAATTCTAATTCTATGTAGATCGCACTAAAGATTTGTCTAGAAAATACGAAAGTCTCAGTGGAGTGTTAGACGCGGAAGTGTACGTAATAATATGGTGTTGAATATCTTCTGCTTCGGGTTCGGGTCCTGTCTGTTGAGTTTTTTAGCATAATTGAAAATTTTATGTGTCGTCGGTCGCGGTAGGGAATTTCCGTTCGTGTACTGTACAACTTTGAATGGTGGATGACATCAATTCATCACCTAGTCGTCCAGAACTTTGTTCAGGTTGAAACTGATCCTCCACATTTATAATATTTCATCGACTTTCTGCTACAACTCAATCTCGAACCGACCGATCGCGTCACAGGGAAAAGGAATGAAACCGAAATTATGCTGAAGCTGATCATGATCTCGATTTTTGTTGTCTTTCTGGCCATTCATCATATAGATACCAGCTTTGTTTCTTATTTTGTAGTTTTCAACGCAAACAAAGCAACTCCACTGATCTTTTGTTTTCAGCAGGAGCTTAGCATCTTGTGGTCCTTGTCATCTTCTTCATGATCAGGGCCAAACAAACACCTCCTCACACCACGTTTCAGTTTCGAGGGTTTTCGACGAAGAGGGCGGGCAGGCCGAGTGTACTTACTAGTAATTCTGACAAATTGCTCAGTGTTGTTCCCAAGCTTTGACTGACTATGAATGTCCATAATATGTCAGCGGTAATTTGGTGCTCTGGTGGTGTCGACCCACTGTTACACGGCGCAACCCCCGGCGAAACACGACCAGAAAACGCATCTGAGTCTGAATCTGAATTTGGTGGTACTGACGTGGCAAAAAAAAATGACCAAGCGAAGCAAATCCTTTACGCAATCTACTGTGCTGATCACGCATAAATCCGCGTGATGAAGAGTTTTTCCGCTGTAGCATAACGTAAACACAAGCTGTACTAGTACGTACGGGCACGGGCTCTAAACGGGGTTCTTTTCCGATGTAACCTCTTGCCGACTCGAACTAGTTACAGCTGTTAGGTTAGTTACTGCACTTCCACTTGCACTTCTCCGTGGAGGAAATAAAAATACTCTAGGTACTTAGTACCGCAAAGAGATGTCGATGTCGAAAGGCTAGTACAACGGGAACTGAGTGCCACGGGAAAGTAGCGTAAATACAGCATATTACAGAGCGGGCTTGCGGTTGCGCAGGTCACCGCGTCATTTTGCGCACGTAGCAATGTAAAACAATCAATGATTTCGATAAAAGCCTACTTTAATTATTTTCAAACGACCAATTGCAAATCTACCAACTTTTCCATTGGAGACAGATGTGAGTGAGGTTAAAAACAAAGAATAACCTCCCGCGGAACAGCGTCTACTTTGCACAATCATTGTTCATCAGGAGAAGTACTACTCACTGCGGCTGCACACTGATGCTCCACACCATGACTACCTACTGCTGAGTGCAATCACCCGCCGAAGAATTTTTGCTGGAGGACGCGGCACCTTGGAAAGGCGGAGATAGACGACCAACAGCACGCTCCTCTGTTGGGGGTACGGCATATGCAGCTGGTGGCCTCGCAGTAGAACTGCCGCTGTTTTGATGTGGTTTTAAAGTCCTGCTACTTCGCTTTTTTGGTTGTTCTCCTAGTACTGTGGTCGGTTCGGTCTTCAAGAAAGCCTGCCGCTGCGCTTCCTCCAGACTCAGGATCCCGGTTTTAATCTGCTTTATCACTCCGCGCGAAAAGGGCACGCCACCTGGACCGCACATAATTTCGCCTTCTTGTTTACTAGATGAAGTTGGAGGCCTGGCTGCTTCACCGCGTCTCGTACGTGTACTTGGGGCCCCCGGAGGTGGACCGCGTACGGCGAACGGCCGGTGGTCCTCCGCGCTTCTGCCAGGAGGCCTCGCCGTGGCACTCGATTCTTCTACGCGCGTTGGTGAAACATGATCTACTCGTACACGACGTGGCTCAACATGAGCTTCTTGCCAGTTTCGTCGGGCAGTGCCGCCGTGAACTGTTGGCATCGCATCAGATCCTGTTGGTGGGCTCGTCACAGTGGGCGGACTGCACGCGACCTGATGCGCCGGACGAGCAGCAGCACCAACAGCAGAAGATTTCTGCATCTCTGCAGCAAGAGTTCGAATTTCTGTTTCTCTCTGAGCACAATGAGATTCCGTAGTAGCTCCTGCTCTTCGGGCAAGCTCATCTTGTTCCCCCGCCCGCGCGTAATTGTTGTACTGCTGGTCGTCGTCCACCGGTCGTACTGGTACTGCTGCTGGGCAGGCAAAATTACTCGCATGATGTTGGCGCAGTGGTGGTGGTGGCGGTGACAACGCTGGAGGACAAGGAAGATCAAGATTCCACGTTGGCACCTGTGCAAAAGGACAGTCTTGTGAGGATACCCCGGGTGGTGCGGTCTGGCGATGCATAGTGACTCCGTCATAATCAGTTCTATCCGGCGTGGCCTCCAGGAGAGGGTTTGTGGGCTGGTACTGGTGTGCTTTCCAATCCTTGTGGATGCCCCAGCATTGGTCAGGCGTGTTTGGAAAAAATCTCCACGGGCTGCACTCATGTCCACCGGGCGGTCCCGCTCCACCCCGCCTAGGCGTTTCATAGCCAGTTTGGTCTACTTCTCCCACTTCACGACCTCCCTGAGCCGCGTCGCCCTGAAAATAAAGATCCTCCGCTGCTGCGCCGCCGGACAGAAAACCACGTGCCCCCGCTGGGGGCAACATGGCAGATCCAGATGCCAGCCCAGAAGCCTGACCACTCTGTTCCCCGTGTTGTTCTCGTTCTTGCCCCGTAGTTGTTCGATCCGACCTGACGTCCAGGGGAGGGTTTCTGGCGGGCTGTGCATCCTTATGGATGTTGTTGCCCCAGAAGTCAGGCGTGCTTGGATAAAATCTGATCTCGTCTGGGCTGCGGTTGCACTCAGCGTCCCGCCTTGGCGTTTCGTAACCAGTGCCCAGACCTCCATTTTGGTCTTCTCCCACTTCGGGAGGGTTTCTGGCGGGCTGTGCATCCTTATGGATGTTGTTGCCCCAGAAGTCAGGCGTGCTTGGATAAAATCTGATCTCGTCTGGGCTGCGGTTGCACTCAGCGTCCCGCCTTGGCGTTTCGTAACCAGTGCCCAGACCTCCATTTTGGTCTTCTCCCACTTCACCTATCTGAACGTCGTCCCGGGCCTCCGCTGCGCCGGAGGGAACAAAACCATGCTCTTCCGCTCGGGGCATGGCAAATCTAGGTGCCGGCTCAGAAGCATCGCTGTGGTGTTGGTCGTGTGCTTCTCGTCCTTGCTCCCTGTGGTTCCTTTCTGGTGGTGCAGCGGTTGCTCTGGTATTCTTAGGTACCTTCGGCCCATACTTCTCGAGATTTTCTTGTGCCCTGCGCTGAGCATTTCCCAAACTCAAGGTCCCGTTTGCAATTGCGTCTCTCACCTTGTTGCGCGGAAGCCGCTTGCCACCCGCGCCACACATTCTGCCTCCTCTTCTTTTCGGCGCGTTCTCGTCGCGGATTCGCGTTGGAGGGATGGCTGCTTGTTCGCGGGGACTCGAGGATCGACTTGGGGCTGGTGGTTGCCGGTTTGGAGGGCTCTGGGCCGGCACTTCAAGTAGTGAGGCCGCGGCGGCAGCATCAAGACAAGGCGTTTCTGTTTGACCAAAGGACGTCGAGCTGCCATAGCCACTGCATTGTACCGGAACAAGCCCTTCTCCCGTTGGCGGGCTCGGCGTGCGAGACCAATAGTACTTCGGAGAGACAGACCGCTTCTCCGGAGAAACCGTGACTTTCCGATTTGGATGCCCACTTTCCGACTTGGATGCCCAAACCGCTTGCGGAGTTTGAGTTGCGCCATGAACGAATATCACAGACGAAGATGACAACTCCGGAGACCGTGCATGGAAACCAGGATCAACATGAGCTGCAAGAAGAGGTAGGACCAAATAACTCAACATCCGCGCAAACAAAAGACCCACGAAAAGCTCCGCAGAATCGATCTTCCGTGCGGAGGGTCTACTACTTCTTCTCGTTGGGAAATAACTCGCTGATAGGACCATTGTGATCGATATTCGAACGTAAATAAGATAAAGAGAGGACCTTCGTGAATTGATATGAGCCCAAAACGTTCCCACACGACAGCACGCTTAAAAACAAAAGGGCGAAGAGAATGAATGTTGTACAAGTTTCGGAGAAAAACTGGTATTTCTTTTCCCAATCAAAAAAGTTGCATGCAGGTTCTTGTAATTCAGGGCACTTGATGTCCCAGTCGCACTCTTGTGTTCGTCTTTGTTGTAAACAAATAGCAGTACGTCGTCGACGAAACGGTCAGCAAAATATCGTCGACAACTAAAACGGAACTACAACCCACTCAGTACGACTTTTGGGCTGTTCAAAACTGGTGTGCAACAAACTACAACACTAAAATCCAAATAAAATGAAAATGAGTTGTAGAGCGTTCCTGGTGTTTTTGTGTGCGATTCTTGAGGGTTAGTTTCATGGTAAAGAAACCACAGGCCGCACTCAGCCTTACATTTTTGTATCTTGCTCAAGATCTTCCCATTCTATTTCTTTTTTACACCGACGAGGCGAAATTCCAGCAAGAGCATCCGGCACATTTTTGACCACATCTTCTTCGTCGCTCGTCCATCGATTCCGTTCAAGAAATACGGATACAGGTCCTGTTCTTTTTCGATCGCAGGAACCTTCCTGCTCCAGAAGGACTAGAACCACACTCATTTCATCTTTCCAGATCCCTTTCTTCGTGAGAGGCAGGGCTAATCTTATGATCATTTTCTTGATCGCCCACATATTTAGGTGCTTCCATAGACGACCAGCTGCATGGATTGTCACTACGGGGACAGGCGTCGAGCAAAAATCGCTGCTTCTGACAGACGATATAGGTTGGTACTCGACTGCTGTTATGGTTTTTTTAGGAAGCAGAAAATCATATACAGCCGCACGCGTAGAAGCATTTGCGCTACTTGCGAAGGTAGAGGGAGCCGAGGCATCATCTTCTAGATTTGAACATGGAGATGGAGGGAAGCAACTTCTACATTCATAATTACTCAGAGGTTTGCATATGCATTTGTCTGTACTCCAACAGCTGCAGCTGTCTTTTTTATCATCATCGCGATATAATTTCTCGTCGTCGTCGTCCTCAGAGTTGTAGCACTGTGGCAACCTAGGCAATTTTCTAGTACCCCCATCCACAGGCATCCATCTCCAGGCTGATGATGTTGACGCTGACTACACATGTCACCGCTAATAGCCGACGCAGCCACAAGTACAACATTAACATAGTCCATAGACACAGCTTCCTCATTCCAAGGTTGTGAATAAGTGTAAAAGATGAGTGCGTCGCTTTCTTCGAATAACTTGCGCCGCTTGGTATTCTAGTACAAATTCCAAGCGTTATAAAAAAAAACAGATACTGGTAGCGAGAGGTAGTAGTTCTTGTGCGGGGCGGCCTTTTGTCGCAAGGAATATCGTAGGTTACGTTTTTTACAGGTGTGGGGTCGTAGGAGGTCGTGAGAAAAATAAACCACTCAAAGCAGGAGCTGCGCTTTATGATGTTGCACCGTTCTTGTGTCGTGCAGGAGAAAAGTTCGAAGCTGATAAAGCCTGTATAAGGAAAAATAGGTCAAAATAAACGAATGAGAAGCGAATACATTTTCGTGGTCCTCAGAAGTAGGCTCGTTTCTGCTGGTCGGTGTTTAAAGCTCGGTAAGGTCATCTTTTGCGTAAAAGGCGTTTTCTTTGGTTCTCTGTAGTATTCAGCTCCATATTTCACTAAGCTTTCAATACGTGGCGATTTTTGTATCTATGTGTCCGCGGCGTCTATGCTGGTCTTGCTTCGTCGCAACAACGCGTACGCGACGCTGATTTTTGTCCTCTTAATTAAGTACTTAATACCCTTCCTCATCAAATCGGTTCCAGTAAAAACAAACCGTTGCTCAGGATGTACACCGGCGCATTCGCACTCCCGGCGGAGATGTAGGGCGCGCGGGCGAATTATGGCGTTCTCAAATGTTACATTCTCAACTGTTGCATGGATTTGTAATGCAAGAACAGCAACAGTGAAAGTGGCAACGTTGCAACTTTCGCATCACAGATTTTGCACAGAGTATCATGCTGTTTAGCCCTTCGAAAATTTGTCATGCTAAGCACCTTGATCAAGTGGAGGGTAATGGCAATTTTGCATGACAAATTCATGTAACAGTATGAGAATGTAACGTTTGAGAACGCCATACGAATTTCAACAGTCGGAACCCACACTGCTTCATCAACAGTCAGACCAAGGCTCTGACTTCTTTTCTTCGAGAGAGGCACGGCGAATTTCATGATCATTTCCTTGATCGCGGCCCACTCATTTCGATGCTGTCAACATAGACCAGCTGCATGGATTGTCAGCACGGGGACAGGCGTCGAACAAAAATCGTTGCTTCTGACAGACGATATAGGCAATCGATTACTTCCGTTGGTTTTTGTTTTGTAGGAAGCAGAAAATCATATACAGCCGCGCGCGTAGAAGCATTTGCGCTACTTGCGTAGGTACTAGAGGGAGCCGAGGCATCATCTTCTAGATTTGAACATGGAGGGAAAAAACTTCTACATTCATAATTTCTCAGAGGCTTGCATACGTTTGTCTGTACTGGTGCCGCAGCGGATCTTTTATCATCATCGCGATATAATCTCTCGTCGTCCAACTCAGAGTTGCAGCACTGTGGCAACCTAGGCAATGGTTTAGTACCTCCACCCACAGGCGTCCTTCTCGAGGTTGATAATGACGCTGACTAATAAAAATGCCACCGCTAAAAACAGGAGGCACCGCCACAGCTACTTACAGCTTCCGCTTTCCAAGATTGCATTATCAATATATAGTCCGTCGCTTTCTTCGAATAACTTGCGCCGCTTGGTATTCTAGTACAAATTCCAAGCGTTATAAAAAAAAACAGATACTGGTAGCGAGAGGTAGTAGTTCTTGTGCGGGGCGGCCTTTTGTCGCAAGGAATATCGTAGGTTACGTTTTTTACAGGTGTGGGGTCGTAGGAGGTCGTGAGAAAAATAAACCACTCAAAGCAGGAGCTGCGCTTTATGATGTTGCACCGTTCTTGTGTCGTGCAGGAGAAAAGTTCGAAGCTGATAAAGCCTGTATAAGGAAAAATAGGTCAAAATAAACGAATGAGAAGCGAATACATTTTCGTGGTCCTCAGAAGTAGGCTCGTTTCTGCTGGTCGGTGTTTAAAGCTCGGTAAGGTCATCTTTTGCGTAAAAGGCGTTTTCTTTGGTTCTCTGTAGTATTCAGCTCCATATTTCACTAAGCTTTCAATACGTGGCGATTTTTGTATCTATGTGTCCGCGGCGTCTATGCTGGTCTTGCTTCGTCGCAACAACGCGTACGCGACGCTGATTTTTGTCCTCTTAATTAAGTACTTAATACCCTTCCTCATCAAATCGGTTCCAGTAAAAACAAACCGTTGCTCAGGATGTACACCGGCGCATTCGCACTCCCGGCGGAGATGTAGGGCGCGCGGGCGAATTATGGCGTTCTCAAATGTTACATTCTCAACTGTTGCATGGATTTGTAATGCAAGAACAGCAACAGTGAAAGTGGCAACGTTGCAACTTTCGCATCACAGATTTTGCACAGAGTATCATGCTGTTTAGCCCTTCGAAAATTTGTCATGCTAAGCACCTTGATCAAGTGGAGGGTAATGGCAATTTTGCATGACAAATTCATGTAACAGTATGAGAATGTAACGTTTGAGAACGCCATACGAATTTCAACAGTCGGAACCCACACTGCTTCATCAACAGTCAGACCAAGGCTCTGACTTCTTTTCTTCGAGAGAGGCACGGCGAATTTCATGATCATTTCCTTGATCGCGGCCCACTCATTTCGATGCTGTCAACATAGACCAGCTGCATGGATTGTCAGCACGGGGACAGGCGTCGAACAAAAATCGTTGCTTCTGACAGACGATATAGGCAATCGATTACTTCCGTTGGTTTTTGTTTTGTAGGAAGCAGAAAATCATATACAGCCGCGCGCGTAGAAGCATTTGCGCTACTTGCGTAGGTACTAGAGGGAGCCGAGGCATCATCTTCTAGATTTGAACATGGAGGGAAAAAACTTCTACATTCATAATTTCTCAGAGGCTTGCATACGTTTGTCTGTACTGGTGCCGCAGCGGATCTTTTATCATCATCGCGATATAATCTCTCGTCGTCCAACTCAGAGTTGCAGCACTGTGGCAACCTAGGCAATGGTTTAGTACCTCCACCCACAGGCGTCCTTCTCGAGGTTGATAATGACGCTGACTAATAAAAATGCCACCGCTAAAAACAGGAGGCACCGCCACAGCTACTTACAGCTTCCGCTTTCCAAGATTGCATTATCAATATATAGTCCGTCGCTTTCTTCGAATAACTTGCGCCGCTTGGTATTCTAGTACAAATTCCAAGCGTTATAAAAAAAAACAGATACTGGTAGCGAGAGGTAGTAGTTCTTGTGCGGGGCGGCCTTTTGTCGCAAGGAATATCGTAGGTTACGTTTTTTACAGGTGTGGGGTCGTAGGAGGTCGTGAGAAAAATAAACCACTCAAAGCAGGAGCTGCGCTTTATGATGTTGCACCGTTCTTGTGTCGTGCAGGAGAAAAGTTCGAAGCTGATAAAGCCTGTATAAGGAAAAATAGGTCAAAATAAACGAATGAGAAGCGAATACATTTTCGTGGTCCTCAGAAGTAGGCTCGTTTCTGCTGGTCGGTGTTTAAAGCTCGGTAAGGTCATCTTTTGCGTAAAAGGCGTTTTCTTTGGTTCTCTGTAGTATTAAGCTCCATATTTCACTAAGCCTTCAAAACGTCAGCACGATTTTGCACTTATTCGCTTCTTCTTGCTGGTCTTCTTTCCTCGCAAGAACGCGACGCTGATTTTTGCTCTCAAAATTGCATAAAATACCCTTTATTCATCATCCTCAAATTGGTTCCAGTAAAAACAGGCCGTTGCTCAGGATGTACACCGGCGCATTCGCACTCCCGGCGGAGATCATGGCATGCTAACATTGGAATATGGAGCCCCTTTGGGGGGCCTTCGAGGGGCCTTCGGGGGGCCTCGAAAAACGAAGGGGTAGCCAAGGGGGGTCAATGAACCCCCTTCGGGGGGTCGAAGACCCCTCAACGACCCCCCAATGACCTTAATCATCATTAATAGTAGTTAATCGGTTCAGGAGAAACTGGCTCACAGAAAGTATCAAATTTAGGACTGAGGTTTTTTGTGAAAACTTGTAATCGAACATTACCAGGCACAGGTTGTAAACTAATGAGAGATCGTAAATCTTGTTGAAACGGAGGACGAAAATGAAAACAAAAAGAAGAAAGAATACCGAATTCAAACGAGGTCGGGCACGAAAAACGAAATCGATATCGATAGACGAAAAAACGATATAGGTCGAGCATAGAGACAAGGAGCGAAATCGAGAACGAAAAAAGAATGCAAAAGTATCCGATGAGCGATATCACGAGAGATAGCCAAATGACGAAATCCAAACTCATACGAGATACGAATAATCTACTCATTCTACTCGCGAAAAACGAAATCATAAGAACAGCATGAGAAATTGAGATTGGACCGATAAGAAAGATAGTCGCATAGGTCAAAAAGGATCTAGGTCATGATCGAGCAATGAGGATCGAGGTACGAGGATCGAGAGATAATTCGCATATAAAAATAATACAAAAAGAGATCTACGTAGAGCACCGATATGGGGAAGCAGCAGAGATATCTCATTCTCTTGTCTCTCTGTCTCTCAGGAAAAGGTCACAGGGCACTCAGGACCGGAAGAACAACACAGAATGAAGGAGCGGATAATATAGCAATGGATTCAAGAAAATTTCAATGGAAAATCAAAAAAAGTCACAGATGATGACATAAAAACAAACCGTTGCTCAGGATGAAATTGGTTCCAGTAAAAACAGGCCGTTGCTCAGGATGTACACCGGCGCATTCGCACTCCCGGCGGAGACCAAGGCTCTGACTTCTTTTCTTCGAGAGAGGCACGGCGAATTTCATGATCATTTCCTTGATCGCGGCCCACTCATTTCGATGCTGTCAACATAGACCAGCTGCATGGATTGTCAGCACGGGGACAGGCGTCGAACAAAAATCGTTGCTTCTGACAGACGATATAGGCAATCGATTACTTCCGTTGGTTTTTGTTTTGTAGGAAGCAGAAAATCATATACAGCCGCGCGCGTAGAAGCATTTGCGCTACTTGCGTAGGTACTAGAGGGAGCCGAGGCATCATCTTCTAGATTTGAACATGGAGGGAAAAAACTTCTACATTCATAATTTCTCAGAGGCTTGCATACGTTTGTCTGTACTGGTGCCGCAGCGGATCTTTTATCATCATCGCGATATAATCTCTCGTCGTCCAACTCAGAGTTGCAGCACTGTGGCAACCTAGGCAATGGTTTAGTACCTCCACCCACAGGCGTCCTTCTCGAGGTTGATAATGACGCTGACTAATAAAAATGCCACCGCTAAAAACAGGAGGCACCGCCACAGCTACTTACAGCTTCCGCTTTCCAAGATTGCATTATCAATATATAGTCCGTCGCTTTCTTCGAATAACTTGCGCCGCTTGGTATTCTAGTACAAATTCCAAGCGTTATAAAAAAAAACAGATACTGGTAGCGAGAGGTAGTAGTTCTTGTGCGGGGCGGCCTTTTGTCGCAAGGAATATCGTAGGTTACGTTTTTTACAGGTGTGGGGTCGTAGGAGGTCGTGAGAAAAATAAACCACTCAAAGCAGGAGCTGCGCTTTATGATGTTGCACCGTTCTTGTGTCGTGCAGGAGAAAAGTTCGAAGCTGATAAAGCCTGTATAAGGAAAAATAGGTCAAAATAAACGAATGAGAAGCGAATACATTTTCGTGGTCCTCAGAAGTAGGCTCGTTTCTGCTGGTCGGTGTTTAAAGCTCGGTAAGGTCATCTTTTGCGTAAAAGGCGTTTTCTTTGGTTCTCTGTAGTATTAAGCTCCATATTTCACTAAGCTTTCAATACGTGGCGATTTTTGTATCTATGTGTCCGCGGCGTCTATGCTGGTCTTGCTTCGTCGCAACAACGCGTACGCGACGCTGATTTTTGTCCTCTTAATTAAGTACTTAATACCCTTCCTCATCAAATCGGTTCCAGTAAAAACAAACCGTTGCTCAGGATGTACACCGGCGCATTCGCACTCCCGGCGGAGATGTAGGGCGCGCGGGCGAATTATGGCGTTCTCAAATGTTACATTCTCAACTGTTGCATGGATTTGTAATGCAAGAACAGCAACAGTGAAAGTGGCAACGTTGCAACTTTCGCATCACAGATTTTGCACAGAGTATCATGCTGTTTAGCCCTTCGAAAATTTGTCATGCTAAGCACCTTGATCAAGTGGAGGGTAATGGCAATTTTGCATGACAAATTCATGTAACAGTATGAGAATGTAACGTTTGAGAACGCCATACGAATTTCAACAGTCGGAACCCACACTGCTTCATCAGCACCGCCCTTGCGAACCCCGCCGCCTGCTCCTCAAACGTTCGCATATGCGCCTGGCCGCGGTAGGAGACTTTCTCGAAACTCGGACTGAGGTGCGGTTTTGTCGTGTTCGGAGAAGAAGTGTTTGCTCCTCCACTTCTTCCGTTTTTTGGCGACGACGGTGAGGTACTACTCTTCACATGGTCTTCGATCCACTGCTCGAAAGGAAACACCGCGGACAGGAGAAATTTGCAGTTGTGCTGCTTACATAGCGAGTGAATTTCCTTCAATAACGTGATCGGCTTCTCGCACCGGTCCAGAACGTTGAAGCTGGTGATGAGACTGAACTTCTGTTGCGGGTCGTGAAGGGCTGGGCAATGTTCTTTTGATACGGAGGCGGTGAGGAAAATTTGCACGGGACAAGAACTGTTGTTCGGTGAGTTATACCCTGGTGCTGACGTCGAGATGCTTGTGTTTTTTTGCAGGTTCTTCCGGTCACTCGTTGTCAACATCGGCCGCAGCGTACCCTGCTTCAGCAGTTGTGACCTAGTGAAAGAAGTGTTGTCTTGTCTCGATTTACTGGAAGAACAGGGAGAGGAGGTGGAAGTAGAGGCGGGAGATGTTGATATGCTGCTGTCATTTTTCTGTACTCCACTCCTGGCAGCCGCTCCACCGGTTCTACGAGGACCATCTGTCGTGGTCCCTTGTAGAAGTGCGGAAGAAGATGCTGCCGTCGCAGCGGTCGACACGGTACTGCAATTATCGTCGGAAATCTGACTGCCCGCGGTGGTGGTACGGTGCTTCAGCGTCGAAGTAGTACTAGAGTTGGGAGGACCAGCTGCAATATCATCACAAACGTCTGATGCCCCTGTCGCGAGCGGCGTGCTGGTTTTACTATTTTGCAATAGCGGCACCGATCGTAGTGTTCCCATTGCCGACGTTTTTGAAGAAGATGATGCCCCTACAACTACGTGGTTTGTCGCCGCCGCGGCAGCAGGAGACAGCGTCTCTTGCTGATTTGTTTCATCCTTTTCTGGGCGGGAAGAAGTGGCTTCAACATCCCCATGCTCCTGATCAACATCCCCAACTACCTCTTTTCTTGGAACTTTCAGCAGCAAATCCCGCCACTTCCGATTGCCCATCCGCTCCAAGCGTTTAACCATTTGCTTCGAGACTTCGGTGCAGGTGACCCGGGAAAACAAAGGCAACAGCTGCTCAGTGATGTACCCGCAACCAGAGCCAATATCTAGTAGGTGCCCGCCCGGTTCGAAGAAATACTTGAACTGCTCTGATTGTGATTGTACTGCCTGTTGGTGTTGGTTTTTGCGATCATCTTCGCTGAACAGGGCCGTGTGGTCCTTCCCCTTGTCCGGCGCACAAAAGTCGTCAAGATCATGGTCGTGGTGTTCTTCCTCGGGTCGTCGTGCTAGATTTATTTTGGACGCAGTAGTTTTTCGACGTGGAGTTGTAGTATTTGTTCCTCCCACTGCTGGCGTGGAATACACCCTCCCTCGCTCATTCAATACTGCGACCAGGTTCCGTTCCACCGGAGCGGAAATAGTGTCCGTCAGAAACGCTTTGAACTGTGCGGCGCTGCAGAGCCACATCTTGCCCGTCCCCAGCAAGCCGTTGACATCCGTGTTGCTCATGCACATGCGGAAAAAGGTGCGAATCACGTCGATGAAGCACCGCGTGACGCCGTAGAGTTTATTGTATTGGTCCTGGCAGATTTTCACGAACTCCAGTGTGTCTTGGTCCTGACAGGCGAGGTGGATGAAATCGATCTCGTCAGACTGGCGATCTGCAATAGTATCTTGCTCCGGGTTTCGTGAAGAAGAGATGCCTCTAGCTGCCTCAGCAGTGCCTCCGTGTTCTGGCTCGCCAGACGCACTGCCTGTTCGGGGGCCGCTTGCCATGTCGTCGTTGTTGTCGAGTTGGTATTTGTACTGCTGATTTTCCAATTTCTGAAGCACGAGCGAGTCGCGGTTATTTTGTTGAAACAGATCCTCTTGCAGTTCTCTTCCACGACCGGAATGATCCCCATGATTTTTCATGTCCCGTGATCTCTGTAAAAGTGCCCCCTTGCCGTTCTGTCCCGCGGATGCCGCTGCACCAGTTTTATTTGCCGACGCAGACGACGTGAACGCCGCTGTTACTTGTGCCTTATAGTGGTCTTTATCCGGTACCAACTCTTCACATTGCAATAAGTCTTCAGGTGTAGGAGCCAGTGTACTAGCATCCCAGATAACTACCCCAGGTGCTCGCCCCGCCACCGCACCTTCAGCTCCCGGGTTGAATTTGGCAAGGGGAGAGGTCGTCGAACCTACACCGCCAGTTGTACTAGCGAGTTGACCGTTTTTCTTCCTATGAACCGCATAGTACTCCTCCACCGGCCCGAGGTACTCCAGGAAGCATTCCGGGCAATATTCATACTCGGCCTCGCTGTACCTCCTCCGGACGCAGTTTGGGCAGGCTCCCGGTTTTCCGGAGGACACGGTCGGAATGGTCACGTTGCGGTGGAGTTTGTGCGAGAGCTTGCACGTTCTTGTGGGGGGAGTAGCGCCGGGCGGCGTGTGCGAAGCGCCGGGTTTGGAGGAAGACGTCATGGTCACGGGGACTGGCGGCTGTTGCGGAAAAGCTTGTTTAGTCATTTGTATATTTTTTCATTTAAAGTTTAAGTTTTTCATCCGTGCGTTAGCGTTGTATATTGTTTTTATGTTTTGTTGATTTGTTATCAAAAATTGCTACAGACCAAAACTGGATGCTGGTTGATATTCAGTCGATTTCTGAAGGGGTGTTGATGTTGTACCACCTTCTTGTACTGTAAGGCGGTTCGGTGTTTTTGTTTACTGTGTTCTTCGTCCTTGTTGCTGATGCTGGACGAGCTACTTGCTGTTATCTGCTGGAACTAGTAGACGTTGTATTGCAATTTTCAAGAAGAGACACGTATATCTAAAAGTTTTCTTCTGTTTCTCGCTAGGTAGTGTGGAAAATTTTGAATGTCAAGGAAAACGTTGCAGATGCAAACAGCCTTGTCAAATTCATCGATCTAAAAATAAAACGAAATCTTAGCACCATTAGCGAGCTCGTGCAAACAGAAGAAAAGTTGTAGAATCCTATAGATATAGATAGAAAATGGTGCGGATGGTGGAAAAAAGCGTTGATGTCAGTCAGTCGTACAACTTGCGGGAAAAATAAAAGAATGCCGTGCCCATCAAGAAAAAAATGTCGGTTTGCAGAACGAGCCGAAATACAACATCGTGCAAAAGGAGTCCGCGCTGCTTTCACAGCTCGCAAAACTGCACCCGAACAACTCGTATCAAATGTAAAAGTGTCTGGGTCTGGAAGAGTCATGCTGTTTTTGCATGACACATAAGGCCTGGCATGGAAGCTCTAGCATCACAGGTCTCGAGAAGCTTCCGCAATGCCGAATCCGCATTACAAATCCCCCATTTTGGTGACAGAAAGTGGGCAGCTTTTGCTACCTATGCATGAGAGATTTTTCTGTGTTCTGAAATGCGCATCACAAGTTTGTATTCTTCCAGACCCAGACATTTTTGCATTTGATAACTCGCGTACGCCGAATGGAAAAATCCACAACGTTTTCATCTGCGCGCACTGTCTTCCGCTATATCAAAAAGAAAAATCCCCCCTCCCCATATCGAAAACGTATCCGTCTGAAAATTTGTGATGCGCATTTGTGACCTCAAATCCTGCCTGTCTTGCAAGAGGGCAAGTCCAGAAAGCGTTCCGCATTTTTCAGGCGGTTTGTGATGCTGTTTGGCTCAGAGCATACACGTTTGTCATGCTAGGCGCCTACGTCAAACCTCTCGGCTGAGGCTTGCCACATGCGTGCACTCCTCTACTGCAAGACAAATCTGATTTGTGTATGGAAATCCAGCATCAGAAACTTCGTTTCGATATGGGGAGGGGGCATTTTTCCTCATGATACGCTATGCGTCCACTACGAGGCGGATACTTATCCGGGAAAAAGAAAAGAATGCCGTGCCCATCAAGAAAAAAATGTCGGTTTGTAGTTTCCTTGAATGTGCCTGTGGGACAGAGGGAAAGAAGGTGAAAATGACATAGTAATCCAAGAGCACTTGTCTCCTGCCTGCTTTGGATCATTTCCGAAGAAAAACGACCCGTTTTATTTTTGTTTGCACAAGAGCGTCATCAACTTCATTTGGTTGGACCAAAAAATAAAGAGACGTCCGGGAAGGGCCGGATTTTGAGATCTTCTCCAACAAGGATCGCATTTCTTCCTTGGAGCAGATCATCGTATGCAGAGACGATTGTATGGACCGGAGGATTCTGTGTGCGTAATCATTTTGTGCATGAGGATCAGATCCCGTTTTTTCGTTGCTGTAGAACAGCTGTCACAGCACCAATGCGACAAAACACTCTTCCCTTTCTCTGTCTGTCTCGGATTGCTTTCTTGACTTTCGTGGTCGAGTTTTGCTTTTGTGAGCACCAGGTCGAAGCAACCTTTCAGCTGCATCGCGCGAGTGCTACTCAAACAATCTTAATCTTTCGGAAGTGCGGTTTTTTGTTCTCATTGTCTTTAAGGGTTGGTACCGTCATGTTGTAGTGGGTTGTAGGTACTCATGGAAGGTCTTGATCAGGTTGAGAATTCAGACTCAAAGTGGTCTCTGACTTTTCTACGCAAAAACCACTCCAAGCTCCTTACACCACTTCTTCATCATTTCCTCTGAAGCCATCCGCCCACCGCACACCTCGACTACTACATCCCCGCCTTCTTGCAAGATGTCACTGAACGCCGTGATGTCGTGTATTTTCAATTTGCACTCGTCTGTGCTGTCAGTACTACTGGAACAGCGGATGATGTCTAAAGTCGTTCTTTCACGTCCTTCCTCATCTGTCTTCTTCAAACCAGCCAAGTCCTCCTCTTCCGTGTCGATCAGCGCTAACGCCGCTCCGCAGGCAGGCTCGACTAGTGGAATCGGACAAAGTTTCTTGCTTCTTGTTTCTCCACCTTCTTCTTCCATCACAACCTGTGGCACTCTTTTCCGAAACAGCATCGCCGCCTTGACTGCCGCGTGATCGGTGACACGAAAAGAGTACACGTTGGACGAGTGATCTTTATCACCAGCCACTTTCCGGTAGAGTTTTTCGCAATTCAAACTACCTAAAGACTTCGCAACCGAGGTGATTGCCTTGAGCGTCACCGGTTTTTTCTCCAAACAGGACTGATAAAAGCAGTCCGCGCCGACCGTCTCGCCGATGAAAAGCTTTACACCTTTTTGTTTCTTGTGTTTCTCCAACCCGTGCAAAATCCCGGTCGCTAAGCCGCCCCCTCCGCACGCCGTGATGATCGCTTTCAAATTTTCTCCTTTTCCCGGGAGTTGCTCCAAGATTTCGTCGACTACGGAACTGTGGCCCTCGTACAGGTTGTCGCCCTCAAAGGGGTGGATGTACTTGAGCTTTTGCATATTTACTTGCTGGACGCGAATCGTGGTGCCACCAGCCCGCGTTTCATGCGCAGAAGATTCCGTTTTGACGTTTTCAGATTCCCTTACTAACCGTAACGCCTCCTCATTCGCCTCGTTCCAGACGTTGCCGAATATTCTGATTTCCACGTCCGGATTATGCATTGCAAAAGTATCGCACTACGTGCAAATAGCATGACAAATTGCCTAAAAATGAAAAATGCAATTTGTCATTCGGATTTAACTTCAGAATGTGATTTTTATTGCATGTTGCCTACGATGACTACGAGTACGATGGTTTTGCGCCGCATACGGGTTCACCTCGAGCAGTTTCGGCCTCGCGATGTCGATCGGCGTGGTCTTCGGTAGAATGATCGTGCAGCCCAAATTGTACTGGTAACACGCGTAGGCGCAGGCGAGCCCCGCGTTGCCGCCGGACGAACAGACGCAACCGGTGCAACTTTCCTCATACTTCGCCTTCTGCACGGTCAGCCCGATCCCGCGGATCTTGAAAGACCCGGAAGGCTGTAGTGCGTCGAGCTTGTAGTAGATTTGCAAAAATGCGGGTGGTGGGCTGGTGGCTTCGTTGTGGCGGCTGGAGGTGTCGTCGTGTCTCTTCAGAAAAATCTTGTGACCCAGCACAAGCGGGGTTTTCTTGTGGCAGCTGGACGACGGAAGTAGAGTTGCATCATGAGGACGCGTTCCCTTGATGTCCTCGCTGGTAGAAGAGGTAACCTTCTTCTTCTTTGTCAGTTCCTCGGTTGAAGCATCGATAGCCACCTGAGAGTCCACTAGTTCTGTAGCTTTTGCTTTGCCTTTGCTCGGACTCCGGCTGCGCTTCAGGGAAGGGCTTTGCCCAACGACATCGGTGCTGGAAGCGGCGCCGTGGGAAACAGGCAAGGATGGAGAGGTCGGAGGAGACATTCTGTCGGGTTCTTAAGCGCAAATGAGAATGATCTTCCAGAGGTTTTTTCTCCGCTACGTAGAACGAAGCCACAAGCAAGGCTAATAAAGAAGCAAGGTCCGCCCGGACGGAATCTAACAGATAGAGTAAATCACTCAAAAACTGCGCGTTGGCGTTGGGTTTGGCTTGGTAAAATGTTGCGGGTAGATGATGTAGAAGACACGAAGGTCAATACTATTGGGCGTCATCCATTTGATCCCGGTACTCATGCAGTTCTCTGGGAGGGCAGATGGGCTTAACAAATGCAGACTATTCAACTAGGACATCACTTCATCTTCAACGAGAGACAGCGAGTATCTATGTTTTGTTGTAGTCTTCGCCCAAAAATAAAATTGCAGATCGAGATGGCAAACCACGTCGCAAATGGAAGCGACGCGGTAGAGATCTTCATCTCCAGCTTGAGAGCGCTGTCCCCGTGACAAAGAAAATTCTCCATACACTAAAAGAGACATCGACACAGCAGCAAAAAGATGCTACCCAGTGTCGCTTGCTTGGTGACGAAACGCAAACAACACATCGAGACGGAGCCACAACGGCAGCCCCCGACGCTGGCTGTCTCTTCTCATTTGGTGGTGCAACACGACGCAAATTCATGAGCCTGACGCGCGAAAACCATACGCGGCCACGATCGCTACAGGGCTTTGAGGGAGGCCGACGGACCGAGGCAACCCTTACGAGCGGCCGCCAGGATGGAGCGAGCCCGGCGCCGCGCGGCAAAGCAAGCTGCTCGGCAGGCAGGGCAGCTGCCCACCGGGGGGGGCGTCCGTGCGTTCGCAGGCACACTCGCACACAGAAAAAAACCCACGGCGCGCCACGCACGGGAAAAAAACACCGGGGGGCGCGACCCCCACGCACCCGGGGGGGGGCTGGTACGCGGGCAGAAGGCAAACAAAGCGCCACCACCTACCACGCGCCAGCCCGGTGGCCGGTCGTCGGGGCCGGCACGGATACGCGGCCCCGGGCATTCGCTTTGCTTTCATACGTTCGCCAACGGGCGCACGGGCCACGCCATTTGCGTCGCCATCATAGTCCGCCTGTTGACACACCTTCATGACCAGGCAACCACCGCGCGCCGCGCCACCCACCACCGGTCGAAGTTAGTGGTCGAAGTTGGCAGGCGCCGTGCCCTACTGGCCAGCCCCCTGCCCGCTTCGTTCCCCTCGCACGCGCCGGCCCCGAGCGCCGGGGGCGGGGGGGGCAGTGCGAGGCGGCGCAGCCCGCCCGGCGCAACTGATGGCGGGCGGGGTGTAAGTATCACACCCGCGAGGCAGGGCCCCGGCCCAATGAAAGAGCGAAGCGGGCGCGGCAAGAGGTGCGGGCCTTTGGCTTCTCCGGGCGTGTGTGCCAAAGGATGCGCTGCCCCGCCTACCTTGCGCGCTCGCGCGCGGTCTGCAGCTGTTCGAAGAACAGCGCCGGGCACTCCCCCGACGGGCCTGGTCACTAGCAGCCTGCGCGGGCCTTCGACAACAGCAGCGGGTGGCCCCTAATGGGTGCACGTGATCCCCCGCCCACGCAGGAGAACAGGCCGAGGAGGGTCCGGCGCCCGAAGTGCAAGCGACGCGGCAGGCGCTCGGCATCACCGAAGGGCTTGCCTTCTAAGTTGAGAGGGCGCAATTGAGTGGGTCGCGTGTTCCGGTTTTCCGAGCGTACTCGAAGAGGGGCCCGCTCTTGTCTTCGAAGACAAGCGCCGCCGGAATCTGCCGCGCTCCCATGCAACGGCGTCGCCGGCACCGGCAGGGCGCCGCTCCAAATTCCGACGAAACCGCCCACCGCACTCCTGCTGACCTGGGTGATAGAGAAACATGGTTGGGCGGCGCGATGAAATAAGCACACAGCCACGCCGCAGGACGACACCGCACCACAACAGGAGTATAGGACCACTGAACAGAGAATACCGTCCCCCACAGCAAGAACATCGGAGCCTTGCAGCAACATCCAGCCGTCGCTGTGGACAAACTTGGGCTTGGCAACTTCCTTTCACCGAATAGATCTTCATCTAAACCACTGCATTTTGCTTCTTTCCATATCCATTCCACACTGCTTCATCTCTTCCTTAGTCACATACCAATAGTAGCCGCCTCAGCGGGGGTAGTGAGGTCATGGCGGTTTTTTTGTCTTCACGCTAAAAACAGAAGCGACTTCTCTGCCCACCGTGCCATCGTGAGTAATGTTATGCACGACGGCACGGCGGTCGCTAGAGATGTCGATGCAGAACTGGCCTCCATTTGGTTTCGAATCGAAAAACCTTCCCCGCATGCTATGGCCCCGCCAGGCCCCACCCCCGGGTCGGCCCCATGGGCCCCCAAATCGAGCCCATAGCATGCGGGTTCGCTTTTTGCTTTTGGCTGACTTTGTTTTTTTTTGTTTTTTTTGTTAAAATGCCGCATCTCCTGGCCTTCGGTCCGCCTCTGAAATGGCGTATTTTGGTGGCGTCTTTTGGGCGGCCCGGATGTGGGCTAAAATGGGGCCCATACCATGCGGCTTCGCTGTTTTTTTCGGACTGCTGCTTTTTGAGCGCCCCTTTTTGGGCGGCCCAAACCGCCAGAAACTAAGGCGGTGGGCGCCTCAGACGGGCGCCCCTTTTGCCGGCTCCCCTGCGTCGTTTTACTAAGCGGGAATCGATAGAATCCGCTCGGGCTTGTTTGACGGCAAAGCCCCGGCCGCTTGATAATTGAAAATTTTTTATGCCCAAAATCACTTCCGGCCACTTGAAAACTGCCGGCCGTTTTGCGCACTGCCTGTCAAAAAAACCGCTAGATTAGAACGTTCGTGACCTCACTACATACAATGATGAACATCAAAATTTCACAGACCTCCATCCCACCTAAAACTGCAACTCCAACGCTTGCACCTCCGCCGTTTTAGTGATCAGCCTTTTCACGGTACTGTTGAAGTACTCCACGTCTGGACTATCGTGCTTCGTTGGCGCCCCGTCGAGGTTAAACATGTAGTAGAAAAATCCGTCCAAATCGTGCACGCCCGGCAACGCCTTGATCACATCCTTCCCACTAGCTTTGTTGAAGAAGTTGACGAACAAGATTAATTGCTGCGGTTGTTCATCTTGTTCCTGATCGTAGTCTGCGGAGTTGGTTGTAGAAGCGTCAACATTTTTGCCAGACCCCGAAGCGGTGGACTTCAAAATCGGATTCAATTGTCCCCGGTTTGCGAGTTTCTTCGCCTTTGCAAGCTTCTTCGCTTTCTCCTCTTCTTCTTTCTCGGTGGTGCTGTTTGTGTTTGTCGTGTTGGTCGAAGACGCTGATGCATTCGTGTCGTTGATGACGTACGTTTCGGACGTTGTATTGTTCGTTGCAGCGACTACATGGGGACTGGACGAGTTGAGCGAGCGCGAAGCTGTTGTATCTTCAGAAAAATTTGTTATCCCGTTTTCAACAGCATCTAACCCTTCCCCCATCTCAAACTCTTCATCCGGCCTCAACGGTCTCTCCGGCGCCACCCACTCCTCGTGATTCAAAAACAAAGCGGTGTCATTGATCGCTTCGAGTTGCGCCATTCTGTTGGTTTCAATAGAGTTGCCAACATTATTTTCATTCGTAGAACTACTGCTCTGCGTCTGCCCCCCACCTGCTCCGCCATTTGTCACTATCCCGACATCCTGCACGAAGAATTGCACGTCGATGAAGGGAGAGAGTTCGAAAATTTTCTTCTTCGCCTTGATGATCGGGCGTTTCCAGGCAGTCACGAACCGGTCCAGAGCGACTTTGACCGCGTGTTGGAAGATGAAGGCGTCCTTGTTCTGTCTTTTCAATTTCTGTATCAAAAGTAAAAATGTCTGGGTCTGGAAGAATGCAACTTGTCATGCTGTTTTTGGATTCTAAAAAAATTAGTGTTGCATGACCAGCAAGAAAGGTCCAGTCTGTGCTACGCGGAGAGGGCATTTCTCATGCGGAAGGCGCATCAGGAAGCCCTCTAAAAGTCTGTGATGCTAGGTCATGCATTACAGGCATCAGGGTTCATGAGAAATATGCATGACAAGTCTGCATTCACTTCCAGACCCAGACATTTTTACAATCCATATTCTGCTTCAAGTCGTGGGGGTGGATGAAACCCGGATGGGTCAATGGGTCGTATCCATACGTGCCGTAAAAATCCCCGCCGCCCCCACCATTTCGCTCAAATAGATACGCGAACCGGAAAAGGAGGAGTTCTAGATAGTCGAAGTTTTCCCCGTCCAGGATGATTTGGAACAGGTCCTCCACAGATTTCGCGTTCAAAACGTCCTGGACCATACTGTACGGGTTGTTCAAATATCCTCTGCAAAAGTATCGCACTATCCTAGTGATCGCAGTCACGCATTCCTTTCTCATGGTAAACCCGCATGACAAACTTCATTTCTCATGCTGAGGGAATTATTTGTTATGCGATTTCTACTAGTACGATACTTTTCCTTTTGCGATGCATATGAAAACCTGCACAAACTTCTTCAGGTCCTGCCTTAACCCGAACTTCTTCCGCTGAAAAACCAGGTCCTTTGTGAGAGACTCGCAGCCAAATTTGTTGCTGCACCAGTCGATCAGGTTGTACAGTGTCTGGATCCCGCGTCGGTATTTGAAGAAGGAAACGCTGGATTTGGTTTGGTGGATAGCATATTGATGAAAAGACGAACGCTGGCCACCTCGTCTTGAAGAAGACGAACTACTTGAGGAACTCGCTATACCATCATGCGTATGCTCGATCTCGCTCCGGTCTTTCGACACCGTCGGCTGTTTCCTCTGCGATTTGAAAATTTTCAGTTCCCGGAAAAACTCCTTGTCTTGCTTCGTTGTAGCCAGAGCTGTTTTGCCAGGCATTGTCGAGAGAAGTCTCTCATGCTCCGCGTCTACGTCGTCTTTATCCGTGTCTTTTTCATCCATGAGCTGCTCCTCGGTTTTGGTGATGTCCAGCTCTATCGCCATGGCGTCGTGCTCAGGCTCTCCACTTGTTGTACCGTCACCACTGTTTGATGGTGAAAACTCCACGAGAATTTCCTCGGTCAACCACCGATCAAGTATGGTTGTGTTCGTCGTTCTTGGGGGGATATGAACCTCGGAAATCGTCGGCTGGAGGTGGTGATGTTGGAGATGTGCGACTCCTGTAGTTCCTGTACCCACCTTTATTGCAGCAGCAGGAGTTGTGGATGACGAAGGCTCTGTGTTGCTTTTGATTTTGTCTTGCTGCGATTTCAAGTCAGTTGTTGATGTGTCATCTGCAGTTGATCTGGAAAAAGTTTGACCTTGTTCCTTGATGTCCTCTGCAGCATCATCCTCAAAGTGCCACTCATGCACCCTCCAACCGAACAGGTCCCGGAAAAACAACACCACCGCAGTGGTAGAGGAGGGCGCGAGGTTGAAAATTTTCCGGAGCGAGGTGATCAAAACTTTTTCAAAGCCGTGCTGCAACCACGACGGATTACGTCTGGCTTTGTGTCTCGATGATCTCGTGGTCCTGTCAGAGGTGGTTGTTGTTCCGCGACTTTTATATGGCGCTGCATCAAAGTACACCGTGCTCTGCAAACCCTGCAGCCCGGCGCGCGCTCCACCGGCACCTGGCACGGTGCTTTTTCTTTCAGAACTACTGTCTGTGGTAGGCAATGTACTTCTCAGAGGGGGCGTCGATGGGGCAGCTTCGGCATGCGCCGCCTGTTCATCATCATCTCCCCTGGTGCTGGTGTAATAGTTTTCTGCACGATTTTGATTTTCAACTCTCGCCCGACCAACACACGAAGCCTTCACCCCTCGGCTCCTACTGCCAACCTCCGGAAGATCTACTGAGTTCCCCACCGAATTCGAGATCTTCACGTCCACACACAGCCCGAAATCCTTCACTTCTCGGAGATTCAGAAGTGGTGAAATGCTGCCCATCCCCTGATTCAAATGGGTCAATTCGGGGTGATTGTGCCGGATATTGGGGTTGGAAGATGACGCTCCGGAGGAGGGGGAAAAACGGAGAATCCAGTTAATGATGCCGCTCGCGCCGCCGTCGTCTGTAGGACCTTCGTTCTGTTCTTGCGCGGTCGGGTTTATTTGTTCTTGCTGCTCAAGAACTTTTTCAACTTCAACCGACGCTGTGGTCCCATCTGCAGCTGCGGTTTGATGTAGATGTTCCTTGTTGTGCAACTGGTGATTCTCTTGGAGTTTGACAGCAGAAAATGCTGATGCGGCTCCAGGCGACTCACTTTTTATCCCTCTCCTGCTCCGTCTCTTTTCGAAGTACCGCTGCCCCCGGAGCTGCGCAGAAGGATCGCATCTTCGACCAATACTAGCAGCCCCTTGATGGAGACCCGCCAGACTTGTAGTTTTAATATTCCGACTAGTACTACTAGTACAGTGCCCCCTTAAGTTTTCGTAATTTTCGTCTAGAAATTTCTGATCTTCCTCATAGTAGGAGATCCCAACTTCCGCCACCGCCAACCCGTTGGTCGCAGCGCCATCCGACATGATAGTGAGAGATTTTATCAAGCTGAACGACCCCGGGCTGGAAAATGTGACCACAGTTTCTGATGCAGAATTCCGATTTGTTGTAGTTGAAAAGTCCACACTCCTATGAGCCATCCACTTTGCCCGGCCCGTTGCGTCGCGGCCGCGGAGAAGAATTGGAAATCGGATGTTAGAGGTGGTGCAGACTGGGAGAAGGGAGTTCTGGTTACTACTTCCATGGTTGTCCAGCATGACAAGTTTCAGGTAATCTAAGGAAAACTCCACGGGGAAGGTTAATGTTGCGACGGACCGGACGATTTGCAAGAAGCCGGTGCCGGTTAGTTGAAAACCCGTTTTCCGCAAGGCGGCGGTGATCGGGTGGAGTGGTGGGGGTTTTGGTATTGATGCTTGTAGTCCGGCTTGTTTCCCTTTTGCAGGTACGAGTTTCGCACTCTGCTTTGCCTTCGTCTGTGTTGCAGCGGAAGTGCCTGTGCCGTTACTGGCCACGATGAACTTGTCCAAATCAAACGGCAACTTTTCAAGCTGAAAGAAATCCCTGAACACCTGCTGTGTCCCTTTGGGTAACGGTGACTGTCGATACCAAAAGTTGTCCCTGGCGCTGCGGGCGAACTGCTCCAAATTGCTGTAGCTGGTGGTGGTTTTCGTTTTTGTATTGGAAGTGCTGTCAGGCTCGTGCGCAAGTGAAGTAGATGTTCTTGAGGGGGCGGACGAGGAAGAAGATTTGGTCGAGGATGTTGATGACCCAGTACTACCACCACGAGGACCATCTCGTAGCCTAGACAGACTGTCCTTATCCAGCTCCTTCCCTCGGTGAAGTTGAAGGTTTGAAGAGGAAGCAGCTGCACCAACACTTTCAGCAGTAACTACAGACTCGGTTCCATTCCGAAGTCTCTGAAAATCCTTCCAATCCTTTCCCACATCGAAAAAGTGACCTCCGGCTTCCGCCTGGACCAAAAATCCGAAACTGTACTCCCGTTGGTCACAGAGAATGTTGGAATAGAAGTCGTCGTTTCTTCTATTTCTGATGGGAGGTGATTCGTCATGCTGCTTTGGAAAAGAAGATGACCCAGATCTCTGAAACCCGTGTCGGGAATCATGTGAGGGCGTCCTTGGTGTCCTTTCGTGATTGAGATTCTGGCTTGATGACAAGCTACCTGCGTGCCGACTTCTTTTCCTCGCATCCGCCGACAAACACTGTTTGGTTTGCGAAAAATCCACAAACACATGCTCCGCAAATTCTCGCGCGCCGTGCTGGGCCGTGTGGGAGAAGGTCAGGGCGGCTTCAGCACCCGTGATTTTCGATGATGAAGTCGTATCGCCTTCGAAATTTTCCACGAGGTTTTGAAGAATGCAGACGGTGCCGGCTAGCAGCAAATTTGCCGCGGTTCGCCTCCGTCTTCGCCGTTTTCGGGGGCGGCCCATCGAGTTTGCTATACCGCAGCTGACAAGGGGACGCTGTTTAGCAAGTAGCCTATCATGGAACCACACCGGCTCCGGCACGGGTGGGAAACCAACATGCAAAGAAATTGATATGCAAATTTCCGCAAATGGCAGCGAACTAGCTACACAACTTGGTGCGTCGACGCAATACGGTCTGGATCGAAGAATTGAAACAATAGTACTCATATGGAACACGAGGTAGCAAGATCTCTTGAAATAAACATGAACAACAGAAGAACCACATAGCACAACACAGATCAGGAGAAGTCGGGGGAAATGATCTCAATGCGCGCGCCGCAGTGCCGGCAATAATCCTCTCGATCGTCATCATCTTACGCAAACCGCGATCGCGTCTGCAATGAATGGCAGATGAACTTATCAAAACGAGAAGAGGAACAAAGAGTCCAATGACAGACTCGCACTCGACCCCCCCCTCGAAGGAAATATAAGGCAACACAAGCAAGAAGTGGCCACGGTCCACGCTCGTCGACCAATAGAGTTCGTTGTATGTTGGCGAATGAACTGAAAAAAGGCAACGCGCCGAACAACCTAAGATGTGTTGCGTTTTCTTCTAAACCAACTCCCGCTCTGCGGGCGCGCAAACACGCACGAAAACCGAACACGAGTGACGAGTCTGTCGCACGCCTAGCTACCAAAGCAGACCCGACCCGAGACATAGAAAAACCCCAAACACCAAGGCGGGCGGGGCACTGCAACTTGATCATACTATACTTACATCTGCACTGGAATGACAATGAACCCAGAACCAAAAGCAAAAGAGCTGGGTGATTTGTCACAACGCGCCGTCTTTCCAAAGGTTTCACTTTGCCCGGCAGCTTGCCCAGGACAGGCGCGCGGGGGCGGGGGGGCGCGCCTGGGTGGCGGCCGCTGCTGCCTGCCAGTTCTTTCACAAAGCGGCGCCGGCCGGCGCGCTCGCACCACAAGGCGAAGGCGCCCCCGCCCCCCGTGCCCCCCGCCCCCGCGCACCACAAGGTTCGCCGTCGTCTTCGCCGTTTTCGGGGGCGGCCCATCGAGCTTACGGCTCCCTACGGTGACAATCACAGACACAGAGACATCACCTGGTTAAGTGACACAGTTGGAAAACCCGAAAACCCGGAACCGTGGCAACGAAATCGAAATGCAATCGGCTTTCTTCTGAAAAAAAATAGTAGGCAGCTCCACGGCTCGCTCTGCCAAGGCAATACGGCCTGGGTGAAAGAAAGAATCGAAACAACAAGAAAGGAAATAGCGCGATCTGTTGAAATGAAGCGCAACGCAACATCAGAAAGGCTTTTGAAAATGATCTCAGTTTCCGCGCTGCAATGCGGTATGATCTTATTCTTGCGCCGACAATCGCAGTCGGTTCTGGGAGCGGCAAAACAAAAATCAGAAGAGCGAAATTGCCCCAGACAGGCCTGAGCGGCGGCCCCAATCAACACGATTATCAATAGAATGAGCAACTGAACTTAAGACACCACGCCAAGCAACGAACCTTACCTAAACGACTTGGCGGCTGTCCCAATTGACATGAACACGAGCAAAATGCGAGTCACACACCTGCCATAAAAGGGCCTGCGCGAAACGTGGAGACGTCCCAAGGGTGCGGGCACTGCCACGTCGTCTGCGTTCTCCAAATTCGCAGCCAGGCTGCAGCGCGCCCTTCGGACGACCTGTTGCAATTTAGCAAACAATTTGAATTTCTGGCCCGAGCGCCACACTCTGCAATGTGCCCGCTGGCCCGAGGATGGAGCTGCGCCGGCCTCTATGGCCTGTTCATTCTTGAAATTCACGGGGCGACACAGGGGACACACTCTCCCTGACCATCGGAGCGCGCCCGAGGGCACGCGGGAAAGCGCCTGCCTCCCAAGATGTCAACGCGCGGCGCCACAGACAGTCAGGGCGACGGACGGAAACCCGGCGGGCTAGGCGCCACAGCCCCGAAGGAAAATAAGGGGGGCTGGTAGGGAAATTAACGGGCGCCCGGTGGGTGCGGCCGCGCGCCGGCCTTGTGACGCCATGCCGCCCCGCCACGAGCGAGGGCGGGGTGGGTCCGCCCCCCGGCCCGGCGTGGGGCGATGGGTCGGAGCGGGGGATGGATGGTCGGAAGGCCGAGGCGCGGCCCCAAAGACCCCCCGCCGGGCCGCTCCGCTTTCATTCCGGGGGGCCTCACCGAACCCCGCCGGCCTTGCTACTGCCGGACAGCTTGCGCACCGCCCCCCCTTGCGGGCTTCTCGATCATGATGCCGCTGGCCCGCGGCCTGGCCCCGCCCCTGCGATGTTTTTGATTCTTGCCAAAATCGCACGCGCGGTCGCGTTGCCTGTTGCGGCCAAAGCCAGGCGCCGCCCCCCTCACTTCCTCGCGGCGGTCGCGCGGCCGGAAGGGCCACGGGATGGGCGGGGGGGGCATGGCCAGGCGCGCGGGCGCACGGACGCAGGCAGCCCATAAGCAGGCGGCCCAGCGAGTCAAGTAGCCAGGTGGATAAGTCAAAGGATCGCCGGCCCACCTTGCAAAGCCGACTGTCCTCCATACGCCACATGTAACCATCGAACTTTTCCTCCATGCGCCACATGCAACCCGGCCGGCACCAAAACCCGGGCCCTAACCTCCTCACGGTGTCCCGGGGTGCCGGGCCGCGGCTTTTAATGCCCCACCCCGCGCGCCCGGGCCCGCCGCGCGGCGAAGTTAGACACAACGCCGCTGCGCCGCCGGCGTTCCATGGTTCCGTCGCTGCCTGGGGCCTGGGCGTTCTGGGGCGCGCGGCGCCTCTGTCTGGCCACGCACTCGATGCGGCAGAGGCCACAAAAGGAAAGGCGCCACGCGCAGGGGGGTCCCTCCTGCGCAGCGTAGAGGCGGGCGCCCCTGGCGCCAAGCCCCCGCGCCTTCATCTGCTTCACCCTAGCCCGGGCCCATTTTGTCGCCCGGGCTGTCCTGGGCTGGCAACTCACACACGGAAGCCGGGGCCGTCTGCATGCCGGACAGAAGCCGCGTCCCGGTTGCACTTACCAAGTAGCAGCGCCTTCGAGAAAAAAGCCTCTGACCTAAAGCAGACAGATGCGAACCGGATGAACACACTTCTCTGATGAAGGAACATTTCCCAGATGCTCAGAGGCCAAATGCATTTGCCTTCCGCGGTTGAACGCTGTCGCTTTCGTCGTTTCAGCTACTGATCTCGATTGTACAAGAACTCGCACCTATCTGCATTTGAAAACTGCCAATCTTGCATTTGATCCATTCTACTAATATTCAACTCTTATTTATTCCTGTTGTTGCTGTGAGTGACCAACATCATACTGACTGTTGCTTTCGAAAAAAGTTCATTGTGGTTTCATTCAAGAAAGCGCTGATGTGGTCAAGCTTAAAAGTTTATTTAGGACGACAAGACTGTAACTGATTAAAAATTCCTGTAGTTCTCACTCTTGCAGTGACGATTTTGAAATTCTACATAAGTACTTCAACTTACGACAACTTCGACCGCCGTCAAGTTCCCCGCACCACGGGGGTGCAGTTGGAGCTGGTCGCCGCTTCCGAGGACGAGTACCGCAGCGAGTCCTCGGGCATTTTCTCCCCGTCTATTTCCTTCTGGGCCATCCAGACCGCCGTCTGCCACTCCACCGACTCGCCGATATTGACCTTAGATAGGAGTTTGATTTGAGGTTGATATGATAGCACAATTTCTTCAAGAAGATGTCCACGCATGTCAAAAAGCCTGTGCGACATCAAACGAAAGAAAGACAAGTTTAGAAAGTTGCAATGAAGAACTTCATGAAGACCATCTAATACCACTTTCGCTCCGAAATCACGCGACGCGGGCGGCACGATGAAAGCAGGACCGTTTCCGCTTGCGCCCCCCGTCCCTCCACCGCCAACGACATTCGCTATCTCTTGGCTGAGCGAATTCGCGTTGGAGCTATTTGTATTGCTGTTTTGGTGCCCCAGCTGCCGTTCCTGCTCTACGCCACCGGCCAAGGCTCCAAGTGTCGCGTTGTGACTACGAATTCTCGCTCTTGGATTTACACCGTGCTGTCGGGGGAAATTTGGCGGCTGCGGTTTGATCACTCGGTGTTGGTGTGACGATGCGACAATCTGCTCCCCAGTCTTGCGACAGGTGGTGCGGTGGTGCTGGTGTTGTGAGGACTTGTGATTGTTGTTGTTCGAGGCTGCACTCGCTGCAGTTCCCACACTATCGGCGTTGAAAGTCAATTTCTGATTCGCGATTTTCATGATCTGCTTGTGGTTCGTCGTGGTACGGGCGCTGGAGTAGTTGTGCTGGGAATTATGGCTCTTTGCTGCAGCAGCTTTGTCACGCGACAAGCCGTTGTCTTTGTCCCGCTCTCCCCGAGCAGTCAGCATCTGCCCCGCTTGTTTTGCTGTGGACGAGGTGGAGTTGTTGCTCATACCATTCTCGCGACTGCTCCAGCCGTTCGCCTCCTTGATGTGGTTCCCCGAGCAGTTTACGGACCTAGGATTGCCTCCTCCACCGCTATTTGGGCCTGTGCTTGTCCCTCCATTTGTCGTCCCGTTGTTGTAAATCTCATTCGTACCGGCCAAATTTTGCTGGAACTTGGGGAAATTTACCGCGGCCCGATTAGGATTTCGTGCCGTCCGCGTGGCGCTGCCCGATGGCCGGGTGGAAATCGCGAAACTGTGGTTGGACTGGTGAAAGTTTTCCCCGCTGGCGGCCTTTTGACGAGCAGAGGGAATAGCACCAGTCATCGAGTTCTTGCTGGATGGTGCAGCAGAAGTCGTGAAAGCGATGGTAGACGCCACGACAGGTGCTGGGCGACGCTCTTCCTGCTCGCGGTCTGCACTATGTTCGTGTATTCCACCACCAGTCGCGGCAGAAGAAGTTGCAGCACTTTCATCCTTCAGCAAACTCGCCGCAGCCGTGGCGAGAAAAGAGTCGTTTCTGGCTGCCGGCGCGGTTTTTGTGAACTTCTGTGAGGAAAACAAGTTCTGCTTGTTGAAAATCGCAGGCATCTTGTCCACCACGCCGGGTTCGTCACGGTGATTTGCGGCTGCATCAACGCAACTTTCTCCGTCAACAGTAGCCACAAGTTCTTGCGCCCGATCTTGAACCAAGTCGGAGGTCAGGAGAGGAAGAGTCGCTCTTATTCCTCCTGGAAGATCACCCTGAAGATGAACATGTGCCTGCCTCTCGTTTTGCACCACAGCGCTCGTGGTCGTCCCGCTCGTTTTGCAATCCACCACATTCACACCACTGCCGTGTTCGATCTCAGGCAACAAGATACCGGAACACACTGGCTCTGCGCCAGTGGGTATCAAATGTAAAAATGTCTGGGTCTGGAAGATTTCGAGATTTGTCATGCCTATTTGCCATGATCGATGATGTCTGTGATGCATGCCGTAGCATCACAGATTTTTGGAGCGCTTTGTGATACCTCTACCGCATGAGAAATGCCTTCTCCGCGTAGCACAAACTGGAGTCCTCTTGCTGTTCATGCAATACAAATTTTTTCAGAATCCACAGACAGCATCACAAGTTTACAATGTTCCAGACCCAGACATTTTTGCATTTGATAGCGGGCTGGCTGTGATCTTCCGCTTGTGAGTATGTTGTTGCGTCTTTTCCTCTATCACCTTGATTTATTTCCGAATCTGTTTTAGTATTCCCTCCTGGCGGTTGTCCAACAGCAACTCCGTTGCTGGCATTCGAAAACGATTTGTTCAGATTCAGCTTCTATCAAGTGTAAAAATGTCTGGGTCTGGAAACTTGTGATGCCGGGCGGCGTCTCATGATGAGGCTACAAATGCTGGCTCAGCATGACAAGTTTCTGAGCTCCTAGGTGTTGCCTATTCTGCATGACAAACTGCGCTTCTGCATCACAGAAAAGCGCAGCTCTTGGGGAACGTGCATGACAGATTTAAGAGCCATGCCAGACAAGCATGACAAACATGAATTCTTCCAGACCCAGACATTTTTACAGTTGATAGCTTCGTGTTGGAGCTCGCACGCAAACTCGAGCTGCAACGGTTGAGGAAGCTGCTGAACATCCCTGCTATGCGGTTGCTGCTGCGATTCAAAGTCGGCATTGGCGGTTGTTGCTGCTCGGAGGAACTGCCTTCTGCCGATTCTACTTCTTCTTCGCAGCTGCTGTTATCGGCTCGTTCACAGGCGGCCTGCTTGTTCCCGTTCTCTACCATGAAGTCAGGCGGCGATTCCGGGCTGCTGACAGTCTGGGCATTCATCTCAGGAAAATCCTGCTGACAGTGCCCCTTGCAGCTCAAATCCGTGTTTTTTTCGTCACAGCTGCTCGACCCGCTTTCTTCGCCTAGTTGGGTCGAACTGGAGCTAGCACCGCTCATGAACCGCAGGAAAGAAAAAGACGAGCTCATCTTGTGCCGCGGAATCGTCGGGCTCGGGGATCCGGACGTTTGCGGCCGAACTAAAGTGGTGCCCAGAATGTTCTTTAACGGCGTGGGAGTGGTGGTTCCACGGCTGTTGGGCCGGAGAAGCTGGAGGTCTGGTGGTTGGAAGTTGTTGTGTGGGCGGTTGTTAAGGTCGACGTAGGGAGCAGTAGTAGTCGTGTGTTCTTCTTGTTGATGTTCCGCAGCTGCACTACTTCCGATTTGGTTCAGGAAAAGGGCGGAGTTCATATCTCCTGGAGACGAAATGTTGCCAACAGTGGCATGATCTCTATTCCCAACGCTGTTCACCGCCGCAGCCGCTGCGTTCGCCACAGACGCAGATGCCCAGGGGGTCAAGGGGCTGGGAAGCATAATTTGCTGCTTTCTGGCGTAGTTCTTCGCACCGTCTGCAGAGCTGCTGCCAGTGCTTGGATTGTTGCCTTCATGGCTGTTGATTTCCCCGGGAAGTTGCATCTGCTGCACGCCGATTGGCGTCACCGGTATAATCCTGTTCGCGAGGACAGGCGGGGAGGCAACGGATAAAACGGAGTTCGCAGCTCCGTTTGTAGTGCTCGGCCCGCCCGGTGGTCCAGTACAAATTGCGCCTCCACCACCACAGCTCCCAATCGGTGGCGGCGTCCCGTTTGGAATGTGGATTGCGTCGGTTTGGATGGGACTTGAACCCGCGGCACTGGTTATCGGAAGTTGCTGCTGTTGTTGGTGGACAACAGCCGGCAAGACCATCGGTGCAGAATCAGCAGGAGCAGCCGCATATGAACTGCAAAAGCATCGCACTCGTATAAATACATTACAAATATCCTCAGCATGAGAAATAAAGTTTGTAATGCGGATTTGCCTGAAGAACTTCTTGAGGAAAATCCGCATCACAGATTCCATTTCCAACGCTTGCAGAAATGGAATCTGTAATGCGGATTTGCCTGAAGAACAAGATTTGTAATGCATGATTGCAATACGAGTACGATACTTTTGCACAGGATACCGCAGTATCCGTGACCTGCGCCTTGTCCCAGCCACTGACTGCGGCTTCGAGACTGTTGTTGATGAGATTGTTGCAGTGCAGCACTGCAACAATCTCCTGTTGTTATCAAAAGAAAAAAGTTCGTCGCGATCACTCATGGGCATTTTTGCAATACAAAATTGTCTGTCATGCGTAAAAATGCATCACAGCCACACTTCATAAGGGATTTCCCTAGTGTTTCTGCAATACAAGGAGAAGTTGCGATGCTAAAAAAATTTGTAATGCAAAACCTGCAACTTAGTGACTGTGACAAACTTTTTTCTCTCCATAGTTGTTGCTCTACTTGTACTATCCCAGGCGTTGTCGCACAAGCCGGCGCACAAGCCGCTACCGTCGCAACAGAAGACGCTGGTGTGTGAACCTGGGACAATAGTGGCAGCTCGTCACAAACCGTTTTTGGTGTGAAAATTGTCGTGTCCGCCGGATTGCTCAGCATCCTGCTGTTCTGCTGCTGCAACTGGGAATTGTAGTGCACACCACGTGAAGATGAAAACACATTCCCGAGACTGTAGTTGTTTCCAGTTCCACTTATTGCACCATTCGCACCGATAATATCCGGGAGAGGCGTTCTTGTCGGCTTTGAATTATTTCCCCCATGGACATCAACGACAAACTGCCCGTTTGGCGTCACGATGGTTTCCGCTTGCTGATCTTGTAAAAAATTGCCGTCACAATCCTCCATATTTATCGCGATGGGCGACGGTCGAGGTTTCAATCTCTTCCGATGATCGTTCGCCCTACCGGCGCTACCCGGGTTCGGGGTTTTCGAGGATCCAATGAAAGTGGCCGTCATGTCACTTTTCGCCAAAATGTCTCCCTCTGCCTCCGTCGCTGCGTGAAGACCCTGCTGCTCCCCCTCGTGGTTTGATTCTAGATCAAAGAACTCATTTTCCTGTTCAATCTCCATTCCGTCATTCACGGTCAAGCCGCTGAAGGTTCGGTGTGATCTGCAAGTCATCACGTCTTCGGACTTTTCGAAGTTGTTAGACATCAAACCTCCGCCGTTTTTTATCATTTTCAAAGACGTCGACCGTAAATGGTTTTCCAAGTCCCGACTCAGGCCACTTTGACTGCTGTTGCCGCCCCCGCTGATTTCGTGAAGATGTTGGTGATTTTATGACAGTGCACAACTCCCCCTCCCCTTTATTTGAATGGCATAAGCAGCAACACAACGAGCTCCGCATGAAAAATCTGCACACGGATTTTTGTAGTACTGTTTGAGGCTCCAAAATTTGTGATGCAAACTATGCTCAGAGGCAAGATGTGGACTGAGTATTTTGCATTTACAAATGAGGGAGAGGGACAGGGGGAGTTGTGCACTCTCATAGATTTTCACCACTTCCCATTTCCACTTCCACCGCCGATTTCAAAAAATCGTCCAGCGCATTCGCCAAGTCCGGCGTTTGTGTATTAAAAAGCAAAACCTGCTCCTGTGACCCATCCACTTCAACGTCCAATGGACTACTAGGCGGGATCCGCTTCTTCCGCTTAGAAGGTGCCGCGGTGGACAGTTTCCCCCGGTCGGCACTATTCGGCGGATGAGGTGCGGGTAAAATTTGGCTGTGCGCGGTGAGGTTGACATCGTGAGCACTGATATCCGCATCGAGCGAGCCCGTGTTCGTACCCGTTCCGCCGGCGGAATTTACCGTCTTTGCGTCGTCATCGACATTTGAGGAACCACTTCCACCATACTCGGAATTGTTTTCTTGAAAGTACATTTGGTAGAGCTTCTGTTCCTCCAGTTGTTTTTGGTGTTTCTCCTCCTCCTCCTTCTCTATGTAGTAAAAAAGCTGCTTCCACTCCGCAATGTCATCCGCGCTGGGGTGGAGCGGGTTCGCTGTTGCTGTGCCTGCGGCTCCATGCTCTACGTCGTGAAGATGGTGGTGATGCTGAGCCGCAGTGGTCATGCTACCGTTTTGATGAAAATTTGAATCACTCTGGCCTTGTTGCGTCTCCCCTCCTCCTGCTCCTCCACCAGGATGTTGTTGAGCAGCTGCTAGTACACCATCCGGTCCTACCGAAGGCCCAACGCCAGCAGGCGGCTGCAACCTCGCAGACCTTGGGTGGCTTGGATTCGCACCAGTTTGTCCCCGCAGGTACACCTGGCGCAACGTGTTGCCGTGCGAGTGCGGGTTAGAAGAGGTGTGCTGTTGCGGAACAAGAACATTTTGAACAGGACCTCCTACGCCAAGCTGTTGCAGACTCCCGGCGGCCGCGCCCGGCTTGTTCGCAACGACCCTGTTCGGCGATTGCGACGCCGATGCCGCAGAACGGGTACGCGGGAAGTGGTTTTGTGGTTGGGTATTTTGTACCTGTTGTGCTTGCGGCGGCGCCGGGTTCGTCGAAGAGGTCGCTGGGTTGGTGCCAACCACAATGCCACTCACCACCAGACAGCCGTTGAGGTCAGAAGCTTGCTGCTGCTGCTGCTGGTGCTGCTGTAGCTCTCCCGGTGTTGGGTCTGCATTGCAGCTGTTGACAACTACTCCCAGGGGCTGAAGCAGGAACGGGGGTGGGGGAATTACAGTGTTGGCTGATGTAGTTGCGCTATTAGAAGTTGTGCTGGTACCTGGTGGTACAACGGCTCCTATTTCTGATTGATCTCCCACTTGATCCACCCCACCTGCGACTGTAATCATCGGACTACTTGTTTTGCTGGCAGTAATGTTCGCTCCAGCCGCCGCCGCTGCCCACGGAGCATTCATGGACACATCTTTTCTGAATTGTTCGAAGTCACCTTTGCTCTCTTTATTCCCTTGATCATGATGCCCGGAAGTTTTTGTAGCCCCTGCTTCTACTTCTGCACGTTGATTCTTCTGTGTCTGTCCGTTCGATGCCGTGCTGGACGTTCTCTCCAGCATGGAGTTCGAGGAAGACAGCTTCCGGTGTGCTGTCAAATGTGCTGGAAGTGGAGCCCCAAGCTGCTGCCCACCGAGTTGCTGCGAGGCACTGTGTTGATTATTCGCCAATACAGCTGCATTGTTCCCGTGTTGGTGCTCGACAGCCCCCGTGCCGCCGCGCAGGCCATTCGTACTCGGCGGTCGTATTATCCCGCTTGGTGTCAGGCTCGTGCCGCTGTGCCTTCTTGTAGGCCTTTGGGGCGTCCGGGGTAACACTTGGTTGTTGACCAAATTGATCTGCATGTTGCAAGACCCCGTTTGCTGGTGGTGGTTTTGATGTTGGCCATTGTTCACACTGTAGCTCATGATCCCGTTGTTGTGATGCTGATGCTGCATCAGAGCTCCGGTGCTAGCAGCGATGTGCTGGACTCTTGGCGTCGTTAAGGAAGACGTGGTGATCATGCAATTCTGCGCGTAGCTGTTGATCTGGTGATATTGATCACCGTTCATGCCGCCACTTCCTGAAATGGAACTACCACCGCCTGCGTTACTTCCGTAGAAGTAGCTCTGCACTTGCGGTAGTCTCTCCAGCACGTGCTTCGCACTGGGCCGGTGGGCCGGGTTGGGCTGCAACATAGAGCTGATCAGCATCGAGAGCACAGAGTTGTAGTGATAAGCGATCGCGTTGTTGCCGATAGTACCCGGCGCGCTGCTGTTGGAGTTGTTGTTTGTGCTGCTTCCGCCACTCGTCGTCCCAGAGGAATTTGACGCGGTTCCGCTGCTCACACTGTTGACTACATTATTCAGCACATTTTCGATTTTCGGAGGTCCCCGGTACACTTGCCGACAAATCTCCACCAGATTCCGCCCGTCAAACGGGGGTTTCGTCGTGCACACTTCGAAGATGCAACACCCGAGGGAGAAAATGTCGATCTTGTTACTGTAGCTCTTGTTGCTCCAGACCTCCGGGGCGGCGTAGACTGGTGAGCCGACGTTCGTATTCGCCATTCCCCGGGTTGACTTCAACATTCGACACACCCCGAAATCCGCCAGGTACACCTGTTTCTGGTCGTGGGACAGGAGAATGTTGGAGGGCTTGATGTCCCGATGGAGAATGGAGAGAGAATATCAAGCAAAAAAGTGTTAACGTTAATGGTTTTGGGGCATTGCAGTCATGCGTGACAGATTTTCGCTATCATGCATGCTATGCAATACAAATTTGGGCATCATTTATCGTGCATTCCTGCATGCCAAATTCCGTTAACGTTACCACTTTTTAGTGTGATAGAGAATGGATGTGGGAGAGCGCCTCAAGTAACTGCTTGAACCACGAAGCGACTTTCCGCTCTGGGATCGGCTTTTTGCAGTTTCTGTTCCTGCGCTCGTTCATATGACAGTGCACAACTCCCCCTCCCCCTCATTTGTCATGCAAAGTGCCTAGTTTACGCCTTGGCTCTTGGCAATGTTTGCATGACAAGTTCTGGCAGCCCAAATAGCACTACACTCCTGTCCAAATTTGTCATGCAAAACCTGTACTCTTACTGACGCTTGTATTGCTGTTCATGCAATACGAATGAGGGGGAGGGGGAGTTGTGCTTGTGCACTCTCATAGTTCAAGAAGAGGTTCAGGTCGCCGCCGTCGATGTACTGTGGAATTTGTCATGCGAAACGTGGAACAAAGTAAAGGGATGTGATGGCACAAGCACTATCTAGTAGATATAAAAAAGCGCATGAGTGACAGACTTGCAAGCCGGTATGAAAATAAAACTATCAGGACTGAAGTAGTACCTGCAGCAGCAGAAATATCGTGTAGTTTGTCACTTGGACCCAGTAGCACCGTACGATGTTGGGGTGTTGGATTTTCTGCAGAATCGACCCTTCCTCCAGCGTATGAAATGCAAAAGCATCGTACTAGTATGAATTGCAATACAAATTGACTTATAGCACTACGAAATAAAATTTGTAATGCTCTTTTACCTTGGCAAAGAGATTTGTCATGCATAACAGCCATGAATTACTACGAGTACGATACTTTTGCAGAGCATAAAGCGCCAGGTCCTTGTGTTTCTCTGATTGTAGATCCGAAAAACAATATTGTTTCAATGCGTACTGCTTCTTCCGGCCATTTTGAATCAAATCCACTTGACCGAAGGCGCCCCGGCCAAGCGACTTGATGGTCTGGAAGCGGTCTGGGGGTGGGGGTGGGGGGTTTGCAACTGCGTGATCCACTGAAGCAGCTGCAGCTGCTTCTGAAAGTTGGTGGTGGTGCTGGGCCGGAGGCCGAGGCTGTTGGGGACTGCTGGCGCCATTATTTGTGGTCAACATGATCTCAGGGTCAGGTCGTTGTGCAGCACCGGCTCCCGGCTGTTGTAGATCTCGGGCGCTTGTTGTTTCGAAAGGACTTGCGGCACCAGAGGTTCTTGAGGACGAGGGTGGATGTACAACTTCGGTGAAGGTCATTTTGTTCTTTCTCGAGAAAGCAATTGCAGCTGTGCTTCCGAGGACACCAATGTGGCTTTACCCCATCATCTCTCTTGTCCGAGACCGGACCCTACTAACTAGTACAAGCTCCACGGGTAATAATTTACAGTGAAAACAAGCACGATAAAAAGCTAGTTCGTTCAGCTGAACAACATACACTTCACACAGCCATCGATTTCTATACGACCGGAGACTACATCGGAAAAGCGGTCTGCTTCCCATCAAGGGATTCTCTTCAACGAAAACAACACTCTAGCTTTTGCAACTTTTGTCACTCGCTCGAGCTTGAACTTTGACGTCGCTCTGCAGTTCGAAACTGCTGGTGCTGCTAGTCCTTCGCAAAACGTTTTGCTGATTCTAGCACTATCTTAGACGGCAAAAGATAAAGAAGTCGCTACGAAGAAAGAGTCTGAAGCATTCCAAATATTTCTACTTTCGCTCACGATGGAGAACCATGAATCTGCCTCAAACTGTCAAGTCTGTATGCCGTACTATAATCAATGATGCTCGAAATCGAAGATAGAAATGCTGCTTCTTTTTACTCCGAAAGAACGAACAGGAGATAACCAAGACAAGAGCACTTACGACGAAAGAACGCCAGCACGACAAGTAAATCTCGTCCACAGCAGTTTCTTTTCTTTTCATGTCTGTATGTGTATTTGTTCCGCTAATTTTATTCAGTCGCTTGAAATTTTGATTCTTCAACATCAGACGTAGACTGTCGCGTCCATCTGCATGCAGAAGTCTTCAACTCGCGGAAAACAGTTTTCTCTCGGCACCACCAACTTGTTGTGGTGTATCGTCAGGTACCCCTTCATCCCCCCGTAGCTTATCAGCTGGCTCAGCACCGTTTCGACCTCTGCAGCAGAGTCGTACTGGGCCGTGATATCCTCCGTTTGGACCTTCGTCGGGCACTCCGAGATCAAAAACTGTCGGAAGCAGGAAACGACCAAAGACAGGTCAATCTTCAGGGACTTCGGCGGCGCGGCGGGTTTGGGGTAGAGTTCGGGAAACTCAGTCTGCATCTGCGCCGTGCAGAGCTCGTGACACTTGATGATTCTGCGAATGAACTGCCGAGTCACAATGTGCTTCACTTGGGACATCAGATTCACGATACCTGGATAGTTTCACAATTCGGGGAAAGTTGTTTTTGCCTTGTAAGGAAGTAGTCAAGAAGAAGCATAGATACCACTAGCAAGGGACTGATGCTTTCTTGCAGTGTCGTGGGGGCTACAGCAACAGCAACACAATTACGACAGAACCATGTCAGAATCATGAATCAAACACCACGACAAGAAGAAATCATCTAAAAACTATACCAAGTTTGACAAAAACCAGTGTCTGGTCCTGGCTGGCCTTCTCGTATTTCACCAAATCCCCCGCTTTTATCGCGTTGATGATCCGACCGAAAATTGCCTCCAGCTCGTACTTTTTCAAAAGAGCCTTCGACGGCAAATACCCTTTCCGTATCCTCAACGGGATCAAGAAATGCAGCATCTGCCTTTTCTGCTCGTAGTGGTCGTTTCGCGTCGCGCCAGAGATCAAGTTCATGGTGGATGAGGTTTGGGGAAGCTATGCACTGCAAAAGCATCGCATTCGTATAAATGGAAGTCTTGCATGACAGATCTGCTCTTTTCATCCCTGAAGCTGCATTACAAATTTCATTGTCGCTTTTGGAAAAATTTGCCATGTGATTTCTACTAAAGGCGATACTTGTGCAATGCATAAAAACATGTTGGAGTTGAAACTGTCCCGCATCAGCTGGCTGTAGCCCCAGGAAATTTTCCGCTCCGCCTCAGCGTAATTGCCGGATTGGACCTGGAGACCAGTTTCGTTTGATTTCAACGCGCAAAACATCACAACATAACACACAGCGCTACTTCTCGTACTTTACAAGATATCATGATACAACACCAGAGCTACTGTCTCCGCGTTTCGATTTTCATCAAAATGAACAGCTCCGATCGAAAATCAATAAAGGTAGAATAAACACCAAAAACTTCTCAGTTTACCAGACAAACACCCCAGTAGTAACTGAGCGTGACACTGACAGCGGGAGGAACTCCGGCCGTTGGGAAGCCCGGTCCCATCCTCTTCAGGCTCTTGTATCCTGACTAAAACTGTTCCCACACCAGAGGCAAGATGGGAAATCTGCTAGACAAATCCACCAGCTTTGGTTGTTTCGCATGACATGTCTGTCCCCGTATTGTAATCCTGTTTAGCTAGTTCCGAAGCATCACAGATCTAGCCCAGCATGCTAATTCGAGCATCACAAATTCCACAACACGACTAGAAAATGGCTCTCATGGGGCGTCGCATGAGACACTTTTTCGGCATGCAGATTTGCATGACAACTCTGGGGGGTGGGAACGTTTTTACTCAGAATATCTTGTCGCCCGGTTTTATGCCCATCTGCTGCAAATGCAGCTGCTCGAGCTGCTGCACGTTTCGCAAAATTTGCTCGACTAGCGACACCTGGAACATCGCGAGGCAGCACCGAACCAATTCTGTGGTCGTCGACAAAAACCCGGCGCGCTTCTGCTTCTCCCGGACCATCTCTCCGAAGATTTTTCGGAGGTGCTCAACCAGCTTGTTCATGTTTTCATTGGTGTCCGTTGATTGGGAGTTGAAGTGTAAGTCGATGTTTTCCGCCTGCTCCCGGGCCCAGGCGAGAAGCACTTGGAAAGCCGGTATCATCCAGATGTGGTTCTCGTACTGGTCTCTGGTGTTGCAGTACAAGGTCGACCAGTCCCGGAGTGCGAGGTAGCAGTGTTCTGTTATTTGGAGGAAATTATAAAGGCCGCTTTTGCTACTTTTCAGTGAATACATACAACTAGTGAGGAGGCAACATCAACATCGGATCAAAAAAAGAAGACATTAGACAAACAACGCTTATTTCTAGATAAAAGCTAGCATCATAGTCTGTAGTACGCAAGCTCTCGCACATCAGTGGTTTTGCCTTTGGGTTCAGACCGTAGTGCAGCGCCTCGCAGTAGATCTTGACCATCTTCACGTAGTTTACGACAAAAGAGGACAACGGCTTTTTCATTTCTTTTGCGTCCTCGAAATTTTTCGAAAACGGGGACCCATCATGAAGTGCAAAAGTATCGTACTCGTAGCAGTTATCGCAATCGTGCATGACAAGTCTCTTCCTCAAGGCAAATCAGCATGACAGATTTCCTCTCTCATTCTGAGAAGATTTGTATTGCAAGTACTACTAGTACGTCAATACTTTTGCAGTTCATACCCGTTCTGCGCGAACGAGAGCTGGTCAATTCCCCGCTGCACGCTTATGGAGTTCTCAACTGTTACATTCTCAACTGTTGCATGAATTTGTAATGCAAGAATGGGATGAAAAGTCAAAGAGGGGAGGTTGCACCTGTAGCATGACAAATATCTAGTTGCTGTTTAGCCTTTCGAAAATTTGTCATGCGAAGTAGCTTGACTGTGAGAATGTTGGCCGTCATTTTGCATGACAAATCATGTAACAGTTGAGAGTGTAACGTTTGAGAATCCCATAACGCTCGCTTCTATTGCCTCCTTCGTTTTTCCCCGGACCATTTGCTGCTTGTCCCCCCAGTCCGGGCCGCGGATGGAGACACAAACCGCGAGCTCCTCACGGCGTTCCGCCGCCATGAGATTTGCGAAGTTGAAGGAAAACTGGGCAATTTCGTCCTGGTTCCGCTGGTTGTACATCATGTTAGGGTTCCGCGTGTTGTATTTGTTGAGGGTTGGGTAGGGATGCGCTTTGTTCATGTTGTTTCGGTTGCCTCCCTTCCCACCGGACATACCGCCCCGGGGAAAGGAGGAGCTCGAGCTCCCGCCGGTCATCTGCTGCTGGCCCCACATAGTGTTGTAGAAAGGATTTACTTACTTTCGTGTCGCTTAAGGTAGAGGGAAATTATGTGTCTCAGGCAATAAATTAAATTGAAGACGTCAAACTCATGTCGCCCATTAGGTCTAGATTGAAGACGTCAAAACTATTAGGTCTAGTAAATATAAATTGAAGACGTCAAACTATCATAGAAATTATCGCCCATTAGGTCTAGGATTAGAAGTGTGATTTCATAAATAGCGCTTTTTTTGTCGCCTGATTTCAGAAAATCATCAAATAGTGTGTAGTTGCCTGAAACTGGTGGCATTTGTGTCTACTCAAGTACTACATGATGCGGAGCCTCTACTTACTTCGGTTTCGCCTTCGACTGGCTTGTGCTCAGGAGGTAGTGGGGCAAGCAGGTCGTAAAGACTTTGTTACTTCTGGGAACAAAGAGGATCGCGCTTCCATCTATCAATTATTGATCAAGTAGTCGGCTCTCAAAGACAGGTGCGATACATGGACCGGAACCACGATAGCTGCGAGATTGTAAGTTGAGGTCGTTCATCAATTTCCAAATCTATTGTTGGGTGCCGCTTCATGCACTCTGCATGTTGAGCAATATCGAAAACAGAAACAAGAGTTGCGATGATTGAACATCGTTTGACGGTGCTATCATGCCGCTCCAACAGAGCGCAGATAGAGATGAAGTGAGCGAAAAACTGCTGCGCCTCAGCACGTTCTGGTGGTTCCAAATCTTTTTTATGTCATCAAAGCAAAAAGTACGTCATCGGGAAGTGGTGGTGAAAACATCTGAGCTTGTCGATTGAAATGGCGCGGCAAAACGTGAAGTTCTTGTTGTTCTTCTTCGTGTATACCCTCTTGAGCGGTGCATGTCTGTATTCTCGGGGAGAGAGTGAGAGCAAATGTCTCAACGAACTGTAGTAGTCAAACTCAACATAGTGGAGTTCAACTTGTTTGTGCTGGAGACCTAGGTCGCTTGGTGTTTCATTGCATCTCCACAACACCAACTCCACTGTCTTGTTCCTTCTACCCCGCGGCAAGAACTTGGTCCTTGTTACCTCCACACGCGGCTCCTCCACACACCATCTCCGTTTCAATACTACATTTCCACTACGCGCCGGTGTTCATAATCAATGTGATGTTGTCCCCTTTCAGCAGGATCTTCCCGACACTCCTGCGGCTCTGCTTCTTCACGTAGAACTCCTCTGCCTCGTCAAGCACGACATTCATGTACTCGTCGAATCCTGTTGTAAAAAAATCGTGTATTATTTCTCATGCGAGAGAACAAATAGAGCCAAGAACTGTCATGCATAGAACCAAAATATACATCCTATACCGACGATTTTCCCCTCCAATCGCATGTCGGTTTGGTCGTACAGCCAAATCTGCACTTTATCCTTGTTCCTCAGATGTGTGAAGATCTGATTGATGGGCAGAGTCATCATCTTCTGCAACTTCTTGTTGGAGATCGCCATTTTGTCGGTTTTTTTCTTGGAAAACTTTTACAACGGGGAGAAAGTAGTAAAAAAGGAAAAGCGAATCTTCTGTGAGTCGCTCGAGTATAATTTTTCCTGAAGATGAAAGGAGCTGCTAGTCTGTCGCACTACAGAACACCTTAATTGATTCTCTCGGTTCTTACAAAGGGCTAGAGAGAATTCTTCTAGACTGGAAAAAATTGTGATACTACACTAGTAGAGATAATTTTCCATACAGGATGAAACTCTGAAAACACAGCCACCCTGTTGTTGTTTGAATTAATTTATTGACTTGGACCAGTAAAGCTGACCACGACTTCGTGTCGTTTGGTGTGCGTGGTGTGAGCTTCTTTGATTCTTGATCTTGTGTATGATGAGAAGCCGTGTAATAATACCTATACTTTTTCATGAGAGAAACGCCTCAGGATCATGGAATAATTTCTGGAAATAAATTCTGATCCGAGAAAACATTCCGGTCTTCGCTTTGGAACAGGCAGAAATATATTTGCAATCACGCTACCAAATTGGAGGATCGAAACCACTTCAGGAACGTCATGAGTTGGCGAGTCTCATGATCTCTTTTTTGAAGATGTACACAGGCACTAGAAGACCGGGAGAGAAATATCAACTGAGACCAAGGCCAAACCTACGTCGACCGGTGTACTAACTACACCGCGATGCTATGTTTTTGTCGCATGAATCATCTTCAGAGAAGAACACTATATGGAAAGCACGACCACAACTGTCCAATTCCAATCTAGCCCTTATTTGCTCGCATACACGACCTAATCATCTGCAAACATCATTACGTTCAAGGGGCTATTTAGGACTTGAGCAGATGAAACTCTTCCGAATGAGAAAGAGAAATCCTAAACCATGTTGGGTTTCTTTTCCTTCTCGAATTTTCTTTCAGCAATTATCGTAGCCGCCCTTGTTCATCAACGAAGAGTTATCACCTAACTGCAAGAAAATGAAGATTCACAGCTAGTACGAGGAAGCAAGTTGTAATCGTACTACAGATCAACTACAACTTGACCGCCGTCTTACTGCCAAGCCACGATTCTGGCGACGATGGGACTTCGCTCCAGGGGGCCGACTTCTCGGCGACAGTCTTCACCCGGCCCAGCACGACGAGCTTCTTGTTCCCGGTGATAGTACGCGTCATCGGCCACGGACAAAAACCCGAGATTGCTCGATGGGCTGTACCACACCGCCGGGTCCTGGTTGACGGACTCAGTGTCCGCCTGAGGTCCCGAGATATTTCGTCCTTGTTGCACCTGATCATTACCGTGCTGAGTCGAGTACGAGTTGTTGTTCACCATGGTCGTGTTAAAGTTGCTGCTGTTCTGCCTCGTCCCGCCAGAAAAAGCTCCTTTCGCACTACTACTACAAATGAACTGGTTATCATCCTCGTGCCCGAGCAACAATTTCGACAACTTTTTCGGAGTCGTGTACTTCCAATTGTAGGTGATTTGAAACAGCGAAAACTGCTTCTCGTTCCTTTCCGCCACCCGGTTCTGGAAAAAGTCCCGAATCGTGGCGAGCTGCGATAACGCTCCTTCTTGCTCTTGTTGATTCTCCTGCTTTTCATGCTCCTGCGCTAAAAGCCTCGACTCCGTAAAAGTTGTAGATTCATCCTTTCTATCCGCGTAGAGTTTTTCTTGCAGCGATCTTCTGCAACTCGTCCTCCTGCTACTCTCGCGACGTTGTAATTGGTCATAGCGGGGGTCGTTTCCCCTGCGACGTGTCCCGCCCCCGCCTGTGGCTGATGCACAGCGACCACTTCGCACGCTTGTACTGCCACGACTTCTCGTCGACGTCTCCGTGGAAAAATGTCTACGCGGCCTTCGGATAGCGGATCGGGACCTGCTCGTCCTGAAGATGTTGTCATCTTCTTCCGCAAGAACATCATCTTCACGTAGTAGCCCTCCCCGACGTTTTTCATGATCGTCCTGGTCTAGTACAACTTTGTTCAGAGAAAGAAGACTATCGTCAGATACAGACTGCCCGAAGAGGAGGAAGAAAACCTGGAAGGAAGAGTTTGCTCCACGATTTATTGTCTGGCTGTTTTGATGTGATTTTTCTTCGTCGTCTTGGTGTTGTGTCGCTTGATGTTTTGCATCAGAATATTTGTCGTCCCTCAATGCATTTTCTCCGTTCATCAGCACATTTTTCGTTGTCGTCTTCGCTGGGAAACCGTACATGTGCAGGCGCGGCTTCGTGAAACTCTCGAGCAGGGACCGCAATTTTCGAGGAAGGTGCTTGTTGGAGGATTTTGGTTTATTTGTACAATTGTCGGAGGACGTGGACGAGGACGAGCTGCTGTTCTCGTCGTTCCCAGCTGTAGTTGGGTCCTCCCCGGCGTTTATTTTCATCCGTTCATATCCTCGTTTTGCTTCTCCGACTCCCGAAGAAGCAGCTGCCACACCATCGTATTCGGATTCCGCAAGGAGAAAATGGGGATGTTGGGATTTATGTTGCAATTTCTTCCTTAGCTGAATCTTCGCCGTCAATTGAGCTGCACGACTTCTGATTCTGTCGTTGGTTAGATGTTGAACATTGTCTCCATCTGCTTCGCTCGACCTTTTTAGCAGGGAAAAATTGGTTCTTATTGCCGTGCTTCGGGACCTAAGCTGCAGGAGATCTTCTTTATCATTCCGGCGAGTTCGAGATTCAGCATAATTACAGGTAGTCGTGCTCATTCTTGGCGTGGTCCCTCCGCTTGACGTCCGTCCGCGGGGAATCAGCAACGATTCCGGAGATGCAGGGATAGACCACACGAGACCTCCAGGTTCGCTTTCTTGCATGACTACAGATTTGCTGTCCATCTCTTGATGGTAGTTTGGGTTGTCCACGACGAGTTTGGGGTTGCTCGTCGAATGTTGAGAATTACCGAAGTCGAAGTCTGCATTTTTGTCATTTTTTGTTCCCGGCGCCAGCATGTCGTATTGTCGCATCACCTTTTCGAACCGCGGATGACAAGCCTGAATGTAGCGCGGGTCGGGTTTGTAGGTCAGCAAAGGCCGGACCTCTTGCATGATCAGTGGCTTATTCATTTCGATGCCGTGGTCCAACAGACTTGTCGTAACATCCGAGTAGTTCCTGCCTCTGCAGCGGTTTTCGCCTCGGTCTGGTACTTTAGAACAACTCGTAGGCCTAGAGTAAGACAGCTCTTTGTTTGTGCTGTCTACTTCTTCAAGCTGCGGGGGCGATGGTGCGAGCGTGTTCATCTTGTCCGACTCACTGTCGGAAGATGTCGTCCAGGTGGAAAAGCTGTCCTTTTTCTTTCTTCCACAAGTGCCATTAGAACAAGCGGGGCTCGAGCCCTTCAGCACGTTCACTTCGATCGCTGCGTTTTTCGGCAGCCCGGGGACGAACTGAATCAAAACGGTTGGCAGGTTGTCGATGGTTGCAAGGGGTTCGTTCAAGATTTTCTTGTTCATCTCAGCAGGAGAAGTTGTAGCCGTGTAGTCGCCGTCGCCTGTCATAGAAGATGAGTTGTCTCTTGTCCTCGCAGTACAACAACTTGTACCATCTGCGTTCTTATCAAATGTAAAAATGTCTGGGTCTGGAAGATTGCAACCTGTCATGCTAAATCTGCAGCATGCAAAAATCTGTGTTGCATGATTACCAAAAGTCGTCCAGTTTTGACCAAGTCGGGAGGGAGTTTCTCATGCAGGATAGGCATTAGAAAGGTCTCGCTGAATCTGTCATGCTAGGTCCTGCATTCCAGACCTCATGGGTCATGGAAAAGCAGCATGACAAATCGCGCATTCTTCCAGACCCATACATTTTTACATTTGATAGTTCTCATCGCAGAACGCAGCGAAGTCGGAAAAATCTACTTTCCGGCGGCCATTATGATTGTTCCCACCGTGCTGTTCCTTCGTCCAATTTCCATTACCGCCTTGTTGATGCAACAACATCTCGTCCTGTTGATCTACTTGATGCAGGTCCTCGGTGGGCTGTGCGGCCAGCCACATTTCTCGGTACTTCCAGTAATCGTCCATACCGAGATCTGTCACTTTATTTTCCTCCCTCTTCTCCTGCTTCAAATACGTCGCGAAAAATGCCAGCACCATGCGCTCGATTAACGGAAAGATGAACGCCTGGAGTTCCTCGGCCTCTGGGGAAAGGTATTTATTCTTCATATTGTTCCGAGATGTTGGTGATGGTGAATTCGGCGACGTAGTAGAGGGAGCACCAGGGGAAGAACTTGCAGCGGAAAACACGCTGCTGGTGGTACTCCTTTGGAGCTGCTGCTGCTGGTGCTGCGATTTTTGCGAAGAACCGACTCCGCCACAATTCATGTCGAAACCATGATTGGCATTTCCACCGCCACTCGCCTGTGACAGTTCATGCACATCCGCCTGAAAGATCTCCTCGGAGACGAAAACGTTGACAATGTCCACGGTTTCTATCTTATGCGTGTCCTGTTTCATGATCTGAAACAAGGAGTACATCGCGTAAGCCAATTCCTGGAACCACGAGCAATTCTCCGGCTGGTAATAGGGGCTGCAACCTGGAAACGATGTCGATTCCGAGTTCTGTTTTTGGAGGATTTTCGTGAGCTTCTTCTTCTTGGCGGAATCATACCCCTTGATGGACTTCCGTTTGGCAGCTTTTGTAGTCCCGCTGGTGTACACTGAAGTAGGCGCTGTTTCGCTATTATTTATGTTCCTCGCGGAGTCCTCTTTGTCTTCTTCTTCGGAATCGGTCCCGTCTTCATCGTCTGTCTCGGAGAAATTCTTACCTTGTACCGCACTGCAACTCGTTGATGATCGCTTCTGGCCCACGACCTCGGAGGTTTCATCAGTAGACGCAGCCTGATCATCTTCGTCCGTCTTGACATGATTCCGGTTGTAGTTGGGCCGGTTACGCTCCTCTGTAGCTGTTTTTTTCGCGGTTTCTTCCTCGTCCTCTGTTGAAGAAGCACACGCTGTCTCACATGTTGATGAATCCCCCACAACACTTGTCCCAACAGCCAGCACAGCTTCGCTGCTCGAAGTGGTCGTACCGTCTTTACTCGGACTGTTTCCGGCGGTGCTGTCGTCAGTTCCTGTGGAGGGCGTGAGTTCTAACGTCGAAGAAGAAGAAGTGGGCGCTTTCTTTCCCTCTCCACTCGCAAGAACTTCTTGCAGCTGGTTCTTCTTCTCTACTTCGGAGGTACAACTACTACCTGTGCTGCTAGTGGGACTACAACTAGATGAGGCGCTACTAGGAGTACACAGCTCGTCCTGCAGTTGTATTAACTCCTTCTGGGCCCGCCCCACCTCCTCCACGACACCAGCTGCGCCACGATCTTCTGCGTTATTTTTTCTTTTCGTTTTCCCCACACCTCGACCAGCACGGAAAATAAAATCCTTGATCATCCTTTCCGCTTCGGGAACCACAAATCTGTCATGCCATCGCGGGAACTCCATCAGATGCGGCACTAAACCCAACACGCCCGCAGAGAAAAAGTACTGGGTATGATTTTTCTCTAATTCCTCCTTCTCACCATCCCACAACGCCGACTTGGTCTGGCTCGCCTGCCCATACGGACCGATGCACGCCATTGCCCAGGAAGAGATGGATTGCACGTGGGTCACGACCACTTTCGTTTGCTGCTGATCTGGGATTATTTTCATAGCGCGACCCCGGGCGCTCTTGTTTGTTGTTTCTGCTGTGGCTTTATTGTTTTGTGAGCTGTTGATGTTGTTGTTTTGGAGGAAGGTGGAGGGTCCTTTATCTTCGTAAACCTCGTGAAACTTGTATCCTATGTAAAAACGTACCCACCCCAGAGTTGTCATGCAATTCTGCATGCCAAAAAAGTTTCTCACGCGGAGCCCTATTAGAAGCATTTTCTATTCGTGTTTTGCAATTTGTGATGCTAGAATCAGCATGGTAGGCTAGATCTGTAATGCTTCTGAGCTAGCGAAACAGGATTACACTACGAGGACAAACTTGTCATGCCAAACAACCAAAGCTGTGTGATTTGTCTAGCAGATTTGCCAACTTGACTCTGGTGTGGGTACGTTTTTACTCAGGATAACTTGAAAATCGTGTTCTCGTCGTCGTGTCGTGGGCCGATTTCGTCTTGGGCTGAAATTGATATGCATTGCAAAAGCATCATACTAGTACAAATTGCATTACAAATTTTGTCAGAAAGAAAAAAAGAATTTGTAATGCTAATTCAGGTAAAAAGGTAGGTTTGTCATGCAAGATTGCAATTAGAAGTACGAGTACGATACTTTTGCACAGGATAATTGAAATTCTAGTACAACGACCTTGACTAGCACGAGGAGCAGAAGAAGTTGACTCATCTGCCAGGAGTGTGGTCGCGCCCCCGACACCCAGTTGTACTGTTGATTTTTCGCATGAAGGAGAAGGGTGACAACTAGTTTTTTTTGTGTCTACTTCCTTCTCGTGGGTTGGTTCATCTTCTTCAGACGACTCATCTTCAGAAGGAGTTAACCGGTTCTCAACGCTAAGGACAGCAGCATCGCCGTTTTGTCTTCCTTCGTCTCGTCCTCGTCCTGCTTCTGCTTCGACGTCTTGCAAGGCTTCTCGATCACCTACTGCTAGGGAAGTCGTAGTAGCTGCATGATCAACACGTGCACAATCGGTGGTAGATCTTGATGGTCCGGTGCTAGCACCACTACCACCGACAATCTTATCATCTACTTCTTGTTCCAAGGAGTTACTCGTCCCAGCAGGAAGTGCTGGAGCCTCCCCAGGCCAGCCGGTGATGGTCGTAGTAGAGAAACTATTTTTGCCTGCTGCCATGCCCGAAAAAGTAGAGGACACCGGTGCAGATGAACTGCTACTACAGAATCCTCCCAAGAACATCCCCGATGATGATCCCATGGACCTCAGATTCCAGTCCGTTTCTGCCGAGGAATGCGTCACACAGCCGAAAAACCGCAGTCTCACTCGCACCCCCGCCGGCAGGTCCGCCTCGACACAGACCCGGGCCGGGGGCCCGCGCCCGGCGGAATTGTTGTTCGAATTGACAATGTTGAGAGGGAGGAATTTCTGGCTGTACATATCCTGAGCAAAAACGTCCCCACACCAGAGCCACGTTGGTAAATCTGCAACACAGATCTCCAAGTTTTGGAAATTGTGCATGACAAGTTTCCATCTGCAGTGCAGTGCTTGTTAGCACGGGGAGCCGCATGAGAAGGCCAGTTTCTGATCGTGCTTACAGCGTGACAAATACCAAAACACGACTGGAAATGCCTCTCATGGAGATGCGCATTACAAATGTTCCCGCCATTGCACATTTGCATGACAACTCTGGGGTGGAGACGTTTGTGCTGAGGATAGTACAGCTTGTTCACCAAGGCGAAATCCTCACTCACGTCCTGCAAAAGGATATCCTGTGCAAAAGTATCGCACTCGTATTGCAATCATGCATTGCAAATCTTTTTGTTAAGTCAAATCCGCATTACAAATTTTATTTCTCATTCTGAGGAAATTTGTAATGCATTTTTACGAGTACGATACTTTTGCAGTGCATAAAGGAGTTCCACAAACAAGATTCTCCCCTTCTGCATCTTCCCGCACGAGGGGAGAAATTCGTGCTCCTTCAGCCACTGATTCGCAAACTCGAAAACCAACTCCGCTTGGATTTCGTATCAAATTCAAATATGTCTGGGTCTGGAAGATTGCAATATTTGTCATGCTAGTCTGGCATGACTCTGCACTCTGTATTGCGTGATGCCATCGGAACAGCATCTCTCGCCTGTCATGCAAAAACGCAGATTCTCATGCGGGATACGCAGCACAGAAGCGTGAAAAGACGCGTCGTGCTTGGCTGCGCCTGCGCATTGCAGTTCACTTTATTGTTCACTGACTTGCATCACAAGTTTCCAGCACACCCAGACATGTTTGCAATGCATATCTCCGTGGATTTCTCGATTGTTGACCGGTGCTCGTCGAGAAATTGCTGCTGGTTTGCTTTTATCCTGTGCAAAAGTATCGTACTCGTACTAATTGCATTTATGCATCACAAATCTCTTTCTCAAAGCAAATCAGCATTACAAATTCAATTTGTAATGCTGGGCCAATTTGTAATGCAATTTATACTAGTACGATGCTTTTGCATTGCATAGCTTTTTTGTTATGTAGTTCGGATGTAGAAGATGAATTTCTGTTGCTGCTGGTTGTTTTCGTTTTGTCAAGTAGAACTACGTCGGGATCATTTCTGCAGGAGCTGGAGCTGCTGTTGTCCTCTTTATTACTTCGGTTCTTGTTTATGTTTTTCCCACCTGCAGAAGATGAGAAGATTTTGTCGCAACTCTTCGGCAGAATCGTGTCGATGTCTAAATCGTGGGGGAAAAACCACAAATTCTGCTTGATTACGGGCTCCTTGTCCAGGAAACAGCTACCCAGCGCTTCTTTCGTCTCCTCGTCGTCCTCCTCCGCGGCAGCTTCAAAATAAGTGTACGTGGGCGCCCAGTACATTCTACCTAAGTTCAAATCTGGACTGCCCGACCGGCCGCGAATCTGGATGCAGTTGTTCTTGTTGGCATGATTATTGTTCATCAACCAGCACGTTGTGTTGGTTGTCCGGGTGGTGGTTGGGGTTTTGGTCCCTGAATCGATTCTTTCAACATCGCAAGAGGATGTGGAGCTGCCGAAATTATAACTGGCGGACGCGGACGGCGACGAGAGGTCGTGGACCTTTTTCTTGCTGTCGGTATTTATTCTGTAGTTGGTTTGTGCATTGCTGGAGATTTCATTGTCCTCCTGTGCTTGTTGTGGTTGTGCTGCATTTGCTGCAGACGCAGATGTTGTTCCAGCAAGAATTTTTACCCCGGGCATTTTTTCTCCGCGTGCAAAAAGCTGCTGCGGCTGGTGATGAACCTCCTGCTCCGCGGCGTCGTCCTGCTTGTGTCCTTGCTGTAGTTGTGGTCCACACTCTTCTTTAGCACCACGGCACTGCTCGTCCTGCTGCACAACCACGCCACCAAGAACTACTCCTCCTGCTTCGTTATACAACCGTTCTTGATCTTGTTCCGCCGTCGGAGCAGTAGATCGAGCGAATGTAAAGTGCTGACCAGGTGGATGCCCTTTCTTTTCGCAAGGTGCTGGTCCTCCACCCTCGTCTAGCCCCGCGAGAACAAGTTCCTCACAACTGCCGCCACTCGCAAACAGGTTGTCCAGATCGGTGGAGTTGGAACAGGCGAAGATGTGGCTCGGGTACGAAAAGTTCGGGGAAGAAACGCTGCTTTTTCCGGTGGCCGGAAGCTGAACTAGAGCCGGATTTTTTATATCAACGGTTGCACTTGCAGTTGTGTTGTAATGCGTCCGCGCGTTGCGCTCATCGGTGACAGCAACATTCTCTGCGTCAAAACTCTTTTTCGCAGCGACATGCGCCGCACAGAGTCCACCTTGTTCCTGAGGTAGTTTTGGATCATTTAGATTTATGTCGCCTTGGATCATCATTTCAGATGATGAGGTTCTGCTTCCTCGTCCCGTGCAGGAGGAGCTAGTGGGGCCGCTCCTGAGGACCTCAGACCCTGCAGATGACGCAATTGCACCTCCATCCTCGCCCCCGAAACGGGGAGTTCGGTCTTCTTCTTGCTGCTCTTCCTCCTCGCCGAAACGCAAACAGGGAGTTCGGTCTTCTTCTTGCTGCTCTTCCTCCTGCTCTCCAAATCTCCCGGATGTTGAGGGTGGTCCGGTTATAGAGGGGATGCTAGGCTTCCGTGCAGCTGTTGTTGTACCTGAAGCAGGTGGACCAGCATCACGGTGAAACAGGCCAGAGCCACCAAATGGAGCTACTGCTTGTTCTACATCTACACCGGTAGTTGTACTAGAACTAGGATCATAATTTATCGAATTTGATAAACTACTACTGCACGATGAACTGCTCGTCTGGATGTTGCTTGTTCCATCCGTACCACCACACGGCGCGGCGGGGGCGCGTCTGGCTTTATCGTTTTCATCTTCTGCGACTAAGGAAAAGCACAAAGAAGTGTTATCCGCATCTCCACCGACCACTGCCCCTGCGCCCCCTCGTCCCGGAGGTGGTCCACCTCGGTTGTAGTGACCATGTAGCTGCTGCTGCCTCGAGTTCTTCGTGAATGTCGATGTCCTCGCTCTGTTTATTATCCGGTGTCGATCATGTGCAGCGGCAGCGGCAGCCTTTCGTACCTCCATCATCTCCAGAAAAAGCAGCTCTTGCTTCTCCCTCTCCGCCTTTGCCTTCTCGATGTCTGCGTGATTCTTTTCCAGTAGCACTTGCAACATTTCCGGAAACGAATCCAGTCGGAAGTTCGATTCGAAAAACTTTTTATACCAGGACCGGTTCGCCAGCGCCTGCGAAATTTTCGTCGGCGGGGACGGTTCTTTTTGGTTGTAAATCAGGTCCTCGTAGCCGAAGAGTTGTTGTTGATGTTGTACATCGGTAGTGTCATGCTCTGGTGGTCCTCGGTTGTTGTAGGAGGTCTGGTTATTATAGTCATAGACTGGGAAGAAACAAGCCGCGTTTTTGTAGAAATCGTAGTGGTCGTCAACTCCAGACGGTGGACCACAAGTTGAGCTTCTCGTCCCCAGACGACCAGGTTGTAAAAACGAGTAACAATCGTAGCTGTCAACATCGTCGCGGCCGTAGCCCCCGTTATAGAAGTTGTTGCACGGGCGGCTGCTCCAGTTGTCGTCCAAGCTGTTAAAAACCTCCGCCGCCGCCCGCCGCAGCTCCTCCTCGGCCTTCTCGCGCTCCCTTTGTGCTTTTTCCACAATGTATAAGAGTGCACAACTACTCCCCCTCCCTGTCATTTGGATAGCATTCACAGCAACACAAGCTCTGGCAAATATGCAGCTTCTGCATGACAAATTGACGGCCGATAATTCTAGTGCTGTTTTGGCTTCCAGAGCTTGTCATGCAAACAGTGCTAAGGGGTAACGGGTAGACTTGGCATTTTGCATGACAAATAAAGAGGGGGAGGGGGAGTTGTGCACCCTCATACAATGTCGAGGCTATCTTCTTCCTCGTCGTAGACGTCCCGCCAGTCGATCGGCTGGTTGTCGTGCTCCTGGTCGGAGCAATAACTTGTAGGAGCTCCTCCAGGAGGGTTATTGTTGTTGGCGTACAAGTTCTCATCGAGTTGGTGATGCCCAGGTTCTCCTTCATCGTGGTCGTGCGGATTATAGATGTATAATTCATCTTGTTCGCGACCGCGACCCCGGTTGCAGCTGTGCCGACTGTTGATGTTCTCCTGATTCTCCAGTGCGTGGTCCCTTTCTTCTTTTCTTTCCTGTTCTCGACAGAACAGGAAGGAACTGTCATCGTTTTCTTTGTCGCGGCGGCCAGTTGTTACTTTCGTCACCTTGTTCTTCTGCTCATTAAACAGGCCCTCGCAGCTGTCTCGTGCTTGCTTCATCGTGTAGTTGATTGCTGTGTCATCTTCTTCATCCGACGAGGAACTACTCGAACTACAAGACCACACGAAGCCACGACTATCTTCGCAGTTGTGGCCCATCGAGTTTCTACTCTCCCGCGGCTGCAGTTCGGCTGGTGGTCTTTGTCTTTCCCGACCTGCATTATAGGAGGTGTGAGGGCTACTTCCACGAACGACCGGCGCAGCGGCACCTCCTCCGCCGATAAAAATCCCATTCATGTCCAAGTCGTTCATCTTGGCGATGCACAGCAAAAGCTTCGGAATCTCCCTCTCCAGCGCTTCGTTTTCGTCCAGGATATGGATTGCAAAAGTGTCTGGGTCTGGAAGAATGCCAGATTTGTAGTCATGCAGGTTTTCCATGATTCATGAGGTCTGGTATGAAGGACATAGCATGACAGATTCTGTGAGACGAGTTCTATCATGCCTATCCGGCATGAGAAACTGCCTCTCGATCAGGTCAAAAGTAGACAGCTTTTGGTAATCATGCAACACAGATTTTTCCATGATTCAGATTTAGCATGACAAGTTGCTTTGTTCCAGACCCAGACATTTTTAAGTTTGATACAGGAGCTTCTTCTGCTCCGCGACCAGCTCCGACAAGAAGGAACCATCGCCGTCCCCATTTGCATTACAAGTGGGTGATGTTTCGACGACACCTGAATCGCCATCTGCACTAGCGGATGAAGATTCTTCGCTCTTTGGCCCGCAAGCAGAACCTGGCGCAGAATTACTGCGTGGGTCTGAAGAGCCAGCTGTTGAACCAGAGCCAGTCGCGCTCCTGCTCCCGCCTTGTAGCTCTACGCCAAGTTGACCCGTTCGTCCCGTTACAGAAGAGCTTGCCAACTCATTTGCGATCTGGTTCTGTAGGGTCTTCAACACTCTTCTATTCCTCCGCTGCTTGCGCTTCAGGTCGGCGAGATTCCGCTCCAGAGTGTAGCCCTCATCTGCACAGGGATAGGCGGGGCCGGGGGCGATTCTATTTACTGTTGCTGCTGTGTCATTCAGATGGTCGTCGTCTTCTTCCTCCTCATCGCTGACATCGCGTTCGGACGGTCTGGGGGTCGGCCGTCTTGCAAAGCTGCGAGAGGTGGTGGTTTTTTTTTTCCTGTCTATTTCATCCACCACCGGCTTTTTCCAGCTAAACGTTGGCTGTGCAGCTGCAGTCCAGTTTTGTACTGTCTTTGGTGCGGTTGCAGTAGGAGCGGCAGTAGCTTCAAGATGACGCATCTTGCTGTTGCTGTTTCTCGTCGCAGCTGCGTTCGTTCCAGTTCCAGCATCTGCCTGCTTGTCAGGAGTACTTTCGCGTAGTTGCTCATCATCCTCTCGACGCTGCACCTTCCGGAAGATGTCGCCAAATTGGAAGTTGTCGTGCTGCTGGTCGTCCGGATCATCAGTGTGAGAAACGCTTGTTTTTGCTGGTCTATTATCATCAACATCTTCTCGCTTCATCAAATGGTGAAAGTCCATCACACTGGCGGACCTGGGCCGCGCAGAAGAGTTGCTCGTGGCGGTGTTGGCAGGGTCGTGTAAAGGAGATTCCTTCGCTCTTGGGGAGGACCATGACTCGTCCTCCTTCTGCTCCTCGTCGTCGCCGGGGTCTACTACTTCGTAACACTGCTCATCTCCACGACCTTGTTCTTCATCGTCCAGGTGACCCTCCTTTTGCGGATTGAGAGCAGGAGCATTTGGTTTTGGGCCATCAACATCACGATTTGATGCCGAGCGTGATACACCCGAGGAAAGAACTATGAAAGCCTCAGGTTGGAAATCCTCAAAGTGAAAATAATTTGTAATGCAAAAAAACGACTCCAGTTGGAGCACCATTTATAGTCGGCGCATGACAAATTTCCCGAGCACTCAAAACGTGTCTGTCATGCTAGTCAGGCAAAGCGGTGCCCTCCTCTCATGCTAATTAAGAGACCAATTCTGAACCCGTAGAAGCACAATAGTCGGCCTCCATTGCGTTCTCTGCAATACAGTCTTTTTGGTGTCGCATTTCATGCATCACAAATTGTTTCCACTTTGAGGATTTCCATTCTGAGGATGTCATAAGAACTCCTGTAATCGGAATCGAAGTATTCCGGCGACCAATCTCCAGAACCTTATGGCATTCTCAAACGTTACATTCTCAACTGTTACATGAATTTGTAATGCAAGACTAGCACAGGTGAGAGGGAGAACCTTGCGCGTCTTGCATTACAGGTTTGGTGCGCATTACAGTGCTATTTAGCCCTCCGGGAATTTTTCATGCGAAGCAGCTTGATCGTCTGGCGGGTCATGGTCATTTTGCATGACAAATCATGTAACAGTTGAGAATGTAACGTTTGAGAACCCCATAAACCTCGACTTCCGAGTCGGATTGCTCCTGAGAAGAGGCGGAAGACGAAGAGGATGTTCTGCTTTGATGCAGCTCCAGCATATCAGCCCCCGACCTGCCCGGCGATCGTTTTTTGAAGGAGTCTTGCTCTTGGGAGATCAAAGCAGATTTCTTCTTCATCTCAGAGGTTCTTTCACGCCCAGCGGAGAGCCAGCTTTCGTTTCCATCGCCCGCTTGCTGTGGTGCGTCAGCGTCGGTGTAAAAATCTTCCATAACTACAGTTGTAACTTGATGTCCCTCCTCCAAAGCGGCGGCTTGCGCAGGTTCCCAGTTCTGAAGTGCTGAGCCACTCGTGCTGGTGTCACATGATGCATCACGGTCTTGTTGCGGATTGTTACTTGTTTGCTTCTGTTCTACGTTTTCATCTTCAACTTGATCTTCCTCTTTCCACGATTCTCTTCGATTTGTTTCTGTTTCATTCTCGTCCAAATGTTCATCCCTTTCCCGCCTCACCTTCTCCTGTTCGTCCAGCCACTTTTGCCGCTCTACCTCCGGGTCTTTCAAACGTAGGTAGTAAACCCCAGCGCCATGGTTCACCACGTCAAAAACCTCATTGAAACCCGCACGGCGCCCCGTCTGCGGGTAGTCGAGAAGGGAAGGGTTCGCTTTATTTTCCCACGGATTCTTGTTGTAGCCATCATCTGCTTGTTGGCGAGCGGCACCAGGCTCTGCATCTTCCTCTTCAGTGGCGCAGTTTATTTTCCCCCCGTCGGACGAAGATGAATTCGAATTGTAGTACAGCTGTAACCGACGATCCGCGGCCTTGGCCTCTTCTGAAATCTTTGCGCTACCGTCGTCGTTCTTGTCTCCAGCAGAACTGCTCCACTTATTGTCCCACCGTGGCAGATTCTTGTACAATTTGGACCGCACACAGAGCGTCTCATACTCGCCGCCCTCTCCGCACACATGGAACCCAAACTGCTCGTTTAACTTCTCAAACACGCCGGGAGGTGGGGGAGTGGCTAGAGTTCTTGCGTTTTGATGTTCTACTTCTGCGTGAGAAATTTCATTGGACTTGTAGTAGTAGTACGGCGAGGAATTATAGAAGTCTTCATCATAAGCTTCATCACGTAGTTCACCACCAGCAGACCGCCCACAAAGTTTGCCGTTCGAGCTCAAGTCCCGCAACTCCTTCCCGAGATGTTCCTTTCCCAAACCCATGGAGCACACTTTCACGACGATGGCCTCAAAATCTTGGTCGCAGTTTGTGTATCCAGTGAAAATATGGCTGGGTCTGGAAACTTGTGATGCAAGAAAGGAAATGTTAGTGAGCACACTGTAATGCGCTGCCAAGCATGACAAGTTTTTCCGCGGTTCTGAGCTGCGTACTACGCATGACAGGCAAGAGGAGCTCTTTGCAGCTTTGACGCAACACAGAGTTCAGAGTCATGCCAGACTAGCATGACAAATGTCGCAATTCCCAGACCCAGACGTATTTGCAGTGCATATCATGCTGTTCAGCACGATCTCCTGGGGGATTTTCCACAAGTAGCTATACGACGTCAACCCGAGCCGCTGGCACACGTTCTCCACGCGCAGTCTCTGGTAGTCGGAAAAAATCGCACCGCAGCACACCCCGTGGAGCTTGTTTTCTTCCGTGGAAAAGCGGGCGATAGCGGCTTGGAGAAGGCGGTAGAGGTCCTCGGTCTCGTCGTGGTTATCGTCTTCATCAACATCGGAGTTATTTGAGTTTTCATCTTTCTTATCTAGTGTTTCAGACTCAGAGCAGTCGCCCTCGTTATTGTCGTAAAACAAATCCGTGGCGAGCGCTCTGCCCTGGATGGGGCGCTGAAGGATCGGCAGCCCCATGGCCTCCGCAATCTTTGGGACCAGATTGGTGCAGACCGTTTGGTTATGCTGTGCAAAAGTATCGCACTCGTAGTAATTGCAGTCATGCATTACAAATTTCTTTGTCAAGGTAAATCCGCATTACAAATGTTATTTCTCACGCAGAGGAAATTTGTAATGCATTTATACGAGTACGATGCTTTTGCATTGCATATTGGTACATCCACGAGTCCAACTCGTCCGTCCCCGGCATGGCAGACCGGAGGGCGTCGTATTTGTCATGAGTGGCGCCGCCCTGTGCACCAGAAGCGGGACTGTACAAATTGCAAATCCCCACGATTTATGGATTGCAAATATGTCTGGGTCTGGAAACTTGTAACGCTAAAAGTGAATGAGATTTCCACTTCAATACGGAGCCAAGCATGACAAATTTTTGGGCTCCTATGTGTTGCGTGTTCCGCCTGGCAAACTGCGTTTCTGCATGACAGGTAAGAGGACAGTTTCGTGCCCATGCATCACAGATTCTTGAGCCATGTCAGACATGCATGACAAAAGTAGTAATCTTCCAGACCCAGACATTTTTACTTTTGATACGATTTCGAAGTCGTTTTCCCGAATTTCCTGCAAAATTTGCATGTTGAACAAAGAATCCTTGCCCCCGGAAACCAGGCCGACAACCCGTTTCTTCGCCGGAGTTGCAGTTGGGTAGTTCTTCTGTTGAAAAAAATTCATTTTCGATGGCTGTTGTGAAGTCGTGGAGGTGTTGCCGTTGTTGTATCCCGTAGGACAAGAAGAGGGCCAGTAGTTGTTGTGGAAAACTTGCTGCTTTGTATTATTGCCGGACGAGGAAAAGGCCGAGTAGTTTGGCTTTTGGTTTTTGTTTTGTGGAGAACCCCCTCCTGCTGTCCCTGTGCCGCGACGAGGGCTTGATACTCCGGGAAACAGCCCCGAAGGTGTAGTGCTGCTGTTCTCGTATAATCTCGGAGTCGGACCACTAACTCCTGTCGCATAATCATCCTTGCTGTTCCGATTGTAAAAATTGGTGCCGAGGACATGATCATTTTGATCTTGACAGAAATTATCGTACTTGTTCTTTCGGGGACTAATCATTACCGGTGGCAAGTTGATATCTTCGTAGTGATATGGGCTTTTGTTCTCACGACCTTGTCGTTCTTCTTCGTGGTCTTCTGCTGCCGGCTTCATTCCAGTTCTACTGTCTTGAGCTTCTTGCGGCCCGCGTGGTGAAGAGGACACACACTGCTGCGAGGAAATTGTGTCCTCACGACCATGATTTATTTTCCAGTTAGAATACGCATCTTCCTCATCCACGGAGAAGTTCTTGTCGTGATGACTGAATCCCCATTTTTCATACACGTCGTCCTGCGGCGCTGGAGGACTCTTCTTGCCGATGTTGCCAGCACAGTCGGATTTTGATGTGTTGCGGTGGCCGGAAGTAGCACTTTCGTTGCCCTGGGCAACAGATGGACCACTACATTGCTCCACCGTAGTACTACTAGCATCAGTTGTCTTAGTCTTGCCACCGGACGAGCAGGATCCGACCCTCCCGCTGTGCTGCCTTACTAGACCAGACCGCGGCGTTGCCGGGGGAATTTCTCGAACAACGTCATTTGAATTTCTACTAGTAGAAGTTGTAGCAGCTTCACCTCCTCTCATCTTCACGAGATCAATCCCAGCTGCACTAGCGGCCTTCGGGACGACGACCGGCGGGGGAGCGGAAGGGGATGGTGGTGATGTAGTAGCATTTTGATTTAGTTTGCAGCCTTGAATGTAATCGTAATCGTCGTCTCCATCCTTGCCACTTCTCCCTAACCCTAACGTGCTGTCCGGATTAGCTACACAACTTCTACGGAACGGGGAAGAAGGTGCTGGTCGTCGCGTGCTTGGATCATAGACAAAATTGGCAGGGTATGGAATGTAAAACTGTCTGGGTCTGGAAGAATGCGCGATTTGTCATGCGGCTTTTCCATGACCCATGAGGTCTGGAATGCAGGACCTAGCATGACAGATTCTGTGCGATCTTTCTCATGCCTATCCTGCATGAGAAACTGCCTCCCGACTTGGTCAAAACTGGGCGACTTTTGGTAATCACGCAACACAGATTTTTGCATGCTGCAGATTTAGCATGACAAGTTGCATTCTTCCAGACCCAGACATTTTTACATTTGATACAGGCGGCCCCACACGACCGCAGCTCTCGTCATCGCCAGTAGCGCCACAATCATGATCTTCATCTTCATCTGCTTCATAATTTTCACTACCAGTAGTTGCAGATATACTGCTGCTCCTCTTTTCCCTCCGCGAAGGCGGTGGTCCAGCAGCGCGTGGCGCTGATGGCGTGCGGTTTTTCACGTCTACTGCTTCAGCAGAACGACCATCGGATGCGCCGGTACTAGCTGCTGCACCAGCTGTTCCCCTGGAAATTGTACGACCGGCATTTTTCGCGACTCCGGCTTGGGCTTCCTCATTCGACGCAGCTTGTTGCTTGGTCCCACTTGAACTTGATGAGGGCCAGGCATTGGTTTTGTTCCCGCTGGTGCGCATTTTTTTTACCAGTGAAAGACCCCCAGATGTTGAAGTCGACTTTCGCTGCGCCGGTACGGATTTCGGGCGTGGGCTTTTCGCGTGAGAAAGCAACAACCCAAAGTTGGCAATCCGCCGGGCCTCGCTACCCTGCTTGGCGTAAGATTTGTTCTGCTCGAGGAAAAAGAGCCGGTTTTTCTTGGAAAGATGATAATCTCGGCTGCACGACTGGTCGTTATCTTTACCAGAAGAGGGGTGCACCTGTTGGGAAAACGCACGACCGCGGGTAGTTAATGTAATATTGCCAGAGCTCATGTTGCTGTTGTGGCTGTCCTGCAGCTGTTGTTCTTCTTGCGGCTCTGCTCCCCCCGCCGTTGTGCTAGAGCTACCGGAGGAACAAGCGCCGGCCGTTGCTTTTGCCTCGCGGCCCACAAATAATTCCATACTGTCCTCCGTCTCTTGGCTGGGGTCTTGCACTTCTACAGGTCGCCGCTCCACCTGTGGAGATTGCTCCACTTTACTTCCAAGACCCGCTGCTGCACACTGTAGCGCTTCTTGCGGGTCGTGACCTTCTTGCTCTTGCGTCAACATCTTGGGTACTTACTAGCACTTCTCCGGTGGAGAGACTAAACAGCAAGATGAACCTGCTGCACCGCCGAACTTCTACCTGCTTCAGACTAATCTAAAAATGAGAGGGACGTCGAGTCGTGGTAGTTAATAAACAAGTAAGGGGTCAGTGTCAGAAGTAGAAGTTGGTGCTGGACCATCGAAGAACGAGGAAGGGTAAGAATCCTCCGGCTCATCTTTTGTTTGTGATGTTGAAGAAAGGAAGTAGATTATATTTTCCAAAGGAGTATGACAGTAGATATGCTCGAGAATTGTGTGGCAGTTCTTGTACTCCTTAGAATACGTAGAGGGTATTAGCTGCTGTACTACAAAAGGAAACCATAGAGACCATAGCGACCAAACAGACCATAGTGCCCGTCTGTACCTCACACTTCTTTTTCTTACACGACACTATCGTAAAGAAAAGCGCCTTCTCAGGCGGAAAACATAAACGGGTGAAACGAGCAGGTCGTAAGAGAGGACTGTGTGAAGCAGTGCTTAATATTACCACCTTGGAGCATGACGCTCGTGCTTTGTGTGTTTTGGGACGGCAGGGTAAAAACAAGCTGTAAAAAACTAGCTCGCTGCTTCTTAGGTTGACGTTGATCTGAATAGAGAATAAAACAAATAGCCAAAAAGCGAATTATACTAACCGTACGTAAGTAGAGAGGCTTTTTGATGACCTATCAGACCATAGTGATACTAGTCCAAAGACAGCCGGAGTCGCCTCCTCGACCTGGAGAGAGTAAGTAGGCAGGTGAAGATCTTCATAATGGAATCAATGAAGCGTTTGACCATTTTTGCGGCATTTAGAGCATACGGATAATAATTGGAAGAAGTTGTTGAACCGGTCTAATTGTATTCTAGCTCCTCCATGCCATTGAAGACACGACTTGGGATCTTCGACATTGGAACAAATCTGAGTGTTTGTATACTACTCAGAAAAGTCGTTTGAAGGTTGATCCGCTTTGTTCCTCTTCGTGTGTCACTGTGGTCTCGATCATTTTCATTTATGTAATTTCCCTGCTGATAAACATACTCACATCCTGGATCTACTAGTACTACACCCTCCAAGCAAAAGCTCTTCGTTCTTCTTGCTTCGCAAGAATCTTTGTTCCTGTTCAATAACACAACAGTACAAAAATACAGTATTTTACGATCGCCAAGTGCAGTTTTCTGGGGATCTTCGCGTGCAGCTCCGTAGAAGACCAGGGTCAAGGAGGCGGAACAGAAAGCCACTTCTATACTGGGCGCACGAAAGAGCGAGAACTTCTCCAACTACCGGAGAAATAGAGGCTGATCCGTCATCTACACAACAAAGAAAGAAGAGAAAACAGCTTTCAAGTGCGTTGCATGGAGGGCCAAAGCTAGATGCGTGGCAGTGTTAACTTCAATCCCTGTCAACCTGTCAGAATTTCACACAAAGACGAAGCTTTTCGTGTGGGGAGTTTTCGGAGAGTGCCAGTGCGAAAATTGTACAGCACGCTAGTACAAGTCGTTCGTCGTTGTTGTAAAAATTCAAAAGAACTACGTAGATCACGAGCACAGTGGAACAAGGCGAGATGTATGAAAATGCTCAGAGCCTAAAGATCTTGGGTTTTTGTCGATCTTCAATCACGTCGAGTCAGGTACTAGGCGTAAACTGGTCAAACGTGAAAGCAGCGAAAAAACTAGTGAAATTCCCAGGAAGGTGCGTGCTTTACACGTACAAATCAACGGACTCAGGTCGTAAACGGCTCGAACGCGAAAACAGCGAAAAACTAGTGAAATTCCCATGAAAATGCGTGCTTCACACGTACAAATCGACAGACTCAGGTCGTAAACGGCTATCAAACAAACAGGAACAAAGCCACGTGGTCATCTACTTTAGAACTCAAAGCTATTTGAAACAAAGCGCTGCATCATTCTCGCACATCTTCGAGTCCCCTCGTGGTCATGCTAATAGAGCATGATCATTAAGTATGTAAGATCAACAACCTCCACGAGTATGGAGAACCAGTAGAGCGGGGATGTCACCCTTCTCGTTTTAGATGTATGATCAACACGGGCAGCACATTGTAGTTCCGGCCTTGTAAGGAAGAAGATTTTATTCGATGACTTGCGTTCATACTGACCGATGAAACAACTGTACAGAAAGTCGCCGATGAAGAAGTGGGTCGACTCGTCCGTCGGCTACAGGAAATTAATACATCACGACAAGGCAGCGCCCAGTTTTTTTATCCTGTGCCTGTGGCGGAAGATCCGAAGGGGTTTGTTCCTTTATCTGAATTAAAACAAAAACGCCACTCTTTCTTCGAACTGAGAACAAAAACCGCAAAAAGTCCATATAGTATTGTTCTTTCTGGATTTTATAATTCCTGTTGCTGCTACTTCCTTTCGCACACTGTCCTCTTCTTCGTAATCATACAGGCCTCAGCTTCTTGGTGCGCTGCCACCTTGAGTTTCAGTTTCTTGTGCAGAACATATCATCTGCTGAGTTCTTTGTGAGGTGATGGCGAAGCTGGTTGTACATGAGATTTTCTGTAGTTTCTCACGTCACAGTGCAACTAGACGAGAATCACAGCAGCAGTTCTTTTCCCCTCAACAACATGAAAATTGGTCTACAAATGCGAACATTTGCGAAAATTGAAAAAACGCTGCTTTGCGGAAATCATTTGTTGAACATTCTACACAAGAAAGTTCTACGCCTGTGATAGCATTATTTTACACGAGTCTGGATTTATACGCTATTTAGATCATGATAGCGGTGTAGCTCCTCTTTCTAGAAGTTGTTGTAGACGCCGTTTATTAGTATAGCTAATTGCTTATGCTCAGAAGCACAGCAAACAAGTCATGGGCCGAAATCCTGAAAAAAATGAAGTAGAGCTAGTAATTGCACTAGCACTATATGTAGTAAATTGTCCGCACTAAAAACAACTTTCGTCCGCGACTTTCTTTCATCTTTTTGTAGCTTCCATACCTGACCAAAACGAAGTCCGGCGCTTCGGATATTAATGCGACCGCCCACACAAAATCAAAAAAACGTATATATAGAGGATTCAAATTATACAGCTTGCTGCAAACTTATGCTGTGCTTGCTCAAAAAGAGGCGGATTCTTCCGCAGTTTCAAAGAAAGGGCTCGTCTTTTTTGTCACACAAAGCTGTACGAGGGCGGCTCTTTCGTCGCCTTCTAAAGTAAGCAGGGCGGAGGCTTTATATAAATCTTCTCGGTGGCAGAGCATCTTTACCGAACGCGTGCTGCTGGGCCCTCGTAATGCTTCCTTCACTTAGTACGGCCTTCAAGCCTCACGCCGCGCGCGGTTGCCACGCGGGGAGCGAGATCGCGAGCCAGATCGCGAGCGAGATGGCGAGCGAGATGGCGAGCGAAATCCCGAGCGCCGAGATCCCGAGCGCCGAGACCCCGAGCGCCGAGACCGCGAGCGCGATTGCCTTCTCTGTGGTGAGGAAGAAGAGGACGGCGCCGACTGGGGCCGCGTGGCTAGTGGCGTCTTAGACATAGAGGGATCGGGCGCGGGGCGTCTAGTATCTACTCCGGCGGAAGAACCCGGAGGCGATGCCCGCCGGTAAAACTGTCTGGAATCATCCGAGTCGGGTTCTGGGCTTCGAATCTCGTCCCCGCCTCTGCTGGGAGAGAACGGCGGAGGCCGCTTCCTGTTGCTGGAGCCGAGACGTGCTTTGGGCTCGAACTTTCTTCCTTTCGCCGGTGCGCTCGGTGAGTCTGGACTACGCAACTCCCAACTTTCTTCTGAGCCTACGAGGGCATGCTGGGCCTGTGCATACTCCATGATGGCGTCTGCCAGAGGAGAAGTGAAGTATGCATATCAAATATGTCTGGGTCCCGATCTTTCTACTGGAAAAGAAGAAGCGCAAACCTGTGATGCAGCTTCCTATGGAAACAAGAATGCACAACGGGAACCTCGTCCAGCGTTGTATGAGTAGCAAAACAGAACCTCTCACTTTTGATGGTCATGATGAAAGAAGATTCTCAGTGCGGCTGAGGAACAAAGCTTGCTATGCGACAATAAACATCTGAACTCAGCGTCAACATCAGGTCGGACGACCCAGACATATCTGTGTGTGATATGAAGTCCTCAAATTTGAGGAAGTCCTTCAGACTTCTTTCCACTAGGAGTGCGAGATCGTGCAAACAAGGCCCATGCTTCCCTCGGACTACGTCGTCTACGTCCAGTTTTCTCCAATCCACGAATAGCGATAGCGTTGGCGTACCGTCACCATCTACGCGTTCGCGACGTTCGATCAAGCCTAACTCCCGTATTGCATCCCGGTGTCCACAACTATGAAACTTATGAACCGCCCCGTGGTGCCCAGTCCAATTCAAACAGGATGGCCCAAGCCCACCATTGAACCAATCCGGCGGGTTTGTGTGACTGTAAGACGTGGTGATCAGGTGCGGCAGGTGGCTCCGAAGTTCTTGGAAGTCGAGGTCTGGAGAGCGAACCTGGTTAGGGGCGCCGGTTCCGTTAACATGGGTAGTAAAACTGCGTTCGCTGACGAAAATGTTGGCGTAGGGCACCTGTTTTAAACATCCCCTCGATACAGCGAAGATTGAGTCGTGGCAGGGTTGATTCGGACCGAATTGTCTGTACTTGTTCAGCGGAATATGAGACCTCTCGGTTTCGGGGTCGTTCAGCATGTGAACCAGGCCTACCGGCTGTCGCCGGCCTCCGGGTTGATGGCGATCAAACGGTACACCGATGGTTGACTTTATGGCCCGAATCGCTTGCAGAAACGCAGTTTGAAAATCTGGTGGTAGCTGCCCCTTCGCACCGCTCGCACCGTGGAGGGCTTTGGCCTCCTGCGGTAGCTCCGTGGTGGAGCTCTGACAGAAAATGTCACCCTCATACGTGCCTGTTTTGTCGCGCAAGGTCCCAGGGTCATAAAATTGTCCCGGCGCCCAATTCCGTGCCCCCAGGCAGAGGCTGTGCACGCAGCAATTGTGATGGCATCGGCAGTACTCTACGTGCGTGCACGTCTTAGGAGTGGGAATTTGATCCATTACGTGATGAAGCCCATCCTTATCTTCATAGCACAGTAGGCAGTGGCGCTCAAGTGGCTGGAGCTGAGCAAGTAGGCGCCGGATGTTGGTTTCGTTCCAGTGCTGCAAAAACAGCGCCATAAAATCGCGAAAGAGGGGGCGCTCCCAAGATGTAAAATCGTCGTCCCTTATTTGCGCTACGTCACAAAGCACCGAACCCTGCCGGACCTTGGACATTGCGTCTTGCGTGCAGGCCCACTTGTGAGCGTACCATGCCCCCTGTCCATGCCCAGGGCCGGACGCGGGGGAATTGGATTTCCATTTCCTCCACCCCTGCCCCTCATACTGGTTACTCAGCCATGGCATTTCCCGGAATTTCTCTGCGACCGGTTCGCGTACGTGTTTACTTTTCCAGGGAGAAGACCACGGAGTCTCTACTCCTCCTTGGTCAGTCCCGCTACGAATCTTTTTATTTGCTGACGATTCCGATCCCCCAGCTGCGACGCCGTCGCAGAGGTTTGGTTGTATACCAGTACCACGGGAGGTGGCGTTACCTTCAAGGAGATGAGACGCGCACGCGGTGGTTGCGGTCGACTCGTTCCTGCGTTCGTGTTCCCGCACGCGTTGCCTCAGCAATTCCAGTGTGTCATTCACTACCCGCGACAACACGAAGTCGGCAACTTCGTCGGTAAGGGTCTTCTGATACCGCTTTTGCGCCTGGGAGTAGTGAGCCTGGCCCATCATGTTGAAAAAGTGCCCCGCTCCCGAAAGTTGGAAATGCTTCTGATGCAAAGTTTCCATAAAACGCAAACTTTTTCTCTTGCTAGTCCGATCGCAACCCCACACGCTACCACCTACTGGAAGCCCACAGCCAAACCTGTCAACTTTTTGTCTTGCATGGAAGGACTGTATCAACGAGTCTTCCCGGGGATCCAGAGTCTAGTCGTGGCGCAAAGCAACCGTTACAACACGACAAGTTGTCCGGCTCTTGGTGGGACTTTTTTAAACACTATATACTTTGGTAATGGTTGTATTCTGAAAAAAGGGAAGTTTCCTGTGACGCTGATGCATGCAGCTATGGGGAAAATATTTCCATCGAAAGAAATTGGAATTACTACTTCCGCGTTCTAGAGTAGAGGCGTTCTTCAACATGGTATGAGCCGTCTTTTCCACGTCCGTTTCTTGAGGGAGCACAAGGCCAACGCCGCGAACCCCAACAGAGAACTTCCAGAACCTATTAGTATTCTCCGACCACGCGTCCATGGAAGCCGGGTGCTCCGACTCCACCAGTTTCGAGAGGAGGCATGGAGGATACTTTCTTATGTCGAATAGCGAACAAGAGTATTCCTCGATAATATCACACAGAAAAGCACAGCACCAGTAACAGCACCTATACAATATTCGAAGTAAAAATGATAATTCGCCATTATCATTCTTGTATACCAGTTTCTTTCAAGGCCTCGTATTAGAAATTCTTTCCCCGCTTCTCTGATTCCACCTGGTCCGCATCGTAGTCTCAGGCACAGGCTGCATCTTGCATAAACGAAAAAGTGCCTGTCCTGCTGAAGCTAACTCAGCATCATCAACACAGCGAACTACTTAGTGATGCCAGCACATCATGCACAACTGCAGGCCGAATAATCTCGAACCAATCAAGGTCGTGCTGTGAGTGTACATGTTGTCATCTCTGTGATATTCCGGCTCCAACCCCCCCGGTTTGGAGGAGGACATGGACGACGTGCTTCTTCTCGACATGAACTTCTTGTGGTCATCCAGCCACTGTGACGGAAATGCCTGGTCTAGCTTCATCCCGAACGTTTGTCGGGGGAAACGTGCTGCCTTACCTGAATTCTGCAAAGCGTCGTCGCTGAGAAGCCCCTGCTTGACCAGTTCATACGCAGGGACGTATCGGCCCCAGATGGCTGCGAACTCTCTTGCCAGGTTCGCGACGGCGTCTCTCAAATTTCGCAGCTTCTCCTGCGGCTGAAGAACACGAGAGTTGGCGCGAGCGATTAGCGAGGACATCGCGTAGTTACCTGCCCCCAGTGCTGGCTCCGCCCTGCTCCCTGGCGTGTGCAGTATGTTTGCGCCGCCTAATACCGGGCTTGATTCCACTTCGCCTTGATCCAATTCGAACCTGAAGCGCCGCTGCCATCTAGTGTTTTTATTCCCTGTGCCTTTCTCGACAGCTTTCAGACCCCCGCTGCTTTCGTCATACTCCAAAACGCAACGGCGCTCCACCACTCTTCCGGCAGAAGACGCGGAGGTACCCTTGGTCATTCTTCCGTCACTCTGCGCAACCTCCAGGAAAAACTCATCCGAATCCGTGATTGTCGGGCGGCTTGAATCACGTACGATGCGACCAGGCTCCAAATCCCCGCTGCCGCTCCTGGTCCGCACGATGCGAAAAAACATCCTCGCGTCACGCCCCTTCTCCGCTTCAACATCGCTCTCGGTGGGACTGTATTCTTCCTGCAGTGCCTTTGCTCCGCTTGCAAGGAAAGCGTCCCAAAAGACCTTGAGGTGTCCGCGCGCACTTGGAGGAGGCACAACAGCCAGGGCACTAGACGCTGGCGCACTCCTATTGGCCCCGCTGGGGGAAGAGGCCTGCTCGCCCTGCTGCCGGGATGTGGATGCCTGCTGATGGGTGCTTTGTTCCATATTCAATTGCAGAACAAATCCACCGGCCGGAGAATCGTCTTCCCCGTCCGCGTTCTCGGGCGGCGAGATCACCAGCACATCCTGGTCGCTTATGTCTTCGCGCAGGGCGTCACTTTCGTCCTCCCCTTCGTCTCTGCCCCGCCCAGCTGCTGCGGAATCCTGGTACGGTTTGCGCGAAATCGTCCACCAAACAGGGTCAGTTGTGGACTCATGTGCTTCATCCACATATTCCGCAAATTGGGCCTCCCCATTCTCTAGTGCGTGCAGGCAGTGCTTAATCGGCTTAGAAGACCGGCCAAAAGTGTCTGGTGCACTGCCAGTGGAGATCCCAGCAGCGCCTGGCGTCGACTCCGGAACGGCTAAGCAGATTTTGGCCTTGCCATGGTTCGGTAAGGTGAGACCGATTTGCGATTGAATTACGCCGTGGGGATATCCAGGAAAAAAACTGCGTAAGTGTAACTTTGTAGGACAAACAGCATCACGATCACAGTTTGGCTTTGCATTACAGGGAAAATCTGTGATGCGCCGATAGCACGTGAAAACACGCATGAAAATAGCCTATGACGCACATCCAGCATGACAAGCGTATACACTTTTGCATTTCCTGCATCACAGACTTACACTTACACAGTTTTTTTCTTGCATAGGGGAGCACGTACGAATAGGTAATCGGTCGTGTACACATGTCGGAAAACCTCGATGAGGTGGATGACAAGGAAGTCCCCTCCTGGGGTGGCCAGCTGCGCTGCCAAGCTCTTTCCGACCTCATCGTCGGAGGTATCCAGTGCAAAAGCAGAAACTGGCATACTTCACACCGGTCGCATATCACCACAGAACAGCGCTCTGCGAGGAGAAGTGTAGAAGTTCCCTTCTCTTTTACAGAAAACACTCACTATCATCTGTCTGCAGTGGCAAAAACATGTCAGCCAGTAAAACAAAGCAAAGCAATGCATTCTACTTCTCAGCCCGCAAATCATATACGCGATGCCAAATCAATACAAGGCCAAGTCGCTTATATATTCGCAAAAATTTATACAAATAAATCCCCGACGAGGGAAGTTTCGCTTTAAGCAGGTATCAAGCAAAGGAATGCACATAATGAAAGGGGTGCGCTGGCGATTGCGACACATAGACTCGCCAGGTTTGCTTTTGCGCTCCATAGTACCTTCCGAGGCTTTTGCTGTCCTGGGCCAAGTCACGTTGCAAAGCTTTCTTGTATGGAAGCAAAACCCTGAAGCAAGTCCTGCGCGTGTTCGTCTTCGTTCGTGCATCATACAACATACTATAGAAAATATATCTTTCTTCTGAATGAGATCATGCCCACTCTTTTTCAATTCTCTCTTGCTTTGCACTTGCGGCTTACAACACACACATGTCACGCAGCTCTACATGGGTCTCGACCTCGAGGGAAAAAAATTGCGCTACCTTTATAGCTGAACAAGCTGAGTCACGCTACGTCCATGTTCACAAATTTGTCTTGGTTTCGATAGGTTTTGCATCTGGGTAGCCTCAGGACAAACTCCGGCAGGTCGACGTACCTTGCGGCCCGCAGCAAGGCCAAGTCGCTTGCGTTTGAGGTTGTGGCTTTACGGGATCGTGACAGTCCGGAGTTTGAAGCCCTTTGCGAGTCGTCGGTGCCCTCATGATTTTCAAGATAATGTCGGGAATAACCACCCCCGCCCTCAAGAGTGATCGGGGCCAAAATATTCCCACCTCCCCCTCCTCCGGCTGCGGGCGCTGGCTTTGAGCCAGGCGGGTTATGAACGCCCGCCACGGCCTTGGCGCCAATACTAACCGCGGTCGCGCTGTGACTCGCTCTCGTGATTCCGACATGAACAGCCTCCCTGGCGGATACCTGAAACTCCTCGGTCTCCTCCTCGCTTTGATCAAATTTACCCAGCTCCTGGTAGGTGGCGTAGTGCGTCCCGTAGACTTCGAATAACTTGTTGACGCTTTTTCTGATGGCTGGCGCGAGCTTGGTGCACAACTGGATATCATGATCTACGTGTGCTGCTGCTGGATCCACTGCGCCCTCACTTCTTCCACTTGCGCTGTGCGCGGCGGTCTTTGCGCTGCTTGCTCTACTGCTATGGCTAGCGCACAGTACTCCGAGGTACCGCATCAGGCTCGAGTATTTCAGAGAGGGTTCTGTTTTCGTTCTATCTGTTGCCCCCCTCTCTAGCTTCAGCAGCAGCCGCTCCTTCGCGCTTGTGCTCTCCTTGTTCGCACCAGTGGCAGCCATGTGCTTTTGCTCGACCTTCTTTAGGGCCTCCTGCACGAGGTTGGAGACGCTTTGCAACATCTGCTGTAGACCTTCACTTAGGCGAATGCGCTTGCGAGCTTCGGCACTTAACGTATCAAACTCGAAGTCATACTCGGGCCTGTGCCCGTTTTCTCTTTGGCGGTCACTATAGCGGTTGCGTCCGAACTCGTCCCAGCTGTCTCGGATTGTTTCGTCTTTGGAGCCATGGTGTGCAGTGCAAATATGTCTGGTTCTGCATGCGGTGTTGAATGCTAGATGATGTACTTAACTGTCAGTCAGACGAGAAAAACTTGCAGTGCCTGGTGAGCAGGAAGAGTCACGCACCCCTTTCCACGCTGCAACGAGGGGATTTCTCAGGCAAATTAGGCATGGAAGAGCGCCCTCAGATCCCGTGAAGGTGCTACACCTCGTCCATCACGGACGTCCGCATGCATTTTTGCAGTCCCAGACATATTTGCAGTTGATATGCGGTGGTACCTGCCTGCAGCCCGGGCTTCCACAGCACCCTGAAAGCCCAGGGCTGTGATGCCGCCATGGCCAGAAGTTTCGAGCTCGGAAATGCGCGCGTCATAGTATTGAGATCCCGTGCTGAGGGCAGAACTCGTTGCGCCCCGGGTCCTGCTTGTGCGCGTAGTTCTCACACCGTTGCTCGGTCTAACGAATCGAGCTCCATGCCTTCGGTTGTTCTCGCGGGTTATCAGCATGAGAAGTGGCCCGAAGAGTTTGATGCGTTGCAAACTTACCATCAAATCATACATTATCATGGAAGCTTTATGTATTACGGGGATCCCTATGCGCCTCAACAACCCATGGTCAATCACTTAGGCTTCGCGGCCGAGTCCTTGGGGCATGATAGATTTCGGAATGGTGATTAGCGCTAACTACGAAGGAAAGCGAGTGTCACTTTGTTTCAAAGTCCCAGCTAGTTTTGTAGCTTCAACGCGACTGCGACAAACGCAACTGATCTTAGCCCTTCGGCGTCGCAGCTTGTTACTTTCATATAGCGCAACTTTGCATCTTCTCTGGGGTAGGGGCACTTTTCAATATGATACGGGCTTGCTGCGCTTTCGAACAAGCTGCGTCGAGCTCGTCGTGTTTCCTTTTCGCAGCTTTCTTTCGCTCCATCAAAGTATGCGTGGCAAAAGTTGCATCGCACCGGCAAAAAATGCATAATGACAGTTTGTTTAATATTTGCCCGGGAAAACACAGGAGAAGTTTGCCACACATTTATTGCAAGTGCTGCGAGATCTGGCACTACTTACGATGCAATATAATCGCAAGTACTGCGAGTACGGTGCAGCTGTTGCCATGCATACAAAGCCGTCCTCTCCTGGCGAAGCCTCTGTGCCTCCTGCCCGTCAGTTTCTGCCTTTGCCTTCGCCTGCAGCTCAGTGTAGTCCTTTAGGCGTTGTTCCGCGATGGCCTCGGCATCTTCGAGATCCTTATACTCGCCTTCCGCCGCGACTTTTTCTGCTGCGAGAGGGAGTTGCTGTTCGTCATCGGCATCAAAAAAACCAAAGATGGGAAGTCCGCGCATTTCCGGCTTCACGCTGTTTATGACAGTTCTCACGCGCTGATCGACCGTTTTTCCCCACACCTTGACACCACGAAAAACCCCGGCTCGATCTAGCGTCGCGAATGCGTCTTCGGGAGAGCCTTCCATTAGTGTTCTGGTACTACCGATGCCGCAAGCAGGACGATCAGACTTACCACTTGGTGGTTGTGGTTTTGCCGCAGCTCCAGCAGGAGCAGCACCCTGAGCGGTAGATCCAAACTGCGCCGCATATTTGGCATTGGCCGACTGCAAGAGCCCGCCTGATTTTTCTGCGGATAAGAGATTTTCGCTCGCTATATTCTTCTTGTCCGTTTCCGCTCTAGAAGGGATATGCTAGTGGACCACTCCTCCTCCCCTCATTTGTCATGCACAATACCAAATTCACATTCAGTGTCAAGAGTTTGGTCCTTGTGGACGTGGTTGCATCAGAAGTTTTGCGAGTTCAAACTGTCGCTGTCCTACGCGTGCGCGTCGGGCGTTTTCATGCAAAGAGAAACTGCATAATTTGTATAGCAGGTCGCTTACGTCAACTATTGGTGTTGCTAGAAACTACACCTTCCAAATCAATGGGAGGTGGGAGAGTTGTCCACTATGATAGGGTAAGGAGGTGGCTCCGCCTTTGGTCTTTGCTTCGGGCTTGGGAATCGTCACCAGTTTAGCGGGAAGTCGGGTTCTGTTGTCCACCTCCGCTGCAGCCTTTGCGCTGCTGGACGAAGCATCCTCAGCGTCTGCCCCAGCCGCGACGTCGATGCCGGCTTGCAATTTGTATCCCAAGGCGAAACAGATTTTTGAACGCCCGACTCCGTTGTCGAAGTGCAGGGACATGCGCAGAAGCATGCTGCTCGCTGCCGCGAGGGCAGATTTCCGCATCCAACCGCGATTGTGGACGATCATTTTGAAGAAGATCTTAATAAGCTTTTCACGAAAAAAAAATATAATTTCTACTCCCCTTACCACGACAAGGTGAGCGCATACAGAAGTTTTACTTTTGAGTCCAGAAACGGCGACTTCTACACGCGAAGGACAAGGAACTACCCTCACCAGATCCAAAAGGACACGTGATCACGACTAGCCTATAGTGCTTGTACACGAAAAATGAAACGGGCGAAATCAATTGCGGTGCTCTTGTTGTTGCAGAAGATGTTGATGTGCTGAGAGTACTTAATCTTGTTCAAGTGCTTTATCTTATTTTTTCTTACAATTTTTTATCAGAAATAAATCAATGCCAAGAGATGAGAAAAAATTTTCTTCTTTCGAAGTCTCGAGCCTTTCAACAGATGAAAAAGCTCGGAAGTTGTTGTGCGAGATATAGCTGTAAAGAGATTTTTTGCGTCATAAACAAGAATGATTCAGGTTTCAAGAGAGACCTTTGATAGTCTGATGTTTCAGATCTTTCTACCTTTTCAACGCAAGCAGGAGGTGGTCTACTACTTATTTCAGTTGATACGAGAGGACGGCTTGCAGTAGAGGATTGATTTAGCTTTTACACGACGAAGAATTTTCCTTGTACTAGCTTTTTGAGAAGCTGCAAGAAAAGCCTGCGAGGAGTGAGGTCAGTTTGTATAGATACTGATTAAAAGCCTGTCGTGGGGATTATGAAAATTCAGAAAGTGTTGTAGTGACGACGTGCTAGGACTGGCTGCAACCACGGGGCGTGCAAGCGAAACGAGAGCTATGAAGCAGCTCAGCTTCGTACTTAATTTTCAGCACAGTGATCGAGAGCATGATGATCTTCACCGCAAATATAATTGAACTCCAGATGAACACCATCCAGAAACTAAGCCATTCGGGTGGATGAACACCATCAAATGTTGGGATCCGGGCTGGTAGATCGGAGAGAATAACTGCTGGATCACCATGCTGATGCGTCATCTTGCGGCTTTCTTGATCAAATTCATTTTGCAGAACCCGGATCCACCTGGAGGAACTCCTGAACCCCACGAGATCGTCGTACTATACAGGAGACCTCCACGCCCCACGCGTTCTTGTTGGCAGAGTGTAAAAGCTTGGAACTGCATGGCTTCGTGATCATGATGAAGGTCTTTGGGCTCAAGATCGCAAAGATCTGAAAACGCGTTTGCTGGATCTGCATCTGCATTCTTGATCTTGTGTCGATCCTCTTGTGCTTCTGCTGGTGTCAGTGTCTCCTGGATCTGCATTGATCACATCTGCTGACGATCTTGATTCTCTTCGCATGCTTCGTTGTTGGTTGTTAGCAAGATGACGATAATTTCTTTGGATCGGTCGAGGAATATACGCCAGTCTTGCCCGCGAGAGGACATTAGGAGCAGCTCTGCTGGTCGGTGCTCAGCACCAGCAGCGGCTATTTCTTTGTATCGCTTTTTAAAAATGTCTGTGCTTGCTACTCAAATTCACTTACTTACTTTATTCATAATCTTACACGAGTGAAGGCCAATGCCAATCTGAACAACATCCTTCACCTAGCAAGCGGATGAAAGCATAAGGCACACATTTGCAGCATTGTTTTTCCATTCAATCATACACGGAACAAGATCCTCTCCAGCTTATGCAAATACGTGGTAGAGCCTATCCGTATTTGCTCTCCGCAAGTTAACAAAGTTTGAAAACTCAACATGCAGAGCACTTTTATGTAAAAAAACATCTCTTGACATCTCGTACTCGTCCTAAGTAGAAATTAAAAAAAGTTAACTTTTCTTTCTTTTTTAAAGTTTTCTTTGTAGTAGTGGCTGTGGCGCGCAACAGAAATGCGGCCTGAGAGTTACTTTGAGCGAGCTTGAGGTACTAAAAGCCACTGCTCGGTTGCATAGAAATCAAAGTCGTGAACATGTTGATCACTGGCCAGCTGCTGTTTTCTTCTTTGTCTCCTCCCATCGAAATGGCAGCGATTTGTTAAATTAATTATGGTGGATTTGTTTGATTCGTGCTACATCGCCGAGCAAAAAAAAATAAACGTAAAATATTGATTTGCCCGAAGTAATTCATGTCGTACTAATATGTGCGACACCGGTTCATCTCTTTTCCGTAGATCCGCTTGCTCATAACTAGGTGCGAAACTTGTAGAAGTGCAACGCACTTTTCGTCTGTACTTGAACTAGTCACGACTGATTTAAGATGCAACTTAGAAGCACGAGTCGTGGTCAAGACCACCACCGCCTTCAGTTAATACCAGTCGTCAAGACCAACTCGACACTCACCCAGGGATGTGCTATGTCAGTCCTTGTGTTCAGGTGTGGGTTCAAACTCGCCTCGCAAGACAACCTCGCAGACGTCCCGCTACCCGAAAACGACTGCTCTCCTACGGAAACAATTTGGCCGGTATCCCAGAGAAAAACAAAGCTAGCAGGGCATTTTTGTACTATTAGTACAAACGTAAATTTATCCATACGTGAAAGCTTTTCTGGTCTCTCTCGCACAGAAACCTCCGCGCAATTATGCTATGGGCCCTCTGGTGCCCATTGATGTGTTTCGTTTGCCTATTCAATTTATTTTGCATTGCAAATACGCCCCGCTAGTAGCTTTTTTCTGTGTGATAGCCGTTGGAGAGTGGTTGCCGCGACCGGGGCCCGTGATCCCGGTACATCGGCAAGACAGGCACCGCAGCGCCCTCATCACGAAACGCTTGATAAAAATCCTCAGGCACGTCCACCGTAGCTCTGAGTCGCATGGATTTATTCGAAGCAGTAGGTCGTGCACCGGAAGTTGTGGTCGTCTCAGAGTCTAGTACTTGCTGCCCGTGTCTTCGAAGCTCTGTCTCGGAAGGAGTAGAGAGAACCACGCTCCCAACCATGTACTTGTCGTCCTCGAAATCCAGCTGCTCATACAGAAAATCGCGTTTTGTCGAGTGCTGCTCCACCTGCTGTGTCGTGGTCGGAACATGATTAATATCATCCGCAGCAGGGCCGACGGCGGAAGGATACCTGATTTCGCTAATCGTGTGTGGGTTGGCGAAAGACTTACGAAAAACGTAGTTTTCGAATATGCATTGCAAATGTGTCTGGGTCTGGAAACTTGTAAATGCTGAGTCGTGAATGGTGAGTGCTCTTGATTGTTGTCATGCACAGCCCCCAACCATGAGAAATACTCGGCAGAGCAGCCGTGTTGCGCTTTCCGCATGACAAACTGCGTCTTATTTTTATGACAAGCAAATGGGTCTCTGTCGCTCTCCCTTCTTCTTGGAAACGCATCAACACAAGCTCTTCAGTCATGCCAGGCAAGCACGACAGCCTTGCATTGTTCCAGACCCAATAAACATATTTGCATTTGATATCGAACACGTTGAAACAAGCTCGCAGAGTCGGGTTCAAGTGGTCTCCAATCACTGCCGTAAACTGCTGGGCTAGCGTGAGTTGCGGCTTCGAGAGAACGTTCACAAGCTGATCGTCCGGAGCCCACGCGCCCTCGGCATAGCAGCCAAACCTGGCCTCGGGACCGGTCTCGCATGCTGTGTAAAAACGTCCCCACCCCAAAGTCAAGTTGGAATAAAGTATCCAACAACACAAATTTGACAGTTTTGGGAGTCATGCATAACAAGTTTCTACCCGACGTATTAGAGTTCAGATTAATAAGGACAGCCGCATCTTCAGCACGAAGCCAGCAGCTCATCCTGTTCAATACAGCGTCACAAATGCTGTTGAGAAATGTCTAAAAATACCTCTCATAAGGATGCGCAAGAGCTTCCTGTAGATGCAAACCTGCATGACTACAACTTTGGGGTGTAGTGGACGTTTTTCCGCACGATACCTCGAGCCATCTGTAAGGAGTGCTGCGGCTCCGGCGGTACAAGGAGTGCTGCGGCCGAGCGGGTAACATGTTCGACCCGACACTTCGCGCCACTTTTCCGCGGCAAAATCAACCCACGTATCAACTGTAAAAATGTCTGGGTCTGGAAGATTCCGACAGGCGTCATGCACGTTTTGCATGAGCCCTGATGTCTGTGATGCATGCCCTAGCATCACAGTTTTTTCGAGAGCTTCTTGATGCCTCTTCCGCATGACAAATGCCCTCTCCGCGTAGCAAAAATTGCATTCCTCTTGGTACTCATGCAATACAGATTTTTCTGGAATCCAAATGCAGCATCACAAGTTGCATTCTTCCAGACCCAGACACTTTTACATTTGATACCACGAGGAGGACTGCAACTGTTCCTCCGCCACTGTGCGTCTATCGCGGCGATCATCCGCGTATGGATCTGTCAGGATTGAAATCGTCAAAGTTGAAATGATTTGTCATGCATAAAATGCAAGGCATGAAGTGCCTGTCTTGCCGGGATGGCAAGCGAGGCAGATTGTGAGCCTATTTAGGGTTGGGGATAGAGCTGCTAAACAAGCATGACAGAAGCAGTCTTCTGTCCCCAAACAGCATGACAAACTGGATCCCGGTGCTCGGAAAATTTGTCATGCGCCGCTTGGAAATTGGTCTTCCGACTGGTATCCATTTTATGCATGGCAAATCATTTCAACTTTGTCGATTTCAAACCTGACGCTTCCATACCGCGGTTCTTGTCTGTACTACTAGCATACTGCGCACAATATCACCGAAGGGCGCGGGGGCGAGTTGTGCACGCAACCGTAGGGGTTCCACCTCGGCCGCTTGCAGCTTCCGCAACACCGGGAGGAACAGCTGTCCCAGCGGCTTGCGCGACTTTTTCGGCAGTGTGGCCGGTAAGAATGCGCCGAGGCCGGATAGAATCGCGGCATGCTCGTCGCGAAAGAACTGGCAGTACTTTGTTGTCTGCGTCTGCTTGCCATCTACTTCAGTAGCCGTGCCTGCTTCAAGTCTGCTCTCCAAAAGAGGCACAGCAACTGGTTGCCCTACCAGTGGCAGCTCTGGCTCGTCCGCAGCGCCGTGCGGCCCAGCGGATCTCTCCACCCCAGCTGTAGTACTAGTACGGCGGCGCTTGTTGCAGGGGTGCTCCACCGGGGCCGTGCTGGCACGAGGCCCGCGCGCGCGCCGCGGGTTCGCCTGTAGAAACAGTTCCTGCTCGACCGGATATAAAATTTTCACGCACGAGAGCAGCCCGCGTTGGTTGTTCGTGTCCTGTTCGGTGGTGCCTCTGTATAAAAATGTCGGGCCCGCCCCTGCAGTTCTTGTTTTTACACGTTGCTGCTCCGTTTGTTCCAACTCAGCACGTTGCTCATACCTTGCGGCCAGCGCTTTGTTCACGTATGTGTGCAACATCTCAACGGTCCAATTTTCCCAATCGTCCTGTCCCGCCGCCGCCACGGGGGTGGCCTCGGAAGTAATATTAACTGCAGGACGAGATGATGAAACGACCTCAGCTAACAATTGTCCAGTTTTGTCGTCCAAAATCTGCAAGGCACGACGGGAAAAATAAAGGTGGTCTTCCTGTCCTGGTTGATCCTGTAGTGCAGAACCTCCGATGTTGGGAGGCGGTCGCGGGATGAATTGCGTCGAAGAAGAAGAAGAAGAAGAAGAAGCGGCTGCTGAAGTACTAGACCCGGTCGTGGCGGGTGCTGAATAATGTTGCGTAGCAAGGACACCGGCTGCAAAGGTCGGCAATGGCAAGAAGGTATTCGTCATGACGAAAACCATGCCAATCGTCGTCGCCATCAGCCCCGCGGCGGGATGAAAACCTCGTTTCGACAACATTTTGTTTTTTCTTTCAACGTCTACTGCTTTCGCCATCTTATCATGTTTTTTGCTAACGTATCAATCTCTGATGTGTCTGAATGAAATAAGTGATCTAGTACTGTGAGCGTTATGCTGATTAGATAAAAATTCGAAAAAAAAATGAATTGCTTAACATGCCGAAGTGGAAGTTGACGAGAAATCAAATGCTATGTGGACGACCTAGAAAAATTGGTTTATTTTCCAGGCTGGTGGCAATTGAATGACAAGAAGTACTGAATTAGGCGTCGAATGACACGAAGTACTGACTTTATTCGCCATGATCAAGATCGCCACGGTATGTAGACAATAGGCAGGTAAGGTGTCGAATAAATCATAAACATGGAGCCGGGATGAAATCCTGATCCTCCACCTTGATGAGCCAATAAGGTGGCGGCCTCTAATCTAGGACCTTTCGTTCTCATGGTCTAGTACTTGAGTTACTTTTTTTTTATGCGCTACAAATATAAATTTAAATAAGACCTTTCGATTGTCCTCGTCCTTTTAGATGATTCTTTCTCTTCTCTTTGTACACCAGAATTATGTCGGGTTCATTCGCTTATATCATGTGTGAGGATCCTTCCGTTCTTTTCCAAATCCATCCACTTCCTGTCATGCGAATCTTCGATCTTCGATCTCGATCATGTGACGAGGAGTGTGACTCAGTGACTACTTCGGCCGAAAACTAGAAGCTCGCATCGAGTGTCAATTGTGCTGGCGCTTTGGAGTAGAGGCTGAGGCACTAGAGCGAGAAGCTGCATAAAAAAGAACTGTGTCACGACGACCCTCACGACGGGCTCTTCCTGCTGGTGCTGCCCTTCGCGAGGTCGCTGACGCGTCAGTAGATCATTTTTCTTTACCATTGTGATCAAATGAAGGACGCTTTTATCTGCATCAATACAGGTGCTGCATTAATATCCATCGTGGTAAACTACTTAATTGCGCAGTAAGAGGGCATGCTTGGCGAGCGAGTACACACTTAGACGCAGAATGAACCTCGCAGCATTGATGATGTTGGTTCAACATTCAATCTCCTGGTACTAGCGTCCTCATGATATTATTGTCCGTGTAGAAGTCCCACGCAACCGCGAGAACTTCTGATTTGCGTTTCTTCTGACATAATGGTGACACAACTTTTTCCCCTCGAAAACCCGGGTGAAACAACCGCACGCTCCTCGTCCTCCTCCTCGTAGTTTATTCAACCACCACAGCAGCAGCACTTACACCAAGCAACGCTAATGACCGCTCTCACCGCGGCGAAAAAACGCTGCGTTTTATTTCGGGTCTGGCACGCGGCCATCCTTTACTTCCTCGTGGTCTACTTGCGTGGTAGGCTCTGCAGTCCCTGCCCTGCTTTTTTAGTACCCGACACCGTCGGCGCTGCACGGGTGGATTTCTGCACTTGCTTCCCAGCCCCCGCGGTGTTGCGAATGCAGCTTCGTGGTAGTGTCCGATCACCTGCAAGAAATGCCCGGTCCTCTTCATCCTGCCCCCGGCATAGGTAAGTACTTACCTACCACGAGCCAACTTGGTGTCCATAGCCCGCTTGCCCTCAGTGGTACGTACCGACAGGGAGCGGCGTCAAGATTGACAATAGTCGAACTTTCTTGATGATGTCCCTTACCGCAGCGGGTGTCCGTTCTTCACCGCCTTGTCCGTTCTTCATGATCATGTTGCAACTCCATCACTATTCCACCGGCTTTTCTTCTGAAACAGCAGTAAAACCTCCCGGAAGTTGTTCCTTACTTCGGACACCAGTTCGAAGTTGTAACTTTTCTGTTCTTTGTTCAGAAGAATCCGTTTGATTATTCTATCACACTTCACGCACTCCGGCATGATCGCGATGTGAATCCAGAAGACGGACTATCAAGCGGAAAAATCCACCCTCCCCATATCGAAATGGAAATCTGTGATGCAGGATATGAGGTCACAAATCGACTTGTCATGCTAGAAGGCCAAGAGCCGCAGTCGTGGTCTCGTTTGCAGGCAATTTGTCATGCTGTTTCCCACTCTCAGCTACCTCCTAGCGTGCTGAAGATGCAAGGCTCCCACACGCCACCCAGCGCTACAGTCTGCATCTTTTCGTTTTCCCTTCTAGCATGATAAAGCTGATTTGTGACCACAAATCTGCATCGCAAATTTCTAGTTTGAGTATGGGGAGGGGGGATTTTTCCTTTTGATACGGACTTCAGCGTCTCCTTCATCCCCCGAATGACCGCGTCTTCTGTACCCGAGACTTTTATCCGTACTCCGATCCGCAGCATTCCCGACTCCAGGAAGGACTCTTGGTACGTCGGAGCTAGGGCAGCCGGTCCTGCTCGTGGGGAAGGCGGTGGAGCTGCTGCTACGTGCTCGACGACGCCCGGCTTCTCCACACTGCTGGAGGTGGACACGGAAGTACTAATGTGCTCTTTGTAGGTCTGCGGAAAGCGATTTTTGTGCAAGGCCAGAAAGTTTGGATACACCACTTTCTGCAAGAAACCATCCACCGTCTCAAACTCCATGCAGGGGCGACGGGAGGTGGACGACACTGGGGAGACATAGTTCGCGCTCTTCCCGTAGTTCATTGTGCTGATCTTGTTCTCATTGTTCTGTAGTTGATGTGACGCAGCTCCTGGAGGAGGTGCAGCGGCAGAAATCCCAGCAGCTTCGCCATGATTCTTGTTCAGGACTTTCTCCATCTCCTCTTTATACTCTTCGTTCTTGCAGTTCACCCACTGCTATGCATTGCAAAACCAAAAGTACTATCGCACTACTAGCATGTTGAATCAATAGCTTAGCATTACAAACTCCCTCGAGATGAACAAAATTGCAATTTGTCATGCTAATTCAAGTAGAGAGCTGGATCTGTCGTGCATATCTGCAATTAGTACGAGTGCGATACTTTTCTTGCACAGGATAACTGCAGGCCGGTGAAGGAGTTCGCGCCCTCCGCAAACTGCTCCGCGATGTTTCTTCCCGGATGCATATCACAGGAAAAAGTGTTAAGGTTAACGGTTTTCAGTTTCACAGTTGGCAGTTATGCATTACAAGTTTTGCCTTCCATTCATGCAACGCAATACAAATTTGGGCACCTTTTCTGATGCATCAATGCATCACAAATTCCGTTAACGTTAACACTTGTTCTTGTTCTTGTGATAATGCAGCTTCCGCTCGACCGGCCTGTACCACCCTGACTTGTCCGAAATGAACAGGGCCGCGGCCCGAGCCAGAAACTTCCCAGAGTCGAAGGCGTTGAGGGTGATGGGGAAGGAAAATCGGCTGCTGGTTGCGTTGAAAAAAGTCTGAAGGGGCGATACAGGACTTATTTTCTCAAGATCATCCTGTGGTGCTGCGGGTGCTGGTGCACTGTCATCCAATAGCTGTACAGCTTCTTCGTCATTTATTTTCGGATGATTTGATACAATCTCTCTTGGCTCTACTTCTGTAATTCCAACATCCTGCTCCCATGAGCCCTCGTCCCGCCACTTCTTTACCTTCACAGCTAGCGGCGTCTCCTCCTCCTCCTCCCTGACCGGTATCTATGCATTGCAAAAGTATCGTACTCGTATAAATGCATTACAAACTTCCTCAGCATGAGAAATAGAATTTGTAATGCAGATTTGCCTTGGAAACGAGATTTCTAATGCAAGACTTGCATTTGTACGAGTACGATGCTTTTGCACAGGATAGTATCGGAGACGCGGCGATTTTGGCGAACTTCCATTCTTCTTTATGGGAGTGTCAGGATCGAAGTCGACAAAATCGATAAATTTGCAATGCATAGAATGGATTCCAGTTCGAGCCCAGTTTCTAAGTGGCGCATGACAAATTCTGGCGGTGCCTAAATCCAGTTTGTTGTAATGCTGTTTAGGCAAAGAAGGCTAATTCTCTCATGCTGCTTTAGCAGCTCGACCTATATTATCCCCAAGCAGGCTTTTTGCAATCGGCCTCACTTGCCTGCACTGCAACACACGTATTTCGCGTCAAGCATTTTACGCATCACAAATTTTTTGATTTTGTCAATTTCGATCCTGTCAGTTCCATATTCATCCTTCAATTTGTAGTCCACGCCGTGCACGAAGACATATTCCGCCGGGTAGTTCTTCACGTACTGGTTCGTTTTCGCGAACAGATTGTCCAAAGTTTTGTTTAGCACCTTGATTGCCGCCCGACTGCCGTCCAATTCGATTACCCCGTAGCGCGCCCACCCAACCGTCGCCGCCGCGATCACGCAGTCACCGAAAAACCCCCCGATTTCCAGAAACAGATCCGTGTTTGCGCGGTACTTTTCCAATTCAGACGAGACCGGACAGTCCAGTGCGTGTTTTCTGCGCACCGCGTCGGCGATCAGATCCCGCTGGGGCAAGACGTAGAAAAAAGGAACGGCGCGCGGCGCGTAAAACCCGTTTTTGTCGACGCGATACACCTCCGAGTAGCTCACCGGGATGTCCTCTAATTTGCTAGGGAGCGCGAGCTTTTCGAGAACCGGAAAAAGCGGTGATTCGAGCCACTTGTGAAGTGCGGGGATGTGGTATGACAGTGCACAACTACTCCCCCTCCCCCTCATTTGTATTGCATGAACAGCAATACGAACGCCAGCGACCCTAGAGCTTGCGCAATACAAATTCATGTACTTAATGTAGTTGCACTTGCACTGCTTGGGCGTTCGAAAATTGTCATGCATAATAGTGTCGCAAGGGAGCAAGCGAAATTGTGGATTTTGCATGAGAAATGAGAACGAGGGGCGGGAGTTGTTGTGCGCTGTCATATGTGGGAATTCGAGAGTTTCGTGACAGGGTCCATGACCGTTTCGAATAGGTGCATGTCGTTCAAGTGCATGTACTCCAATTCGTTTCTGAGCAACGTGATCGCGCCGGCTAGGTTATCGAAAGGAAAAATCCCCCCTCCCCATATCGAAAACGAAAGTTGTGATGCTGTATTTGAGGTCACAAATCGACTTGTCATGCTAGAAGGCCAAGAGCCGCAGTTGTGGCCTCGTTTGCAGGCAATTTGTCATGCTGTTTCCCACTCTCAGCTGCCTCCTATCATGCTGAAGATGCACGGCTTCCCAACGCCACCCAGCACTACAGTCCGCATTTTTTCCCGTATAGAATGACAAAGCTGACTTGTGGCAACAAATCTGCATCACAGATTTCCGTTTTGATATGGGGAGGGAGGATTTTTCCGGTTGATATAGGTCCGCCCCGTTTTCCAAATGGTGGAGAAGCAGAATGTCGAATCTGGACTGAAACAGTATCAAACAAAAAAAGTTCGTCACGATCACTCATGCGCATTTTTGCAATACAAAACTGTTTGTCATGCGCAAAAATGCATCGCAGCCAAACTTTATTAGGGATTTCCCTAGTGTTTCTGCAATACAAGGAAAATTTGTGATGCTAAGAAAATTTGTAATGCAAACCCTGCAAATTAGTGACTGTGATAAACTTTTTTCTCTCCATAAACAGTTCGTGAATCACGATCGTGTGGTTCTTCTGCGCGGATTTGTGCTGCTGTTTCAGAGTTCCCGATGCGGAGCTTGGGTGTAGTTGGGTCGCTGTATCCACTTTAAACGTCGCCTCTTGGGTCCACAGTCGATGCGGCTGCCGGTAAAACTCGTCCACGAACTCCCGTTTCATCCTGTATCAAATGCAAAAGTGTCTGGGTCTGCAAACGTGTAATGCTTGGCGGCGTCTCCTGATGAGGCCACAAGTGCTGGCTCAGCATGACAAGCTTCTGAGGTTCTAGGTGTCGCCTATTCTGCATGACAAACTACGTTGCTGCGTCACAGAAAAGTGGAGCTCTTGGGTAACGTGCATGACAGATTTAAGAGTCATGCCAGACAAGCATGACAAAAATGCACTCTTCCAGACCCAGACATTTTTGCACTTGATATCCTACGCGCCTGCACGAAAGCCGCCCAGGCGTCCGCAAGGACCACCCCTTCCGACCGTTCGGTCAGGTGGCAGCAGGTGTCGGTGTAAACCTTATCCGGGTCGATGTGGATTATATTTGGTCGCTGCTCTTGGGCCGTTTCATCTAGTACATCTGATCCTTGTTGTCCAGTGAAAACTGCCGGCGCATCGCTTGTTTCCCTTTCCGTACCTGCTTCCGCGTGTACTCGCCCCGGCAGATAGCAGTTTTCGTAAGTCTCTTCCACTAGATCCTCCTTCGCGAAGCCCAGGTAGCTCCAATGAGCCGACCGGAATTTGGACACAGACAAGTCTCCGTAGTAGCTGACGGGGCGGTCGTTCGTGTACAGATAGTCTAAGCCCCGAAGTTGGAACTGTCGCTGGTTTTTGTCCACCTCAAGCTCATTCAGCATCGCAGTCAAAGCTTGGTGCTCGGAGGTGAAAGAAATGGCTGCCTCCACAGTTGATTCTTCTGACCCGTGATTTGTGCGACTTGCTTGTGCTACTTCCCCTGTTGCAGCTGGAGGTAAAAACTCAACAGTCGGAAACAGCTTGGACTTCCGATCCCGTTTTGAAATCGTTTTGCCAGATCGTAGAATCGTCACCTCGTCCTTTTCCGTTTTCGAACTGGAGATGAGCAGTGTCGAGGAAGGGAACGTTTTCTCATCGTTTTCAGGATCATCATCATCGTCGCCTACAGCTTCCTGCTGAGCACCACTCGCTTTGAGTTCCAGATCGGCTTCTGATGTGTCCTGCGTGCTATCAGCCCCAACTCCTTTCTTTCCAGCTTTCTCTACTTTGTTCGCGTTCGCAGCGTCCAATGCCTGCTTCCAGCGTTTTCTCTCGTCCTCCAGAAACTTTGCGTGTTTCTCCATCTCGGATAGAGACACACCCGGGTACAGTTGCTCAAATTGTTTCTGCCGCGGCGATTTGGATTTGTCTTGCTCAGAACTAGAGCTGCTGCCGGTCGTGCCTTCTGCTTCTGCTGGAGAAGTTGCAGACGACCCACTCGTACTATCTTCCTCATCCACAGCCCGCACCGCGGACACACACCTCTGAAACCCGATATTCCTTCGCACTCGCGCGATGTGCGACAACGTCGCGAAAATGGGCTTTAAAATTTGCGGATGGACGCCGTGAACCAAATCGAAGCGGACGGAGGTCATCATCATGATGGTGAACAGATCGCGTTTATCACCTGCAAATATGTCTGGGTCTGGAAGAGTGGAATGTTTGTCATGCAAATTCTGCATGACTCTCGACGTCTGTGATGCACGCCCTAGCATCACAGATTTTGTGAGGGGGGCTTCCTCCTGATAGTGAGGCCTGTAAGTACCGCATGAGAAATGCCCTCTCGCCGTCGCAAAAACTGGACCTATTTTGCTGCTCATGCAATACAGATTTATCTAGAATCCAAATCCAGCATCACAAGTTGCATCCTTCCAGACCCAGGAGACATATTTGCAATGCATAGTGTTGGACTCTTTTGAACAAATAGTTCACATCTTGGTCGTACAACTTCCCCTCGATGGACCGGTGCGTCTGAATCCGCCAGCCGAGCGCCTGCGGGTCGGAGAAGTGGGATAGGAGGTTCAACAAGTTTTTTAACACGTTGTAGCAGAAGTTCTGGTGGAGGGGTTTGTGGGTCTGCATGGTCACCGCGTGGAGCGATTCCCGTTGTTTCAAAAATTTCTTCCACTTGTGAAACGATTTGGTTTTCTTGTTAATATTCCGCGTCGTGATGGAAGAGGAGGTGGTTAGCTGGGCGGAGGAGGAGACTGGATCGGACGTGTCTTCCGGGTCTGGGTCCTCGGAGGTGGATGTTGTGGGAGGCCGCGGCTGTGATGTTCCAGCAGGTGGACCACCTCCTGCTGTTTCTATTCCCATTTTTGGCGTCTGGTCGAACAGCCCGTCTGTACCAGTTGGAGAGGATTCCTCACCGCAACAGTCTCTTTTCATCTCCCTCTCGGCCGCTTTATCCACGTAGGACATTTCAAACGTTTTCACGTACATAAATTCCCCATCCACCGCGTGGCCCTGGCTCGTGCCATCGTCGTATTCTTCGAGAAGTATCCTCGCATTGTTTTTCTTCAGCAACTTGTTCGCCAGCTTCTGCTTCTCCTCAAACACCTCCGCTTTCTGAAAAATCTGCTCATATGCGTCCCACTGCAACGGAAATGCGTCGAAGTTCGGGTAGGCTTTGGGTTTGTCCAGAAAGGAGAAAAGCGGCTGGGATACCCACCAGTCGATCAGGGAAACGCAGGGGCGGTCCACCGGGAGAACGTCCTTCCACTTGTAGTTGGTTTTCAATTTGGTGGTGGGACTCGTGGATGATGAACTTGCGTCTGCGGAAGCGGAAACCGGTGTGGCAGTCGGCAAAAAAATTGCCAGGAAGGAAAGCAACGGAACAACGACTATCACAAGACGAAAGCCGCGCATCATCTTCCTCGTTGTGGGTAAACGCTGACGCAAAAAAAGTTCTTCCCTGGTTGTAGCAGGAGGTAAAGTCTGTACAACTACACGACCTCGATAGAAGCGGAGGACCACCCGTGTTAGAGCTACGGATGCACGCATTGAGCTAGTATTTGCAACGAGGCCAGTGCTACACACCAGGACGGAAGACAGGAAACTTACGAACACGAATGCGAAACAAGTCGTCCACACTTGGCCGCTTCATTACACCTGTATGACAGAAACACAAGAACATGCGGCAAGGGGGTAGTTTCAGAAAGCTCATGCATCAAGACAGAGAGTTCTGATATTCAGGCTGTAAATAAGGCTTAGGCGCTTCTTGTTTGCTCGATTCACAGATCAAAACTGTTGCTACGAATGGTCCCTTCAGCAAGTATTCTTCGTAAATATTGTTCGAGTTTAATACCAAGTTCATCACTACTTTCAACTTACGCGAACCACTCCTGCTCTTTTCGAAGTACCTGAAGAAGCATCTGCCCCTGTAGAAGCGGTATTCCAATTGTCCACACCCACCACCAGGAAATCTCTCAAGACAAAAATTTCAAAAACTGTACGGCTGTGGTCTTTCGTGCATCGATGCCATGCACGTGCACCTTGTCATCACCCCTGTTCCTATGATCCTTACGGCACCGCGGCTGGCTGAAGATGACGCCGACAAAAACTGTATTCTCTTCGTTGGTGAATCGAGACACTAGTCAAACGTTGTTTCCATCATGGTATCACCTTGTTCCTGCTATTCCTCATCACACCTGAATCACCACAGTCGTGCCCCCAGGAGCAGGAGCCTGCGGCGGACCGGCAGAACCGTACTTGTTGTACCCCGATGTGGCACCAGTTGTTGCAGCTCCATAGTTGTTCATCTTCCCACCTCCAAAGCCGTCGCTCTTGCTGAGCGAGTCCAGTAAAAAGATCGTCTGTAATATGGGGGCGTCAGGATCGAAATCGTCAAAGTTAAAATAATACGTTTGTCATGCATAAAATACAGCCCACAAAGTGCCTGTCTTGCAGAGTAGGTAAGTGAGGCAGATTGCAAGCCTGTTGAGGAGTAGAAACTGAGCTGCTAAAGTAGCATGAAAAAAGGCGTCTTCCTTATCCAAACAGCATGACAAACAACTGGATTGCGGTTCTACCCAGATTTGTCATGCACCACTTAGAAACTAGGCGCCAACTGGTATCCGTTTTATGCATCACAGATTATCTCAACTCTGACGATTTCGATCCTGACACTCCCATATGTAATTCCCGCGTGACGTCAATCAGATTCATGTGGTGCGACTGAATCAGTCCCTCCACACTGGTGGCAACGGCGTGAAAAACCAGTAACAGCAAGTACTGCAGTATCAAAGAAAAAAACAAGTTCGTCACGATCACTCATGCGCATTCTTGCAATGCAAAATTGTTTGTCATGCGTAAAAATGCATCACAGCCAAACTTCATTAGGGATTTCCCTAGTGTTTCTGCAATACAAGGAAGGTTTGTGATGCTGAGAAAATTTGTAATGCAAAGCCTGCTAGTTAGTGACTGTGACAAACTTTTTTCTCTCCATATGCAGCGTGAACTGCCACCGGTGCGTGACGCCAAACACTTTCAAGACCAAAGCGTCGCTTTCCTGAGCAGGACCAAATGGATCACTTCCACGACCGTTGTGCCCAGCCCAAAAGTTGTAGTCGTAGTTCGTCTATGAAATGCAAAACCATCGCACCCACTCCCACTCGTACTAATTGCAATCATGCATTACAAGTTTTTTCTAAAGGTCAATCCGCGTTTACAAATTTTATTTCTCATGCTGATGGAATTTGTCATGCATTTATACGAGTACGATACTTTTGCACAGGATATCGCCCGATCGTCGTACTGCTTGGCCTATCAAATGCAAAAATGTCTGGGTCTGGAAGAATTCGCGATTTGTCATGCTGCTTTTCCATGACCCATGAGGTCTGGAATGCAGGACCTCGCATGACAGATTCTGCGAGACCTTTCTAATGCCTATCCTGCATGAGAAACTACCTCCCGACTTGGTCAAAACTGGACGACTTTTGGTAATCACGCAACACAGATTTTTGCATGCTGCAGATTTAGCATGACAAGTTGCAATCTTCCAGACCCAGACATTTTTACATTTGATATGGCCATGTTCAGGTACAGGTTGAAGCACACGAGAATATCGTGAGAAAAAAGTGTCACAGTTAGAGTTAAGTACACACTCTGATGCATAACCAGCAAGACAAGCAACCTCTATCATGCAGGAAAAAATGCTTGCCAGTCTCACGTTATGCCGGTTTTCCCTAGTAGTATGCGCATTACAAGTTTTCTTTGCCATACAGAACAACTTTGTGATGCTGAAATTACAACAAATGTGTAACTGTATACACTTTTTCCCTTGGATAGAGAAGGAACCCCATGTAGTAGGTCAAAAGAAGCGCAAACAGCAGAGACATCACGGCCTTGCGCCGCCGCTGCGCGTTTGCGACGGATTGGTATTCATCGGTAGACGTGGTTTATGCATTTCAAAAGTATAATCGCCCACCTAGGAAAAATCGCATTACATATTGATTTACCCAACATGACAAATTGCACTTGTCATGCTGGTTTACCTGGAAATGCAGAATTGTTATGCATATCTGCAATTAGAATTAAAACAACTACGAGCGCGATACTTTTGCAGTTGATAGGGTTATATGAACTGCAAAAGTATCGCATTCGTATAAATGCATTACAAATTTCCTCAGCATGAGAAATAAAATCTGTAATGCTGATTTACCTCAAGAAAAAGATTTGTAATGCAGGTATCGCATTTATACGAGTACGATACTTTTGCACAGGATAGGTTACGTCGTCTTCGTGGACGGAAGCGGTGCAGGCCTGACAGTTGTAGTAAAGTTGTCATGCATGAATTTCATTTCAAAATTACGCTTCACGCAAAACAAGCATTACAAAAAGGCACTGTCTTGCATGAAAGCCACAAAACACTATACCGCAGACAGCAGGAAGAACGCGGCGCCACCCCCGCAGAGCAACGGCTATGCAATACAAATTTCCCGCACATGTACAACATGCATCACAAATTTCACCAATTTGGAGCGTAAAACTTGTCATGCTAAATGAGGATCGAAGCCAAGTTTTGTCATGCAGATACCGTATTTGTACGTCGTGTACGGGAGATTTAAAGTGGATAACGGCAAGAAGAAGTGCACGGCGAGCGAGTGCATGTACAGGTTGTAGAAAGTGATCACGAACAGCATCAGTAAGCAGAAGATAAACAACCAAACACTCCAGGTTTGGAAGATGCTCTGCTCGCCAGATTCGCCGATAATTGCACTTCCATTTTTCGCGTTCGTGTTTCCCATCGTGGATCCAGCAGGCCAGCTATGATCAGAAAGAAGAGAATGAATTTTGTCAATTTCGAATGATAATCCTAGGTTGGAGATGACACAGGGCAACTCCAACGCGAGGGCTTCTATTAAATTTGTGATCATGTTGTATGGTAGACGCCTGCTCCACATTGAGCTAGGTAGATGCAAGTCGTTTTTCCTTTCTCATGTTAGCAAGATCTTGGTACTACGTACAAGCATGTATCGCTTCTCTTCCCATACAGCTGCGCTACCGCCCCGCCAGCAATGTACTCTTGTTGCTGTTGATTCACGGTTGCACCACCCGCTAATTTGCTTTTCTCTTCGAGCGATGAAATGTACTCTTCGGCCCCGTCTTTCCCAACCTTCGAACTGCTCGTGGTTATCACCATACGGAGCAGGCAAACCGTATGCATTGCAAAAGTAAATCGTACTCGTGTAAATGCATTACAAATTTCCTCAGCGTAAAATTTGTAATGCGGATTTACCTTAAGAGCAAGGTTTGTAATGTATGTTTGCGATTACTACGAGTACGATACTTTTGCACAGGATAAACGGCATTCACGGTCGACACGAGGACGAGAACCACGGTCGAAAAGTCGGATCAAATGCAAATGTGTATGGGTCTGGAAACTTGTGATGCTAGTTCGTGAATGGTAGGCAACCTCCGTTAAGGGGCCACGCATGACAAGTTTCTGTGCAGCTACTTCTTGCATAACCTGCATGAGAAGCTGCGTTTTTGCATGACACAAAAGAGATGTTGGTATAGCACATCACGCATCACAGCTTTTGCTCTCCTGTGTGCCAAGCATGACAAATCTCGCAATCGCAATCTTCCAGACCCAGACATATTTGCATTTGATAAGTCGAAAAGTAAGTCCAATTTGTCGAGTCTGGGCTGGTGTTGAACAAAACTTCCGCTATTCTGCTGCTGATGCTGATGTCCTCTGTTCCTGTTCCCCCCACCGCCACCGATCCGGTCGTGCGTCGCGCTCTGCCAGTTGATCCGACCACCGTTATTTTGATGATTTCCACCGCCTGGCGTCGGAGCCGGGTGTTGATGATTTGCGCTGCGCAGCCCCATGAACACCCGGAGGGACTCGCCGTTGTGGTGAAACACCGCGTTCAAAGCCGTGAAGAAAACGAAAAAGGTTTGGAAGAAAAGGAAAAAAACCGTCACCCAGAGGCCGACCTGGTTCAGGGTGCGAGAAGTGTAGACCAGCGGGGAGGGGTCGATCACGGTCTTTAGATCTGATGTGTGTTTTTTTTTTTTACGTGAGTAACTGAACTGTTCTTACACGGACGAAGATGTTGTGCCGCAGCATCCGATGATCTTTGAAGGAGGAGGATATCATGCTCATCAACATCATTTTCATCGTACATAAAAATATACTACCTGAAACTGACTGCAACACTGGGCCCTTGATATTCTGTCCGCCACCGCCCCCCTTCAAATTTGCGGCACGGCTCGTCATCTCGGTTCCATTTCCGTTGGCCACCAAGCCGCCCAGCTGCTCCGCGAGCGTCTTCCCAAAATTCGGCATGGCGACCCGCAAGATACAGGTAAAAACACACCAGAGGAGGAGCAAGACACACCCGACGACGAGAAAAACCGTCGTGAGAGTTTCCCGTGCAGAGTGGGCGTCCAACACGCCGGATACAGCGCTGTTGTTCATCCCATGTTGATGACTTCCGCTTGAAGGTGTTCCCCCTCCATAATTTACCGGCCAATTCTTGCTCACATACAAAACCGCCACGTTTCCGATCAGCAAACCCAGACAGACTATCAAAGCGTAATTCAAGTGGTGCGCGCTATGGATGTGTCAGGTTTGAAATCGACAAAGTTGAAATAATTTGTCATGCATAAAATGGATACCAGTTGGGAGACCAATTTCCAAGCGGCGCATGACAAATTTTCCGAGCACCGAAGTCCAATTTGTCATGCTGTTTGGGCACAGAAGACTGCTTTTGTCATGCTCCTTTAGCAGCTCTATCCCAAACCCTAAATAGGCGCACAATCTGCCTCACTTGCCAGCCCGGCAAGACAGGCTCTTTATGCCTTGCATTTTATGCATGGCAAATCATTTCAACTTTGACGATTTCGATCCTGACAGATCCATACGCACGGGTGGAAAATTCGTCGTGGCGGCGAAACAGATATCCTGTGCAAAAGTATCGCATTCGTATAAATGCAAGTCTTCGTTCGTTCGTTGTGGATCGGCTCTGCCGACCGGGTAACCCAACGCCTTGCATACAAGTGACCGACTTAGGCGAACCCCGTTGCGGGACATACAAATTGGCCGTACGGAAGGGCCCTAAGCGCTACATACATAGTTCACCCTAAGCGCCTACCACTTCGGTCTGGGACCTCGTCTACCTGATCCTGGGGGTCCACAGCGCACTAGCCCTCTGCTAGCATGAACAGACTGGGTTCTACAAACTGATCTAACTCCCTCTCTTCAACAGTAAGGCCATCATAAATGTGCGCTAAAACGGGTTCGGGGCGCTCCGTACGGAAGGGAGCCTTTCGACGCGGCGTACACTCTCCTGTAGAGATTTACGCATTACAAATTTTTTTCTTAAAGTAAATCAGCATGACAAATTTTATTTCTCATGCTGAAAAAAATTTGTAATGCATTTATACGAGTACGATACTTTTGCAGCTCATAACAGAGCGTCGACTTTTCGCAGCTGCTGCTGCTCGTGCAGTTGGGAGATGGTAGGAGGAACTCCTCCTGGTGAATTATTGTTGCCGTTGTTTTTATTCGTCCCGTTCTGTTGGTTCAGAAGTTGCTGGGGACCTTGCAGCTGTTGCGGCAGCACCTCTGGATTGTAAGCGGGAATGATGTAGGGCTGTGCGTTGTAAAAAGACTGGGAATTGTAGGAGGAATATGGGTAGTTGCTGTACGCGTTCTGCTGGTAGTTGTTACCCATGGTACAACCCCCACCAGCCAAGGGCTGGGCCTGTTGTTGAACTGTTGAGGAAAAGGGGGCGGCCATCGTGGCTGGGGATTGATAATCCACGTCAAAGCCAGAAGAAGCAGCACGGGAAACAATGTTTTCTTATTCGAGCACGACGACGTAAAGTACTTTTTTTGTTGATTTTGTGCTAGCTCGGTCTACTAGCAGCAAGGAGTGTAGTTTGTTGAATTCGTTGGTGTTGTTCAGATCGTTCTACATTTTTAGTTACTTCCTCGGTGGAGAACGACGAGAACTTCCTTGTTGATGTCTCGTGTATGAAATCAGGGAAAAAATGAACTTCTTGTCTTTCAGGGCGGTGCTTCTCATTGAAAACTAAGAAATAGGCCATGTAGCAGAAAGATTTTCGCGTGTCAAAAAGAAGAAGAAGAGCGAACCTTTGAAAGCCTCGGACCATTTTCTTGTGGAGCTTCTGAAAAAAAAAACAGATCGCACGTGGCGAATGCGGACGCGGAGGGTTTCAGCGTCAGGCTCATCAAAATGAGATTATTGACAAAATGAAAGTGATCTTGGTGCTTACTCGTCAAGATCTTGATTATCAAGAAAAAGCAAAAACAAAAAGAACAACATCGAACAAAAAAAGAAGACCAGAATAAGAAGCCTCCTTGCGCCTTGCTGTTCTGGGACGCTGCGCAACGTTGTTGCCGCTGTCGATTCAGTCGACCACTACTTCTGGCTTCGATTATAACAGGAAAGCAAGAACTTCTACTTCATCTGCAAATGAAGATCTGGGCACAGCCACAGGTTTGGTGTGCAAGAACTGAAGGCGCACAAACAGCTCGAGGGGCATTGGCCTCTTCTCTTTGTCGCAACGAAGAGACGCAGAAGAACGCTGCCCATTGCACGAAAAAATGAATATCAAATGATTAGTGTCATCGAAGCAAGACTAATGTTGACTAAGAGTGAGCGTAGCGTATTTGATGTTCCCTATTTCCTACAGCCGACGTTGGCTCCCACTGCTACGGCGGCGACGCTGAAGTAGATGAAACCGACTGAAATTTCTACTCTCGCCACCGTTTCAGCGCGATGAATTTATGAACGTCCTTGAGTATGACCTGCAAAAGTATCGCACTCGTAGTTGTAATTGCAGTCATGCATTGCAAATCTTTTGCTCAAGGTAAATCCGCATTACAAATTGCATTTCTCATGCTAAGGAAATTTGTAATGCATTAATACGAGTACGATACTTTTGCAATGCATATTGAGCGCCACGTGTTTGAACCCGTACTGCTTAAACAGCACCGACAAAGCGCTCTGGTCCGCCATGTGTTTTTGGAAACCGGCGTAGTTTTTTACGGACTTGTCTATCGACTCGACCTTCACAATCACCGGATCGATCATTTTTGATAGCCAGTGTCTCGCAAAGCGCAACGCCAGCGGGGTTTTCCTGAAAGCGAGGAAGTAGGCGCCCATCTGCGGTCGCTCCGAAATAGCATGGTGGTCGCCATTCAGGGCCTGGGTGATATTAGTTCGAATATTTCAAAAAAGCCACTTTCTGTATATTGTCGCTGCCTGCGGCGGATGACAATCAAAGTGCAATATCGAAGCGATTAAGATTATCATGTTTTGGCATCACACACGTCCTCCGTAATGATCAATGAAATACCATCAAGGTTTCCCGCTTGCTCCAATCCGCTTCGAAGCAGCACTTCAGCTGCAGTACCGCCACATCGGTTTCTTTCAGTGCGTTATGCAGTGCAAAAGTATCGTACACGTTGTAATTGCATTTCTGCATTTCAGCATTACAGTACAAATTCAATTTGTAATGCTGGGGGAATTTGTAATGCAATTTCTGCTAGTGCAATGTTTTTGCATTCCATATGCGTTTAGCACGAACAATCTTGGGTCGTTTGTGAAATGATTCCCGGCGTCGAGATACACCACGACGCTGTTCTATCCTATGTAAAAACACCCCCACCCCATGGCTGTCATGCAAAGCTGCATGCTCAAAACGTTTGTGATGCAGAGCCCCATGAGAAGCGTTTTCTAGTCGCCTGTTGGGATTTGTCATGCTCCAATAAGCACAACGCGCTAGCTCTGTGATGCTGCTGAACGAGCTCCACAGGAATGCACTACAATCAAGGCCAAAACTGTCACGCGCAACAGCCAAAGCTGGCAGATTTGTCTAGCAGATTCCCCATCTTGACTCTGGGGTGGGGATGTTTTTACTCAAGATATGTCCCACGGCACATTCTCGTCTTCTAGCGTCTTCAGCATCACATATGGTTTCCAAATCCACAATCCGCCCCCGGTTTTCACCGACAAGATGTCATTGTGCTGCTCTTTCCAAACCGGGTCGAAAGCAGTTGAGTCGTAAGCCCTCTGGTCCTGAAAGTAACCTTTTCCAGTTTCTAGATTTTTCTTTATCGCTTTCTGACAGCACCCGTCCGCGTAGGAGATGTGGACCCAGTTGGTGGCTTGGATTTCGTGTTGTTGACTGCTTATCGTGTTCGTGGTGCTCCGGTAGAAGTGCTCTTTGGCGAGCAGTTTCGGGACGTTGATAGTAGTTTCTTGGGAAACTACCTCTGAAAGGTCAGAAGTAGATGCAGATACATTTGCGTTCTTTCTCCGCCTTCTTCTCTTCTTCCTCATGGCCGCACTACGATCCTCGCCTTCAAGGAGTACATCGGCCCCACTACCTATCGAAACCTTGCTTTTTTCGATTTCCTGCTGAAGCAGATGGTCAACATCGGTACTGTCGTCATCTTCATCGCTGGAGGCAGAAGTGCCGACATCTCTACTTGTACTTCCATCCGCGGATGAAGCAGCCTCTCGTCCTTCGCCACTGCTTCTACGTGCTGCCCCGAGAATGATATCCTCCTCCACTTTCTCCAGAAACTCGTAGTTCTGAATTACATCGTTCTTCCTGATCGCTGCATCCAGAACGACTACACCATTCGCAACGGCGAGCTGGTTATCAAATGCAAATATGTGGTCTGGGTCTGGAAAGTCAAAGTTGTGATGCAGGTCACTGAATAATAAGCACACAGTCATGCGCCGCCAAGCATGACCACAGGTTTTTTCATGGTTCTGTGTTGCGTATTCCGCATGAGAAACTGTGTGTTTGCATGACAGTCAAGAGGAGCTCTTGGCTGCCACGCAATACTACAGAGCCCAGACTCATGCCAGACTAGCATGACAAGTCTAGCAATCTCCCACACCCAGACATATTTGCAACCCATACTGGTCAAATTTTCGGTACTTGGCGTACTTTTTCAGAATCGATTCGCCTGCGGTTGACAAAACTTTAACTTTTTCCTGGACTTCTGCGCCCTTGGTATTGATCATTTCACCATCGTCATCGTGATAGAACCGCTGAAACAGTTCATCGGCGGATTCCGTGGCGGCGTGAAAGTGAAACCCAACCATTTCTCTCGGCGGGAAGGGATAAATCTCCTTCAACTGCTCCTCGGAAAGTTGTAGAAAATCTTTCCGATGCTGCATCTTTGCGCGTCGGATAGAAGCTGTCGTGGAGCCGCTTGATGTGGTCGCTGGTGGGTCGACGTCGTTTATTTTCACGACCCTTGCTTCTGCGTAGTCTTTGACATCTTGGATCCATTGTTCGTGTATGTTTTCCGCCCCTTCTTCCTTTTCCAACTCCTTCGTCAATCGCGGCGGCGCGTTCCAGGGTAGCAATGGCGTGACGTTGGACCTAGAACTCGCACCGGAGTCGGAGGTGGAGGAAAACGAAGAACACGAGCCTCCGCTTTGCCCCCCGCATTCCATGCTGAATCCGTCTCCGGAGGCGAGCACACAGGACTCCAACACTTTGTACCGCACTCCCCGGACCGGCAACGCGATCCGCGTTTCGTCCCAGTAGCTGATCGTTCGGTTGTCCGGGTTGGCCTGGTGGCTCCGGCCCTGGTAGTCCCACCCGCCAACGTCGTCGGCGCCCTGGCGGCCGAGGATCAGATCCCACATCTGCAGGTCAAACCCGAAGGGGTTGAGGAGGAGTGTGTGGCGGATCTGGTACAAAATGTCCAAAACGAGATTGGTTTTCGGGGTGCTGGGGCTCGACTGCGAATTTTGAATTTTGGATTTAGCAGCATGATGGCCGGTGATCAGAGAATCCGATACGACCAGCCCATCGGAGTCTACGGAGGCGGTATCCTGTGCAAAAGTATCGCACTCGTAGTAATTGCAAACACGCATTACAAATCTTGTTCTCAAGCTAAATCCGCATTACAAATTTTATTTCTCATGCTGAGGAAATTTGTAATGCAATTATACGAATACGATACTTTTGCAATGCATAAGCGGTAGAGGAAGCTGATGCTTTCATGTTTGTTGTTTCCGCCTCGTCGTGGTCCGCGTCGTCTTGTCCTGATCCACCAACTGCAGCTTGTCGTGGTGCTGGGACTACAGCGGTAAACGCATCCTCGCTTAATATCCCGGCTGCAGGACCATGTGGTCCGACCTGTGGAAAAAATCCAGCTTTTGTGGGGGTAGTTTTCGCGCTGCCTTTGGTTGTTGATGACGTCTTTATTCTACTAGTACTAGTTCCTGGTCCACCGCCGATCGGCACACAGAGGACGGCGGGACTGACCCCGATGCCGTATTGATCCTTACTCGCCAGGACAAAATCGAACTTCTCGTCGAAAAGGTTTGCCGGCGACTGGAGCCAGGCGATGTCCAGGTCGACCCAACAGGCGCCGGTGGGAGGAGGAGGAGGTGATAATGTTCTACTTGCACCCGAACTAGAACTCCTACTCGCGCTGGTGGCACTAGGTTGGGAGACGAGCTCCTGCGCGTTCGTCGTTGTTACCAGATGAATCAAAGCATCGTATTTCGCAATCAAGGACGGAAACGTGGGTAAGCACCAGGTCTCGAGTTCTTCTTTTGTGCACTGAGGTTCAGGTTCACTTTCATCGTGGTCGGCAGAAGTTCCTACTTGTTCTGAATCTGCAGGTGAGGAAGCTGAAGCTGCCGGTGTCCTTGTTGTGTCCATCAGGACAATCAAATTTAGGCCAAATTTTTCTCTAAATCTTCTCACCACTTTCCGTACGTGCGTCGCCATCCACCCGTAAGCTTGGGTAAAAAAGACGACGCTGTTCTTGTGCTTACTTTTTGAAGGTGTCGTTTTTCTACTTCCCGATGCAGTAGCTGTGGAAGTAGAAGCATCTTCTACTTTCTCCTGTACCGTGTCTATCATTCTGTTTTTGACAAGCCGCAAAAGGTGCCTCCTATCCACCAGACTGGGCTCATTGCGGGTTCGGGTGCGGAAACTCGTCGTGATGAATTCGGGGCTTACAATTCCGGTAGATTGATCATGTCTCTGATTCTCTGCTTCTTCAGGATCATTTCCTGGCACTATGACAGTGTCACCTGCTTCTCTGGCGGTTGCTTCTGCAGCTTCTGGAGCTGCCGGACCCCTCTCGCTAGATGTTCTTGAAACTCGTTCCTCAGTGTAGTCGTATGGATTGCAAATGTGTCTGGGTCTGGAAGAGTGCAAGATTTGTCTTCATGCATATTTATTCTCATGCTGGCCCGTAATGCCTGTAATGCATGACCTAGCATCAGAGACTTTTAGAGGGCTTCGTGATGCACCACCTTCCGCATGAGAAATGCCCTGTCTGCGTAGCACAAACTGGACACCCCTTGCTAGTCATGCAATACAAATATTTTTCGAATCCAAAAACAGCATGACAACTTCCAGACCCAGACATTTTTGCATTTGATAAGTCGATCCTCGCCACCAAACTCCCGTCCCCGCGACTGGGGAAATCTAGCCGCTCCCGCCGCATTCTGTACAGCATGTCCCACAAACTATACACGGGCCAGTTGTCCGCCTTGATTGCGTCCGCGATAGGTGCGTGGACCGCATGAACCGACGTTACCGCCGTCAGAAACCTCTGGAACCACGCTTGCCGGTCCGACCGGGCGTACCAGAACGCGTGCAACTATGCTGTGCAAAACTATCGTACTCGTATGAGTGCAATCATGCATGACAAATTGCATATCTTAGGCATATCAGCATTACAAACTGCCGTTTTCTCTTTGAAAAAATTTGTAATGCAATTTATACTAAGTACGATGCTTTTTCAATTCATAGCAACACGTAGGCCGCAATCACCGCCAAGTGACACCCAGCTTTGTATTGGTCGGTGCGCCAGGATTGGAAAATCATGTCGGCGGAGTCCGCAACGTATCCACTGCAAAAGTATCGTACTCGTAGTAATTGCATTTATGCATTACAAATTTCTTTCTCAATGCAAATCAGCATTACAGATTTAATTTGTAATGCTGGGCGAATTTGTAATGCAATTTATACTAGTACGATGCTTTTGCAGTTCATACAACGGACATCATTTTTTCCAGGTGGTACAGATCCTCCCACTTTTTGTAGTTCGCCGCAGTGTATCAAATGTAAAAATGTCTGGATCTGGAAGAATGCAACTTGTCATGCTAGATCTGAAAACATGCAAAAATCTGTATTGCATGATTACCAAAAGTCGTCCGGTTTGGACCAAGTCGGGAGGGAGTTTCTCATGCAGGATAGGCATGATAGAGATCGCACAGAATCTGTCATGCTAGGTCCTGCATTCCAGACCTCATGGGTCATGGAAAAGCTGCATGACAAATCGCGCATTCTTCCAGACCCAGACACTTTTACATTTGATACAGTGACCGTGATTTTCTGGTAGGTAGCGTCACCGTTACTCGGAATTTGGACGATAGTGTTTGCTTGCAAATTTCGTTGTGAGTCGTGCGCCGCGGTGGAAATTTGTTTCGTTTTCTTCCGCTTTGTTCCTGATTCTGTTTGTTCCACCCGCCCAGAAGCAGCGCTACCAGAACTTGACGCGTCCGTGGCGTTTACGAGTTGTTTGTAAAACAAATCCCAATCTACTCGTTTGTGCATGGGGATGGACTCGTCGTGGTGCTGCTTGCAGTGCCCCATCCGGGTAGACCCCGTTTCCGGGTAAAGTAACATCAACATGTGCAACAGCCGAAACACCGGAAACGACGACCCAAGCAGCAAATGCGACGTGCCCTCAGTATCCTGTGCAAAAGTATCGTACTAGTATAAATGCATGACAAATTCCCTCAGCATGAGACATAAAATTTGTAATGCGGATTTACCTTGAGAAAAAAACTTGTAATGCATGACTGCAATCGCTACGAGTACGATACTTTTGCACAGGATACTCAGGAACCCTCGCTAACTTCTTCCCGTCGGACGGACCCTGCACCGAGTTCGGCACCCACTGGATCAATTCGTTGGAGAGCATCGCGTCCAAAACCAGTATGGCCGTTTCATCCTGCGGAAGCTTTCCCTGCAGCAATCCGGACTGCAGCAGCTCTAGCAAGGCCTTCATGACCAACGCAGTGATGCCCGCCGCTTTGCACTGGTGGTTGTTCTCCAAGACCGTTTCCACGTCGGCGGCCACGAAGGATATCGTTTCGAAGAGCCATTTGGAGGGCTTATGGTTGTGTCAGGATTGAAATCGACAAAGTTGAAATAATCTGTGATGCATAAAATGCAAGACACGAAGTGACTGTCTTGCAGAGATTGCAAGTGAGGCCGATTGTGAGCCTGTTTCGGGTTTGGGATATTAGAGCTGCTAAAGTAGCATGACAAAGGATACCATCTTTCGCTAAACAGCATGACAAACTGGATTTCGATGACGTCGAAATTTGTCATGCGCCGCTTAGAAATTGGGCTTCCAACTGGTATCGGTTTTATGCATCGCAAATTTTTCAACTTTGTCGATTTCGATCCTGACACTTCCATACGGTTTTTTCGTGTTGTAAAGTTTCTCCACTTCGTCCGCGAATTTGAAAGACAAATGCGCAAACCCCTGCTCCCGCCTCGTCGGCATTTCCGGAGAAACGATTGGGTCGCAATCGAATTTCGTGTCGAAGATCGGTTGGATGATGTGAGGATCTGCTGCAGTTGTGCTCGACGTGACAGGCGCGCTAAAGATGAAGTAGAGAAGATGTGCGAGGAAGAGGATCTGCGTTGCGGCACAGGCATTTGCAAGTGGCTTCCGTCGTCCTCGACTCGGCATCAACATGTTATGGCCCGGGGGGCGGCCGAAGAACGACGAGAGGGAACCTATTTTTCGTCGCATTTTTTCCAGCACAAAGATCCTGCTCAATCTGACGCTTTGTTCAGATCGAGAGCAGCAGCTTCGGCTGGTCGGTCTCCTGTTAGAAGGATGAAGATTTCTCAGGAACAGTGCAGCTGCATGGTTCTTTGTGCGCCGCGGAGGTGCGCCGGAACAGGTGCAACTCTAGAAAATTTTCTTGGCCCCCCTGCATTTTGGTGCCTCTAATTTTTCGTGATTTAGATTTTTTCGAGATCTTCTAAACGGCGCCGGTAGGTCGGGATCGTCACAACACGAAAACAAAAATTTTCACCGTCGAGGGCCACAAACGAAGAAGAAGATCTCTTCAGGGGCAAAAGAAAACGAATCAGCAAACAAGATCTTCTGCTGACAGATTGATAACTTCTGTTACTGTTTCCTTTTGAACGAATTATGATTGCAGCTTTCGCCCGCAAAAAAGTACAAAAAAAGAATGTTCCACACGGAGAGCGCAGAACGTCTCCCCTGAGCAAATGTGCTCCACGACGAAGACAGCAAAGAAAAACTTAAAACCATACGAAAGCATACGACGTTACTTTCAACTACTAAGACAACAACTCGGCAGGAACAACAAGAAAAGATCGACGCCTTCGCGGCTCCGAGACCGAATGCAAATCGCAGCTGAGAAGAACTTGGCGAAGCCGCGCTCTCGTGGTCATGATCTACGTCAAGCGGGTGGAACAAAAGGCCTTACACGACCACGACTGTCTTCTGCTTCTACCGTGGGATGACGATGATCTCCCAGCACCTGTTCATCGTCTAGACCAGAATCAGTGGAGCTCTTCACGCAATTTTGCTGTTGCGCAGCGACCACGCAAGTCATCAATCTCACTGCACACACGGATAGAGAGGAAAGGCGTAGAAGTCCTGAAGGTCACAAGCATCAAAGTCGGGTCGCGGTAGTAAGTTACACAGCAGGTCGTGGGGTAGCGCAAGAATATGAATAATGGAGCTAAATAAGGTTCGTGAGCAACATGTCAGCCCGCGCCCGCTGCAGTTCTCGCCAACATTTCAGCCCGCGCCCGCTCATGTTCTCTCTCTGTAGTCTCATTCAGCATTTGGTAGGCCACCAAACTCATCCGAAATTGATCGTTGCAGGTCGCGCACAAGCAGTAAGGTGCTGGTGGGCGATAGTTGTGGGTCATTATACGGCTGCTGCAGCTCCTCTGGAACTTTATTGACTCTGCACCTGCAGCAAAACGAGCAGAACTGCTCACACTTCTGTCCCGACACTTTTGGCAGTAGTAGAACAGGCAGCGCTCGCCCAAGCGCAGGATCAGCTGATTGCAGTGATTGCAATACAGCCTGTTCACATTTTTGTACACTGGAAACTCGTTCTGTGGGTACGCTTGACGGATCTCGTAAGCTGGAGAAATGTCCTTCACGGCGCATAAGTGCCAAAGGGAATTTGAGGCATCGCAGGAGCTTCTTGGAGTAGAAGTAGCACATCTAGATTGATGCCCCGTCGTCGTCGAGGCGGGGGCTGCCGCGGAATCATAATGGCGCAAGAAAGGACCAACCATAGCGATATTGGCAAACATGACCTTCGTTTCAGTACAACGAGATGGGGTAGCGACTGCGCCTTTCAGGTGGTCTCTTCTGGAGAAGACAGTGGGGGTCGTAGGTGGCGGTGCTCTTTTTGATAAAATATCAAGGTCTGGTGGTCGTGAAAAATGCTGTGCCAGCCTCAGCTGACCCACGTGTTACAAGTCAGCGTCGGTCCTCTGAGAAGTGTAGCGCTCTTCGGTTCGGTCATCTAAAACTCTGCCCTCATCCCGTTTTTCTTCATCCAGGGCGCAAACACTTTCATCGCCTCTACCATCTTGTCTGACCTGTGCGGATGGAATTTTGCTCGGTTAAACATGGTCAAGACAATTTGCTTCTGGTGCGTTAAATCGCGACACTGTTTCGAAATAATCTTCAACGTGTCCCGCGCTTTTTCCGCAGATCCGAAGCCGGTTCCCTGCACGGACTGTTTTGGGTTCCTGTTCCCCGCGTGGAGGGATATGTTCACGCCGTTTTGGACTTTTCGTGCGAGGCTTTGCTCCTCCTTTTTCGATTTCGGTATCCTACAGAAAAATTACTACGCCAACAGATACTTCTACCAGAAAAGAAGTAAATTTCTGTTGCAGTGTTTGATGACACAATCAAGGTTTTTTTCCGGGTGGTTCGACATGCCAAACTTTTTCGATTGCACCTCTCTGACAGCACCCGAATCGCATTACAAACTGAACTCTACATGGCAGAAGATTGCATCTCTTTTGACTTTGCGTTCCAGCACAATTTTTAGTGACAGAAATCGACCAGCTGCAGCACAAATTCACTATTTTTCTCGTAGCTCTGACTCTGCGGGTGTGTTTTTCTTTTTCTGTGGGATATTCGGCAGCGTTATCTTGCGAACTTTCTCGATGGCGGATCTGGCCACAGCCTTTGTTGCGGTTTTAGACATGATTTTTGCTTTGTTGGATCGTTCTTGAATTGGGGTACTTAAGAGCTCCTTTGGTGATGGGAACTGATTGTTGGGCTTAGGCGTGGGCTATTATAGAATGACATTAACAGACATAGTGCAGTACTACTTCGACTTTTGTGTCAGTACCGAAACATATTATCGCACGAAAGGGCAGACAGAAATAAGGACAACCGAAATAGTGCTTCTCGCAGACTAAACGAGGCAGCAAGAAAGCCATGGAATTTTCATCAAATTTCATATACATGTCGCCTCTCGTAATCCCGCGAGACCGAATACATCGGGCGCAGTAGGAAACAAGTAGTCCGCTTGCCGTACTATTGTACTGATCCTCAACAAAGTGGCGGTCCTCGCGTACTTATCTCTTGAGAAGAGTTTGACGACGCTGACAATGCAACTGCTGATGCTGTGCTTTCCGATACGCCGCACCTTGGTGGATTTTATGCTGTCTCGACGCGAGAAGTTTTGCAAATCATACAGTGAGGGTCATGGACTACAACGACGTGGCTTGTACTAGCATCGTGTCGCTAGTACGGCAAAAAAAGAAATAGGGACTCAACTCAACAAAAACGGCATATCGTTCTTGTTGCTCTTCGTCTCTTATTTGGTGTTTCTAGGAAATGGAAAAGGTTGCGAGGAAAGCAGCGCTCCTCTTCATGTGGTAGTGGTATCATGCGAAAATAATTGTCGTGTGAAAATTCCATACTGGCCGCAGCTGGTTCATCTTATCGTACAAAGCCGCTTTTTGCTCGTTTTGGTAAATGGATCCGACAAAACTTGTTTGAAACAGGTACTACAGGAATTCGAATTCGTCTCAAAATTGAAAAATTAATATGCCACTTACATTTTTGAGATTGAACATCAAAAAGTATACTACCACAGTGACCACGTGCACCAACACTACTAAAAATTCATCACCGAACCACGAAGCCACTGAAGCCGGCAAGGAAAGTAGCAAAACCGTCTTTCTTCTTGTCCTGTTTGTTCTTCTTTTTCTTGTTTCGATTGTTCTTGTCCGCCGCGCTCGGCTCAGAAGAGCCAGTTGCCGAAGAAGAGGAAGACGAACAAGAGGAAGAAGAACTGCTCACGTCTGTTTTCGACGCCGCCCTGTTCGCCCCGCACCCGCCCGCGCCGGCATGATTGTCTTTTCCTTTATTTTGCAAAAAACTGGGCCGAGAGGTCGCAGAATCCGTCGTGGTGGTCCCAGCGTGATGGACGATGGAAAACTTCTTGTCGTGCCTGAAATATCGCAGTTAAAAAGTGTTTCACTGTAAAAGGATTTTCCAAGTTTTGCATCACAAGTTTGTTTTATATGACAGAGAATAAAATTTGCCATGCGAGGCTCCGTAGGGAAAACACAGCTAAAAATCAACTGTCTTGCATCTGTAGCAAGGCAAACAGTTCTGAGATGCATTTTCTGCATTACAAGTTTACAGTGAAACAGCTTTTTTGTGGATATGAAAGTAGAAACCTCGTCCTCGTACTCCATTCGCGCTTCTTCGTTCAACATGCATTCCAATTTCCTTGCGTCAAGAATGTAGTCGGTGCTCCGCACCACACCGGAATACTTGGACTGTTTCGACGAGGACCCTCGGCGCTGTAGATCAATGAGGTACATTGATGTAGTTCAATCCTTATCCTTTGTTTTCCACGTGCTTCTTGAAACAGTATCGAAATAAAGCGTTTTGTCAAAACCAAGAAGCAGCAGTCCGGACAAGAAAAATCATAAAATACAACAATCTGACGCAACATTAGAAACGATTTCCAAATTCAGTCTACTAGGTCGTACTATCCCTTGTACCATGATGCTCGGCCGCAGGTCGATGGCTTTCCAGACCCGATCGCGCCACTTGGACCCGAAATTGTGCAAGGCCCTAAACAAACGATAGCCAGATCCGGGTTTCAGACTGGGAAACAGATTGAGGATGGATCTCCGCCCGCCTGTCCGAACGTCGAAGTTGTTCACAGATGAGTTTTTGTCGTGGCAGGCTTGTGGTTGTAGTACTTGCGAAGGGTGATCCTCTTCCTTGTCTTCGACACTGTTTTGTTCCGCGTGGATCAGCTTGCTTCCTCTGCCCTGGTGCAGCAACTCGGTAGCTCTTTGTAGTCTCGCTGCCCGCGTCGTCGTTCGCTCGGGTTTTATTTTCGACGTGCTGCTGCAATCATTTTTTGTATGACAGTGCACAACTCCCCCTCCCCCTCAATGTCATGAAAAGTCCCAAATGCAGTGGGTGCCTTGTGGCACGGTTTGCATCACAAATCCCGGAAGCTGAAACAGTACTACGCTAGGCTAAGAAACTTGTCATGCACTGGCTCCACGTGTGCTGGTCTTTGTATTGCTATTCATGCCATACAAATGAGGGGGAGGGGGAGTTGTGCACTTTCATACTTTCGCACCACCTCGAAGTGCCGGTACTTCAAGTCCTTCAAGAGCCAGTATAGCCTGCTCAAACGTTACACTCTCAAGCGTTACAATAGAATCTGGGTTTTGTATTGCATGATGAGCATGACAGACTCCCGCGGCATTCCACTTTCAGCAATACAAATTTCGCCAGATTGTATATGCGGATCGGGACTCCAGAACTTGTCATGCGCAATCCTATGCGAGTTGGATAGATAATGCACTTCTTGCAACACAAATTCCAGATTCTATTGTAACGCTTGAGATTGTAACACCTGAACAGGTTATAGCCAGCTCGGAGCCGTAATCTCGGGGTCGCAGTTTCCCACTTGCACGATCGGATGCATGGCGAGGTCCCTTTCGACGTCCTGCTCCTCGGTCGTAACATGATTTGTCGGTGCAGCTTGGTTACTGATACTGCCTTCCCGAGCATGCTTGCGATATTTTTCTCCTGGTTCTTCGGTAGAAGTGTTCATCTCCCCCGCGTCCAGAACTTCGAGCGAGGACGAGGAAGAAGAAGCGGAGGATGCTGAAGAGGATCTAGCGGCTCTCTCCCGCGGCCCTCGGCTCAGATCAACATTTCTTGCTCCGTACATGGCCGCACTGAATTCGCCAAACGCCGCTGAAGAAAGCCACACGATTCCCTGCTTCAGATCCATCCGATACAGTTTCTTCTCATTGATCACAATCTTCGCCGTCCATTTGGCTTGGTACAGTTTACTGCTATTGACGGTCCTCGATGATGACTTATTCGATTGGTTGATGTCAGAGGCTGCAGCTGCGCTCACACTTCCTTGTGCAGCAGAAGCCCCCTCCTGCTGAGCGGAGGACGTTGTCGTTCCCGAGATTATTTCTGCTTCGTGGTAAACCAGAATCTGCACCCTCCTGTGACAATCGTCCGGCGGAAGGTAGACATCTGTTTCCACAGTCACAACCTCCTTCGTCGAGCCGTCTAACACCAGAAATTTGAAATACAACCGGTGCCCCATCGCTTCGATCGCGATTGACGGCTCGGGGGAGCCGCGGGTCGTCAATGACATCACGGACCATCGCTCTTTGGTGGTTTGCTCCACCTTATCCGCCTTCGCCGTGGGTGTGAGGTGGATGTAGAAGCTCATCTCGAAGCAATCTGGAAACGGCCAAAGCTCGCACGCCTCCGTCCCCTGGTCGAGGGAAATCAAGTCCAACAGCGTGTGCAGTTTCCCCAACTTTTTAATCGGCACCGCCCGCTGCGAAAGCAGGTGCTGGTGACAAAACAGCTTGACGGCCTCCGTGTGCGCCCGTTGCTGGTTCACCGTTCGGGCGGCTTCTTGGTCTTTTGCGGATACGGTTTCCAAGATTTTCAAAGGTCGCTTCGGTTGTCGGTGTCGTTCTGGTGGGCCACGAGTGGTAGTTGTTCCCCCGACTTTCCGGAGCGACAAGGGGACAGGAAGTTCTGAAGAGGGTGGAGAAGCAGATGAAACACCTGTAGGAGTTTCATGCTTGTTCTCAACTTCGCTTTTCGTTTTATTCAGCACCGCCTCAGCCACCACGTCTTCAAGTCGGTTGTTGTGTTTATGCACCGTGCACTGCTGTTGAAGACCGATTTTCTGGGAGAAGACTGCTTTTTTCGAAGCAGTACCGGGCTGCGTAGACGTAGTAGAAGAGGTGTTTGTTTCATCTCCTGTGGATTTTGGATGTCCTGTCTCACTTCGCATCCCTGAAGCTGCTTCTTGCTTACTTTTCGCCAAGGCACTGCGAATTCTGCTGCCGGTCGTAGTGCCAGAGGGGAAGGTCGATGTTGAGTTACTACCATTTTCTCTGTCGACCTCCGGTAGCCGTTCCTTTGTTGCACTCTCCGTCTTCATCTCCGCTGCGCCTGCATGGGATGAGCTGCTTCTACTACGCCCGGCTACAAGTTCTGCAGATGTTTTGCTCGTCTTGATGGTGTCGTTCCGCTGATCATCTGGATCTGCCACTTCGTCAGGAGCTTGCTCCACGCGTCGAGGAAATTCATCCACTCCGGGTAGCTCTGCGAAAGTCACGGTTTGATGTCGGGGCTTCGGCTTGATCATCATTTCACAGGTTTGTAGTTGAGAAGGTGAGGAAGAGGAACTGAGCGCCGCCGTCGACGTCGAATCTTTTGCTGTGCCTGTGTCTACTGTGTCTTCAAAACGACCGCTACTTCTTCCATCATGTCCATCCACCTGATTGTTCTTTTCGTAAGTGGAAGAAGTCGACAAAGCAGCAGTACCCGGACGAGGTGGTACACGAACTGCTGCTTCTCCAGCCGCGCCGACAAAATTTGCATCTCCATTTGTTGATAGCAAATTCGGTGGCAAAAAGGAATCCGCGGTGCAACTCGACCCAGGCCTACTAGATGTTGTTGCATAGTGGAAATTGTTGACGCACGACGAGCCCTCGCTCTCCGCCTGGTCCTCCTGTTTGATGCTCCGGCTATAGCAGTTTCCTTTATCTTGTTGTTTTAAAATCGAGCCCTTCGTTGCTGCTGCAAAGGGGTACGCCTGGAAATCTTTGTTCACGTTTTCTTTGGGTAGAGAGAACAAAGTCGCTGCACTTTGTGTAGTTGACATCGTTTTTTTTGTCTTGCTACCACACCTATTGCCGTCGGCAGAAGAAGTGGCGCTGTTGTTATAGTTGCTGCTGTTTGAAGATGTAGTTGTGATGTAACGGTCCCCCGGCTCTCGCGACGACGTGCCAGTGTACTCATCTCCCCTCGCCAGAAAGAACTTGCTCTCGGGTCCTACCAATCTTGTCGAGTTGCTGTTGCGACCGGACAAGAGATTCGCGTCTACTTCTGCGTTTGTGGCGGATGGAAGTTGTCCAGAACGACCTCCAGCGCCGTCACCAGCCAAGGTCTGAGGTTTTCCGATCAGAGTGCCGGTTCGCCCGGCTGTCGCCCAGGAGGAGGCGGATGAAATAGTGGCGACCATGGAGTTTGTTTTTCTTTTTCTTTCGATTTGCAAAAAAGGGGCGGGAGCTGCAGGGAGGGCGCCAGCTGTTAATGCTGTCGTGTTATGTTCTACTTGCCTTCATCAACTTCGGGGCAACGATTCAGCATTTTCATTTTCTATGTGTGGGCGGAAACAAATTATTCATAGCGAATAAACATGGTATAGACATCACATGCGAAACTTTCTTTGACTGAGCTCTCATCATCATCATCTCAATCCATGCAATAACACCCCCGGAAACGGAATTTTGCATGCGCTCTCAAACTAAATACATCTGAAGGTGGAAGATGCACCCAACCTCCTAATCGAAAGAGAACAAACATGACGAACGGTCGTCCCTTAAGCATCTATCCATGGCGAATCTGAATCAAAACGTTCGTGCATGAGAAATAAATATGATGGATTCATTGCATATTAACACGCATTTTTCGAAACAGGTCCAGCACGCGCCCACTGCGTATGGGAGCGTCAGGTTTGAAATCAACAAAGTTGAAATGATTTGTCATGCATAAAATGCAAGGCATGAAGTGCCTGTCTTGCCGGGATGGCAAGTGAGGCCGACTGTCAGCCTGTTTAGGGTTTGAAATAGAGCTGCTAAAGTAGCACGACAAAAGCAGTCGTCTGTGCCCAAACTGCATGACAAATTGGATTCCGTTACTCGGAAAATTTGTCATGCGCCGCTTGGAAATTGGGCTTCCGGCTGGTATCGACTTTATGCATTACAAGTTATTTCAACTTTGACGATTTCAATTCTGACACTCCCATACTGCGTCAAGCCATGATCTTGCGCTCACTGGAGACAAGGTACAAAGAAGCACCGGACAACGGCAGAAAAAGTTTGAGAGCAGGGCTAAAAAAATTCCAAGTATATGTCAAAGAAACATGTATAATATGCTGAAAAACCTAAACTACTACCAATGCCGACCACTACGCAGTTGCGTCGACAAGGCTCGGCTCATACTTGGTACTGTATTCAGTGCGTTTTCATCTCGTCCACGTTCATTCTCCGAACAAACGCGTTAAGAGCTCAAACGTAGCGGCTACTGTGCTTCCAAAAAAAAAAGAAAATCTATCAGGTAAAATTTAAATTGTCTTCGCGAAAAATTATAGGCGAGCTAAAGTGCTGAAACAGTATGAAACTACAGGTGGATGGGGCTAAAAGTGAAAATTTTTCTTACCTATACCTACGTTGCTGAAAATGGGAAAAGTCTTTTGTGATGTATCTTCTCTAACTTTATACAGCATATTGACATTGTTCATCCGACTTTCTTCGTTAATGGGTAAAAGATCTGGACTGGACATTGGTATTCTACACGAAAAATCTTAAACTGTACATGGGATAGCGGCGTAGCGACACACTTTGAAACGCTCTTGGTCTATGAAATGCACGAAATAAATTCAACTTGGTGTGCTACGTATTAGACTGGAATATCAGTAGAATTTTATCCTCAACTTCTACCACCCCTAGTAACGCCACCTACTCGGGGGGCCGCGGCGGCTGCTGGAGCGTCACGGAAGGTGAGTTCTTGGTGGACGAAGCTCCGGATGGAGAAGATGACGAGGAAGAAGATGTTTTTGTTTGCATTTGCTGCGTTTGGTCCGCCGTGGTAGTTGCGAGGTCATTATTATTTTGTGCAAGTTTCAGTAACAGATCCTCATCGTGGTCGTCTTGCAATTCTTGCAGCAAGGTCGTTGGAGTTGTTGGCATGTCGTGGGTTGGTTCTTCTCCTCCAGCTACGTTTGCGCTCTTTATTCCAGCGACGGTTATTTGATTCGCTTGTTCCGCCGCGCCACTGTTCAACATCCCGCCCGTTCGCTTGTTCCTCCTCTCCTCCTCACTCGGCAGGTGCAGCGAGCAAAGACTGCGCTCCAACAATTCATCCGCTTGTAGTTCATGATGATCTCGTTGCGCAGCATCTACTGCTACTTCTACTTCCGTGGTCGTTGGATTAATGTCCCCATCCCGGCGGGAGGTGTTGCTAGTACGACAACTGCCAACATCACCATCCCCTTCGGTTTGTAGTCTTTGATCACCATCATGATCTTCCTGAGCAAACACTTCCTCCTTCGGGCTCCCGCTCTGTTCATCTGGGAGTTCGAAATTTACCTTCACCGCGTATTTGGACCGGACGCAAAAAGTTTTGTCGTTTTTCGTACTCGTAATACAGCTGTCCCGGTCGTATTGTTCGCCGTTTCGCAATGCAGCTGGGGTACTAGTTCTTACATCTGGCGCACCACAAGAGCTGTTCGGCGTAGAAGTAGTTGCTCGGGTCGTCCTGTCCTCAGCGCTCCTCTTTTTCGCCGAAGCCAAAATCGAGTTCGGCGCGGGAGTGCCGGGTGTAGTAGGAGTGGGCGTTGTCTTTATCAACAAAGGGGACGTTGATGTTCTTTCCGTCTGTCCATTCGGTGCAGTAGTAGTTCTGCGATCAGCCGTTGAAGAACTACTTTCACCAGACGCAGAGCTGAAACTGTTCTCGTCGCAGAGTGGCAAGGTTGGATCCACAAGTTTCAACGCCAGGCGGAGAAAGTACTGTTTGCTTCGACTATACAGTTATACAAATCTACCGAACGTCGACTACACGACGTGCCAGAGGCACAAGAACTGCGCCAGGTCCAGCTGCCACCACCGCGAGTAGAGTTTGCAGTGCGGAATAAGGTCAAACTAAGAACCCTAAACGACCCTAGAACCCTGAAACCCTTGCCGCGTAGGCCTCGGCACAGGGACGAGCTGCGTAGGCTGCGGAACCGGGACGTGTAGCGGAGGTCGCGGAGGAAGGGAAGAAGAAGGCGCACATGGCGGAATGCGGAGAAAGGCGTAGAAGCAACATTTTTGAAAAAGAAGTATAAGCATTTTTTTGAAAATAAAATATAATAAATCCCATAATACAACCCACCCAAAAAAAACACTGCTTGGTGCCAGTAGGGCCCAGGAGGAGAAAAGCAAGCAAAAGGAAGGCAAAGTAAGACTACTACATAAAAAGCGCTAGTAAAGCCTATTGCTCTGATCCGTCTAGGCGGGCCCGCCCTTCTGGTTCTAAAGCTTCAGCAGTGCTGAGAACGTTCCGACCCTAAACCTCGAGGCACAAGTGCCAGAGATCTACGTACGTATGCGCACGAGCAAGGCAGGATAGGTGCCTGGTATGGACACACAATCCAACTAAAACAAAAAGCAAAACAAAATCGAAAAGCAAAACAAATTCGAAAGAGTTCCCTCATGCCATCTCATACGAAGGCGAGATCGAGAGGAAACTCAGCATGTCAAGATGTTTGTGTTAAACATCCATTTGCTCTTCGGATTTATTTATGTACAAGTCAAGCAGTCACGTTCATATTCGTGTTCGAATGTTTCAAAAAAGTTTTTTATGATTGTGATCAGCCCAGGCTTGTATACATAAGCGCAATGTAATACTAGTGCTGCATGAGACTAGAAACATTCTGCAGGTAAAGTGAAAGCAGCATCAGAACATACAAATGCATGAAAACACGGAGACATATACAAAATGCATGACAACCTGCAGGAGCATGACAGATAAAATGCAAAGAGTAGAGTTTGCAGTGCGGAATAAGGGAAGATACAGATACTGCAAGAAGAAGAGCCTCATTTTTACATCATGACCACGAACATCACGACGTTTACAGGTACGTCGTGGACGTCAGTAGATTGTTCACTGTCCATAAGCAACATCCTCCCCAGATTGGACTAACGCAACCATCGTCGGGTCTTCCCCGACTTTTTCCAGCACCACACAGAGCCTGTTTGTGTTTTCGTTGTACAGAGTTTGATATTGATTTTCAAAAGCACAAACAACTACGTTTATTCCATCGAGATTTCATTGTCTACGACGAATTTCGATTTCCATTTTTTCCTCTAGTAGTACCTGAGAAAGTAATTCTTCTCTACACCCCACTTCCGGTCGTCTTTCGATTCGCCGACACCGAACACCTTGTAACTGTCCCACTCGTCCTCCTCCTCGTCTTCGTTTTCTACTTCTTCCTTGAGTTTGTGCAAGATCGGCCACTATCAAATGTAAAAATGTCTGGGTCTGGAAGAATGCAAGATTTGTGATGCAGGTTTTCCATGACCCATGAGGTCTGGAATGCGAGACCCAGCATAACAGATTTTTTGAGGTCTCTTTTATGCCTTTCCTGCATGAGAAACTCCCTCTCAACTTGGTCAAAAGCGGACAGCTCTTGGCACTCACGCAACACAGATTTTTGCATCGTTCAGATTTAGCATGACAAGTTCTAACCCTCGTCCAGACCCAGACACTTTTGCACTTGATAGCCACACTAGCTCCAGTGCGTCGTCCTCGTCTAGGATACCCAGGTAACCCAATGCCTCGTAAACGATCGAGATGGAGGCAATGAGGTCCCAGAAATTTGCTTTTTTCACCAGCTCATCCTGTGCAAAAGTATCGCACTCGTACTAATTGAGTTTATGCATTACAAATCTTTTTCCGAAGGAAAATCCGCATTACAAATTAATTGCTAAGTCAATTTGTATATGCAATTTACACTAGTACGATACTTTTGCAATGCATACAGCTGCGAAGATGATCCACCACGACCCGATGAAGTGGTGAAGTTGTTTCCATAGTTCCCGTTTATTGGCTCATCCGAGTCTTCGTCTTCATCCCGGTAGTTGTTCACCCACTCATCTGCCGCACTGTTTATCGTATTGTTGCTGTCGCGACCGCCATATCCTGCGCAAAAGTATCGCACTCGTATTGCAGTCATGCGTTACAAGTCTTTTTTTTAAGGTAAACCCGCATTACAAATTTTCTTTCTCATGCTTGGGAAATTTGTAATGCATTTATACGAGTACGATACTTTTGCAGTTCATACGCCACCCAGGTTTGAATGTTCGATCTTCCCTAGGAGAAGGTCAAACCTGGTTTTCAGCTTCACCATCTTTATCAGAAACGAGTTCTGTTCTATCCCACGAAAAAAGTGTTACAGTTACACACTTGTAGTGAATTCAGCAACACAAATTTCTCTGCATGAAAGTAATGCAGAAATCCCACGATAAAACACCTATTGAACGGGGCTCCTAGGCATATCCCGCATGACAGAACTTGTCTGTCTTGCTTGGCCTGCAACGCAATGTGTAACTGTAACACTTTTTTCTTGCGATATGTTCCTTGTCGGTCCTCGCCTCTGCTGACTTGAAGACCTATCCTGTGCAAAAGTATCGTACTACTCGTATAAATGCAAGTCTTGCGTTACAAATCCTTTTCATCAGGTAAACCCGCATTACAAAATTTATTTCTCAAGCTGAGGAGATTTGTAATGCATTTATACGAGTACGATGCTTTTGCAGTTCATAAGACCACGGCGGTAACCATGTTGAGGAGCAGAAGAGCGGACACCGAAAGGTAGGTTGTGAAGAAGAACAACATCAAAACCGGGCTGCCCGTGGCCGCGACCACCTCCTCAATACTCTCAACCCAACCGTCCAGGGTCATGATTTGCAGAAGCGTGTTATCCTGTGCAAATAAAGTGTCGTGCTCGTATTGCAATCATGCATTACAAATGTTTTTCTTAAGATGCATCAGCATTACAAATTTTATTTCTCACGCTGAGGAAACTTGTAATGCATTTATACGAGTACGATGCCATACTTTTGCACTTCATACGTGTAGAACGCCGGCAGGGTCCGGTGGCACTGCAAGGCGTCGGGGTTCTGGGCGATGAAGTTGTCGTAGTTGAATGTGTATGAACTGCAAAAGTATCGCACTCGTATAAAAAATGCATTACAAATTTTCTCAGCATGAGAAGTAAAATCTGTAATGCGGATTTACCTTAACAAAAAGCATGATTGCAATGCGATTGCAATCATGCATGATTGCAATGCGAGTACGATACTTTTGCAATGCCTAATGTGCACAAAGCGACCACCACCATGGAGAAGATGAAGCACACCATATTGCGAGGAAAAATCCCCCCTCCCCATATTGAAAAGGACACTTGTGATGCTGGATTTGGGTACACGACTCGACTTGTATTGCCTGCAGGCCAAGCGACGCAGTTCTGGCGTGAATTGCAGGCAGCTGTCATGCTGATTTCCACTTCCAGTTGCCTCCTGTCATGCTGAAGATGCAAGGCTTTCCCATGCCAGCCAGCACTACAGTGTCTACATCTTGATCCTTTGCCTTCTAGCATGACAACGTGATTTGTGGTAGCAAATCATGCTACACAAATCTCCGTTTTAGTATGGGGAGGGGGCTTTTTTCACAATGATACACCGTCAGTGTGAAGATCACGGTCCAAAGCAACGGCTGCACGGTATCCTGAGTAAAAACGTACCCACGCCAGAGTTGTAATGCAAATCTGCATGCTGAAAATGTTTCTCATGCGGAGCCCCATGAGAAGCATTTTCTAGTCGTGTTTTGCAATTTGTCATGCTCCAATCAGCATGGTATGCTAGATCTGTGATGCTGCTGAGCTAGCTCAAACAGCACTACACTACGAATCCAAATTTGTCATGCAAAACAGCCAAAACTTGTGGATTTGTCTAGCCGATTCCCCATCTTGACTATGGTGTGGGTACGTTTTTACTCAGGATACACGGCAAAGAGAAAGGTCAGGGTGACCGTCCACAAGTGCTCTATCATGCTAAACATGCGCACCACGCGGACGCAATTTAAAGCTTTGGTCATCGAGAGAATCTCCGCGATGTATCCTCTGTAAAAACATCCCCACCCCAGAGTTGTCATGCTAAACAAAATGCGACACACTTTGCCCCCCCATTGTGCCATGGCCGCAGATGGCTTGAGACGCAGGGCGGGTGGGTCAGGCGGACACCAAAGTGCCATCACCATCATCTCCCGGCCACGATAAAGAGTTGTCATGCAGATTTGCAATGACAAGAACATTTGTGATGCGCATCCCGATGATGGGCATTTCCAGTCGTGTTTTGGAATTTGTAATGCTGTCAACAGGATACGTATCTCGATTTGTAATGCGGCTGCCCTTGCTAACCTGCACTACACTACGGGCTGCAACTTGTCATGCGTGGCGTCCAAAACGCCTGGATCTGTGTTGCGGAGATCCCAACTTAACTATGGGGTGGGAAAATTTTTACACAGGATACGATGTTCGAGTTACTCTTCTCGCTGCTGGTGTTGTCGGCACCTCCGTCCGACCCGTCCGGATCCCGCAAGGCGGCGAAAATCACGTACGGAAGGATGACGTCGGTGACCCAAGCCAGCACCAAGACGAACAGATCGAACCAGAGCCACTTGGTAAAATTTCTCGTGGTGTAATTCGCTTCGATATCAAATGCAAATATGTCTGGGTCTGGAAGGTTGGAAGTTTTGTCTTCATGCAGGCTTTCCATGACGCGTGAAGTCTGTTTTACATGACCCAGCATGACAGATTTTGTCCGACCCCTATCATGCCTCGTCTGCATGAGAAACTCCCTATCAACAGCTGTGGTCAAAAGTGAGCAGCTTTTGGCAATCATGCAACACATATTTTTGCACTATTCAGAATTAGCATGACAAGTTGCATTCTTCCAGACCCAGACATATTTGCAACGCATATTCGACGAACCGCATGAGAAATTCGAGGGTGAAGAGGATGACCAGAAACACGTTGGCAAACTGAAACCAGAAAGTGTCTCGATCCTCGATTTCCAGTTCGTACTCCAAACCGAGCAGAAACCCGTTCACCAAAAGCAACAATCCGATCAGCATGTCGAACCTTATATGAAAATTTTGATTTTCATCCCATTGATTTGATGAACCCACGACTCCGTGGTCTTTTATAATATTCACAGATTAAAAATAATCTTCTTCACAGAAAATGCACCGCACAATCCTAAGTTCGCCTCCGCCTGTGCTCAGTGCCAAAAAAGTCGGCTACGCATGACAAAAAGTAAACAGCTCTATGAATGTACGTTGGCAGCTCCACAATGGCTAACACCTTCTGCTCCCAGACACTTCTCTGCACCACCTCGCCCTCAATTGGATCGTCGTCGAAGGGAACATATGCATTGCAAAAGTATCGTACTCGTAAACCATTTCAGACATGAACACGACAAATATTTTTCCAAACCTGCGGCGGAATTACAAATTCCATTCTTGAGCTTCACAAGCTTTGTGATGCTATTCATTACACACTAGCAGGATACTTTTGCACATTGCATAGACTGCCGTCAAGAAGGTCGAGACCGTCGAGCCGAACTGAGCCTGGGCGGAAATTGACCAGAGACCCGCGCCCGTTGTTGTTGTTGGCCGCTTTCGTATTGGAGGCTGTTACGACGAAGGGCGCCTTGCGTAAGCTCTGCACGCGTCTCGTGGACAGTCTCTTATTTTCGCCGTTGTTGTGCTGCTCTTTTTCGCCTCCAACGACCAGGCTGTCACGAATGTGCACACCCTTCCCGCTATGGCACTGCACAACTCACCGTATTTTTCCCCTGATTTGTGATGCAAAATCCCAAATCAGGTTGCTGCCTTCTTGCCCTGTTTGCATGACAAATGCCACTAAAATCTTCTCAAGCAGTACTCGAGTCGGTGCATGATGAACTTGTCGTGCACATGCTCCGCGCGTGCTGGTATTTGTATTGCTGCAGCTCCTGCCATAGTACAAATGAGAGGGAGAATCGTGAGCTGTGCAATCTCATACCCGCGACAAGATTTTCGCAACGAAGCTCTTGGTGCACCTGTTGGAGGAAAGGATCCCGGATTATTGTAGTTGTGGCTATTGCTATTCCTATTTGGCCGCGGCGCGGAAGAGTTGTTATGTTCTCTCTTTTTTGCTTTCTGCTTCTGGCTATCAAATGTAAAAATGTCTGGGTCTGGAAGATTCTGAGACTTTTCATGCAAGTTTTGCGTGAGCCATGATGTCTGTGATGCATGCCCTAGCATCAGAGATTTTTTGAGGGCTTCTGGATGCCTATTCCGCATGACAAATGCCCTCTTCCCGTAGCAAAAAGACACTCCCTTTGCTGCTATATGCAATACAGATTTCTTTGGAATCCAAATGCAGCATCACAAGTTGCATCCTTCCAGACCCAGACATTTTTGCATTTGATACTGGCTCGTTTCGGTTGGGCTGCTGGCATGATTCATCCCACCACCACCCGCCGGCCCCGGTATGGGAGTGTCAGGATCGAAATCGACAAAATCGAAATGATCTGTAATGCATAAAATGCTACGCAGAAAGCGACTCTTTTGCAGAGGATGCAAGGAAGGCGGATTGTAGTCCTGGTAAGGGTTAAGCGTTGGGCTGCTGACTAGCATGACAGAAGGCAGCTCTTTTGCCCTAAACCGCATGACAGATTTGCCTCCAGGATGGAGCGAATTTGCCATGCGCCGACTACAAACTGTGGGTCTAACTGGCATCGATTTTCTGCATCACAAGTTTTTCGATTTTGTCAATTTCGATTCTGACACTTCCATACCCGGGCGCGAGGGTGTAGTCGTGGTATAATTGTTCTCCTCTGCAATCCAGGCTCGGGGGTCCAGGGTTTTTAGCAGCACTGACGGGAGTTTCGTAGAGGAGGCCAACTTTTTCAAACTGTTCATCTTTGACAGTGGCGACTTTTTCGCCAACGAAGGACTCGAAGGCCCTGCCTGCAGGGCCGCGGCCGTGCCCTGGCGGGTGAGCGGCATCTTGTGCTGCTGCCTGGTGACTTCCTTTTAATGACGTTACACTGGGCCGCGCCAGATAGTCGTAGATGTAGAAGCTGCTCTTGTAGTTGTATGAACAACAGTCATCAAGTGAAAATACACGAGTGATCGTACCCTAGTCGAGGCACCATATGCACTAAAGGCAACGGCGTCTGAAAGTAGCGGGGCTGGGATTAACACCACGACACGACGAGTTTTTTACAATTTGTGTTCTTTGCGCGAGATGAATGAGATTATACAGAGGACAACTGCTCTTCACTCTAATAGATCCCGTCATTCTAATGTCGTTTTTGCGTATAGAAGTGTAGCCGGTCTTTTTGTTCAACAGAGCCGTTTTTCTTTTGATTCCCATGTTCTCGTCCGTCCTTTTGAACGTCCCTCGCGGATGAAAGCGGTTCTTTCACGGTAAGAGCTGCACTGGAGCTAGAAACAACTTTCGAAGACTACCACGACCAGTGTATTGATGAAACCGAAGGATGATTCGTGTAACAGAATCAAACGAAGACTACGAAGAAGCAACTGATAGTACCTTCTACGGGACGACAAAAGTACCGAAACCAGAGGCGTCAATGACCGAAAAACGAAAACACCCAACAGAAGTTCACCGAGATAGAAGTTGAAGTTGTGTGGCAAATATAAAACATTCTAAACCTGCTCCAGCGGAAACCAAACTGCAAATAGAGAGCCAGCGTCACAGCTGCTGAAGTTGCGCTCCTCTGCGGATTTTTGACTGTTTCGGATCATAATTTCTACAAGATTGGGGTCGGCCGATTGGCCGACCCTATCTTGATGGACAGTTTGTAGGCATAAGAAGCAGCGTAGGTTAGTAGTATCGAAGCCGAGGGTCCAAAGTAGTTGTCTACAGTGCAAGAGAAGTGTGCTAGTGTTGAAAAAGCAGGATGTTCGTAAAGCAGCAAGACAGATAGTGGCGAGCGTGTTCCGATCTAAAAGGCAGCGCAAGAGAACGATGAGAATTTGACGCTGATTCACATGCGGAAAAATGATTGATGAAGTTCATCACCAGGCGCAAAAATAACTATTGGCGTGCACACAGATGTAGAAATAGATGCTGAGTTTTGATTTTTGTTTTTTGTAGTTGTTTTAAGGTCCGCACCAGAAGACGTCTTGCTGTATTTTTGTAGTCTCCTGCTACGCTTATAGGACACTTCGACGTCAGCAACGAATTCAAAAAAAAAAGTTCTAGTAGCGAATCTTTAGAAACGAATCTTCAGTGTTGGAGGTCAGAAGCGAACTTTCAGAAAAACAAAAAAAAACATGCCTTCGCAGTCCTCTGAGAAATTGCGACTGCCGTCGCCTATGCGGCCGGTCCGCCTGCCCCTGCCGCCGGCAGCCGGCGCGGGCGAAGACAAAGACTACCAGGACTGGTTCTGGGAAGACTACCCTATGCGCTGCAAATGTAATTTTCGGGTCTGGAAGGTTGGAAGCTGTTTTTGTCATGTCGTTTGTGAATAGCAACAGTTTCTACATAAATCTGTCATGCGGAGTAGATGTCTGCCATGCAGAGTAGGCATCAGTTAGTAGTAGTAGCATGCGTTTTTCGCAGTTAGCTCAGCAGCGGCGCCGCCTGCTTCCGTTACAAACAGCGCGAACAACAAAAGCGGCCCCGCCCGCATCTCGCCGGCTGTTGAGCGCCCATTGAGCCGCCGCTGTTGCGCTCCTCTGCGGATTTTTGACTGTTTCGGATCATATTTTCTGTACAGGGACATACAATCAACAAATCTGCTTCGTCGTGTCTTCAACGTGGGTCGTCGTCTTCTTGGTTTACAATACTACAATAGATATCTGCCATCATCGGGCTACTGATTTCATCTTCAAAACGATCTCTCATCGCAAGAAGGAAGCCAGGCTCTACTGGTTCGGGTCGTTTACGTTTTGCCTGAGAGACCACGTGTAGGCAACCGTCACCACGAGGTCCAACTTCTTCTTGTTCTTTCCGACGCAGGATCAGAAAGAAGATTTGGTTTTAGTTTCAACATTCTGCGGCCCGGTGGAAGATTATAACAGCAGGATCATCCTGTTAATAAACTACAAGTTCGTATTAAATATTGGTATTCAAGGTGTGTGGAGAGATAAATGAATTCTTCTGGTTTTCTATATTCTTTGTCTCGATACAATGAAAAAACTTGCAAATCAATCTCATCTACGATCTGACAGCGGGCGTGGTGGCCTGTCGTACAGTTGTGAATCTACCGCAACAATAATCCAAATTCTCAGTCTTTGTTTTTTTTCCTATCAGTGACAGAGTGGTTGTTACATCGAAAATTGAATGTGAAATTGTAATTGATGAAAGCATTTTACGGTAGAATTAATTTGTCTGGTAAATGGAAATAAACTGCTAGTACTGTAGTATCGAATCTGTTTTAGAGGTACTCGTCTAAAAAAATGAAAGAGAGCACGCTCGTGCTCGTTTGCAAATTCAAATTCTTTACTTGGTGTGCTAACTCTTTTTCTTTTAATCTCGATTTTTTTTTTCTCTCGACGATGTGACCGAGGAAGTGCTTCCTATCTTCTCGGTATAATAAAACTAGCAGCTTGTTCTACGTGGGTTTTCGGAAATTCCCCTGTTTGTTTTTCTTCTCCATGATGTTTGTCTCGCCTTGTTTTTCTTCAAAGGAGCTTGCCGCCGCCTTTTTTTTCTTTCCCTTGTTTTTCGCGTTGTTCTTTCCCTTCCCTTTTGCCTTGCCCTTGCCCTGCCTCTTTGCCTTCCCCTTGCTCTTTGCCTTCCCCTTGCCTTTCTTTTTCGTCCGCGCGCTCGCGCTCTCTGGCGCCGGTGTTGGTGTATCGTCGTCGTCGTCGTCAGCAGCGTCTCCTGTAGACCTGGTGCTGGTGCTGCTCGACTCCTTCGCGGGTGCAGCTGGTGTCGGGCCGCTACCGTCAGTGTCTACTTGTCGCGAAGAGGATGACGTACTGTCGCCTAGAGCATCATCATCACCATCATCATCGCGATCTTTATTATCATCACCTGCTGTAGTAGTTGCTTGTAAAGAATCTGCTCCACCATCGGATGAGGTCGTGGCTCCTGTGGCGCTTGTTTATGGCGTAGTTCTCAAACGTCGTTACAGACTCGACTGCTACATGAATTTTTCGTGATGCAAAAGTACGATAAGCAGCCACGCGATCAAGTAGCTACTTCGCATGACAAATTACTCAAGGGGAGGCTAAGCAGCGCCTAATTTTTCTGTACCAAATTTGTGCTGCGAGAGCTGCAAGCTTACCCGCTTCACTGTTGCTGCTCTTGCATTGCAAGTCCATCTAACATCTGAGAATGTAAACGCTTGAGATGAATCCCATACGCCTGCTTGACTACGAAAGGCCGTGTCCGCCGCTGTCCTCAAGGAACCGGCTAGCCGACCAGCGGCAACTATGCACTGCAAAAGTTGTATTATACTTCATCCTGGTAAAGATCGCAGGTATAATAGATTACAGGTCTCAATCTTGAGGTAAAAAACCCGCACTACAACAAATTGCGTTTGTTCTCATGCTGACCAAATTTCTGAAGATGCGACTACTACTAGTATCGAATACATTTGTATCCAGGAAAAAAAGTGTGTAAGTGTAACTTTCTTTGAGAAACAGCATCACAAATTTGCTCTACATGACAGAGAAAACCTGTCATGCGTGGCTTGTAAGGGGAAACACAGTTGAAAAGAGGACTTCGTGGCTGTCTGGCATGACAGGTGTAACTCTCTTGCATGTTCTGCAACACAAATTTACACTTACACAGTTTTTTTCTTGCATAATTTGCAATTCATAGCCTTTTCCACGCTGTTCTCCACGTTCTCGTATTGAGAAGAAAAATCCCCTCTCCCCATATCGAAAAGGCCTGTTTCCGCAAATTTGTCTTGCTGATTTGAGACCACAAATCACGTCTGTCTTGCAAGAAGACAACTCCACAGGCTCTGCCGCATTATGCCGGCGGTTTGTGATGCTGTTGGACCTACATGATAGTCGTTTCTCATGCTAAGCGCCTAGGCCAAAAGCTCTCTACTCAGGCTTGGCAGGAGCCTGCAGTCCTCTGCTGCAAGACAAACCTGATTTGTATACGCAAATCCAGCATCAGAGACTTCCTTTTGATATGGGGAGGGGGGATTTTTCCTTGTGATATCTCGAGCGCTTTGGTCACGCCCTTGGGCACGGCCTTTTTCACATTGTCTTTGATGCGTATCAGGGTGCACAACTGCCCCTCCCCGCCCTCATTTGTATTGCATAAACAGCAACACAAGCGTCACCCATTTTGGCGTTGGGCCACCCAAATGGTCACCCAACGCCAAATGTAATCATGACCCGGATTCATCATTTTGCATAAACAAGTGAGGGGAAGGCGGGGGAGTCGTGCATTTTCTTAATTTTATCCTTGTTTGCATAGGTCCAGCCACCAGCACCGGCGGCTCCGAGCAGCGCAGCGTCAAAGCCAAAAAGTGTTAATCTAAACGGAACATTTTGGCATGCAGAAACGCAACAGCAACAGCACAAAAGGTTTTTCATGCATGACAGACTGCATTCTGTCGTGGCAGCCGTTAGGATTCACACTTTTTTTTTGTTTGATATACAGCAGCGACCGGCCCTGGGTGCTCTGTAATAATGTCGCCCACGTCGACATGAGGTCCACCACCCCCGCCCTGAAACGGGTTGCTATGGCGTTCTCAACTGTTACATTCTCAACTGTTACATGAATTTGTCATGCAGAATTACAATCAAAATTGACACGATCAAGCTGCTTTGCATGACAAATTCGCGAAGAGCCAAACAGGCTCAGAATCTGCGCCGAATCTGTCATGCAATTATACGCGCAAGGTCACCCCCTTTAGTTTTGCCGTTCTTGCATCACAAATTCATGTAACAGTTGAGAATGTAACGTTTGAGAACGCGGCCATAGTTGCCCAAGTGTGGGTGCAAAGCGGCGTTCTGGATGTCGTGCACGGAGGCCGCTACAACGTTTCCCGATTTCGTAAACCAATCGCCATATCCCATGCAAATTATGTGTCTGGGTCTGGATAAGTGCAATAATGTTTATTGCCATGCACATTTTTCATGACCTTCCATGATGTCCTCATCTGTGGTGTATGCCTTTCAAAATGGCATCATTTCTTGCGAGGGCTACTTATACTTCCAGACCTAGACATTCTGCTCGCGATGCATACGCCGATCGAGCTCTTCATTTCATCCATGTAGGTGGCCTGCGGGTCGTCGGGCGTGTGGAAAGCGTTATCCACAGGAAATTCCCCGCACATGTACAAATGCAGTCTCTGCATGACAAAACTTGGCTTCGATCCTAGTTTAGCGTGACAAGTTTCACACTCCAAATTGGGGAAATTTATTGTGATGCATCTTGTACATGTACGGGAAATTTGTATTGCATAAGCGTCACATTTACTCAACAGGTCGCTTATGTCCGTCGCCTGCTCGGCTGTTGTGGTATAGTTAATCGATAGATGCATTGTTTTTGTGCTGCTCCTTGTTTCTTGGCAAGATGAGCGCAAAGGGTCGCACCACAACTATGATAGATCACACAGCAGCAGGTGGCACGACATCGAGACTTCTTTGAGATCATGAAACAAGACTTCAACTTCTGAAGTCCACTTATTATATCAAGCAACACGATGCTGGAAATGGAAATCATGCGCAATAAAACAACTACTACAAACATCATCAATAGTATTCCGCGAAGTTTTACAGTTCTACAACTGGTGCTGTTCCGTACCTTTCGACTTCTGCATCCAGTCCGAGATCGAGAAGACCAAATCCTTATCCTGTGCAAAAGTATCGTACTCGTACTAAAACTAAATTGCTTTTACGCATTACAAATCTTTTTCTTCAGGGAAATCCGCATCACAAATTCCATTCCATTTGTAAATCATGTAATGCTGAGCTAAAAATTCGTATTGTAATTTATGCAAGTACGATGCTTTTGCATTTCATAATCCTGATCTGTCCCTGCGGCAGGGACGGCAATATCCTGCGCAAAAACTACGTCACCCCCACCCCCTGGATTTCACGAAAAGTTGCGCGTTGAGGATGTGGTCTCTCATGCGGCGCAGAGGACCGATGCAACATGAGGAGAGTCTAGTCTTTCATTTTTAGCTTGTTGTTCCAGATTTCTTGTAGTCATGCGCCGTTCATCCAAATTCCAGATTTCTTGTAGTCATGCAAATCAAAATGCTGTGCGATGAACTTCATCGCGCAGCATTTTGATTTGTGAAAGAAAATTATTCTTTTTATCTTGACTTTGGGGTCGTGTTTTTACGCAGGATAGGTAAATGTTTTGTGGGCCGCATCGTGGTGGGACATCAGGTATCCTGTGCAAGAAAGGTGTATCGCACTGCTCGGAGTAATGAAAAATTGCTATATTGTATGAAAAACCTGGCTCGTTAGCTGGTTCAGCATGACAAGAACAACTTTCAACTTTCACTTGTTACGCACATGCAGCACGCTGAGGAAGTTTGCATATGCAATAATTCCAACTACTTCTAGCACGATACACCTTTTGCAATGCGTACCAGGTGGCTGATCAGTTCCGGGGCGCCTATGTTGTCCTGCTTGCTCCCTTCCAGGGCAACACGGAACAAAAACCCCACGTTTGAGAGTTGGCTCCCGGGCACATTGCCTTTGTATCCGTCCGCTATCGTGCTCATGGACCGGATGAACTCTGCCTTCTGCGCGGGGTTACTCAGCTCTTCGTGCACGATCTGCCACAGACCCCCTTTCCCGTTGTCTTCGTCCACACCGTTCACGGCCGCCCCAGCGAGGGCTTCGAAGTCCACACTCTGGAGGCTGCTCTGCACCGCTTGCACTGCGCCCGCCGCGTCTGTGTTCGTCTCCGCCGCGAGTCTGGTGGCTTCCAGTATGACCTGCTCAAGCGTTACAATCTTCTCAAGCGCTACAATAGAGTCTGGGATTTGTCTTGCATAATGAGCATGGCAGACTCGCAGACCATTCCACTTTCTGCAAGACAAATTTCGGCAGATTGTAGTGCGGTTTGGGACTGCTCCGGAACTTGTCATGTGCAGTCCTATGAAACTTGGCTAGATCATGCACTTCTTGCATCACAGATTTCCAAATTCTATTGGAACGTTTAAGATTGGGACGCTTGAGCAGGTCATATCCAGGGCGATGGGAATTTGGACCGCGGCCTCCGACTTCAGCAAATTATCGCCACCCGTGGCGAAGGCGCTGTTTACCGTCTTCAGGCCGGCTAGATACTGACTCGCTTTGCTCCAGTCGTCTTTGTCCGCCCGTATCCTGAGCAAAAGCGTCCCCACCCCATAGTCCAGTTGGTCTATATGCAGCACAAATCTCCACGGTTTGGGAGTTGTGCATGACAAGTTCCCATCTGCAGTGTCGTACTGGTTAGCAAGGGCAGCCACATGAGAAAGCCAGCTTGTAATCCTGCTTACACATTTACAAACTTCAAAACACGATTGGTAACGACCACGCCTGGCAGGGACATGCGCATTACAAATCTTCCTGCCATCGCAAATCTGCATGACAACTCTGGGGTGGGGACGTTTTTACACAGGATAGCCCGCAAACCCGACTTCATATTTTCAAACAGCTCCTTGACTTCCGTTTTTGCGCCTTCCGTCCCCTTGTCGTCGTCAACGGCGGCCTGCATCGTAAGAAAACCCTGTTTCACTGTGAACTTGTGATGCAGAGAACGGAACACAAATGCGGTTGTCTTGCTACACATGCAAGACATTGGACTTTTTTTAGCTGTGTTTTCTCTTAGAGAGCACGCATGCCAAGTTTTTTTTGTCATGTGTAACAAACTTGTGACGCGATTCTTGCAAAATCATTACACTGAAGCAGTTTTTTCGTGGGATAGCCTGCGCCGCCACTGCAATCGCGAGCGAGAGCTTTTCATGGGTTAGCTCCTTTGCTTTGGCGTCCCAGTGCACGTTCTTGCCGTTTTCGTCCTGGGACCGGAAGAGTTCGTGTATGTCCTGGTCTTTGTCGAGCTCGTCCGCGGCTACGATCATGGCGGCTTTGAACTCACTTTTTGCGCTGTCGTCTTCTTTTATTTCGTCGGGAATGCTATCGCTGTCACGAAATAGATCGGCCCAAATATCGTCGGCCCACGACTCTTTGTCAGCGTCGTCCCAAGTTGCGCTATCCGATGCGCCAGGGTATCCACAGAAAAAGTTCAACTAGACCCCTCCGCGTATGTTGTAATTTGTCAACATGCAAAGCATGCACATTAGTATAACAGGCTCAGATGTCGAATTCAACGGATTTTGAAAAAATTTTTTTCGCTTGCTAAAGCGCCTAAATAGTTAAACTTTAAATAGCTACTTATGCATTCTGCGCATCCGCAAAGGCCCTACCGAAACCTGAGCTAACTAGTTTAAAACTACATCATCTCAAAAAATAACTAGTTCTTGTTGAAGGCGCTTTCGCTAGCTAAAAAAATGTTTTTCAAAATTGATTGAATTCGACATCTGAGCCTGTTATACAGATCAGAGCAACCTTATTGCTCTGAATATTATTCATAGTGTCTCCTGTCATCATGCAGAACACGGAAAATCGGGATCATAGGTCGTCCTTTTTTGTCCATAGGTGGTCAGGAAGCGCGTCCAGAGCGTCTGAATGGATGCCGTGTGCCTCCTCCAACACTTTCCCGACACTGTCGCTCAGCCAATCCTCACCTCCAAAGTCCCAGTTTATGTCCAGGAACGGCACGTCGATGCTCTGTTGCTTGTTCATCGCCCCTTCCTGTTCTCCCACTCCGGTGGACTGCGACGTTTTCTTCTTGGCCGCTAGGTTTGTTCTTCTCTGTTGCTCCAGCTTCAGGATTTGGTTTTTGCGGTATTTCTTCCTCTTCTCTATCCGCCGAAGACGAATTTGTTCTCGTATCGTGTGCAGTTGCTGCAGCTTGTGGAGTTGCTGCTGCTGCTGCAGCTCCTGCGACATCCGGTACGTCCTCTGCGCGACCTGGTTCTCTTCCTTGTGTAGTCTCTGTAGTTGCTCGCCTTCTCTCATCATCTCTTCATCCAATTCAAGAAAATTGTTTTTTTGCGGAGATGGCACTACACTTCCACTTTTCCGCGCCGGCGCGCCGATTCTTGTAGCATGCTGGGAGACGAGAGGCTGAGGCTCATCGTCAAGCTTGTGACGTTCTTCGTGTTCGTGTGCTACTGCAGCAGTTGCAGTTGGTTCTTGAGCATCTACTTCTGCGATGAAGGATGCTGGCAACACTGGTTCTTCCTGCGTATTTCCTGTTCTTGTATGTCGTTGCGCAGCTGCAGTTGGCTGCTCATCTACTTCCAAAGTCGTGGAGGCGAGCAGGTTTGGTGTAGTTGCTTCGTCCCATAATTCTTCCACCGCTGCCACCCCGCCGTCGTTCGACACGGCGACTGCCTGCTCTGGTGGTTTTTGACTGGCTCCGGTAGTTATTTTTGGCCCGAAGATCCCAGAGGAGTGGTCCTGCTGCTCGAGCAGCTCGAGCCCGCGCGAAGGAGAACGGCCAGCGCCTCTTAGGGCATGATGTGCATGCGTGGGGGCAGCCGCAGCACCCCCGCCCGCAGACGCGACTAGTTCTAACGCAGAAGAGGATGAAGGAGAAGGAAGTCCCTCTTGTTGTTGTACTGCATGACTAGGCTGTGCAGTTATAATCTTATGCTGATCTTCTTCTGCAGGAGAATCTCCTGGTCCTGGAAACTGGGCGTCCTTTTCGTTTTCTCCCGGTCCCCCTGCTCCTCCTGCTGCGTGAGTAGAGGACATCAAACCTGCTTCGCCCAGAGGTGGACCGTTGGCGCTGCTCGCCGTGCTTGTGCTGCTACTAATTTTGGTGCCCCCAGGGTGGTCGTAGTGGTTGTCATCTACGGAGATCATTTCCTCCTCGCCACCCACAGCAACTTTCCGTGCGGCAACTAGAAAAGTAGCCATGTTGTTGTGCAGTTTCTGTGAAGATGAGTCATCATCTCGTCCGCGTGGTGAAGTAGACGGTGAAGAGGTCCTGGGAAAGCTACGCAGTTGTGTTGACAAGAGCAGCAAAACCGCCGTAAAGAACATCAGACACGTTGTCGTTGTAAGGAGCGGCACATAATAAAAGCAAGGCGGAGGTTTGTTTTTACTTTTCGCGGCCACAGTCGTGGAAGAACTCCAACAAGAAGTTGTTCGCCATGTGGTGGATGAAGAGAATTTTTTGTTCAAAATCTTCATCGCGGCGGAAATCTTTTTCCTAGTCTTCCTTCTCGTGCACAATGAAGGAGACCATTTGATGTTCAATGGGCCGCGATCATGTCGAACAACGGGAACTAGAAGCTGCTGTTGTTCTTCTTGCAACTCTCCTCCTCGCGGAAGTGGTAGTGGACTGCTGCCACGACTCATGTCAGTCTGTGAGACCTCCCTTTGGAAGACGAGTTGTGTACTGTAGGAAGTAGATGTAGTTGACAGCGGCCAAAGCCTTGCTCTTCCATCGGACGTCGTCGTCGAAGAGGACGCCTTACCACTTCGTTGCTCGTCGCGTCCTGTGTAGTCTGACTCTGCTAGTAGGCGGCGGCCATTGAAGGTAGTGCTACAACTCCGGATCATGTCGGGGGCAGATTGGTTGCTGCGGTCGTCGTCCACAGGCAGCTCTCTTGCGCAAGTAGATGTTGTTTGTTTCCTAATCCTTTCCTCGTCCGCCTGCTTGACTACTACTGCGCGGTGTCGTGGTTGCAGCTTGGACGCCGACGTGCAATTACCTCGCCAGAACTGCTGCTGCTGCCGTTGCTTCCGGGATCTCTCGTCGAGATCATCCCTCCCGCGGCCCGTGGTTCTCTTGATAGTTGCCCTCTCGCAGTTGCAGCAATGGTCCTGCTGCTGCTGCTGAGAAGTGGCACGAGCGGAGCTTGAGTTTCTCCTCCTGGTGCAGAACGGGAAATGAAATCGCGACAGCAACAGTCCTCGTCCGATCAAGGTAGGCGCGGCAGCGTCGTCTCTGTTCTTATCCTCTGCCGACAGCGACGAGAACAGCTTCTGCCGCCTGAGTTTATGTTTGCAGTTCTGTCGCCAGCCGGAGGGTGAAAACCAAAACCTACACCAGCTGGAACAAGTTGTCACAACGACCGATGTTGAACAGGCTAGCATATTACACGGAGCAACAGAAGAAGAAGGAGTTCTCTGCCCGCGCGCATCATCATGATTTCGCCCGTCGAACGAGGAGGAAAACATCTGCGATGAAATGCTGCATGTTCTTGAGGAACTACTTGTGCTGCTGCTGCTGCCCCCTCCTGAAGGTAGTTGCTCTGTTACTTTTTGCACTCGGAGAATTTCTATCTCTGGTAGCATCTGTGATGTCGCCGATGTGGAGGTGTTCGTAGTTCCTGCTACCGGGGGCCGTGAACAAGCAGATGCAGTCGGTCCCAAACTGCTGCTCGGTGTGCTGTGCAGATCAGCGCTAGAAGAAGTAGCAGCACTTGCTGGACGAGGACTTCTACTCCGAAGACTTGAATTTTGCTGCTCCTGCACCTCCTTGACAGGAACTCGAACTTCGCCGTCTGATACTACCATCGTTTTTATGTTCGAAACCTCATTCATTACTACCTCGCTTTTATTCAAACAAGCGCAAGCCCTGGATGAAGATGAAGATGAAGATGAAGATGCGAGAGAGCGGACGGCGCTAGTGCCCGCAGGTAATGTCGTTGCACTGTTACTAGTTTCCTTTGGCCTTGTCCAGCCGGAACAAGTTTCTGGAGTGTTTTTCATCCTTGCGCATGGTCTTCTACTTCTCGTTGCACCATCAGCTGACGCAGTCGATGTTGAGATAGAAGCTGCTCGTCTAGTTGTACCACCGGAGTTCTTCAACATATTGCAACCTCTGGTCGCGCACCTGGAACTGTTCAACTGTCCACACGGATTAAGTGCGTTTGGACTTCGGTTTCTAGTTTCAATCAGGCTTACGCAGTTCATCCCCTGTTGCTCCTGCGCCACTGGTGGTCCTTCTACCTGCTGGTGCAGCTGTTCCAGTGTCGCATCTGACTTTGGTCTTTGCGAAACAGGCCGCACAGATGGTCGTGTTCTTGTTCCACCTTGCCGCTCCTGCTCCGTGTGTGACGAGGACGAAAAACAAGACGAAGAGGACGCAGTTGCAAAGCGTGTTGATGTTATTAATCCACCGTCTTCAACACGTTGTATAAACCGCGTAGAAGAAGAGGAGGTCAAGGAACTAGCACAACTAAAGCTTGAAGCTGATCCAGCGGCCCCTCGACTAGGAACATCATCTTCACGACTTGACAAGGAAGACTCCTCGATGCGCCCTCCCCTGCTTTGCCGGCTTTCAGGAGCATCAAAGATCATCCTACTTGAAATAGACCTAGACGCTGGAACTACGACCGGATTGGTAGAAGAAGTGCTAACGTCGGCACGCGGGAAAAAAGCCGTGGGCGATGAGCTGCTCGCCGTTCTACTGCAGGAACGCGACGTAGCAGCAGGGTTGTTTTCACCTCCTCGAGAACCGGCTGGGGTAAGAAGATTGTCGTTTTTGTTCATGATCTCTTGGCCAACGTCGAGCTGCATTGAACTATCTTGCGCCCGGCCAAGCCCCTGCTGGCATGGCGCAACCGAAGATGACACCATTTTTACACGGTCGTGAAGTTCTAGTGCAGCGGTCATCTTCCACCTGTTCATCTCCTCGTTCTTTCTGTCATCATCAACATCTCCCACCTCCATTATCAGAACCGGACCAAGACGCTGGATCGACTGCTGCCCACAAGAGCAGAGCCCAGCGACCTCATTCTGTGGTCATGATTTGTTGGAAGAAAAGCATCGCTGTGCTCAAAAGAGCTCAACACAGTAGGTATTTTCATTAGTCTACGTCGCCTAAACGTGAATACGTTTTGGAGAGAGCAGTCCTCAAAATCATTGCTCACTCATCTTGCCCTTTCCAAACAATATTCCGATGATGTCACAATGCCATCCTGCTCCTGCATGCACTCACGACAATCTCTCTTTAAAGCTTCCACTCATGTTCCCCGAGGGCCCCACGATGAAAATTGACACGTGATATGATTCATCACAGACGAGCGAGAACGAGCGAGATTGTAGTACTCTTATTCGAATTTTTGCGCATGTCCTGTGATCGAACCTCAAACGTTGGCCGTTTTTGCGCTATTCGTGCATCGTCGTGTTTGATGTAGAGAGTCTGATTCTTAATCGATGGTCCGGCGACCCCTACTGTGTGTCAACATTGCGACGCTTTATTCACATTTTTCGCTTGATGGCACTTGCTTCACATGTACATGTTCGTACTGAGTCATTGACTTGCGGTAGTGTTCCGAGTCTGTGTCTGCTTTGTTTGTTCCGCGTCAGTAGTACTATTGTTTTGGTGCACCAGTTTTTCTTGTTCAGAGCTATTGGTGACCACGTGCTGCGCTCTTGCCGAGCCAGTATCATGATCTATTTCTTGCTTTTGCTTCGGCTTCGCCGGTATCATCATGGTGCAGTTCCTCTTCCTTCCCAGCAAGTGCACGCTTGCGTTCACGCCATTCAGCGATAGCAAGTCCATAGCCGAAGCGTTGTTATCCTCTGCTGTAGTCCTCGAAGTGGTGAAATTGTTCTTCGTGCCATTTTTACCGGAGAATTCGTCGACAGCGGCAGCCCCGGAAAATGCGACATCTGGATCTGTGACGTTCGGACATGATGATAAAATTGATGTTGAAGCTGCAGCCAAGTCATCTACTGCTTCCCCCTCCTCCCCCTGCACCGACGCCGGCGCAACAACCGCGGGCCTGCACGCCGACAAGCGGAGGAGATACTCACGGCTCCCGACTTGCCACCATCCCTGCTTTATCCAGTGCAAAAGCATCGTACTCGTAGCAATTATGGCAGCCATGCATTACAAATCTTTTTCTTCAGGTAGATCCGCATTACAAAATTTCTCATGCTGAGGAAATTTGTATTAATGCATTTATGCGAGTACGATACTTTTGCAGTGCATATGCTTCGCCAGCACGATCCAGCCGCCGTGCCCTACCGGCGGCGCGAGTCTCCCCATGTAGAGCACACTGCCGCTCGTGTATGGGAGTGTCAGGTTTGAAACCGACAAAGTTGAAATAACTTGCAATGCATAAAAAACATCGATACCAGTTGGAAGCTCAATTTTCAAGCAGCGCATGAGAAATTTCGGCGCCGTCTAAATCCAGTTTGTCATGCTGTTTAGCGAGAGAAGGCGTTTTTTGTCATGCTACTTTAGCAGCCCTACCGCAGACCCAGAACAGGCTGACAGTCGGCCTCACTTGCCGTCCCTGCAAGAGAGGCACTTCATGCCTTGCAGTTTATGTATGAGAAATCATTTCAACTTTGACGATTTCAATCCTGACGCTTCCATATCGTGTGCGTCTGCCGCACTTCGGTGATGTTCACACAACGCGCCGTTGGGACGGGTATCAACTGCAAATCTGTCTGGGTCTGGAAGAGTCATGCTGTTTTTGCATGACACAGAAGGACTCGCATGGAAGCTCTAGCATCACAGGTTTCTCTAGGTTTCGAGAAGCTTCCACAATGGTGCCGAATCCGCATGACAAATCCCCCACTTTGTTGACGGAAAGTGGGCAACTTTTGCTGCCTAGGCATGAGAGATTTGTATGCGTTGTGAAATGCGCATCACAAGTTTGCACTCTTCCAGACACAGACATATTTGCAATCCATAGCGGGCTCCGGATACCGACTGCGAGGCGAGGCAAGGGAGGGTGTCGGCCACTCCGCGTACAGCCAAGGCGTGTTCAGGCGATTCCGTGCGGTTTGGTAGAACCCAGGGGCTGGGGGACCAGGTGGAGGCTTTGGTGCGTCGGCCTCTGGTTTAACTACGGAAACTGCAGCTCCCTCTGTATAATTTGTCATGTTGGTACTGTTCGTCGTCGTCGTCGTCGTCGTGGGATTCGTATGATTTGTTCCCACCGCCGCGCCGGCAGTGGCGCTGAAGGCCGGCAAGATGACACCAGCAGGTACCAGCAACGTAAGCCAACACGAACGACGAGGAGCCAGCATGTCTGATTGAAACAACACCTTTTTTAGGAACAGAAGAGCAATAGCCTCACTTTGGTTCTTGGTTGAGCAATACAAGCGTACGCCCTCGCTCTCTGTGCTGCGTGAAAGCACGAGAAGATGTTCATCGCGCTACGGTACGAACTATGTCTCTACCAATAGGTCGACGTCAAGAAAAAAAGTCGCAAATAGGATCTCCCGCACACACACGCTCTACTACCCCGCGTCAAATGCCCTTGCAGAGCATTGTGAGCAGACTTCTGTTTGCCAAGCCCAGGAGACGCAGTGCGTCGTTTTTCTTTGTTCTGTGGTTCTGCGCAACGAAAATTTTGAAACGTCCTCGGACAGCTCAGTGCTAGTCAAGTTGCTGATATTGTCTTCTTTGAAAAAAAACTACACAAACGGACTGCTACTAGGTAGCTCTGGGCAGTAGATTTGGTCTTAGCCAGGGAGGCTTTAGTGAGGTGAATACAACACAACCTCAATCCGCCTCTACCGTGGTGGGCTCGAGCGTGATTCTCTCCCGCAGAAAGTAGTCCAGGTAAATATAACCATCTCAGGTGTTACAATCTCAAACGTTACAATAGAGTCTGGGATTCGTCTGGCATCATGAGCATTACAGACTCGTAGACCGTTACACTTTCTGCAATACAAATTTCGCCAGTTTGTAGTGTGGTTTGGGACTCCGGAACTTGTCATGCGCAGTCCTATGAGAGTTGGCTAGATCATGATCATGCATTTCTTGCATCACATATTTCCAGACTCTATTGTAACGTTCGAGATTGTAACGCTTGAGCAGGTCATAGTAAAGGCACACGGCGCGAAACTCCCGCGGCGCCCAGAAGTGCGTACCGTTCGGCACCAGAACCGCGACGGCGTGTTGCCCTTCGGCCCGCGTGCAACGGTTCTCCTCTGCTGAGGGGCTCTCCAGCGCGGCGACGGGGTCACCGCCGGGGAACAATTGCTGCAATTGCTGCTTGAAGGCCGACACAGAACAGTAGCCGTCGTATGAACTGCAAAAGTATCGTACTCGTATAAATGCATGACAAATTTTCTCAGCACGAGAAATAAAATTTGTCATGCTGATTTACCTTACGAAAAATATTTGTGATGCAAGACCTGCATTTATACGAGTACGATACTTTTGCACAGGATACGTCGTTCGTCCCGTTGATGTACAGCTGGGGTCGCTTATTGGGCGACGGCGACTGATATCAAGAGCACAAGTGTCTGGGTCTGGAAGAGTGCCAGGTTTGTCATGCATATTTTGCATAACCCATGACGCCTGTGATGCATGACCTAGCATCTTCAGAGATTTCTAAAGGGCCTTCTGATGCGTATTCCGCATGAGAAACGCCCACTCCGCGCAGCACAAACTGAACTCCTCTTGCTGGTCATGCAATACAGATTTTTTATTTTGCCTTCCAAAGACAGCATCACAAGTTGCAACCTTCCAGACCCAGACATTTTTGCATTTGATAACTGAATCAGGCCGCCGAGAAACAGGTTCCCCAAAAAGCCAAAGGGTGGAGATAACGCGACAATGCTATCAAAAGGAAAAATCCCCCCTCCCCATATCAAAACGGAAATCTGTGATGCAGATTTGTTGTCACAAATCAGCTTTGTCATGCTACACGGGACAAGATGCGCACTGTAGTACTGGGTGGCGTGGGGAAGCCTTGCATCTTCAGCATGATAGGAGGCAGCTAAGAGTGGAAAACAGCATGACAAATTGCCTGCAAACGAGGCCACGACTGCGGCTCTTGGCCTTCTAGCATGACAAGTCGATTTGTGACCTCAAATACAGCATCACAAATTTCGTTTTCGATATGGGGAGGGGGGATTTTTCCTTTTGATAAATGCCCGCGACGCGCTCGTCCGTCGCAAACCGGTTCCCAACCGCAATGGCCGCGTTGGCACCGGCGGAGTACCCCACCACGAGGACCCGACGGCACTTCGGCAGGTGTTTCGCACAGTCGCCCCGGGTGAGCGCCTCCACAGCTTTACAGGCGTCCTCGGTTTCGCCGTACCCCCGAAGGCTGGGGTGCGCCGTGTCGTACCGCACGGCCGGAAGTCGGTGCTGCGACGCCAGATAGTGCTGCAACCAGGTCACCACGTAGTTATTCTTGTCTCCGCCCAGGTAGTACATCGGGAGCTATGCATTGCAAAAGTATTATAATCGCGGCCATCGTAGCAATTGCAAATATGCATTACAAGTCTCCTTCTCAAGGCGAACCGGCATTAGAAATTCCATTTCTCATGCTGGGAATCAAATTTGGCATGCATTTTCCATAATACGTTGTTGTACTTTTGTATTGCATAGGTGCAGTACCAGTGCAACCAGCGTGCCCTCTCCGGTTTCCCCATGCTCGTCCGCAGGCCGAAGTAAGTCGCATTGCATATCCTGTGCAAAAGTATCGCACTCGTACCAATTGCAGCCATGCGTTACAACTCTCCTTTTTATTTAGGCAAATCCGCATTACAAATTCCATTTCTAATGCTCAGAAAATCTGTAATGCGATTTCTACTAGTACGATGCTTTTGCATTTCATAGTGCAGCAGGTCCGCCAAAACAAACTGAGAACTTTGGGTCTTCTGTGCGGGTCCCAGCGCGCCGGTGCTCGTCTCGGATCCCGCTCGAGTCTGACGGCTACCGGAAGCCGCTGCTGTGGTCGCGCGCGACGGCGATGACATTCTTCTTCAACAACTCGTATTTGTCTCAGGGTCAGACGGATGGATCGTCGATGTAAAAAGGCTGGTAAGGCACGATATGGGTTCAAACCATATGTTGACACAGAAGTTTACGTAGTAAAATAGCGATTTGTTAAGCCAGAAAGAATCATGACTTGGAAAATCCCCCCCCTTTGCGTCGGAAACTCCCCTCGTTGGGGAACGAGAGCCCAAATGCTACAACTTCGAGCGTTTTAAACATACTGAAGCCAAAACATCGGGCGACGTTGCGAACCACAAAAATCGGACGTTGCGAACCACAAAAATCGGGCGTGGCTTACGAACGACATCACAGGCACCTTGCAGGCAGTGTCGCAGGGCGTTCCTATCGGCGATGTGGCGCGGGCAATAGCGCGCTGCAATTAGAAGGCTCGCAAAAAATTTTTCGCGCCATGCAGCAAACGCTACTAGCGACAGAGCAACACGCTTACGGAACGTCCTGCAATTTGAATCGGTAGCCCTCGCCCTATTTCTGCCATGTGTGCTGTAAAAGGTCAGCGCTTGCGGTTTTTTTTTGTTCATGTAGTCATAACTCACTGAATTGCCACTCTACGAAAATCCCACTTCTAGAATGATTCCGGGATGAGATAGCTTTTCTCTGGGGTGGTAATTCAGCGAGCCCTTGCTCCGGAAGAACCAGAAGCCTAGTAATTCACTTTTCGAAATAGCGGAGTGAGATTGTTCCAGGAGTGAATATTCACTGAATTTTCACTCGGTTTCTCGTTCCGGAACGAGAAATCGAGTGAAAATTCAGTGAATTTTCACTTTTGGAAAAATCCTGCTTCCCGAATTCGCGCTCCGGGAAAACTTCGCCTCCGGAGTGAAAATTTTCAAAAAGTGAAAATTCACTGAATTTTCACTCGATTTCTCGTTCCGGAACGAGGCCTCGTTCCGGAACGAGGCCTCGTTCTGGAACGAGGAATCGAGTGAAAATTCACTGAATTTTCACTTTTTGAAAATTTTCACTCTGGGAGCTCAAGTCTCTCTCCCGGAAAATTCGTGATCCAAAAGTGATTTTTTTCAAAAAGAAAAAGTGAAAATTCACTGAATTTTCACTCGGCTTCTCGTTCCGGAACGAGAAATCGAGTGAAAATTCAGTGAGTATTCACTTTCGGAAAATTTTAACTCCGGGAGCCGAAGCCTCTCTCCAGAAACATGCATGCTCCAAAAGTTATTTTTTTCAAAAAGTGAATACTCACTGAATTTTCACTCGGCTTCTCGTTCCGGAACGAGAAACCGAGTGAAAATTCAGTGAATATTCACTTTCGGAAAATTTTCACTCCGGGAGCCGAAGCCTCTCTCCAGAAACATGCATGCTCCAAAAGTGATTTTTTTCAAGAAGTGAATACTCACTGAATTTTTACTCGGCTTCTCGTTCCGGAACGAGAAATCGAGTGAAAATTCAGTGAATATTCACTTTTTGAAAAGTCCCACTTTGGGATCCCGAATTTTCCGGGATTGAGAATTCACTAAATTCTACTCACTCCATTTCTCGTTCCGAAACGAAAACCAAGTGAGAACTCATTGAGTTCTCACTTTTTGAAAAGTCCTGGAGTGAGAATTCAGAAAATTCTCACTCCATTTCTCGCTCCGGAACGAGAAGCCGCGCAAGAATTCACTGCGTTCTCACTTTTTAAAAAGTCCTGGAGTGGCAATTCAGTGAGTTCTCACTTCGTTTCTCGTTCCGGAACGAGAGCCCACACGAAAACTCGCTGCGTTCTCACTTTTTGAAAAAATCCGGGCATTACGCGCCTCGTTCCCGAACGAGGGGAGTTTCCGATGTCATTTTGTGGTAGAGGTTCCAAGTCATGGAAGGAAAGAATATCATCACCGGACATGATTGCTTTTTCCTTTTTTCTGCAAGAACGGCAGGCCTGAATATCAAATCTCGTTCATGCCCTTTGTTATTTCATCAACTCTCGGTCTCTACAACACTCAATGTCCGTCGTCCACGGAGCACAGGTAGCTGATCATCTAGATTCTTCCGGAACACACACAACTCGTCTGTGCCCATCCTCAAAACATCGGCTCTGTTTTAGTTCTACTTGGTGATTTCATCTTTTACCCGCCTGGACGGCGATTGGATTTTTCACCTGGCGGAAAAGAAAAGCAAAAGAAAGCTGTACTGAGATGCTATATCGGGGCCTCAGTTCCGGCATTCAAAATTCAACCAGTGTTGAGATTTGCTTCTGTTCAACACTAAATTTTCTCGTCATCATGAAGAATCTGAATCACAAAGTAAAGTTGTAAAAGAGAACCAAAATAAGCTCGGTAGCTGAAAAAGGAGGCAAAATAAAGTTGAGTCGTGATCCAGAAGTTTAGGCACTAGTTTTCGTATCGCTTCGGGTGCAGAAGCTTTAGCTCAGAACAATTGATCATTCCTTCTCCAGGAAGTTCTTATACTCGTATTGACATGCAGATGCAACTCATTTCTCTCGTCGTACTCGTAGTCAGCAGCAGTTCGCTGTCTAATCTTTGTAGACCACGCGAAGAGCTTGTCACTGTCTTTTTGAACTTTTGTCGTTGAAAAAGATAAAGCGTAAATTTCCCAAATAAAACTACGCCACTTCAACTCACCACCGGCATCGCGTAGCTGCAGGTCGTTTCTGCAACGGCTCTCGGTAAAACAATCGCTTTTTCGTAGAGATTTACGCGGAACACGGATGGGCCGCGGAAGTCGCATTGCAGCAGGTCCGCCAAAACAAACTTAGAACTTTGGGTCTTCTGTGCGGGTCCCAGCGCACCGGTGCTCGTCTCGGATCCCGCTCGACTCTGACGGCTACCGGAAGCCGCTGCTGTGGTCGCGCGCGACGGCGATGACATTCTTCTTCAACAACTCGTATTTGTCTCAGGGTCAGACGGATGGATCGTCGATGTAAAAAGGCTGGTAAGGCACGATATGGGTTCAAACCATATGTTGACACAGAAGTTTACGTAGTAAAATAGCGATTTGTTAAGCCAGAAAGAGTCATGACTTGGAAAATCCCCCCCCTTTGCGTCGGAAACTCCCCTCGTTGGGGAACGAGAGCCCAAATGCTACAACTTCGAGCGTTTTAAACATACTGAAGCCATAGATTTTTCACCTGGCGGAGAAGAAAAGCAAAAGGAAGCTGATGTAGGTGTTCCATCGCAGCCTCAGTTCTGGCATATGTTGAGAATTCAAGCAGTGGAATTTGCTCCGCCTGCTGCTGCTCCTCCACACTACTGGTCATCAATTGAAGTAGACGGAGATACTATAAAGAAAATCACAAAGTAAAGTTGTAGTAAATTGTGAAGAGAACCAAAATAAGCTCGGCAGCTGAAAAAGGAAGCAAAAAATGAGAATGACTGAGTTCAGGCACTAGTTTTCTTATCGTGTCGGGTGAAGAGGCTTTAGCTCAGCACAATTAATCATTCCTCCTCCGTGAAGTTATCTACTCGTATTGGCATGCATCAACTCACTTGCTTCGTCGTAGTCAGCACTTCGCTGTCTAATCTTTGTAGACGCGAAGAGCTTGTCTTTTCGAACTTTTAATATTGTTGAAAAAGCAAAAGGTAAAAGGAAAAGCCCATACTAAACTTCCCAAAAACTACGCCACTTCAACTCACCACCGGCATCGCGTAGTTGCAGGTCGTTTCTGCAACTGCTCTCGGTAAAACAATCGCTTTTTCGTGGCAAAGCGGAATCAGAGCGCTTTCCTTCACCATTTCCGTCGGCGACCCGAGAGTGGCGCTGCTGGAGTTGTTCGGCACGACCGGTCGCTGCGTTTCCACCATGAGCCACTCGACGCGGCTAGCTACTTGCTCCTCGCCCTTCATATCACCCAGGTCGCCGTCAAAACTGTCTTTCCTTTCGCCTCCGGCGGCGGTAAACGAGGCAGAGGAGCTACTCCCAGAGGAAGAGACCATCCCGATGGATTGCTTACTCGCACTGCGGCTCCGGCTTGTGTAGTTATTCATCGCTGCACCAGTAGTACTCGCGTCTAGGCTCTCGGAACTGGAATTGGCACCGCTGCTGTTATTCCCCTTCTCTGCAACAGGCTGGGGAAAGTAGGACAGCAAAGTGTGTTCCGACCGGAGCAGGCGCGGTTTTGAGGTCGCGGTGAAAGCGATAGAAGAACTACTCTTCTGTTTCTCAACTGCCGTCTTCTTCGCCATACTGGTCGTTACTGTTGCGACTTGCCACTTCGAAAACGCTTTGAAAGCGTGTGCTTGGTCGTCTTGGGCGGTTCCGGTTGAGGCGTTAAAAATGTTGCTGTTACTATTTGACGTAGTCCTTTCAACATCATCCGCAAGGGCGTAAACTACCTCAGTGTTCTTCTCAAAGTACCTCCTTATCCTCGTTGCGTCCACCCGGAAGGGTTTCGGCTGCATCTTCTTCGGTGGTAACTTCACGATGTACCCCCGGAATCCCGGCAGCGCTTTCTCCACAACGCAGGGTCCGATCCAGGAGAGGGATTTGTTGCTAGACAAAGTTGTATCGGAAGATGCTGAAAATTGCGTCGGAGCAGGTTGTTCTTTGGAAGAAGGTACTATCTCTGTCGTGCTTTCCTCCAGCGTTTTGTTGTGGTCCTGGACGTTTTTACCACTTTCCTCCATTTCCACGCAAACTATGAAAGCCTCAGGTTGGAAATCCTCAAAGTGAAAATAATTTGTAATGCAAAAAAACGACTCCAGTTGAAGCACCATTTCTAGTCGGCGCATGACAAATTTCCCGGGCACTCAAAGCGTGTTTGTCATGCTAGTTAGGCAAAGCGGTGCCCCACCCTCGTGCTAATCAGCAGCCCAATTCTGAACCTGTAGAAGCACAATAGTCGGCCTCCATTGCGTTCTCTCCAATACAGTCTTTTTGGTGTCGCATTTCATGCATCACAAATTATTTTTACTTTGAGCATTTCCATTCTGAGGGTGTCATACAAACTTGACACAGCTCCCCGACCCGCAATGGGATCCGCAGTTTTGTTATCGGGCAGGACCTCTTGACCTGCTTCCCCTGAATCAAAACATCGACAACGCCCGCAGTTTGGATGCTTTGGGAAACAGTTGTTGCAGTTGTACTGGTTGCAGCACTACTACTCGTTGTTGCCAAAATGGACGCGGGGACGTATGTGCCGAACCTCTGCGACCAATACTCGACCTTCTCGCCCGCGGAATAGCACGCCGGTGGGCGGTTCGTCGGATTCTGTTCAGAGGAAACGGCTGTGGAAATCTCGCTAGTCTTGTCGATTGGCTTAGAAGTGCTGGTTACGCTTTTCCTTTCTGCAAGATCTACGGCTTTGACCGGCGAAGTAGTTGTGTCGTCCACCTTCACTTCAAACGTCGCTGCTTTTACCACCTCCTGCTGATCGTAATCCCAGATAATTTTCCGTTTCCCGGTTTTCTCGTCCATCATGATTTTCCAATGCGTGTTTAACTTCGTGTGTTTTTCCAGTTCCAGAGTCAAATTCTGCTTCCCCTTCTTCGGCTTCTTACACCCGTAGTAGCAGTACACACTGGCGCAGAGCCAGAAGAGGGCGATAACCGCGAAAATAGAGGACTTCAAGATCATCGCTTGGTCAGCGCAGGAAAAGGAATCCTCGGAATGCAACGGGCAGTCGAGGAAGCTGCAATTATTGTAGTTTTTACAATTCTGCTCAATTTCCGGTTTTGTTGTTTGATCGCATTCATCCCCATCGTTCGCATTGCCGCAGACAAGCAATCCAATTCGGGCCTGGATCCCCTTTCCGCACAGGTTGGAGCACGTGTCCCAGGCGCCAGGCTGGAGATCATGTTCTTGAGTGCTTTGTGATGCAGTAGTTCTTGCGCCGTCAGTAGTTGTAGATGAATCATCAACCACGAATCCCCATTCATTTTTCGTCACAATCGCGTTTGCAGTGAAGCGGATAGTTTCTGTGTTCAGGGAGAAACTCTGTAGGAAGTCGGCTTGTTGTGCTGATGTTGTGACAGTGGCAAGTTCCCGTCTGACCGACGCAGGAACAACTACTTGCGACGAGGACTCTGCCGGCCCCAGCCCTAACACGTCGGCTCGGTGTCGGTGCAACTCGTTAACAAATGCGGACCGGTATGAACTGCAAAAGTATCGTACTCGTATAAATGCATGACAAATTCCCTCAGCATGAGAAATCAAATTTGTAATGCGGATTTCCCTAGGGAAAAGAATTTGTAATGCAAGACTTGCATTTATACGAGTACGATACTTTTGCACAGGATAACCGGACACTCGGTGTTATCTCCGCGGAGGAGGAAAAGCTGGATGCTATTCCCCGAAAATTAACCATCCCCATCCACTTTTTGCATGACAGACGCCGAATTTCCTACATGTTTTGCATGACAAATTGGATGGGGATGGGTGATTTTCAGGGAATAGATGCCATGGAGATCAAGTGATTCCTTACCGTCTGTGCCCGGGTGGATTTCAAATCCCCTCGAGTGCGAACCTCGAAAGAGACTTGGAAGGTCTTGGTTGATATGGATTGCAAAAGTGTCTGGGTCTGGAAGAGTGGAACTTGTAATGCTGTCTGCAGATTCTAGAAATGTCTGTGTTGCATGAGCAGCAAGAGGAGTCAGCTCTTGGACGCAGATAGGGCTTTTCTCATGCGTAATTAGCATCAAGAAGCTGTCGAAAAATCTGCGATGCTAGCACCAGCATCACAGACCTCACGGGTCATGCAAAATGTGCATGAAAAAACCCAACTCCTCCAGACCCAGACACTTTTGCATTTGATAGTTGAGGATGCTGTTGAGCTAGTGCTGTGTTGGTTTGGCACAATTTCCACCGGGGCCCGAACCGCAATTGTGTCGTAGGTAGGTGATTGTGCGGAAGATGATGATGATGATGTTCTTATTGACAACTCCGACGTCAGCGACCGAGCCTCCCCTTGTCCTGCTTGTTGCTGCATCCGGAGCATTCCATTCGGTAACAAAGCTAGAAACGCCTTGCGGTAGGCGGATCTCATGATCGGGTCTCGAGTTAGCAGGTTCGTGTCGAGGGCTGGTGAAGCAGGTTCTTGCTGCGATGGTGCCGAAGATGCCGGCGAGGTGCTGTCGACGCTGGTTGTAATAGAAGATTCGTACCCTTCTATTGTTCCAGAAGTTGGCGATGAGGTAGAAACTTCCGGCGCCAACATAGCAGCAGCTCCAACAGGGCCGATCTGCAAGAACTCTTTCACCAACGTCTCCGTTTGTTGCAGTTCGAAATTAATCGTCACCGATGTGGAGCTAATCACCTCCCCCACGGCCCCTTCTTTGATGCAGCCGGCGTTGTTAGTACTGGGAGTTTCAGACGACGGAGAAGTAGCACTACCCTCTCCTGCAGACGTCGTGGTAGAGGACACCGCTGCGGCAGACCCCGCCGCTGTGAAAACTCCGTCTACGCAAGTGACCGGGAAACTCACGCTTGAAACTTTCCCCGCGTCCCCGTTCCAAATATCGTATCCAGTGGGGCAGGTTGCTGCGCACTGCATGCCGGTGGGGTAGGTGTTTGCTTGCTCGGTAGAAGTGCTCGCTCCTTCTTCCTTACCAGAGGAGGGGGATGAACTTGATGAACCGCTGCAGTCGATGGTAGTGGATGTCTGAAACACGGAAGACGCTGCTGTAGTACTGCCTACCCCTGGTGCGCCGCCGGTCGGACTGCTGTTAGATGTTCCTGCAGCATTCGTCAACCCACAACTCGCCGCTCGGCGACACAAATTTTCCAACTGTGGTGAAGATGACGATCCTCCTGCAGCTGTCCCTCGCAACATCCATTCCCGCCCTTCCTGGTCACAAACCAACTTCGCGACAGCGTTATTTTGGCCCGAAATCACTACAGTTTGCTGCGGCACGAACTCCGGCCCCTTGCAGGAAATCTCCACTTGATTCGGGTCAGTGGGCTTGTCATGCATAACCAGCATGGAAGCTGCACTTGAATCAATGAAGTGACTGATCGTAGGCGCCGGCCCGCAATACGCCGGGGGTAGAGTCGTAGAGGAAGAGCTGCTTGAAGCTGCAATAACGGGTGGAGGAGTCGTTGTGGTCGTAATCCTCAGTGGTACCAATCTCGTCGTGATTATCTCCACACTTGCATCGCTCACCGCAAACACCGGCCCCATAGAGGTGCTGGTGGTGAAGGTTGATGTGGCACCAGATAATTCATCCGCCGGTCGTCCCGGTGGTGGAGAAGACGAGGATTCTTCAGAGGACTCAGGGAGTTCTCTCCGTTTGTTCGGGTCTTGCGAAGCAGCCGCTCCTGCATTCACACTCGCCAAGCTTGTCCCCGAAACCACGTCGCTCAAAAACCCAAATTGCCCATTGGTGTGCTTAGTCAAGAACAAATTGCTTCGGATGATTCCCTCCTCTGTCGGCGTAAATTTGTTTTCATCTGCTTGTCCTGATTCTGATCCAGATCCACCACCACCATCGCTTCCACCTGGCAATACAACCGCCCCCGAGATCCCTTTCGTTTCAAAATCCCTCACTTTCGCATTCCACGTATTTTCCAAAAAGCTCCCCGCGTGTTCTCTTGTCTTGAATTCACCAAAAGCAAACTCCACTGTGATGTTGACGTTGAGAGATGGAGCGACGGGGCCGTTTGAACCGCTGCTCTGACCGGCACTCGAAGAACCCGTCGTGCTACTAAACACCTCCACCGGTTGGTCGCTCAGGTCTAGATGGAGAAGAGCCAGACTCGTGTTGAAATGGATTTTCATTTCCCTTGCGGAAAAATCACCGTTGAAAATTTCTTTGTCCAGTTTCAATTTCAAATACTGGTAGAAGTTGTTCGCAATCAATTTTTTTCGGTTTTTCAAATTCTCCGCATCTTGTCCGATTTGATCATGTCCGTTTGCATTCCCCGTTGGATTCGCCACCGACTCCCACCAAGCCCTCGGCTTGTTATGCAGTGCAAAAGCATCGTACTCGTAGTAATCGCAGTAATGCATTACAAATCTCCTTCTTAACCTAAATCCGAACTACAAATTTCATTTTTCATGCTGAGGGAATTTGTCATGCGATTTCTACCAGTACGATGCTTTTGCATTTCATACTTGTCCGGGCTGTGCAACTGGTAGGTCAAAGAGAACTTCAACTGGTAAACCACCTCCGGGTCCCGCAAATAGTCCTTCTTCGCGAAATTCATATCCAGGCCGCATTTCTCTGTTGCGTACCCGTCTTCGAAGATCTGTTTGTACATGGGATCAGGATTGTTCCCGCTGTGGTCCCTACCCGCGCAGTTCTGCGCCGAGCAAACTCCTAACCTGCGCCACGTTGCGCAACACACGTCCGCGGTGAACCTTTCCGGGCTGGTGCAGGACAAAAGGTCGAAATTAGGGGGGGCAGAGAACTCTCGGTAAGCTAAGGTTCCGGTCTTATCGCAGATTTTGTCGAAGCAAGTGGTGAACTGTCGGTTGGTGGATAAAGACGGATTTCCGTTCATCCTCGGTTCGTAGCGGAACCGGAGAAAGAAATCCTCCGGATCGGAGGCCGGGAGAATGTAGTAGTTGTAGGAAGGTGGAGCAGGACTAGTTGGCGACGTCGCGTCTTGCTGTGCATCTCCTACACTGTTTGTTGTACTTTGCAGCCCGCTATTCCGAATCGCTTGCTCTAGTTTCTGCTCAAACATTATCCACAGAAAAACACCCATCCCGGCCATCCATTTTTTGCATAACAAATAGTGGAATTTATGCACATTCTGCATGACAAATTGGATGGGGATGGTTGTTTTTTCCTGAATAAACTTCTCCTCAATTTTCCACTCCTCGGTTCCGAAAAAGTAGTCCGAAGCCGCCGGCGGCCAAAAATTCTTCAAGTGGATTGTCACGACAAACGACCGCTTGTAATCATTACTACTTGGTGAAGGAGATGATGCGGAGCCGGAATCACCACTATTACTCGGAACTAGAATCACCCGAACGGTGAAGAGTCTATTCATCGCTGTTTCGTCGAAGTTGTTGCTGTTGGAAAAGCTCTGCGGGAAAAACTCCCGCATGGTGTTCACGAAGGATTCTCTTACAAGCTTTTCCGCTTCGCCGGTCTTCGGTTGGAGAAATTTTTGGAGGAAAATAGGGGTGAAACCTCCGGTGGAAGAAGAGGATAAAGCCCTTATTTCGCTTGTTTGTTCTGTCATCTTTCGTCGTTTCTCCTCTTGCGGAGGGGCTTTTCCACTTGGCGGAGGAGACGACTCACTATCCCCTATACTTGCCGGACCCATCACCGACACAAGCTGAAAAGTCGCTTCTAGGTGTAGATCCAACCCCGTTTCGATCTCCTTGAACGGGTTCGCAATCGCACTGCAGGACTGCTCTATCGCGGTTTGCTCTGCGGTAAAGGTGTGTTGATTCGTGCCTCCAGTACTACACTGCCTCGCCGCACAATAGCCAATTTTCGCGACGGGGAGCTGTTGACAGCACTCGTTTTTGAAAGACAGTAGAGCGGAAGAAGTTGTAGTCGAACTGTCACCGTTGCTCCCGACGATCGAGTTCACAGTTGTAGTTCCAGCAGCAGAATTCGCAGATGAAGAAGTACTAAAGCACTGCCTGTATTCCCCCAACCGCGTGTGTGCAAACACGTTCCGCGCCGGAATATCTTCGTTCTGCTCGTAGACACAGTTTTCCGCCATGCAGTTCAAATGTTCTGGGAATTGATTCGAAACCTTCTCAATCCGCAACTCATTGTTCCTCAGCAACTCCGCGTGTCGGTAGTCCAAATGCCAATAGTTATCCGCGATGCCGTACACCACTCTTCCCGGCGTGTCCTGGCTTCGCACTGAGGTCATGTAAAACGCCGCTTGGCCCGCATTTGCGCTATTACCCTTCGCGTTCTGGAACAACCCACCGCTATTCCCGTAGTCAAGTTGTGTATTTCCGAGGAAGAGTTTCTGCTTCAGAAAGTTCTCCCGGAAGGACATTGCATGTTCTTCCGTTCTGAAAGGGCCGAGTCTGAAGGTAAAGGTGAGGTTGAACACGTGCTCCTTGTCGAACTGGTTTTCCCACCAGGTAGTTTGTTGTTCTTGATTCTTATCGTCCTGCTGTTGTTCCTGAAAGGACTCCACTTGCATCCGGATCCAGTTATCCTCCAACGTAGTTATGTTCCGCAAATCCGTGATTTGCAATTCGATTGGGAAGAAGTCGCTATTTCCCGTTGTCTATCCTGTGCAAATGTATCGCACTCGTACTGATTGCAAATATGCATGACAAATCTCCTTCCTAAGGTAAAACAGCATTACAAATTCCACATTTCTTCTTGCCCATTTTGTGACGCAATCTATACTAGTACGAGGATACTTTTGCAATGCATATTGTCCGATCCTCCGTGTAGTTCCAGAGCCGCAAAACGGTGTTCGCGATGTACTTTTTCAGGTAAAACTCGTAGAAAAATTTGCTGTCGCTGACTTTCAGATTTCGTGTTGGAGTTGTACCTGTTGTACCTGCCGCAGCGTCACCTGTGGATGCTGAAATTGTGTAAAATGCACCCGACCCCGTACTGCTCGCCGCACCACTGGAAGATGAGCTGTTTCCCATTCCTGGAGTTGTAGTGCCGGAAGTAGATCCGAGCCAGCCGGAAATTCCGCGAGATCGATTGGAAAAACCGATCCCCATCGGGAAACTGTTTGTTCCATTCACGTTTTCCGCGATAAACCGTGCCCGTTTTTCCCCCGGTGGCCCGTTCGTCGACCCAAAAGCGCCGACCATCCAGGCGCGCTGCGACAGGTAGAGCAGTTGCGACCCGGTGACGAAGAACCGGTCAGAGGTTTTTTGGGAGTGGAGGTTCACCCCACAGGACTCTTCGATGTTAGATAAATGATGGTTGAGGCTGAAAATTGGGTTCGTTACCGCTCGCTTGGTTGGGGGGGCTGGAGACGAAAAATCTGCATTGGTGCCTTGTAGGGCTCTTGGTGTTGACGTTCCTTTCTGTAGCTGCTCCCGGTTGATTTTTTCATACGTTGTTGCCAAAGAAGACCAAGAAGACCCTACCAGCCGCCGCGATTCATGAGGCTGACTGTCGTCATTACTACTCCTTGGCGCCGGAAAATTGATTTCCCGTCGCATTCCGGACGCTTGGAACAATTTGCGGCCGTGTGAACTATCACTATCACTGAAGTCCGGGCAGTTCCGTTTCAAGCACTGCATGATGGGCGATAGATAGGAACAGCAGGAATTCTCTAGTTGCCGCTTCTCCTGACCCTGATCGGAGGCGACAAACTGCACGGCGAAGTCCATCCGATGCGTCCCAACCGGGTCCCGATCGTCCCAACTATCCTGCACTTGCAAGCACTCGTGGTACAGTCGCGCACTGGGCGAGAAAGATTCGTAGTTGAAGTCAAAATACTGCAAAGGGGCGCTATTCCACTTCGCTTCTTCGAAAATTGTATCGCAGTGTGCGAAGAAGCAGTGCCCGTGCACTCCGATCTGATTGTCGAGAACCGTGTTACTAATCCTCCAATACTGCCCGCAAACCGACTGCTGCGTTCCCATGTCGTAAGACTCGGTGAGGGAAAGTTGTTCTACTTCGAAGTCGGAAGGTTGGGTATTGCTACTGCCGTCTTGTCCAGTTGTTCCCTGCTGTTGTACGAGATGCTGATTCACGGTGTACTTGATCTGATTCCGCCAGTTGTTGCTCATCTCCAACTTGGACATGTAGGGGCCGCCCGCGTATCGGTTGTTGAAATTTTCGAAAATGTTCACCGCGTCGAAATCCGAGTTGGAAGTAACCGTGTAGTTGTAAATGAGGAACGGAACGCAGGTTTCACACGCCCGGACGACCGAGAGGGTGTCGGCTGTGACATTGAATTTCGGGTTTTTGTGCTGGGTAGTTGTTGTTCCTGCTGTGCCGCTAGGGTTGTCTCCGGTCATGTCTAGCGGCTGGCCCGTTATGGGAAACATCTCTGCTGTGATCATGCTTTCCACCCCGAGCTTCAATGCTTGTTTCAATTTCTCATCCTTACTGGCGTTTTCTAAAGTCGCGAGGTCCATTTGCTGTTGATCTGGTCCACCGTTCGCACCTCCAGTGCTCATCGTCGATTGTCCTGTTGATTTCTGTTTGATTCCCTGCAGCCAAAGATCTAATTTCAAGTTCGACTCCTGCTTGAAAAATCGGAAACTGTAGTGGCATTGTTGTTCGATTTGTTGCTTCTGGTTCGTCGCTGGGGGAGGAGAGTAGGAGGTGAGAAACGTGGAGTGTTTCAGATTGAGCGCAGTCGCGCAGAAGTTCAAATGCTTCGCATTGTCGCAGCATTGCTGCTGGATATTGGGATCGGACGGCGGGGCGGTGCTTGCAGCACCCGTTTGTCCTTGCGAAGACGTCGGCGGCGGAGGAAAACAGGTTTGGTACTGCTGTAGCGGCGACGGTGGATCTGATCCAGCAGTAGGTGTGTTTTGTTCCAATCGAAAAACGGGAAACGACCCGGATTGCGGTGTTGGCACTCCTTGGAGGCAGTGCCGCTCAAATTGGTTATCATCCGTCTCCCGTGGGGTTTGGGCGGAAATGAGGTGGGGGACGAGCAGGGAAATGCAGGAAAAGTGTAGCAGCAACGACCGCATGCTTCGGCGCGAAGGCCGGAGGTGAAGGTCAATCATTTCTGCAGATGACGTTCCCGGCGCGCACTGTGGTTGTTTATTTACTTATGTTTTTTTTTTGTGTTTCCGTTTTCAGGTGTTCATGCTTGATTAGGTTTTGTGCATGCACTGTTTCATCACATTGATTTGCAGCAGTGTTCGTCTTCATAACAAGCAAAGAAATGAACGATAAAGTGAAAAAGTGCAACTTTGCGTGAAGGCTACAAAAGGTAGACAATAGGAAGTCCTTTTTTCCTTATGCATAATGCTTTTTGTGCATTCTGATTTACTGAAAAACATGCTATCCTCATTCCTCATAACGAACTAACTAACATAACACAAAGCACTACCTCTTGTCGCAATTTGCGAATTGTCGTCCTGATCCTTCCGTCACACACACGCAGCGTTTTTCATTTTGCTTTTAAAACGCGAACAGCGCCACTGCTTCTGTGTGTTGACATCAACAAGGAACAACACGCAAAAACAAAAAATATCCACTCAAGCATACTCCTACTCGTTGAGCGTCGAACTCAGGTTTTACATCCAAAAAGAAAATGACGAACAGAAAAAAACAAAACTGTGCCGCGCAAATAAATGCACAAAAACATTACAGGACCAAATAACTGCGGCATTTTTTGCTTAATGCGACTCATCACTCTCTAGCACTCAAAAACTGCTACTGCAGCCAGTTGCAACATTTTGCCCACACTCAGGATTAGCAACACAGGACTGACTCTTCATCTGTTTGCGTCGCGTGTCCCTCATCCGCTCTTCAGACGAGTGACTCTTCATGATGAACAAGCTAAGCTTTCCAATATTCGCGAAAGCGTTTTTGTTCGCTTTTGCCTGTGCGAACCGACGTGAAGCAATTCAGTTGTCGTCGTGCTCGTAGCTCTCGGGCCACTACCTCTCCCATAACACAGGTGGAGGAACAAGAGAGCCCGCCCGACTTGTTCTGCACCATGTGGTGCGCGAGGAACCCGCTGAGCTATCTTCCTTTTGCAACAACACAGCGCCCGCGCGACAGTGCGCGCCCTTCCTGCTTCGGACGGCGCGCTCGCACAGGGAAAGACAGGCGGCGCCCCAGGTGCTCCTGCGCGCGCCACCGGGCCCGCGGGGGTCACTCACTGCGATGGACCCCGCGAACGCCGGCGAGCAGGGCTGCCTGCGAAGGGGCTGCGCGATCGATGAGGGCAGGGCCAATGCCCGAAGAGGTAGGCCGCGCGCCCCCCTCCCGGCCCGGGAAGAGGCCGGCGGCGGACGAGTCACAACAACCAGCCAGGGCAAGCGCCACAACCCGACCGGGCGGCCGGCGCACCCCCAGACGGCGGGCGGGCCACACCGCACGGCACCGGTCAAGCCTGGGGAGGGTACACAGGGCCAAAGGGCGCGACACCGCGCCCGCAACACGATCGCCGTGGCCGTCGCGGCTTCCCGTCTCTTTTTTTCTCGCGGCTTCCCGTCCCACGGCACGGTCTTCGCGGCGCGGGTTTCCTTCGTGCTTCTGCGGGAGCTGCTTCCTCATGTCATAGCGCCGCCCTCGTGTCTGCAAGGAGAGACAAGGGAAGCCACGGCAGGGCGCACAACATGCCCCACACCATGGCCCACGTCGTTGAACTCCTCCGCCGCACTGATCCAGGCGAAAAGTCCAACCACCCGCAGAGCCGGGGCCGGCGGTCTCGGCGAGTGGCGCGCCCAGCCGACTCGGCTCACACAACAACGCCGGGCCGCAGCATCTCATCAGTGCCGTGCCCGTCTGAGTAGATACGGAGAAGCACCCCCATGCAGACAAGCTACACTAGCACAATCTTAATAGGTGATTTAGAGCTAGATGATGGAAGATGAGAAACGTTGTTGTGAGTAATCAGGAGGTAGTTGTATGTGCATCTTTCAAACGTCTTGCAATTCGCTGCACTGCTAACCACACTGCCTCGTCGAGTGCGAGTCGCTTTTGTACTTACACACACTCACTCTTCACCACGCTCGTTCACAAGCAAATAGAAACCACTTGACTCACACTCACTCATCGCAACTAGATGTAAGTAGTACAACCTGCAGCTTCTCGTCTTGGTTTCCTCTCTCGTCGTCCATATGTTACGCTTACGATAGAACAGTGCCGTTCCGGTAATAAAACAGGTCCAAAATAACAATAAGACCACTGACCGCGACGGTCATGGTCGTACGCGACCAACTGTTGAAGACGACGTTTCATGGTCGCACGGAAGAAGACGTGCTCTGTGTCATGCTATGTTGAGGTCAGCACATGCACATCAAACCTGTGCGTGCTGCAGTCAACACCTTCAGTCACCTGCAGGAGGCTTAAACATGACTCCCCGAACACTGCCACCGATGCATGAAACCGAAACGGCATGTAACAGAAACCCAATAATAATCTAGAAGACAAGTATCTACTACTACGTCGTTCTGCAAATAAGTGCTGTACTGTACAAAGCTATATGTTGACTATGATTTCCAAAAACGTTAAAGTTCTCTCGCTCCCCCTCACGGCAACTTCTGCAGAAACTGTTTGAGCTCCGACAGCGGCATTGCGTGGACCCACACGGTGACAAAAACCGGCAACACCATGGGGTAGTCCTCCCAAAAATACTGTTGGTCCTCCATGATAAACTCCACGTAAAAAGTCAACCGCTCGTTGTTCTCCACTCTTATCCCCTGTTGCGGGAACCACTGCTCGCGCAGCATCTTTTTTACTTTGGAAACCGTCGTATTGGGCTCGATCTTCTCTGCGGGAACGACGATTTTGTCCTTCGCATCTTTCGGCGCGCCCGAGGCAAAGTTGGGCTTGGTGGGGGTGAGCCGCTGCTGCACCTGGCTACGGGAGGAGGCGTGGACGTTCATCCGGAATACGTTGAAGAAGACCTGTGATAGAAGAGTTTCATTGCTCCATCGATCTCACATTGTAATTGCAGCACAAATAAAATTATTGGCTCAGCATTTTTACAAATCAAATTTGTAATGCGGGTTTACCTTAACGAACTAGATTTGTTATGCAAAACTGCAATGATCAAAGTGAGTACGTGATCCCCCCACTTTTTCCGCAGCGCCTTTTCCTTATCGATCCATTCTCTTACTTCATCGTCCCCCTGCGCGATTATCTGTCCGGTGGCGTGGTTGATCAAATTTACCTGGTCGAAATAGTCATCGTCCTCATACCCATCGTCCCCGCCATATCCATAATCCACTTCCGATTTCACCGCAGCTTGCCCTTTCCCCCCGCCCTTCCCTCCTTTGGCACCGCCTTTGCCCCCGCCACCCTTGGGGCCGGCGGGGCCGGCGCCCGTGTCACCAGAAAGGAAGTCGTCGAAATCCATTTCCATGGGTTATCGAGTGGAAAAACAACATCTACTTCGCACAAGAACTCGTACTAATTGCAAGCATCTTTACAGCATTACAGACCTGGTTTCAGCAGCTTGTTGCTACCTGATTCATCATGATCGGGGGCAACACAAACTTCGTTTCTTTTCTGAAATAAAGTCTTTTGCAATGCAATTTCGATCAGTTGCGCGTAGAGTTGTTTTGTTGCACTGCATACACTTGGGTCGCCCGGATAGTAGCCTTGCTGCTTCTGGTTCTGTTGACCGTTGTACTGGGTAGTTTTTTTGGATGGCGGCTTCGGCGGCTGAGCGCAACAGGGACATGCCATTGTGTTGTAAGTGGGCTGGGGAGTGTTGTGTAGTATGCCGCTCTTGGGTTTTTATGGGATGAAGTTTCTTGATTTCAAATTCAAATCTCAATGGTAATCTTGTTCTGAGGGGTAGGGTGTTGGGTTTATCAAAACACTTGGATCAGGAGCAGGAGTACCAAGGTTTTGATTTTGTTTGCTGTTGATGTTCGAAAACACAAATGGAAAAGGTGGAGAAATTTTTTTTTCTAAGTTAGTATAGAAAGAGAACGACTACAACAAGTCTTCAAACTATTTTCAGAGGTGGACGATGAGAACGAATACGAAACGCACAGCGAGAACGAAAAGCCATGTACGTAAACGACTTGTTTCCGATGTTTTACAACTTCTAGCTCTTGACCGAAATCATTCAAGAAGACCAAGAGGCAATAGAAGCTGCAGCACGATATCAAGAAGAACAAAAACATACGGTGTTCGCGAAAAGTCAGTGTTGTATCTCGCTTTATTCGTCGCGGGTCGTTGGTCCCGTGGCGGTGGCGGAACGAAAACGAATGGATAGGATTAGGATATTACGGAAGCACAGTCAAAAATACCACGGGGTTTGAAAGGTGCACCAGGTAATGTGCAGCTGTTCTTTTGGAGAAGAGCAGGTTTGATGTAGTTCTTAGCGTGAGGATTGAAATTCTAGCTTGGCTACATGGAGCAGTGATCGTACTGTTCGTGGTGCTTAGTCATGTAGTCGCTTTGAAGAGGAAGCTCATGACACTTTTCATCCGAGACGCTGCTGCGCCTAGTCGCAGCATTCGATACCTCCGGAAAACGACACGAAGCTGCTCAACGCGCTTCATGATCAAGGGGTAATACTAGGAGCAGCCGGAGCGCGCGATGAATCCCCACTCGCACAGCAGCCTACTTCGTCCTCCAACGCATCCTCTGGTACCGGAGCAGTCTTTTTCCCGCTAGCGGATGCGGATTGAGCGGTACTTCCCCGAGGACCCTCTTCTTCGCCCCCGTCAATTTCATTTTGTCCTCCAGTTTCTTCTTGTTCCCCGGAAGAAAACAAAATTCCGTCTCCAGTACCAGTCTCGCCTTGTTCCCGTGCAGCAGCATTCCCGTTGGAATCATTATTGGGGACGACGGTCGGTGGGGCAGTCTTTTTCGGCGTGGTCGGTGTTGTTGGAGTGGTGGTAGGACGAGGGGGAGTACTTGCATCCGGCTGGCCTGCGCCTGGTTCTTGACCTTGAGGCTGTTGCACTACCCCTACGGGCTTTTGTACAATCCCAGTGCCCTGGTCTCCGCCTACGGGTAGTTGTGGTGGTGCCACAGAAGTCGAGCTGCTACTACTTGAGGAGCTTGAACTACTGGGCTGCTTTTCGTCGCAGCAATCAAGCATGACCCCTTCAGCCGTCGGGCAGCACTGACCAGAAGTTAACCCGTTCTCGACACACTTTGCGTTGTTGCGACAAAGCTTCGGGTCGTCTAATAGCGTTTTGTCGCAACAGCCGAGCACCATGCTGTTGGTCCCGGCTCCTGTGGGGCAGCACTTGTCGGCGAGTCCGAGTTCACTGCATTTAGGATGTGTTGCGCACAGCGAGAGCTCGCATGTTTCCCTTTCTCCCAAATCGTCCTGCGTGCACGACTTATTGTCCTCTTTGTCGGATTCTCGCAGTTGCTGCGTCTCTTTTTTGGCGAGGAAGGCGGAAAGGATTCTTTTACTTTTGGCTGGGTTATTACTTCTACGACCGGGTGCTGCTCTTGTGGGCCGCTGAGGAAGATGAGAAGGGTGTTGCGTAATCACACTTGCACTCGTCGGCCGCCCCCGCGGGTCTCCACCTTCCACTGTATCCATTCTTTTTGTCGTAGTGCTCTTCGACAAAAGCTTAGTCGCGAAAACGAGGCTGCCGGCTCTGAATCTGCTGCCATGAGCATGACGCTCCTGCTGCTCAGTCTCAAAGAGAAACTGCCCTGGCGGGGAAAGTGTCGCGGACAATAACAACGAGATGAGGATGATGAAGGAACAAGCGTGGGGCGCTGGCCGCGCATCCCGTCCGGTCTGGCATAAATACAGATGTTGCCTGGACATCGTCTTTATCGCACCAGGTGGCCACTGCATCATGTGGTGATAGATCAATTTGAGAAAAGATTACACAGGTGCGACTTCTTTACTGGCCGTGGAAAAAAGTGATGTAATAATCGGACATGGGGTGGGGAAAGAGATAAAACTTTCATCATACTGCAGGTGTTTCGCCTGACAGATTGGTAAGGGCATTCTATACATAATACTTTGTTTTTTCGTTTAATGTAATTCACCATCGCGGCTAAATACGAAAGCGAAACGAAAAAGCAAAGGACTTGGCGCACGAGGAAAACGCATCACAATTAACGACGACAGGTGGGAAGAAGGACGTCTGCATGGCAGTCCTTCCTGCTTTCTTGCACGATTTTTTTTGCCTTGAGCGAGGACGGACGAATGAAACGACACGCACTACAACTTCTGGCGTCAACATACATTGAAAACTAAAATCCCAAAGGGAAGTTTGACAATAAGCACTGTAGCATAGCGAACTGAACGTATTTGTGCAACAGCGAACTGGCGTCAACATACACGCATGCCCACCAGGACGACACAGAAACTACGAAGACGATGAAAACATCAGCGGGAGGACACAGCGCAAGAAGTCTCACTTCCTTTAATTCGATCCAGCACAAAATTGAAATCCAAAGCAAGCGAAACGCTACAGCATAATCGGGGGCAAAAATCGGTAAAGATTTTGGTTACGTGAATATAAATTTCTATTTCTTGTTCGTGCTGCGTGGGTAGGTCCTCCGGATCATCAAGGACAACAGGGGGTGTTGGGGCGTTCTAGAAAAAAATGGAAATAGGGGCGTTCGAGTTAGCAGTGACCATAACTGTAACTGTTGGCTGTAAATAAAAGGTAAATATTAATGTTTACAATCACCAGCAAAGCAGGGATGGTTAGTTTTCGAAATCGCTTTACTGGGGAACAAGTTAGCAAAAGGAAGTGCGTTCTTCGTTGTCGTGGGTGTTTGTGAAAAAAATTCTACGAAAAAGGATAGATGAGAAAGACGCTGAACTATACTCCTGCGTGTTGAAGTAGATGCAAGTGCTACTTCAACCGTGTATGTTGAAGTAGATGCAAGTCGTGTATCATACGCGCCGTTTGCTTGTTGTGTTGTTTCGTTTTTCCTCGTATGTAGTACATGTTGTCTGAGCTGCACGACTAGAAGCAGCAGTCATCAGCTGGGAGGGCGTCCTGCTTGCCTGTAGCTGGACTTGCGCCGAGCAGCCTCCTAAACGCCTCGGACTTTTCAACATCGTCCTCGGGCGCTTGGTTGGCCCCACCACCGTGGGTCGACAAGCCCTGCTCGCTTGTGGCAGCTGCGCCAAACACCTTGACTTCGTTCAGGTTCAGAACGCGAATTGCGTCGTTGCCAGCTGCCTCCACGACACCTGGTAATTCCACGATGAGGTACTTCCCCTGTTTCCCCTTGCAGTCAACCACCGCGGTGCCGATTGTCGGATCCTGTTCGGTTGGCTCAAACCGGTCCTTGCACGTCGCCGCATTTTCTTGTTCATCGCAGAGAATCCAGTCGCAAACCTCCGAAGGGACTGGCGGCTGGCACACATCCCCCGCAGCTGTCCCTTTGTACCAACCAGGTCGGTCGTCCCCGGTCTCGAACCACTGCGAGGTGTCAGCCCGATCTCGAAAAGAGTCGGTCTATCCTGTGGAAAAACATAGTACCCGCTCGCCAGAGTTCTTGTCTTTGTCATGCGAATCTAATACAACCAGCAGGGCTAGAAGTAGAACGTGTCGCCTGCGGCTCCGGCTGCCCATGAGCAGCATTTGTGTTTTCATGGGAAAAATTCTTCGTGCTATGTTGACCAGCAGGAAACGAAACCTGATTGGTGACGAGTCTGTGCTGTGAGTTCGCGCGGCTCCGAATGGGAAATCAAAATCTTTCTGATTGCTGTTACTCGTCCTTGTGGTAGAATTCAGGATTCGACTATAATTACAAGGAAGACTAATTATCAGAGAGATTAAGATTTTTCTTTTTTATTTTTTGGCTACTACGGATCTAGGGTGGCGGCGGGTTGTACGTTTTTCCTCATGACATACGGTGACCAAAACCCGAATCCCGGCGTTCGCCCCCGAGCTCGCCACGTCTCCCTCTGGCAAAGACTCGTCAGTTACATTCCACCCCCCGCCCCCGAAATTTTTCCCTCGCAGAAACAGGAGCCGGCGCAACCGGAAAAATTCATTTTCTTTACCTCCATAAAGCCAGCTCGTCAGGTGAACCTCGCCCACTGAAGTTGTAGTTGTACCAGACGGGACGTCGAGTTCCAGTTGGATCCACGGACACTTTTGCCCGGGCTTGCCATAAGCATTGTCTGCGGTATTGAAAATGGAATGCAAGTCGCCGTCGACCAGGTTCTTTACCCGGACATCTTCATTGAATTCGCTCGAGGCGGTAATTTTATCTTCACTCGTTGGCGTGATGTCGATTTGTGTTTTTTCGTTGTCCTTTTTCATCTTCTTCTTGTTCCCGGTTTTCTTTTTTCCAGCTAGCAGCAGTGCTTGCTGGCGGTGGTTTTTCATTCGCGCGTTGTTCTTCCGTTGCAAGCGACGACCGTGAGCAAAGTACACCGGGGCAGGGGCAATTTGGCCAAGGTCCAGGACGATTTGTAGTTCTCCTGCAAGGCACATCAGAGCCGCCGACCTCCGGAGAAGAGATTTGGCGCCTCTCGGAGATGTAACCAGCATTTTATTACTCCCTTCAGCTACTTTGAATTTCATCAACACGCTGACGTCGCGCTGTGTCTAGCTGGGGCTGCCTGACACTGTAACTGGTAGTACGAACTGGTTGTAAGAGTGGAAAGGTATTCGTATGTTGCTTTTCAAGTAGAGTTGCGTTCAACGTAGCTGCTCAGAATAGCTGCATACAATAATTTTTGTTCAAAATAGTTTACGAGGTTAAAGTTGTAGTCGTGCAGCTACTAAGCGATATCAGTTGGTACTAGACGCGATCTACTCAAATTGCTTCAGTACAAAAGGTATTTATTAGAGGGGCTACAAGCAGAAACAACTTCTTCGGGTCCGAAGGCGTGCGAGACTTGAGTTTTTACGCAAAAAATCCAAATTCTTCACTATCACGACATGTATATTTTCGTGGCGTGCTTTTTAGTTTCAAAGCGATTACTTCACAAACTGGAGGGACGAGGACGAACTTGACGATGCTGCACGACTGTAACCTAGATTCCAATGTGAAAAGGAATGCCTACGAAGAATGAAAAAGAATGGACGAGAGCGCTGAAGACGCTAGTATCGTGAAGAAACTGTGTCATGAACAAGTACGCCTTCAATAAAGCTATAGCTACCCGAGGCATGATATTATGCTAGACGAATAAAAACCAAACACAACAGGGTGAACAAGCCCCGCCTTGTTCCTACACAGGTGTTGTAGGAAGCGTGTATCGACGTCGTCATCCACATCGTAGCCACTGCTTCCAAAGCTCAAGGTGCGGGTTTTCGACGTACAAGTAACTCCTATCTTCTCAATCATTCGGTCCAGTCGCAGCTCTTCAAGTAGCCAACATAAACCTGGTTGCAGAAACTAGTACCTTCAGTGAAAGGTATTTTCTATTTCTATGGGACGAGCATGATCAGGGGTGGGAATGAGTTCGGGTTGTATGAAAAGATTTGACGATCGAATGATAAACTCACTCTGACTTTCATGACAAAAAAAGTATGCAGCATCATTCAACAACATGAACATGATCGGGTAGGGGAAGAGTGTCTTGATCTGAATAGCAGTAGTTGGGAGCAATTTACTAGCAACACGTCAAAAATCCTTCGTTTTCTGGACCTTGTGCAGCTTTTGCCTTTTTCATCCCGGCTACCTCGTCGTATGGAATTTCGCGCGCACTGAAGAGATGCTCCGCCGGAGCGGATGTTGTGGTCTCAGCGGAAGTTGTCGTCGCTTTATTTGCAGTGGTCGATGATCCACCAACAGACGTTGTCCTTTCTTTCGACGCCCGAGCAAATAGAGCTTCATCTTCTTCTTGTCCCGTCAGAGGACTCCCTCCATGTGCAGACGATGATGACCCGCCCCCCAATACGACCGGTCCTGGGACGGGCGTGGAAACCAACCCGGTAGTTGTTTTCGTTCCATTCAGCACACCACCCTTTTCTCCACACACCACGACCCGTTCTTGCCCGTTTGCGAAGGGACAGGCGACTCCGTTGTTTTCTGCAGGTACTTTGTGAATGTAAGTACGCGCCTTCCTCGTTCCTTCCGGCTCGTTTTTGCACAATGCAATGGCCGTGACGTTCCATTCTCCAATGCAATCTCGCGGGCAAGTGATTTCGTTGTTTAACTCCGGCTGGTTGTGTGCGAAATCACAATCCTTTCCCCCGTTCAATTTTTCCTGGGACACGACAAAATGCCGCGACAAGCGCTCCCCGTGACCGGTGCATTTCTGTTCTCGCAAATCTTCCACGGTTTCGTAGTCCCAACCGCCAATGCAATTGGTCGGGCAAATCGCAGTAACTTTTGTGTTGTTCGCCAAGTCCGGTTCCTCGCATTCCGCACCCCCGTTTCTGGCCTCGCGTGTAATCAAGTACGTCCGAACAACCTCCTCCCCGAGCCCGGCTGGGTCACACTTCGCTGCCAATAGTTCCGAATCTGTGCTTATTCCATTGTCCCATCCCGACATACAGTCGATCGGACAGGTGATTTCGTCTTCGGCGTCGTCGTCTTCCTCGCACACCGCGCCGTTATAGAGTGACGGATAAGTAATTCTGTATTTTCTCTTCAAAATCTCCCCGTTCCCCGTGCACTGCGATTCTAGTTCTCCTCTCGTTTGGCTCCATTCCCCCGAGCAGTTCCGCGGACAGAAGTCAAACTTCTTCTCGTTGTTCTTACAGTCATTTTCCCTTGCACACCAGTTTATTTGCCCGGGATGATCATCATCCTGGCACCCATTTCCCTCTACGCCGTCGAAGCCAGGCGCTGCATTTCGCGTGATTTTGTACGTGTGCGACACAATCTTCTCCCTCCAGGGGTCAACATTGCTACTCCCCGGATCCTCGCAAGACTCACTCGTCTGCTCCCAATGCCCCCGACAGTCGGTTGGACAGGGCTGGTTCCTTTTCTCGTTGTGCTTGCAGTTCGTGGGGTCCTCACAAAGAGGGTTTTTACACTGTTTTCCCTTCGCGTGGTGCCCAGGACCGTCTCCGTCCCGCGCTCTGACCGTCATTTGGTATTTGTGTGTGGTCACTAGCTGTCCGTCACTTTTCCCGGCGCAATTGTAGGCTTATTGAAGTCTAGGGGGGGAGATCTTTATTGAAGTTTAGGTACAGAAAAATTTCTCGACTTCATTCCGGGTACTACTGTGGGGTGGGCAAGCAAAAGGAACTATCGTGCCATTGCAATCTGGTATGCATAGGAAAGCAACCATGCGCGTATGAAGAAAAAACAAAAAGCAAAAGCTAAACTGTATGGAAAAGCACTAGCCCATCCTCGCCGTTCTGCTGTACGTGCGTGCTTGGTGCGCTCTCGTGCAGCGAACAGTTGGCAAAAGAGAAGGTAAAAAGAAGTTGCAAAATGTAGCCACTTCTAAATGCACCTGACAGAACGACTTGTACTTGTAGGCTACAAGACCAAATTTAAAAATGTGGATCAAGATCAACAAGTAGATGTTTTGCTATTTCGCGTTTTTTTTTATATGCGTTTTTCATCTCAACAACATGCCACCGTCGGCGGAGGCTCGAAGTCAAGATGCTCGATTATGGCATTCTCAACTGTTACATTCTCAACTGTTACATGGGTTTGTGATGCAAGAATTGCAAAAGTGAAAGGGGAGAGGTTGCACGTCTAGCATTACAAGTTTTGCACAGATTTAGGTGCTGTTTAGCCCTTCGCAAATTTGTCATGCGAAGCAGCTTTCCAGTGTGAATCTTGATGGTAGTTCTGCATGACAAATTCATGGAACAGTTGAGAATGTAACAGTTGAGAGCGCCATATCGATGGGTCGCACTCTTCCCACGGTTTGCGAGGCAGGAAGGTATGCACTGCAAAAGCCACGTCGTCTCTGGTGCGGTCTTCGTGCCACAAATCATATGAAGATTTCATGCATCATCCTCGATATATGATGAGCATGTGATGCAACTACGTCTTCATCCCTATATACTGCTTCCTACTCACAACATAGGATCCCGCGGGATCAATGAGTTCGACATGTTGTATGATACTGCTGCACCTCCAATTATGCCGCGTCTTCTTTGATTTGATTTTGATGGATGCGAGAAGAAGAATGTCAAGTAAGATGAGCGTAATATATATTTTGTCAAACTAAAAAGGAGCATACGAAGCAGACGAAGTAGGCCACAGAGAGGGCGGTGCTTTTGCAAAGCCTAGTAATAGTTTGCGGGAAATCCCACTCCCATGATTCCCAGTGGGAGCCGTCGCATCGTGGTCCACGCCGCAGATAATCTTGCCTGTTTTGGATTTTTAGACTCGTTCTACTTCTTCACAAGAGAGGACTCTGAAGACGAGCATCGTGTTTAATCTTTTTTCATCGACGTCGTGTGGTGTTTATTTCGCCAAAACAACTTGTTCTCCCCCGTGTTTAGGATAGAAGTACGTCATCTACAATTGCTGAGGAAACCAGTTGAGCAGTGAATGCTCTAGTACAACTACCGTGGTGCCTACCAACTACTATGAGGACTACCGCACCATGCTGTAGCAGTTGCGCGAGGACGGGCTCGGGCTATCGCTATGCATTGTGCCAGAAAAAATGAACTACTGGCAAAAACTCTCACAGCAAATACTTTCTGCACAATGACTAGCTTCCACAGAATCATAACTTTTGCGGCGCATAGTGCTAGCATTGTGTTGAGTAGGGCGGTCACGCTATGTAGTCTAGGTGGAGGAGCAGGAAATTAAGTCTGCTTATCAATGGCAACGCCTGGCTTTCGCTATGTTCTATGATCAATCTCATGGTATTGCTATGGCATAATATGCTTAATATCTAAAAAGAAGTATTGTTGCAAATTAAATTTGCAATACCTTCAGTGTTGTTAGCATTCAGACACTCCTCGCCCCCGTTTGCAGCGGCCCGCTCTTGTACGTAAACTCGGGCCTTTTCCACCCCCTTTGTTCGTATCCAGTGCAAAAGTGTCGCAATAGTACGTAACACTAGGAAATGAAATTGCAATTGGCAAATTTTAATCAGAAGGACTAGTCTGTCATCTCTCATGCGGATTGTTCCGGTAATGTAACACAACACGCGAGTGGTCATGCAGGATTTGGATTGCAGTTACAGTACGAGTGCGACTTCTTTGCGCCTGATAATATTCTCCCCGGCGCACAAATCCGCCACGGTGACGTTCCAGTTCCCCTTGCAGTCCGTCGGACAAGTGACAATGAAAGAGCTGCCAATAGCGTTTTCTTTCTGTCCGTCTTCGAACGGACACGGCTTAGCACCGTCACCGATGGCACGTTGCGATTGAACGTAGGTGCGTGAAAGAGTTTCCCCGTTGCCCGTGCAGGCGTTTGCCTTCAAATCCTGGAGGCTGTCATAGTCCCACTTCCCCACGCAATCCACTGGGCAATAAGCGAACACGCGCGTGTTGTTTTTTGCGGGCGGTCGCGTGGTGTTGTTTGCTGCTTGTTCGCCAAGCTGCAACCCCGCGTCGCAGGGCGTTCCGCCATGTTTGGCCTCCCGGGAGATCGTGTAGGTGCGGAAGACTTCTTTCTGCAAGCCCTCCGCGTTCTTGGGGGTGCCGTCGCATTCGTTCGCCAACAGAGCGGTGAGGTTTTGGTAGTCCCAGCTACCGATGCAGTTTGTGGGACAGGTGATGGGGTCCTGTGCTCCGTGTTCCGCCTCACACTGTTTCCCGGCGTCACCCTGCGCTTCCCGGGTGATTGTGTAGGTTCGCGTGCGCGTCCCGCCGTCGCCGGTGCACTCGGATAGCAAATCCTCTTCCGTCTTGTCCCAGGTCCCGAGGCAGTTGCGGGAGAGACAGACCTTCTCCATCGTGTCCCCATGTTCCCGTGCGCACTCCCTGCCGAGAGTGCCGTCGGATCCCGCTCGCGCTTCGCGCGTGACATGGTAGGTTTTAAACGGCACTTTCGCCTGCCAATTTTCGTCGAGGCTGCACTCTTTCTTGTCTGCGCTGTCCCTCCACTCTCCCAGGCAGTGAGTCGGGCAAACGAGAGACTCTTCCGCGTTGTCGGCCGCTGGACAGTCTCTTCCGTTACGCGCCTTCTGTCGATCGATTTTGTACGTGAGCTTCAGCGTCTCGCCGTCGCCGCGGCATATACCCGTTGCCACCCACCGCCCGATGCAGTCAGTCGGACAATGTGTCGTGTATTCTTCTCCATCTTGGAAATTGTGCGGATCTTGACATTGAAGACTCATGCAATTTTTTCCCGGAGATATAGTTCCGCCTTTCTTGTCCTTATGGATGTGTCAGGGTTGAAATCGACAAAGTTGAAATAACTTGCAATGCAAAAAATGGACGAAAGTTGTAACCCAGTTTCCAAGTGGCGCATGACAAATTTGAGTAGAACCGAAATCCAGCCCGTCATGCAGTTTGGGTAAGGAAGACGCCTTGTGTCATGCTACTTTAGCAGCTCAGCTTCTACCCCTCAACAGGCTTACAATCTGCCTCACTTGCCTACTCTGCAAGACAGGCACATTGGGGGCTGCATTTTATGCATGACAAACTATTTCAACTTTGACGATTTCAATTCTGACACCCCCATAGTCCTTGGTGATTCGGTACGTCCTTGTGGCAATCCTCCTTCCATCGTTTACGCACTGCTCCACAGAAGACATCGTTTACGCACTGCTCCATGGAGATCGGGCTGCCGCCCTTTGTGAATTCAAAATGTCCAATTTGTAATGCGGGGAAGCGTTCTATTTTGGGAATGTTAACATTTGGGCACGTTCCGGAGCCGAGATGTCCGATCTTGCGCAAAAAAGATGGCAATTTTTGACCAAATTTGCCGGTCAATGTTAACATTTGCCCAAAATCCTGCACTTCTGCACGAGAGTCTGGACTTTGCCCGAAATGTTAACATTTGCCTGAAAATCTGCATTTTTGCACGGGAATCTGCGATTTTGCTCGAGCGCCAATTTTTGGCCAAAAATAAGCAATTCGGCAAAATCGCAGAATCTCGTGCGAAAATGCAGATTTTCGGGCAAATGTTAACATTTCCCCACGGGTCCAGATTCCCGTGCGGAAATGCAGAATTTTGGGCACATGTTAACATTTGCAAAAAAAAATCGGCTATTTTGACTCAAAAGAACTGCCTTTTTTGTCTTTCGCTGGGATCAACGGCGAAAGGCAAAAGCTGGACCACCTCTGGCCCCGGTCTGCCCTAGAGTCAAGAAGAGCAGCTGAAGACTGGGCTGCGAAGGCAGCATGATGATGATGGTGCACTATAACAGGGAGGAAATACGGGCACACTGCTCCAACGCCTCTAGCAGGGCCATTCCAGCCGCCACCTTGGCCGCCTTGTTTTCCAGTCTTCCCGCACCTCTGGCCGCCACCTCGGCCACCTCGGCCGCCTTGTTTTCCTTCACGTCCGCCGCGCCGGCAGCCCTTAGCCTAGCTAGCTCTCAGCAATAGCATAGAAATCTAGCTAGTTGGCCGTGGGTTCTATTTGGAGTAGCTAAAGTAGTGCACTACTTGGCATGAAAAACTAAAAAAAAAATCACACGAAAATATGCGAAAAAGTTGACTAGTGAAAATGTTAATGTTAACATTTTTTTTTTGGATATCCTCCTTCCATCGTTTACGCACTGCTCCACAGAAGGTAAATGCGATTCGGTTCTTTCCCACTTCCCCTCGCAATTTTGCGGACATGTGAACAGCCTTTCTCTCCCCCTAACCCTTAGGCAATCGATGCCGCCCACGCATCGATTGCCTCGAAAGCAGTGTACGTAGTATGTTTGCGTCTCTTCGTATTCGGGGCCTTGGCTTGCGCACTTCGCTGCCACCTCCCGGGTTGACGGCTGCCAGTCCATCAAGTGCAAAAATGTCTGGGTCTGGAAATAAAGTGTAATTAGACTTGTCATGCAGATTTTCCATGAGCCACGAGGTCTGGAATGCGGGACTTAGTATGACAGACTCTGCGAGGTGGTCTCTGCAATGCCTATCCTGCATGAGAAACTCCCACCTTCCACCTTGGTCAGAAGTGGACAGCTTTTGGCACGGATGCAACACAGATTTTTGCATGCTTCAGATTTACGACGACAAGTTGCAACCTTCCAGATCCAGACACTTTTGCAATTCATACAGTCACCGTGTAGGCAACCTTCCAAATGATCATCCCCGTAAGGTACGTAGACATACATGTTTTTCTGGACCAGAGATGACGCTCCTGACGGGGTCGCCACGTGAACGTCGCGGCCGCCGCGGGACGCTCTACTAATATCCTGTGCAAAAACTGTATTGCGCTCGTAGTAATTCGATTATTTCCATACTCTTCTCCAGGGAAAACGAAAAGCTGCATGCAACATGACAAATCGAAATCATAGATCTGATCGGTCTCTCTCATGATCTACTCAGGTAGGTACTTAATGAATTACGACTACCAGCAAAAATCCAAATAATTTGAATTTCATCTGTAATTCATGATCGTGCTAAGCAAGGTCGTAAAATGCATATGCAATTCCAATTGATCATCGTCTTCATCATACACAATGCTCTTCTTGCACAGGATACGCTTTCTTCCCAGAAATCCAATCGCTCAGCCGCGGGCTTTTCCTCACGGTTTCGACTTCATTTGCTCTTTTCGCGGTGGCTTGACTTTGAAGATCATGATTTTTTACTTGACGAGGTTGTAGTTGTCTTCCTCGGGACGGCCCGGTCTTGACCAGTCGAAGAGCGTTCGCGAAAAAATGCGAAGATTTGGAGAAATAATTCCTTTCCGGCGAGATCTCCCCGCTCATGAAAGCCGTTTCCAGGCATAGAAGAAAGGACACGGAATAAACGGTCCCACAGAAGTAGAGCGAGCTCATTTGAAAAAGATGTTGGAGTAGAGTACGCATTGTAAGGTAGGAATTTTTTGATTTTGGAGTAGAGGGTCAGTTGTAGCAAGAACGGAAACACTTCCTAAATGTTTGTCAAGATAATGCTACCATTTTATCGCATATGGTCAGAAGTTGAAATGTCAGACGTAATTAAGTAATTATGCTGTGGATCGTGCTATGATCTCCATCCACCTGGAAAAAAGGATCAGATTTTGCATTTTGAAGATTCAGATTGTTGAATAAGACGAACGATAAGAAACCACACTTGCTGCCACGACCACGCGCTCTTTCATCAGATGCACGAAGAGTACGAGAAGATAAAGAAAAACGAAAAAGAAAGAACGACATCAGCAGGTCGTGTACGATAAAATAAGTCGGTGAACGGTAGAAGAAGTCCCTATTCTTACTTTTCTTCACCGCACGACGAGACGAGGAGAAACAAAAAACTGCAATGACGAAGGCAATTTCGACGCCAGCTGAAATCATAAACACGTGCTCAACAGCGCACGAACGACGCATTGTGCACGATCGGAGAGGACATCGAGCACGACGGGCAGAGAAAAACATCAACATGTTCATCTTCCGAACGATTCATTTTCTTCCGTAAGAATAGATGAGAACACGAGCGCCATGACCGCATCTGCTGCTGTTCAGCACACGTCGTTCAGACTTTTAAGTCGTCCTCGCCGATAAAAACCTAACTATAATTCGACCATGATGCTCATGTTGTTCAACTGCCTCCAGCCCGACAGGCTACTCAATCAACATGGGGATATTGGATGCGCGGCATCCGCTATAAAAAATGCTTTCGTTTTCTTGGGAAGATGCGCTAGAAAACGCTGCAGATGACTGTGAGGTAGAAGTAGAGAGACCAGAATACAGATTATCAAACTACCACTTCGCAGACAACAGAAGTCTTCAACGACGAGAAGAAGTTTTTTTTGTTCCATTGGAACAGCTCCAAATTGCTTATGTATGGTACAAAAGGCATGCAGAGTTGAGGACCAAGTCACATAGAATTAGAAGTACAACTAAATTGATTGGCCTGCTCCTGGTGCTGAAAGGTAGAACTAAATCGAAACAAAAACAATTTCTATTTCATGTTCTAGTTTCCGAAACTAGAACATGAAATAGAGCTACCACCGCTACGCACGACAACTTTTTGAGCTGCAGCTGTGTAAAAATCCCCTTAGCCCGCATGGTCCCACCACCAGTCGCTCGCGCGTGCACCGTAGTCAGTGCACTTTCCCCACAAGGCGATGCTCCCCCATATGGATTGTAAAAGTGTCTGGGTCTGGAAGAATGCAAGATTTGTGATGCAGGTTTTCCATGACCCATGAGGTCTGGAATGCGAGGCCCAGCATCACAGATTCTTGGGGGTCTCTATCATGCCTTTCCTGCATGAGAGACTCCCTCTCAACTTGTTCAAAAGCGGACAGCTTTTGGTACTCACGCAACACAGATTTTTGCATCATTCAGATTTAGCATGACAAGTTCTTCTAATCTTCCAGACCCAGACATTTTTACATTTCATACCCCAGTAGGTGCCGCAATTGTCCTCATTGCGCGGGGCCGACTGCCTCGCGCGGTTCTCGAGGTAAAAAGCCTCCACGGCATCGGACAATATCACAGGAGAAAGTGCTAACGTTAACGGGTTTCACTTTCACAGATTGCAGTCATGCATCACAAATGTAGCCCAATACGCATGCTATGCATGACAAACTCTGACACGTCTTGTGATGCATTTCTGCATCACAAATTCCGTTAACGTTAACACTTTTTCTTGTGATAGACAAGACCCAGTCCTCACGATAAGCCGTGTCCTATCGTGTGGAAAAACGTCCCCACCCGAAAATCAAGATGGGGATCTCGCAACACAAGTCCAGAAGATATTTCCTCGGGAGTCAGAGTCACGCGTGTTGACAAGTTCCTCTCATCTCTATTGTAGTCCAGTTTAGGTTCTTTAGCAAGCACTGCCGCGTCACAAAGCCGTCTCTACTTTATCCTGTTTACAGCGTATACAAATTCATCCAAGGCACGATTGGAAATGCAAATGCCTCGTCGTCTTCTCATGGCGATGCGCATTAGAATTCTTCCTGTATTAAAACCTCCTGCAAATTATCTGCGTGACCACTCTGGGCAGAGGGACGTCGTTTTTCCTCAGGATATTGCCTCTGCGGGCACGTAGGGAACGGGCAACGGCTCGCGAAGCGTTTGGATCGCCCTAGCGACCTATGCAATACAAATTTCCCGTACATGTACAAGATGCATCACAAATTTCACCAATTTGAAGCGTAAAACTTGTCATGCTAGACTAGGATCGAAACAAATTTTTGTCATGAAGAGACCGCATGGGTACGTGTGCGGGAAATTTACTGTGGATACGACCGGAAGAAAGAACACGACGTAGATTGCAAGCACCTCACACACAAAGCTCACTTTCGGGAGGAAGAGCTCCAGTTTCTTCGCTCGCGGCACGAGGACCTCGCTCGACTCCACGGTGTCGGTATGGGGATCTGATGTCTTCTTCCCCCGCCGCCCCAGAAAAAACTGGGTCAGGCAGAAAAGAAAAGCGAAGACCCAACCCAGCAGCACCAATAGCACGCGGACCGCGAGGAGGGGCCGCCAGGTGTGCTGTGTGACCCAGCGGTCCTTGGCACAACGGTCGTGCTCCCGCTGAAAATCTCTGGCCCCCTCCGGATGCGCGAAGCCGTAGGGGTCTTGGCTCCAGTCACGGCTTGGTCCAGACACGTCGTGGTTGTCAGCATCTGCTTGCTGGTGCCCGGCGTCTTCATCTTTGGGCTTCACCCACTCCGTGCCCGTCGCGTTCCACCCAAAAAGGCCGAACGCGTAGGAAGGCTGCACCTGCTCGCCGGCGAAAAGCTGAATGGTTTCAAACAGCAAAAGCAAACCCATTCCAAAAATGGCTGCGAGCCCGTGAATGGTGCGGAGCCTCTTCGTATGGATTGCAAAAATGTCTGGGTCTGGAATGTTGCCGGATTTGTCATGCATATTTTGCATGACCCAGGATGTCTGTAATGCACGACCTAGCATCACAGGTTTTTAGACGGCTTCCTGATGCCTACTCTGTATGACAAATGCCCTCTCCGCGTAGCACAAACTAGACTCCTCTTGCTGGTCATGCATTACAGATTTTTTTAGAGTTCAAAGTTAGCATCACAAGTTCCAACCTTCCAGACCCAGACATTTTTGCATTTGATACTTCGCGTAAAAGCGCGAGTGCATCCCCAGCAGGCGTTTCACCAGCTCGTGGCGTTGCGAGGCAGCATATCACAGCGCACAACTCCCCCTCCCCCTCATTTGTCATGCAAAATACCAAATTCACTCTTTGCCCCTTGGGATTGTTAGCGTCACAGATTCTCGCGGCCTAGACACCACTGCAACCCTGTGAAAATTCGTCATGCAAAAGCTGCACTCTTGCAGGCTCTTCCATTGCTGTTCATGCAATACAAATCAGGGGGAGGGGGAGTTGTGCACCCTCATACAGCACTCAGCTTCTTGTTGCGTCCAGGAGTCGTGGAGCCTGCACTGGCGGTCGACTGCTTGTTCATCTGGGCGAGTTTTTGTTGTTCTTTCTCCACTTCGACGTCCTGCTTAGTGGCAGGAGCTGCAACAGCACCAACAGCCGCACGTGAAACTACACCAGGCGTACTGTTCGTTTTGGTCATGGTCTTGTTCGGCTCCTCGTCCAAAAGCTCGAGGTCCCCTTCTTGATTTTCCCGGATCAGCATCATGTTACTGATGCGGTTTTGCTTTCTCAAGCTCACCATCATCTCCTCTTCAGTCATCCCGTCCTGGTCCTCTTCGGCCAAATGATCACCAGCTGCGTCGTCCATGAAAAAGCTCAAGGAAGGGACTGCCGCCGTCAGAATCAAAAGCCACGCGGGCACAACCAGAAACGCCTATGAACTGCAAAAGTATCGCACTCGTAGTAATTCATTGCTGTTATGCATAATCTCTTTCCAAAGGTAAATCAGCATTACAAATGTCATGTGTAATGCTGAGCTTATTTGTAATGCGATTTATACTAGTACGATAGTTTTGCAATGCATAACACCACACGCAACGCGATTTCGGGGAAGGATTGCGACGTAACCGAGTCCAGGTCCAAGTCATCCCGCTCCTCCGAGCGCCAGAAGCACCTATGCATTGCAAATATGTCTTGTTCTGAGAGTTGTCATGCACGTTTTGCATGAGCCATGATGTTTGTGATGCCTGCCCTAGCATCACAGATTTTTTGAGGCCTTCTTGTTCTTGATGCCTATCCCTATTCCGCATGAGAAATGCCCTCTCCGCGTATCAAAAATTGCATTCCCTTCACGTTCACTGCTTACCCACTACAGATCTTTTTGGAATCGGACACAGCATCAGAAGTTGCATTCTTCCAGACCCAGACTACACATTTGCATTGGATAGCACCACGCCGTGTGCAAAGTGAACGTGTAGCGGGACAGCAGGAGAGCCATGGCGTACATAATCAGGAAGGAGGTCCAGAGCAGCCCCTCGGCCGAGCTTTGCACCTGGGCCAGCGAACTCAGGGTGCCCTGCCGCATGAAGCCCCAGGGCAAAAAGAAGCAGTCCTCCACCACGACCCCCTCCACCAGCCGGTCCCCGCCTTCCGTCCGCCGGATGGCGTCCAGATCCTCTTGCGTGGGAAACTTGCGCGGGCGAAAAATCATTTTCACGGGAAGGAGAGTTCCCACCACAATGCCCACGTACCCCACGCACAGAAAGACCAACGCAAACGTAAAGTCTTCGCGGAGTCCGCCGAGCGTCATCGCCAGATGTTGCTGCGTGGTCATCTCATTCAACGCGCCCGCCTGCACGATGCGGCGGAGCTGCTCTTCTTCACTTGTTCTGCTTGTTGCCCCTGTAGTTGCACGACCTTCTGGTGCATCAGGGGCTACAACAACTTCGAGGAGAGAAAAATCTTCCACCGCACGAGGACCTTGATGATGTCCAACATGATCCTCCAGCTGCTCTTTATCGTGTTTTTTGTGCTCTCTGACCGCCTGTAGCTCTTGGTGCAGCTGTTCCACATTCTGCTCGTGCGACCTTTTCTATCACAGGAACAAAAGGTGTTAACGTTAACGGAATTTGTGATGCAGTAACGCATCACAAAACGTGCCCAAATTTGTCATGCATAGCATGCATACTAGGCAAAATCTGTCATGCATATCTGCAACCTATGAAAACCGTTAACGTTAACACTTTTTTGTTGGATATTTTCACCGCGGCCATCTCCCGTGCCATCTCCTCGACGGCGAGACGCAGGCGGTCAACCTGGTCGTCGTGGTCCAACTCGCGGAGGGTGGAGGTCGTCGTGTGTTGGTCGTGTCCTACTTCACCGGGGAAGGTGGAGCTTCTCGATGTAGCAGTTCGTGGGGCAAAAGAAATTTCTGCCAGAGATATTTGCTCTTCATCAAGAACGCCGCTAGAAATTGTTGGGCCAGAATTTGTTGCGCCACTTGATGTTCTTGTAGAAGATGAACTTGTAGTAGCATGCTGTTTTCTCTCGTAGTTATTTTCATTCTTCATGCCCGGTGCTGCCCCCGCGCGGGTTGCCTGTAAATTGTGGCCTTGTAGTGGTCCCGCCGCGACCTGCAGCTCCATGATCTCCCCGGGAGGATGATCATAGTTGTGCTGCTGTAGTCCTCTACTTCCTTGGCCGCGGCGGGACTTCTCGTAGTTATTGAGCTTGTAGTTGCTCGAGGCGGCGCTCTGTCTCGTCGCAGCTGTCGCTGTGGCCGCAGCCGCACAGGCACATGATCCACCACCGTTTTGTTGAAAAATATTAAAGTTGACGCCGGCCAGGGCGATTATAGATGTGATGATGTTCTTTTTCACCAATCTCATCAGAGTAGACGCCGCCGCCGCGCTCTTCTTCGGCGAAACCAGGATGAACATGTCGGGCTTCGAACAGAAGCAGAATTGTTTTGCGACCTCCACGAGGAAATTTGCAAAAAAATACAGGTACTAGCCACAGGAAAGTCCTCTGTGTACTACTTCTTCAAAAAAATGATTACCAAACTATCGGAGTAGTAGTCGTGAAAAGGAAAAGTCGTTGTAACACGGCTCTAGGAACGAGCGATCCTAAAATGGGACTGGGAGGTAGACGTAAATGACGTACTGCGGGTACGAAAACGGAAATGAAATATACGAAGGCGGGCACCCGTTGTTAGGTAAGTCTGATATAAATTGACGAAATGGAAAAGTATTTCGGGTTTGTGGAGGACGTGCCGCTCGTAGTTGTAATTCAACAGACAAGTGTTAAAAACAACAGGAGTGCCACTTTTCCTGCAAGTAAGAGCACAGCAGCACGACAAGATTAATTTTGATTGGTACTGAACTGCAGGAGCATGTCGCGACATCACCCCAACCTCCTACGACAACGACAATGCGAAGAACTTTAACTTGCTTTAAATGGACGCACGAAGAGATGGACGAGGATTTTCTTTTTCCCACGAGGACGATGCACGATTTTCCATTCGCTTTGAAACAAAAATTACGTACGAGTTGCACTATTTCGCTTCGTTCCTATCGTCCTATCGATCTGAACCAACCACCCGACACGCCCAATGGCGTGATCGGAGGAGAGAGGGCAAGGGCGTCTCGGTCCCTCACCGTAGAGACAGCCTACAGGGATGCCTCAAGCGTGATCGGAGGAGAGAGGGCAAGGGCGTCTCGGTCCCTCACCGTAGAGACAGCCTACAGGGATGCCTCAAGGCCCCTCCCCACACGCCGCAGCGCAGGCGGCCCGAAGAACCCAGGGAAGAGAACTGACATGATGAATTCGGGCGAACGAAAGAGGGGCCGGAGGACCGACCTTCGAGCCCTCGACCACCGCCAATCGCCGCGCAGAGGCGGAAAACCCCCTGCAAAACAACACAAGTGGAGCGCGCCCCGTGGTCATAGCCGCCAAGCTTTACGAACGGGAAAAGGCCATCTGGCCAACACGAGAAAACACAGAGATAAAACACACGACGGGCCGAAAAACCGTAGCCCCAATAGTTGATACCTACGAGACAAAGCAAACCGCACTGCCCTGGACATGGGACACTGTTCCGCGCCTGTGTGGCGAGAGGGGCCACAGCCTATAACCCCAAGACCCTACATCCCTCCACAGGAGGGTGGCGAAATGTCTTCCGGCGAAACGCAAACAAACGTCCCGTGTAGCCCGAACAAAACCAAAAAGAGAAGTACCCTCCAAAGCACCGTGGCCACATCATGGGGAATCCCGACACCGCGACAACAATAAAACAGCCTCCAAGCTGAGACCCTGCCCGCTCAGCCACTCGAGCTCGATTACCTTGGGCGTCAGCGAGTGTAAGAAGAGCCTGCCCAGTAACAACCTGGCCGCGTCAATTGAAGTTCGTGCAAGCCATGAAAACCAGAAGCGGGTCTCCAGCAAGACCAGGAGCAAACCTACAACAAGTTCACTATCCCCTTAAGGCGGAGGCGCCCCTACGAAAACCGTGCCCCCGGATGCGCCCGACATCGGGCACGCCTGGTTCAACCACCAAAGAGAAGCCCTAAAAGAAAGTCCTGCGCTCTTCAAGGGTGCAGCAAAACTTACCGGGCTGGAAGAATGTACCCTACAACCGCCAGTCCTTCGTATGAATTTCAACACGATCCCGCCACCAAGTAAGGAAACCGAACCTGCGCCACGCGCATAAGGCTAACTCGGACACCGAAGAGCCAGAGAAATAAACAACGAAAGCCGACCAGGAGAGATAGTCCCCTGACAAAACCTCCAAGGATTTTCTTTTTCCCACGAGGACGATGCACGATTTTCTATTCGCTTTACAATCAGAATTACGTACGAGCAGTTTTGGCACTACTTACAAAATTGCAGGAGGAAGAGCTGTTGTTTTTTTTTCTGTTCTTTCATTTTCACGTATCATTCGTGATATGTTGGACAATACGGCCCCGCCAAGGTGGCGACGACGACCGCGACGACCAAGCATCTATCTGATCTTATCTATCATTGTCTGGATCGACACGACAAAAATTTGGACGGTTTTTCTTGTTTTAAAAATTCTTCTGGTGAGTATCGTCGTGATGGTCCTGGTGGTTGTGCTGTAGTACATCACTGACACTTCTGCGACGAGCCAGCATGTGGTTCTTAGTTTTGCCACAACTAGATGTTGAGCCCGTTGTATCTTATCTGCGAAATAAATCACGTCCTACTTGTGAACAACGTTCTTTAGTTCGTCGAAGCCAACTCCCTGCTGCTGCTGGACCTCTTGATCCTTTTTGTTTTTGTTTGTAAAAGTCCAGAAAGGGTGGGAATAAACTGCGTGCCTCGAAGTAGAGTTGTGAAGAAGAATTCTTGTTGTCCTGTTCAGCAACATCTCCAAACAAGAATCAACTGCTGGGGGGGTAGTACTTGGAGTTCTACTTGCACACGAAGATGAAGAAGCAGAAACGTCGTAAACGAAGATTGGGATAAATCCTCACTTCTCGGTAGCGTTCTGCTCGACTGTTGATGTCTGATTCGTAGTTCTGACCTCTTGTGGTCTCTGAGAGCGCGTGAGGGAGCAAAAACGAAATCAATCAATCAACTGTTCACATCTGAAGGATCTTGGGAGGCGATGTGAGCAGGTTCTGCGCCTCTGTTCTAAGTCTGTTTCTCTTCACTTGCCAGAGATGGGAACTTCTCTACTAATGAAGAAACTTAGAGCAAAGTAACTAGTAAAGCTTAAGGGGAAGCTGAACTTAAAAAAACTAAAAAATCTGTATTCTTGGGTTTGAATTTACTTGCCTTTAGCCTGTGAAAAAACGAAAAGAGTATTGTTTTGATAAAGAAAACCTACTTCGCTACCAACACCTACTTCGCTACCAACATTGGACTACCCTGGTGATATAAAGTTTCTTCGATAGTCTTAAAAAAAAAAAAATACAAGCTTCTTCGATAGTCTTAAACGAAAAAATACAACTGTGGTCAGGCGGGGCTGGAACTAGGGGGGGATTTTTTTCTTACAATATTCAGGACGATCAAGTAGTGGGTCTTCGACACTAGTAGTAGGCACGGTGTTACTGCAGATGTTGAAAGCGCTTGGTGCTTAGGCTCCTCGCACGGCAGGTGTCGTGAATGTCGTGTGCAGTTGGTATTGTTCTTAGCAGCACAGCAAGGGCTATCCACAGGAAATTTCCTGTACACGTACAAACGCAGTCTCTGCATCATCATCATCATCATGTAGTGGACACCCGCTCCCAGCGCCACAGGTCAAGGATCCCCTCCCCGGGGGGTGGGCGAGGAAGCACTTTCGGCGACCTCAACATACAAAAGCCGAGCGCTACCACGGCAAGTCGCCCCAATAAAAGTGCCAACCAGTCGGGAGCTACCCACCACACCTGATCAACACAGCCCGGCCAGCTAGCCGAGCGCGACAGCCCAACATACAGAACGATCCAGGACCCGACCCATTTTACGCCATAAGTTTTTGTTCTCACGGAAGAGACGACGTACCCCTTTGGGCTAAGGGGCGAGAGAAAAAACTTGCCTTCAGTCCTAGTCTAGCATGACAAGTTGGACACTGCAAGTTAGCGAAATTTGTCATGCATTTTGTACCTGTACGGGAAATTTACATTGCATAAGGGCGGTTCGACGTCAAGGTCGAGGTCCAGTTCCCTTGGATTGGGCATTTTTCGCACATTTGTGACAGACGAAACGATATCAACTGCAACAGTGTCTGGATCTGGAAGAGTCGAGGCTTGTCATGCACATTTTGCATGATCCGTGAGGTCTGTGATGCTGGTGCTAGCAACACAGATTTTTTGAGAGCCTCTTGATGCTAATTACGCATGAGAAACGCGGCCCTCTCCGCGTGCCAAGAACTGAGTCCTCTTCCTTGCTGCTCATGCAACACAGCAATAATTTTTAGAATCCGCAGACACCATTGCAAGTTTCACTCTTCCAGACCTCCCAGACAAATTTGCAATCCATAGCCGAGAAGCTGGCGTTCTGTACTAGTGCCAAGCATTCCCGCCTCATCTTCCTTCTGCGGTGCGCCAGGGTCCACGTCTTCTTTGGACGAGTCGCCAGTTTGTTCTAGCCGGGACGGGGTAGAACTAGAAGAAGTTCGTCTTGCACTGCCGCAAATGATCGCTTCGGTCGCGTTCGCCGCGGCCGGGCAGGCAGTCCCGTTATTCGCGGCGGCGACTGTCTGCACGTAGACCCGGGTTTTTTCCGTCCCATCCGACTCGCCAGCACATAACCCGGAAACCGTGGCGTTCCACGCGCCAACGCAATCGGTCGGGCAGGTCACGGTGTTGTTCGCTTCGGTGTGGTTGTGCGCAAACAAACAGGTTTTTCCCCCGTGTTCCTCGGTCTGGGAAACGAAAAACGTCCGCGCAAGGGTTTCCCCCCGCCCGGTGCAGCGGTTTTCCAAAAGATCTTCCGTGGAATTGTAATCCCAGGCCCCAATGCAGTCGGTCGGGCAGTACGCAAAAACCCTCGCGTTTTTTACGTGGGCGCAACTTTCTCCGCCATTCTCTGCTTCCTCGCTGATGGTAAACGTCCGATGCACCTCCTGCCCGGCATTTTGCTCAGTGCATTTCGCGGCCACCAATGCCGCCTCGTCGTCATAATCCCAAGCGCCGACACAATCCTTCGGACAGACGATCGTCGCCGTTTTTCCCTTGTCCGCGCACTCCTGGCCGGTGAGCAGTTTCGGCGTTTGGATGGTAAACGTCCGTGTAAGTTCCTCGCCCTGGCCGGTGCACTGCTCTTTCAGCAACGCGTCGGTCGCGTAGTCCCAAGTGCCACGGCAGTCACGCGGACACGATTCCATCTTTCCCTCATTTTCTTGACAATCAATGGGATTTGCGCAGTCCGCGTCTTTACACTTTTCGCCGGGTGTGCTGTTGGGATAGCCGGCTGCGGCCGGCCTGGTGATCGCGTAGCGGTGGCTCACGATTTGCTCCACCCAATTTATTGCCCCGGGATCACACGCTTCAGCAGTTCTCCGCCACTCCCCGATGCAATCCGTGGGGCACTTTTCGGCTCGCTGTGTGATTGTTTCCAAGCAGTCTGCACCTGGCGCACCGTCCGAGCCTGGTTTTGGGTGGGCCTGCTCCACAAGCCTCTCAGTCACGACATCCTGGCCGTCGTTCCTCGCGCGCCGTGCGTTCTCCTCCGGTACCCAGGTTTGCACGCAGTCAACGGGGCACGTTTTGGTCTGGACCTCCCCCTCGGTGTACGGGCAATCCGTGCCGCCCCGCAGCGCAGTCTGGGTGATGCGGTATTCATGCGAGGCGACGCGCTGCCCCGTATTCACGGAATTTCCGTGAATGTCTTGACACCCGTCGGGCTGGATTAGGACAAACTCGCCGCGGCAGTCGCGCGGGCACTCCTTGAGCTTTGTGGCTCCGGCAGCCACCTTGCACGGTTGACCCGGAATGCCTGTTCTGCCGTCCTCTCTCACACCCGCAACTGCCGGCGCGGCCATGTACTCGTGTGTTATCACGGGAGCGCCTGTTTCACGGTCGCACGCTGTCGCAGGCTTGATCTCTACCCATTGTTCTTGGCAATCCCGGGGACACGTGATGGTCCGCGACACCTTTTCCCCTTTTGCCAAGTACCCCCTACGGAGGTTGTAATCGTGAATTTGCGCGACTTTTCCCCGCCCTGGCCGTTACACGAGTCGATCAGGGCCTGCTCGTATGAAATGTAAAAATGTCTGGGTCTGGAAGGATGCAACTTGTGATGCTATTTTTGGATTCTGAAAAAATCTGTGTTGCATGACAAGCAATAGGAACCCAGTTTCTTGTGCCACGTGAAGTAGTAGTAGTAGTAACCATTTAACTCCTGGCGGGTTGGCGTTAGAACAGATTTAGCCTCTGCCAATACCTGGGCGCTAGAACAGATTTAGCCTCTGCCAATGCCCCTAGGTGGATACCCGATCCACTTCCTAACTACCACCCGGCCGCAGCCGCAGAACCGTTATCGATTGCTTACGCGTAACAACAACCGATGGGCGCTACTTGTGGCAGAACCCCCTTACCATCCAAGCCCGCGAGCAAGGTGGAAATTCGGTGTGGCCTTGATGGGTTAGTCTTACAAACTTGATCGCAAACTTACGTCTGTGGCCGGCTGTGCGCTAGTACGTATACTGGGGGTCTATCGATCATACCCGATGATCCTAATACGATGACGGACAACCCCGAAGCGTACCCCTTTCGAGCACTTCAGCCGACCTTGTGCCACGTGAACAAGGCATTTCTCATGCGGGATAGGCATCAAGAAGCACTCAGAAAGTCTGTGATGCTAGGGCATACATTACAGCCGTCACGGGTCATGTCACGAGTGCATGACAAATTTTCCAATCTTCCAGACCCAGACATTTTTACATTTGATAGCTCGGTTGCGTAGTTCCAGCTCCCAACACAATCGCGCGGGCATACGATCCATATGGGAGTGTCAGGATTGAAATCGACAAAGTTGAAATAAAAACTTCTCATGCTTAAAGTGCAAGGCATGAGGTGCCTCTGTTGCAGGGATCCGACTGTGAGCCTGTTTGGGGTCTGCGATAGAGCTGCTGATGTAGCATGGCAAAAGCCGCCTTCTGTCCCTAAACAGCATGCCGACAAACTGGATTTAGACGATGCCGAAACTCATTGTCATGCACCGCTTGGAGGTTCTTGGGCTTCCAACTGGTATCGATTTTATGCGTATACAAGTTATTTCAAGTCTGTCGATTTCAATCCTGACACTCCCATAACCTTTCTCTTGAACCCATGCCAAGCCTCGCACGGGGTCCCACCAGGATCTGGATTTTTCGTGACGACGTAGACTATGGATTGCAAAAGTGTCTGGGTCTGGAAGAATACAAACTTGAATGTGGTGGATTCCAAAAAAATCTGTATTGCATGAGTAGCAAAGGAAACGCAATGCTTGCTACGCGAAGAGGGCATTTGTCACGTTGGGAAACTAAGGGCAGGGCGTCCCTGTGTTACTAGCCTACAACGGTAGCCATCGTCATCGTCATCGTGGCGCCGTGCGAGCACGAACGCGGGCGGAGTGGTGACGGCCGGAAGGGTCAGGAGACCCAACTTTTTCGCGGGAAAGAAGACTGCTAAACCCGCACGCGGAACTTCGGCGGGCCGACGCAAAAAGTGCCGGCCTTGTACTGTGAAGCAGTCAAAAATCCAACGTCCTTATGCTCGCTGTTATTTAGCTCCTGCCGGTGATCGCAGCACCTGGAGCCCGCACGAACTGAAAGAGTAACGCGCAGCTAGGGACTGACTAGACTCGAACGCCTCTGACCACCACAAGGAAGCGGCGACCGTCTATATAAGTATTCCCCGAGCGGGCAGACGCCAAAGAGCAACTTTACTTAGTGGAGAAGCACGGAGATGTTGCTACTTGCCCGGATTAGCAGACCGGGGGAGGGACTAAATTAGGAGTGGCGTGCTATAATTCCCCACCGGAGATCGCAAAAAGGGCCTGGCTACATGTGTAAACTCAGTAAACAAACTTAAATATTGCGTAGAGGTAAGACTAAGCCCGAGCGGTAAACTAACATGAACTTCAGGAACGCCCACATACAAAATCTGCCCTACTACAAAACTCCCAACTGTTTAGCCACATACCCAGCAAACTCTAGCAGTAATCGACTTGGACAAAGCTATCACTACCGACGAGAGACAACAGCAAAGAGCTCCTGGGACGGCTGCAGCGTGAGCTTTTGTTGTTATCTATCTAAGTAGGGATGACGTTGTGTGCAAACCAATAACACGAGCGCCGAGGGAGAAAAGAAAAGTAAAAAAGCGGTAAAGTATCTACTAAGACACAGACCCATCTACGAAAAAACCCCTCTAAAAAAAGTGAGGCAAGCCACAATGTAGTTGCTTTCATGGCGAGCAGCCGCAAACAAGGCGAGCAGCCGCAAACAAGGCCGAGAGGGCATTTGTCACGCGGAATAGGCATCAAGAAGCCCTCAAAAAATCTGTGATGCTAGCGCATGCATCACAGACATCATGGCTCATGCAAAATGTGCATGACAAGTCTCAGAATCTTCCAGACCCATTTTTTGCATTTGATAAATACCTGCCCAACCCAGCTCGCTCCCTGGCTACACCGGTTCTGGACATCCCAACGTGACGGAAGCCAACCTCTATCAAGAAGAGTGCAAATTTTTATATGTCTCCTGGGTCGTGCATCTGATGCTCTTGTCGCGACAAAACGTCTTTCATAATGAGATCAGAATCACGTTCACGATAAAAAAACCGCCTTGTGGTCATATTAAATCCACCTCCTGACAATTTGCACTTTTCAGTCTTGATGTTCAACAAACGAAAAGCTTTTGTTCCGCTACGGACTGAAGATTCCTTTGAGAAATACAAATTTTATTGCACTTGCTTTTGGTTCTTTTGCCAAAGAAAAACACGCACTGCAATAACATATACACCTCGATCTATCTTCACCTCATTTCAACGGGCACCACAGGCTTGTTTCGTTCAAAACTTTATTGTCCAATGAAGAACTACATCTAGCAACTTGCATCGATTCAACTCGACCAACACCAGCATCGGGATCGGAGGTGAGCGGCCCAGAAAACATATATATAATTATAATTTTTGCAACTCGTACGAGGCAATGCAGTCTTTCGACTTTATTCCATTTCCATGGCCCACTCGTAGTTGTTCCTCGCTCTCTTGGGCGAAAGAGGCCCCGGCGCGCGGCTTGTCTTCATTCCAAGAGCCGGCAGTTCGTGTTCTACCACCGTTGCCACGACCTCCAGACCCACCCGACCCATCTTCTGTGGTAAAAGAAGTCTTCGTCGAAACGGGAGACGCCGGACCATTTCGACTTCTTGATGCTGAAGATGGCGCCACAAATGAAAGTGACGCACTTTTTGTTCTCTTACGCTGGTGCCCCTTCGCAGGTCGCGAGGCGGAAATTCGCAGCGCTTCAGCGGCGAACAAGTTGTCAACAAGAACTCCATAATGCGGTTCTCCACCAGCACCTGGCGAGCTGGGCCCGGTGAAAAGTACCATGATGACGAAAGCAAAATAGTGCAGTACAGCTACGTCGTGAACGAAATAAACAGGCCGTCCTTTCTTGCGGCGGTGCACTGGTTCTTTCAGGAGGATCTCCATCTCCCCCTCTTTGCCAGAGAGCCGCGAGAGGTGCAACTTCATCTTGTCGCGCCACGACCTGTCAGTAGAGCAAGCACCGAGCAGGCCGACCACACTTCTAGGGGAATAAGTAGGCGACGCGCTGCGTCGAAGTAGAAGAGGATATCGAATTGGCAACTAACGTGCTACGTTAGTCCTCCTCAAGGACGAATAAACTTTCTCGCAAGGGGCCGCACACAGAAACTACTTCTACATTTACACGGGAGTCGGGGGAGGTGAGGGTCACCGAAGATTTCATACAGCCTAAATTTTATCTCCGTTGAAAGCTGGCTGCGAGCTGTCTTGATGAATCAATTGTCGTGGTGTGCTGTTTTGATATCTCAAATAAAGCGACAAGAACTACTGCTTGTTCTTCGTCATCGTCTTGCTGTCTGAGCAAGAGGATTTGTCGGAAATAAACTCTTCATCACGACGTCTCGAACAAGGAAGTAAGGAGGACGACAAGAAATTTGGGTAAAAACGACACAAATTCCACGACACCCAAAACGTAAAAAACGGACGCAAAATTATTTTGGCACGAACGATTAACGCTTTTTCTTGCCGAGTTGTCGTGAACGATGGTTGCAGTACCTGAACGAAGACAACGAGGGTAACGACGACAAAGCGCGTCAGTGAACAACGTTTAGTGCGTCGAAGCCAACCCTCTGCTACTGCTGGTCCTCTTGATCCTTTTTGTTTTTGTTTGTAAAAGTAGTCCTCCAGAAAGGGTGGATATAATTGCCTCGAAGTAGAGGAATGGTAAAGAAGAATAAGAATTCTTGTTGTCGTATTCAGCAACATCTAAAACAAAAAGCACCTGCTGGGGGGGTAGTAGTTGGAGTTCTAGTACTTGCACACACGGAGAAGAAGCTGAATTGTCGTAGCGAAGCTCGGGATCATCATTCCCCATTCCGTAGCGTGCTGGTCAAATGATTTCTGACTCGTAGAAGTTCTCTTTTGACCTCTATTTAGGGCGATTAAGTAGATACAATTCGACACTAGGACAACTAAGCAACATAAACATTTTATTGCAACATCAAGAAGGGGTAGAAGTTGCGCAGCCTCCTCGCGGCGCGACGTAATATTCAATTTCACGTGTCGTGAAAGTACGTAGTCTAGTACCAGCAGCTGCTATTGTTCATTCTTAGCAGCACAGCATGGACGGCTCGACTTTATTAACGTCGAGGTCCAGTTCCCTTGGATTGGGGATTTTGCGTACACTTGTGACGGATGAGCCGAGGGCGGCGCCGCCAAGCGTTCTCTCATCTTCATTCTGCGGTGCGCCCGGTTCCTCTGTGGACGAGTCGCCATTCGGACAGACGATCGTGGCCGTTTTTCCCTTGTCAGCGCACTCCTGGCCGGTGAGCAGCTTCGGCGATTGGATGGTAAACGTCCGCGTGAGTTCCTCTCCTCGGCCGGTACACTGCTCTTTCAGCAAAGCGTCGGTCGCATAGTCCCAAGCGCCGCGGCAGTCACGCGGACACGGTTCCTTCTTTTCTTCGTTTTCTTGACAATCAATGGGATTTGCGCAATCCGGGTCTTTACACTTTTCGCCGGGCGTGTTGTTGTTGGGATAGCCGGGTTCGGCCAGTCTGGTGATGGCGTAGCGGTGGCTCACGATTTGCTCGACCCAATTTATTGCCCCGGGATCTTCACACGCTTCAGAAGTTCTCCGCCACTCCCCAATACAATTCGTGGGGCACTTTTCGGTTCGCGGTGGGATTGTTTCCCAGCAGGCTGCACCTGGCGCATTGTCCGAGCCCGTTTCTGGGTGGGTTTGCACCACAAACCTCGCAGTCACGACATCCTGGCCGTCGTTCGTCGCGCACCGTGCGTTCGACTCCGTAACCCAGGTTTGCACGCAGTCGACGGGGCACGTTTTGGTCTGCTCGTCGCCAGCATCGTTTCCGCAATCCGTGCCGCCCCGCAGCGCAGTCTGGGTGATGCGGTATTCATGCGAGGCGACACGCTGCCCCGCTTTCACGGGAAAGCCGGCACACCCGTCCTGCTCGAGGGGGACAAAATCGCCGCGGCAGTCGCGCGGACACTCCTTGACTTTTGTGGCTCCGGCAGCCACCAACTCTTCGGTCTGCTCGTCTCTGCACGGTTGGCCCCGAATGCGTGTGGTGCCGTCCTCCTTCACTCCCGCAACTGCGGGCTCGGACATGTACTCGTGTGTTATCACGGAGTCGCCTGTTTCACGGTTGCACGCTGTCGCAGGCTTCTCTTCCCATTGTCCTACGCAGTCCTGGGGACACGTGATGGTGCGTGTGGCTCCGTCTCTGAAGTTGCACTCTCTCCCGTTCTGCCACGTTCCGTGCTGTACGGGGATTGTAATCGTGAATTTGCGCGACTTTTCCCCGCCCTGGCCGTTACACGAGTCGATCAGGGCCTGCTCAGTTGCGTAGTTCCAGCTCCCAACGCAATCCCGCGGGCATGTGATCCATCTCGAGGCCATATGCCCAGCCACGCACGGGGCGCCACCAGCAGCTGGATATTGCGTGACGACAAAGACCTGCCCCACGGCCCTCCCGTGCAAATATTCGTGCTCGCACTGGTCCTTGACGTCATCGTCTGGCGGGGCCCAACCTCTATCAAGAAGAGTGCAAATTTTTATATGTCTCCTGGGTCATGCGTCTGATGCTCTTGTCGCGACAAAACGTCTTTAATAACGAGATCAGAATCACTATCACATTCACGATAAAAAAGCGGCCTTGTCACGAATCCACCCGACCACGCTTTACAGGTTGGAGGCCTGATCTTCAAAAAAGCTTTTCCGCTAGCGGCGCTACCGAGGATTATACCTTTGAGGTGGACTACAAATTTCGGCCTTGCTTTTGTCAAAGAAAAACCCGGCGCGGCGCGGCAATGATACTACACCGCGGGCGGGGCCGCCTCGCTTCAACGGGCGCCGCTGGCTTTGTCTCTGTTGTTCATGTGATCAGAATCCTCCCAAGGGGAATCAGTGAGGGCCCTGGCCCCCCCCACACCTGTATAGCACCTTACGCACCCATGGGCCCACCCATGAAAGGGAGAGGGGCCCCGCCTAGCTATAGCGCTCGCCATGGCGTAGCACGTAGCTAGCCAGTTCGTGAAACGCTGACGAACGCGAACGCAATGGGCTTGCAGGAAGATGCAACGCAGCCAGATGCTTTCGCCCTGTCTGCTGAGGGGTTTAATCGCTGCAGGCTCCTTCTAGGACCTCTAGAGTGGGAGCTTTGGCCGCTCAGTGTGGCAGGTGTGTCCAATCATGTCCAACAATTTCAAATAAGCTCTATCTTTTATAAAGACCACACCTAGCAACTTGAACTTGCATTGATTCAACTCGCGAAATACAAATATGAATATCGGAGATGAGCCCAGCAGGCATAATAAATTTTTGCAACTCGTACTCGCCTTGGCAAGGTATCGGCGGCACTCCCTTTCCATGGCCGACTCGTTGTTCTGTCTGGGCGAAAGAGGCGTCGGGCGGCATGTCTCTATAATTCCACCCTCCAGCACTTCTTCTTGTGCCACCTTTGCCACGACCTCCAGAGCCGCCCGACCTATTTTTGGTAAAAGTCCTGCTTGTCAAAACGGGAGACCTCACCGCCGGAGAACTTCTTGATGCTGGCGCACTTTTTATTGTCCACTTACGCTGCCCCTTTTCAGGTCGCGAGGCGGAAACTCGCAGCGCTTCAGCGGCAAATAAGTTGTCAACAAGAACTCCATGAAAATGCGGTCCTCCACAAGGACCTGGTGAGCTGGGCCCGGTGAAACTGAAAAGTACCATGATGACGAAGACGAATAAAGCAAGATAATGCAGTACAGCTACGTGGTGAACTTCGAAAACAGGCCGTCCTTTCTTGCGGTGGTGCGCTGGTGTTTTCAGAAGGAACTTCCCGCCCTCTTCGCAAGAGAGGTGCAACTTCATCTTGTCGCGCCGCGACGTGTCAGTAGAGCAAGCACCGAGCAGGTCGACACTAGGAAAATTGTAAGCAGCCACTCGCTGCGTCGAAGTACAGGAGGACATCGAATTGGCAACTAGTCTGTTAGTACGTTACGTTAGTCTTTCTGCTACAGGACGAAACTCAAGTTTTTTCGCTATCGGAGCAGACAGCAACTACTTCTACATTTACACGGGAGTCCAGAGAGGTGAGGGTCATCGAAGATTTCATACAACCTAAATTTTCTCTTCGTTGAAAGCTGGCTTCGAGCTGCTCCTGTCTTGATGAATGAATTGTCGTGGCGTGCTGTTTTGATATCTCACATAAAGCGATAAGAAGAAGAACTACTGATTGTTCTTCGTCTTGCTGTCTGAGCAACAGGATGTGATGTCGGAAATAAACTCTTCATCACGACGTCTCGAACAAGTAAGGAGGACGACACAAAATTTGGGTAAAAACAATACAAATTCCACGACACCCAAAACGTAAAAAACGGACGCAAAATCATTTTTGCACGAACGATTAACGCTTTTTCTTGCCGAGTTGTGAACGATGGCTGGAGTAGCAGTACCTAAACGAGGACGACGACGATAACCACAACAAAACGACTTATACCAATGCACCGGAAACCTTCAACTTCAACTTCCTTGAAGGAAAGAGAGCGAATGCGCAGTGTGAAACAAATTCAAATGCTGGAAATCGTCGTATTGTCGTGACGAGGTGCTGTTGTATACATGCGGGCGAAGTGTTCATACTCCATTTTTTTTTCCCTCTCCTAAAGAGACTACATCACTGGCCTCGTCGGCTGATAAAATTATGTTTAAGTAAGTGCGCACGACAAGAATATCGCGCATTTCGTCACTTTCCAACCTTCTGCTTTTTCAGAGCAGGCTTTTCATCCTCTTCCTCGTCGTCGTCATCCGAAAGCAGCTCTACGGCGGAAGTGAGGTGCTGCTTAGCATCTTGCTCGGTCTTGTTTCGTCCCTTATGTTCTACTTGTTGATCTGCGTTTGATGAGTCGTGGTGATCACGACCCTGCTGCTTGCTCTGTTTTTCTACCTGGAGGTCCACCTCCTCTTTCTTCACATTTTTCAAATCACACTCGACCGCGTTCACAGCGAAGAACTCAGGATAGTTTTCCTCGTTCCAGTCCTCTTGCGGCACAACAACGACCACGGCATCAAATTCGCACCCGACCTGCGACTCGTCGCAAAAGGTCAAGCGGGAGTCGTTTCTAACGTTCAATTTTCCCAGCGCCCAGTCTGGATGCAATCCCTCTTCCAAAGCCTCCTCGCAGGCGGTCGGGTAATCGGGATCGTAGATTTGCGCGAAAGAGTCCAGGTTTTGCAGGCTCACGCTGGGCTCGTGGAAGTGGAAATAGGACTTGAGGCAGACGGTTACAAACTCCGCGATGGTGGTTTTGTTTATCATCTCCTCCTCCGCCAAGTACAGTGTGACTTTTTTGCTGCTTTCCGACCCGTGCTCGCCGCAGACGAGGCAGTTAGGGTTGGGTTTCTGCAAGGGCCCGGAGGTGATGATGAAGTTGCCGCGTCGCGTTCTCGAAGGCTCCGGGTACTGGGGAAACGCGTCGCGGCAGAGGGAGTGGTTTATGGAAACGGCGGGGAAGGAGGTGGTCGCTGAAGACGGAGCAGGGGGAGGAGGCTCTTTTGTTGAGCTTGTCGTGTTCTTGTTCATCTTCACGTCGGGGGCCAGGAATCCGGCCGGGGGTGGTGCAGAAGTGAGGAAAAGGTCCTGCAGCACGTTCCGTTGGGGCTGTCCTCGTCTAGTAGTCGTCGGGTTTTGATGCGGCTTTGCTGGCACGACGGTTGAGGCCGCTGGCCCTGAGGCTCCTGCTGTAGTAGATGAGTCCTGTGGTCCCCCGGTTCTTCCCGTAGTGCCTTTCGGGTTTTCATCCTGCTTGACGAGTTCCTCCAGCCTATCCGTAACCACCAAGTGCATCAAGTTTGCCACCTGCAGTCCGGCCACAATCGCGTTCGTGGTCGCGATCGCTGGTACGATGTTTCCAGCCATACTCGTGACTTCCCACTTCGTTTGAATCGGCTTGATGCTGTAATTGAGCGAGCGCAGATTCGACACTGCGGTGACGAAATCGACCGAGGTTTCGTTTTCCTTCGAGAAAGTCACTGTAGAAATGGTTTTATCTCCGTCTTGTTTCTTCAACACTGCCACTGTGTCAACGACAGACTGGATAAGTTTCAACACCGTTCGTTTCGCCGTCCAAATTTTGTTCTGGTCCGAGTTCCAGTCGTATTGGGTCTTTTCCTTTTGGCAGAAATCGGCGAGAAGCTTCGCTATCTTTTTGGTCGTCGCTGTTGGCACGCCTGCTGGTCGTTGTGGGATTTGTTCTTTCTGTAGTTCTAGTTCCTGCGCCTCTGTCGGGTTGGGCAGTAGTACTCCGTCGATCCCGGACTTCTGCATTCCGAGGGCCAAATCTGCTGGATTCTCTTGATCGTCTTCCACGACCGTCTCGTCTGCCTCGACGACGGCGTCTTGTATGCTAACGGTAACGGCTCCTGGCTCATCTCCATCTCCTGCTGTACAACTATCCACCAAAAGCAGTTCCTCCACTTTCTTCAACAATTTCGGTTTTGGTCTGCCCGCACTCCACGATTTTTTTATCTCCCCCGAAGAATACAGTGCCTGGATGTCGTCGCGAAAAAGCTTGTCGACTAGATTCAACGCGGCGGCGACGACAGAATCCGAATCGCCGTGATTTTGATTTTCATCTCCTGCAGATGTTGTTGATGATCCAGTTCCAGTTTTCCTTATCGCCAAAGAGTCCCTCAAATCGGATAAAACATTGCCAGTGTCGTCGCTGGGGCCGAACAGAGCGTCGAACAAGTGTTTCGCCCAAGTGACACAGTGAATCGGCTTATCCGGCGTTTTGCGAATCGTGCAGACCGGGAACTTCTTCGGCTTTGGGCGGCTCAAGCACTCGTAGCATTCCGTTTTGTGCGGGATGTGCACAGTGGATTGCCCGGCGTAGCTGTTTTTGTTCAACATTTATTTCATCGGGAGTTTTTAATAACTTGATGGGAGCGCCTAAGAAGAACTACAGCAGGACGAGAGCACAAAAACATCATGTCCAGATCTCCAAAAACTATAACACACTGATGCTGAAGAAACAAAAAAACCATAAGTGCTTACCCAGTTGTCCCAGCCTCCAACAGCGGCATTCCTAGTCCAACGCAGACCCGATTGACGTGATGCCGCGCGCCAATGTTGTCCAGGCAGTTCACTATCACGTCAAACTTCTTGAAAAATTCCATGTCGAAGGTTTTCACGTCTTGCCGGTGGCTCGTCAACTGTAAGTTCTCTAACTCGCCCACCGGAAGGAATTTCTTTACCGTTTCACACGCCACGGAGGATTTCGACTGGTCGACGTGGTGCTTGCGGAACAGGAACTGGCGGTTGAGATTCGTCACATCTATGGTATCCAAATCCGTCACCTCGATCCTCCGGAACCCGTGCAGGACCAGATTTTTCAACACCTCGCACCCAATCCCCCCCGCGCCCACGACGAGAAGTTTGGTGTTCCGGATGGCTTCCTCGGAGGAGTTTCCCAGGATCTGGGCGAGGACGGAGGGTTTCGTGCGAGTAGGGTCGTGTTTATTGTCATGCTTTGTTTTTGCTGTCGTGCTGCCCGAGGAAGCGGAAGCCGCGCTCGTGCCCGTGACTGGGGGTGGCGGGGTCATGGTTTTTAGCTATGAGGTTTATATTGTGATCGTGTAGTAGTAGTTGTAATCGAATGAAAAACTAAACTCATATAATACGACGCGGAAATCTGGAATTATACTGGATCCCGGCTGTGTTCGCTGTCAAAATCAAAAAGGATCAGAAAAGTCATATCAATTGAAGCAGGTCGTGGCTGTGGATCAGGCCGAGACGAGCCCAAAAACCGGCAGAAAGTTGCAGCAAAAGTGCGAGGATCAAGAAAGTGCCTTGCTACAACGTTTGAAAAATTCCAAATGAGTTGGATTTGGAGCTCTTCGCTATCGTAAGATGTAAAGAAAAATGGTGAACAGAAGAGCGAAACCTTGATGGCCAGAAAAGAGGCGACGTTAGTTTAGGACTAGACGACGTCGCACCAATATCAACTCCGCTCTAGCAACCAACGTCATGAGTTGTTGCCGCTTTGTTTTTCTCTAGTACCTCTTCATCTTGCAATCGCAAGAAATTTCTCTGTTCATTTCGTCAAGTTTTGCATCTTCCAAAGTCAGCTCTTAGTACGAAAAAAAATCTCAGATGGAGCATCATACTTTTTCGACAAATATCATACATTTCCACCACCAGACGCGGCTCCTGCAAACCATCCGGCTGCCTGTGGAGGTTCTTCGATTTCCATCTAGTGTGTTTCTGTGTTCAAAGGTTCTTTTAGTCTCTGTTTGGGTCATTGGTTCAAATAAAAGTTCATTTTTGTGGTTGCTTTAGTTCTAATTTCTGCCGAGAAGCGACAAGACCTGCTGTCTATTAGCCTAGTTCTTACTACTTCCAATACCGAATACTGAATTTCTTCCTAAATTCCCTGACATCCTTCCGCATTTGCTCGACCATATCAATTCCGCCTCCTTCTCCCCCACTGCTCTCGTTTCCGCCGGGACTCGCCCCCGGTATCTGTTCCCTCTTCCGCCCCCGCAACTGCCGTCTCGCGTTATCCGCCTGCTCGGTTTCCCGCCGTCTCTGCGCTTCGAGGAAAGATTCCACTTTCCTTAACTTGATTTTCAGTTGCTCATCTTCATCCACAAACCCGACGGAGGAGCTTGTTCTCGGCCGAGAGTTATCGGCTCCATCCGCTATACCGGTGAGTTTATTTCCCGAAGCACTCGCGGACTCGCTCGTCGCCGGTCTTTTCAGCAAACTTCCGTCCCGCGCGGAAATCTGCACGGAATTCGTGTACTTGTCCGTGCTGCCCCAATCCTTCCCCAATCTCGGATCCCGGGTCAATAACCCGTTACTCGATGTCACGGAATGCCCCATGGTGTCCTTCTTTCGCGTATCCACAGTAAATTTCCAGACACATACAAATGCAGTTTCTGCATGACAAAGCTTCCCTTCAATTCTGTTTAGCATCACAAGTGGTATGCTCTGAGTCGGCAAAATTTGTGATGCATTTTGCACATGTGCGGGAAATTTGTATTGCATACCGCGCTAACGGACTGTCTTGCTCGAGGATGTGCAATGCGGTTTTTGGGGTTGGGGAACCCTCCTTGACCGCCTCGATGGTCCGCTGCTTCAAATTCTCGAATATGCAATACAAATTTCCCGTACATGTCCAGGACGCACCACAAACTTCACCAATTTGGAGGGTAAAACTTGTCATGCTAAACTAGGATCGAAGCCAAGTTTTGTCATGCAGAGACCGCTGCATTTGTACGTGTACGGGAAATTTACTGTGGATATCGAATTCTGGGAAATCGTGTTCGCCGTTAATTACCACACACTCCCGGAATAGCATCTGCTTTGTACAGCCCATGCACCGGACACCCTTGTTCTGCGGCACGACCCGGCGGATCAGGTTTTGTTGACCTCAAGTGTTTTTCTTTGTCATGGACAAATTGCATGACAGTTTTCCATTGCGTTGCCGATACACGCATGACACACTCATAAAAAATCCATCGACACAATTAATATACCTTCATTCTGTTTCTCTAATTCCTTCAGCAATCTCTCCAGCTCTTCTTGTTTGTTCTGGAGCTGGTTCCGGATGTGCGTCATTTCATCTCCCTTTTCCTTGTATGAGAGTGCACGACTCCCCCTCCTCACTTTTTTTGCATGATCAGCAATGGAAACACCAGCGCACATGGAGCCTGCGCATGACACGTTCTTCACGCGCGTAGTGTAGTACTGAAAGTTTAGGCTCCTTCCAGAATCTGTCATGCAAACGGTGCCGCAAAGCAGCACTGCACTTAGATTTGGGATTTTGCATTACAAATGAGGGGGAGGAGGTTCTGTGCACTGTCGTACCTTGTTCAACTTGTCCAGTTTCTCCTGGTTCTCCGCATCCACCTATCAAAAGGAAAAATTCCCCCTCCCCATATCAAAACGGAAATCTGTGATGCAGATTTGTTGTCACAAATCAGCTTTGTCATGCTACACGGGGAAAGATGCGGACTGTAGTGCTGGGTGGCGTGGGGAAGCCTTGCATCTTCAGCATGATAGGAGGCAGCTGAGAGTGGGAAACAGCATGACAAATGGCTTGCAAACGAGGCCACGACTGCGGCTTTGGCCTTCTAGCATGACAAGCCGATTTGTGACCTCAAATACAGCATCACAAATTTCGTTTTCGATAGGGGGAGGGGGGATTTTTCCTTTCGATACCACCGTCGCCAAATATTCGTTGTGCTTCCGGTACTCTTCGGCGACGTACTCATCGTGCTCCTTTTCCCTCTGCGTGATCCGGTCGCACGCCTCTTGGAGCTTCACCAACGCTTCGTCGCGATCTCCCTCGATGGACTTTCTTTGTTCCTATCAAATGCAAACACCTCTGGGTCTGGAAACTTGTTGTAATGCTGGGTTAGGAATGGTGAATGCTCAGTAATGCAAAGCCAATCATGAGAATGAAGTATTTGCACGGCTTAGTGTTGCGCTTTTCGCACGACAAGCTGCGGCTCTGCATGAGAAGCAAGACGGTCTCTTCTTGGACACGCAACACAAACTCTTCAGTCATGCCAGACAAGCATAACAAGCTACGCACTCGTCCAGACCCAGACATATTTGCAATGCATAGTTCCTCCAATTCCGCGATTTCCCGGAGCTTGTCGGTGAACTCAGCCAGGAGTTGGTCGTACCTGGATAGAGATAGGAAAGCTCTTGAATTTCTCATGCAAAAATGGCTTCCGAGAATCCTGCTGCATGCCTACTTATGCATGACAAAAGGAAAAGCATCATCAACCACGTGGCACAGATAATCTAGTACTTCCTCTGCGGTTCGATCGTCGCCTTCTCCACCTGTAACAACGGCACTTGGTCGTCCCACGTCTGCCACGCCTTCCGCATGATCACGTCGTCCGCGATACCCCACTGGCGCACTTTGCTCCAAGCCACGTCCCGACACTTTTGCTTCAGTTTCAGTTGCAAGTTTTTCTTGAACTCCACCAAGTTGTCGATATTCCGGAACAATTCTTCCTTCACCCGGATCCGTTCGCGGAGATCTAAAATCGATTTTTCCATGAAGTGCTTCATCTGCTCCAACTCGCTTGACGCTTTCAACGTGAACAGCAAATTCCTCGCGTCCTCGTATTGATGCGCGGTCCGGAACAAATGCTCGATCCGTCTCAGTTTCTTGTGTCGTGTCCGGTTTGCGACCTTCATGACAAGGTCCTGTTGCGGTAAGGCTTTCATGACGAGCGACTGGACGTGGATGGTCGGTTCGACCAGCTCGAGGCGACGGCGGTCAATGTAGGCACGGATTTCCTGATTTTTTTTGCCTCAGAAATTTGCCATGCATTACACAGAAAGCTAGCACCCAGTTTTTCTCATGCAGAGGCAGAAGTAGCAGATGAACATCGAAGTCGAACCAAAAAAATCATGTTATACCTCCCAATGCTGTCTGTGCACTTGGAACTCCCTTCGTTTCACCTCTTCGTCATCCTTACACCCATCGATCCGGTCTTGCGTGTTTTGGATTTCCTGTTCTAACATCAGGATGTTTTCGGTTTTTTGGAATAGCGTGTTTTTGTCGACGCCCGGGTTCATCCAGGGTTTGTCTGCGTTGTCGTCGTCCGGCATGTGGTGCTGGCCTTCGGAGAAGAAGAAGGTATCGTCGTCTGGCAGGTCATTTGTCATGCCGTTCCTGTTTGGCAGCTGCTGCTGCACCACCCGGGGGCAAAACATGTCTTCGTCGAGGTTGCGAAAATTCGTAGAGGCTACGACTGCCCTCGAGGTCGAGGAAGAGCTGGGCGTCCTGCCAGAAAGAACTGGCATCGTAGAAGACCTAGACGTTGTCGTGCCACCTCCGCCGTCGTGCTGCATTCCGGACAAGGATTCCTCAGAGGGTGCAGAATTATTACCCCCGGCCATTTTAATGTCCTTCCGAGACGAGGTCGCAGAGGTTTTCAATGAAAGACGATGCTTGTGCGGTGATCTTCGCCGTGCGCAATGAAGAAACACTACTTGTTCGACGTTGCTGCTCAATCAGTACCACTATAATCGCATTGGACGATAAATCATCCTGCAACTAGAGGCTTTGGTGGGCATGGGTAGTTACCAAAAGGGCGACAGCACACGAAAGTGAGTTCACCAGTGCCAGTCTCTTTGTTTTCTCTCTGCCACGACTCGCAGTTCCGTGAATAGAGTACGAACGCGAGGACACGAATCAATCGGAAGAAGAATGTTGAAACGAAACACGATAATCCTCCTCAAAAAGCGGGCGTATCAAAAGAACAACGATCCTAGATGCGACGAGCGCACCGTGGCCTCGTTCGTCCTCCAGGCAGCCGCCACCTTCCGTATGGCTAGTGATGACTTTTTTTCAGCTCGTTGCGCGAGCTTCAAAGAAACCATGCGCTTTAGTTTTGGTTATGATTTCTTTCTTGCCGTGGTCGCTTAGAAGTAAGTGGCAGATGGTCGTGCTTCTTGAACAAGATTATCATCTGCTCTACTATCCCGCCAGATCGTAGTTCAGTAACCCGCCGTCCGCCACCGCCAATGTCAAGTCAAACACCAATCCCCCATCGGTCCATATCACCGGTATCCAAAACCACATCCTGTATGCGCCAATGAACGTGAACCAGGCGGGTTTTCGCGGGGACCCGAGGTTGACTTGTGTGAAGCGGAAAACCTGAATGGGTTTTCTTTCCGGAATTCTTCTTTATCATGCCAGACCGCTCGGGAGGTTTGGGGTTGGGACTCTCTTTAACGCAGCAGTATTACTTATCATATCATGGAACAAAGCAAACCACGTATAGATACGAAGTGTGGTTAAGATGAAGGCCTTTTAGAGTTGAACAAGCAAGATTGATCAAGAGGAACGACTACCTCCATCACGTTGACCCGATAGGCGTTAGGCAGCGCGTGTTTCACGGACAATTCGTAAAACAACGTGTTGTTGACGTCCTCTGTCGCTTTGTGGAACCACCGCGTGATCTTCGTCCCGATTGCCTGAAGCCCGTCTTCCCTCTTACCTGAAGATAGATATTCCGTAGTAGTTTCGTGTCCATTTTTTATGTAGTTTGACTTTGTCATAATCATGCTAGTTTCGTTCCCACGACGTTTTTGTCATGCAGCAAGACCAAGCCTACAGTGTCAGTCTCAGTGCCCGACTTCGAAGTATCGAAAAAATAAAAAAGCGAGATAGAGAAGCAATGAATACTATCAACAAAAATACTTTTCTGCTTCAAGTAGTCCCGATAGCTTTTCCCCGCTGCCGCCATGTATCTATCCAGAAGCCAGGACTTGAAAAACCCAGCCACGCCTGGGGGTAGCTCTACTTCATGCTGCCGGCGCGTGGTCTCTGCAGCTGCCTCCGAAACACTAGCGCGCCCCATTTAATTTTCCCCATATTGGGGCATGGGCCGCGGGCGTATAGATTCGCAGGCAGCGCGCCACATGGCTCAAGTTTTGAGCCGCATCGGACTGCGACCAGACAGACTCGCCTACCCTAGTCAATGGCCACGCCAGAGCCCGTCTACCGGATGCCCGCCAGGGAGGCGCCGCTGTCTGTCCAACATGAGGCCTCGTGCCTGCTGGCGCAAATTGGCCCCGTGCCTCTGTTGCAGACAGAGGACCAGGCAGAACGATCAGAAAACGCGCAGGCCAAAACGAAGCCGGGACGGGGCCAAAACGAAGCCAAAACGAAGCCAAAGCCATCCAAAAAAAAGACGGCCAACCCTTTCAACTTTTTGCCAGAAAGCAAAGGCCCAGAATCAGACCGCGGGGCCTCGTTTTGGCCTCGTTTGGGCCTCGTTTTGGCGTCGCTTCCACGAGGGCACGGCAAAGCGAGCCGGGCGGCGACCAAAGTGCCGAATTTTCCGCGTTCCCCTTCCAGACGCGAAACGCACTTGCCTGGCCTCGTTTTGGCTTCGTTTTGGCCTCGTTTTGGCTTCGTTTTGGCCTCGTTTTGGCTTCGTTTCGGCCTCGGCTTTTTTGCCCTTTGGCTTCGTTTTGGCCTCGTTTTGGCTTCGTTTTGGCCTCGGTTTTTTTGCCCTTTGGCTTCGTTTTGGCCTCGTTTTGGCTTCGGTTTTCCGGCAATGCCGACCAGGGGTGGTCGCGTGTAAATATCTACTGGACCAGAGTGCGCCCATGCCCATTTGAATATCGCAGGCACTGCGCGGGGCATTGGGGCTTCGCATAGTAGCCAAAGGCAAGACGAAGGCGGCGCCCCCTCGGCATCCATGTGGGAAGCGCATAGCCCCGCGACGGCCAAAGCTTTTTGCGTTTCTTTGTAATGCCATGCGGCTCAAAAATTGAGCCCGGCGGCACGCTGCGTCGCAGGCTCCCCCGTATGCGTAACGCGACGCGCCCGGGCCCACAGCGCGCACAACACAAATGGCGCCCCGGCTTACATGCAGCAGAAGCCCCAAAGGCTGGGGGCCCTGCAAACGCCTCGGCCGGCCACTATGGGAAAACTTGCCGATGTTTTGCGCTGGCAGAGGTGGGCCCTTGTAAAAGCTGCCCGACTGGCTTCGTTTTGGCTTCGTCCTGGTCTCGTTATCGTGCGAGGACGGTAACGTGGGTCGCCGTTTGTAATCTATCCAAAAACCAGGACTTGAAAAACCCAGCCACGCCCGGCGGACCAGCAGATGTGGCAGGCTTGCCAGGACAGTCCACCAGCTGTGACAGACCTCCCATGGCGGACCAGCGGAGGCAGATCAGCCACGCAGGACAGACCAGCCACGGCGGAAAAGTAGCTGCTGCCGACCTTCCACGGCGGGCCAACTGTGGCAGACCGGGCACGGCGGGCCCGCAGCTGTGGCAGAGAGACCTACCATGGCGATGGCAGACAAGCCACGGCGGACCCACCACAGAGGGCAAGCTGCGGCAGACCTGCCATGGCGGACCACCAGTCAGTGGCTGGCCGACCAACCAGGAGTGGCAGACCTGCCATGCATGGCGGGCCAGCAGTAGCAGTGCGTGGCCGACCTGCCACGGCAGACCAGCACCTGTGGCAGACCTGCACCGGCAAAAGAGTGCCTGCTTGGGCTTGCGCGCCGGTTCGCGCCATCAAGGGTCCCCCGGGGGTTTTCAATTTGTGTGATGTTTGTCGAGGTTGTGGAGCTTCTAGTGATTTTTTGGTTATCGGGAGGTGGTTGCTAGTAAAAAAGCGAGAAGCAGTACTATCAAAAAAATACTCTTCTGCTTCAAGTAGTCCCGATAGCTTTTCCCCGCTGCCGCCTATGACACAAATAACTCAACCAAAGGCAATTTACCATCCCCCATCAAGCAAAAAAAATCAACACAGTAATCTACTTGTATTTGTAATGCAGCTAGTTAATCTGATCTAACTATCAGGCCACTAAACTAGCTAGCTAAGTAAGGTGTTTTTGCATGGTGAAAGGAGCCCGGAGACACAGTCTGTGTTGGTCCACGGATTCGGGCGAATCCCTGGACCAACATAGTCCATCTCCGGGCTCCTTTCACCATGCAAATACACCTTATCTAGCTACCTTAGTTAATTAGTACATTAAAAAGTGGCCTATTTTACACGCAATTATCTAATATCCTGTTTTGTACTACTATCAATTTTTTTTTTTTTGATCCCCCATGGTATTTTAGATTTGGTTGAGTTATTTGTGTCATACCGCCATGTATCAAATGTAAAAATGTCTGGGTCTGGAAATTTGTGATGCTGGGTGGCGTATCATGAGGAGGCCACAAGTGCTGGCTCAGCATGACAAGTTTCTGAGCTTCCAGGTGTTGCCTATTCTGCATGACAAACTGCGTTTCTGCATGACAGAAAAGTGGCGCTCTTGGGTAACATGCATGACAGATTTGAGAGTCATGCCAGACAAGCATGACAAACATGCACTCTTCCAGACCCAGACATTTTTACATTTGATACCATGTATCTATCCAGAAACCAGGACTTGAAAAACCCAGTGAAGCTCGCCTCAGTTGGCGCCGGTAAGAGAAACAACGAACCTGCTAAATATCAACTGTAAAAATGTCTGGGTCTGGAAACTTGTGATGCTGAATTGCGCATGATTGAAGCGCTTCCAATGGCAGCCAAGCATGACAAGTTTTTGAGAGGCCTGCTGATGCCTAGCACGCATTACAAATTGCGTTTTTGCATGACAAAGAAAGCCTCTGTTTTGCTGCTCATGCAACACAGATTTTCGACGAATGCATGACACGCATTACAAGTTCCACTTTTCCAGACTCAGACATTTTGACATTTGATACTAAACCCAACACTCCGATACTGAACGCATTGCCGGCCTTAGTCGAGTATCAAATGCAAAAGTGTCTGGGTCTGGAAACTTGTGATGCTAAAAATGAACGATAGACGCACTGCAGTACGCAGCTATGCATGACAAATTTTTTGGCTCCCATGTCTTACGTATTCCGCATGGCAAACTGCGTTTTTGCATGACAGGTAGGAGGGCTTTTTCGTGCCTGTGCAACACAGATTCTCGAGTCATGCCAGACAAGCATGACAAACTTGCACTCTTCCAGACCCAGACATTTTTACAATCCATATCGAGTTGTTCAGCAATATTCCGCACGCTAACGCCGAAGCGCCTATTGCGTAGGCTTGGGACCGGGTGACGCCGAGTTCCCGGAGGATGCCATCCACGTTGTTTGGCGGTCTTGGTGGCGGTGGAGCAGCTCGGGGGCTGTTGTTCGCGCTCGACGACGGCGTGGAGGACATTTTCTGTTTGCTTTGCAATGATAAAAAAGTATGTGATTAATCAATGAATACTGGATGTTGATTAAAAGCGCAAAAATAATCAAAAAAGAAAAACAAGTGCAACTCGATAACTTCTACAAACAAGGACGATAGAAAATCAGTGCCACATTCTTGAGACCTGAGGGCGTGGGCGGCAAAAGTCCGATGTTGTAATTCTAATTTCGAGTCGAAAAATAACGACCTATGCGAGAGCGAGGTCCAGGAGATCCAACTCCAAAAATAAATACGGCAAGATGAAAGCAAAGTAGATCTATCTCTGCAGGCACAACACGACTCCGAGGACGGACGACCATCGTTGATCTTAGCTCTGTATGGTAGAAACAATCCGACAGCCGTTCCGAAAGCAATGCCAACCGATGAACTTTGTAGATGCAGTGTCAATGTGGATCAGCCCACCAAGGTACTCAGCAAAACAGATCAGCTTTTCCGTCACAGAGATTTTCACATCCAAGTTGAAATACCGTTCTCAAAGAACATGCGGAAGGTCTGTCCTCCAGGCGAGTGGCCAACCGACCCTGTAGCTTTGTGGCGCTTGCCGTGCAGCACGAAAGCACCAACTAACACCCACCTCCGCGCGCGCAAGCAAGGAGCCCAAATGGCGCGAGAAGATAGGTAGAAAGAAATTGCAGCTGTAGATCATGCATTTTTTCAAATAGATTTCCGTCATTGGGATACTAGTTCCACCTGATTTTTCTCTCAATATGAGCGAAGAAATATTCATAAATGGACAACTTTCTTCAAAATCAAATATTAATCAAAAGTATCAACAAAGTCAAAGTAGCAGATGATGATGATCCTCCTCGCACCTACTTTGAATTAAGAAGTTGTGCGCCGCGCGACAAGATGTAGCTTCTTGTGTGCGACGGTTCCTCTAGTAGTTCGTCTGGGTCTGCTAGTCTGTCGCCGTCGAGAAGTTGGACCCGGAGCGCAGGGCCTTGATCAAACCATCCGCCGATAAAGTTGTTTCGCTGCGACTTCGCCGTTGTGTTTCTTTTTCCGAAGATTCGTGCATCGAGGCCTAGACTACACCTCTAGTCGAATCGGTGTTCTTCAATCCACCAGGCGGACGCGGGTCTTGGTAGCAGGGGTAGCGCTTCTTCAATACGTGCTTGATAAAGAGGTAAAATGCTCATGAAAAAGTAGCTCTAAGTTTACAAAGCGACACAAATTAAAATTAAAACCAGAATTTAAATCTGTTGTGTGAAGAACATAAATTTCTGTATACTAGTAAACTTGAAAAAAATCAACCGCTTATGGGCACAGGAGGTGAAAACACAATAAATTTCTTGTGCTTGTTTCTCTGCTAGACATTTGAAACGATTGAAGTCATCATGATTTATTTCTCGGGGGAGATAGAGATTTTTGACAACAGGAGCAAGCGGCCGGGGTGTCATTGTTGTTCTCAATGACTAATATAGAGTTGGTCTAGTTCGAGGAGGTTGTAGTAGACATCAGTCACGCAGCACGGCTGCGCGCCCGATGAAAGCAGCAGCTCTAAAGGGATTTATCAAACTCGCTAGCGAGATGAAAGTATCTCAATGAGCAGTTGTCCGAGGTGAGTTGTCTTCCAGTTGTCGAAGTTGTTTTTGGAAAAGTTGTCGGTAAAAAAGAACTGAAATATTATTCCGGGTCAAACTCAATTGTCAACACTACAAGAAACAGTTCCGCTATTCAACATGGGGTAAATATTCAAGAAACTTCTACCTTCATACGTAAAAAATGTGTTGTCCTCGCGACTACTCAAGCAACGCCTCGAAATATCTAGACATCGATGTACTTGTCCAACAATCGAGAATCTTTTATCGTCGAACAAGTGAGTTATGATATTTTCGCATCAAAAAACTAGTCTGTTTTCTGCGTTGGTTTCTTCTGTTTCGGGCCCTGCAAGGCACCACGAAACAATGAGGTTATAGAAGTGTTAAATTCAATTCTACCATCAAATCATACCAGCATAAAAAGTTTATGAAGCCAACAGTTTTTTCTCGTCGCACCGGAGGGGTGCGAAGGTTGTTGTTCTGGTGTGCGACGATTGGCTTTTGTTTACCAATCAACGCCACTCAGATTTCAATTTCATCAAACGACAAAGAACATAAAAGCCAATCATACGCGCGCTGTCGGTGCCTCGGAAAAATCATGTTCGTGAAATTTCAATTAATACAGACACGTACAGCGAATGTTACTGTTCCCTACTAGCTAGAACCTCATCTACTTGGTTTTGCAGCTGCCATTGCTTGCAGCTGCTCTTGATCTATCGTTCGTAGAATTCCTGCTGCATCTACATCGCTAGACGAGTAAATAAGTACTAAGTATCTTCTAGACGCGTCGTGACTTCAGCAACCACCTAGGCCGCAACCTGCTGCGCCGTTGGCAGCGAGGCCACCGGATTGGCACTTGTGGTCGTCGAGGCCGAAGTTGTTGCGTCCTTGCTCGCCGGTATAGGATTGAAAATGTGCCTGACTCACATTGAAGACTGATCTTTCACTTTCTTTTTCATGATGAGCATCATCAACATGAATAAACCGAGCTTTTTTCGCGCACCACCACTCGATCCATGAAAAGTCCAGTAGAAGTTCCATCCACAATAGAGTCAGTTTTTTTCACATCCTTAGTCAACCCCGTGGATGATGATCCATTCACGGATGCCTTGGTTACCGCTTCGCAAAAAAATATGGAAACGAAATATGTAGCTTGTAGGCGGGACGGTTTTATTATCTCCGAACTGGAATTGCGGTTCTTGTCGCCCAAAATCTTCTCTCGCTATCCTTCTTGTTGTACTAGCACGCCCCCGGACCACACGGACTCACTCCCTCGCTCCGACACCTTTCAAATTCATCTTGTAGCTCGATTTATTGGGTGCTAGCTTGCATTGCTTGCTACGACGGGCGCTTGTATTTTGCTGTACGTACTACTGTAGCAAAAAGAACTTCTGTCACTCTCCTAGTAGGGGTATCATCATCTCCGTACTGGGTGGTCTTGCAGAGTTCTTTCACAGCCTTGACCTTCTCAGGTTAGTGGCAGGCGAGAAGTCTCACGACAGCACACACTCTCGTCATGCAAGACGTGTTGAGTAGCCTCCATCAGGTATCAATGGTGGCTGCTCAATGTACGCTCCGATGCAAAATTGCATAACAGGAGCAGCTGCTGGAGCTTCAACCTTGTTTATTTCTGGTGCAGCACCAGCAGCAGTTGTTCTTTTACTTCTGCCAACATCGCCGCCCAATGACGGTGTCACTTGCCATCGCCGCCTTTTTGCGCTATTCATTTCCGTAGCTGCATTCAGGTTCGCGGTGCCACTGCTCGTTATGCAATGTAAATAATATCCTGTACATGTACAAAATGCATGACAAATTTTGCTAACTTGCAGTGTACAACTTGTCATGCTAGCCTAGTATTGAAGGCAAATTTTGTCATGCAGAGACAGCATTTGTACGTGTACAGGAAATTTACTGTGGATACTCGTTGCCGTCGTTGTACTAGAGGATCCTCCGGACTGCGCGTTCGCCGTGCCGGACTGCGGGGTAGGAATGCTGCCCCCACCGATACCCGGGTTTGCCGGACCACCATTACTGCTGCTTCCAGTATTGTCCGCCTTAGCCGCACAACTCGCACTGTCTTTCTTCGCCTCGGAATTATTACTGTCCGTCGGCGGGGGAATGGTTGCGGACGAGTCATTGGTCTTCTGTGAGTCCTCGTTGGTATTACTGACCGGATTGCTTCCCGCGGCAGCTGCCGGCGCAGTTGTGTTTTTACTGTTGTTACTAGTCGCATTCGAGTTGGATTCCATCTGATGCTGGATACAGAGATCCAGGGACTTTTCGTGCAGCGCGATCTGTCGGATGCTACTGGCGATCAGGTGGTGTTGTTTTTGTAAATGTTCTAGATTCGGTCTCTCCATGAACTTCAGGGATTTTCCGGTCGTGTTTGCTTTCCCGCCGGTCACGTGCAGCATGGCCTCGCGGTCAGAGGTAGAGTCGCCTAACCCAATGATGTTTCGTCGGACGTTGTCTGTGATAAGGATTTTTTTGGTTTGATTGTCTGATGCGTATGATGCCAACACGCGATACAAATTGTTCAAATTCTGCATGAAGATACAACAAACCTGTACCTCGCCCCACGCTCCGCCCGTGGTGATCCCTTTGGTTGTCGTAATAACTGTATGCACTGCACAAGTATCGTACTCGTACTAATTGCATTTATGCATTACAAATCGAAATATTTTTTTATTTAAAGCAAATCCGCATTACAGTTTTAATTTGTAATGCTACGCCAATTTGTAATGCAATCTATACTAGCACGATGCTTTTGCATTGCATAAACTGCGGATTTCGTGGTCAAAGGAACGCACTTTCCACTCCACGGGCAAGGTGCACCCCGTCGGTTCCCAGGTCGACCTTGCGCTATGGTACGGGATGGTGCCCATCAGGTCTTCCCAGGAGGGGAAAAATTTCTTGATGGTGAGCTCGATCCATGCGTTATGGAGAGGGAACACAAAACTTGTGTCGCAGGTGTGATAAGGACAACACAAACTCAAAAATTACCTAAAGGAAGCAGCCCCATTCCAACGCGCGCTACACAAATACACATTTCTTTGTCCCGAAATCGGACGAATTCGAGCGTGATTCGAAACTGCCTCCAGCAAAAATCACACTGCACGCGCTTTTTCCATGCGATGAAATCACACTGCTTCTCGACAGAAGTCCCAGTGTTCCTCCTGATACCCGTCCTCGGCATTAGTGACGATCAGGACTTTTCCGTACTTTTTCGCCTCCTCTAACCTGATAGATGAGGAAATCGGTGTGTTTCATATTCATTCAACATGCGCAAGGAAATAAAAATCTTCAACTTGTTATTTGTTGATGAAAGGTGTCATGCAATAGAACCAAAACCAACAAAAATACGTTCTCATTGCCAGAGGGTTTTGCAGGTTTTGCATCACAAGTTTATTCTACATGACCGAGAAAATTTGCCATGCAAGTTTCCTAAGGGAAAACGCAGCTAAAAACCCACTGTCTTGCATGTGCAGCAAGACAAATACTTCGCTGTTGCATTCTATGCATCACAAGTTTACAGTGAAACAGTTTTTCCTTGCGATAGTTGCTCAAACTCGCGTAATCCAGTTCCGCCACCAAATTCGGCCTTATCAAGTCCTATGAACTGCAAACGTATCGTACGTAGTATAAATTGCATTACAAATTTTCTCAGCATGAAAAATTGAATTTGTCATGCTAATACCTTGGAAAGGAAATTTGTCATGCATAAACAGCAATTAGTACGAGTGCGATACTTTTGCACAGGATAAGTCCCCGAAAGCATCAACATCGTCCGCCTGGTAAATCTCGACCTTGCAGAATGAGAGTGCACAACACACCCTCTCCGTCGTTTGTCTAGCTTGAACAGCAATACGAGCGTCGCAAAGAATGCAGGTTTTGCATGGCAAATTCAGGCAAGATTGCCGTGCTACTGGAGCCTCTGCCAGAACCTGTCATGCTAAAAGTGCCAAGACGCTGTAATAAAGAAAGCGAAAAACCTTCAACCCCCGGCGCGCGCCCGGATTGACCTGCAACCCCGCGCGCGCTGATTACGTTAAGTTGGGGCAAGGACTTGGAGAAAAGACTAGAGGCCGGCGCACCCCCCGCATTGGCGCGCCCCCCTCGCTTTCTCGTCGAGGGTGGGGGCGCCCCCTTGAGAGGACCAGGGCGGCGGAGGAGGGAGGGGGGCGGGCATTGCACATGGTCCCCTGGTGCTTGTGTGTTCATTTTTGCCAATTCGCCCCCTCCCCTCCACGTTGTGGCGTCGAAAATCGTTTGCATTTCTCCCCACCCCGGTACCGCGATCGCGAGAAGCCCCTCTCCCATCTTCTGGAACCCGTGCGAATGCGCGACCCGCGTCCGCCTGCAAAGCAGATCCTAAACGCAGCTTCCAGGTCCGAAAACCCGTCGGCGATCGCATCTCTTTCATTTTGCGCAACCTCCACGCCATGCAAAAGTTGGTGGGTGTCCCGCAGGTAACCGATGAAGAAAGAGAAGTGTGGCGATGGAAGAAGGGCGCAACCTCTTCTCTTGCCATCGGGGTTTCATAAGAAAGAAAAGCAGAAAACGACCACGAACAGAAGAAAAATGGAGCTGTTGCGAGGTGCGATGTGTGATTGCAATTATAGAAGGCATCTACATTAATGAAAATACGAAAGGAGGAGGTTCACTATAGAAATGAGGAAAGGTGGGAGGTTTGTCCCACCATACAATAGAACCAAAACCAACAAAAATACGTTCTCATTGCCCAGGGTGCGTAATCGTCCAGCTGAGCCTTGAGGTTCTGGGGCACCTCCCCCGGCATGTCGACCCTCAGCTCGTTTCGTATGGAAGGGATAAACTTGAGTCACAGGACGAGCGAGGCTTGTCAAGTACACGCATGTTGACAGTAATATTCAGATTTGCTGTACAACAAGAACCTGCAATACAAATGATCTGCTCGCTGCGACTCAAAAGTTTGTTCCTTCGGATACTCAGGGCGAGCCATGTTGTCGGCAGGATCGTGTCGTCCCTGTTGGATTTTTATGAAAGAGATTTAGGGTGTTGAGATTCACTCTGTGATGCGCAGACTGGCATGAAAAATTCACGTTGTCATGCAGATTATCCTACGACTACATGCTCACTTACCAATCGAAAATGAACAGGGTGTCCTCCTTGTGGTAGCCCTCCGGGAGTTCGGTTTAGTATGCAGGAGAAAATCTTCGTTCGGAATCTTCCCAGCAGCTAACCGTCCTCTTAGCTGGCTCACAGCTTGTGCTTGTATTTGTATTGATGCAGATGTACTACCGGACCTCCACCTCCTATGTTAGCTCATGTTCACAACGAACATGACTCGTCGCAAAGAATGCAGAATAGTACTAGATATATTTCCGTCAACATGTTCACCAGGTCATGGATTCTGCAATAAATAAGTCAATTGGGTTGTAAGAAGATCTTCAACTACGACTTCTTCCTATCGATATCTTTTCCGTCTTCATGACTACGTCGTGCGCCGACATGGTGTTGGTCTGTTTTTTTTTCGTGTCTTCATAATGGCCGAGAAGATTTTTTTTCACATGTACATAAAGCCTTAAAGGCGGCTTCACCACATGGCAGGCGAACCATTTACAACATGGTTATTGCTTTCAAAAACTAAAACATCACAACAAAAACTAGAATGGAATGATCCATGTGTATACTAGTACCTTCCGTGCACAACTTTTCGCTTTTCCTTTTCCCAAGCGTGAAAACGCTACTCGTTCTTGAGACAGGTTGTTCCGCTTCCCCGCTGGTCCTCGCCGAGGTTATCATATGACAAAAGTGTTACAGTTACACATTTGTTGGAGTTTCTCCATCACAAATCCTCTCTGTGTGGCAGAGAAAACCTGCAGTGCGAAGATCATAAGGGAAAACAGGAAGGAAACGAGGCTCCCAAGCATTTCCTGCATGAGGAAGGTTGATTGTATTGCCGCTCTTGCAACACAATGTGTAACTGTGACACTTTTTTCTTGCGATAGAGGTCGAATTGGAATTAATATACGAACTCAGGTTCAGCAAGTCGTCGGTCGATAAATTCGTCTCCGAAGATGAAATATGCCGCAAAATTGATCTGCGTGTGTTGTCGGTTGGTGCACAACTGTTTTCCTAACTACTGTCCTTGGAAGTCTGGCGAAATCGCCACACTTTGACCCCAGAAATTTGATGGCTTTTTAGCAAGAAATCTGACAGGAGGTGAAAAACCCTCGTCAGGATCGATGCAGGAGGAGGAAGGTTGTACTAAAAGGCCGTCCTCCGCGCGGATAGGAACTGTCTGGTTCTGGATTTACTGTTCTTCTACTTTCTTGAACAGCGATCACATTTTGAAGTAGAAGATGGCAATGTTGATGACGATCAAACGGCTTTTTTCTGTGGTCCTTTCGCTCGTAGTCGTAGGGTAAGAAAAAGTCGTGCGCGCGTGGTCGTCTGAGTTGTCCGCCTGGTTGTCTGGTACTTCTTACGCCTTCACCTGTGCAGCTCCTGCAGTCGTTCCTCTAACGGCTTGATGTGTGCTCCGCTAGTAACAAAATCTCGCCCAAAAATGACAATTCCTGTGGGCTTCCTCACACGGCGTAGTTCTAGTTCTGCACGTGCGCAGCTATCAAGGAGTAGGAGGTAGAAGGAGACACAAAACTTCTTGTTAACATGCAGCTTTCCGTACTGCAAGTTCTGGTATTGTAGTGTTCGACGAGGACGATGAAGAAGTTGTGTCGAGATAGTTTTCGTTTGCCTCCCAAGTAGATTTTTTGAGAAGTCGCGAAGAACTACCCAGGGTCGTGGCGGAAATCGACGTGTTAGAAAAGAGAAATAAAACGGGTGGACACACAAAGGCCATCGTCTTCTCCACGAAGCTACTGCACTCCGGACCGATTGGTCGTTTCGAGAAGTTCAAGTTCTACCTTACAGTGATAAGATAAAGCCCTTCAGTACAACTTCTGGAGCACAACTCAAAACTCGAACCCGTGCTACAATGATGATCGCCAAGAGGATTTTAAGAATTCACATCACCCACACGTCGCAGTATATGGAAAGGCTCTCGGCCTCACTTAGGGCATGAAAAATCATGTGGCAAATAGCCGAAGCCGAAGCTGCAGCGCAGCCCCGGGCGTTTCAGATTGAAGATGGAGGCCCGGAAATAAAGAGTGAAGTTTGGTGCTCACATCTGACAGCATGACAGGCCTGTGAACAGTGTCAACACTTCAGGACGAGCGGTTATCAACTGTCCAGTGCGCAGGAGCACGCAGTTTCAGGCGGGAAAAAGAGATATATGCAAGAGTTGATATTATAGCTCCTGCGCTACTAGCGCACAAGTGAAAGAACAAGAAGTGAAGAATAATTTAGTACGGTCAAAACTAGCAACGTTCGTCCGCTAGTGGTCGAGGACGGGTAAGCACAGAGATATAGTGTAGATTCTTTTTAATATCGCCTAGAAATGCAAAAATTGGTCGACGATAGCGCTATCGTGAAGAAGTATGGGTGAGTCTATTATTGAGGTAGTAAAATCAAAACTTATCGCAATTACTAATTCGTACTTTCATGTGGGTCTCAGTTTTCCATGTCGCTAATGAAGTAGAAGTGATGTACTATGTTGATACGTACTAGCTGCTGAGGTTTTGCTGGAGATGAAATTGTGCCGCTTACCCGATGTTGGCCTCGTGGGAAGTTGAAGATGCCCTCTAAGTAGACATAAACTAACTGATGTAACCAAACCCAACATCGTCATCACACAGCCACCTCCAGCGGCGTAAAATCACATCAGGCACACAAGCAGGGGAGACATCAACTTCCTGTGGGTCATTACCCAAGCGCCACCAGCTCACTGTTTCTACAAGCTAAGCTACATCATGAAAACAAGACCACCTCGACCATTCGTAACACGCAGCATCACCATCAATATCTTCTCGCCAGCAACATTCATCAAGAAAAAAAGTCCGATCGGTTGTAAAAATCGAACGGAGTTTTATATAAATAGCTTTAGTAAGTTTGTTGATACAGGTTAATATGCACTATCAGCCACGAGTTGTAGACAACTTGCACGCAGCTTCGTTCTTGCACGCAGAACTTGAATAAACCTCCTGCTCTTACAGTACCAGTAACAAAAGAACAGATCAACCTCGGAAGAGAGGAAAAGTGAACACCAGCAATAAAAGGTCGGCGTTTCATTTTTGAAAGCCAACGCATGGCACACCAGCAAGTAGATGTCGAACAAGTACTTATTTTATTCTTCATTTTTTATTTTTTCTTGTGTCGCTCGTTCTCGCAAAGGCTCTTTTGGTTCATTGTCGTCTGTGTCGCTGATATCTCATCATGCTCCGAGAGAATCAATCATGCTCCTGCAGCTGTATATCGATTGTCTTTGTGTTTGTCATTTATTTGGGCAGAAATTTCGCGTCAACGCCCAAATGTCTCGCTACCATATCTGGCGTGGTCTCAAAGACCTCCACGAATCTGTTCCCAAGAATGCCATTGTGCATGTTGTCCACGGCATGTGCTGCATCTTGTGGACTCTTCATTTTCACATACGCCTGCCCGGAATTTTGGCCCCGTATGTTCTGTTGTAATTTTGATATACGTCATCCAATTGTAGTTGTGGTTGTAGCAAATGCATGACAGTTGCAGTTTTGTTTGCTTAGGCTTACAAAGCGTTTCACGCCTGACAAGAAAAAACAAAAGCTCTAAAAGGAGAAGGTGGCCGGATAAAACGAAAGTACTTAAATCAGTTAATCTAAATCTTTTATACCCTCTCCAGCAGTACGTGGTTTTCTGTAACCCCGTACTCCTTCAGCCAAGTCGCTATTGTGTCCATGGTGCACACTTCAAAGGGGACTCCGCGTAACCTTATCCAACTGTGCCCATTTCCGCTGGAGGCTGCCCTTCCCGGAGCGGCTTTTGGGAACACTGTTCCGCCGGGCACCGTCTGCACTACACCGCCGCGAATCCCCGGTGCGGCCTTGGACGGGATTTGGGACAGGGCTGTTTTGTGAATTTGATACGAATAAAGATACGAAGCTATTTTGCCAACTACAACTAGCAGGCGGCTTACCCACTTCAGATGGAACTAGATTGAAGATATTTCATTCAAATCTATTACTATTTGCATTTTATCCCCCTTTCTCGCAACAAATAAAAATTAATCGCAAAACAAAATATCTTCAATATCTAAACTATCATGATGATCATGATATATCATGTACATCTTCATGCCGAAACACAGTACCAGACACTGCAACCGCATTCGTCTTATCTCGCTCTACTCTCCTTGGGTCCCGGACCCGCGTTGATGCTGTATGGAAGCGTTAGGATCGAAATCGTCAAAGTTGAAATAATCTGTAATGCAGAAAAGCGATACAAGCTGGAGCCCAGTTTGCAAGTGGCGCATGCCAAATTCTCCTGGGAGCATGGAAATCCCATTTGTCATGCTGTTTGAGCAAAGACTGCTTTTGTCATGCTATTTTAGCAGCTCTATCTCACACCCCAAACAGGCTTATAATCGGCCTCAGTTTCCTGCTCTGCAAGACAGGCCCTTTGCGTCTAGCATTTTATGCATCACAAACTATTTCAATTCTGACGATTTCAATCCTGTCACTCCCATATGCTGCGCTTTGGGCGTACACCGTGCTTCCCGCCTTGAATTTCGACCATCCTGAGCAAAAACGCGGTCCCCACGACGACGACCCAAGAGCCAAGATGTTGGGAAGTCTCAATCTGCTAGACAAATCAATCAGCTTTGGATTTGGTTCTTGTTGCGCATGACAGGTTTGGCCTCGACCTCGTCTAGTGTAATCCTGCAGAACTAGTTCAGCAGGAGACTTACAGATCTAGGTCTAGCCCTGTATAATGCTGAAAGGAGCATCTCAAATTCGAAAATACGACCAGAAACAAGTGCTTCTCGTGGGGCTCAGGATGAGAAACAGATTTGCATGAAAACTATGGTCGTGTGGGGAGGACGTTTTTACAAAGGATATATTCTTCGCCGGGTTCATGTTGCTCATGTGCGTCCAGGGACGGCCGCACTGCGTCACTTGAATGTATGGATTGCAAAAGTGTCTGGGTCTGGAAGGACGCAACTTGTCATGCTGTCTCTGGATTCGAAAAAAATCTGTGTTGCGTGACCCGCAACAAGAGAAGTCCACTTTGGGCATTTCTCATGCGGAGTACGCATCAGGAAGCCCTCTAAAAATCTGTAATGCGAGGGCATGCATCACAGACGTCATGGGTCATGAAAAAAATGCATGACAAACCTGGCATTTTTCCAGACCCAGACATTTTTGCATTTCATAGAATGAACCGATCGCCGATGTACAGGTTGTTGAGCGCTGCGGCGGCTTCCTCCGCGTCTTTTTCCCGGGTCATCTGAACATAGCAGACGCCCGTTGGACGCCCTTCGCGCGTCAGCTCGATGTAAATCTGGAACATTTATTGCGTAAGTACAGCACTCATGTTCTTGTTGCATCAATACATCATGCACGAATGTCGCAACATGTAAGATCATGCCCTAAAAAATTTCATTCGTCACACGGAACAGAGAACTGAAACTGAAGATACGTACCTGTTCGTACTGTATGATGAATTTCTGTCTTGCGAAGAATTCTTGTATGTCTTTCTTCACCGCCCTAAACGGGATCCCATAACACCGCACCACTTTCAAACTGTCTGTGTCAATGGACTCTTTCCGCATATGAGAGTGAACAACTCCCCCTCCCCTCCATTTGAATGGCATGAGCAGCAACACAAGCAACGCCAGAAATGTGGCTTGCGCATGACAAATCTGCAGACGGATTCTAGTACCGTTTGAGGGGCCAACATTTGTCATGCGAACTGTGCTTGGAGGCAAGACGTAGAATTGGTGATTTGCATTACAAATTAGGGGGAGGAGGAGTTGTGCACTCTCATACCGCAGGTCGGCCTGCGAGAAGTAGATGGATTTATCCCCCATGGCGCCAGGGACTAGTACGAATTGGTGCTTTACCTTGTGTGATCTGCTTCGCGGTGCGTCAATTCCGGTCTGTTGGTTGATGTTGTTGTTTACACGTCGTCGTAAACAATTACGGCAGGAAGTCGGCCAACGGACGTAAACCAGTCTACTCACCACGAGAGGACACGATGCTTATTTTCGGTCGAGGGCTGGCGCCTCTGGCGATGTGAAAGACCCCAGCCGGTGGTCGTCGACAGAAGCAAAAAATCTTGTTTCCCGGTTAGTGTTCGTCGCGCGTAGGGTCATGGAGATCAGGATTGTTGTACAAACAATGAAAACCTAACTTAAACTTTGTGCCTCAAAAATAGCCGCGTCTTTATCAGTTATCTTTGATTCAGTACACGTTCTTAGAACCGCTCGCTCATCCTCATTTATGTTTTCTGTCCGGATTTTTAGATAAAATGACGAGTAAAAATCAAGAATTACAATTTTTCACCAAGCGGTGGGGTTCATGTTGAAGAAGTGAATTTACGAATTACAGAGGCCTGCGTGGCGGTCGTAGTAAAAATAGTCTATTCGGATTTACATCAGTATACCCAAATAGAACTCGAGCTCCAACCAAGTCTCGAGCTGATCACTGTGTCGCGTAGCGCGAAAGTACTTAGATAAGTCAAGAATAGATCTTCTACTTGAAGAGGCGATCGCAGTTATTTTCCGTTGAGGTTTTTCCTTTACATGCTCGATCATGTACAACATGTTGCAGAAGAGCAACGTGCTTACTTTGGTGCACTTAAACTTATGGCATGGTCATCGCCCGCGCGTTGGATCGACTACACGAACACATGCCAACATTTTTGTGGTAGGGGGACCAGAAATCCCATACGCAACTACAGAGACTCCTGCGTTTGCCCTCTGCGCTGCTGGTCGTCTGGACTAATCGCACTTATCTTCTTCTTCGTGAGCTATTGTCCTGCCCCCGCGGCTTAGAACATCAACCACTATTAAGTAGAAATCCAGATGTGGACGTCCTCTACGTTTCTCATTCTTGAGGACCCTTGCCGCCGATAGGAATCGTGTTCATTGTCGCGAAAATTCTTGAAATCTCGTAGTTTCATTCAGATGAGAATGATGTTTAAAATGTAAATGGTTATCCATAAAATTTTCATTCTGCGAAGCGAAGCCTATGCCCGGGTGGTAACTAATGCGAAAAATGGTGTGTGATTTTTGTTTGCC